GGAATGAGAAACTCTTCCTAAAACCAGAAAAGTGCCTTTTTGATGTACAAGAAGTTGACTATATTGGAATGATCATTCGTCCAGGACAGATAGCAATGGACCCCGCCAAACTAAAAGGGATTGAAGAATGGCCTGTGCCGAAGAATGTGAAGGATGTCTGATCATACCTTGGCTTCTGTAACTTCTACCGCCACTTCATCTCCCACTACTCCGACATTGTGAGACCCCTTGTAGACCTGACAAAGAAGACTTCCACATTTGAATGGGCACCCTCCTGCAATGATGCCTTCCACAAACTCAAGGGATGCTTCCTTTCTACACCTGTTCTTCAAAACCCTGATCCAACCTGGCAATTCACCCTGGCCACCAATGCTTCCCTTGTCACTACTGGTGCAGTACTTCTCCAAACTGATGAAAATGGAGTATACCACCCATGGGGGTATCTTTCCCAATCCTTCAACCCTGCAGAATGAAACTACCAGATCTATGACAGGGAACTCCTTGCCATCATATGCGCCCTGAAGAACTGGCGCCACTACCTCAAAGGGAACCCACACCCTGTTATTATTTTCACCGATCACAAGAATCTCCTTTATTTCCATTCTTCTCAGAAACTTACCCATAGACAAGCCAGATGGCAACTGACACTTTCCAAATTTGACCTAGAATTTGACCATGTCCCTGGGAGCAAACTAGCTGCCCCAGATGCTCTTTCATGACGACCAGATCACCTTCCTGATTCTCTTGATAATACAGATATCACTCTTCTCCCCAATTCTCTTTTTGTTCGCCTTTTAGATACTGACTTCGAAAATGCCCTCCATTCGCCTGATCCTATCTCTGATCCGATCATATTAGCTGCCAGCAAGGCTCTAGATGGCCTCTGCTTCCCCCTATGACTTCCTCCCTTTCTGATTGGTCTTTTACCAATAACATATTACAATACAAGAACCTGCACTTACGTACCTCCCCATCTCCACTCCCATGTCCTTTCTCTTCACCATGATCATCCCACTGCAGGTCACCCGGGTCACTTCAAAACCAAAGAACTCATTAAACACGATTACTGGTGGCCTCAGATGGGCTCCTTTATCCAAAAATACATAGAAGGCTGTGCTATATGCCAACAGATGAAATTCAATACCCACCCTGAACTACTCCACCCCTGACACCGATTCCATCCTCCGCCATGCGACCATTTTCCCAGATCTCCGTAGATCTCATCACCGACCTCCCTGTTTCCTATGATTTTGATTCCATCATGGTCATGGTAGACCATGGTCTTACAAAGGGGGTGATTCTCACTCCTTGCAAAAAAACCATCACTTCTGAAGGAGTTGCCCGACTTTTCTTCAAAAAAGTCTTCCTCCGATTTGGCCTACATGACAAACTTATCTCCAATCATGGCCCACAATTTGCATCAAAGTTCTCCAAAGAGCTTGGAAGACTCCTTGACTATGAAGTAGCCCTTTCTACTGCCTATCATCCCCAGACTGATGGACAGACTGAACAACTAAACCAAGAACTTGAAACTTACCTCCGCATCTATTGTCATTCAGCACCCACTGACTGGGTAAAGCACCTTCCCATGGCAGAATTCATTCATAATCACTGAAAACACAATGTACGCAATGCTTCCCCCTTCTTCCTCATGATGGGATATATACCCTGAGGAATTCCTTATGCCTTCCCTCCAACTGACATCCCTGCATCAGAAGAATGAATCACTTATCTGCAAAAGATCTGAGAAGAAGCCCTTGCATGCCATAACATTGCCAGACAGTGAATGGCAGAATGCTCTCATGGAAAGAAGTATGAACCCTGGAAAATTGGGGACAAGGTTTGGCTCTCTGCCACACACCTCATGACTTACCTTCCATCAAAGAAGCTTGCTCCAATGTGATATGGCCCCTTCCCAATCACCGCCATTCTTTCCCCTATCACTTTTAAACTCTGTCTCCCAGAACAATGGAAGGTTCACCCCACGTTCCATGCTTTTGAGTTATCATTCTATCAGGAAACCAAAATCCATGGTCTGAACTTCCCCAAACCACCACCTGACGTAATTAATGGTGAAGAAGAATACAAAGTGGACACTATCCTGGTTGTTATGAACTGAGTTCACCGAATGGTAAAGTCAGACAACAACCACTAAAACTCGGTCACAGATGATGATGAGAACAAGATAGATTTGAGCGTGAACGTCTAGGTCTACTACAACTGTAGAGAACGAAGAGGTTAAGTCTAAGGAGTACTTACGCTAACTAACCTACTTTTATACATAACATTGAATAGGAGATATCTGAGTATGAAAGAAATCAGCCAATGAGAAAAGAGTCATACAATACTGCAGATGACTGATCATGACATCATGATATATAAGCAAATGAGTAAGACAGCTACTAAATAGAAACCCAAGATCTGACTGGTTCTTCTTTAGGAAGCGAAATTGTTCTAGCCTGTGGAGTAGGGGAGCCAATCGGAGAAGCAATGGGTGATATGTGAAGAGGTGAAGGTGTGACAGGAAGTGAAGTCACGTGACTGGTTCGGTAACTGGAAGTAGCTGAAGGAAAGCTGAGGAACGAAAAATGATTCGTGTTTGGAATTCGTGACACTGGCTCACAAAGGACAAAAAGGGAGACGCCACTACCTCATGTCGTGAAAAGGTTACTCATCTGCAGACAACACATGGCTTCCGGAAGATGCCTTAGAAAATGCCCCTGAAGTCCTGAAAACCTATAAAAAGTGGCTCAAACTCTCCCAAATTCTTATCCTACAAAACCACTAAAGCACCATGTCTACTTCATCCAGCTCCTCTTCCACCTCTTCCCATCACAATCTTGAAAACTATGAACTCTTTGAACAACAAGAACATCAAGCCCTCTTTGACACCACCCTCCTTAGCCGCCAACATGCTCTTGAACTCGAAAAGATTTTCATCAACAGAAATGACCATATCTCTATGTACCTCCTTTCCATGTTCTGTGATACCCATTCCATTGAAGAAGACATCATCCCCAACATTACCAGTGTTGACACCGCTACTCGCCTTCGCTACCTCAATCGAAAGATTAGGAACACCATCCAGATTCTCTTCCCTAAAACTTTCAGAGACGATGTAGCGGTCACAATCCACACCGTCACCAAACACCTTGCCACCACTACAAACACACCACCTTCCCCTCATATCCTCCCAGTCTTACCACCTACCACTCCATCCCCTATAGAAGAACCATCCCCTCGTAAAGCCGCCAAAATGAGCACTGGACGAAAACACCCTACCAAACAAACAACTATCATGACCATTGGTCTTACTTGTCCTACTCCCCAATATTATAAAGATCGTTGCTCACAGCCAGAAATCTATACCCCTCCTCCAACAAACCCTGCAGTTCTCCCAATGACCCCACCATCACCGACTCCCATTCCTAAGGAAGAGACCCCTAGTCCTCCCTTCAACAACATTGTTTGTCACATATCCAAGGAACTCAGGCACCATCACAAAAACTGCCCATATTACAGGTGTAGGGTCTGCAGGACACTCTCTCCAGGACACCTTTCTCCATATTGTCCTTCTCTATGAGGAGAAACCATCAGCGCATTCAGGGGGATGACTAGCAACACTGAAGGGTTCTACACCCATCTAGCTGAGTGGGAAGCACAAGAGGACGCAGCGCAAGAAGAGGACTTACTCTCCTACAATGAGGTCAATGTAGACCCCATCCACCTCAACGATGCAAGGCTTGACTAGGTTGCAGTCAGTAACTTCAACGATATGAAGGGGGTAATATTACAATGGCACTATATTTTCTTTTCTCTTTCTTTCTTTACTTACTCATCGAGTCTCATGACTGCTTATCAACACATCCAACACATGAACACTTACCTATATGCTTACTCATCATGCTTATGCAGATGATTACTCATACTATTCCCTGATTGGTCGATCCAACATCATACCATTTCTCATCTCCTTTTCTGATTGGCTGATATTGTCTTCCTATTCTCACTTACCTTTCTTGATAGGTTCATCCACCTACAGACCAGCCCTAAACTACCTCCTTGTTACATATATATATCATGTTTTCTGTACTTGTATTCCTTAACTTGAATCTACTAGGTTCTCTCCTGATACTTTGAGTTCACCAATCTAGCTGCCTCCCAGCAGACTAGCCTGAATACTTGATCTAGCAAGCCCTTGACACTCAACTAGCCAGAACCTTTGATCTTAGAACTTGCAATACACTTCAGCCTCAATCATCCTTTATTGGAACGCTGAAGAAGAACTATCCTAGTCGTAACGATTTCCAGACCTGGAACTCCAGATCCTCACTTGTTAGACCCAGACTTCCATCCTAATTTCCATCTGGTGCTCCGGTTTCATCTCCAGGTCTAAACCCAACCTTACACCCATCTCCTTTTAGATTACTACTCTCCAGCTACTGGTCATACTCCTTTCTGCCTTGCTTACTGATCCATTTCTCTGTATTCATTTCCGACTCCATTTATTTGATCCATTATAGACTTACTAATAGGCTTTCCACATGCTTCATACATAGCATTTTACTATGCTGACTGATTACTTACTCGATACCTACAGTATGTAAACTCCTGTAACACTCTGTACCTCCTCAGTTGGAATATCATCTTAGTTCCTGCTTATTCCTGCTTCTCTGGACTTGAGTCTCACCTCCTGTCTACCTCCAGGTCTTTGGATCAACTCCTTAGACTATACCTCTGGCTCTACCTTAGGGTAGTCTATCTCTGCTCCGTTTCTACTCTGGACTTGTCCACAGTAGTCTTACTCTTGCATCTACTGAATCTCCAGAGTTCTGCCAAACCCCTCCTGTGTCTGACCTCCGGACTTCCCTGGACTTCATCAGACTTCCCTCCTGCCTTCTGGAAATTAAGGACACATACTTGGGTAAGGGGTGCAGTGCACAAGCTGAAGCCAAGCCCTTCGAGTTCTCCTCCCCTTGAGCATGACCTTAACACTTTCCATGGACAATTCTATCCATGTGCAGTTGTACATTTGTTCTTGTACCAACAACAGACCCAATGATGACACAGGGATGTGGATTGTACAACCAGAGTTTAATATAGATGGGTCACACAAGGCCACTGTTATCCACTTTGATACTATTGTGCATGCTGCACATCTTATTGCCATCTATGGAAGAGACTTTTTACCAAAGCATCTTTCACCTGCACAATCCCTTGATATATTTCAAGCTTACTGTGTTAACAAGTATATTGATCACCACAGTGTGAGGATCGTCCTCACTGTAGGCCTGTATCACCAACTATTCCCATGCTAGTCTGACAACTCCTATTCACGCTCTGAGGTACTCTGGATACCTTGCAGACAGTTGTGCTTGCACCTGCGTGCACCGCATATCTTATTCCAGTTCACAATGTGTACACATCCCATTATAAGCGCCCGGTCAGTCCTACCATGTCCATCCACTGTCCATCTATCCCCATTAGTGTGTTATTAGCTTGCTTTCATTTACCTTGACCACCTGTAGGTCCTTTACATATGCATTCCCATACACAAGGTCAGTAAAAGCTCCTTACATACTATCTCGCAGTGTTCTTGCTTGTGTGTTCCAGTACCACCTACGACATTCCAATATGCTACAGACTATGATATAAACCCATCACAGACTCACTATTCCTCACTCCTCTACATCCCTTCCACCCAAGTTGGTGTCTGGAGTCACTATCATTAGCTACATCATTCTTTACCTTGCACAATTGATTCCTGTTCCACCTATCTTCCCTGAGTAGCCACAACCCTTAGTGAGATTAAACTAGTGATGGTTTGTATAGCCTTTACCTTGTTGTGAGTCCTAGAATAGATCCTGGTGAACCTTGCATAGACCCGCACACCCTGCTGAAACCCATTACCTTGTTAAAACCCATTACCCATTACCTCATACTATGTTATATGTGCCCCATGCCGGATCTGCATTACACCTGTCTTATCGCACCACAGTGTGCATCAGCATCTTCACCCGTAACCCATCCACATTTCTTGCCTTGCACGCAACTCTACCGCAAGTGTCTGCATCATTCAGAAGAAGATTATCTCTCAGTAGCAACCCCCTTGGGACAACTAGTAATACTCGCTCTCATAGGAATATCATACTAGCTCTCTAGTACTGTCACGAATTCCTAATACGAACCATTTTTCATTTCTCGGTTTTCCTTCGGCTACTTCCAGTACCTGAACCGGTCACGTGACTCCTCATCCTGTCACACCTTCACCTCTTCACATATCACCCGTGGTTTCTCCGATTGGCTCCCCTACTCCATGGGCTAGAACAATCTCGCTTCCCAAAGAAGAACCAGTCGGAACTTGGGTTTCTGTTTAGTTGCCGTCTTACTCATTCGCTTATATATCATGAGTCATACTTAGTCATCTGCAGTATCGTACGACTCTTTTCTCATTGGCTGATTTCTTTTAAAGACTCCTATTCAATGTTATGTATAAAAGTAGGTTAGTTAGCGTAAGTGCTCCTTAGACTTAACCTCTTCGTTTCCTACGCTTGTAGTGACTTAGACGTTCACGCTCAATACCATCTTGTTCATTATCCTCTTGACTGAGTCCTAGTGGTTGTGTGCTCGCCTTCATCATTATTGGTGAACATTGGTCATAACAAGTACCTACTCAGGATTCCTTTCTCACAACAGATTTGAAATTGCATTTTAGGGACCCCATTGACTTACCTGTCTTACATGAGACTTAGGACTCATACTTTAATCATTAGCACCCACATCTTGTAGTTGACTTGATTCTCTTGGGTTTGTTTTGTGTCCTTACTTTACCTTGATTCCTCTTAGTTGATGTTTTGCTAAGCTACAATTAAGCCACAATTCATCCTTAGTCTACTTAGTTGTCTTAGCGATAGATTTAAGTGCATCAAGTTCATTCAAGAACATTTGAGTTTTCCTGATGTAGCTAGTAGCTATTTGTAGCCATAATAGCTACTTATAGAAAAACAGTATTATGACTATTGAGTTTAGACTATCATATTAAACTATTGAGTTAAGACCATCAAGTTGAGACTATTATACTAGACTATCAATTTAAGGCTATGGAGTTAAGACTATGGAGTTAGACTTGTAAGCACTGTCAAAGCTTGTGACCTTGTGGTAACCTTGTGGCATGCTTGTGAGGCCTGTGAGGCCTGTGGTGAAAATCCTAGTTTGCTGATGGAGCTTGAGCCATAAACCTTAAATGGCTGAGTTTCATGTATTGTCTACTATCTGGACAGTGAGTGAATGATCAGCAGATCTGATGACAAGACCACCCAGCATTGGGACTTGCAGGCTGGGAAGGAGTTTGAGGAGGTGCAAGAGTTTGTGAGCAGGCAGTATGGACTATTGATGGGGTGTCACTTGGTTGTCACAGGTGGTGGGAGTTCTGATGTTGATAGTTGGGGAGCTCAATGTCCATGATGTCAAGAGGGGGATTGCAAAAATATTTCAAGGTCACTAGCATGTTGACTGCATCTCAGGTATGTGTGCTGCTGGTGAGTGGGTCATGGGATGATCATCAGTGTGGATATGAAGCTTAGACACTGGCAAAGTCATGACTGGCTCATTCAAATTCAAAAGTTATTCACCCACCACTGGGGGGGAGGTGGCTTGATCTTTGATGTGCGGGATGCCCAAACACAGAAATTGCAAGGATGTCAGACTGGAAAAATTAACTTGGTCTAGACTTACCCCAGTACTGTTATCAACATCTCCAGGAACTAGTGTGACCAGCATACATTTGCATATAAGATATGCACATCCACTGCACCAAAGCTTGCAATAAGGCTTGCAAACTAGCTAAACACTATCAAGTAACAAACGTAGCATTTAAAAGTGAGTGTTCAAGCTTACAACGAGACTACAAAACTACATTGTAGGTACTTCAGTCATATTCTATGTATTCTACTTCTTCGGAAGTGCTTGAGATTTCTTCTATTCCAAGATCTCCATTGCTCGAGGCTCGAGCAGCATTAAAAGTTGTTCAGAAGCAAACACGTTGATCCGCAAAAAACAAACTACTACTAGTAACTCGCGCGTCGTGCCATCAACCATACTGCACCAATGTGAAAGTAGAAACACGACTCACCCAGGGGCGGCATTCAAGAAGGATCTACCACGCCAGTGAGTCATGTGGTCAAATCCAGGATGCAAATTATTCATACTCACACATCCAGACGAAATAGGGCAGGTATTGCACTGGCGGTTATGCACGCAAAAAAAAGCACATTTCTCACTGTCAAAATCGCTGGCAGATATTGATGCTGTCAAAGCAGCAGCAACGACGAGGACGAGGGATAAATGCATTGTTTCTGAGGATGTGATATAGGATCAAATAAATTTGAAGGGGACAGTAGGAAGACGCCTTGATTTTATGTGCTGGATATTGTTCTTCGTGGCGATGTACCGGAAGAACCTATCCGATGATATATGCAATGCCAGCAGATTGCCACCTAAGAATTACCTTGTGAAGCAAGGTCCATTAACAATTTGGTGTGTAACAAAACATCACCTTGCCAAGCAAGGTCAATGCCAGCTCAAGATCAGCTTGTTCCCCTTCTGCTTACAGTGTATTGCACAAACGGAGGCCCGTGGGGTGGAGATGAACTGAATGACGGCCATCAGCGGAAACGTCTCCTTAACCAGTGGGTTGATCTTCGTTAGCGTTGACGTACTCGGTGTGTGCTCGGGTGAAGAAGACCAATTTGAAGAGCGTCCTGAGCAGGAAAAGATGGACTTCACGACAAAGTTGATCGGGCAAGCAGTGGTGGATAAGTTGTTTCAATATAGATTGAGCGCGGGTGGCGACAGGTTGGAACGAACTGCGTCATTCAGTTTCCTAGAGGTGCGTGACATGTATAGAACTAGCACATTGTCTGTACAGAGATGCGACAATTCGTACGCCAGCAAGTTTCGATGGCTCACTTGAAGTGCGCGGTAGCCCGACATTGGGTAAAAACGGCCGTCTATTGAGAACTAGACCTTTCAGTGCGCGTATCTCGCGGCGTATTTCATCTACGTCAGCACTGCCCGTCGTAGGTGACCCGTTGATGCCGCGCATATTTAACCCGAATGAATATGTTCGAGTGGTGATGTACCCGGTGAAATCTGTGAGCGCTTGAAGGGTTCGCTGTGCAGGGCGAAGCGGCGCTGTTTCAATTTTGGAGAGCGGAGCGGTTGGTGCGTTACGTAGAAGTGCAGCTTGCAGAGTGTCGAGAGCGAGCATCATGGGCGGAGGAGGGGATACTGGAGGAGGAACATATGTCCAGAGGATGCGAGAGGAATGCTCGGGGGTAGACGAAGAAGACGAAGATTTTGGCGAGGTGGAAGTGAACAGAGGGGATTCATTGAGTGTTTGCCAGAGGTCATTCTGTGCGACCAGATAAGCCTATGACGTCAAAGGTAGATGGAGTACTAACCTGACACTTAGCACCTTGTTCTCCCTTCAACCATGGAAGCTTGTCTTCGAGATGGCTGAATAAATCACTTGTGGCTATTCTCTCTGTGCCTTCCTTTGAACGACTCAGTTCCTCAATAGCAGAACGCAAAATCGAGACATTCGAGGTGTCACTGGCATCCTCGTCGTCAATGTCGGCCTTGCGGCGACATGCAAGAATGTCATCTAGCAAATGGCAGTCTGCGTATTCCGGTTCCTCTTTATATATCACGGGCTTTGGTAGGATAGCGAAACATCCCACCTGTTTCTCCTTGAATCCTACGAGGGACTCATTAAGACGAAGCATGAGGCCGGATTGATGTGCGCGGAGTGCATGGCTAGCGTTGTAGGTCTGTGAGATCCTTGGCAGCAAAAAGCGCTTCAAACGATAATCAGCTGCAGTTCAGTGCTAAGCGGGTGCGCTCACGTAGTATATAAAGAGGACGCATGTTGAGGTGCCAGTGAGCCACTCCATTACCATCGGCGTCTTGTGACGAAACCTCGGAATTGGACCTTTTAATGAAGCAGCACAGATGGAAATACTGTCCAAGTATAGGCTCTTCCCATCAGCTTTGCTGTTACTTATCATCATTGACAGACTGCAAAACACCGATCCAGGGGGGGATGTAGCCATATGGCTGTGCGTGCCAGTGATCTACTTCTAGACAGGCACGTCGTTCAACTAACATTGACACTATCGTAGTGCATCTCGCTGGGCTGTAACACTCACTTTTGTTACGCTTGCGGGGAACACATCGTTCGCAGCGGCTTGCAAAGGTGAGATTCAGAACGCAATATCTGCACACTATGAGAGTCAGACGCTCGGTGGTGGCCTGGCTCATCTTGTTGAAATTTATTTCCTTATTTGGGTTGCGTCATTTTACATTTGCCAGTGAGTTGTCTTATACTACATCGCATAGAGTTCTATCGAGTGCCATCATGCGAACCAGCCACCGGAGACTAACAACTCGTGCGCAGAAGCGTGTTGCCCTTCTTGGTTGTCTGACACCACTTGATTTCAAGCGGAAAATACAACGTCTGCGTGAGTCACTGCAACACTGAGAGAAATGACTCTTCCCTCCTCGCATACATGTTACGTACGTACTAGCATAAAAGTTGGCGAACTTGAATAGCAACTGATTCAAAAGCAAAGGTACCTCGCCATAGAACACATGACTCATGAGTCGACATTTTCGGGTTTCTCGACCTAGACTTCGCTGTCATCGTATTAAGCCTCTGGGGGAACTCCGAGTCGATGTCTGTGTGACATCGATCACAAAAGGCTTCACACGACATCAGTAGACTGCATTATAAGGCGACACATCTACGAACCTGTGATTTGATACCCCCATCACCTGCATTACTCAGAGATGTCATGTGTAAGCTTTCGTACGGCAACTTTCGGAATATTAATCTGCCGTTTAGCCTGCAATTGCGTGAATATATGTCACCAAATTAATTGGACAGGCTCACGATGCCAGCAATGAGTTTGCATTCACTGAAAGACAAGCCCTAGGTAAGTGTTTCGAATACGTGCTTATTTGAACACAGACCGGTCGCAAGGTTTGCATATAATCCAACCCATATATCTGAAAAATGTTCACTTCGCGACGAAGAAGATATCCTGGTTCACTCACAATTCTGCTTCATCACTAGGAACTAGTATTCACAATCAGTTCGGCACCGCACGGCCAAGAAAGGGTTTCTTACGAAGCTCATGACAAGGATTCCATTCAGGCTCAACATGACATTAGCCTCGACACACCAGGAACCTCGTGTTTCCACATACCTGGTTGTTAAGCCAGTTTCTGCGGGGTGATTGAAAGGCCATGAGTCATATCTGCGATGATGAGCACAGTGCTTACCGATAGTCCACAGAACCATACGGTCGATCGTGCTCGTTGTCCTGCAAAATCATTGCAATAGAACGAATTGGAAGTGATGTAACATGCCTCGAAAACGTCGATGACCGTTGCTTCCTCAGGTACCACGCAATGGACAGGGTGAGAGTCAGTTCACAAACCACACGCGAAGTGAACGCAAGCGTGATCAGTGGGTTTTGATCGGCTACGAATGTCGCAAGGCTTGTCATAAGGAAAGCTTTCACACTCATCACGAACGCAATAGACTGAGTTAGTAAACAGAGTGCCAGCGAGAGAAGGGGTAGAGGAAGTCTTTTCGAAAGCTTCCATAGTCGAAATGCGAAGGACGACTACACGCTGGTGAGTATCTCCATCAAATTTGATGAAGGATCTTACCTCTACCAGCAACCCTGTAATTCCAGTGAAGAGGATAGCCGCGTCTGCTCCCAATGGGAAGACCTGGAGCGATGAAGGGTTTCCGTAGGCGCTGACAGTAAGGTTCCATAGTGTCGCCGACACACAAATCACATGTGCAATCTGTGATGCTCTACACATTTTGGCTGGTCGGGGCAGGCGGGAAAACTACACAAGCCACTTACAAGATGGCTGCTACCTGAGAATCGAGTCAGTATTTCATGTTTCTCATGCCCATTTCACTGACCGTGAGCTTCATCGCTCGATGATCGTTGGCGAAATTTGCATAATACACATAGATCTGGACGATGAGAACGCCAAAGAAGCAGGCGTTAACGAGCGCAGACAACACCATTGGTCCAATAATGACGTATGCATTAAATGTTACAACGGAAAAGGGAGCATCCTCGCCTTGGGTGATTACAGTGCTGGAATTGGTGGCATTCATGATGTAGTATGTTCCATGGTCCTACTTTACCGATTCGCATTAAATGACCTCTCTGAGTCCCACACCACACCACACTGCTCAGCTGATGCATGATGGCATCAGACTGAAACTACGACGCATGCGGTTGACAGCAGTGGCACATAAAAATAAATGGTATGTGTCTTAGTCTTGCAACTTCAATATATTTGATTCAGTAACGTTGATTGGCGATTCATGATTGTACGATACGTGTCTTCATTGAACGATGAAGCCAAGAGAACAAATAGCCCCAAGTTTATTGCTTGGCCATTTTGACATACCGTGATGCTAGATGAGCTTAAGCAACGGCTTGACGTCGCTTTGCGCAGTTCCTGAGGAGGGTCTATCTTGAATAACCGTTCGGAGGCCGAGGGGGCCGAGCTGGGCCGAGACCTCGGTGATTAGCCAATACCCATCGTGGTGATTTTCGCAGTATCAGATATAATGTGACATATAAATAAACGCAATCCTTGCGATGGCCACATGAAGGCAATGACAAACGACAAATATTGAAAGTGGGGTACCCTCGTTCCTTTAATTAAGATTCATCGAAAGTCCACCTGTAGTGAGCTGTAGTGGCGGTTCAAGCTTTCTAGATAAGTCACCGGAGTATTTGGTGGGAGGGGGATGCCTCTAATATTAATCTTTCCGAGTCGATCGTGCACTGGATCTTCTATAAAATGAGTATGAGTTACCTCATGTGTTCTCGAGTATGAAACGTATCTTGGGAGTTACAAAACTTCCGGGAGTGGTGACTGGGAGGAACCTAGACATAATAGAGTAAAAGGTGCCTATACCTACTCTGGCATAGATGGCGACATCGAAAATCTGGAGTGTCTCTTGTGGGAATCCCGGATAGCATTGAGTGACATTGAGATGAAGAGCGACTGGCAAGGTCATGGAGTAACTTACAACAATATTCGCTCGCACTGCTTTGATCATCGCATACTGCCCTATGTTGAAGCTTGTCGAGAACGATAGCAATTCACTCAATGCGCGTACATACAAAGTCACCGGGTGGCACGTCTAAAACGGCCGGCGGAATCGCGGGGGTATGCCTCACACCAGGGCGTTCGTGCACATGCGTCAGGGGGTCCCTTAGACTAGATTGGACTGTCCTACATGGAGTACTTCTCTCAACAGGACAAAATTTAGATTAAAAAAAAACCATAACCAAGAAGAACTCCCGTTAGGTAGTCTGGCGAGCGAAGACACAGGGTATCTTCGAGGAGCCTACCCTCATAATTGCCTTCAATTTGACGGGATATAGCTGCCTGTTGCAGTGCAGATGGGCCTAAGCATATTCTTAGGACATCAAGAGCCGTGACAGTGAACTGATTCGGTACGGCCACCTACAATGGAGCCATTAAGGTTGCAGCGGGAATATTTGCCTGTGACCCAAAACCGCCCCATACAACAGGTATAAAAGCTGCAAGCCTCGGCGTAGAATTTAATAACAGATCGCTGTAAAATTGAGGGCGTTGTCATCAGAAAATGTAACAACGCATTAATGATTATAACACGTAGCATGGATGACAAGACTGGAAATTCAGTAGAAATACTGTACAGAATACATCTATCGTAAAAGTCCGACGTTGTTGATACAAAGAATTATGCTTGTGCTGGGTGAATGAGGTGATTTCAAGCGACGTATCCAGGGGGGGTATCCGGATATGAATTCGAAGCTCCAGGTGCGGAACTGGATGACGTATATGCAGCTATCCTCGCCATTACTATTAGCTCAAATGGATTGTGTGTGGAAGGGGCACTCACGCAAGTTCTCGTCGTCTTCCATGGCAGTTTGTCTCTTCATATAAAGGGCTCTTTCACGCGTCTTCTCCAAAAAGCTCACGAACTCAAACAACCCCCTGTCATAAAACCTGATCTCGACGTTCGTGCCGTCTGTAAGCCCACCACCCGGCGAAGGCCTGAGATCAAGCACCAAGTAATTGGAACCGAAGTAAGGTTGCTCGAACTTGGTGGACAGGACTGCGTCCAGCGGTACCGATAGCGATTCGAATGACGGCTTGGTCTTTCCCTCTTTGGGCGTTGTAAAGATCAGCTGGTGCACATCGAAGTCAGATCCATTCCGGAGACACCGATATTAAGAGGAAGGCATGAGCGTACTCGCTGGTTCGTCAGCCAAAGTCTCCCTCTCTCCTTCATCTTCTTCACCCCGCCATTGCCCCCGGTGACAGCAGTGCCCGAAGGTGGCGCGTCGGGTATGGTCAAGGAAAACTCCACTTGGGAATCACGATCTATGGACATGATGGTGGTCTCATCACGTAAGGGTATAGGTTGATGTCTTGCATCCAGCATCGTCCAATCGAGCGCCATGGTTGTTGGCGGAACTGAACTCCAAGTTAGCAGGGGCTAGAACTTAACCGCAGTAGCCGATTTGGGTAGATCCTTTCTGCACCAAGGTTCTGAAGGTGATAGAAGGACAACACTCATGGCTACCTGGCGCAATGGTAGCGCGTTTGGCTTCGATTGCCAGCGGCACCAAAAGGTTGCAGGTTCGAGTCCTGCGGTGGTCATCTTTTTGCTTGTCTGTCCTCCAAAGGTTGCAGGTTCGAGCCCGTTGTCACTCTATTTTTGTTCTTCTGCCTTCCAATAAAAACACGTTCATTTTACATCTTCCAATTCTTATACCTCATAACACTCCTTTCTATGGAACTCACACGGCCACCTCCCAATAGCTATACCCTCCCCGGACATCACTCTCCTCACCTTTTCCTCCTCTCCATCATATATAATCACACACTGCTCGTCCCCCTCATCCACGAAATGCCACTTTCCACATACGCCATCTCCAAATTGATGCGGAAATAGGTCGTCGTCCTCGGGCTCAGATGGGTCTGCGAGGAATGGGTGGTATAATGCACCGCGCGGCGTGATGCGACGCGTTGATTCGGGATGCATTACCTCTGCAAGAAGAGACAAAGCAGCTTCGACGTCGGCTCGGTGCGAGTTAGGTGTTGGGGGCGCTGGTGTACTGGCGCGCGTTGGGGTGGTGGAGCGTGATCGAGAAGAACTGGTATGCCTGTAGCTATACGATGAAGAGGACGACGGAGGTGGATAGCTGGACGCGCCAGCGGTGGTTTGTGTTTGTGTTTCGAAGTCATTGTAGGGATAATATCGTGGGTCTGGCGGAGAAGGTTTGAATATGTCAGGATTCTGCTTTTCAACGAACTCGCGCCAGCTCATGCCCTCTTGCGATATTGAAGGCACATTTGTCGCAAATGTTCGACCTGTACAGGACTCGTAAGCACAAAAAAATGACTTAAACGTGGTAGTTACTATGCAGGATCGCAGTTTTCTCCATTTTCTGTCGACCAATGATGGTTGCGATTTCCATGAGAGCCTCTACATCATCGCTAGATTGTAGAAGAGGGAACTTGCCCGCCAAGAAAAATAAAAGAATCATGCCAGCAGACCAAACATCAATGGCTGGGCACTGTGTATTCAGCCTGTGGATTGGACTAATAATGATATGTCGTACCGCCAGTCTGCTGATTGCATTTTAGAAGGACTTCAGGGGCCCGGAAGCCTCTCGTACCAGCTCTGTTTGCTTTCGAGGGCGGTCTGGTTCGGAGGGTCAATAGACGAACTACTTGCGGACGAAAGCTTACCTCGTATCCTTGTCGGGATAACCAACACGCTCGCTTGACCACGAGCTTTTCTGTCGGGCTTCCCTCTGCATCTTCTTCAAGAGGTCGACGTCATAGTCATTCCGCCCTCTTATTTTGCCGTGAGGATGCTCTCGTGTGGCAGATGTATGCAAGCATGCACCGTGCATCGGTGCCGATCCATCCATTCTCTGAAAACATTGTGTTATGAGAGCCATCTGAAGCCCATGTCTCATAGCTCACACTTGCGAGCCCGAAATCGCAGAGGGCGCCTATTCCGGTTCGCGGATCAAACAGAAAGTTGGCAGGTTTAACGTCCCGGTGTATGATACCCCTGGCGTGAATATCGCGCAATGCACGGAACATACATCGAAAGTATGCTTTGATACCAGACATAGACAGGTCTTTGTAAAATTCCTGAACCAACGTTAAAGTCTCTTCCATGTGTGAACCGGAGTACCCACTCGGAAATCTTCATTGCGGTTATATGGCATGATAGCGACCACTTGGTCCTGATGTCGGAATGCGGTGATAAGCTGGCAAGTATGACGACATCCCCTGCAGTCCTCCATGATCGAGATCTCATTTCGTATTCGCTCCGGATTACTCGTAACGTATATTCGCTTGATAGCGACAAAGACTTTGCTACCAATAGGATGAGGAGCTGATTGGTAGTGTGCGGAGGATATGGGAGGATGGCAACCATGCCACGCGGTATTGTCCCATTTATGATGGTAGGCCAAATCTATGGCTTTATACACGGAGGAGAATGTGCCTGTGCCAAGACGGTCGACGATGGTGTAGTCTTCTGATAATGAGGGGACAGCATTGATGAGATTTACAATTTCTAGTTGTATCTCTTGTTGTTCTTCTGGTGATTTGAGGTACAAAGTCTTCTCTTCGTCTGTTTCGCCATCCGCGTCGGCATCTTCATCAGGGTCGTCGTCGTCGTCTTCGAGGGTGCCCATATCATGCGGAACTTCAAAGTTGATATCGTCAGCTACCTCCATGCTCTCGTCAAGATCCACGACCGGGAGCTCATCTGGGTGACGCTTTCGTTTGATAGTTGAGGGTACGACGCCTTGTTTTGAATAAAGACGCGCGAGATGGTTGTGGTACTCGACCATTTCTGGTCGGTCAAGGCCATTGTGACCGTCCTCGGAGGTGAGGTTGAGGTGACCGTTTGTGTCCTGTGCTGAGATATATTCCTGGTGGTAAGCTTTGTTACGAGCGTCAGATGAACCGACTTCAAGAGGATTAGATGAGTGCTGAGAGAGTAATAAGGTGGACATGGGAGTCTGAACAACACCTCGAGTAGAAAGCAAGCCTTTGGTCCGATGATGGTCGCGACAAGCGCGCCTGGATCACGTGAAGCAAAAGAATAAAGAAAATAATAAAAAATGACCACCGCAGGACTCGAACCTGCAACCTTTTGGTGCCGCTGGCAATCGAAGCCAAACGCGCTACCATTGCGCCAGGTAGCCATGTGTATTGAATGGTTTTACTTATTAGATAGTTGCGTGGTGCAGCATGTACTGTTCATCGAACATAAAGGTTTGTGTTGCCCGAGCTGCCATTGCCAGCCCCGCTCATGTCTTGGACAGTAGTTTGAAAGTTAAATACTTAACCCCCCCATGAACCTTCAAGACGAACTTCGTTCTTGGTCTCTATCTTTACTCAAAGACCCGCTGTTTCTTCAAATAACCCCCCTTGCCGTTTTCGTTTTATTCCCGCTTCTTGTCCTGCTCTCCGTCCAGGCAATCTTCAGCCTTGGATCCTCTGAATCAGCCACCTGGCGTTCAGCTATGGTGTTTGGAGGTTTCTCTTTTAGCTTTCCATGGAACTGGTCATCAAATCACTCTTCTTCCGGACCTTCTCATGAAACTAAAAAACTCAAGAAGAAACTTGCACGCACTCGTACAGAACAGATCGAACTTAACGGGCATGCAAGACCACGTACGTACTTAGTCTCATGTGATACACTGATTGACATCAATTATAGACCACAAAAATGAAGTTCACGATGGCTATTACCCCGGTCTCGTCAATATGTCCGGAACGTACTGCTTCATGAATTCAACTATGCAGGTAAAGTACTCGATCCTGATCGCATTTCATTTATTGACGCTAGTACTATCAGGCAATGGCCTCCTTGTCCTACTTGCAACCTTATCTTGCAGACACGCAAGCCAAGGCCATTCAACTTGACATGCCATCACCGGTTGTTGACGCCCTTCTGAATTTACTCCAAGGTGCGCGTCATTACATAGCACCCAACCGCGTATTTGAATACCATATCCATAGACCTCAACTTACCTCGCACCGCTTATCACTCCATTCGTCCACTTGACATCATCACCGCCCTTGTCAATCACTCTCCGAGCAAACACAACTCCCTCTTTTCCTCTCGAGAACACCAAGACGCACAAGAATTGTTCCAACTCGTATCCGAATGTATAAAGAAGGAAGTTGCTGCTGTCGATAATGAAGGTCATCGGGACCTTGGTCTAGGTGGACTGTCTCAAGTTCGCAATGACGCTAACAAGGAGATCGGGAAGAGCGTGTTCGACGGACTCACTGCGAACAGACGCAGCTGTGTTGAGTGCGGCTATACAGAGGCAGTCATGCACTTTGCTTTTGATAGCTGGCAACTTGCTGTACCCCGATATGTTGTATGTATTCCTTCATTTGGTCATCGGCGCACATTAACCCCCACACAGGCAAGCTGCCGCTTAGAGGATTGTCTTGCAGAGTACACTAAGCTTGAGATGCTCAACGACTGCGTATGCCGTAAATGTTCGATGAAAGCCACGTACCAGAAGCTCAGGCAAGAGGCAGACAGGTTGACAGCAGCAGTGAACGCAGATCCCAACGCCTCCGTATCGAAGAAGAAGAGGGTGAAAGATGCTAGAAAACTAGAGCACAGAGTGCAGGCTGCCCTAGAACATGGTCGCCTAGAAGAGGACGTCAAGGGCGTCAAGCTGGAGAGAGTATTCAGCAGAGCATCAACAAAGCAAGCTATGATCGCAAGAGTAAGTCTGAGCTTTTTATGTGCATCCCGAGTTTCTAAGACCTTCCGTAGCCGCCTCAAGTTCTCGCATTGCATCTCAATCGATCCCTCAGCTACGGCCACTACGCTGCTAAGAACACAGTCCGCATTCTGTTTCCCGAGTTTCTTGATCTCACACCATTTACCACTTCTGGTAACCTCTCCACCAAACCTTCTGTCCCCATTTCATCACAACCACCCCTACTCCCTCGTTCCACAACTCCTACACCTGCCACATATGCCGTGCAAAGAATCATTTACCGTCTTTCTGCTGTGGTATGTCACTACGGCCAGCATTCCTTCGGTCACTACATCTGCTATCGGCGCAAGCCCCGGCCTGTATCCTACGGATCGCGGCGCTTCGCACCACCAAGACTCGTCGACCCACCTGGCTGCGACTGCGAAAAGTGCCAGCGATACGGGCCCGTGCGCGACGATGACGAAGCCGTCGACTCCATGTACCTCCCTGGCCGGGGTTGGCTACGGATCAGCGACGACTCAGTGAAGGAATGCGGAATAGAGACGGTTGTACAGGAGGGTTCAGGGGCATTTATGCTCTACTACGAGCGCGTGGTACAGTCGCGCCCTGGCATTTACCCTCATCACAACTCACCTCGAAGCTCAGAGGAGACCCTCAAGCCGCGCGTGAACGGATCGACTACATCGCTCGCGAGTTTGCTGCCGGATGGAGATCATGCTGTGGAGAGTAGAGGAAGAGGTGTGATGGGTCCGAGAGTTGTGAGGAGCGTAGTGGCTGGGAGGAGAAGTGTTTCGGCTGCGCGGCCCGAGCGAGATTCTCTGTCTGCCTCAACTCCAGCTCTAATAAACGGAAGCGCTGTCCCTTTGAAAGCAAATCTGTCGCGGATTTCCTCATCAAGCACGTCTACCAAGTCGTCGACATCTTCTGCTCTCTGGGCATCAGCACCTGACATCTCACACCAGCGTACGTCATCTTCGTCTTCGTCCCTTACCGCTCGACCGCCAGGATCACACCATCCCAAATCCCCTCAGCTTACGCACCCCCCACCTGTTGTTGACCAGAAAGTATAAGAGCTTTCCGCACATATTATCATATATCTTGTTTATTATGCCCGTGTATCTTTAGCATAGCCTAGCCTGCTGCATGTTGAGATCCCCACTAACTTACCTATTAGCCATGTGCGTCGGTACTCCTCGCTCACACTTATGTTGCTACCTCTCCCGGTTTAGCAATGCATATTCGTCCATAACAATGCAGTGCACAATGGGTTTTCTGGAGACCGGTCACCACGGCTGCTGCCACGTCACATAGAAGTTCAGAACACCCAAACACACCCCTGCCATACACGCATGAGAATCAAAATGTGAGAAGACCGAGCAGTCATGCCATTTCGTGTCATCCAAAAGTACGGGTGACCTAATGTCACGGTATCTAGTCATCATCGTAGATCCATCAATAAAAGAAAGAACCTCAGCCATGCCCAGCATTGCGTCCACCAGTGGTCACCACGAGCTATATACCGTAGTTTGCGTCGCCCCACGTCGGAAGCAAGAAGCACCGCGCCAACGTCGCCGGGGAGGGTAGATACTTAGATAATACAAAAATCGACAGTCCAAATCAAGGAGAGAAATGGGACTCTGGAACCGGGTGAGATAAAGATGATCACCAGTAGATTCGGCGTTCATTGACGATGGTGCGCTGTTTTGCAACGACGGGTCGGGAGTAGGAGACTGTTCGCCTGACGCGAGTGACGGTGGGGTACCTGTGGGTTGGGTTAGATGTTGGGCTTGGGAGGAGGTGAGGTAGCTGTACCATGCTTGGTAGATTTCATTCGAGGCTTCGAGCTGGACTTCGAGAATTTGTCGGCCCTGTAAGGTTGGGTGAGCTATGATGTTTTTTATGCAAGAGTCGGGGCGCTTACAGCGAAGTCGACACGGGCGCCGACGACAAGACCCTCTTGACGACCATAACGGTCGTGGTTAACGGCGACGATGTCACCAGGCTACAAAAAATATCATCAATGCTTGTTCAGCGCTAGTAGAGCGAAAAATTCACCGTAATGTCGCCGCCAACAGGGACCGCACTGTATTCCTCGTAGATAGCCATGGTTGTCGGCGACGGTGGGCGGGATATGAGGGAGAAAAGGTGGGTATGGAAGAATACAAGGCTTGGAAGATGGGAGAATTAAACAGACAAAAGGGTGGGTTTTTATAGATTAGATGTCCGGTCAATGACATCCGGAAAAGGCGAGGCGAACACGAGGCAGGGAATTTGCCTCGTTTCCTGTTGTTCCTTGCTGCCGAGTATGTCCGGATTCACGTAAACTGCGAGAACATCTTATTCAAGTTGTTCTGCAGGCTGGATATGTATGCTCCGGTTGTCGTACTTTTTGTATGTATTCACCTTGTCCTCGCGACAGTACGAGATTCGGTCCCGGAAGAATAAGGGTCGCTGGCACGCATGCACATGGATGCCTCGCGACATCAAATGAAGACAATGGACAAGTGGGCACAAAGCGGCTATCGAAGGCGCCCAAAATAAGCGCTCCATTCGTGGATCTCCAGTAAAAACACAAGGATACAAATGCATGCATTCATTGTTAGCTACAATTAAGGTTGTAAAACAATATGGAGCGTGCCTTGAGCCCACGAGCTTTCAAATTTCTGCTATCATCTGGGCACGGGAAAATACATATGTATGTATGATCAACCGTACGCGTGCGAGCGTGTCGCTCAGAATACGTTCATGAATCTGTCTCGCAGTTTCACAAACCACTGGCGGATGATGTCTCGAAACCTCAAAGGGTAGGCCATGGAAGCATCGACCTCCGCAGAAGATGCGACTTCAAATGGCGGAAAGGCTCCCGACCTGCCATGCATCTCTCTTCTTCTCTCTGATATCCCACGCAAAATGTCCTCCCCACAGTCCTGATACGCCTTGGCCAATTCGACCTCCCGAGAATGATACGGGCGGCGCACCGAATATGGCGCAAGGCCATTGTATTTACGCACCAGAGAATTCAATTCAGCGACGGCCGTATCATGGTAAGAGCGCTCTCGATCCTCCCACTCGCGATCGCGCAATGATGTCACTCTGCCGAGCGATAATGAAGGTAGCATAGCCGCTGGCTGTAAAATCGTCAAAGTCCGAATAGCACGCCTTGTCCACGACTGCTTGAGGACGTCGCGGAATGTGTTTATTGCAGTCTCGAGCTCTGTAATATTGGAGTATGATGGTAAGCTTGAAAATCTCACCGATATGGTAAAGTCACCCACCAATCTGGACTTCGACCCATGGTGGAGCTACCCCGTTCCTTTGAACGATCCGGTTCATGAGAAACTCCTCTCTCGCAATGAAAGGGTTGCGTTCCTCGCTTGATATAACCATGGGCTGACCTTCGCCCTTTGAGTTTGTCGAAATGCCCAGCAGCTCGAGCTCTCTGTCTTGAGATATAAGTACAGGATAATTCCGAGCGAGTGACAGAGTCAACCTCTATCTTGTCCTCTATCAGGGCTTGCCACCCCCTCATACTGACAGGGTTCGGACGAGCAGCACGTTGCCCCTCGCTGTGCTTGAGGCCCAAGCGATAATCCAACGTTGACTCTCTAGCTCTAGTCAATCGCCCCGCTTGCTCTTTTCGTCTTGCAAGCTCCCTCTCCGTCTTTCTAGTGCGTTTGTCCGCAACATCATGGACGCCCGTTGTGCGTGCGGACGCAGGTGTGAAGTTGCCCAACTTAATGGACGCAGAGGCGCGAGACGGGGCCTTGTAAGTGGTCAGCCACGGCTTGTGACCCTCTACAGAAGGAAGCAATGGTTTATGTGCAATGTCCTGCCACGTCTGGGCAGGCTGTTCGACAACATAAGCTTCTGTGTGTACCTTGGGCGGTGTCTCCTTCAGCTTCATGTCAGCTGTCCTGATAGGTCCCGTGCGCATAGGCTTGTATTTGTCGACGAGCATGCGCAACACAGCATCTTGTATAGATTCTTCACCTGTCCAGTTTTCATCCTGGCTCTGCAGTTGCGGAAATTTGGATATGCTGGGTTTAGGATTTGCAGATTCGTCTGCTTCTTCCTGTTGTGCATCTGCGAACAACTTTTCGCTTGCGCGTTGATGATTTTCCACGTATGTGACAGGGAAACTATGAAAACATCTTCGCGGTCGCGGTGATGCCTGAAAGAGGCCCGATAAGCGGCTTGTCATGAACTAGGAGGATTGTTTGGCTCAGTTTACACATGTGACTGTCGAAAAAGTTTATGCAAGTTGTGCCATGCGCAGGAAAGAGCTTCATGGATGAACTGACGATTGGCTTCAGCAGGGAATGTGACAGTGCTTGAACGAGTGCGGCATTCTTAAATATCAACGTCAGGCTAACGGTACATGGGGAGAGATAGCGTCTCAGGCAGATCCAAATAACTGGCAAACATGCCGATCTCTCTGGCGTCATGACTTCCAGCTCAGCACGGCCGCATGCTGCAGTGGTGAATAGAGCGATTCCGAAACCAGTCATGACATTAGAGGGTCATGAACGTTCTAAACCATTCACTCAGGACGATAGCGAGGAAGACAATATCGAGGAAGACGTAGCATTCCATGTTTCATCCATCGGTTACTTTCCGGATGGCGAACACATGATCAGCGGATCTTGGGATAAGACCGTTCGGCGATGAGACCTAGAGGCGGGGAAGGAGATTGAAGAGGCGCGTGATGCTTGTGAGCAGCAAGTATTTGCGGTGGCGGTATCAAGAAATGGCCGATGGTTTGTCATTACCAGTGGAGATGAGCTCAAGGCCTGTGGTGTTGGGACAGGGGTTGTGGCGACGTTTCATCCGATCGCCTACATCGATATCTCGGCGGACAGCACGCTACTGGCGGGTGTGTCAAGGGAGACTACTATTCGAATATGGAGCTTGGTCACTGGCAAACTCGTGGCTGGTCCATTCGAAATTATTAATGCTGGTTTGGTAGGCGCAGTTCGATTGTCCCAAGACTCAAAGAAGCTCGCCGTTATGTCACCTGTGGGGAGGAGCATTGAGGCATGGGATGTCCAGACACAGAAATTTAAATTCGAGGACCATGAGACTGCCAGGATAATAACATATGCGCCAGTGTTCTGGACAACGAAAGACGAAACCATCGTAGCCGCATTTAACTTCAAGGACGAGACTGCCCATGACGAGCGATCTATGAATTCAACGTTTCGACGCTGGAGACTGTCGATGTTCCCTTCGACGGGCACACTAACACCATCTATGGTTTAGCACTGTCATTTGATTGTGCTCTCCTCGCTAGTGCTTCTTTGGACTCCACCATCAAGCTCTGGGCCTTCAAGTCCCGCCAGCTCCTCGCCTCATCTGACCTTCATGATCCCTGGTGCGTTGTCCTCTCACCCGACTAAATCTCCCGTGTATCCCAGGACTTTGGGCCGGCGGATGACACGTCGGTGACGTGGCCGGGCGATGGTTCAGACGTTCGAACGGTATGAGGTTCGGGTCGTCTGAGCAGATGAAACCTGTCTGTGGAAAAGTACTACTTGCGATTACTTCCGGTCACGCTGTCTCGCAGGTCAAAGTGGCTTTGCAGGGCTATACTTCGCATATGAAGCACATCATTATCTCATTCAAGTAAACGAGGTCAAGCTTGCTTGCGGTCACGGTGAGTTTTCCGACTGCAAGCTTCTCACCTACGCTAAAAGTTACGCTAACACCTCAGGCTTGCAGATGTACGACGAGGTAAATGCGGAGTTGTTAATACTCTGTGCTGATATATAGGGGGATATAGCAGCATGATGACGATACATCTACGAAGGAGGCGGATGCCCATAGGACTTGGGCGTTAGTGTAAGACACCCTCTTGGCGTGAGCGCGAGCGCCCACGCATGACACCATCAGGGGGCTGTCATGTCATTCATGTGTACTAAGCTGCATGCGGCGCCCGAGTTGGTGCTCGGTGGTCTACAGCAAGTACTGCAGGCTGTGGGTTGTGACGCTCCAACACGGGAGTGGCATGGCGGTAAGCCGGAGAAGGCTGGTTTGAGAAGGAATGGGCAAAAAGGACATGCTGTGCCATGTACCTGAGAAAAGAACTTTTTGAGAGGTAGGAGATGCGCCCGTCTGCCTATCATCATCAGACGATTGCAGTCAGCGTCTTGGTAACTATCTGGACCTCCAGCACGGATGAACTGACGATTGGCTTCAACAGGGGACGTGCTACAGCGCTCGAACGAGTTGGGCATCTTCAAAATTACTATCAACATCAAGGCAACAACACAAGAGGTGAACTCAGCGTCGGTCGTTCAAACACATCCACGTATACTTGCCAATTTTTCTGGCGAATACCTTCATAGCTTCCAGCTCAAGGCAGCCCGCTGCAACAGCGAACAGATCGATTCTGACACCGGTCATAACCTTGGAGGGTCATAAACCAGTCACTCACACCCTTCCGAATAGCGAGCACAAGTGCCATGTTTCATCCATCGCCTACTTTCCAGACGGCAAGCAAATGATCAGCTTAGGCGATAAGACCGCTCGACAATGGGACCTACGGACAGGTAAGGAGTTTGAGGAAGCGCGGGATATATACGAGGGAGGAGTATATGAGGTGGCGGTATCAAGGGATGGTCGATGGATTGTCACTCATACAGATACTGCTGATGAAGATGACGAGCTCAAAGCCTGTGATATTGAGATGAGGATGGTCAAAACATTTCAAGGCTACTCAGGGGAGATCAGATGCATGGATATCTCCGCGGACAGCAAGCTACTGGCGATCGGGTCATCGGATGGCACTACGTGGATATGGAGCCTGAAAACTGGAAAACTCGTGACTGATCCATTCGAGAGTGTGCGCGGAAATAATAGGTCCGTGCGCGCAGTTCGATTCTCGCAAGACTCGATGAAGCTCGCAGTCATGTCGAAAGTGGGGAGGTGCCTCGAGGTATGGGACGTCCAAACTCAGAAACTACTAGTAAATGTTTCGGTTGCAAATCCTGACTCCACCGCCGGGTCTGATGCGCCGGTATTCTGGACAACACAAGATAAATCCATCGTAGCCGCCTTCAGCTTCAAGGAGGATGAGATCGAGGAGGACAAGGATGACTATGACGACGACGACGACGACGGGCCAATTACGATCTTTGACTATGACTATGACAACAACGACGGGCCAATTATGATCTATGAGTTCGATGCGTCGACGTTGGACACTGTCGGAGCCCCATTTGAAGGGCACACCAAGCGTATCACCCGTCTAGCACTTTCATTTGATTGTGCTCTCCTCGCTAGCGTTTCCTCCGATGACACTGTCAAGCTATGGACCTTCGTGTCTCGCCAGCTCCTCGCCTCGTTCGATGTTTACAATCCCTGGTGTATTATCTTCTCACCCAACTCACACCAACTGGCTTATACCACGTGGTATGAGACCAAGATCTACATATGTGACCTTCTACGGGACATCCTGGCTCGTATCTGGCCTGCACAAGAAACACAGCCTAATGTATGCATTCTCCCGTATTTATCTATCGGGTCGCGCGCTGAGAACATTCTTTTGCAGGCCAGTGCAGATCTAGTGCATGTTCTTGTTATTTTACTCATTTACACCACTCCATTGTTGCCATTGTTGCAGTCCGATGCAACACGTCGTGCCGTGCGTCGTCACCCAGCAACATTTTTCGCCCCTCGGCCGTTAATACATCCCCCTACAATACATCCACAGTAACATGCTTTCCTTCGCTACCTCCGCAAACTCCTTCCTTCTCGTACGCACGCAGCTGCTCCTGGTCGGAATGATCTGCCTCTGGATGTAAGTCTCATTTTCGTGTTTCCTTCGCAGTCGACTCGACGGTCCCCTTGCAGTTCCCTGCTACATTGCCCCTACCCCCCAACTACGTTCGCTCGGTGCAAGCCCCCACGCAAGGCGTGAGTGTCGACCACCGTAATCATTTTTGACTTACATTTTCTCAGCCTCGATCCACACCAGCGCCGCCCACCACCTCATCCACTGCCACCGCCTCCGAGGCTCGCCTACACCGCCTGTTTGCATTGTGGCCTTTTGGTGCAGGTCATGCATTGCCTCCTATTGTCGATGTCCCTCTTGCGCCGGGCCAACTGGTGTGTTCGGTTCATTTTTCATACTGTATTCCATCTCTCATGTATCCGTTTGTAGCGCATCGCTATAGCGGGTGCTCCCTCCCAATATGATGATGACTTGATACGTGATGAAGACTATGTTCCTCCTCCTTCACCGAACCTCAATTCAGCAGGAGCGCAGATTACCAGTGGAACGCATGGAAAGGGCCGGTTATGCGGCTGCTTCTAAACGGTTTTGACGTTTTCCAGTATTTGAGTTCTGAACGCTGTAGCTCGTCGCATGCGTTGCCCTACTTATTGACATTGAAATGTCACCGGTTTTATCGATATGCAGTTACCGCCCCTGGAATACGTATACTTCTCGTCTTTGTATTGATGACATGCAAGCTAATTACATTACAAACATAGTCTTGCGAGCAGACCTACTTATGACTCAGCTCTGTCGTGTCCCACAAGTCAATTTCCTTCTGCAACTTCTACGATTTCCCACTGAAGAAATCAACTCCACTTCATCCTGTCCATCATCCTCGGCGGCTGTATAATAATTTTCCGCATTGCATTGTCGACTTCAGCGCCCCAACATAGGGATGACATGCTATGATATGGCAGTGAACCAGACCAAGAGAGGTTAGTTTGAAAAGGGCGGATTTCAAAAAGCACATGCTGTGCCATGTTCAGGAAAGAGCTTATTAAGAGATGGGAAATGCGCACATATAACCATCATCATAATAGTCGTTCTGTCTTAGTGAATGCAGACCCATAAGACTGGGCCTTGTAAGTGGTAAGCCATGATTTATTCGCAATTTCCTACCATGTCTAGGCAGGCTGTTCTACAACTAGGCCTCGGCACCTTCGGTGGCGCTTCATTTGGCTCAGTTTACACATGTAGCTGCTGTTGAAATGAATTTGACATGACATGGCAGTGAACGACGGGCAAAGAAATCAGGCTGGTTCGAGAAGGAAGGAGCAAAAAGAGGACATGCTGTGCCATGGACAGGAAAGAGCTTGTTAAGAGACATGAGATGCGCCTTTATGCTTATCATTATCGCGATTGCAGCCCTCTCTTGGTGATATTTAAATCCCATCTCAACTTCCAGCTCGGACAAACTGACAATTAGCCCTAGCAGGGAAAGTGACGCAGCACTCGAACGAGGTCGACATTGTTAAAATCACCATCAACGTCAGGACAACGGCATACAAGGAGGAGAACTTAGAATCAGTCGTTCGAACACATCCAGATAACTGGCAAACTTGTCAACCTCTCCGGTGAATACAACCGTCATGGCTTCCAGGTCAACACAGCCCGATGAAGAAGCGGACGAGTCGATTCCGATACCGGCTATGACTTTGCAGGGTCATAAACTAGTCACTCGCACCTTTCTGGATGGCAAGCAGGCTGACCTCTGTGATGTTTATATGGCCTACTTTCCAGACGGCGAGAAAATGATCAGCGGATCTGACGATAAGACCGCTCGGCGATGGGACTTGCAGGCTGGGAAGGAGATTGAGGAGGCGCGGAAAGTTCATGAGCAGGAAGTACGTGCAGTGGCGGTATCAAGGGATGGTCAATGGGTTGTCACTGCTGGTGGAGATTGGATCTTGATGTGGGCTCGGAGCTCAAAGCCTGTCAGGTTGAGACGAATATTGTGAAGATATTTGAAGGCCACTCGGAGCGGATCAGCTGCATCGATATCTCCGCGGACAGCACGCTACTGGCGAGCGGGTCATGGGATCGTACAGTGCGGATATGGAACTTGGACACTGGCAAACTCGTCGCTGGTCCATTGAAGAGTGTTAATTTGACGGGCGCAGTTCGATTCTCACAAGACTCAAAGAAGCTCGCAATCCGGGGCACGTGGGGAGATTATTACCTTGAGGTGTGGGATGTCCAAACACAAAAATTGGATGTCAGAATTGGGAAAAGAGTGAACGGTGTCTTTTTCCATGTGCCGGTGTTCTGGACTACAAAAGACAAGACCATCGTAGCCGCATTCAGCTTTAACGAGGTTGTTCATTCTGCGGATGAGGAGCCAAAGACGATTTATGAGTTCGACGCGTCTACGCTGGAGACTGTCGGAGCTCCCTTCGAAGGGCACGCCTATACCATCTCTGGCCTAGCACTTTCATTTGATTGTGCTCTCCTCGCTAGCGCTTCATTCGACAACACCATCAAGCTCTGGGCCTTCGAATCCCGCCAGCTCCTCGCCTCATTTGACCTTCTGATTCCCAGCTTCCTTGTCTTCTCACCCTGACTCACGCCAACTGGCTGTCACGACACGTAAGGATCCCAACATCCTACATACACGACATTCCACCCGATATCATTACTCGCATCTGGCCTGCACGGGAAGTGTGTGTGCATTTACTACCAGCATAGGTCTATCCGTTCGTGCGTTAACGTTCTCTTGCAGACCAGTGCACCTCACAATTCACGCATCGCTGATCTACTCAACGTACGTAATCCCTTTCTTCTACATCACTTCGTTAATGTCATTATTGCAGTCCGACGCAACACGTCGTCATGTGCGCCGTAATCTAGCGTCATCGCATGTCATATCTCCTGTCCCCTGCCCGCGCAGACCTCTGCCTACAAGACACTCACACCAACCCGCCTTCTTTCGCTACTTTCTCAATCTCCTTCCTTCTTCCCGCACGAATGCACCTCCTCCTGTTCGGAATGATCAGCCTCGTGGTTATCTGAATGTATGTTCATTTTACCTATTTCCTTTGCGGTTGACTGGACAGTCCCCTTGCAGTTCCCTGCTACATCGCCTCTACCTCCAAATCACTTTCCCTTGGTGCAGGCCACGAGTAAGGCGCCCTTTGATCTGGATCCCCACGAGAACGTGAGTGTCGACAGCTGTAATCGCATTTTTGACTCACAGTTTGTTCAGTCTCGATCCGCACCAGCACCAGCCACTACCCAGTCCTCTGCTGCTCCCACTACCTTCAGAGCCCGCATACACCGCCTATCGACCTGGTGGCCCATTCGTCCAGGTCATCCACCTCCGCCTGTTGTCGACGTTCCTCTCGCGTGGGGTGAATTGGTGCGCTCATTTTATTTTCTCCCGTGTCAATGAGATCTGATGCATCAATTCGCAGCGTCATGCTGCCGCGGGTGCTCCCCCAACAGACGATGACGACCTTGATTCGTGATGAGGACTATGTTCCTCCTCCTTCACCGAACCCCAATTCACAACCACTACCCGCAGGGCAGCATGGAAGTGGCCGGTTCTGTGGCTGCTTCTAAACGGTTTTGGCAAATTTTACGTGTCGGTCGTCACATGCGCTGTCCTATCGATATTGACTTTCGGTAAACTCCATTGATACGTAGTCACTGCAGTGAATTACATCTTGTCTTTGTATCGACATCATGTAACTTATAAGCTAAGTACAAATATAGTCTTTCGAGCAGAACTACTTACGGCTCAGCTCTCTCGTGTGCCAGAAGTAATTTCCTTCTGCAAATTCGACGACAGTTATTATGAAGACAAATGATAGCAATGTCTCATCCTATCCATCTTCCTCGATGTCTGCATGACACCAAAACTCTTTCATCATACTGCATCGTCGACTTCTGAGGCGCTGACACCTTGTCGTCGGATTGGCGCCCACATGAGTACCTCACTATAGATTGTTGAAATCTCTGTGTATCTCAGGACTTTGGGGCGTCGGATGACACACCGGTGACATGGCTGGGTGATGGTTCAGACGTTCAGCCCCCTATACTTACTGGTTATCCGGGGCTCGCGGTCATGTTTGTTTCTATTCTTCTCGACTATTTTGACACACTATATGTTGCATAAGCTACTACACTCTATATGTGACCTTTTCCTCATCTACACCACTCCATTAATGCCATCCATTGCAGTCCGATGCGACATCTCGTGCCGTATCTTTGACCACTCGACCTCCAAGATCTTCTACTACAATACACCCACAGCAACGTGGTTTACCTCAGGCTCCGCAAACTCCTTCCTTTTCGCACGAACGCAGTTCCCCCTGTTCGAAACAATCAGCCTCATGGTCCTCTAGATGTATGTCTCTCTTACCGGTTTCCTTCACCCTTGACTCGACGATCCCTTTTCAGTTCCCGGCTACTTCTCCCCCATCCCCACGAGAATGTGAGTATCGACTGCAGTAATCACATCTTTGACTTACATGTTTTTTTCAGTCTCGATCCACACCACCCCCGCCCGCCATCCGTTCCTCTGCTACTGTTTCCACTACCTTTAAATATCGCCTATACCACAACCTGGTGGCCCGTTCGTCCAGGTCAGATTTTTCTCTCGCGCAGGGTCAACAGGTCTGTTCAATTCACTTTCTGTATTCCATATCTCATTCATCAATTTCAGCGCAACGTTACAGCGGATGCTCCCACTGACGACGATGACTTGATTCATGATGAAGATTATGTCCTTTCTACTCTTCCTTTACCAAACCCTGATCCCTTTGATTGTTCTTTTCTCATTGCATGCATGATAATGTCGATGTCGCTTAATGTGTGATCACAGCACTCCCTTGGATTGCTTTTCTTTTACCAATCACATGTAAACTAACTACAAACCTCACATCTTCTGAATCCACAGTCTTTGATATAAGATACCCCTTCTTGCTGTATTTCTGATTTGTTTTGCGTGAGCGCGGATGGTAATGACTTCGCTTACCAAGTGCACAATGGTCCGTGCACGCTCAGCCCAATATAAAAGTCGACTGGTTACGATTAGAATTCTTCATACTTACCTTGATGGCACAGGCCTCTTCACGTCTCAGGTTCGTGGGCCGTGGAGACCTTTCATAGCACGGCGACCTTGTCCATACAGAGGGTGTCTGCGTTTTGTGTGGGCTTCGGCTCATGCACCGTCTCAATATTTTCCTGTCCCACCACGGCCACTCTGGCTGGGTGGGCCTTCTTTTTGCTGCTTTGGCTTCCTAACCCTAACCCTGGTGCATTATCAGGAGGAAATCTCAAACGCCATATGCAACATAGAATGAGACTTGAATCACGCCCACGCACGACACCATCAAAGGTGATGTCATGTAAGAGAAGATGGTCCATGCGGCGCCCGTCGGCCGGGTTTGTGCTCGATAAGTACTGCAGTCTTCCTCCCCGATACAATTTTTCAGACTCCTGGATCCTTATTCTCATTTCATACAAGTAACAACATCAGTTATTTATTAATACAACGTTGATTCCGAGACCTTCAAGGTCGCTATTCCGATACCGGATGTCTTAAATCAAGTTCGACGGGTATTGGAAGTCCTCCAGGCCTACGAAGTTCTCTTTCATGCTTCTTGCCGAAACGAACCGGTAGAAGATGCTGATACTCCCAGCTTTGTCATTGGTACCACTTGCTCGTGCTCCCCCAAAGGGTTGTTGCCCCACGACCGCGCCAGTACATTTCTCGTTGTAATAGACGTTGCCAGCAGCATTGCGTAGCTTGTTTGTGGCAACTATAAGGGCTTTGCGGTCCCCGGCAAAGCTGGAAAGGAAGCTAGGTGTCAGTCAACAATGTCGCAGAAACCTTGCGACTTACATAGCGCCAGTCAGTGCATAAGGTGATGTGTTATCGATGAGTTCCAGAGTCTTCTCATAATCCGCATCGTCGTACACATAGACCTGAAAAGATGTTAGTACAACTGGCAGCATTTCTAAGTACAATCATTACAGTGATGACAGGACCGAATATTTCTTCACACATCGTGACTGATTGGGGATCCTTTGTCAGAATAATGGTAGGCTGGACGAAGTAGCCCTTCGAGTCATCACCTGCAGGATATTCAGAAAAGTCGCAGGTGGGTCAAATATCCGCCTTACCGACACCTCCAATAAGGACCTCCCCTCCTGCATCCTTGGCTTTCTGGATGCAGCCCATGATTTTGTCATAAGCAGGACGACCTCTGCGATAGTTTTCATTAGTATACCCGTGCGCAACCTAATGCACAAAAAGGGAATATACATCACAGGTCCCATAAAGTTGCTGAAGTCTGATGGTGGCCCGACTCTGATCTTGGCAACCTCAGACAAGAGCATATCTTTGAATCCAGATGACCAAAGTGAAGAGGAAACATATAGCCGTGACAAAGCAGAACATTTTTGTCCTGCACAGACGCTTGTCAGTCCTGCGTGCTACCATACATATAATATGCGCACCTTGATACTCAAAACCGCCCCGGATGGTCTGCAAAACTGCATTTCGGACTTCTGCAGACTTGTGGATGACATGGAAGTTCTTCCCTCCTGTTTCACCGACAATTCTGGGATACCCTTTGTACTTGTCTAGGTTTGCGGCGATGTCCCTCCATAGCTTCTTGAATACAAAGGTGCTTCCCGTGAAATGGAGTGCTGCAAAGCTAGGGTGGGATATCGCCTGTGCGACGACTTCTGGAGGCGGCCCAGGGACGAACTGGATGACGCCGGGTGGGACACCAGCCTCTGCAAGAATCTGGTAGACCAAGTAGTTTGAGTATGTGGCCGCTGGTGAAGGCTTCCAGACGACTGTGTTGCCGACGAGCGCGGGAGCTAAGAGATGACTCGCTCAGAACCAACAAGTAATAATAGAATAGTCGCTCGTACCACCTGGAAGGTTGCCACCAATGGCTGTGAAGTTGAATGGTGAAACTGCAAGAACGAATCCTTCAAGTGCACGATATTCGACGCGACTATGCAAGAATCAGAAGTATCTTCATGAGATGGTTACTGGACGTACTTCCATGACCCTGCCGTGTTCTTGGGAGGCTGTTGTGCGTAGAGCTCCTCGACATATTTGACGCCGAAACGGAAGAAGTCCGAGAGCTAAGGAAGTTCCATCAATCGACTGCCAACAAGATTGTTCTATCTCACACACCTCTGCGGCGGCGTCAATCTCAGCCTGCCATGCGTTCTTCCCTTGACCAAGCATAGTGGCTGCCACCAACTTGTAACGGTACTTGCCACTGACGAGCTCTGCAGCACGCAGGAAGATGGCAGCGCGGTCGTTCCAAGGCATGGCCTCCCACTCAGCCTTGGCAGAGAGAGCACCATCAATCGCGCTAGCTACAGTGGTTTCATCTGCCTCATGGTATGTGCACAGATGCCGGGCATGATCCGAGGGTATAGGCTGCTTTGCAAGCTTGCCAGTTCTAATCTGAGAAACCCGGAGATCTAAGTCATCGACGGATTGGCAGGGGGCGTGCTGTACACACCGGTTTGCCATTCACGATACAGGGAACCTCAAACGGAAGCTCCTGTTGCATCTGAGCAAGGGCAGCCTCGAGACCCTTGCGCTCTGCCGATCCTGTAGCATAACTTCGCTGCCGACATCGTTCAGCCTCAGAGGCAATGAATCGTTGAAATATAGACTCACCATAGGTTCATTTTCGACTACAGGTACCTTGAATGCGGCCAGCTGTGGTGAAGACATCTTCAAGTTGCAGACAGTGAGTGTCGGTAAGATAAAGTAGATCCGAGCTTGGGGAAGACCTTTAAATTTAACTTGGGCATAAGCAGATTACGGCATTTCCCCACAATATCACGGCCGCCGGTACACGGGCAGAGTTGAGCAGTGCCCTCCCTTGGAACCAGAAGCACCTCAAACTTTCGCTTAAGCAGTGCTTAAGTTTGACACCTTACGAATCTGATTGGTGGAAATCTTTGGCGATCACATACTGGAGGCGTTTGATCCATTTAATATGCCATCAGCCGAGATCTGCATCCTGATCTCGACAAACGGTTTGACCAACTAGCTACTAAGCGATATGCTGTGATATAAGGTGACATAATACCAGTATTAATACAAGTTCAACTAGGTACAGTACATATGGATCCTGGCAGGGTCAGATCTAAATGTGTACGATATGGGACTGGAGAATAAGAAGAATTCGAAGATACAAGCCGGAAAGAGTGATGACGATGTTTATGCTGCGATTGTAGAATAAGGATATTAACGTAGAACGGCGCATGTCAAGAACGTTCCAAAGAAGTCCTAGATGGTATGATAAAAATGTCATGATAGTCGTGACGAGGAATGATCATATGGTAGAAGGAAGGTCGTCGATCTGTTGCTTCAGATCTGCCAAGAATTGATGGGAGTTGAGAATGCTACCTGCACATCGCGCGCATCCCGATGCCTCCGCGGCCTGATTAAGAAATGGCATGCTGAAGATGACGTCTGTGGTTGGCCGCACCACCAGATCTGCTTTTGCCATTCTTTCAAACTCCTTCCACCACTTTGGCGGTACAAACGCCCCATAATACGGCCCTGAGCACTGCAAGCACTTCACGTCTTCTGGGATTTTGAGGAGCGCTCGGGCATCCTCCGAGCGCTTCTTGTGCAAGACGAGGAGGCGATGGTAAGAGTGAGCTGTGATGAAGCGGAGGTCATCCGACAATGGACAGTCCAGGATGGTGATGGAGAGTGTGTGCTGTGACGCGACCTGAGCTTCGTACTCTAGGTCGTACCGGCTCGCAATTGCAAACACTCGCACCGGATCGTCTCTCAAGAATGAAGGGGAGATGAGCTGCTTGCGAAGAGAGGAGATGACGCCAAGAAAGTCGTATTTGATCGCGACTCCAAGAATAGTGCTGAGCTCATCAAGGGATGAAATGGTGGGATGAGGTACGGGGTACACAAAACGCAGAAGTACGTGAATGGTCGAGCTAGGCTCCAACACGGGGACCACAGGACGACGCTCCTCGTTTACAGGGTTGTCAGGCGGCTGTGGCAATTCAAACATGTGTTCAAAGAATGGAGAAGCGGCCGCTAGTATGAAACGGTGAACGGGGAACTTGACATCGTCACTCGAGAGCAGGAGCATATCAGAGCCTGGAGTGTAGAAGTCATTGTGTGAGTGAGCCATCAGGGAGAGGCCAAAAGAAAGACAGAGTTCCAGTGCTCATTGGGTAAATGTAGGCTTTTAAGTCAGCCACGCGACACAGCCATGGTGGCACTAGCTGAGTGTCTCGAAACTGGTTTCAAACTGGCGGGCTGCCTTAACAATAGGGGCAAATCATTTTTGGCATACAAAGGCACAATGACCAGACACATACAAGCACCGTAATCCGTGTCAGATCTGCTATTAGCGGCGGGTCCGACGGTCCCCTGAATGTCTATCTCTGCTGCGACGCCGGTCTCTAGATCTGTTGCGTGGGACAGGAGAGACAGACCGTCGGCGCCTATCCCGAGTGTCTTCCATATCTCGATCTTGTCTGCTCCGATGACGAGATGTTCCTCGGTCATCTGGGACTTCGAACACCATTCCATAACCATCCCTGCCATCACTTCTCCCAGCCGCCCGGTATCGTCGTGTTTCTTCCAAGTCTTCACGACCACCAAACCCGCCTCTTTCTTTGCGCAGTCCCATTTTGGGGTTATTGGACCAGGAAGTATTGAGCCGTGCCACAGACTGCGAACTACGTAGAATGACGTGAGACAGCGTAAAATGAAGTGGTTTCGCACGCACAAATCTACCCAAATGCGTCGGTCATCGACCAAAACATTTTGCATTTTAAAATAAGCCTGGCAGATTCTTGAATAATGTCTCACTGCGGAGAAGCTATGCACCACTAACCTGTTCTGCCTCGTCCCGTTTGTCAAACTCTATGAAAGCGTACTGCAATGAGTCACCCGTTTTCTTGTCTCTGATGACTTGGCAGCTCATAATAGTGCCGAATCTCGAGAAAATGAGTTCCAAGTCTTCGTCTCGTGTGACAGGGTTGAGTTTGCACACGAAAAGGACGTTTTCTGGGGGGCGTACGTTGGCAAAAGGCAGATCACCAACCATTTCAAGCGTCAGGGCAGAGGCTGCTGCGGCCTTTTCGCGACGTATGCGCTCCTCTTCCTCCTCCGGAAGAGTGGCAAGAGGATCTTCATCTTCAGCAATCCTAGTAGAGTTATCCGGAGGGCGGGTGGGTGATGACGGAGGTTGCGTTAGTCCGGGTGGATCAGGAAATGGATCATCTATAAATGTCAATCGGTATATGAGGACGTCGCGGACCACCTAGATGCTAACATACCGAGAATAACGACGTGTCTGATTCGCACATCCTTGAATGGTCTCCCATCTTGATCCGTGAAAACGTCATTCAGTTTGTCCAAGGTTTCCAAGCCTTCTACGACGTGACCAAAAACAGCGTGTTTCCCATCAAGATAGTCTATATTGTCTGCAAGGGTAATGAAGAATTGACTGCCGCAGCCGCCTTTCTCGCCGTTCACAGAGGGTGCCACAGCCATCGACACTGTGCCTTTGTGGGTGTGCTTCAACTTCGGCACGATTTCTGGGGTGAAATATCGGGCATTGGCACCCTTGTCCTCCGAGGAGGCAACATAGGACCATATTGACTCTCCACCAGTTCCCGTGGCAGTGGGGTCACCGGCCTGGGCCAGAAAATCTTTGGATACTGCATATAATTGTTTAAGGCAAAGGTACCAATGGACGAGGGATTACGCACCGTTGAAGAATGCATTCAAATTATAGTAGTACACCTTACAAAGTTTCAAGAAGTTCTCGCATGTTTTCGGACACTGTTCTACCTCGAGGTCGATAACGAGGTCGCCTAGAGAAGTTTCGAACAGAATGGACATGGTGGAAGTCCAGTAGCCCTACTTGTTGGTGTAGTAATAATGCGCAATCTTGTCACTTCTTCAGCATATAGTACGCACACATTCCCTTGTTTCAACGGCCGCCTGGCGAAATGGCATCGCGTCTGACTACGATTACGTTATCAGGAGATTGCAGGTTCGACCCCTGCGGTGGTCATCTTTTTCACACATTGTGCTCACTTATGCCAGTGAGCCAGTTCTTCTGACATGATAGCTTTTTCTAGTGACTAACAGAACGTTTTCAACCAGCTATCGAACGGCGAATGTAGGGGCTTGTGAAACCCCCCCCCCCCGAATAGGCGGATCGTGGTGTTGTGAAATCACCTGTTAGATGTTTTGCACCTGTCACCGTGACCGGTGATTCTACCTCCTCCCAGTTTTGCAGTGAGTAATTAATCTTTCTACAATAGCCAGGTGTATTAATATGTACACCTAGAACAACAAGAGCTGGAATGTAGACTACTGCACCCAGAACATGAATACTATTTCATTTCTATCCGCCGCTTTGGAATATCCAACCGCAGATTTGTCTTGGTTCGGGCACCAACTTCAAACAATCAGTATAGTTTCCTCGCGTCTCGGAAGGACTGCGCATGTCAACTGTCCCACGCAGTGCTATTTCGTTTTCGAAACTTCGAAGTAACACGTCCGTATTCGTATCTCTCAGCTCTGGCGCTCAGGAGTCTGTGCTCGCTCGATGTGCACTGACTTATGGGATATTATGCCCCACCGACAACGGACGGCACTCATTAGCGGTGCTAAACCATAATAAAGAAGGAACAACTGTCTTCCTTCTATATGGTCTGCCTAGGGGACACTAGCGCCAAACCGTACCATCCTTGACGTCGATCATTTTGGGTCCTTATATCTTTTCAGATCCGCACTATTATATTTTGGAACCTGTCAGCCATTGAAACTCTGCAACCATCGATGCGCTTTCGTCTAAAACAGACTGGTCATGGTCACTTATCTAAGTAAGAACTGGCTCTGGTTAACTGCAATTGGATAGTCAACTTCGAACTTTCCCTCGCCAATTTTGCTCAAATACGCAACCTCCGGGACAATCCACGCTCTGTAAGAACAATCACCATAGACTTCACTGATCGCTATGAACATCGACGATCCCCGGTCCAGCATAACACCCGACGCTGCTTATCGATCTTCCTACATGTTTAGAGTGCACTTGCATCGGTCCTGTCTTCTCCATAAATATCGAAATGTCTGCAAGACACGTTCATTTGTTCCTGTGCATCATCCGTGTTGCTGAGGTCAGGACATCGCATCCCTGCGCTTTTACTATCGTACCGATGTACTAGCTTATTTCCCCCGCAGGAACCGGCTATTTGATGGCCAGGACTACGCTCAATGACGCAATTTGGTGCACAAACTCGAATCCTCAATCCGTTCTGTGCATACTTTTAAAATATATGCATATTCCGGTCATTGTCATCTTGGGCCGGGTCCTATGTGAGTGCATGCGGTGTTTATGATATGTTCCATTGACTATTGGACTGCCTCCGCTCACTGGTACCCTATCGCAGCCGCAGCCGGAGCTTAGAACACTGGAATGATGCTGAGGTAGGTATTTCATTGTGCGGAAGCTCGCGATCTTTCAGACAGATCATACGAGCATTGAGTGCAAGCGCTGATGAAGACCAACGGCACTTGAATTATCGGAGCGACTCTGGGAGATACGATGTCGGGTCTAGCAGCCTGGTTGTAAGTGGGCTATCGAAATGAGCAACCGCGAGGCATCCCTGTGGGACGTAAATGATCCGTGCGTAGCTCTCTGAGCCAGCTACATTATACAAGCCTCGAATCAACTGGCTCGTTGCAAGTCCCTGAATCACAATATAGCCAGGTTGTTGGACGCAGGAGACTAAATCTCTGAAGTCGGAAAACTACTTCTAGCCGCCGCTGAATGTAATCGTGATGATACAACAAATGATGACATATGCCATGAAATGTGCAATATCTGTATGCCTATAATGTACCAGATAAACGCAGGACAGAGAAAAAGGTATGTGCTGTACGGGTCGCAGTCCCCCCTATATACAAAAAATAGAAGCGCATCATTGCTGTTGGTTTTGTCCTCCGGATTGACCTCCAAAGGTGAATGTGTTGCTTCCAGTCCCAGTCCCACTACCGAAACCAAATGCACTGGGCGTAGGCGCCGACGGTTTGCCAAACACCGATTGCTGTTGCGTGGGTCCACTTGAAGTACCCGTTGAGGGTTGAGTGAACATCGAAGTCCCGAATGCAAATGGTGACGTCGATGACGCAGGCGCAGTAGAAGCATTGGTATTGGACGAAGAAGGCGCTACGGTGTCTTCCTTCTTCCCAAAGGCAAAGACGGAGGAAGTGTTGCTTGGTGGAGCCCCAAATGGTGACGGTTTTGGGTTATCTGTAGGTTTGGTTGACCCATTGCTAAAGGGGAAACTGCTTGGCTGGGTACTGCCAAATCCAGCAGGAGATCCGGCAGGAGTTGTGGAGAAGGGATTGCTCGACAAGCCATTGCCAAATGCACTCTTGGGAGTTGATGTAGACGTACTTGCGTCCCCACTGGGCGGTGGAGCACTGGGCTTCGCAAAGAGATTACTCGAGGCACCGTTTGCACCAAAGCTGGAGCCACCGAACACTGCAGATGCAGGTGCAGGAGCGGCAGCCTTACTTCCATCTTCCTTGGTAGCATTCGCGGCGCCAAAGATTGATAATGGCGTCTCCGTCTTCTTCGCATCACCTCCCAACGCAGTTGTGCCAAAGGCCGATGTCCCCGATGGAGTCCCAAAGTTCAGCATTGACTTGGGTGCCGATGAAGCACTAGAGCCAAATCCTGAGCCACCGGTAGGCTGACCAAATGAAAACTTTGGTATCTCATTCTCTTTTGCTTTGGGCTTGGGCGCTTCCGAAGTCTCAGCAGGTTTTGGGGCAGCAGTGGCGCTACCACCAGAACCAAATACCGATGTCGACGAGGGCTGACCAAATGGGAACGTCTGCTGTGAGCTTGCTCCCAAGGGATTGGCTTGGGGAGTAGCCGCCTGGAATGAGAATGAAGGGCCAGCGAGTTTTGAGGCGTTAGCAGTAGTTGCGGCAGAGGAGGGGGCAGATGTAATAGCGAGCTTAGAGGTCGTGCTAGCGGCCTTTTTGCCAAAGTCAAACTTCAGCTGGGGAGGTGCAGACGGAGCAGAAGCGGGGGCAACGGTGCTTGAGGATGCCCCAAACATCGACGGCGGGTTTGCTTGCGCTGATGTAGATGTTGGCGCAGAGGAAGGTGGTGCACTGGGTTTTGCAAACGTGAATGGTGTCGGCTTGCTGGTCTCTGTGCTCGGTGCGGCAGGCGCGGCGAAGGGGTCGGTGGATGAGGGAGCAGTGAACTGCGGCTGTGCAGGCGTGGGAGTAAAAGAAAATGAAGGTGTTGTCGAGGACGCGGTTGTTGCAGGTGTGGGTGTCGAGGGTACAGCTGGCTTGGCAAAGAAATTGGGTATGGAGGGTGCGGATGCTGTGTTAGGCGCGATGGTAGTAGTAGGAGGTTGTGTCGTGGGTAGGCTAAATGAGGATGCTGGCGCTGCGGGAGTTGTTTGTGGGGCGGACGGGGTGGGGAATAAGCTGAGTTTATTGGCAGTTGGAGCCGAAGTCGCGGGCACGACACTTGCCGGAGTGGCAGCGGACCCAGTAGGAGCAGTGGATTTTGAGGCGTCCGTGCTCGTCGAGGTAGGACCAAATGGAAATAATGATGGCGTCGGCTTCGTCTCAGTGCCTGAAGACGTGGCAGTGGATGTAGCAGGAGGTGGCGGGGTGAATGTAATGATGGGGACAGTCGGAGCTTTAGGGCCAAGCTCAGGAGCAGTAGCGCTGGTCGGAAGCTCCGAAGTCTTTCCTTGAGGTGTTTCTGCTTTCTTCTGCTCCAGCATCCGTGCACGCATCCTCGCCATCGCCTCGGCTTCAAGATCTTGCTTCTCCCATTTTGAGAACGCACGGAACCCGGGGCGAGAGGGACCCTCGGCCACGCCAGGAATTAATGATTGAGTGTGTATATTCGAAGAGGCAACACGCCGGCCAGTTGTAGCTTGCGGTAAAGGTTGCTTGAATGGATTCACCCGGGCTGAGCCATTGGTCAATGACTGGCGGAAGGCACGACCAGAAACGGGGCTGTCCTTCATCGAGTCCCAGAGCAAATCCTTGCCCGTCTTTGCTGGTGATGCAGGGGCCTCACTGGGGGTACTACGCTCAATCGAGACTCTAGGCGTCTCCTGCCAGACAAGCTCCTGCCGTTCTTCAGCGTCCTTGTATTGCTCATCTGTCAGCCAAGTTTCCACGTAGATCTCCATATTGGCCTGTCGATCCGGGTGTTGAGAATCCCTAGGCTGGGTTTTGGTTAGTGCCACAACCACACTAGCCACGAAACCGCTACCTACCATTGAATATTTGCTTCGGGCCTTTTTCACCAAAGTAAGACGAAGTCGCACGCCTTCATTCCCGAGCTTGTATTGAACGCCCTTCGATTCCCACTCCTCACCAAGCTTTCTGCCTTTGCAGAGGTGATCCTGCGAGCCGTCGGGAGCATCGCTAGGTGCCTCGGAAGAAGCTTTCTTGCCTCGTTTCTTCTTCAAGGTGCGCTCACTGTGCCTGTGAGAACCTCTAGTACTGTCATCACTCGCTGGTGATTCAGGATCACGATCTCGCTTCATGCCGCGAGATGAAATATCTGATTTTCTTGACCGAACCGTGCGACGCTTGCGATGACGGTGAACCTTGTCATCTTGACCATCTGGTGCCTCGTCTTCATCATCACCACCGAATGTCGAGCCTGCCTCGGCACGATCACGCTTCTTCCCGCGCGGAATTGGGCGCAACTCAGCGACGTCATCATCCTCCACATCCTCCATTTCCTGGTCTTCGGGTGTCTGAGCCCGCGACATGTTCCGCGGGCGCTTGTCGCGACCATCGGTGCGCATATAATCAGCTTCCTCATCCGAGTCGAACATCCGTTTTGATCCACGTTGAGTGGGCGGTGCCTCGTCCTCTTCTTCGTGCCATTCGGGTTCCTCATCGACATCGATCAGTTCATCACTATCAACACGGGACTTCTTTGATGTTTCGGGCTCATGATTGCCGTCATGATCCAAAGATCGTTTCTTGCCTTCCACGGCTGCATCTGTGTCAAAAACGAGATCCTTTCTGCTAGCACGACGACGAGAAGACCGTTTCCCCGGCGATAGTAACTCGCCCGAGACGGGGAGGGCGCTATCCCGAAGGCGGGGATTATATCGATGCCCAAAGTCGAACCCATTGGGCCTGTGATCAAGGCCAGAAACGGTGCGTCTTGTGGCGGGGAGTTGATAAACGTGTGGCTTCGCAACTATACAATGTACCGATCAGATCGAGACCACAAATCACGAAACAGCTCCACGCACCGGGTTCGGCCGCCCTTCGCCTCAATCCATGCGCGTCTAGCAACGGAGCTTGATAGCCCGTTTCCGGGCGCTCTTCCGTGACCTTATTAGTTGTTATTCTCTCCTGAGCCTCACGTTCAGCGCGCGCACGGGTAGCCGCAGCATATGCTACAGCAAAGGGACGACAGTCCGAGTCTGGGATTCCATGTTTGCGACGCATCGCTCTGATTGTCATAGGTGTCGGTGAGCAGAGACAAAATAAAAGCAAGAATTACGCACTTTCTGTAGCCCAGCTCCTGATTTTTTTTCCATATGTCCCAGGCGCGTACTGTAAGGAGGGATGCCAAGATGCTGAATCCTAGGATGAGACTGGCCCTGAATACAATTGAATACTGGGACCATTGGCCTAAGATACCATTATTTGGTATCTGCAAGATGGGACCGCCAAGAATGTCAGCGTGCTCGTCGTCGTAAGCCATGGCGAAGGACGACGTCTTACGGGAAGCGTTGAAGGAAGTGTCAAGAAAGGTCCCACACTCGTCGGCACGGGCCGAGCGCGGAGTCTATCGGAGATTCAATGGTTTACTTCATATGACTTGCTTCGAGCTAGCTTGCAAAACCTATTTTTGCCCCTCCCCTCGATAATGAAACCGTGTTTCACTTTGCTATTCCGACCCTTTCCGATCAGCAGAATCATATTGATGAATAACGACTCCCCACTCGCCAATGCCTAGGGACATAGCTCACAATGCTTTCGTCTCTATACTGATGATGTGGAAGATTTAGCGTGCTTGGTCCACGCTTGAATGACCAGCTGTTCTCTCAGTAATTCTTATGGTTATTCGAGTACTAAACTGATGCAAACATACCAATATATACACAATCTGAAATGCAATACAGGTCTCCTGCGACGTGTCCTACTTGTTCCCCCTAGTCACTTTCTTCTTCATTAGGGATTTGTGTGATGTGTCCATGATCATGATGCGCTTTATTTTCTTGAGAAATCACAAATTTTTCATGACAAGCAAGATTGGATATAAGGTCTACCCACGCGTGGGAGATTATAAATAGAGCGATCCGATTCGTGTGAGAAAATCATATCGTAGGTTTTTATACAGTGGTGCGTGACTGCCATTGAAACCCTCCCTGTTTGCATTCGTGGTCATCCCCCATCTTTCTCGTTGCCACTACCAGGATTCGCAATGGTTAAGGTCATCACGTACGAAGAGCTCAAGGCCCACTCCACAAAAGACAGCCTCTATGTTCTCATCCACGGAGAGGGTAAGTACTTGGTCACTTTCAAACTTGAACTACGTGGTGACGTGGTGACGTGTTGGGCAGTGTACGATGCTACAAAGTTCATCGACGAGGTATGCAACCGCGAAGATGAATACTGAACTATATCTTGATATCGGCCTCTTATTTTAGCATCCAGGTGGTGACGATGTTATCTTGGCCGAGGCTGGTAAGTGTCTCGTGAAAATTGGATGCCTAACTCGGGGCTGAACAAAATCGTCTACAGCCAAAGATGCGACACAGGCTTTTGAAGATGTTGGCCATTCTGACGAGGCTCGTGAAATTCTCGCTACCCTCCTCGTCGGAGAGTTCGAGAAGGACGGCGTAAGCTGCACCGCAATTCTAACTCGAGCCGCACTAACCCGGTTTATCAGGCTCTGAAACTCGACTCCGTGAACGTTAGTCGCTCGGGCGCTTCAGTATCTGATGCTGTTGAGCAGGGCTCGAAGTAGGTTTCCTTCCACATATTCGCTTCTTACCTGACCTCTCTCGCAGCTTAATGTACTTTGTCCCATTGACCCTGCTGGGAGCATACTTTGCATGGCGTTTCTATGGAGCATGAAGACATGGATCGACTTATTGTCCTCCATGGTACCCCTTCTTCGCGTGCATCATGTTTATTCCTCGTGATATTTTTGCCGGCTACCCATGAACTGTCGCTTTATCTATCATAATTCCTTCGGATATAGAGCTTTATTTTTTTGTTGCAGATTCAGCGTGAATCAACTTCACATAAGCCAGGCTCTATTGTCAGACTGGAAGAACGCGGAAATGAAACGATTGATTGGTTATGGTTGGATTGTGCTAACGTCAGAACTAATGTACAGGTAACAGGCTGCGTATTGATACAACAGAAAAAGATGCATACTACCAACAACATGCACAGGACAACTGCTATGCCTTATGTGCGCGTTCTTTCTCAAGACGCTGTTCGTCCAGCTGAAACCGAAGTCAGTGTCGACGCGACGTGGAAAATGCAAAGTGTGACGTCGTACAAGGTGGGCCCAAGTATGATCCGGAGAGTACTGACGAAGCGTCAGAAGTTTTGATGACAGCAAATGAAAGGAAGAATAAAAGAAGCCTACCTTTCTCATGTTGGTTGCCTGTGCCCGTTGCGAGTGCGTCAGCGCGGCTGTAGCAATGATAACACCAATGGTAAGCCCCTGCGCCCAGAGACGCACTTGAACAATCTATGGAACATCACTAGTCTCAGCGCGAAAGCAAGCGCCGAAGCAACAAAGGTTCATGATACCTTGTTCGGCATGGACATCAAACTGTCATCTTAGGTGTCAGCTCAGATGACACGACACTCTAAAAGAAGACGCACGGATCACGCATGACTTTACTGCCGACAAGACCCATAGTGAGGGCCCAGCTGCCAACGATGACACTGAGCTGGTGCTTCGCTGCCCACTCCGCTATTTTGTCCTTCGGACTCAACGTAGCCCACCTCGCCCGCTCCTCCTCTACCCGCCTCTCCATCTCCGTCTTTCCAATTCCTGTCCTGTACCAGTCCAAGTTAGATAATGTCTCAGATTAAATTCCCAATATACCAATGCTGGCGATGAAACTCTAACCCACGGTGCTCCGCCCTGATGGAGATCAGGGGTGCTATGAGGATGACGGCTCCCAGTGTCTTAATCGTACGAGGCATCGCGCGAAATGCGGGCCATCTGCGATTCAACATGTACCACGTCGGTGCTACGATTGCTGAGCCGACGAGTCCCCCCTCTATGGCGCCGCGGGTGGTGGCCTCGTTTTGCCCCTCAGTCTCGTTTCGAGGTAAATTCTGTCAAATGCGGTTAGAACGGGTTTCTGGTAGCAGCACGACCCGCGCTCGCCCTCATCATTTTGATAACTTGAGTGAAGTGTTGGTGGTTTCAACGTGACAGTGGAATGTTCAACTTGTGTCGGGTGCAAAGTGATCGTGCTTCCGGTGTTTGTTATTATTCAAAGCTATCTACTTGCATACAAAGTACTCCTAAGTATACACCTAAACTAATGACAGCAGTCTTTGCATAGACAACACCTAAGATATAGACGAACACTGCTGCACTGCACTGCACAAGGGAGAACCAACACCTCAAGATGAACAAGAGCTATGCTCAGAAATGATCTACCGTGAATGTCCATTTTCCTTCCTGAATCTCAAAGCCCTCGAAGTGGGTGTCTTTGATCGTCTTCAGCCGCTTCAGGTGTTTGACTGCACCAACATTCTTCTCATCCTTGATGGGTTCACGGGTCGCTTTATCCGTCGCCCAGCATCTGACAAGGATGATGCGCGCGCGAACGTTGAGCCCTGAGCCCGGCGCAGGCTTTTCTGCGTCATCAGTGTCCGGGTAAACACTGCACTCCTTATCGTCAAACTTGACGATCTCCCCTAGGAGAGCACCAAGCCTTGGAAGATTAGTGAGGTCGACTGGCTCCAGGAAATGAATCTCGCCGTAGCCGACGCGCCCAACGACAAGATCCTTGAATGCCACTAGGTCTTCGTAACCAAGGTTGACGAGGGTCGGGAGGGCAGGCTTCACCCAGTAGCTACCATGTTGCAGTGCTGCGGGCGCCGGAGGCTCTTTTGCAGGTGAGCTTGGTTGTGAGCCCAACACGTTAATCGTGCTCTGTGCAGAAAAACGACCCGGAGCTTTGCGAACAGCAGGAGTCTCTACTTGGGGAGCAGCAGGTGCTGCACCGGCCGCAGCTTCTTTCTCTCTTGCAACTTCCTTTTCGCGGGCAGCTTGACTGAGTGCAGGACTGAATGTGACTTTGTTGGGACTAGCGCGCGAACTGGATTGGCTGAAGAGGTCTGCAGGCTCAACTTTCTTGTCCAGTATCAGCTTCTTCACGCTTTGACGCCCTCCACTTCCTAGAGATGGAGTGGAACTTCGTCCTAACAATCCTTCCGAACCCTTGCCATCAAGGCGACTGAGTGCCAATGCATTGGACTTGCCATTCGTCAATGAAGTTGCGAAGGGACTGGTACTGGACCCAAGTGCAATCCCCGACGTTGATGATGCAAAGCCACGCAGCTTCGAGTTGGCGGGGGTATAGCCGAGCTGCAGGTGTGGGACAGGTGAACGTGTAGGGACATCGACGAAAAAACCGGGTTTCTTTTTCGGCTGTTGATCAAGGTCTACGGCACGTGGGCCAGGAGGAAGCATCGAGAAAATCGGCAGATTTTGAGAAAGAGGTTCGGCAATGGAGGCGAACAGAGTGCCTTGTGCTCCAGGAACAGTAGCGGAGACGTTTAGCATAGAAGATTGTCCTCCATATAGTGAACTGCCAAGACCGCCACCTGCTGATGTCGACGTGCCAAGTCCCGGTGCAACGGGTTTGGGACCAAACAAGGATGAGCCAAATGCGTTCGTCCCAGCTGCTGGTTGCTGGTTCGTCGCTTGACCTGCGGGCTGCCCGAAAACATTTGTTTGGAGTTGCGGGCCGGATGGGCCACTTTGACCAAATGTGGGTCCAAAGAGACTTCCACCAGCAGTCGTAGCTGGTTTGGTTCCAAAAATCCCACCCGTTTGAGCCGGCTGTTGGGGCTGCGGCTGGTTTTGTTGGACGTTCCCAAATAAACCTCCACCTGTCGTGGTACCACCAAATATGCCACCTTGTTGCGTTGTGGACCCAAATGCTATTCATTAAAATGTCACTAAATGAGCTTGCGGGACACGAAAAATGTAACATACCCCCCGTTTGTTGAGGTGGCTGCTGCTGCTGGGGCTGGCCAAACATATTACCACTGGTGTTGCCGAATATACCACCCGTTTGTGGTTGCTGAGGTTGCTGCTGCTGAGGTTGATTGCCGAACGTGCCAAAGCCGGTGGACGCCGCCGGGTTAGGTTGAGCAGGCTGACCGAAAATTGAAGGTTTGGCAGCCGTGTTCGAACCTTTGGGCGACAAGGTTAGTGATGTTCTTATGACAAGAACATTGTGACATACCAAAACTACCAAATGTGCCCCCAGTTGCAGGTTGCTGCTGCTGGGGTTGGCCGAAAATGCCTGTAGTACCTGCAGCAGGCTGAGGAGCTGGCTGTCCAAAAGCTGCCGTAGAACCGAACGCGCCACCTGCTATTATAAAATGTCAGAAGGTATGACATTGGCAGCAGCAAGAGTCATACTTGTTGGCCCGAAGGTGCTGCCACCCCCGAAGCCAGTGGTGGGCTTATTCTGCTGCCCAAATGCACCACCCGAACCAAAGATGCCAGTCCCAGTTGTGGTCTGCTGTTGCTGTGGCTGCCCGAACGTACCGAAGGTGGAAGGCTGTTGTGGCTGTGGCTGTGGTTGTGATTGTGGTTGCTGCTGCTGAGGCTGACCAAAGGTTGAACCGAATATTCCCGTTCCAGTACCTGCTGATGGTTGCGCGGGCTGGGGTTGTGTGAAAGATCCAAAACCAGTCCCAGTATTGCCTGCCGTTCCTGTGCCCCCGAAGGTGCTTGTCCCCGTGCCGCCGCCGCCGAACATAGATGTGCTGGCAGGCTGCGTAGGTGCACCTCCGAACAAACCCGTTGGTTGGGTGGTTGTTGCACCAAACGATGGCTGGCCAAATGCCCCTGCAGTCTTGCGTCCCTGTTGATAGTCTTGATGACGAAGCTCCTAGATGAGATTCACAAGTTTTAAGGCAGGAAATAATATCTTAATTCGACAATTGCTCACCTCGAGCGATGTTCCTCGATAGGCAGGCATAGCAGTTATTGTTTGATATTGCAGAGTAGCGGTCGACGTTGGGTCCTTTTCACCGAAAGCATTGTAGGGAGGATTTGATGTACCTGTTGTAACAGGCGCAACGCTCTCATTACTCGTAGCTGAAGGGCGCAAGCATAAACTCCTTTTCGTGGATTCATAAAAGATAAGAGCGCTTACTTGGAGAAGTCGCACCAAAGCCAGCAGTGGCTCTATTCTGCCCGAATGTACCAAATGCACCTCCAGTGCCCGCGTTGGTATTAGAGCCGAAAGCTGTGGTCCCCGTCCCAGCTGTGGCGCCAAAAGTATTGCCGCCACTTCCAAAGGCCGAAGTACCTCCCCCTCCAAATGCGCCACCAAAGCCCGTGGCAGGCTTTGGAGCTCCAAACGCTGAGGTGCCTGCAGCTGGTTGTTGAGCATTCTGGCCAAATGTGCCTGCAAAGAATGTAATTTAGTCGTGAATAATATAATGAGAAACGCGATAGGACACACCAAAGGCTGAAGTTCCTGTGCTTGGGGTCGCCAAATTACCAAACATTGGATTTGCCTGTGGCTGCTGGGGCTGACCAAAAGCACCTGTTGTTCCAAAGCCTGTTTGGCAATTAATAGGCGTGTAAAACGCTGCACACCCAAATGACTTGCTTACCTGCACCGGTTCCGAAACCGCTAGGCTGGCCAAAAGCAGAACCGCCCTGCTGCTGCGGCTGATTCTGGTTCTGGTTCTGTTGGGGATTTGCCCAGGAAGACTGTACAGTGTTGCTTCCGAACATATCTGAAGAAAAGCCCGCAGTCGTTTGACGGTGCCGCCGTCGACATCAGGAGTAGGGTGCTGAGTTTAAAGTATTCTAGATCCGACCTGCGCGTATTTGGAAAACATGTCTCACGACACTAGCTAACCTTATTCTATCCAAAAAATCAGCAGAGACGAGTGTAGAAAAAGCCAGGGGAAGTGGGTTTAGACAGTATGCCGGACGGATCGCAAAAGTCAAGGCGACAGCCTACTTTTAACACCCTCCAGCGCGAAGAGTCGTTCAAAAATCCGCCAAAAACTGGCGCAACATATCCAATTCTTAATGAATTTGTCACGCCTCATATCGAATCCTTCAATGCCCTCTTCGATGATTCTGGACTGCCAAAGGGAGACGGAGATGGTCGAGGACTATTGTCTTTAGGTCTGAAGGACATAGGCGAACGCGTCGTGTTCGATGGAAGCGGCGAGGTTGGGACAGAGAGTGGTCAGCGTGGTTGGGGCAATCGAATGAGCGGTGAGTAGTACATCTCGCTCCCATCTGCATACATCGTTCATTCATCAAATTGAATAGTATGGATAGAAGAGGTTTCGATAGCTCCTCCAAGAGCTCTAGACAGAGATACGTGGAGCACTGAACGCAAGGTATTTCCTACAGAGGTAAGTCGCTTCCGTCGAATGTAACCCGAACCCTACGCTACAGGGTGGAAGACAGATGTTCAAGAGCTGACGCACGTGGCAGGCTCGTGAGCGCTTGACCTCTTATCGGGGACGCATGCAAGCAAAGGTCTGCTGGAGTATTAATGGAAACATTCATCCCGATCAATGTGTGATGCGGGACTGTGGTCTAGTTCCGATCATGGTTCGGGTAAGTACCCATTATATGCGTGTTTCGACGATGATATAACTGCAATTACTAGTCTGCTCGGTGCAATCTTCGTAATCTACCTTCCTCGGAACTCGTTAGGCGACATGAGGAGCCAGAAGAATTCGGTGGCTACTTCATCATCAACGGGAACGAACGGTTAATTCGCTATCTGATCCTACCTCGTCGAAATCATGTCACTTCGTTGCTTCGCCCTTCTTTCGCCAACCGCGGCCCTTCGTATACGCAGTACGCAGTACAAATTCGCGGCGTTCGCCCTGATCAATCCGGCGTTACCAATACTCTCCACTATCTCTCAAATGGAAGTGCAATGTTACGATTCAGCTGGAGAAAACAAGAATATGTGATACCCATCATGCTCGTCCTCAAGGCACTCATCGGTGCTTCTGACAAGGAGATTTTCGACCACGTCATGATGCAAGATTACGAAAACACATTTTTAACCGATCGCGTCGAGCTTTTGCTACGTAGCTTCAAGATGTATAACATGTACACTGGTGATCAGTGTCTGGAGTATTTGGGTGATAAATTCCGAGTTGTTCTTGGGATGCCTGAGGACTGGACGAACCAAGCCCTTGGAGCTTGGTTGATCCAAAAGATGGTTCTGGTGCATCTTGAATCCGCTCGCGACAAATTCCGGATGCTAGTGTTCGTAGTTGCTTTCTCCATTTTTTGATAGATGCTGACGTCCACATACAGATTCATGCTCCGGAAGCTGTACAGTCTAGTGTCCTCCTTGTGCTGCGCAGATAATCCAGACTCACCGCAGCACCAGGAAGTACTACTCCCTGGTTACTTGTACGGCATGATCATCAAAGAACGCCTGGAAGAGGCACTAAACCAAGTGAGAAATCAGATTGCAACAGATGTCCGGAAAGCAGAACCACCAGTCGATTTTCTTGACAGTACGTACAGATGCATCGTCTCCGACCCTGCTATACACTGATAATAATCATAGAACGATATATTGTCAAGGTTGTCAACAAGGTGAACTGGGATATTGGTTCCAAAATGTCGAATTTCTTGGCTACTGGTAACCTTGTCTCACCGTCGGGTCTTGATTTGCAACAAGCGTCTGGATTCACCATTGTTGCCGAAAAACTCAACTGGTTGAGGTATATAAGTCACTTTAGATGTATTCATCGTGGCGCCTTCTTCGCCGAGCTCAAGACTACAACCGTTCGAAAGTTATTACCAGAAGCTTGGGGTAAAGTAGCGCATTCAGCCGTTCCAGTGTTTACTAACAGGTTTTCCAGGTTTCCTGTGTCCAGTGCATACGCCTGATGGTGCTCCGTGTGGTCTGCTCAATCATCTTTCGAGGACGTGCCGCATTGTCACGGCACCGCTTGCCGTCGCCCAGATCCCCGGCCTCCTGACAGCTCACGGCATGACACAGGCCTTCTCATCTTCAATAGATGGCCGAAAAAATCTTTGCGTTCAACTCGATGGTCGCGTCATCGGCTGGGCAAGACAGTCGGTTGCTCAGCAACTTGCCACTAATCTACGGATATGGAAAACCGAGGGTCAGCACAAGGTTCCCCTAGATCTGGAAATTGGTTTTGTTCCCGAGTCGAAAGGTGGACAGTACCCCGGTTTGTTCCTGTTTTCTACCCGAGCGAGGATGATGCGACCTGTGAAATTCCTCGCCAATGGAAAGGACGACCAAGTTGGACCATTTGAACAAGTGTACATGAACATCGCCATTAAACCTGACGAAGTTGAGCCAGATGTTTCAACGCACGTGGAACATGCGCCGACAAATTTCTTGTCCATCTTGGCTAATTTGACTCCGTTCTCAGATTTCAATCAGGTAACGCACCAGAACGGGCTCTATAGGCTGTTACTGACTTGCTGTGCAGAGTCCGAGAAATATCTATCAGTGTCAGGTGAGATCTAGCCTATCGGAATTATCAACTCGGCTTGACTTAATGTCTCAAGATGGGTAAACAAACGATGGGTACCCCGTCTACCGCCCTACAACACAGAACGGACAACAAGCTCTATCGATTACAAACCGGCCAAACACCCGTTGTTCGCCCACACTTACACAACACTTATGCCATGGATGCATTCCCAAACGGCACTAATGCCATCGTTGCTGTCATTTCTTACACTGGTTACGATATGGAGGACGCCATGATCCTGAACAAATCTTCCCATGAACGGGGCTTCGGCTATGGAACAGTCTACAAATCTCAGATAATCGATCTCAAGGAAATGCGAGGGGCTGCTAAATCATCAGCATCCCCTACGTTACACTTTGGCCTTGGTCCCGATATTCGAACGGCCGAAGGCGACAACCAGCATACTTGTTGTCATTTTTTGGATAAGGATGGTTTGCCGTTCATTGGCACAAAAATAGATTCTGGGGATCCTATAGCCGCTTACATTGATGAGACCACTGGGCGCACGAGGTTTGTCAAGTACAAGGGCGATGAACAAGCACTCGTAGACGAAGTGCGCTTGTTAGGTATGGTCTTGGCCCTAGTTCCTACGGGTACCTGCTAACGGAATCTAAGGTGGTGATGCTGGAGACACGGAATTGCAAAAGTTGCATGTCACTTTCCGTATAACACGTTCTCCCGTCATCGGAGACAAATTCTCGTCTCGTCATGGCCAGAAGGGTGTATGCTCACAAAAATGGCCCGCTGTTGACATGCCCTTCTCGGAGAGCGGAATGCAGCCTGACGTTATTATCAATCCACATGCGTTTCCAAGTCGTATGACCATCGGCATGTTAGTGGAGAGTATGGCTGGCAAGGCTGGCGCCATGCACGGGCTGGCACAAGATGCAACTCCTTTCCAGTAAATCATCATTGCCCCTGTTGACGATGCCAACTGACGACGTCTAGGTTCTCTGAAGAAGACAGAGCGATTGACTACTTCGGCGAACAGTTATTGGCAGCTGGCTATAATTACTACGGCAACGAGCCCATGTACTCAGGCATCACTGGGCAGGAGTTCGCAGCAGACATTTACATCGGCGTTGTTTACTACCAGCGTCTGCGGCACATGGTTTTAGACAAGTTCCAGGTCAGGACCACAGGCCCGGTTGACCCTGTTACACGTCAGCCAGTCAAGGTGGGGAAGTCGTTATAGGGGCCATGCTGTTTGCTGATCACCTAGATAGGGCCGCAAACGTGCTGGCGGTATCCGATTCGGGGAAATGGAGCGCGACGCGCTGATCGCTCATGGAACGTCGTTCCTTCTCCAGGACCGGTTGATGAATTGTTCAGACTACTCCACTGCATGGGTCTGTCGGACCTGTGGCAGTCTCATATCCCTTGGTTACGATGACATAAGCTTGGGCGAGTCATCTACAGGCACGATGAAGGCCACTGGTCCAGGTGGAGAGTACTGCAGAGTATGTCGTGCAGTAGCCGAGGAAGAGGACGAACGAGCTCGTCGGGCTCTGGCTACGGGACAAAATCCCGATAGAGGCCCATTCCCAGGCGTGAAGGTGGCTATACCGTCATCGAACGTGCTGCGCAGTTCGTCAAAAGGTGGTGATCTCGATGTTGTGGCGGTCCCCTATGTGTTCCGCTATCTTTGCGCCGAGCTGGCCGCCATGGGCATCGCCGTTTCATTGGAAGTACGATGACAACAGTCGTCACTCCGTACTCATCAACATTCGTGCTGTCGCTGTCGCGGCTCAAAACCATACATAGATCATCGTTAATAACATTAGGCTACGGATACCAAGTGAACAAAAGATGCCAGCTCGCTGACACTAAAAACGAGAACGGGAGTCAATAGAAATGAGTAGTTGTTAGATCTACACGGAAGATCAAGTAAACAGAGGTGGCAGGGTATCATTAGGCTGTATCCACAGTAACATTGAATCTAGAACGGAGGTGTGAGACTTGCGAAGCTTATGGTGCAGCCTGGGCTGGCGGGTCTGAAATCTCTTCATCGCCACCCAGCAACAACTCGACGATGGCATTCTCCATGTGAGACTCCTTCGCAGCAGACGCAGGGGTAAGCGGGGCGGAGACTAGAGCTTGAAGCTCTGATGAATCAGCAACCAAACCAGCCCGAGTCAGGAATATGTCTATGAGTAGACGACATTCGGCTGCGCTTGTTGCATGTACGAGCGTTTGCCGCATGTCGTGAGCATGATCGATAACAGATGGAGGGATGGAGGGTGAAGATGTGGTGGGTCGCGACTGGGTACGTTTGGCTAGGTGTGAAAGGACAACTTTGGAAGAAGACCGTTCGGGTATTTGCACCGAAGGCACCTTTGACTCCGAGGTTGAAAGGGCAGGGGTTTCAACGCGGACTACGCCCGATGAAGCAGTCTCACCAGAACCGCGTTTGTTGTCGGTATCATGCTCAAATACACGTTTGGAGGTGATTGGGACTGCGAAATTGACGGACACGGGAGGTACAGGGGAACCGATATCCGCAATCCCCATGCCAGGAGCCAGTGTAGCGACGGGAGAGTCTGAAAAGCATGCTTTAGGGTCGATAGGAGGCACCGGCTTGCGTTGAAGAGACTGTTTCCGAGCCCGGTGATCTGAGAGTACATTGTCAGCAGAGCTACGAGACTCTGACGATGTAGCGGAAGGTAAGTCGATGGGATATCGAGGGGGAACGGGTCTATTCGCGAGGGAGCTGATATTCGTTAGGGACTTATTGGGTAGAAGAGGTGCAGGAGCGTCTGCCCTCCATGGAGAGCTTTTTCCAGACTCATTGTCGGAACGAACCTTCTCGGTGCCGTTAAGGGTGATTTTAGAGATCATGCGCTGTAGGCGACCAGTTTTTTTGGGCGTCAAAAGAGACCCTGAGTTGGCAGGAGGGGAAGTCGCAGGAGGTTCCGGTGGGCCCTCAGCGAGAAATTCAATCAACTCTCTAGCGCTTGCAGATAGGCCTCTGTGCGGATTATAGCACGGCGGACTCTCCGGCTTCTCTGGTTCTGGCTCTTCTTCGTCATCCGAACCACCCATGACATCGTCAAGATCAAGTGACTCTCGATTTCTCGCAACGGTGCGAGTACGATGAACTCGTGGCTGGTCCATGTCCAATCCGTGAGGGATAGGCTTTGTTCGCTTCTGATGTACATTGCTTGGCGTCAAGTTCGGTAGCTTCAGGGACGAACCAAGATCCGAACGCGGCACCCTTGGCGGTGAAAGTGCGGTAGGCTTTAGCACCATGGGATCAGCGGATGAGGCAGAGCGAGCACGAGCGGAAGAGGGTGGACTAAATCCTGAAGCAGTAGCGGCGCTGAGCTGTCGAGGGCGTGACGTTGGAGGGGGTTTCGTTATGGGTTGGACTTCGTCGTCTTCATGAATCGAATCAACGTGACGCAAGGAGGGTCTTGTCGCCCGCTTGGGCTGGTCAAGCGCAGTGGGAGCTAGTAATACTTCGGACGAGATGGAGTCCTTGTGGGAGGATTGAAGGGAGCTTTTCCTTCCGTTGAAGCGTGCCTTCTCTTTGTTAAGAGCCTTCACGAAACAATCAGCACCAATCTGTAAATTTCGTGATAAAGAACCTGATGTACCTCCATCGTCCTCAGCCTATCCGGGGTGAGCGATACCTTCATGGTTGACCCTGATCGCATCATGTCATCAAATTCTTGTGATCGATCCTCCTAGAACGCACTATGAGTCAACACGTCCATAACGGAGAAGTAATGGAAGTCGCACGGAGAATGTCGGAGAAATGGGAGACCTGTCACCACTATGGATGGATTGCTTCGCATTGGCGCTTACTAATGAATCTGTCTTCCTATGTCCGGTCACAGAGTCAGGCCCATTTGGATGGTCATTTGATCCTCTATTGCTGTTGCCACTAAATATCTTAATCGAGCGTGCCTTGTCGATAGATGATCTAGCAGAGTGATGATTGGACCCCACAACCATGGCGGGTCCAGTATTAGATGACTCTGACGATATACGAGGGCGCGAGCTGTCCCGTCGAAACGCATCTCCCTCGCGAGAGGACACCGGGGACGTGGTACCAGACATTTTTTCTCGGGTAAAAGATTTGCTTCGTCTCGGTTTCGGTAATTTTGACAGCGTCTCGATTTGTCCGTAGACTAGAAGCGACGAAACACACGTCATCAATGTGCTAAACAAAAGTACTTGGGCGAAAGTGGACTAACCCTTCATGTTCTTGAAAAAGCCATATATCGTGCTGTCTTCGCATAGTGCGATGAATAAATCTTGAGAGTTGGCTGTTGCTCGGCTGCTATCTCGCGACGCGACACGTCCCACGTTTGACAGAATGTGCCTGTCATGCGAATGAGCTCAAGACCAGGAACAGTACTATTCGAAAAAGTACAAGACTCACTCGCATATAGACCTAACGAGCATTTTATCAGGTCGATAACTCTGAATAACAGTGGAGGGTGCTTACTCGATAATGGCGGTCAAATAAAGTGAGGCTGGTGCAAGAACTTCTTGCTTGGGAGGAGGTACACCATCTGCATGCATATGTTCCTTAAGGCGATTTTCGGCATCCGAATTCTCATCCGTGTCGCTTAAAGTCGAATATGCTTCGCACTTAAGTCTCAAAAGCTGGACAAAGTAGTGTTGAGGTTCGGGTGAATGTAACACATTGCAATAAAACGTACCTCAAATGCCCACTGCAAGTCGAAAACGCCATCCTCACTCGACGAGCCCGAACCTGCAGCGGTAACTGTACGCTGATAGTACGCTCTAAGTTCCATCTCAGCCTCGAGTATGGCCTCCTTGCCCAGCGTGGTTGGTAGAACCTTGTGCATTGCGGTTCTCAGTCGGGAGGGGCTGAGCGCCCGAGCTGCATTAAGTATACTATAGAGTAACTCGTCCAACAGAGCATTGATGGAACTGAGAGCGTCAGGTGTTAACTTAGTAGGACGAATATCGGACAGGATAACGTCGGCAGAACGAGACGAAATAAACGTTGGAGCTGTTGTAAGCTGGTCAACGGCCATGTATTTGGAGAGAGCCATTGTGTCGAGCTCACCATGAGCGGCAATGGGCTCAATCATAACGTACAGGCGGGAGAATGAAGGAGGATAACGAGGCCAATTGAAGGTGACAGCTGCAACCGGTTTCAGATCGCGATCACGCTTCTCACAAAAATGTTGCCAAAACGAGCTCCATGATGATCAACCTTGCACAAATTATTTTCAACCTCCTCGTTGATCTACCTGCTGTATACTGACACTATATCATGAGTGTCCACATTAATATCATTCGAACCAGTGATAATTTGTGATTCATGCCCATCTCAAGGACTGTGCGTGTGCATCAATTGCAGTCACATTAACATCATTTCCACAGCCTCTTCTTCCCCTGCAGCGCCCTCCGTAGTCCAGTGACTACCGTCTATCCCTTCTACCATGACTGTTGACGCGGGCATCATTAAATCGGCAGAATCTTCCACGGGCCCAGATCTGGATACACCTCCCTCTGGCTCCTCAACCACCGCGTCTTTCGTCGGATCAGATCCCTCCTCTTCGGCGTTCGATTTCGCTGGATCGCTATTTGGATCCGTATCCCAAAGCGTGAGCCCTTCAAGCAATGCCTGTGACACTCCCGCCGAATCAAGGTCCTCATATCGAATCGTTCGCGTTGGTGATGTCGACAGTGATGCAAGGAAGTCGTATTCGTCCGGTCTTGCCCTCAAGTTTTCCAGGTTCTCGGGACGAGCGTCCTGACGCGGGTACCGGAGTCGCATAGGCGCGTTCTGCTTTCTCAGGTTTTGTTCCACGGGGCTAAATATGTGTTGAAGAACCTTGATCATCATTGTCAATTTCAAGATATACATAGCAGGTTCTGATGAGACTCACCCAGGGCCCAATCACAGCATGACGTTGAGGTGGGATGTGAGCTTGGCGAATGTACCTCGGTTCCACGCGATACGATGGAAGACTGGCGGGAGGAGGATCTAGTTTGGGTGGTATTTTTGGCACGTGAGGGTTTGGAGGTTGTTTCATCTCAAACTTCTTGTTTGATTCTCGTTGCTGGTGCCGCACTTCATGCTCCATCGCCTCAACTGGTTTATCGAAGATATCTGAACAATCTGAGCAGGTCAATCAGATGTAGTGAGCGAGACTACCAGGTCACGTACTTGCAAGAGAACATGGGAGAGGGAAGTACGAATGTTTCTGTAGGTGTTTCTCCAAAGTTGCTGCCGACTTGAATCTCCGAGGACATGACTGCCAGCGGCATATAAAGGGTCCCTTGGGATGGTTGATGAGCTACCTAATCTTGCCATCAAGAGTCCACTTACCTGAGAGCTAGCCTCTTGCGCGTGCGATTTGAGATGCAAATAAAGATTCTCTCCACTATTCATCAGAGCATCACATCCTCTCCATTGGCAGGGTCTCTCAACCATTCGAACTCTGCAGTCCGCGATGAGAGCTTGCTCGAAATCATTGTATTTGGCTGCAACGAACATAAGCCAAGAAAGAATCACCCGAACTGGAATAGACTCATACACTCTTCCTCTTCCTCTGAGCCAGATACTACGCCGCTATCCTCCAGCTTTCGTTTCTTGATAGCCCTCCTGAGGTCAGGAGAAGGCGGTGGTACCAACACATACACCCTCTGACCTTTCTTCCTCTTTACACTTCGTAGTGGCGTTATTGAATGCTCCTCATGCAACGCGTAGACATCCGAATCTGCGGCGTTCTTAGAGCCCCCACGTAGGATAGATTCTACCATTAAAACCTCATCATCTGTCTCTGGTGGAAGTGGGACACCGGAATAATCCGAGGGTGCAGGTGATGCCGACGGCGATGGCAGGAAAAGCGGAAGAACTTCATTCCTATCGTCCTCACTCTGCTCGCGCGATTGCGCTTTAAAGCTGGGGGCAGGGGATGAGATGCCTGCAGGTTCAGACACAGGCGGTAGAGGCTCATCCAGATCTGGGAATGATATCGGACTGTCTATGTGCCCGTCGTCTGGACTAGGCTCGGGACGGTGCACATTCGTGGTTATTGACATCCCATCAACTCCACGCGCCAACTCCTCCTGATCCATGGATGTGGATGCTGGACATGGTGTAGTAGCAGGTGGTGGGAATTTGGAGGAAGCACTGCAATTTCCGGCGGCAGTAGTGCTCGATTCATCGTCCATTGTGACGTCAACGGCAATTGCCTTCTTGATAGGACTTGGCGGTGCTTGTATTTGAGGTTGCTGTTGCATCGGGACGTTCGAAGGAGGTCGGAGACTAGTCTCCTGTGAAACTTCCTGAGGGGGTTCAGCTGATAAGTCTCCAGATGGTGTTGTCTCTTGCTGGTCCTCCGTGGTGGTCGGAAGATTCTCCAATGATACGCCAGCTCCCTCGTCTGCATCTTCCTCTTCCGCCGCGACGGGTGGCGCGTCCATTCCTAGCGACCGTAGGATATCTATTGCGAGCCGCGACTTATTGGCCTGTTGCGGTGTACGCACCTTTGGGGCAGCCCCATTCAGTCCCCGTAGTGGCGGAGTAGCGGGCGGAATCGCAATGATAGCTGACGTGGACGCTGGTATGCCCCGAGGCACAGTAGCTGGTGGTTGCTGTCCGATCACGTTCTGGTGACCTCGGACCAGTACGTTTGATGTTGATGGCACTGCCTGCTCATTCGTACCGTTCATCCGCACGTATTTCTTCAGGTATGGATCGTACGCATATTCAGCAACATTGCCATCAGAACCTGGGATACTCATTGGAGGAGGTATATTGTATGGGCGATAAGCACCGCCCGCCGCTGGTCCATGCACACTAGTCCCAGCGAGAGGTTGCAACTGTGGAGTGGAGGTCGCGGTAGATGCAGCTGGCTGCATTGAGGGCCCTGAAGATGCCGTCTGCGTAGCTGCCTTGCCGGCGAAGGCAGCGACCGTAGTTGCAGCGGAGTGATTTAGTGAAGTCGATGCCATTGAAGGATGTGCACTCGTGGGTTTAGCCTGTGTGCTTTTGGTAACAGACGGTCTGGGCGGTGCGGGAACTGCCTTCGACGACTCAGTCGTGGTGGACGTTGCTGCAGGTGCGGATCGAGTAACACCTTCACTGGAAATGGAGGTTCGACTTTGCTGCACGATGCTCGGCACATGGTTGGGCGAGGCATCCGACTTCGCAGCGCTACTCGAAGCTAAATGAGCTTTGCTAGCTGCCTTTAGCCTCTCAATGGCACGTGCCCAAGCAGGACGCAACGCGTTTAACAGCTCAGGATTTACAGAGTTGATGAGCGCCTGCTGCCACTCCCGAGGCACAGTCTGATTTAGCGCGAGGAAGTCCGCAGCCTTGTCTACGCCTGCTTGCTGATAATGATAAGATCGTCAAGCTCGATAGACCAGTGGGTGAGTAAAAGGACGCACCTGACATATTGCATGAAAGTATCTCATGAAAGCTTCAATATTTGCTGGTGTTTGCTGAACGGACGTTGGATTCGCAGGTAGGGGCAAAGGTTGAACTGTCGCTGCAGGTATTTCCGAAGGAGCATCATTAGCCGTAGGGACATGAGCGTCGGTACTGACAGAGGCAGAAGAATTAGTTCGAGGAACGGCGGTTGTTTTAATATTTCTCATGTCATTAAGCATCAAGGCTGTCCGCTCGTCTTTGATATTGACCGGATCAACGCTTGACGCAGCTTCAGGCCACCATTCCACGGCCCCAGGAAATGAGCTTAGAAAGGTGCGAATTGCTTCCGTATTACGCTGTCAGAAAGTAGTCAAAGGGAGGCACAAAATTCACCAACGTCACAACCTACGCTGCAAGCTAACTGGAATTGCCGAATAAACTCTGGCTTTGTAATGGCGGACTCAGTACGAGTGATGACCTGTGGCGCAGTGGATGGCAAAGTTGGACGCCGAGTGAAAGGAGCAGCAGCAGCGACGGCTTCAGACGGTGCAGCTGGGAATGTCGGTTGATGTTGAACCTGAGTGGCATGCTGAGGCATCCCTGTTCCAGCTAATGAGTTTGCTTGAGGGTTGACACCTGCTGACGGATTTTGCGCCTGTGGCGCACCTGCAGCAGCCAGCTCTGCAGCGTACTTCTGGCTCTGCCGTGCCCAGTAATCCTCGCCTGGTGGGAGAACACAGACTTAGTAAATACAACCACGCGGAATTGATGCAAATATACGCACTAAATCGTTGCTGTTGGTGACTCCGATACACTGTTTGCTGGGGATAGGTTGGTGCAGCGGAGGTGGGCAATGAATGTTGATAGCCTGTTAACAGCGAATGCGGGGCCACGAGTATATGGTAGATATGAACTTTGAGGTCTTGCGGGTGCCTGCGCTTGCGTTTGCCCCAAGGATCGCCTCTGCAACGGGGGCTGGGTCGAAAATTGGAGAGCATGCGCCTGAAATGAAGGTTCTTGCGGCTGAATGGTGGTCGGGTGGTTAGGATGGTAGAAGTATGGCACTTGCGTGGGCGGCCTAGATGACTGTAGAGAGTGAGACTACAGAAGATACAACAAATACGAGCAGTACATTTGGGGGCGATTCGCGCACTTCTCCTTCGATTCTGGCTGTTAAAGGGGCGTCTTCCGCAGACGGATATATTGCATTAGGATAATAGCCAGAGCCACTCCCTGATGAAGGCCTTGCTGCGATGCTGGTAGAGTGATCACATATATTAATCGCCACAGAGAACATTGTGAGATCTTTTCACTCACGGTACTTCCGCTGCCATGGACGCTCTCATATCCGCCAGTTTCTGCCTTCTAACGCATTAGCCACAACATAGTTCAATTTCTGCAAAGCACTCACTCAGCCTCCCGCCCTTTTCTTATCGTCTCCTGTAGTTCATTGTCTAGTTCCATCTGGTAGAGCTTCTGCCGGGCCTCCTCGATCTTGGCCTTGCGTAACGCGTACTCTTCTTCGCTGGTGAGGGGGTTGACAAACGGGGCCATCGCATGAGTATCACTTGAGTTGAGCTGATTACCATTGTTCATCGCCAAAATATCCAGCTATACGAGCAAGTCAAATGAAGAATTGGCTTCGGGCGCGCCAAACCTGTAAAATAATCATAAACCAACAAACGAAAGTCGTTGAAAGATAGTAGAGACGCGTGACTGTCCACAGTGACCGTACGTGACTGTTACGTGTCACGCGTAGACGCGAGCCGCGAGTCGGATACTTCCGAGTGCCACTTAACTGATCGATGTCCCTCCTCCGAGTGGTTACTCGCCATGCAGCACGTCCTTTGACGCGTGCATTTGCCTCCGAACCATCCTCGTCGTTTTCGACGGCAACAGGGGTATATACAGTATTCGACCGAACTGCCAAGAGGAAACAACGCGATCGGGCAGTGAGCAGAGATGCAGGCGTAGGGAGCAGGACCGTGGACTACGTCCGGGATGAAGTTGCAGACCGAATGATGGAGAGGCTACTAGTCAGCGGACTTGCTTTATTCCGAATAGCTCAACTGAGCAATTCATGCTTAGGACATCAAACGCAAATTTGATACCATTGTAGACCTTGGTTCTGGCCCTGGTCACTTTTCCAAGCTCCTCGAGCCCGAAAAAACGCGCAAAGTACTCATGATAGATTCTAGTGGTACGCTCTTCACTTGCTTATCTTAAATTCTCCAGCTGATTGTCATACAGAGGCCATGCTCAACAGAGATCTGGACGAAGAGTTCGAAGGCATGTCACAGTACCTCACTGGAGTAACACCCTGACCACAATACGACCGATTCACAGTTGAAGTAGAGCGTGTCCGTGCAGATGAAGAGAATCTCTTCGATGTTCTTCCCCGCAACTCTCAAGAGGCCATTGTGTCTTGCCTCAGCCTCCATTGGGTGAACGACCTACCAGGCGTACTTGTACAAATAAAAGAAGCCCTGAAACCTGATGGGCTCTTTTTAGGCGCCATGTTTGGCGGGGACACCTTGTTTGAGCTGCGGTAAGTGCAGCGTAAAGCTTTTTATGCTGTTGAATGTCATTTTATCTATAGAACTGCCCTTCAGCTTGCGGAAGTAGACCGCGAGGGCGGCATCTCGCCACATATCTCGCCCATGACAGGTAACTCATTTATGTGGCTCTTGGCGTTACTTGCTTTATTGTTCCATCAGCCCTAATCTGTTTTTGTAGATACTAAGGACATCTCGAACCTCCTCTCTCGTGCTGGATTTACTCTTCTCACTGTAGATATCGATGAAGTGCGTGTTGGATACCCGAGCATGTGGGAACTTCTCGAAGATCTGCGTGACATGGGTGAGAGCAACGCCGTTGTTGGAAGGTGAGCTGTCTCTGCGTCTATCTCTGGTTTCTACTGGAACTTTCTAGGCGACACTTCTTGCACAGAGATACATTGGCCGCTGCCTCTGCTATCTATAAAGGTCTGTTACTACACCAAGTGCACGATGGAGCTATCATTTTTATTACTTCTTTTAATTAGAACTGCACGGAAACGAAGACGGCTCCGTTCCAGCGACATTCCAGATTATCTACATGGTATATTCAATCCCACCTTTCAAGCTGTTCCCTCACGTTCTATATCAGATTGGCTGGAAGCCCTCGCCTAGTCAACCCAAGCCGCTTGAACGTGGAACGGCCCAGACTAACCTCAAAGATGTACTCTGATTTACCGCGTCATTGTGTAGACTAGAATTTCATCCAAGCGTCGGACTATTGCTAATATGTTTCATATACTCAACGTCAGATCTCAAATATCGAATATCGAATTTGACTTTCGCCCACTCTAAGAGTTACTAAAATCCTATGATCGACTGTAACGTGGTATGCAACCTATCAAGAACAAGAAAACAAATGATAACATAGCAACTTAATCTCAGTCTAATAGCTCTGATTGTCAGGGATTACTCTTTTTAAAAACTCCTTCAGGTCGGCACGCTCCTTGGAACATGACGCGTGTAGTACACCATCATACCCCATAAAACTCACACCAGCGCTCCCGAAGGCCGCGCGTTCCGCCTCTCCTTTATCACCCCACCTTAACGCTAGACCGACTTGGTCCTTCAATATCTCCGCCGACTTTCGCCCGAAGCTATATCTCACAAGTGGGTCGTCTGTTCCATGCCCCCAAAAAACCGGCATTGTTAGTGCGTGCGGGGAAATGAGGGACTTGAAACGATCTCGTAATGGCAGCCACCCACTCATCACTGCGACGCCAGCAAGTTTCCAGCCCTCGCCTCCGTCGCGTACTGCGCGCCCTCCGAGACCAGAAAGGAGTACTATTGCACCACCTTGCGAAAATCCACTGAGGACAATACGCTCTTGTGGGATGCCAGCTTCGACCTCTGCCTTGACAAGCGCGTCCAGCTTGCGTACCGAGTCAAACATGCCTGGTGCATCCTCGGTCTCGGTGAAGGCAAACGATGTCAAATCGAACCAGGCACGGAGCCATTCTTTATTGTATATTGTTACGGGTCGCTGCGGTGCGTGGGGAAGAACCCACTTGACGTGCGGGAGGGCAGGCGCGAGCTCCTTTGTGACGGGACTCCATCCTCTGCCATCGTCACCGACACCCTAGGTCGTGTGGTCAGCGTGAACGAAGAAGTGGAATAACAGAAGAAGCAAAATACTGGGCGCTAAACGCTGTTGCCAATGCATGAATGTGGGAGGGCGGACCTACATGTACACAAATCACTGTTGCTGTATGTGCTTTGGTTGGTTGCACCACTAGGAATGGCAATGTGACTGTCGACATCGTTAGGTATCTCACTCCAGTTTTCGTGTATTGTGGAGGTGAGTGATGTCAAGTGGGTCAGAAACGGCACGTCTGTGGACTTTTAGCACGGGAACCAGGGATGCGTTCCCTAAGTACGACCTCCATTAGCTGCTTGGCATATATGATCGTTATATTTGACCAGGTACTTTCAAAGATACCGCGATCGATCTCTTATCTGTACTAATCCCGTAAGTGCCGGCGGTCCCCGGCCGCGGTGGCAATTCAACCTTAACTAGTGCAAATGGCACCGAGATTGCGTCCACCCATGATCATGGAGCAGCCAGTGACTGTCCAAGCAGAAGAAAGTTCTGTCTCACAACCACTCTCAAAGAAAGCCCAAAAGAGAGCTGCAAAAGCAGCCCGCCTACAAGAACAAAAGGTCGAGCGTCGTGCGCGCGAGAAGGAGGCGAAGAAACGCAAGCGACGAGAGCGCGCGCAAGCAGGCGATGCGGAGCCACGGAAGCGTCGTAAAATGGGTGGCCTAGATCAAAACCCTTTTGCTGCGCAAGTGGTAATTGACCTAGGTTTCGATGATATGATGACGGACAAGGTGCGTACAATATCGGCATCGGCATTACACACACACGAGCATACCTGCAGGAAGTGACCTCTTTGACTTCCCAACTTGCATATACATACAGTGCGAATCGACGATCGCATACGCCGTTTACATCACTATTATTTACATCCCTCAATGGGCGCACAAAAACGCGGCTAGATGCTATAAACGATGCTGGATACAAGCGATGGACGAACACAAAATGGTGGGAGGAAGGTTTTGATCGAATATGGACATCCATATCCGATTCCCGCGACGGAGATGAAGGCTTGGATGCGCGTCACAGGAGTGTGGTTTACTTGACCGCCGACTCCGAGGAAGAGCTCATTGAACTGAAGGAGGGAGAAATATACGTTATCGGAGGTATTTGCGACCACAACCGATACAAGGTATGTACTTCGAACACACCCAGTTCGGCATTATAGTACCCAAGAACTACCAGTACCTAAAGAGCCTGAGCGGCTGCATTCCTTCGCGAAAACAAGAAGATCCATTATTCTTTGTGCAACCCCATGTTCACCTTCTCCAAATTGCGGCCCCATTTCCCGTGACTCCTCTACCCTGATCTGACACATTATATTACCAGAACCTCTGCCTTAACAAAGCCGAAACGTCATCCATCCGACATGCGCGTCTTCCCATTGGGCGATATATGGCATCGTTAACGACGAGGAAGGTGCTCACGGTCAACCAGGTGATATTTATTCGTTACGTTGTTCGTCTTTCTGACAGCGGAAGCGGTTCGGCTTACCCATAGGTCTTTGAAATTTTACTGAAGTGGGTTGAGACGCGGGACTGGGAACAAGCATTCTGGAGCGTTATTCCAAAGAGGAAGTTCCAAGGGAAAATTACTGGCTCAGATGCAACCCCTGAGGAGGAGCATGTCGAAGAGGATGATGGCCAGGAGGACCAGGAGGATGCCGATGCAGCTCAGGATGTGGCTTCGAGTGAGGATGGTGAAGAAAATGACCAGGATGACGGGATGTCCAGCTCTCAACCCCAACTAGTGCCAACCACGGCATGATGATGGCTCTGCACTGCATTTCTATCAACTTGTCAAGTGCTACAGCAAGTGACGTGATTCAGCGCCGCCGAGCGAACATATTGGAACCCATTTCATTTCCACCAACCGCTTGCTTCTATCGGGAATCCTTGGTTGAATCTTTTTTCTTTCTTTTTTCGTATCCTTCGCATCATGTAACTAAAACCGTGCGATCAAGTTTGCTGTGTCAAGTGTATATCATGCATAAGTTCGCTTTGCCGTTCCTTCCAGGGTCCAGGCAAAGCTCCAGGTAAGTTTAGATCTTCATGAGTATCTCACGCACAATGGGCAGTCGGGCTCAGTAGGGATGAACAAATGTGCGCTTATATGAGAGCTTAGCCCAAATTGCAGCCGCCCTATCACCAAAAATGCTATTAGCCATGCCTAGTTCACGTGGATTGCGATCTTTCATATCGCTGGCAGCGCGAGCCTTCTCTACCTATCCACTTAGACATCCGCATCAAATGCCATCCGCCATCATCCAGCCGACTGCTCCGCATACCGCAACAGTCATCTTTGCTCATGTGCGCTCACGATGCCAACTTTCGAGCGTGCTGAAGACATTGTTGTGCTGATTATAATCCCACCTCGTAGGGTCTCGGCGATGAGGGAGAAAGTTGGCGTGCAGCGATAAGCGGCGATTACGACTCCAGAAAACCCGGTGAACTGACAATCCCCGCTCGCCTTCCTCATGTCAAATGGGTCTTCCCCGATGCGCCTCAGCAACCGGTGACGGCAAACTTCGGCGCTCGGATGCCTTCGTGGTTTGATCTATTTAATATACCACTTGAACCGGGGCAGATGTTGGACAAGGTATTCGAGGATGACGAGAGCATGAGGAACAGCGTTCAGATCGTAGACGACTTGATTCAAGCAGAAGTGAAAGCTGGAACGCCAGAAAGTCGCATTGTAGTGGGCGGATTCAGTCAAGGAGGAGCCCTGGCTTTGACGACAGGTTTGGGTGGGAAAGAATGGAGGACGAAGAGTTCAGCGGACGGAAGCAAGCTGGCTGGTGTAGCCGTGCTGAGTGGTTGGATGCCGCTCAAAGACAAGTTCCAGTCGGTCAGTCGTGATACATCCTCATAAATTTGATCTTCTACATATGATGTTGATGAATGCTACAGCGAATTGCCCCTCATGCCAAATCTGTTCCAGTATTCTGGGGACATGGAACATCGGATGCGGTGGTGTATTATCGACTAGCGGAGCTTTCAGTCGAATTCCTTGTAGGACAACTCGGTATCACGAAGCATAGCGCTCACGATAAAGTTGGCGCTCCTGGAATCAACTTTGAGTCATATGAATGGATGGGCCATGCTTCATGCAAGAAAGAGATGGAAGATCTGGCGACATTCTTGGAAAGTGTCATACCACGAGAGGTATGATTAAACAAGTCCCGTCGATCAATGCGTGCTGACAGTATTTGTAGCAAACCTAGAACCTGTAAAGCAAAATAATGTTGCAAGAGCTTAGGATCATAAATCTGGTTCACTTCGTGTGTTCTGTGTATCCTGCGTCCGTTATCCGATCCATTGTAGATTTGCATTTACCTTCACCTTGCTATTTCTAAATTGCTGGTTGACGTGGATATTGTGCCCGATAATTCGAAGATATTCGTGTGTGAATCACCCCTATATAGCCCCGCACTTCTCAATGTTGTATCGACGTGTCAAGCATAGATCACACATTCTTGTCTACCACCCTGCCGGTGAGAATATGGGCGCAGAGTGGGCTTCAGGGTACCTCCACGTGGTCATCTTTTATCCCCAGGCAGTGTCGTTTCTTCCTTCAGAACTCTTCATTCTTCCTGTGAGATGGCATCTTTACCACTTACTTTCGTGACCATTTCACCCAAGGCGAAACATACCGCCACAGTCATACTCGCTCATGTACGTGTTGTGGCGATCGTGAGAGGGTCATATTCATCTTAATGTGCTCATAGGGATTGGGAGATAACGGCCTGGATTTCTCAAACAACAAGGAGATGCGTACGATCGCATCCCAGCTTCCCCACATCAAGTGGGTATTCCCTAGTGCGCCTGAGCGCTTCATTACCGCGTGGAAAGGAGATTCGAGGAGGCAAGGCTTAACCAGGGGCTGGCTTGACTTCTTACGCGAGCCTTTGACATATTCGTCTGAATACGAAGACATTCAAGAGTACGATGAGGGAATTATGCAGAGCGTAAAGCTCTTAGATGCGTTTATCCAGTCTGAGATCGATTCAGGGATTCCAGAAGGACGTATCGTGCTTGGGGGATTTAGCCAAGGGGGTGCGATATCCCTGATCACAGGTTTGGGTGGCAGTCAGTGGAGGGGTGCATCCGACACGAAACTTGATGGTTGGAAGTTGGGGGGAGTCGTATGTCTGGGGGGTTGGCTTCCCATGCGGGAAAAATACAAAAAGGTGCGGGGAAGCTTTCAAATGTAATCGCAAACTGTTTCTTAGCCGTGTTTGCAGCGTTTGTCCACGCACGCATCTACGATACCTGTGTTTTGGGGGCATGGAGTGCAGGATGAATCTGTGACTTGGGGTCTGAGCTGGGAGTCAGCCGAGTTCATAGGAGATAAAGTCGATGTCAGATACGGTCAGTATACGAAGATGGGAGAGCCGGGTGTTAGCTTCATGTCGTATGGCGTGGGGCATTGGATGGTTGAATCTGAGATGGAGGATCTGAGGCTGTTTCTGAAGAAGGTCCTCCCTTTGGAAGGATAGGGGCGGGCCGGCGCGTCCTTGCTGTGTACTGAGCTACAGACTTTTTTTCTGTCCTCTTTATGTTAGGTTGAAAGCATAAATTCGATCGACCTGACATTTGAGATTGGGATGATAGTGACTCCTCGGGCCGTAATCCATTTCATATCATGTGGATTCCATGTCATCGCACCTTCCCCGCCTTGATCAAGTGCGTCAAGTGCATCTGTGTCATTTTTATCTAGCTCAAAGCCTGGGCATGAGATATAATGGCATCGCTTTGTACGGGGAGATTTGGGGCGGGGGATATAATTGTATTTTTCTAAGTTCTGAGTTACATAAAGTTCGTGGCGAAGCATATGCTTACCCTTTTTAAATTTACAGCGACCACCGAACGAGGATTTTGTGCCTCGTCTTCAAATTTATCATGTCGCGAGGATATTCTCGCGTTAGCTCGCATATAAAAACGGCTTCCGAGATCAGAGGACCTTCCCTTTTAATACTAGCATCATCAGTTCTTGGGAAACTCAACTACGCTCACCCAAAGACAGACAGATTACCTATATCCCTCCTTCAAGGCAACTTGTCAAACTTCTGCGAACGCCGCACAGGCACGAATGTCTTAGGCATTACGCCACTGCCAGTGGCTAAATATGAAATCATCTGAGAGAAGTTGGGTGACACTTTGAATGAAGGAGAGGGGAAGGAAAGTTTCAGCTGAGTGAGCCGCCGCAAGGGGGTATACCCGAACAAAGAGGCACCTCGTCGAGTCATGCTTGCGAGCTCCGGAGACGGAGATATATATGTTTAATGGTAGCGCCGGGTCGTGGCCCCGTCACAAGTGCCTAGTATTATTTCCGGGATTGCATGGATGATGAACTTTCAGGTGAAATTTGCCGATTATTACATTGGTGATAGTGCAGAGTATAAGATTTGGCACGAGCAAGTACTGGCAAAGCTAGTGGTGCGACCGTCAATGTTACATTGAGAAATTTGAACGTTCACGTTCTGAAGGAAGGGAGCTTGTTGCTGCTCAGTGTTGTTGACTTCAAGCCTTGAAAGGAGCGACTGTCACATTCCTTCTTCAAGGTCTGACTATGGGAGGCTCTGAGGTTTCGAGATTCCTCGGGCTATTTGAGTTTCGAATGTTGTCGCTCGTCGCATCCATAATCCTTCCCGTCTGAATATTGTTGTAACTCTCTGAAGAGAGTGAGGTTCGGACGAGGGAGTAGAGACGGGGAGAAATCAGCCTTCGATTGAGAGAATTGTACTACGGTAGCATACCTAGAGACAGGGGAAAAGGTTGTAGGGCTACAACCAGACAGAAAGTGTCCAGGTTGACGCCCACCTTAATGTTTGATCGACAGACTGCGGGAAACCAGGTTCAAAAAATCAAAGAGTATGTACTGCTAGAATAGATAATGAGCAGAACACGTGTAACAAAGAGTGAAACAAAGCATGCGACGAGCGACAACACTCGGAACGAAAATCGCCAAAACCGTTTAGAAACACCCGCATAACCGACCGCTTCCATGTTCTCCAGTGGTAATCTGCGCTGCTGCAGATGGTTGTTGTGAATCGGGATTTGATGAAGGAGGAGTAGAAGGTATATAGTCTTCATCACGTATCCAGCCCTCGTTAATTTTGGGAGCTCCAGCTCCAGCGTTGCGCTACAAATGGATGCATGAGACCTCGAATACAGAAAAATGAACCAAGTGTACCTCTTTACCCTGCGCGAGAGGAACATCAACAAATGGATGACCTGGACGAACGGGCCACCAGGTTGATAGGTTGTGTAGGAGGGACATGAAGGTTGTGGAAGTAGTAGCAGAGGACTGGATGACGAGCGGTGGTGGTGTGGATCGAGACTGAATAAATGTAAGTCAAAAATGATATTACGGCGGTCGATATTCACGCTCTCCTGGGGATCCAGATGTGAAAATCGGCGAGTTGTGGCCTGCACCGAAGAAAAGTAGTTGGGAGGAAGGGGCGATGTAACAGGGAACTAGAAGGGGTAGTCGAGTCAACTGCGAAAGAACCTGGTAAAGGAAACATACATTCAGAGGATCACGAGGCTGACTGTTCTGAACAGGGGGAACTGCGTTCGTGCGAGAAGGAAGGAATTTACGGAGGTAGCGAAAGAGACCACGTCGCTGTGGTGTATCGCAGGGGAAGGTCTTGGCGGCCGAGGGGCCAAAGATATGGCTGGGTGACGGCGCACGGGACGACGTGTTGCATCGGACTGCAATGGATGGCATTAATAGAGTGGTGTAGGCGAGGAAAAGAATGAACGCGCACGTTGAGTAGATGATTTTTGGGTTTGCTCTGCAAAAGAATGTTCTAAGTGCACGACCGGATAGATATATGTGGGGGAATGTATACCTTAGGCTGCGCTTCTAGTGCAGGCCAGATATGAGCAAGGACTGTCGGGTGGAAGGTCACATATGTAGATCTTGGTGTCACCACAGATAGTGTAAGCCAGTTGGTGTGAGTTGGGAGGTGATTGGGACTCTGGGGATACTGAAGGACAAATGAGGCGAGTAGCTGACGGGACTCAAAGGCCCAGAGTTTGATGGTCCAGTCTAATGGAGCGCTAGCGAGGAGAGCACAATCAAATGAAAGTGCTAGACCACAAGTGACAAATGGTATAGGTGTGCCCTTCGAAGGAAGCTCCGACAATCTCCAGCGTAGACGCGTCGAACTCATAAATCGTCTTGGGTCCCTCCATCGCAAAATCGACTTTAAAGCTGAATGCAGGCTACGATGGTTTTGTCCTTTGTAGTCCAGAACACCGGCACATGTGGTGGAAACCCGCCGTGAGGACGTTTCGTCACTCTGACATCTAATTTCTGTGTTTGGACGTCCCACACCTCAAGGCACATCCTCATACCCGACATGACTGCGAGCTTCTTCGAGTCTTGCGAGAATCGAACTGCGCCCATCCCCTGAACAGTCTCGAATGGACCAGCGACGAGTTTGCCAGTGTCCAAGCTCCATATCCATGTTTCATTCCATGACCCGCCCGCCAGTAGCGTGCTGTTTGCGGAGATATCGATGCAATTGACCCAGCGTAGGTCTTCAAACGTTTTCACGATGCCCGTCTCAACATCACGGGCTCTGAGCACACTACCTCTACCAGCGGTGACAACCCATCGACCATTCCTGGATACCGCCACAATTCGTACTTCATGCTCACAAACATCCCGCGCCTCCTTGACCTCCTTACCTGTCCGCAGGTCCCATTGCCTATTAGTCTTATCGGCTGATCCGCTGATCATTTGCTTCCCGTCCGGAAAGTAGGCAATGGATGAAACATAAAAGTCGACGTATTGTTCGCCATTCGGAAGTATGTAAGTGACTGGTTCATGACCCTCTGAGGTCATGACCGGTGTCAGAATTGACCTCTTCGCTGCTGTAGCGGGCTGCGTCGAGCTGGAAGCCATCATGGTTGTATTCGCCCGAGAGGTTGGCAAGTATGTCAGTTATTTGGATGAATAACCGCCGGCGAGGTCTCCTCGCGTCCTACTGGAGCCTGGCCTGACGTTGACAGTGACTTTGAAGATGCCCAACTTGTTCGAGCGCTGCGGCACTTTCCCTGCTCAAGCCAATCGTCAGTTGATCCGTGCTGGAGGTTCAGATGAGAGTGATGTTACTAAGTGTCTGGCTGCAATGGCCTGATGATAATGATGATGATGGGGATATCATAGGGTGCATCTACCACGCTCTTTCCTGTACATGGCACAGCATGTTCTTTTTTTATTCTTTCCTTCTCAATACAGCCTCTCTCATTCTAGCACACAATCATGCTATTCCCACGTTCCAGCACCCCAGCCCACACAGCCTGCAGTACTTGCTGCAGATCGCATACGTGGGCGTTCACTTTCACCAGCCAAGTCCTACGGGTATGTCCCTCTTCGGCGGATGCTGAATGTGCTGCGACATCTGCGATACATATAAGTATATGGTACGGTATATCCCAGGGTACCACCTTGGCGTGGTGGTGGCTACGTTACCGCAGATACATGGAAAGATGTCAAATCTCACCGTATCAGCATCCTCACTTCGTTCACCGCTTGAATGATAAACACCGGTAGCGCACGTTCGAGCACTCTGAGTTACTATGGTGCTCAGCGGATCCGTTCACCAGTAAGAACGGATCCAACGCCATAAGTTCCTCGGTGGTTCGCCACAGGCGCCTCACTTGCGCCTTAATCAGTGATTCGGCGCGTCCGGCCCGTATTCTATTCGGCTATCGTGGTGCCACATCACCGAACGTGGGTCCGAATTTGTCGTCCGCGAGTCACTCTGCACATAGTACACACTTATCCTCTATGCTATCAGCCTCATACTAATCTTCTCTCCTCACAGCTCTAACTTATTCTTCATTTACAGCAGGCCCAATCTCTAGAGTATAGATATTGAAACAGGCAACCACTAGTGTTCCAGAATCACCGTCTGTGCCCTATCGGCACCGACATACCAGACAGACGACGCGATCTCGAGGAGGAGTCATATTATCTCCTCCAACGATCGTCCAGTCTGACATACCCAGCGCATGACCTTACTCCATGTCTACTTTGCACTACGCAAACAGCAATCCTTCCACCGCCTGCTTAACGGCGGTCCTGGACAGCCTTCCACCTCCGTCAGTACCAGCAGTGGAAAATCATGGAAGCGTGCGGGGGCATTGAACATATCCCTCGAAATCAACGCTCTCGATGCACTTGGCCGGTCCGTTCTGCATCTAGCATGCGCCTCCACCGAGCCTTCAAGCTTGGAGTATGTCCGCATGCTCCTTGCCCACCCGGCTATCAATGTCAACGTATTGGACAAGGAGAGCCACTGGACACCCTCACATAGAGCCCTATATGCGGGCAACGTCCCCGCCGCGTACGTCTCCATTTCGCATGTGCAACCGGGACAGTTGTCTTACAGTTTCTAGGATTCTCCTTTTGAAGCGCCCGGATATTGACATGTCCATCAAGGACTTCGAAGGGTACACTGCTTACGACGTCTATAACTCAACCGTGAGATCTACAAAGCCTACTGCGGACGAAGAGGCTCTTGCAGAGCTGTTTACCTGGGGCACGAACAGGTGAGTCAGCATGCTGGCGAAATTTAGTGATCACGTCTCAAGAGGCCCTTCCATATCAGAAACGCAGCGTTGGGACTGGGAGATGGTAATGATAGATCACATCCTGACCAGGTCGTCGTTCCCCGTAAGGACGATGTAGCGCGTCAGTACAACAAGACCCTGGACGACCGCTTCGCCCCGATTCACGTCCAGCAAGTGTCAATGTCTAAGCTCCACACAGGCGCGTTTTTAATTTCACGGGTTATATATGCTGACCTAACCGGGCTGTAGTTGTACTCACATCCGAGCCTCGGGATAACATCCGCGTGTGCGGCTTTGGTAGTGGAGGACGGTAGGCATTGTTATGTACTCGAAAGCCGTGCGGGTTGCTGAATTTTTTCTGCAGTTTGGGTCCCAGTCAACATACGCAGTATAGTCTCATGCCCCTTCCTGACATCAAGCACACCATCGAGTCCGTTGCACTTGGCCAAGACCACACCGTCGCACTCACTTCGACTGGAGAAATTCTCACATGGGGACTCAATCGCTTTTCTCAGCTTGGCTACGTCATCGAGGTCTCATCTTCCGGAAAACATGACGAGCCTATCCAGGCCACGCCGCGGAAGGTCGGTTCTTTGAAGAAAGAGGTTGTCAAAGGCGTTGCAGCATGTAAGACCGCTTCTGCTTGTTGGACAAGTACGGAAGTATGGACGTGGGGCACGAACGGCGGGCAGCTTGGTCGGATATGATTCACCCGGGTTGTTAATACGTGCTCACATTGAAATTTATTAGGGTACGACAAGGCGTTGGTGCCAGTCCAAGTGCTTCCTCGCAAAGTCTCCAGCATAGTGAAGCCCGTCCACGCAATAGCGATGACGGTTCGTTGAAAATTTTTTCTCGTGGTTCTAGAATGAGAGTGACTCCGGGTTTAGGAAACCCTAATGGCGTGTCTACTTGTGACGGGCGAGGTCGTGTGCGTTTGGTCTGGAGGGGTTTCCAAGATCAAGTCAGACTTTCTATTTGCTCACTCTATCTTTCTGACGTTCATGTCTAGTTTCCCTACCCAGAGATTCCCCTCAGAGATCTCCGTCTACCGACCCCCGCAAGCGGTCAAGGGTCAGACAATCACCAAGCTCACGAGCTGCGACGATACCATCGCGGCCCTCTCGTCGAGTGGGGAAGTATTTACATTTACTTCACCATCTGTTGGAGATGGCGATTCCGCGAAGAGTTCCTCTGCATTCAAGCCCCAGCGCATATGGGCGCTGAGACGCCAATTCAGTGCTGTGCAGGTGGGTGAGCTCAAATTCAAGTACCGCGCTGTCTGACGTCTTGTAGGACGTCGACATTGGGGCAGACGGAACTGTCATAGTCTGTACTCGGTCCGGTCACATCTATGTCCGCTCGCGGGGCGCCAAAGGAGGTCAGGGCACCGGTGCCAAAGCATTCAAATTCCAGCGCATACCGTATATGCAGCGTGCTGTTGCTGTCTGCGCAAACAGCACTGGGGCGTTTGGGGCTCTGCGCGTTGATTTCAAGCCGCCACCTATTCACATCACTACACATTCGTTTTCATCTGATATTGCTAAGATCCAACCATACCTAGGTCTTTCATCGCGTGCAGAGCCATCGCCTACTATGCCAAACGTGACGACTCCTCTCTTGGATGCTGATGAAGATGTCGAGGACGCGTCGATCCTGGACGATATTGGCGATCTCTCAAAGTTGCTTCATGTTCTGGAGCAAGGCAAGAACGCATCAGGATATTGCATTGCCATATAACGCCGACGCGATTATTATCACTTCTGGTCCACTACATCTTCCCGCTCATCGACTCATTCTCTCCGTGAGATGTCCAGTGTTGGGAGACGTTTTGCATGGCGGTCGTCTATTACACGATGAATCATCGGGAATCGAGGTCAGTCTCGTCTCAGCAGACAGGGTCCGCAAGATCCAGATCCTCGGGTGTCATCCTTTCACGGTCCTAATTCTCCTTCGATACTTGTACTCGGACGAACTCCTCGCCATCTGGGATTTACGCATCGGAACCCCCTTCGGATCTCAATTTCAAACACTCGATTTGAAACCCGTAGCTGTCAAGGCAGAACTTCAATCACTTGCACGTATATTGGGTCTTCAGCTTCTTTCGAAAGCACTTCGTTCGCCAGGAAAGCGAGTTCCGACTCCTTCGCAGGCAGAAGACTTCCGCCTGCTCTACGAGAGAACCCAGTCACCTGGGCTTTTGCGAAGAAATACAAACGAAGATTCTTTTGCGCCTGACGTCGCGCTCCACCTTGCCGACGAAGTAGTTGTTTGGAGTCACTCTGCGGTGCTACAAGCCCGCAGTCCATTCTTTGCCAGCTTCTTTGGAGATAGCGCGTGGACATCTAACCGTCGTGATAAGTCGGGTATCATCGATGTCAATCTCAAGCATTTGGAGTGGCAAGTGATGGAATATGTCGTTCGATGGATGTGTTATGGAGATGAGAACTTGTTTGAATCTCTTGGTAAGTTTTCGCGTCTTATTGAGTTACAGCCCGCTCATTGCATCAAAGACTTTGTGCAAGGGATAGATGACTTACTATCCTTTATGTTTTCTGTTATTTCCGCAGCAGTAAGTTCACATGCACTCTCTTTAGGCGTATTTCCAACGAACAATGTCATCTAGAACGAACTTCTACTCGATCGCCTGATGCTTCTTTGCTCTCAAGTCATTTTGAAGCATCTCGATGCCTACAATGTGTGCTATCTTCTCACTGACGCAATGCATTTCAACGCGACCCATCTCGTCGAACGCCTGCAAAGTTACATCACAGCAAATTTAGAGATGATGCTAGAGGGTCGCATGCTCGAGGACCTCGACCCTGGCGTCGTGCGACAGCTTTCCGAGTATATCTGTAATGCGCAGATGACGAAGTCCCTCGTCTCTCGTTCGAACTTGCTGGCGAATGAGGCGCTGCGGAAGCACGCTGAGTGGCTTGCTCAACAGGATATTCCAGTTGTGTTTGCACCCGCAGACAGGCCACAAGTTCACAGGGATTCTCCGAGGTTGTTGGCTTCGGGCTCGACGAGGACCTCTCCGATGTCTGTGCGTCCGGCGGCAGATTCACGCAAGGTTGATACTGGGCCGGTAGGAGACGAGCTGTTCGCGATGGACGAAGTTCCTCCTGCGGATGTCACTAATCGACCAGTCCCTGCGGTTGCTGGACCGTCTGGACCAGTACCAATATGGAAACGGCCTGTCTCTACGCCTAGGTATGTGGAGTTTTTTCCCCTTCCTATGGACTGTGCTGATGCCTCTGTGAAGGACTGATCTCAAGGCTATTATGGCAGAGGCTGAGAACACCAGGGTCCTCGGTGCTGCAAGTAGACCAGCGCACGGTGCTATGGGCAAATCTAGTCAGGAGTCTTTGACACAGGTGGCTACGCCACAACGTAGAACCGTTGGTTCGTCGTCGAAACCCGACGCCTCACCGACACCGCGTCGAACGCCGTCTGATCTTGACTTGGGGAAGTCATCTTCGTTTCCAGAATCACCCGCCGCCGCAAAGCCAATGCATACGAGAACACCTCAGCGGCCGGCTCCTCAAGCCGGGCCGTCATCTTTGAAGCCTCAGTCGAACACACCTTCACTCGGCCCTGTTTTTTCACCAGTTCGTCAGGCGCCTTTGACATCCAGTTCACCGGGTCCTCGACATGTTTCGTACGTGTGCGCTGTTCTCCTTCGGTCAAGTCTGGCTGATTCGTATTTACCAGGAATACGGGTGCTGCATGGACACTTCCGCCTGTTCAACCAGTGGTGCAATCGAGCGTTGCATCATCCTCGCTTTCGTTTGCTGAGATACAGCAGTCACAGCTGTTGCAGGGGATACCTGCACCAAAAGACAAGCGATCGCTCGTCGAGATACAAGAAGAGGAGCGAGCCGTTCAACTAGAGGCAGATTTTATGAAATGGTGGGCGGCGGAAGAGGCGCGTACTCAAGCAGAAGCGCATAGGGCTTCTGAAGCGCTACGTGCTACTCCTACTAAGAGTAAGGACCGAGGAGGGAAGAGGCAATCTTACAGCACTCGTCAGAAGCCTGGTGAAGCACACCCTACGCAGAGTTCTAGCCGTTCCAGGAAGGGGGGAGGAGGGGGGAAACTTTCGCAGTCCACGACACCGGCGGCTGATGGTGAAATGCCGCAGGCTGGAGGCTCTAGTCGGAAGAGTCGAGGGAAACAATCTGCTAGGTCGACGGTAGATGGATCCATCCCTGGTCGACAGGCCAAGATTGAAACCATGTAGCAAGCCTTGAGCCAGTTGGACTACTTATAAAGATCGCCGCGGACTCAGGATGCATGTAGTAATTTCATGATGAACACTCGTCCGTGTCTCTCGTATGTGTATTAAGGCATGCAAACTTCATACATTCATTAGCAGGAACTGGAGAGGCTGCGGCGTTGTGCTGCTGATTGAAGCTTGCGGTACATCAATCCTCTCCCTTTCGTTTGCAGAACTATCGAAGAAGTCCCCGGCGAGGACGAGCGCGTCAGCCTCTTCGTTAGGATACTGTGCTTCGACGTCAAGTATTCGGGTCAGTGTTGAGAGCCGTAATCTGGTGCTGTTGGTCAAGCTCGGCGTTATTGACGTATCGCACCGGTGATGCTGTTTCATGCCCCGGGGCATCCGCGTGTGCAACAGAAGGTACGATTAAACGATATGTTCACGGGGGCTTCGACGACGCTCTAAAAATTTGCGTGCTCGTTTATGATTCCAATGATATATATACTAAAGGTCAAAAAGGTGGCCCCCGTGTTCGTTACGACAGGCTAGTATATCGAGGGAGATTGTAAGCTTCATTAGCTGGAAAGACGGGAATACACTCACAGACACAGTTATCAGTAGGGTAAGAATCACCATCCTCTCCTCGTCCAGTAGTATTTCCCAGAGGGATGCATCGAAAACCTCGTCGTGAACCACCTCTTGGCATCTGTACGTCTGATGTTATCGTGGGTTCCCGAATGACTTTACCGATGCCACGCGCCATAGCGGAGGGATTGAAATCGGACATAGGCAACCGGAACGATGAATCATTTCTACCTGCGACGGGAACTGCCCTTATGACACGAGATCCCCCCACTCCAAGGGAGCGCATGCCTTCCCCGCAGAAGTGGCGAGAGTTCTGTGGACCCCATGATGACCATGGAACAGATAGTCCATCTTTTGACGTCGCATCGAACCATGCCAGAGGTATATAAAATATGCGAGCAGATATAACAAAAATCAACGAGGTATTGGGCCACGTTACAGGTATGACTCGATCTGCAGGGTTTGTCGTTCAAATCCAATGATCGTCTGGCGACTTGGGGCATGCACAGCTTTGGGTATTATGGAACACCGAGTGAAATACGGAGGAGCCCAAATCCTTTATGAACGGGAAGGATAGATCTTGCCTGAAGGCGCGGTATCTTTGATAGGTCTTCGATGTCGTATAGCTCTATATGGCCATCTGTTGAAAGGGACAATATCTTCTCCTTGGTAAGAAAACAGATGTCGTTCAACTCATTGCCTTGGAAAATGACACATAAAAGGTCTTGCGTCTCATCCACGCAATAAAATGGGCCGATGTGAGTTGCATTTTGGCTATAATTGCTCCATGTATGGGGAAAGGCACTGGCCGTTTCAGGCGTGCAAGTCCTGAGATGGATGACTTTGGATAGAACATCTCCACAGAGCTATGCAAAAATGCTGAGTTGCTGATGGGTGATGGACTTGGAAACGAACGTGGATGTGGAATGAAGCCTGAAACGCTGACTGACGGAGGATGGGAACCTTTGCAATACATCGAGCTCGAAGGAACTCGCACTTGGCCTTGTCTCTCTGAGGGCACGCAAGCACTCTACAACGATGATGGTAGGTAGCCGCGGATGAACCGGCATCAATCTTTCAGCACCGAGTTCGATGATGTATTGCAGTTTAACAGAGTTTCGACTGTCGTATAATGTTTGGCAACTCTGGAACGGCGAAGATCAGATCAGTGTATGAGTGAACAAAACGCTTATAAGACGAGAGACTGGGCTGAATGCATGACCCACCAGCGCGCAGCATATGATTTCATGGCGTGAAAGAAAACCAAGGATATGGCAGCGCAACTCCTCGGCGATATCACAGACGGAAGCCCTTCCAAAATGAGACTCGGACGTGTTCATGGATCTCGACGAGGGACGGGATGATTGGCTCGATGCGAACTCAATGACATAAATTAGATGTGCTAGTGCTTGAGTGAGAAGCTTGCAGTTGGCGAACATATACAAACTCACCGTGACCGCAAGCAGCTTTACCTCGTTTACTTCAATGAGATAACGATGCGCTTCAAGAGTGTAGTAGCTTATGCAAAGTATAGTGTGTCAAAATAGTCGAGAAGAATAGAAACAAACATGACCGCGAACCCCGGATAACTAGTGAGTATAGGGGGCTCGAGGTTGAGCAGCCCTGCACAGTCCACTTTGACCTGTATCTGCTCAGGTAACCCGACCCGTATACCGTTTGAACGTCTGAACCATCACCCAGCCACGTCTCTGGTGTGTCATCCGACGATAAGGTGTCAGGGCCTCAGAAGTTGACGATGCAATACGGATGCAATACTGAAAAGCATGACGGAAGAGTTTTGGTGTTATGCAGACATCGAGGAAGATGGATAGGATGAGATATTGCTATCATTTATCTGCATAATAACTGTCGTCGAAGTTGCAGAAGGGAATTACTTCTGGCACACGAGAGAGCTAAGCCGTAAGCAGCTCTTCCCGCAAGTATATTTGTACTTAGCTTATAAGTTACATGACATCGATACAAAGACAAGATAGTAATCCACTGCAGTGACCACGTATCAATGAAGTTTACCGAAAGTCAATGTCGATAGGAACGCATGCCACAAGCGACACGTAAAATTTGCCAAAATCCCGCGTCCATGCTCTCCGGCGGTAATCTTCCCTGCGGGTAGTGGTTGTGAATTGGGGTACGGTGAAGGAGGAGGAACATAGTCCTCATCACGAATCAAGTCGTCATCGTCTGTGGGGGGAACACCCTGCCGCGGCATGGCGCTGCAAATTGATACATCAGATCTCATTGACACAGGAGAAAATAAAATGAGCGCACCAATTCACCCCACGCGAGAGGAACGTCGACAACAGGCGGAGGTGGATGACCTAGACGAATGTGCCACCAGGTCAATAGGCGATATATGCGGGCTCTGAAGGTAGTGGGAGCAGCAGAGGACTGGGTAGTGGCTGGTGCTGGTACGGATCGAGGCTGAACAAATGTGAGTCAAAAGTGCGATTACAGCTGTTGACACTTACGTTCTTGTGGGGATCCAGATCAGAGGGCGCCTTACTCGTGACCTGCACCAAGGGAAAGTGATTTGGAGGTAGAGGCGACGTAGCAGGGAACTGTAAGGGGACTGTCCAGTCAACCGCGAAGGAAATAGGTAAAATGAACATACATTCAGATAACTACGAGGCTGATCATTCCGAACAGGAGGAGGTGCGTTCGTGCGGGAAGAAGGAAGGAGATTGAGGAAGTAGCGAAAGAAAGCGGGTTTGCGTGAGTGTCTTGTAGGCAGAGGTCTGCGCGGGTGGGGGACGGGAGATATGACATGGGATAACGCTGAATTACGGCGCACAGGACGACGTGTTGCGTCGGACTGCAATAGATAATGGCATTAATGATGTGGTGTGGAAGAAAGGGATTACGTACATTGAGTATATCAACAATGCGTGAATTATGAGGTGCACTAGTCTGCAAGAGAACGTTAGCGCACGACCTATGCTGGTAGTAAATGGACACACTTCCTGTGTAGGCCAGATGCGAGTAATTACATCGGGTGGAATGTCGTGTATGTAGATGTTGGGATCATAAAGTGTCGTGACAGCCAGTCGGCGCGAGTTGGGTGAGAAGACAAGGAAGTTGGGACTCAGAAGGTAAAATGAGGCGAGGAGCTGGCGGGATTCGAAGGCCCAGAGCTTGATGGTGTGGTCGAATGAAGCGCTAGCGAGGAGAGCACAATCAAATGAAAGTGCTAGGCCAGAGATAGTCCTGGTGTGCCCTTCAAAGGGAGCTCCGACAGTCTCCAGCGTAGACGCGTCGAATTCATAAATCGTCTTGAGATGATCCTTCGTCTCATCCTTGACGCTGAATGCGGCTACGATGGTCTTGTCTTTTGTAGTCCAGAACACCGGCACATCGAAAAAGACATCGTTCACTGTGTCCCCAATTCTGACATCCAATTTTTGTGTTTGGACATCCCACACCTCAAGGTAATAACCTCCCAACGTGTCCTGGATTGCGAGCTTCTTTGAGTCTTGTGAGAATCGAACTGCGCCCACCCCCTGAACAGTCTCGAATGGACCAGCAACGAGTTTGCCAGTGTCCAAGTTCCATATCCGCACTGTACGATCCCATGACCCGCTTGCTAGTAGCGTGCTGTCCGCGGATATGTCGATGCAGCTGATCCGCTCCGAGTGGCCTTCAAATATCTTCACAATACCCGTCTCAATCTGACAGGCTTTGAGCTCCGAGCCCCCATTAATATCCGGATCTCCACCAATGCCAACCCATCGACCATCCCTTGATACCGCCACTGCACGTACTCCCTGCTCGCGAACTTCTCGTGCCTCCTCAATCTCCTTCCCAGCCTGCAAGTCCCATCGCCGAGCGGTCTTATCGTCAGATCCGCTGATCATTTTCTCGCCGTCTGGAAAGTAGGCCATATAAACATCACAGAGGTCAGCCTGCTTGCCATCCAGAAAGGTGTGAGTGACTAGTTTATGACCCTGCAAAGTCATAGCCGGTATCGGAATCGACTCGTCCGCTTCTTCATCGGGCTGTGTCGACCTGGAAGCCATGACGGTTGTATTCACCGGAGAGGTTGTCAAGTTTGTCAGTTATCTGGATGTGTTCGGACGACTGATACTAAGTTCTCCTTGTATGCCGTTGCCCTGACGTTGATGGTGATTTTAACAATGTCGACCTCGTTCGAGTGCTGTGTCACTTTCCCTGCTAGGGCTAAGTGTCAGTTTATCCGGGTTGGAGGTTGAGATGGGGTTTAAATACCACCAAGAGAGGGCTGCAATCGCGATAATGATAAGCATAAGGGCGCATCTCACACCTCTTAACAAGCTCTTCCCCTGTCCATGGCACAGCGTGTCCTCTTCCCCTTTCTTCTTAAACCGCCTGAATTCTAAGCCCGTCATTCTGTAAGCTCGTTGGCTTAGCTAAGTTCCTATAATCGGCATAAATACTGTCCGCGATAATGAAGCGTGAGCTTTTATTATCACTGAGTGCCATGCGATTGGGAGCCATCACTGGTGGGGGGATGAAAACGTGGGAGAGTGTAAGCCCGTTGGCTTACCTGAGTTCCCATAATCACCATAAATACTGTCGGCGATAATGAAGCGCGAGCGCTCAAGCTTGGCCGGTGCCTCAGAGAGGACAAAAATTGTGCCGAGGCAGGTGGTAAATCGGGGGCTGCGCTTGCATCTGACGGAAGACGTGAGGTTCATAGAAGATCAACTCGAACTCAGATACGGTCAGCATACGAAGGTCGGAGAGTTGGGTGTAAGCTTCACGTCGTATGGCGCATGATTCTCTGTAGCCACTCCCGAATAAGGTCCTTCCATTGGAAGGTTAGGAGCATGTCAATCCGACGCTCTTTCTGTGAACCGAGCTACGGACTTTTTTTCGTCACTCTTGGGCTAGATTGAAAGCATGATTTCGATCAACCTGACATTTAAGATTAGGGACAAAGTTAACTCTTCGGGCCATAGTGCATTTCATATCATGGCTCATTAACCGGATTCCATGTTACCGCACCTTCTTCCCCTTGATCAAGTGCATCAAGTGCATCCATGTCATCTTTATCCAGCTCGAAGTTAAAGACTTGGGCGTTAGATCTGATGCGCTTCTGGTCGGGAAGATTTCGGAAGAGGGATATAGCTAGTAGATTTTTCTAAGTTCTGAATTAAAATTCGTGGCGAAGATGCTTACCCTTTTTGTAGCGACCATCGAATGAGGATCTGTGCCTCATCTTTATCATGCTGTGAACAGATTCTCGCGTTAGCTCGCACAGGAAAAGGCTTCTGAGCCTAGCGGACCTTCTTCGCCAGCCGCGTAAATACATTGTGATCCATTTGGCCGGTCACGAGAGGGGAATAAGCCTGTACTGCAATGCCTTTCGCCCGGCAATACTCAACAATAGGTCTTTGTTGGCAGAACGGGTGTAGCTCAATTTGATTGACATCAGGCAACTCCAATCCCGCGTCGATAATTTCATCGATGTGCTTTCCGGAGCTGTCAACAAGAGGTTAGTCGCATTCTTCAATAGGTAAGGTCGATATGAAGAAACGGTGTACCCACTAATTTGAAACACCGATCTTCCTCACGAGGCCATCCTTTTTCGCTTCAAGGAGTGCTCTGTATGTCTCGATCCGCCTCTTCTTCCCACTCGTTGGGGAGTGGATCAAGTACAAGTCGTAGTAGCCTTGTCATGCGCTCAACATCATGTTGGTGTATAAGACAATGAAGACCTACCTAGACCGAGCTCGACCACTGATTCCTGGATACATTCATAGGCCCTCGCATACCCGAAGTCGGGGTGGTAGATTTTAGAGGCTATCAATCATTCGTATTAACAGCTGGACTATCGCTGCATCAACGAAATCCATACTGATGAATATTTGCTCGCGGGGAATTCCACTTCGTCGGACGCCGACCCCTACTTGAGCTTCATTCATGTAGTATCTCGCCGAGTCAATCATCCTTTAATATTAACATCGTCAGTTGACTCAGTTCCACTACGTTTATCAACAGACAGACGAATTACCTGTACCCTTCCTCCAAGGCAGCTTGGCAAGCTTCTGCGCACTCATCATTCAGGTAAACCCCGAGCCCGATAACGGGTATGGTCCCGCCTGTCAATGGATGTCTCAGGCATTACACCGATGTAGATCGATAGATATGAAATTACCTGAGAGAAGTTGGGTGACACTTTGAAGGCTTAACGCCATGATGGAGAGGGGAAGAAAAGGGTCAGCTGAATGAGCGGCCGCACGGTGGTATAATGGGTATTATTATCCTGCAAGGCTCTCACCAAGAAGCACCTCGAGTGACGATCAAGCTTAAGTGTGACTCGGTCCTGGATATCCAGGCTTGACGTGGCTTGAAATTTAACGTGGAACTGGCGCGGCACATATGGGCAAGGCTTGATAGTGGGGACGAGGCTCGATGCATCTGAGACTAAGTACCAAATTTTAAACCCTTGTAGACTTAGTTTGCCGTCTGTTCATGCTTGTCAATTTTGGAGGCAGAAGCCCAATAAAGATTGAAAGAGTTTTGCGCGACAAGGATTGCGCTGGAGCTCTGCCGATCTTTATTTTCGTCGGTACATGGTATTTCAAGGTGATCCCAAGGTATGTTTGGTGGTAGCGTAAATTACGCAGTTGACAAACTGAAACTTTACCGCTGCGCGACTCTCACCCCGACGTAAATATTAAATGAGAGACTAGTATGAAACTTCTGGGTGGTGCGACCATCGATGTCAATCATGGAGAAAAGTTGAGAAAGTAGTCAAGGTCGAGTCGTCGTACAAACGAGACCAAATAAATCGGAGACACCTCGCAAACGCCAACTCAGATACACTTCTGGTCACTGAACCACATACCACAATGCCTGTCCCATGGGAAGCTCTCATTCCGTTCGGTATGTTCCCCTGAAACCTAAGGCGAAAATTTACTGACCTGTTGACCCCATTTTCTCAATGACACCACAGGCCTGCTCACTTCGATGTTTGCAGCGGCCGGAACGCTCTTGAATACTTCCAAGAGGGCTCAGAATCAGGGCAAGGTACGTTTTGAATTTATTTTGTGAAGCCATAAATGCTCCAGTATCTGACTACCACATTGTCTTCTTCACCTCGTATATTCCATTTCGCCCACAAAACGATCGCAACTCTCTAGCCTGTTCGATACCACGTCGACACTTGGGACGAGATGATGATGGACCGTGATAGGCGTCTAACGGGACACATACGTGGACAAAGTGTATGTGCCGTCCCTTCGTTGACATTCGCACTTACATAGTATGCACTTTTCTAGTCAAATCCGGTGCCTCCAGAAGGTTTCGAGACGAGCAGTGCTTGGTACACGGAAGCTACATCATGATACCTCATACCTTGGTACTGTGAATGAAATTGTTCTTTAGATGCGGCACTACACTTGTCAGACAACCGGCTTGCGGTAGGGCCAGTTCTTGAAGAATAAGGAAAAGACTGAGAGCACAAGAAGCATATTTATCATGTTTCCACGTTTGAATACCCAATTCTCGTGTGATGACTGGTGGATTATCCCGCCCAGGAAATAAAGACCTGGTACTGTTCGTCCCAGAACAGATGATGGAACTACTGATGAAGTCTTGAATCCTTGCAAGCTCGCATCATATCCAGCTCTCCCCTCGAGTACTGTCGCTAGTTTCCATACATCCACCGAAAACCAAGAAGTATCAATCATAGGAACTCGTCTCCTCCTTCAGCCACGCCCACACATCCGCCACCTTTCCACTTACATCTACACCCAGCTCTTCATCTTCGACAAATCCATACCTTTTTTCCCTCGAGCACCTTCCCAAGCTCAGAGTCTAACCCCTGCAGCGTGCAAGAGAGAATGATCCCGTGTCGAGCGTGGATATGTGCTGTCTGTTGGTATTGGGTTAAAGAAATGCAGCAACTCAAGGGCACGGACTTACGACGTCCCCCCACACAAACGACTTCGTGACCGTGTACTCGAATTCGGGCGTCTGGCCAAAAGCCCAGTCCCAACTCTGCAAGAGGAATGATACAACCGCTTGCAAACAATGAACGGGAACTTACAGGCAACTCTGCCATCCCACGCTGCATATATTCGATTTGCGCGAGGTCGTCAGTATCGTTGACGACGCATGGCTATCATGTTTTGTTTAGTTGGTGTAATACGTGAATTGAATAAGGGAAGAGTCACCTCATCGTTAACGCCGTATTCGGCTTTGAATGAGTCCACGACAGCGTTCACGAACGTGTCATTGCTCACTGTCTCACTGAACTGAGCGAGGTTGCACACAGGCGAACGCACAGACGCAACACCCTTGGTAATCATCGTTTCCTATCGCACACCAATGCACCAATGAGCAAAAGAGTCAGCCATACCGGAAGAGAACCGAACAAAAGCAAGTCCGAGATTATAGAAATAATAAAAACCTACCTTCCCCACCCTCAACAAGTCCCCCAGTGTCTCAAGCCTCGTGCTGATCAACATCGTCCCATGGTGGTACGCACGCCCGCTCACGATCTTGTACGCTGAGCCCGACACCTTCTCACCTCCCACACAAATATCGTTCCGCTCATTCACATCAGCATTGATCCCGAGTGCACGTACGGCGCGGAGCACAACCTGTGCGGTCGCACCACGATCAAAAGACGTACGTGGGACATGGATGGAGAAATTCGTGTTACCAAGGTCCTATGGGGTGTTAGAGTGAGTGGCGGAGTTCATTCTGGTCGGGATAGACTAGAGCAAGAGACATACATGGTACACCGTCCCGCCCCCGCTGCGTCTACGCATCCAGGGAATGCCCTGAGCACGAGCTGCACGGAGGTTGACCTCCTTCCATGGGTTCTGGTTGCGTCCTATGACAACACATGGTGCATCTCTATACAGTAGGAGTAGCGGCTCCTTCTGGGGCGCGTGTCTGAATAGCCTGTTTGCGCATCCACATAGAGGTCAAGGATATGAAAAGTCAGATTAGCTGGTAGCGAATACGGAGCAGCAAACGGCCTACCAGTCTTCAAACGAGAGATTAAAATATGGATTCGTAGACGTGCTGAGGTATATAGAATGTGTGGGTGTTATGACTGAGCTTGCACTTGATGTAGTTGTGTAGAGTCTGCACGTTGAGAGCTTCCGCACAACATGGCGGAACGAGGAGATCATTCGTATTCGGACGCGTGCAATGGGCGCTCGTTTCACAGCTGTCAATAATTGGACTCGTATGTTCACTACTAACAAGAAATCACGATTCTCCGTGCTCTGATGGTTTATAGTTCTTAAGATCGTCTCTCGAAAGCTTCTCACACAAAAAAAGTCCAAGGAAAGGAAGCACTGTTGATCCAGAACAGCACGGGTAATCGACCCAGGGCTATCTCAGGTAGTCTAATGGATGGTGGAAGAGCCCTCACCGCTGTACCGTGGTATATATCGGCTTCTCTACTTCATGTATCTGCTTCTTCCCAGCTGGAGTCCCAGGTATCGTCTTCGTCAGGCCCTGACGAGTAACCGCGTGTCAGCACAGACAGGAGTTGTGATATGAACAAGAAACGCACGAGTTTTTCAAACATGCACTTGTTCAAGGTGCGCTCGGGTTTTCTGCACGCATAGTATTCCTAGAAAATGAGATAGGAATGTAAGAACCTTGCCGGTAATATAGCTTCACGACCCTACCTGGTTGTTCAGCTCAAGGCAGTTCCAGTGCGTGTCAAACTGCTCGAGGCAGTTTTCTCGCATCTTGGTAATCCTGCCGGTGTCGTCAGTCGCCTTGGAAGTGAACAAACCAACAGGGAATGATACGCACAAGTCAGTTGCACACCGCGTAACACGCCTCCCCTCCTTCAGACATTGTCCAGGGTCTCCCCGCCCCTCATTCTTGCAAAGCATAAAATCCTCTACCAACACACATCTCATCAACATCGATCCCCATACAAATTGATCCCAACGCACCATTATACTCTTTGCAGTAAGCGCCAATAAAAAATGCAGCGGACTTGAGCGGCGCACTAGTTACGCCAAGCTCTTGAACACGTGGAACAGAGTCAGGGAGAGGTGTCGGGTCCTTGTAGGGCTGGCTGCCAGAGGCGCTGTCGCGAAAGCCGCTCATCGTCGTCGAATACGTGCGGTCAACTTCGGAATGTAGACGATTACCTTTCTTGATCGAGCGGAGTTTGCCGTATCCTCTCTGTTCTGCACGTCAAGCCAAGATGGCAAGTCTATGCTACAACTCTTAACTGAGCATAACGTCCTGATAATAAGATGATGGCAGCCTCCAAGAGCAGCCCCGAAAGTCTACCAAATTTTGGTTAAAACGCATCAGGTCACGGTCTTCCTCACAGTTTCACAATCTGCAACGATCGTGTTGCTTAAGGATGAGGCGCTTTCAGCACTCACATCTCGCGTCGCAACTGAGGATGAGAGCTTCCCTCATGTATACAACACAGACGACTTTGAGCTGGCGCGCTCAGTGAAAGAGAAGGAAAAGAGCAGGTCAGGGGTGACTTATGAGGTCCTTGAGGCAGACAAGACTATCAGAGGACTGCTAGTGAACTGGGAGGTGCTATATTTTCAGTTTAGAGACCAAGACGGTGAGTATATCATGCGAAATCTCAGGTTCCTTGTTGCGCTAGTGCTTGACTTTCGTGTCTCTGCCAGGCAATTTGATGCCAGTTGAAGTCTCCCAGCCTTCTCTCGTTGATGACGAGGAGGAAGAGGTTCCAGCGAGCAAAGGCAAACGCAAGGCGCCATCAGAATAGGTATCCAACGTCGTACTGAAGTTCTGAATATTAAATTGCAAGGATATACTACGAAGAGCATGCAGAGGTGTGGTCAGGTCATGAATATACTGCAGACAGTATTATGACCGCCATGGGCGCGGAGTGTATGGGAGCAGCGCAGCAGCCACCCGCCGGCCCTCTTCCGCGAGTAAATTATACGTCGAGCATGCGTTTCTCTGGAAGTACGAGCAGATTAGCGCTACACTCGCAATAGATATGTAGTAAACCCCACCGTATCCATAATGTCAAGCTGTATTCCCAATTCCTTCAAATAACCCCTTATACTTGGCGGTGGAAGTTCCATGCGTCTCCCAGTACCAAAGACCAAGATTTCTATTCCGTGTTCAGTGCTGGACGGCCAGCAAAACTTCGAACGCACCTGGTTTCGGGACAACAGTCTCAAACACACTCCAATGCTCGCGATTCCAACCATCCCATAGACGCGGGGGAACGTCCCACAAGAAGACTTTTCCATCCAGGAAGATGCATGCAGATGGAAGGATGAGTCCGTCTGCAAGCTGGATACCTGCTGATGTTATGGAACTAACTTGCACGGGGGGCGGAATATCCCCTGCAAGCATGTTCGTGAACGCCGTTGGACGGTCGACCTGGCGAATTGGAGTGGTGTGCAAGGTCCGTCGTAACAGTGAGTTGCGGAAGTTGCGTATGGTGAACGTAGACATCGTTGCAGTACTTATAAGTCACTAGCTCGCAGCTCAAACGCTGACAGTTGTAGTGTTTTCTGCCAACAATGCCAATCAAAGGCTAAGAGCCTGGACAGCTGCCGTTTATTTCGCAGTTTATTTCATTTACCACAACATGCACAAATAAATGTGACAAGCCACCGTCCAGCGTTACGAACCAAATTGGATACATTGCGCGACCTCACGCCACACGGTGTCAAAACCTTCGTGCTCGCTGTAGGCAACAGCGAGCTCAAGTATTCTACCATTTCAATAAAAAATTTGTACATTCTCATGGACTAAAATCATTCAGCATGTATTTATTACAGTGAACAAAATAGATAGTATCTGATGGCCAATAATGAACAGTTTGGAGTAGCGAAGCACGAAGGCTGTGAATTGGACCTTGTTGTTGGTCGCAGTTGATCGTGATGACAGCGCTGCCCAGCGCCGCCGCAAGCCAATCTCATGGACATGTCACGAATGCGTCACTCATTGTCACCGCAAGTCACACATTGCCACGCCACATACAGAAACAAACTGAGAAATAAACTCGAAATAAACGGCAGCTGTCCAGGCTCTAAGCGCTAAAAGCTTGTGCCTCCTGTTACCTTTTATGTAAGTAATCCACCACCCTACGGAACCATACTATATGCACGACTGTCTGCTCATTCCAGAGATTCTAGAACAAATTTTCTGTTTCATTTATCCCCTCAGCACGGACAGCGGTTCACAATTCCAACGAAGAGTCGCGCGACGTTCTCTGGCCGCTCTCTCTCGTGTCTGCCGTTCCTTCAACAATATAGCTTTAGATGTGCTATGGGCCCAGCTCAAGGATTTAGAACCACTCTTACACTTGTTTTCCACAGGATCTATGGACTAGAACCGGTGATCAAAAGATTGTATGTACTGATAGTACCCGCCGCAATCATCATAACCCATCATACTGACTGCATTTCATTATGTCACTATCAGCTCATACGGAGACCTGTGACCACAGCAGATTGGTCGGTCTTCGAGCGATACTCATCTCGAGTGCAAATCCTGGGAGATACCGATTCAGATATCCTCGGAGGCATAGATGCGGAGTTCATATACGCCGTGATGAGTTTTTGTTCACAGTCGCTCCTGGTGCCGAACCTTCAGGTACTCTACTGCAGAGGATATCCTCGTGATCTCCATTTATGTATGCGTTACCTCCTGGGTTCTAACCTCATCTATCTCTGTCTGCTTCCGCCATCAGGAGATTTTTGGACCAGCAGCATGTCTTCAGTGTTATCAGGTCTCGGTAGGCACTCACCACGACTGGAAGTCGTTGAAGTCATACAATGTCAAGTGCCTCCTAATGTCGCTGAGCTTGCTCTCTGTGGGTTCCCGCACTTACGGAAGGCATCACTCGTCTTGCCCAACGTCGGAGATTCGTCCTGGCTATCCCGTCTCGTAGGCCTTCAGGAATTATATATCCACTTCGCGGGACTTTTCTTTCCCGTCTTGAAGTATCAACTCCGTACCTGTACCCTGGACAAATTGGTCATCGGCTCGCGTAATCTGACCATCACCGCAACTATAGTAGAAGAGTGGGTCGTTCCATGCAGAGAGCTGCAGCTCAATTGCACTTGTGCTGAATCTGCGGTCGCCTTTGAAAATGCTCTTCGCTCTTTGGACAATCGTCTACTTTGCGATGTTCTCGAGCGTATTTTACTAGACGTAGGCAACCTCGATGAACATATCGACAACTTTTTCACCCTCCGCACATTCACTCCACTCATGCGCTTCTCCGGGCTGAAAGAGGTTGATCTTTCGTCATTGTGTATATCATTGCTCGATGATCATGCACTCGGTTCGATCGTCGAGTCCTGGCCACGCCTCGAGTGCCTTCATCTTGGGACCAAATATTTATGGAAGACACCACCCAAAATCACATTTCGGGGCTTTGTAACCGTGCTATCGTCTTGCCCGGATCTCAGGGAACTTGGTTTGGTATTCAATGCCAAGAAGGTAGATCCGCCTACGGATGAGAAACCAGGAGGCGGGATTTGCAACACAAATATTACCACTTTTGATGTCGGGTTCTCTCCGATTGAAAAACCACTGCCAGTCGCCATCGCGCTTTCGGCGATCTTGCCGTACTTGAGAAAGATCGACGTCGAGTTCGGCCCAAGGAATACCGACCTAAAGGCACGAGAGGCTAAGTGGAGGGAGGTATTGGAACACATTAGGGTTTGCATGTTCGACACCGCGGGTTTGGAGTTCAATGTTATGATGCAGAGAAGATCTATTCGAAGAGCTACTACTTACAAAGATTTCCTCCACGTGTTCCATCTGACGAGTGGAACAGGTTCAAATACTACAAGCGAAGTGAGGAGGAAGAACTCAGTCTTAGTTTGAAAAAGGGGAACAATAGTTGAGACAGTGAAGAAGTGGTCGAAACAGAAGTGGTCGAGTAACAGATGTCTCGTGATAGTCCAAAGATACTTACCTATGATGGAGAATGCCTTCCTCTCGTAGGAAAAGTATCCTTAGTAGTAGACAAGTAGTAGAGAAGGTTTTATTCGTTATCTCATTTTACACTGAAGTTGACGATTTCACCCAAGCACTAGTGAATATGGTCAAGCTACAATGAAAGCAATAAATACAGCAAAGCGACAGATGTAAGGGTCATAGAGCACGACGCGAGACCGAATAATATCGCAGCCGGTGATGCAGAGCGAGGATGAGATATGCATGCAAGTACTGGTCAGACGAATAAAAACAAGAGGGTCCATGCAGCAGTCATTAACGAGCCAATAAATCTATACCAAATCTGGTTTAGGAAAGCACTAATCCACCGACCCTTGACGCACCGAAATCTCCATAGCCATCTCCATTCATGACCCCTCGGCCCTTGTCACAACATCCTCCACCCGGCTCTCGTCCCCTCCTTCCTCACTCTCATCTTCCAAACCTTCCTCAGCACACCGCTTGCAGGAGCATGCAAATCGCCATCCCCTCACGAGCTCCATGCGCCGACGCCGACGCGCTTCCTCGAGTGTCTCCCCAGAGTGCTGCGATACATCCACGTACGCGACGGAAATTTCGTCACCTTTTTGAAGTGCGCGGGTGGCGGTAAGTTGCAGTTGTGCAGTGCCAGTTGGGAAGAAAGGCTTGGCGGAGGGCGCGCAGTTATGTGAAATCTGTGGGTCGATCTACTTAGAAAGGGTTCGCTGAAGAAGACTTACGACTCACGTAGGATGACACTGCGTAAAAGCCCGTACCAACCTGCTTGGAGGTACCGCAGGGCGTGCGGGTTTTCTCGACGTCCTCAGGGCGAGCAGCTGTCTCCGGCTACATTACAATTTGAGAACACAAGGATACTCAAAAGCCAAAAAAACCCTGACCTTATCCTCCCTTCCCTCACCAAAGTATACCCCATAGGAGTTGTACGACATCTTCCCGACAAAGGTTGCATGTCGCTCTTCCGTAAGGAATTGTTCAAGTCCTGGGAGCGCCGTCTGCAGCACATCCTTCAGCACGCTAGTCTCGCGGTCTGCAGGTTTCACCTCGAGGTATCTTAGACGCTCGAGGTGATCATACAGCGAGTACTCCCCACCGTCCGTCAGCACCGGCTCAGAAGCAACGCCAGGTATTATCCCGCGGGGCAACATCTTGGCTGTCTCCGCGCTGACCTGCCGCGCAACGAACCGTGCCACCAGTTCCGATGCGGCTCTTTTCGTCTCTACGAGATACTCGACGAATGCCTTCTGGGCGTTGTCCCGCGCCTCACGTAGTGTGCCTCCCACTTCGGGCGCCAGGGCGGCGGGTAGGGGCGACTCGAGCGTGAAGAGCAGAGTCTGCGAGTGTGCTTTGTGCTGGGTCTGGCAGTCGGATGAGCAGTAAACGCTGTTGAGACGATCAGACTCTGGACGGATGGGATCATTTTCGATGTGGCGCAGGCAGTAGCTACAGTGTGTGCCTTTGCCTTGAAGATCAGCGTCGAGGACGGCCACAATTGGATCTTCCTGTGGAGGCGATTATAACGGATTTAAGACACGCGGAACAGGTGATGTACCTTGTAGATGACTTCGCCGGCCTCGAAGTCTTTTGTGACAACAAGGACTTTCTTCGACATAGTCCCGCCCTTGCCGTCAGGGACATCGACAGTCTCAACTGCGACATTCATCGCCTTCGGCGGGAAGAACGAATAATACCCTATCTCATCTTTAGTCCCACACTGAGAACACACGCCCAAGCAGCGCACCTTCAACTCGGTCTTTGACCTAACGGTAACGACCAAAACATGAAACAAAACTCATTATCAGATACCATTTAAACAGCCAAGAAAGAGATATGCAATATGACAGATAAGGGGTTAGGGAGCAGGCTACAGGGCTAGCATACGCGCGACTCGTAGTCGTGGTCACAGGGTAGGGCTCTGACTCCCCGGGTCTGTGACCTCGTCCCACTCTTGTGAGGATGCTTCCGAGGGTGGGCCCCCGCGTGAAGGACTTGATTCGTCCTCCTCGTCAGATAGTGGGCCGATTTTCCCCTCTGCCAGTGAAGGATCATTACTCACGTCCAAATTGGTAAGTTCCATCACAAGCTGTAATGGGCGGTCAGCACATTCGGTAGTCATCAGAACGCAGACGTACTTGAAAGACGGGCGGTGGGACGGTCTTCTCGTAAATTACAATCAGTTCCACCGGTGATGGATACACACGCAACGCGCGATAGAAACACATCGCGGCAGGTAGGTGGTAGTTGGGACCTTAGAAGTCACTCAAAGAGAAATCCCACCAAAAACGAAATGTTAAATACCTTGTGCACACAATTGCTCACCCATACCAACTTGCTTCATGAAATATTGCTCCTTTTCTTCTGGCCCAGGTGGCACCTCTTCATTACGCACGCTCTCCAGCGCACTCCGCAAGTCATCTGCGTTCACTCCCCCAGCGGCGGGCTGACCAGATTCAGACGGTGTCTGGCTCTTCTTGACACGCTTTTTTTCCTTCCCTAGAACTCCACGTCAGCTGTGCAACAAAGGTACTACAAGTGAAAACTTACGGAGCTGTTTGCGGAAAGTAGCGTCGGTTCTCCGCTTATGGTCGAAGTACACAGCATAAGCAATGATGCCGCCGACTGCGACGCTCGCAACGGTCATCATTGTCGTGGACCTGTTCATTTTGTGCAAGTAGCTGCAGGAGGAGAAGAACGAAAAGGTTTCACGTCACTTGGCCACTTGGCAAGAGAGGAAATTCGGCAAATTGGATTATGTCAGCAACTCCTACACGTTGAAGATTGTTCGCGAGACGTTTCGTGAGATGCAAGCCAGTGCAATAAATAAGCTAAGATATACAAATTTACAAGACGATAAATATCTACTACATCCTGTTCCAGTCGGCAGGCAAATCACATTTGCAAACATGTCTCCGACACACATTAGCCCCTGGAGCCCTGCAAGTCGCTCCATGCATAGCATCATGCGCCAATTCGATCGGGCACTCGTAGTCCACGTGGATTCGTCCAAGTCCATAATTATCTTTCTCCTGCTCAAGTACAGCTTTCCTGAATTCTGGGAGTTGAGGATAAGAATATCTGATGGCACTTTTTCCAGAGTCCACAGTTTCGAGTGGCCCGTTGCCCAAGCAGGCTTTGAACATGGCTTGTGAGACGTGAGCAACGACACGGCAGCAGATATTAGGTGTGGACTTGCGATCGTATCCCTGTTTCTCTAATTTCTTCCAATCTATGGACGCGAAAAATGGGTGACTGCGAATCGACTCCCACTCGGGCCTCATGTTATGGTGTTTCGGGGCGAAAATCTGATATGGAGTTAATGCCAGGGTCGATGGCGTGAAGGGAACGACGTACAGAAAATAGAAGATCCTTGGCGTCATTATCATGGACGAGATCTATTTCTTCCCTCGGTCTTATGAAGGCTAGTCTGCGCTCCCCGTCGTAACCCGCGGGTATCTTGTGGTCGTAGCCAAACTTATGCGTTCCATCACTGTGATGATATATGGAATACCAGTGCTTTCGAGACGAATAAGCCAGGACGATCAACATCTAAGAAGAATTACTCACTCCACCATTCATTAAGAAAAGCTCTAGTAAAATGGCACCATAAGTCCAGATGTCCGTCTTGAAGTTATATCCCTTGACTTCATCGTCTTCTTCGAATCGTTCCGGAGGAAGATAACCATCTGTACCCGATATACCGTACATGCGTGCGTTGTGGAATTGCCGATAATTCAGTTTGCGATCCATTACTCGGGCGTTTCCAAAATCTGCAAGGCATACGTGACCAGACGGAGTGACCAGCACGTTTTCCATCTTCAAGTCCAGATGTACGATGCGCAATTTGTGGAGATGCTGGATGGCAAGAAGCTTTGGGAGAAGCGGGACGAGTCAGATTGAACGTTCACGCAGAGCATAGGAAGTGCTCACAAGCTCGGCAGCAACAAGACGCAATTGCCAATGCATGAATCCGAATCTTGCCCTAGTGCGAAGGGTTTGCGGGTAGAATCTCTGGAGGATGTTTAACAGCATGCTGGATGATTAATATTGACCAGTAAAACGCACCATAACGAAGTAAAAATTGTCCTTGTCCTCAAAGGCATGCAACAAGGGAGTCAAAAATGGAGATCGTTCTTCGGTGACACGCTTGAACGCTTCGTATTCAGCTCTGATAGCTGCAGCCGCTCTCGGTGAACCTTCGAACAGTTGTTGCAAATTCGGCCGTTCGTCTTTGGCGGAGCAAACAAATTGCGCAAGCAAACCGGCCTTGTCAATGACCTTGATCGCGACTTCTTCTTTGCCGTCCTTGATGGCATACCAGACATAGCCGAAACCACCACTGCCGACCTGTGCCGTGGCGATGTACTTGTGTCCACCTGCCTGAATGGAATAGGCAAGGTTCCCATTGTTCGAGATGCTTTTGATAGTTACTGCGCCTGAGTCATGTTCGATGTTACTGGTCTGTGCTACCTTAGGTCTCGGTGGGTGGTTATGCGATCGGAAATTCAAGGTAACGCGTTCAAGAATTGGGGACATGTCGGCAAGGTATGCTCCGGTCTCGCCTCGTGAAGGTCGTGGTAGAGCACCGTTGTCGAGGGCCCACTTGGGAATTTCTCGTTGTGATTTTAAGGGGGATCCCAGGCCCGAAGGACGATGTACATCTTGTGGACCCTGCTGTGTGGATTGTGCGGATGCTTGGACTCCTGGTTCCCTATCTGCAGGAAGCTTCAACCCAGGTGGATGTTGCGGAGGCTGATCCTCCACACGTGGGGCAGGCGATAGTGGCACGTCAAGTGGATGTTGTGGAAATAGAAAACCATATTGCTGAAGGCCCAGGTGTGCGTTCTGGGAGGAAGGTTCATCGGGGATAGTAGAGACCGTGGATGGTATGACAGATTCAACAGCGGGTCCAACAGACGATCCTGCGATGTGAACGAGTGGTTTCGCGCCAGTACGCTGTTGAAGAGTCTCGATGTCCTTGCTCTCGATAGTCTGCATCGTCCGAGCCAAAATTGGTGTTTCGACAAGTGTCGCGGGCGCTGTGCGAGGTTGAACCTCAACTATGGATGCTATATATTCAATAGTCGTGATGTCGTCATCTCGGGCAGTATCCGTCAGAGAGGCAGGATGGGTTATGGTAGTCATGTTCAGGGGTTGTTGTTCACCTAACTGGACGGTAAGCATCCGTGTGAGACATCTCCAAGACTATCGATGACTGCATACCTTGAGGGCCGATTGTGCCGAGTCTGAAGTGACCTAGTCCTTGAACAGAAGACGGCGCGGAATCAGGAATTGTGCCAATCTCCGTCGGTTGTATGGCAGTTGATTCGATCCTGAATCTAACAGGAGAATTCGGCAAAGAAGTCTCGATAAGCGGAGCAGGTCCCTGGGCAGTGTTCGTGTCTGTTTCACAATTTGTGCTAAGAGTGGAGAGTGCTTGTCCTTGTTGGAGGGACATGTGGACGCCATCGCCAGCGGACAAGACCACATGGAATCGGAGGGTAACATTGAGCGGAGAAGTCGCTTGAGTAGCCGGGGACCGTTCCGCTAGCGGAGTAGCACGCCGTGTGATATCGCCCCTAGACGACGACTGATCAGGTAAGAGGTTTGATGCAGGAGTGGCGACGTCCTGCGCAGTGGCAGATCCAGATGTCTTTGATATCTTGAAGATGCGAGTAAGCAAGTGTTTGAGGACCATGATAGGGATGGGTGGCGTTGTAGTGATGTGTGAGCTGTGGTGCTGGATAAACAAAGGTTAAATACGGCTCGGACATAGTTCTACGCCACTAGCTAGTGTGGCCAAAGCGTCGTTCGCTTTGCAAGCTAGGAAAGCGGACCACACTTTGGCACACCGCAAAGCGTCTAACATCTAGAGACAATTATAAGACCACCCCCTGATCGGGACCTGCCGCAGAGAAAAAAAGACGTGCCTCGTATATCTTACGTAATCTAAAATTGGTGAGAAAGGTTTAGCTTTGCCTTGAGCGTCAAGCTGTAGGGTCACCAGGACCAAAGCCAAGCCAAAGCGGCACGCAGTATCGAGTCTCGACCTAGAGGTGAGAAGGAATCAACTGTTGTTGTCAAGCATGCCCTTAGTGGACCAAATCGAGAGAGTTTTGTCATCTGGTGTCATGAGCCAGATTAATACCACCCTAGATATCGTCAGAACATCCTACCGCGCGCTAGAGCCTTTCACAAGTCAAAGCAGAATGACAATCAGCTTAGTCCTCGTAAGGTGACCATGAGGGAGTTGGTAGTGAGGAGCCGGAAAGGTCCGCGGCGCCTTTGGATGTTGTTCTCACGGGCGTGCAAAGGGCCACTGTAGTGGAGGGAGCTCACACCGAAACATTCCTCAAGGCAAGGCATTTCTGCAGGGAAATACCCCAACGCCGGGAGGGACAACCTAGAAAACAATCTACTGGTCATGAGCGACCTGGATGCTGCCAGTCAATCCAAGTTGACGACGTCTGGCGACGACCAAGGACAACCACACCAAGCTCACAATTTATCATCACAGGCGGCTGCACATCTTTTCCACCAAGAGGATTCACATCAGCCTCCTCTTTCCCTCGATTTTACTGGTCTATCTGGAACTGAGGATACTCTAGGAAATCATGCTGTCAATCATATTGACCTCCATGACCCACGCGACTCGCTTATAGGTGACCTTCACCGTGTTGGAGACCACTCCAAACTTGACGAAATGACAATGCTTGAGGCTGTGAACCCTTCTGACACACACGAGGATACACAGGAAAGTCGAGACTCAGATCCTGATATTAAGCGTGTCAAGGTGAGCCGTGCACATCATCTATCACCCGTCCAATCACCTTTCCACATGTCGGCATCTTGCTTCTCGTCCTTGTATGGTTGGTTAAACCATGCCTGGAATGGGTCGTTTCAACAACGTGGTGTATGTACCTTGGCGCAGACCAACTTGCTACGCACGCACTAGCAAGAGTGCCGACGCTCTTACTCGTTCATCAGTGCCTGTCTTGTTTTCATGAGTTCATTAAGGGCCAACTCTGACCGACCTTTGCCACGTTCTACAAAGGTTTACAAACTCATCGGCTCACAATGGGCTGACCAAGGGACCGCTTTTTGCTACGGTCAATTCGAGAACGAGACCAACCAAGCTTTCCTTATCGCTCGCTCCGAAGTCCATTTCGACAAACTCATCCTGACTACTCGCATCCGCACAACTGACGTCTATCAACGCCAACAAGGTGCGTTTTTATATGTATTTAAAGCATCCCTGACACCTACTCACACGACCTCCAGATACATTGATTGTCTGGACCGAACCAGACGGTGCAGATTACGCCTTGAGCTTCCAGGATGCCGAAGGGTGTTCAGAGGTGTGGAATTTCATCATTGAGGTCCAGCGTCACATGAATGTCGTTGGTATGTACAACCCTTGACCCATGCCGCACTGCTTCTATTCTGGTCTCCTTCTGTTGCACTATCTAACTTTCACGCCTTTAGGAGAAAGTAGTGTTGGTTCCTCATCTCCACGCAGCGAGCACTCGACGACAGCAGCCATTATCCGTTCTGGCCACTTGCCTCAGCCGGAACTTGGGAATATACCCGATATTGAACGTGCAATAAAAACATTAGTGCGTGGTCAGGCGATTAGGGAGAGAATATGCGAGTATATTCAGCGCGAGGTCCGTCACCAAATCTCCATACTCAGATGGACAGCTTAACTTCGAGTAGGAATATATCAAGAAGATGATCGAGGTCTTTAATATGGCAGAAGACTTAGAGAATGTCGAGAATCTTCATGCGCTATGCAGCCTCATGCAAACCATACGTGCGTTCATCTACCGCCTTCGACACATAGTCGTTGATGATATTTTATAGTTGTAATGATTCATGATCATGGACTATATGAGCACGTCCTCGATGATAGCGTTTTCTTTGGTGCCGTGGGCATGCTTGAATGTATGTTGCATGTTATCCACTGGTGGTACACAAACTTCGATTTAACATGTTCAAAGATGATCCCGAGTTCCCAAATCACAAAGCAAACTACCGAGAGTTTCTCCACGTAACCTCCAAATTTCACCAACCTATTCCCATACAAGACATTATGATTCAGAAGAAAATTCACCACACCTATCGTTTACAGTTCCTCAAAGACGTCGTACTTGCGCGCTGCTCTCGACGACTCCACCTTCAACGTCCTCAACTCTTGCATTATCTTTAACCAAATCGACATAATCAACCACGTGCAGCAAGACACCATGTTTCTCCGCGAAATATTGTCGCTGTATGTGAACGAGGAGGTTTTGACGGGAGGGAAAGACAAGGATGAGAAGCGCGAGGAGATGGACGTCGACAGCAAACCCAAAGGCGCTCACTGCGAATGGCTCCACATCGACCGCAAGACCTTTCTCATTTGGCCCACCTGATAATCTCTCGGAGAATGAGATGGCCCTCCGTAGAGAGGTCTTGGTGCTCATACAACAGCTTTGCGTCATGGGTAAAAACGTGCCGCTTGCTGCTCGTATATCCCTCTTCCGATCCCTTGTCAACCGAGGCATCCTTTTCGCAGTCCAGTGGGCGTTCTCGCTTCCAGAGAAGGACCCGGAAGCGAAAGCGACAATGAGCATTGCAGGTGAAGTGATGTCTGCGCTGCTCGATCACGATTTAAATGGTGTTCGAAATCACATCACCAAGCAAGCCTCAGCTATTGAGAGGGAGAGTAAGGAGGGGAGACCGATGGGAGAGCAAGCCGAGACTCTTCTACGGATCATGTGCAGAGGTGTTGATACAGACTCGCGATTTGGCATTGCAATGTCAAGTCGGAGACGCGCTGAAGACCATGTTAGATGTCTCTCCCAAAGATGGTCCTGATATGACACCCGTGAGTCTCGTTTAGATTTGCAAATTAGGCCTATCTCACAGCACTTCCAGGCTGGTTTGAACGTCAAACTTCTTCGTCCGAAAGACGATCCAGGAACCGAGAAATTCCTCGATTATTTCTACAGGAGATGCATAGAAGTTCTATTCAAGCCCCTCAACGACATTCCCGAGTTCAAGGCTCAGACTGGTTCGTTTTCAATTGCCGTGTAGGTCCCGTTTTGCAACTGATTCATTGTATTCGCAGAGCCAATGCTGAGGCTTTCGCGCGAGAAGACTAACCTTTACCTATACTTATGCGACCTAGTGTGCAACTTTGCTCAACAGCATGGTTTCCGCATTCACTTTTATATGCTTTCCTTCCACATCTCTGCTCGTATGGCCTCGTTCCTGAGAGCCCGTGACAAGCACTTGCGTCTCGGTATGTCTCTTGTTCCTGTCGTGTGAAGTTTATACTGACAGGAGAGCGCAGCTGCCTTTCGTTTCTTCCGCATATGCCTCAAGGTCAACAACCCCAATTTCATGGTTCACCTTATGAAACTAGACGTATTCAAACCAATCCTGGATCTCACGATACAGGAGTCTCGGCGGGATAGTTTACTAAGTGCCTCATGTCAGGAATTCTTCGAACATATGCGTCGTGTGCGTCATCTTCTCGTTCTCCTTGCGTCTAGCTGATTATATGGTATAGGAAAATATTAAAGACCCGATTAATCACTGCATGACGAAGCATGAGCCATCGGTACGACAGCTAGCTGCATCACCACTCACTGGCCACAGGTTTATGTCCTTCATTCGACGTTGGGAGATCAACATAGAACCTCCACCCAAAGAGGAGTCACAGCCTGTCAAGTATGTCATTATTATCTGATGCATTGGCCATTACTCATGCTTGTCACAGGAGTCTCCGAGATCCCCGACATATGGGTCGAAATATTGACGTCGAGGAGGAAGACTACTTCAATGCTGATGATGAGGAAGGCGATAACCATGCATCCTTGATTTCTTCCCAAGTCGGGGGCCGTGACCCATATGATGAAAACCCTCCATTCATCTCTCCTCATTTACGTGGACGCTCGTCGTCACCTGTGCACACTGCATTGAAACGGAAGCGGCGCGGCGCTATGGTTGGAAAAGGGTTTCGTCCACAAACGCTTGTGCTTCCTCGCACTCCTCCCCTAAAATCTCTCGTAGATTACCGTGACGAAGATGAGGAAGAAATTGGCCCACCCTCACCTAAAGTGCCCCAAGCACCAATATCTAAAGCTACTGCGACAGGCAGCCCACGCAGCTCTCCCCTTTCGCCCGCTGCAGACATACCACCCAGTCCCAGATTGTCGCATCGACAAATTTCATCACGCCCACCTCCTCTTCTTCGGCGGTCCTCTTTGGATGAAGAGGATAACCTGTTGGAGTCTTTACTTCGTTCTAAGTCTATTGCCCCATCTCCTTCGAACGCCTCTTCAAAGGCATCCTCCAAGCTTTCCATGCCGTCAATACGGCTTGGCGACAAGCGGAGGAGAGAGGATGAGGAGGATGAGCAACTAGACCTTTTGGCGAACAAGTCAAAACGACCTGATCTAGGTCCACGGAAGGACCCTGAGCCCTCGAGCGGTAGAGCAAATGCGGTGAAGGCTGGGGATGATCCACCGAAAAAGTTCAAGCTTGCATTACGAGGTATCGTAACTGCAGCGCCGCAACTCTCGACACCTGTACCTTCAGAACCTGGTGCAAAAGACGGGGATACTGGTTAGCTAGTTATCTTTCATGTGCTTATAGATCGTACATTCGTTAATTTTATTCGAGGGAACGCGGAATAAACACTACGTTGTTTGAGCGTCAAACAAGGCTATGTAAAATCTGGAAAATTGCCCATATGTTATTGGGGTGCTTTAGGCTCATCGAGCGCCTCAAACGATATCCCACACCTCAATCCTCTTCATCCATCTATGAGCGACGCGCACCGGCCGCCTGCAAACCATCCGACCTGTGCACCCATCGAACAAGATGTCTCTTGCCGAAATACCATCGACCGGAAGTGGACATGGCACCACACGTATCGTTGCTCGCGCTCTCCTAGCGGCTTGTGCTTCTTCCAATGTATCCTCGTCACCGGACGCAAAGTCGGTGTATCGTAGAGATGCTGCGGTAGTCCGTACTAGCGACGTGATCTCCCGACGCTTCTTCAACCTCTCCCCTGTTCCCTCCCCAAGCATGACGGAAATGAACTCGGCTTCAGGAGGTTGAGGCGAACGAACACTCAGTGCAGCTCGTGCGCGGAACCTAGGCATTATAGATGTTTCTGTGACTTCTTCTGGATAGAAAACGAAGCCCTTTGTCGATCCATTGAATGAAGAGTCCATCACCACTGTAGGCGGGGATGGATCCACAGGATGGATATGTGATCCTAGTATCCTAGTGGCGATGCCCCCAGTGGAGGGACTATCCCGGGGCAGCAAAGTCAATCGCACGAGACCGAGGAATGTCTTTTGGTCATCCGTACGATTATGGAAAGAAGCGGTGATTGTGATGCCTTCGTCATCGTGATAGCCGCCTTCTCCAGCAGAACGAGGACATAGATAAGGAAACATGGGGTCGTGAACAATCACTACATTGGATAGCTTGCTACCAACAACACCCTCGTGGCTACGTTGAAGGCGCGCTGTAGACGTATTTGGATTAAGATTGTCAGCCGGGCCCTGCATTTTGCGTTCATAGGGCTCGTCGGGTGGGGAAGGAGGGATCTCATATGCTTCAACCAAGGTGTGAGTCGATGACGCGCGTAGCAATAACAAGTGTGAGGTGCACGAAAGCATAGACTCGACTGGACCTGGTGAAGCCATATCCTGACAAACTAGTAATCAGCCAAGGTGTACGCAGATAGGATATGTGCTTTACATCGTGTGTCACAGTGAATGGTGTGAATGTTTCAATGTCAAGGCAAAGAATGTGGTCACTCTTGGGTCCTGGACTTCTGAAAGTGCCACCTCGCGCGTACTTGATGGCAATTAGCCTCGGACCAAGCGACACCTCTCGAAGACTAGATAGATGCATGTCATGCCTTGTGAAAACTTCTTGCAGTGTGATGTGCGGTTGAGAGCCTTTCGAGCCGACTTGGAACCGAAATACCTTCCTGTATCAAAACCGACGTTAAATTTTACCGACATCCAAAAAAAACAATGACAGACAGCGCGAAGAAATTCTCCACCAAAATCACAAACGCGATACGTTCTCCGTTCATCCGCGTGCTTTGGACGCAACGGAGGTCAAAAATCATACCGGATGTCGTATACAACACAGTTGAATGTTTGGCATAGAGCTGCAGCACTTCTTCGCCTGGGTCACTTCCCTTGTCTGCATCCAGGTCAAAACATCTGACAGGTGCCTCTGAGGAGCAGATGCTGGTGACAATCAACCAACGGCTGAAAACGAGGCCGTAGGGGGTGTGATTCCCTGTGGCATCCGGATAAAGTTCGACTGTTCTTCTGCGAGCAACCCCAGGCAGTGGAAGCTCCTTGTTGCCGAAATTTAGGGTCCGGGCATTAGATCTCTTACTATCCAATGGCGATTTTGCCATCTCGAGGTCCATTTGTACACCAGCGATCGAATTTCTCACTGGAAGTTAGCCAAGACTGAAGGTAACTTGCTGAGTGGGTAGACAGCAGCGCAGGAATGCGTGGACGTGAGGATGTGCGGTACATAATATACCAGGTTTTGTCGCGGAGCACGGCCGATTTGAGTGTCTTGGACACCTCATAGATTTTTTTCAATCAAAGCCACAGAATACGAGAGAGAACATACTCTTTGCAACCTGACGACATCCTTCACTGATAGGTAGCTGAAAATTTGGTAAAGTAAGGCTTCTGGCAGTGACTCAAATGAGATCACAGCTTGAATCATCTCGAAAGAAGTGCATGACAGGCCTTTGCCATTCGGTCGGAAAGCTTTGCGCACTGAGGAGAAGGAGATGTGCATGATGTTCACATGAAACAACGTTGCAAGCTCCGAGTCAGCTTGTGGCAACCAGGCTTCGCGTGCGACGTGCGTGCGCAAGCGTCAATACGCAGTAAGCACCGCATGTTCTAGGCGTCCAGCATCCGGATCAAAGTTGTGCGTGGCAGGCTCCTGCGGCTGGGAAATCAAATGCATCAGTTTCAAGTTAGTACCGAAATTCTTTCCTCACTGATAAGTACTAGTGTGCACGATGAATTCAAGGAGTTCGCTGAGTTGCACATCCATGCAAGACTCAAGTGGATCGGCGGGAGTAGCAGTGGTTCAAACATTTAACGCCGATCAATCAGTTCTCCAATTGCAAAGTCCCCTGAAACGTGGATGGGAAAATAATCCACAAAGCTTTCTGTTCATAACCATGTGCATCCACTCAACGGACCTATAACGTTGAGGCAAACCGATGGTTCGATCTTGAAAAATAAACGAAGCCAGCTACGACGAACGTGGATCTTTTGATAGACTATCATCTATGGTTGTTTTAGAAGACCCAATTTATTGTCTTCGTGTGGCTCTGTTCGGGCACCCCCTTGTCAAGCTGTTTAGAGATAAATCCACAAGTGCTGGCACGGGATGGATAGCCAGCCCAACGACCTGACCATGATTCTCCCGGTGGCAGCGGGCCAAGACAAGGCCAGGAGATGTCGAAGGTCTCCGTGAATGGCAAAGAATGAACATAGGATCATACACCAGCTGTATATTGCACCGTTCGTCGATCAAGTTATTCATTACGGGTAGCTAAATGCTGGGACCTCGACTGCCTCGGTCACGTTCAAGTTGTGCGTCGGGGAGAGAAGTCCATGACACGCGTAAAATGATCGCGGCGCGAGGTACATGAAATTATGGGTCACGTCGGGAAAGGTGGACTCGTGAAAGAAGGACCTCTGGGTAATCTGTGTTTGGCTGATGCAACACGAAGCCGAAATTCTTTGCTGTACTATTCTCAGCCGCCAAGCATGAGCGATGCATCCTGAGCTGGACTAACAGAGGTTCTTACTCCAAACGCAAGCACGTTCCCCGTTGACCCGTGTGTTCTGAGGCGCACCAGAAGTAGAAACTTCTACCAGCGGAAACGACAAAGTTCCGGGATTTTCAGACCGTTGAAAAGGCGCTTTCCATCCAGATCTAGATCCTGATACCATAATTATTAGTATGCGGCTTTGGACAAACGAAAGCCAGCTGGCGACGAACCTGTCCCTGGTAAGCAAAATGCACATACGATACACCATCGTACGGTTACTGATCAGTGACGACGATGGCACACGAACATAGCTTAAGAAGTTGGAACCATGTGGTACGCAATCGAAATTGATTTCAAAATGAGACAGACACCGTATACTTGGACACATGACTGTTCCTATAGCCTAAGGCCTCGGGAGTTGGCGGAAGCTGATTGGAACCGCTCTGCGCCCTTGGAGCTACGCCATAGAAATTGTTTATTAGGCAAGCTACATAGACATGAACTGCGGACCCATAGCGTCGGGGTGCGCTGGAGATCGCACCGATGATCCGCTTCATTCTCTTCGGAGACTCCTGGTCATCTTGTCCAAAATGGTAAGAGCTTACTTGACTTGGTGCTTCATTCTCGCTCGTCTAGGCAGGTCCATCCGGGGAAGAAAATGTCGGGTTTCATTCTAGCCTTGTTCTTCCTTGTTCTTCCAGCATATCGGTGACTTCTGGTGACTTAAACAACATGTGACTTAGAAGCACTTGAGATCAGGGCTGGCTTACCTGGACCGACATCCGACAGCTACTCATAGTAGCCTATACATATATAGTCGCTTGGGAACAATTAATCAAACGCCTGACTCGGGCGAACGTCTCCCCTATCTTCTGAATCTGAAGAGTTGGTTATTCCTGAAGAGGCGCCGTCAGAAACTGGGAGCACAGCCCACTGCGGCTAGCGGTCGATACGTCATTTCGTTGCAATGCGGCAGTCGGGGGAAATGCAGAGAGATGTTATGGAAGCTGATCAAGCCTTGTGGACGTGCGGAGCCACAACTTTAGAGGTAGCGAGAAATGACCCCGGGATTTTGACAGTTCCTTAATGCTATCCTCGAGTCCGATATATCGACCGTAACGATGAGCTTAGACTTGAAGCTCTCATCCAAATTTCAATTGCGTGTCGCCGTAATCGTTCGAGGCTTTATTGCGATCAGGTGCACGAGTTCCCGACAATGCGGTTGACCTTCAACGCAGGATCGCAGCAGAGTGCGGGGAAGACAACCAGGCCGCACAAACCTACTTGGGCAGACTTGAGCAGGCCAATGGCGGAATGACGGTCCGAGAATTTCGGTACACTCACAACATTAGCTACGTACTTACCCGGGATGAAATTTTAGACACATGTAACAGCGAATAACTTCAGTGCCTATGCATACCTAAAAGTTACGCTCACATTAATTACCGCGACGAACCCGTCAACCTGGATCCTGGCTATGGTTAAAAATAGCGGTTTGAAATCCCTGAAGGTCTCGACGACGTTACTCTAGGCCGCATCGCAGTCAAGGGTCAGAGTGTCTTGAGACAATGAGCATTCTGATTATCAGATATGATGAGGATCACCTACCAGTCTGCTACGACTTGGTTTGTACTACTGCAAGTCATCGATTTCTCGTCCTTTAGGGCAACTTCCCCCTCAGTCCATAAATCCTTTGGCAAGAGGTTCTAGTAGCAGGAAATTTCAACGTTGGAAACGCAAGTGGTCCGTATGACGACCCGAGCATCGTTACAGGCACGAAGGTAATTAGTCGAGTTTCAATCGGAGGTTCACATTCAGCTGCCAGCAACACTCCATTTTGTAAGTGGCAGCTTTCGAAAAAAAATGGTGCTCACAGCCTTACTCACTCGCACGAGCTTGTAGCTAGTCTGCTAGAATGACAACCGATATATTTTAACGAGCTTGAATCGTGTAGCTTACAACTGGACGACGGTAAGAAAATAAGTTTCATTGAAATTATGATGACAATTCATACGATCCTTGTCATTCCACGTGGTCAACTAGAATATTATTCTCGAATGTGCGGGCTGGTACGGGCGGGCTATGATTGATTCGGCACCTACGGTAGCCTCAACAGTTAGTCCTATCGACGCTCCGCCGCCCCAACCGAATCCGTGACAATATGCCCCGTTATGCCCGACCTGACTTGCCGCAAGCGTGAAGACCGAGGGTTCAGGAAGACCGTCACATCGAACCGACGCACTTCATTCACCTTCATACCACGATTCTTCAACGGCGGAGACAACTAACTTGCTCACGCTGTCAAACCAGACTCCGCTGGGAATCGGGAGCGCTAATTGAAAGCGCTGGCCTCGACCCTGCATAACGACCGGAGACCATGGATGTCGAATGTTGTTTCACTTTTCTGAGTTCTTAATTAATGCATATGTTGGCACTTCGTTTGTCAGGCCTTCAGGCCTTGACGAGGAGCTGCTGGTTTTCGTTGAAGCGGGCCGGGGCGTGGGCATTTCGGCGTTCCCGCGAAGGGTCACCGCCTGCCCGAGGTATGTAAAGTCCGACTTCTCCGATCAGTGGGGGAATACGTACGTCGTATAATCTTTGCATGCGCGATGCCGCAGCTATGGCCAGAGTAGCACTCTGAGCAGAACCAGCAGCAAAACCTCTCCTGTTCCTCGAGGTCGGGTCGTAAGGTTCACGACCCTGACTAGAATGACATTGACAAGTCATAAGACACGTGAGCATACGAAGCGTCGTCTGAGACTGAATCTGCATTCCCGACCAGAAGAGCGGAAGTCTTGCTTCGCTGGCAGAATTTTTCATTTGGGGATGCGTTAGGGCCGTTCCCGCAACACCTGCTTAGACTCAAAGGCGATGGTATGGCGGCCGGTCACACGACCACCCCGAAGAAGTTAAACTGAGAATGGGGTGACAACTCGCACTATGACTTGAACTTGCTGTTCCAGCGCTTGCGTAGCCGAAGATAATAGGGCACATAGTACGGCGGTCCTTTGTTCAAGTCGCCACGTAGGTACGTACTGCGCAGCTGCGTCAATGAGCGGTCTTCGACGACCGTAGTGCATGTTACTACATATGGCACAAATGACAATAGAATAACGTTGACCTTCATGACGCCAGGCATACGCTTCAAGGTACTTACATGTTACTTACACTGATCAAAGCGGTATGCTTCTGGCGCGCCTCGTGTTGGCCCGTTTTGTGCGCCTTGGCGGCAAGGGGTTAAGATTGAATAGAAATTTAACTCCTAGAGCGTGGCGCAAAGAGGAAGAGTGGATTTGCCGGCGGGCGTGCCTCCCGAAGTCACAGGTAAATGAAGGGGCGTGGTCTAGCTTGGACCTCCAGCACGTTATCAATTTTTACCTCTCCTGGCCAAGTGCTTGTTGTTGCTAGCGCGTTTGAGTCAACCTTATTATAAGTTGTCGGACATGAATATTCGAATGGCGCCACTCCAATAATTGCAAAGCAAAAAATTCATGTTCCTCGCGTCTGAAATTCGAAAAGATTCTAAGTAGGTATACTAACTAACAACGGCGTCATACAAGTACACTCCCCTTCTTGTTCCATGCACATTTGGCAGTCATTTATTTGTATTGGTGAGATGGGTATCTATCATCGAGACGACATACAGAGCACGAGTATGGCTGGCGGGGTATGATTTACGGGCGATATGTATATGCGCAATATAGACATAGTCGACAAGGTTGAATGCGAGGCGGGAAATGTAGGATACAGGATGTGTCGGAATATAGATACCGTTTTGCCCGCGTCATTGTCGATCACCGTTTTGTGATGAGGAGCTGAATAATTAAATAGGTCGTGAAATCGAGCTCAAGATGAGGGATGCGCGGATGGTAAAACGGAATAAATAGCAAGATCCAAACGAGCGTGATAATCCGTGTCTCGTGTACTCTGTCTGCTCAAGATGAGGCCGGCTCTGCGAGAACAGGAGACGAGGCCATCATTGGAGGTGACGGCATCTGCATCTGCGTGATCTCCGGCGATTGTTGAACGGGCACTTCAGATGGGGAACCCTGCAGGGGTGCAAGTGACTGAGCCGCCATCTGCGGCGAAGCAAACTGCACCCGGCGCTGCGGCTCGCAGAGCATAGGCATGGACCCCCGACGCAACGTCTCCTGTCCCTGGTATGAGACTGGAGGCTGGGGGAAATAACCCGGAGCAGTTGCTGACTTCCTCGGCGCCTGTTGCTGAAGAGATGCGATGTCTGTCAATGGGGCGTTAGGGAGACGAATTGGACCCTGAGGGCCTGCGTCAATAGGTGGGCTCTGTGAGCTGCGGGGGATGGGGAATGTTGCAATGGAGGGTGACGAATAGTTCGAAGGAGGGCCAGAGACAGAGCCAGGGGTAGGAGGCTGCGACGAATAGACAGATACTGTAAAATTGTTAGTACGTGTGTAAAAACGCGTCAAAAACGTGGAACTTACCACTGTCATCCCAGTCGCTGACTGCGCCACCGCTTGACGCGGTGCTCGAAACGGAGCTACGTCTTGCAAGACCGAACTCTCGCGGCTCCTTCTTAATCTGGGGTGAACCAGCGATAGGAGCAGGCTTTTGTACCTTTTTCTCGCCAGGTTTACGCGTCTTTCCGCCTGCCCTGAGTTCATCAAAGCGCAATGGCCGTGGGCGCAAATGGGTGCGCTCATAAAGACCACATTTGTTACAAACAATCTTTCCAGGATTGAGTGTGGAGCGACGCCATGAAGGCGGCTCTGTGGTGTGGCAATTAAAGCAACGTCGTCTCAAGTACTGGGTCTCTTTGCTAGCAGCATCATCGGTATGTTGAATGGGGACTGAACCACCAGCTCCCGAAGGGAGGAAACCAGGGTGGTGGTGGCCGTGAAGTGGATGTGCAGCGAAGCCAAGCTGGGATGGAACGATGAGGGGGGTGTCCTCGAGTTTAATCGACTGAGGATCATGGGGATGATGGGATTCAGACAGATCGGGAGAAATTTGAAGTGGCTCATTGTACATGGAGGGGTATTGATCATAAAATTGTGGGTGGTGAGGTATGTGGTGAGGGTGCAGGTCATGTCTGACGTAAGGAAAAGTGGCGCGACGGAACGAAGTGTGATCGGACTGTCGCGACAAGTGCATTTGCTGCTGCTGCTGCTGTTGTGCTGTTGCTGCTGCCATTCATTGTAGTGCGCGTGATCATCAATGTAGACTTCATTCTGGTATTGTTCAGTGTGGTCTGGCTCGTACAACTCTTGAAGGAGGGACCCCCGAGATGGGGGAAAGTTGTTGTAATTGGTTTGAGAGACCCAAGAGTCGTTTTGGATCATAGATCCTGCGTCAGACGGGAGGTATGAATCTTCCTGAAATATGGTGGGCACTGTGATGATTGGGTGTTTGAAGTTGTGAGGGGGGAGGAGGTCGATGGATTGAGGAGAAGGTGTACGTGGAGTTGAAGAGTCTGAGTAGGATGGTGAAGAGTTAGGGTATGCTGATGCATAGGTTCCAAAATCCATTGCGATTAGACAGTTTGGACAATCTGGAAGTTACGACGAAAGACGAAGAATCGACAAATGCAAGGACCCTGCGGGTAAATTATAAGAAGAAGGTCCATGCAGTGTTCATATTTGGACTAGAGCAACCTTCTCTCTCCCAGATTTTGGTTACTCTTTCTTTCTAGCCTGTACCACTATCTCGGGTTATTCGGAACATCCCGTCCAAAACAAGATTCAGATTTCTTTCCGGTACCCATTCAGATCTCCGATGGGCTTATCGCACGACAAACACGATCAAACAATATACAAACACGGTGACATAACAATTCGTGCGCTTCCTCTATATTACGTCCATATAATTCCCACGCACAGCATACGCCTGCTGTCTTCGTGTCGCACATTCCGCCTACTAGCATCATGTGTACCATCATAGGCATGTTCTTCTTTTTCTACGCGTTTCACCTGCGAGTTTAATATTCGAATTACGCTCATTAGTCTCGTGTAGCGCTCTAGCATCTACCGTCGGACATGCGGAATTGAGGCCTCGTCTCATTTCGCCCGCCACATACACTTCGCTGGCCTTCTCCCATTGGTTATTGTACTTTCAAACGCCTCCGTGCCGACATCGTGCCGTTTTGCGCACCTCTATTCTGTGCCATTTTTACTAAATTCAGCCAATTTATCTCACGCTTCCCCTCACCTGCATTGTAACCTTCTTCAAACCGCGCCAGCGCCAGTCACATCGAAGTTTCACAAGTCAAACCCCGTCCTTCGCATCCCTGAAGACTCCGTTCAATACCGAGTCAAATGTTTCTACTTCCAGATCAATATACCGATGAACCGTGACTATAATCCTCTACTTCTGGTAGGCTTCTTATTATTGTATTAGCATAATATTATAGTCTCGCTCAACCACGGTAATGAAAGTTCCTCTCTTCCCCATACGCTACCGTACCTGTGCTTACTTTTATTCAAACTCGTCCTGAGTACTAAATTATGATTCACTGCCACCCCTCTGGCTCTCTTGCTGCTTCCCGTGCCTCTTTGCCTTGATCTAGAATGGCCGCCTGCGCAGCTCTATTATTATTCCTTCCCACTCTGTTATCATCTCAACAGAGCTTCCCCTCTATATTTGGAACTTGCTGGTCCTGTTTGATTTCGTTGTACTTGCAGTGCATTGGATTGTCCTGTCTCCTCCTGAATGTTTTCCGCCGCAATTCCTGTATCTTTTGCTGTGAAGAGCCACAAGGAAGATAAGCTCTTCCTTCGTCTCCGTACTTTTCGTCAACGCGACATGTTGAATCAACGATCGAAAAATTCACAGCAAATCCCGCTTCCGCTTCCGGATCCCTTTTCGTCATCTCTCTGCTTAGCTGTGAAGCTAGCAAGCCTTGATCCAGTCAAAATCGTAAATTAAATACCAGCGGGTCTAAACTCGTATATTTACGCCTCTGACATACTGGATGGTGCAAGTACTTCCTGGGTTTGGACTTGGTGGCAGATTGAACTTCTCCTTCAAGTCTCAACGACTACACGAATTTTGAAAGGATTTTGCCGAATCATTCACGTCCGCGGACCGTCCATAGCTGCAGATGCAAACCCGGTATCTACTAAAGTTCCGAGCTGCCCCTGTTGCGATCGTCCGCATTGGCCATATGTACAATGGAATCACTGAGAAAGAGATCAAGCTCGAATTGGAATTGGTTTGAATTGAATGAAGCTGTTCCGTCACGCGTCATAGCCCGCTCGCACGTTTGCTTGATTCAGCACCATCCCAACGCCCTCGAGTTTTCCTGTGCGAGCGCTACACCGGAAGGACAATCGGACATCGTGCCACATGCGTAATGCTGTGTTCACTGTTTTGGCTTACATGTGGTTCGACGGAGTTACAACACTGTCACGGCATCATCCCCGTCCTTATCCATGTGATCATCTCTGCATTGGCTATGTCTGCGATGCAGGGTTGTTGATCTGGTGTGGTGGCACTTGTCGGTTTCTTTACATGAACCCAACCCTCCTCGGGTGCGCTCCTGTGGCCCCCAGTAGCCCCCGTTCAGTAACTCACGTAATGGCACAATGGAACTTGGCATTCATCTTACTTGTCTTGCTACAAATTAGTAGAGCTAGCTGACCAGAAGCTCCGTTGCCAACGGAAAAGGTTCGTACGCCTGGTCGATCCTGCGGAGTAATCGTTGAATCATATTGATATCAGAGTCACCGACATCCGTACAGGTGGATCACTGGAGACCTATACGGTGTTCATTCAAGAACCAGGGTGCGAATCCTCCACCATGCTTCGCTCGCTGGATCATTGATGCCGCACAGGTTGAAGAAGGTTTCCTCGACTTTGAAACATGGGACTTAGAGTGGGATAACGGAATGCATTATAATCACATCGCCCTCCCCAGAAGTAAGTGCCTCGATGATTTTCATCTTTCTATTACATCAAACGCACGGGGACGGAGATGAAGAAGTTGGAATGCGGTTTATCATTTGGCCGCAGTGCCTGCAATTGCCTCTGGAGTCTAGTGGTATCAAGTGCTGTTCTGCCCAATGCGCAGGCTGGTCTGGATGACGTGTTTTCGCCTAGGTTTCTGGCTTAGCACTTTTCTTATTACGTCGCGCGTCACATTGTCTGTCAAAAAGGCTATGTGTGGAGTAGCCAATGGTCACACATACAGGACACGTACTTGTGAGTGGGGACGGCAAGTGTGTCCCTTGTCTTGTACGCAACGCCCAGTACTAGTGAAGGTAATGCGATGCCTTCTAGTTGCGTTATGCTATAGGTGCTCACTAGCACAGGTCACGTTATGATTTCATTCACATTCTACGATTAAATGAATGGCTAGCAGAAACCCTCGACCCACCTTCTTTGAGTATCCCTCGTGATATTTCCTAGGCCGCCCACTTCTATCTACGTCTATCCGATGTTATCTGACTACCATTTATCCACTCCACGTTCCATGAACCAAAGGTTAATATTGGCTAACTGAGTTGGTTCGGTATGTTCCGCAGGAGGCTGCTAATACCGATAGTCTATGTGCCTTTCCTCTGCTATTCGCTGTGGCTCGAAGGGGGCGCTCGTCATTGCACTTATTAGGGAAGATAGGGTGTCATGTGAGTCCAGCCCAATGGTAGATCGCTCGCAGTTGATCTTAATACATTTGCGAGGGTAGCGGGATGCACTTGCACTCCGCAGCCCAACCTCCTATCGATAGCCCTCAAAGAAGGAGGTGTCACAAACGTCGTGAGGTCGCCGCGGCTCGCAATCAGCAAATATTACTGGTGACTAGGACCTACCACCCCTTTCTATTCATAACCTGTCAGTGTCATAAACCAATATCTTGACGTAGCGGGTGCACTCCGGCGTTCAAAGTCTTATCAAACGCACTTTGCGAGGGTCCTGTCCAAGCGCTTCCTAAAATTCGTTTATGCGGCTCCGCTCATGTACTTTTTATCGTATTCGAAGCTCATCGGTGGCTGCGGCAGCCCGTGACGCACGCTTCCCATGGCCCAATAGGCTAGTACTCACGCCGGTAAACTCCGTGCATTCACATCTTTCACTTGCGAACCATAGTGTTTTGGGCAGGTTCACCTCTTTCTTTCCCGGCTCTCTTTCCTTTCAACGAAGTCTTACGGTCACTTTCAAATTCCCCGGAGGCACACCGCGGGCATTCCGTACGTATTAGCAACAGGGCGCAGGGATCGGCAGCACCTATACACAGTGGTACATCTTGGGTGACCCGTTTGTATCTCGGCACAGTGCGGACGCAAAGACATACCTCTCGCGAACTTCTTGATAGATGAAGACTTTGAGCTTGAATTAACGTCCGATACAGTATCTTTGCGCGGATGATTGAACTGAACGGTTCCTTGCGCCACCACTCGGACCGTTTACTCCGGGCCCTGGACAGCATCTAAACGCCACGAAGACTTCTTCAAAGACATTTATCCCCAGCTGTGCCCTTGCCTGATTCGCAGGCAGACAACCGCTACGTACAAGAGATCACCGCCGGGGACGGTCGTGTGGCGGCGGCAGGACAGTTACGTTGGTTGAAAGGCCCGGACGGTACTCACCGCCGCCATGCCGTGATCAAGCCACATTGGACATTTCCACTCGAAACAGAAGTTCAGACGATATGGCATGCGTGTAACCTCTTCTGTATTAAACCGTATACGAGCAATTTAGCGTGCATACTCAAAATCGTCCTCACTGGTAGTTCTTCCTTTACAAGTGGTCAAACCTTTTTCGCGGGACTTCACGTTTGCACCCTTTCCTTGGCATGTTCTGCTCGAAGTATGGAAGCTCGGAGGTTCACCTGGCGGAAGTACAGACGCGGAAAGCCGATTCTAGCGAATCAGTCGACGGGTTCATTTCACTCTCACCGTTGCCATTCGTACGCTGTCACCGCGCCACATATTTTCCATCGAGCGGGAGAAGGACACAGTGAGACACGGAAGAGACCTGACATGTCATTGTCACATCGCGGAATGCATGTGACTGTCTAACCGCGACCTTTCGCAACATCGGGACATCACAACCAGGGTGCTCTTGAAGTAAAAATACCATTATATGGCACTGCAATGATTGTGGCATCGCATTCAGGAGGTTGGAGAATAGTGACGGTATGTAGGTCAAAGTTGTGTAAGAGTGGGTCAAGAGTGGTCAAGATGGGTCAAGAAAGACACAAGTTTGTTGTCTGTGTTTCGTGCGATCAATACGCGTGGATGCGGCAACGTTGATTAATGATTAGCCGTGGATGCGGGAACAGGTTCGACATACTTCCATTCCTTGGAGTATGTAGGAGCTTCTCCTATCCAAATTGACAAGCTCCGGCTTCCATTGTAATGGATGGCCTTGGCTTAAAGACACAAAGGAAGAACGACAGAATAACTACTTTCCTTCTATGGTCTGCCTGACAGGGAAGACTGGATCAAAGAGGGTAAGTTAAAGTACAACACCTCAGCTCAGCCAACGCAGTTCCATGGAGGCCGAGAAGGACCGACCCCCCTTGCAGACTGCCCAGCAGAGATGCCTCCCTCTAAGTACCACAATTTAATTAACACTGCTAGGAAAGACGGAGGAAGTCCCCAAGAACGGCAAGTCTAAAATGTTTTTCGCCACTAAGGATGTCGGTGCCTGCAAACGTCACTGCTATCATGACACGTTGTCGAGATGAGGCAAGGTTCGTCGGACGGCCAACAAGGACCGTCCTGGTCTCTCCTGGTAGCATCCTGATTCTCCGTGGTCAGTAACTAGCCATGTTTACATCAAGTTAGGACATCACTGTCATAATCGCTGCAGGGGTCGCGAATCGGGGATGGGTAAATGTATGAGCGATTACGAGTCGCTTGTATTGCGCATGCAATTCTGTTTCGAGAGGAGCGCTTGCGCCACATAAGTAATTATCAAACGGGGACGTCAACAATACCGGCCATCGAGGAAACCAAGGGAAACTTTGGACTAGAAAAGAATTGACCTAGGTACGCCGGCGGCACTAGATAGTCAGTACCCCGGAAAGCTAATTGCACTTGGAATTTCCATTAAATTTGACGGACAGATGACAGAAGTTTATGTGCGGGAAACTCAGATGGGGTGGCAGCGCTTATCGATACAGGAGGAAGGAGATTCCCACTGAGGCCTGAGGCCTGAGGAGTTAAGCGCTTGGTACATATGTACACGCGAATCATGTGCTCGTGAACATATGCCTTCAAGGTAACCGAGACAGCATCCGAGTCGGAAATGCACACCAGGGATACTCAGCACGCTGCAAAAGTCGACAACAGTGTACGAAAACAAGCAAACGTACGGATTGGGCCTCAGGATCACCACGGGGGAAAGTCGAATGGTCACACAGTAGACACCTGTTGGAGGACCAGCTATTCGAGTTTAATTCATTTTAATTTTTTGGACAACCTGTGTTGCGAGCCTACTCTCGGTCTACGCCCTCCATGGTAGTATGTGCATTTATCCTGTACACCACTGCCACCGAACGTTGCCAGAGACGGCTGTACAGTAGTGAGGGAAAACCAGATATGTGATGTAGGAGCTGGTACGGATGGACCATAGGAATGCCCGGTCTAGTCGCCAAAGCAAGAGATTTTGAACACTTCCTATTTGAGAAGTACAGGTAGCAGCCTTGGGGGTGGTCATCTGCAAGTATCGATGTAAAGACAAACCTGCATCAGGTAACGAATGACACTTCATCTGTCGTCAAACACCTACGGACCCCGTGCATTACGGAAGGGGGACAGTGCGAGTCTCATCAACGCGACAGGAGTGCCGAAAGGAATTGACATGATCAACCACGTTTAGAATGCAGTTGCAGATAGCCTGGTGTTTGATTGCCCCAAAGCGTATGGCAACTCCGCTCTACCGCATTGCCCGACGCCTTGTCTTTCGTTATCGTCCCCCCGAACTGTCAAGGCCACAGCTAAGATTGCGCAGGTGCATGTGACGGTAGGATCTACTTCTTCCGGCCCTTCCGGCCAGGACCAGAAGCGGGAGGACCCATCTTTCTACTGCAGTCTTCACAGAACCAACTCTCCGGGAGTGGTTGCTTGAGGTTGACACAAGGAAGGTGAAACTACAGATGTGTCAGATCATCGTTTCTAAAACATAAAGTATATGCTTACCCATTGATACGGGCAATCCGGATTGTCACACGCGATCATTTCTCCGTAACTCAGCTTCTGGCAGAAGCAGTATAATTCCTTGTCTTCGCCATCTTCGCCATCTTCACCTTCACCTTCTTCTGCTTCCGCTTCCTCTACACCTTGAGTTTCCTCTCCGTAATCATAATCGAAGTCATCAGCCTCAGAGGAAGCTCCCCGTCTTCTCCGACGGCCCCGAGTAGAAGGGACATATGCAGATGGTGCGGGTGATGGGAGCTTGATGGAGCCTTGCGCTGTCGTCAATCTCCGTTCTTGAATCTGACGTTTAGCACCAAAATTGATGACGTAAAACTTATGAACTCACTTTTGAATGCATTATCCTCCCCAATCACCGAAGCACGACCCCCGACAGAAGACATGCTTCCTAAGCCACTTGCCAGAGGAGTGGCGGTACCACCAGCGAATGCATTTCGTAGGCTTTCATTGATTTGAGCGACTGGATTGCGTCCTCCGAGTACATAGCCAGCAGTACCACTACCAAGTCCTGATACAGAGACTGGAGTCGAAGCAGTAGCACCAGCAAAAACAGCTGCTGGATCTGTTTCTCCTTGTAAAACAAGGACACGCCCTAGGTCATGTTCTAACCGGGCCCGCTTCCTGGATAGTAGCTCGACAATACGAGAGGCTAGGGCAATTTTCTCATCTGAGAGCACTGAGAGTTTCTCTTGAGCATCTTTCAGTTTCTCAGTTGGCGGTGCTAGTGGCGTCCTGTCCTTCTCTTTCGAGGGGTCCGTGCCTTCTGATCGTAGGGAATGTCGCATATATTTGTGAGCCTCTTTGGCGAGATCATTCTGTATTTCTGAAAAAAGAATATGAATATTTTGCCAGAGTTTGTGATATTAGACATACCTTGAGAATCGGTCTCTTTCGAGCGAAGCTCTTGCAGAAGAAATTGTACTTCGCTAGGTAGATTGTCCAGGGCTAAGTATTGAGCCACTTTAGCTTGGCGAATCCATAAAGCGTGAAATTGGCTCACTCATAATAAATTCCGACGCTATCGTGACTGCTTCCTCCAAATTTTGGACGCTCGCGGTGCTCATCGTCTTAACGTTATATTGTCAGTTGTTGAAGGTTTGAACTCAGGGTGCTCACTGCTGGTGGCTAGTGACAAACCATCATGGTGGTGTTTAAACTCCGCGAACATCGCCTTATGTAATTCAAATGAACGTATCGATCCAGAGCTTGTCAAGCCTCAGGCCTAGGCCTCAGTACTCAGTCAAGGAACCGTCGACAATATTCAAATAGGCCAACGTTAACATTCACAGCTGTTCTCAGGGAGTTCGCAACTTCCTCTATAAGCGAGGCGTTATGGAATAGAGTCGTCATAGCGCTAAATATTCACCGGACTTCTGGAAGCTTGTGAGTAGTATATGACATAGTAGGCCAGTCTCTTCTTCAATCTATAAGATGCTAGATTTTCTGTAAACTAGGATAGCAGGCACTTCCTTATACGCATGCCAGAATCCTGGGCGATAGGATCAAACGTTCAAGTGACTTGCGGCTGGGTACTTCGCCTGCTCACTGAAGCTTTCACGTGACGTTCTGATCCAGATCTTCTCCGTTGTCTGTGTCGAGGGCGTTTTCCTCTATCATTATGACGAAGACAAGCTCTTGGCAGTGAGTACTTCTGTACTCAATCGCAAATGTCGATTGCTCACAAGAATACAGCATCCATGAACTACATGAGCTTGTGGTTGAAAATGTGTTAATTTATGGTAAAAAGAAGTTATTGTGCCATTGACTTTCCGCTGCCACGAAATCTCAAAGCATTTTGGTCCCTCGTCGGTCCAAATGCTTTCACAGGACGAGGTAATCAGAATGCCCAAGACACGCTTTTGAACGACCTGCGTGACGAAAGATGCGAAACGTCGAGGGGTGATGTCACGAACTCCCTTTCGATGTTTCAGCGCTCTCAAGGCGTCAGACGCTCGCTGACCTAATCTGTCATATAGAGGCTCTAACAGGCACCCTACAATGCCCCGGCTTCGGCGACAGCGCGGAAAGTGTGGTCTGCGCAGATCTAGGAAATACAGCTAGAGTCGGGTTCCTCCGACGTCACCATGGCGGGTACAATGAAGCGTTAAAGTAATCATCCAGTAAAAACAAATGCAACCCCGTCCAGACCCGTCCCCGGATAGTTTGTGAAGCATAGAGAGTTACCGATAAGTAGTCTAATCATATCAGGAGATCGGATGGTCGTAATGACGCGCCTTGGGGCACATTTCTACTTGAAAAATAATTTATGCTCCCGATTGTTCTAGCCATCCGTAGTGAAGTTAGAATGGTGGCGGGATGCTGTACACACTGGCGAAAGTGATCTGTTTGTGTAATTAATGCAGTGTTCGATGTGAAGAAAGTTATTGTGTCCCTCGATATCATTACATTTGATCCGCCCTCTGAGCAGGTCCTCATGCTCCCAAATTGCCGCAAATCATCCACCACTGGTTTACATCAGTCGACTGCGTTACCACCGTGGTCAATTCCTTGCCAAATGCGTCCGTGCCATCCTTCAAACTTAAATTCGGTATGTGGTCGCTAAATTAGAGTCCGTGGGGATGTCTGAGCTGGGGCTCGCCCCTAATCACTTTTGTCTTCTGATGATTGTCACGCTGAGCGTGAGCTGTATGACAGCCCTGTAGGAAATTCTGTACTGCTCCACCCCTCTGCTGGGACCTGCAGGCTTGTCTCACAGACGGAATATTGATGGTCACGAGTCGAGGTAGTGTCGAGGTGGGCATCGCCACCATGGCAAGCGGCCTTGTATGGCAGAAATGTTTGATTATGGAATTTGCTAGCAGAACGGATGACAAAATTGCTTAGAGCTCTTGAATTCGTGGTTTGCATAATACATACATTTCAGAAAAAATAATTCTTTAAGTAAGATGCCTCCTGAGGTCAAAACTTGAGCCCATCTGTCTCATATTTCTATATCTGCACATCTATGCGCATACTACGAGAACTTGGCTCAAGACCAGGATCGAATGTCCTGCTTCCAGGTGGCATTTACAAACTATTCAAATGTCTACATAATCTTGCCGATAGCTAACCCTACCGATGACAAGCATGACAGTACTAACTTAGAGCAACGCTCCTTGACACTTTCACAGGGCTGTGTGGTCCTGGCCCCTGAGGCATAACCCAATGCGGGGGACGCTTAGTGCCCCGGGGGAAGGTGGCTGGTTGTGCGGTGATCCTGAACAGCGCACGCCGCTTGTCGCGATTGGTAACATGCAGAAGCTTCTGGATAGTGAGGAGCCCGGCAGGAGGGGGAATGAGGGGAGCACCCATATTAGCCACCGGCGGAAAACGACGAAGAAAAATTGCAGCTAGCTATGTAGTGTATCAGAAACCTAGAACCGATTCCATGTCGAGTGTGTCCCCGCAAAAACCTGTCCGACTGTGGCGCCCCTCAGCGTCAACGTTCATTCACCTCAATCCCGACAAGAAAAGGGCTTCGCGAGCATGTAAACCTTCGGATCCGGCATGCAAAACGCCGTGTCCATGAGAAATATTTTAGGGGTCGGCGTTGCCGACTTAACACCTTGCTCCGCGAATGTAGACTTCGTGACCAGTCCGTCTATGAGGCACACATTGACGTTGTTTCAAAGAAGATGTCCCTCATACGCAAATTGTATTTTACGATGGTGATGTTGTAGCTTGCATACTTTTCGGGTAGTTGGTTTGATTGTGATAATGACGTTGTATTAATAGCCTACTGGTTTAATCAGATGCCATCTCCGTATTCGAGACTTTGTCCTTACGGAGCAAGGTGATTCTTGGGGCCTGCGTGCTTGCAAGACAAATGAGCGCCCTTTTCAGGTAGCTGGTGATGACGGCAAACCTTTGCGCTATCTAGTCTGTCTCATCACTCGCCACGACAAGCTCGCGCGCATGACCGCCATGCCACGCCTTAAGCGTCTCCTGAGGACAACAAGCCAATAGCTGTAATCGCCATTAAGCTTAAGAGACCCAGAAACTTGTAACTATTAATGCATGGCTGTTAGAGATGACTTCGGCCGACGGTGTACAAATTCTGGATGGGGAACTTGCAGGGTTGCAAAGAAGCCCCAAAAGAACGTTCTGAACACCTTCGTAACATTTCACAAAGCCCTGCGACAATTATGGGTATTGAGGAGTGTTGATGCCAAGTTCAGGCTGTGAAAGGACACCTCAGACGACGGTCCGTCCATTATTGGCACCCTTGTGAAGTTCCGCGGAGTTCTTAGAATCTAGATCCTTGTATCTGTATTATCAACTGTCCTGCTGAGCACCTGAATCGATTGGCGCTGCAAAATGTGTATCCGTGCGCCATTACAATGGCCTAAGTCACACGCATACAAGAAATCGATATAAATGAGACGCATGAACATCGACAGTGCCTAGAAATTCGAATTAAACGCTCTTATCGATCCGGTTTGAAATTCTTACCCCTATTGGAAGTAATAGTCGGTGTACCAGGACTCTGTACAGCGAGAATGACCTTGTGCCATTACGAGAGGTGGTGTTATTCGTCCACAAGTCCGTCAATATGTTGTGTGGCAGATATAATCCAGGGTGTTTGCGCAAAGTGTTAGTTCAAGGTCTGTATGATAAGTCAGCAGGCACGAATGGCTTGTTGTCACCTGAGCTTCTAATCTGGTGCCGGAGGTTGGGCTATTCGGTAGAAATGGACACCGTTGAAGGGTATTCCTAGGAACGGAGCGGTAGAGCTTGCAAGCGCATCAACTCCTTTCAACAGTCTGCCGAAGCACCCATGGCGTGGTGGACGATCTGTGAATTGATAAAGAACACGATGCTTCCAGTTGAAACGGTGAATATTTGATGGCACAAGAGAGGCGGTCGAGTCCTGTCGGTGCACTGTCGAAGCCCTTAGTACGCCTTCTCGAACCGGCTTTTCGTGTCCTTGATATGTTCTCCTAGTAGTAGTGGCCTACTTCAATGATATGTGCGATTCGCGTGACAAGACGCCACGAAGTTCGACCATTACACACTGTTGAATTTGCTTATCTTCATGCCAGACAGGATACTGTGAACATTCAAGAATTAATGAGTAGTCAGACCACGCTGGCACTTAGCTCATGAGTTCGAGTTGAGTCGAGAGTGTCTGTCACTGGTGAGAGTCAAGCAGCAGCACAGCCACAGCGTTAATGCACACAGTGTGCAAGGCGTTGCAACTTGCAACCCACCTCATTCAGCGCCAGTAGTACTGCCATTTTGTTCTTGAATCCAAAGCGCTATCATGTCGTTCGAGCATGCTCCCGTTACCAAAGGTTCGATGAGGTTGCTTCACTCCATAAACGAGGTCACTTACCCTTGGTATGCTCCAGGTCTCATGATAGGTAGCGCATTGACATCAATCATCGGTGGCATTTTCGATGTCAAGCACTACTTACATCTTCAGGTTTGAGTCTTGAACCGCAAAAATGAAAGATTTCAGCTCAATTAGCTATATTCTCGCAGCTCGTGCCTCACGTGTCACGCAACCATCAGGTATCAGAGTACAGTCCATCCATGCTCCACAAAACTGAACCTGAACTAGACCTACTTCTTCTTTATAGTACTGGCGCCTCTTGCTCCATCATACTGCGTTCTCCAATTCAAGTGATCTCCTCATTGCTGAGATTCTGCTATATGGTGTTGGTGTACATATAGAACGTCAGTTTGGAAGTGTTAAATTCGCGGTGTGTAATCACGTATCCGTTCTTATTCTAATACACTAACCTATAGCCAAGTCATTTACCGTGGTCTCCGTCTTGCTCGCAACAATACTGGAGTTTCTTGGTCTCATGCTATTCCACAATATGGGGATCAATCAGATCCCTTCCGGTCCATCGGCGCTACTCTTCAGCATTATTTATCAGTGGTATAGGCTGATTCCTCCAGCGTACCATTTTCGAATATTTGGAATTGCTACGAACAATAAAGCGTTCATGTACATCCTTGCCTCTCAGGTCATACCTTCCATTAGTCCACTATCTACCACTGATCTCAATCCTATAGCTCGCTTTTGGGCACCTTCCTGGCTCATTTGCCCCAGCGGTCGCTGGACTACTCTCTGGCTTCATATATCGCTCAGAACTTGTTAATATTAAAAGCTGGCGGCTGTCACATTCTATAATCCGCTTTAGTACGCGTTTCTTACTTCCATTGGTGGGCTCTACTCGTGCACCACGACGGTCTACCCGTGCCCGTCCCGAAACAACTCGTCAAACGTCGAGCCCCGAAGTTGGGAATGAAGAAATCATTACCACTGCCCCTCCCTCGACAGGCACAGAAGAAACTGGAGGCTCCGTTATGCGGGAATGGGTTAATGAACTCACCGGGAGGAACGAGCAAGGCACCACAGGGGTCCGTGTTCCAAGTGATGCTGAGATTACTCATTTGACAACGATGTTCCCCAACGTGCAACGGGCCGTTATCGTAGGGGCGTTACAGAGGAGGTTAGCTTTCCTATTATTCCACGAGATATAGTGTTGGGCCCTGACATGTGACTTGTAGTCCAAATATTGAGAGTGCAGTTGAATTGCTCCTGACTTCCTCATGATGACGGTTCGGACATGTATGTAGAAGCTTTCCCGTTCGGAACAGCATCCCACGGAATTATTGGAATACACGTCTTTTTGCATACTAAGATAGGTAGTTCGGTATGAAAGTACATCTTCAAGCCGCGGACTCGGGTTCATCCCCTTCAAACCCCTCACCATCCTCGTCCTCGGTAGTGAAAGCAGTCATAGGCACAGCGTAGAGACGGATCACCGACTGAAACATATGTATGAGCATGGGAGCGGATATACTTTAGAGTGTAGTGACGTTACCTTATTGGGGTCCTTAATCAGGACGTACTTGCCCTCAGGCATTTTCATGCATAAATCGGTGATCGTTCTGACGATACCCCAGCCATTGGCAAGAGAGACGTTGAGCTGAGCAGCAAAGTCGGTTGGACGCATGGAAGCTGTGCTTAGAATGACGTGTCGAGTGTTGTCTTTAGGGTTTCCACGCGAGATATAACTGTGAACGCACGTCAAAAAAAAAATCGAAGTCACACAAAGATAATAAAGTGCTCGGAAATTTGAACAGGAAATAGAGCTTACCCTATTTTCATCAATTCAGCTCCTGCCAGCACACTCTGCACAGTCCACTTCGCGAGCTTGCAACTGTTATTTTTCATTTCCGTAGCCACTACAGCGCCACGCTGGGAATCCAACTTAGACCGCCAGTCAGGGGCACCACCTGCTCCTTGGGCACGAGGGTCAAATTCATTCAATGCACGAATGGTGACTAATCCATGACCCTCTTGTGGATTTCCTGTTCCGGGAACATAAGCATCCACTTCAGTGCGGATACAGATCTTCACATCTTCATCCTCCGTGATACCAAGGTCGAAAACGCGATAGCGGTATCCACAAGATGCCAAAGGCTCAGTCTCTTCTGGGCCATAGAACGGGTTAGGGTGGGCGAAGTCCGCCGCGATGTTTTCCTGAACAGATTGGAATCCAAAGTTTTGATTGATGTAAGTTGCCTCCAAAGAAAGTGACGTGGCCGAATTAATGGATGGCGGCTCTGGAACCGCCGTCTTCTCGACCGGGTTATTTGGATTTGGCGGTGCAGGGTCCTGCGGAGGGTCCGACGCGTTCTCATTCACCGTAACGGTGTCAAATGGACCACCGTCACGTTTATCGAAGTATAGATTATTACCCTCGCGGAGGATTACGATGTCCCAAGGGTTGACTGATCGAGGTGCGCACATAAGGACCGACAGGATAGCATCCGTCGTGTAGACGTTGGCAACATTTTTGGAGACCAACTGCGTGCGACATTATGTATCGTAGGTGCAAACTCTGCAGAGACAACAGAACATACCTGCTGGATGACGGGGTCATCAGAAGTTGTAGTATTGTACTTGATACGGTCCACGAGTTGTAACGGGCGTTCAGTCTTCGTTGTAATCCGATCATATGATTTATCATACGCAAACACGCGACCGTAAGTGTCACTAATGAATATCTTTAATATTTTATGGTGTCTGAAAACCCATGGTGACTCACACGTCTTCCGGTTCGTCAACTTCAAGCTTGAGCTTGGCAAGTCGATGGAACTCGATCTCCTCCAACATGGTCCATTGTGGACTGATTGCAACAGATGATTCGCGAGTGCGGTTTGTCTGATCCATCAAAAAATATAAGCTCAGTCAAAAGTGAATAGGACACGCAGTAAACCTTTTCCCAATCTCTCCATCCTTTCCGACCCCCTCGTTGTGCACCCCCTCGGTTATTGAAACCACCCCGGCCACCTCGTTGTGCGACACCCCGATTATTAAAGGACCCACCACGACCAGTAGCCCTTCCACGGATGAATCCACCGCCCCTGCGCGGAGGAGCAGTTTTGTTATCCACCAGAGAGAAGCTGGACTCGTCTTCTACGTGGAAGTACGCGAAAGCGCTCGCAGTTCCACTGCCGAATGCCTGAGCACCATCTCTTCTTGAGCGACCTGGACCGCGTGCATCCCTCGTTGAGGGAAGTCCTACTGTGGCCTGGCGAGTATCGCCCGTAGTATCATTCCAATCAGCGAAACGGCCAAGTTTATCAGATTTTGAGTATGGCGCATATGGGATATCCTTGAACTTAAACTGTTCAGGGATGTTGGAAGACGACGGGCCCCATCCTCCATCAGGATTGTCGTGAATTGGCGGTAAAGTGAAGGAAGCCATTGTGGTCTGCGTTGATGGCAGACAAGATGAGCTACCGAAATTTTGAGTTCAGGAGGGCGTGGGAATCTTGTCTTCATCCTCTACAGCCATGAAGTGGGTATGAATCTACGACGTTCCTCCCAAAGTCTATTCCATCTGATTCCTGAATTCTGACAGCGTCGTACGCGAAATAAACAAGATCAACGAACGTGAGCTCGAGCTCGGGATTTCAGGATCATGGCATGATGAGTACAAGGGTGAGTCACGGTTTACTGGTTTGCTCTGACACGCACGCCGAATTACTTGCAATATCAGATTCTGCCTATGTATTTATTGGCGGTCTGCACTTTGACCTGACTGAAGGCGACGTGATCACGATATTTTCTCAGTGCGTCAATTACTCTGGCTATTCGAATGTCGCTGAACCGCTTGGAAAGGTATGGAGAAGTTATGGATGTTAATCTCCCTCGGGACAAAACGACTGGGAAGACCAAGGGATTTGCCTTCCTTATGTATGAAGATCAAAGGTCCACGGTATTGGCTGTCGATAACCTTAATGGTGCCAACGTGCTGGGTAAGACGCTGCGTGTGGACCATGTAAAGAACTATAAACAGCCAAAGGTGAAAGGCGAAGATGGAGAATGGGAGGAACCCGATGAACAGAGTTTGAATGCCAGGCCAGAGATGATTATGGGTGAGTGGCTCTCCTCTGAACTGTGGGCGGACTTCAACGTGTCACCGTCACAGATGGACGTCCAGCATCAGATTCAGACGCGTCTTCGGTCATTTCCATCGATCCCGAGGACCCTATGCGGGACTACATCTTAGCACAGAGGAAAGAGGAAAAAGCCCTAAAGAAATCCAAAAAATCTAAAAAATCCAAAAAATCCAAGACATCTAAGAAGCAGCGTGGTGACGACGACAGGAGATAACAGGCATGAGTATCCAGAGGTGTTTTTATTTCTTTTGTTGATGTCATGTCTTGACATCACTAGACTCTCTAATGTATGGCATGCGAGACTTCGGATGCTTATAACATGGAAGGTGTGTGTCAAACCTTAGGGACGGTCGCGGCAAGAACCGAATCGATGCATCCTTCGGTAAAGCAGCACCCCATCTCTGCTAAGTTCTGTGTACAACCCCGCGGCGTATTACATTCTACAGGCTGTTACTCTTTAAAATTTGGTCCGCAAGCGGCTGACACCTGTCTGGCTGTCAGGTGAGGACCCCCGCAACAAAGCGAGGACAACCGGAAGCACAACGACTGACCGCATGCTCCGGTAGTCTTATGCTGCATGATTGCTGGAAGGACTCGGAGTCAGTTTTACGGTTGCAGAAGATATCTTCGCAACTTGTACCTGGGGAGTTTTAGACGCACCCCATTCACGACCTGAGAGTCGCCGCTTGGTGAGAGAATTGAGGAGAAATCTGATTAGGAAAATACGCACAATGAAAAGAAGATATGTTTGGAACTGTTGAACAAGCTTGGGACATGTTATGAAGGAGATGTTATTAGACTCTGCTATTCTTGTTGAATGTATGATTCTGTCATTTGAGCCCGCTCGGCAAGTGCTGCCCGTTTGCGTCAAGACATCCGCGAGATGTGAGAAGAGGTGAGGTGCTCGCTAAGTTCACCGACTGGGAGCGTCAATTTAGGATTGAGACGCTTGCAATTGAGACTGTTCCTGGTGAGACCCTGGAAGCAAAAATAAGTATAGACTTACCGTGTCCGAGGGCTCCTTAGGCCTCCGTGGATGACCTTGAAGACGGGATTATAGCTGGCGCATTTAGGCTGAGGTGGACGAACGTGTCTGGCTTAGGGTCTCATCATCAAACATACAGCCTTGATGTAAAACAGGAGTGCCAAGATAGATGCGCATATGGATCACTCAGTCAATGCCATGGCTAACACAAAAGTCGTGGCATGCTTTGCTGAATGAAGAGGCTCGCTGGTACCAATGGAAGAAGCTCCATTGGCAAGAATTTGAAAACCCTTGACCTAGACACATGCCTACACACTCATCCACACCTATGATGTCTAACGGCATCCAAAGCATTGATAAGTGTGACGAGGAAATCTTACACGTCCCAATAGCGAGGGCCTCCTGATAAGTTTACTTACAAGTTGGAATATGTGTTGATCCAGATAGGAGCTCCCGTCCACTCTTGGAAAAATAAACATATTTGTCTTGACCACCGTCCCAAGAAGTAATGCGGGAGAATGTGGTTGTAAACCCATCATCTGGGACGCGGGTGCGAACCTCACTCTCACTCGAGGAGGGAGCCCGTTGGGGTGCACAAACGCATGGTCTCTGAGACATCATTTCTAATACGTAACTCGCGAGCCCGAGGGAAACGTACATGTTATGTGATACCTTCGCACTTGAAGAAGGCGTATGCAACGCCACCCTTGCAATCCGATAGAAAAATCATTGGGAACATGATAGGAAAAACTTAGAGCGAAGTTGACCATTTTCTGAAATGATTATACTGACCAAAATATTGCAACTGTTCCGGCGCAGGAGACTAAGCACGCTCTAAGTATTCCGCGTGTTGAGTCCAGAAATGGTGCAAGCACGTCTGGACTCTGAACCACACCATCGATTATGTTGAGATCCGGGGCAAATGTCCAATCAGCGGACATATTGGCTCGTGCAGTGACTAGCGGAGAATCTGGGTATCGGAGTTGTATGTAGGACGCACTCGCCTCCTCAGAATGAACTATCTTAGTCTGTCTGTGAATACATCCCATGTACCCAACCAGAGAGTACAAGAACATAAGATTCTCGACAGATTAGAACGAAATTCGTATAACATGGAGGGTTCACACTAAGTTTGCACTATCACGCGTTACGCGCGTCACGATTCACGACGCGCTCTGCACAGCACGTGACTTTGACATATAAAATTGAACATGGATTCATTTTCAGTCCGCTATTCATATGGTCGCGACAGTCTTTTGTGAGCAGATCACGTTTGGCAGTCGCCTTGGACACCTGCAGTGAGGATATTCAATGATTTACTCGTGCAACGCTTCTCGCACTAAACAAAGTCTATTGTCTTTATAGCCACTTTCATTCATTGTATTGTTTAACTCCAAAAGTTCTTTTTGCGGAAGAGAGATTCGTCAGAGGCACTTAAATACCGCGTTTATCACTCACAAGAGATTGTTCACGTTTATTCGACCCCCCTGCTCGTAAGACCTTCTGAGTCACTGGCTGGCAGGATGGTCTCTATCACGCGCTCTGCCAACTCAAATTCACCGTCAACGCCATCCAGAGCTAAACCTCGCTCTAGTGTTGGAACGACAGCAAATCTTCCAACCCCAGGCACATCTCCACGCCGCACTCCCCACTGCAAGACATGCCACCTACCCAGGCAGGGACATCCTCGCTCTGGCTGTCCTAATGTTGCACCCGTAGTGTCACATCAGACTAGTGGTGCCACCGAAGATATTGTGGATGAAATGTCGTCCTTGCGCATCGTGAATCCCAATGACGAGCCTTCTTCCCTTCCCACTGAAACACCCACCCGGTCCAAGAACCTCAAACGCCAACTCTCTGTTCGTTTCGCCCTTCTTCCAGAGGGAAGCCTCAATTCACTCTCTACTACATCCTCAGAAATCGTAGGGAGGCTTCTCCAACCAGGAATGATGAGTAATGCGTCTGATGATGGTGATGGTGATGGTCAGAGAGCAATAATGCAGTGGAAACGGACTTTAATTGGTCCTGAATCATCTCCGGGAGACACCCCGGAGCTCGACGCCAATGCAGAAAAAGAGACACGCGCAAACAATCACATTGGTTCACGGACCGGCTTGTCACGTCGTATGCCCTGCACGCTGCATACCCCAACCCCGAGCCTCGTGTCCACAGAACCACTTTCTAGCCAGGCCACAAGTGACTATGTGGATATGAACAAAACCATCTTCATTGATCCAGAATTTGAAAAGAAGCCCAGTCCCCTGGCGCGAACGATGAGCGCTGACGAGAGATCATTATTCCTCAACAATCTCACTCAATCATCAGGGGCTGCACCTGCCATATTATTCTCTGTCCCACTGATCGATCTCAAGGCCGTACAACATGACGCAGAGAAAGTAGGTTTCAGCGTCCGAGTTTTGCCAAATGGAAGCTCACGAGAGCACCGATGGGTTATATTGGCTAAGGAGGGGGACGCAGCGGAATTTCTTGAGAAACGGCTGACGGAGGAAGAAGAGAAAGGGCGGAAAGCAAAGGGGAATTTTGGTGCTGCCGCTGGCGGAGCACTAGTGGGCGCTGTGGCGACATTCACGGGACTGGCGTTTTCTTGAAATGACTTTCCTTGTCCAGTAAACTCGCTTCAGATTATACTTGTACGCATATCTGTACTGCTAGTTAGGTGAATCTCGTTCAACGATTTTGTCTTGCCATTACTTTTCCCCCTTTCCTGCATTGAGCTGACACTGCTTAACAGCCACATGGGTAGTTTACAAGCTGTGCTGTAGTCAAACTCAGCTACAACTTTGCACCTGCTGACTCTGCAGATTCCGTAACAGACATGTCGGCGTCCCGAGAAGACACTGCTGAGAGTTTTGAGACGTACACTCAAGGAGCTGAGCAAGATGAACAGGGCACCGGGGATCTTCCAACTTATAACGATGTCACCGCCCAAAGCGGTCCAAATTCACGGTGCGCAGACAGGAGAGCGCGTTGATCTACACAATCTCACCCATTCACTGATGGTAGCTTTGGTCGCTGGAGAGGCTGGATAGAAAAGAGGTAAGAGCTAATTGACACCACATTGCCAAAGAGTTGATTGTTTATGGTCTGAGCGCAGAGCTGCAGAGCGTTATGCAGACGTCACTGTCGAGGAATTCGATCGCAGGCGAGCTAGAGGATGGGGTGAGGACGAATCTTCGCAACCTGTATGTGTGCACTTTACCCCATGATGCATGGTAAACTGACATTTAGCATTGCACAGGTGGAAGATCAAGACCCCTCTACTCAAGCCATCGAGGAGCCACAGCACTATCGTAGCTCAACCCCGCCGCGCTTAAGAATAAATGCAGATCTTCCTTCCCTATTATCTTCCCAGACACTTCATGATGGGTCCACAACTCCTGAACCATCGATGGAGCCTTCTCTGCACATACCAGCGGAACACCTGACCCCAACTCATCTCTCGATCTATCATTTCGGGTCCCGATTTTTACCGCACTCTACTGCGCCTATCAGATGTATTCTTCCTCTCCAGCGTGATCGTCTCATTCTCATAGGCACCGATGCTGGGCTGTCAGTGCTTAACATGTTCCCTTTAAAATGGGCTGATGAAACAAGTCCTGATGGGGTGACCGGTCTCATTCAGAAAGGACCTGCTGATGCACAAGCCAGAGTAATGTGGATAGGAGAGGCGTAAGTAGATGAAAATCTTGTTGTTTTTGTCCGATTAGTGACGTTCCGCATCCTTTGTTGCAGCGTTTACCAGATGTCGATTTTGGAGTACGAAGATGCCGGCGAGAGTGCGCCCCAAGGGGTCGTGCTGGCGTTAGTAGGACCTGAGCTCGACGAATCTCTATCCGCTAGTGCGCAGCAAGAATCCCCGCGTTCTCTCAGAATGTATAAGCTCTCCAGCCTAACTAGCCTAGCAAAGTGGGCCATCTCACAACAAGTGAGACATCTCTCCTGTTTCCTCTCACCGTCCCGAGCACTCACTTCATTGAATAGGGCTCACAGCCAGTTGATTTGCGCAGGTCGTCAGACTGGAATCCCCAAGAGACACCTGTGAAGAAGCACAGACCAACAAATAGCATTACAAAGGGCCTACGGAGTCTCATTCCTGAACCACCCCCTGGCTCACGACGGGCGAGTTTTCTTGCAACAACAATTACAAAGCGCCAACTGCAAGTACCAAAGAAAGCTGCATCTTGGGATCTCATCGACGATTTACCACTGCGCTGGGCTACTGATTTTACGTCCCTCTCGTCAACTGGCTCCAGAATGTCAAATACGAGTGTGGTGTCTTATGCTCTCTGGCACGAAGGCAGTACGAGCTGCACCCGTCGTGCACTGCTTGCTGTGGCGACCAAGACCAACATATTTTTATATGAGACTCCAAGAGGGCAGAGGGCTTTTCACTTCGTCAAGGTATGTATCGATCTTCTGACACTTGATTTGATTACAAGAATCTGTGCAGGAATTTTATTTACCATCACAGCCACGCTCTCTTACCTTTGTCCAGCAATCCGTGCAGGACAATTTTCGATCACAACCTGATGTCGGACCTCCTCGAACGACTATCGGACATAACCGTATAGCGTCTGCCGAAGCCTCCCGGCCTGCGAACGTTGTATATGAAGCCCAAACAGCAATCTTTGTGGTGTTCGACAAAAGGGCTGGTATCATACGGGTAGCTGATTCAGCAGTCACGGAAGTGGATATGTTTGAAAGTGGAGGGGGTCTTTCCCCAACGGGTGGGAGTGGTTCCAAGGACACACTGACTGGAGGGTCTCTTCGAGGTCTTCGGTCTCGTGCTTCCATCGAATTCACGGCTTCAAAAGATCAAAGGAGCATTTGGCTTCTGCCTTCAAGAACCGAAATCCCCCCTATACATATGCCCCACCTCGGTTCTTCCGACAGTAGTGTTTATGTCCTCACGCGTGGCAAGGTCACGCACGTCGTCGGTGCCCCCCTTTCCGCATATATTCACGCCACGCCTCCTTTGTACACCGTAAACTGGGATTTCCCCCCTGCAAGCGTGGCTGCGCGGACGCATTTGCCAGCACCGAGTCATTCACAAGAGACTTCTCCTGAACCATCCTTGCAATTGATTGGGATGGGTGAGGAGGGCGTCGAGGTGCACGAAGTGCCCCTATCACATCTTTCGGGGAGTTACAAAGGAAAAGGCAAGGCACTTCCTGACCCTCCCGTTGCGCAGAACCCACTTGGCGAGGCCGGATTCCTCACGACTGGAGGACGTTGGCACCGTTACATTGGTGCGCCTCAGTTTGAGAGAATGAATTCCGCCATATCTGCCAGCTCGATTGAGAGCACTGGGACGGAAGAACTTTTATCGCGTGTGAAAGCAGAGGAGGGCGTGTATGGGTGGTGGCGGAAGGAGTGGCAGGACTGGCGAATCTTCTGGCTGGGAGGTGACACCAGCACTGGCGGTTCCGGAGAATAATTGAACAAGGGCACTAACCATCCACTGACTTTGATGCTTCCATGGACATCTTAATTCGATCTAATCACAACAGACTTAATTTATCTCATGTAAGGCATGCATGTATAAGATCCAGTACTGTAACTATATGTACCAGTAACACAAAACACGGTGTGAAGCAAGAGTCTAGTCCAGACAACGGAGTGCAGTAAATATTACACATGCAAGAGATGTTGCTTACTCTAAGAATCCCAGGATGGTAGATACAAAGCAGGACAAGGCAAGAGAGCGTAAAGGGAGTGTTATAATATCAATTCATGGCTTCCGAGATTTCGCCGGTGAGGAAGGTCCTCCAGTTTCGTCCATCGAGTACCTAACTTTGTGAGTTTGTGGGTGGGTATCGGGTTGCGATGACTGAGGTTTTCGTGCTCGAATAACGACGAACGACTTTCCAGGGTCCTTGGGGGATGAACCACCCTCAGGCTCCACCTCACTCACACCACTATCCAACCGATCCCCCTCACTATGCCTGCGATTCCTTCGAATATTATACCAGTGCCTCTTCTTTGGCTGGTCAGGATCGCTAGTGCTCGATTCCCCACTATTCGTCTTGGTCGCCATCGATGGGTGCTCCTCCTGTGGAGGAGGAGCATTTGCAGGCGTTGCACTCAATGCAGCAATATCTCCAATAATAATCGCTGTTTGACTCTTCGTGCGCATGTGTGGCATCATTGCGCCCGCAGGAAGCCCAGAGTTCGTAAACGCGGGAAGACGCGCGACATTTGCCATGGAAGCAGTTGGAGTAGGAAGTTCTTCACTGTCATAAATCGTCTTCGTCGGTGTCCCACCAGATGCTGGCCCACTGCCTTTGCGTTCTATGCTAGGAAACGTAAAGGTTGAACTCCCCCCTGGCTCGCCGGCAATCGCGTACGGTGAGTCATAGTGGGCGCGACCGCCACCGATGCGGGAGAAGCCTGAATTTTGGGGAGGGGTGCTGGTTGATGCGCGGTCGTATGAACCGCGGGGACCTGGACCTGGGAACGGCTGCCATGCGCCCATGATATAACCACTTTCTGCATCCTCATCGCTGTCTTCTCTGTATGGCTGCAGGGCGTGCTCGGGTCGCAATACCGATGGTGGGGGACCACCGGAATGGTGCGAGGAGCCGGAACCTTTGACTTTCTGTGCGAAAGACGCATTGGGTGGTGCATAGGAAGATGAGTCCTGTGCAGTGAACGAGTCTCGGGCAACGGGTGAATGTCGAACTTCTGTGGCTTTGTAGTGTCTTCGTTCGCGACTGCTTCTACGTGGCCCGCAACATCCGAGAAGGGAAAGCACGCCGACCAAACCGCTATCGACTGGCCGTCTGGAGCGATCGAAGCCTACTCCACCCAAAATGCGCACGACTGCTTCAATGAATTTGATAACAAGAATCAAGAACAACGCAAGATAGACGAGGCAAAGGACGATCAGTATGCCATAGGCCACCCAACCGCCGGGGCCGGCGCCAATTGAAATCTGGACAACATAGTCTTAGCAATGGACTGGCGACGACAGGTGGGCTTACCGTTGGTGTCAAAATCACTAGCAGTACAGCAACTACAATGCGTGCAACGCAGAATAAGAAGCTGATGAGGCCCATACCAGCTCCTGCACCCCACGGTAACCATACGCTGGTGACCAAAGCGCTAACAACTTCCGTCACCAAAATTATGATCGCTTGTGCTGTTCCACTATGCTGCCCACATCCTATGGCCACCCCGAGGACGAGGTTAGATAGGAAAAGCAAGCCTGAGAAAAGCTGCGAGTTCTGACGGTAGTGATTGTAGAGTGGTCCTAATGCGAGAAGAGTCCGTGTTTCATCGTATAATTTGGTTGTTGGCGTCCGGGCTAGCCGCAGGAGTATAAGAGTGGGAGCGATCACAGAGAAGAGGGCGAATGAGAGGGCGCCAAGTGCTGATGAAGACGCTGAGCTGCCTGTTGAAAATTCATAGCACGAGAATATGGTGACGGGTAAGTGAAAAAGGATTAGAACGCGCACAAGGTTTCCTATGAGCACGCTGGAGTGAAAAGAGCTGACTTCCGGTCGGAACCAACGTCTCCTGAAGAAGGTGTAATTGTGGGCAAAGCCGGTTGATGATCTGCTCTCATCTCCACTTGTGTCGAGCATATCCTTACTGCTCGCCGAAAGCCGTCGTTGACCTTTGTTTGTTGCGCTTGTGAGTGCAGCAGAAGTGGGTAAATTGCCGGACGGCCGCCGTGAAAACACCCAATCTACCATCCATACGAAGAGACTAAGCAGGATTATCCCAGCTATAATCGCCAAGAACAGGGACAAGCAAATCGCAAAGAGATCTTGTGGTCGCACTCCAACACTCCATGCAAAGGATTGCATCCCAGTTGTAGTGTTGGGTGGAAGTAGGAAAATTGTGTTCGGGATCGACTGGTTAATGTAGATAACAGAAGAGGGATCCCCCAACTGATCGGCAAAATCTGATGGTGGGTTATACGGTAGGACATTTAGCGGGTTCCAATGCGTAGCATCTCCTTTCAACGTAATATCTACAATGCATTAGATATTCGCAGAGCATCGTTCAAAATCTAAAACCTACTGTACGTCAGCGATGCCCAGGCAGTTTGCGAAAGTAGGGGATCTAAAATATATCAGTACATGCGGTGTAAGATCATGTCTCAGGTTACTACTGACAAATGAAGGGAGGCCACTGGACAGCAACCATAGCTAGGGCTGCACACCATTGCGTGTGAAAGATGACATCACGCAAGGATGGGGAGCCTGGTGAACCGTAAGTACTGGAAAAATACGAAGAGGTGAAAATACTCACAAAATCTCATCAACGCAGGGGATGTTGAAAAGCGCTCACCACTGATGGCACTAGCAAGAATGAAACCAATACTCTCAAACCGGTGCCAGATGCCCGGACCCGGTCTATTAAATCCGCGACCCCAAGCAGATATGATCCGAGCAATACCGACGATGAACCAATATATTGCCGCAAGACCAACTGTTGCCCAAAATATGATGTGGGCATTGCCGTACGGCGAACCGAGTGGTCCTGGATGAAGCGGCGTGGTTGCGACACTAAGGCACAATATCTCATTTCCAGAAGGGTCGACAGCGCGAAGTTCAGTGTTCATAGTTGTGAGGGAATTCCTGGTATTGAATGGTATGGATGCGGAAAGGGCAAATGGCCCAGCAGGGATGGGGCAATATGTGGTATTTGTGCCAAGGGATTGCAGAGGAGAAGGTGGTCGTAATGAGTCGCATAGCTCAGAATTATTACTGAAGGTATTCATGGTAAGTGTCGTAGCTTCCGTGAAGAGGGTAGCTTGGAGTGAAGAGTATGAGACGCGCTATTAAATAATATAAGAAAGAATACGCACAGAGGCTGGTGCTATTAGCTGAGGAATCGACGATCTGCTGGGAGGCGTTCCCCAAAATTGTGATATTTAGCGTCTGTCCATTGATTATCTGCGAGTACACCGTGTCAACCGAAAGTTTCTGGGATGCATCCCCCGAGAAACAGTCATAGAATGGAAGTGTTGCGGGTTGTGCGAATATCGAGGGTAGAGACACGGAAAAAGACAGAAAGAGAAAAATCACCCGGACCGAGCAACACGACGAGGAAAAGATTGTGGTCATCGTTCAATACGACATACGACGAGTACGGGAAGTGCTGCGACTGCCAGTGAGTCCAGGTGGTACAGGCTTCCCACCGTTTACCACGCCACCAACTCGGATTTCATCTCCGTTCGTCGAGCATAGGCTACTAGCGCTGGTTAGCGGCGGACAAAGGCCATCGTGAGCATTAGCAGACATCGTTGATTTGCAGTTATAAGACGCAGTGGTGGACCAACAAGCTCATCATGGGGCCCATCATCAGTGGCCACTCTACCCGATGTCAACGTGTACACGCGTTTACACGTTCCTCAATATTATAGCGATCTGCACTTGGGCCTAGTCTTTTTCAATCGTGTTCCGAACTTGTGTCTGGAGCACGCAATTGGATTTGGAGCTGCGCACTGGTGTTTGGCAACATGTCATTCGGCGCCCAACCAATCGCGTAGCCTCATGCCATGAGTGACAACGCTGGTAGATTTGTGAATTCTACAATGAGCTATTGATGCCAAATCCAACTCGCAGCAGCGCACGCCGCAGATTATTACCACAGAGCATTGAAGCGAAAGCTTCTGTTTCTGCTTGTGGTCTTATGTTGGTGCATTCCTAGGTTGTCTTATCGATACGGAACATGTAGTCACTAGTAACTACACCCCTTGGTGTCCTTGTATGATGACACGCAAGCTAACTACAAACATAGCATTGCGAGCAGAACTACTTGGGGCTCAGCTCTGCTGTGTGCCGGAAGTCAATTTCCTTCATCAACATTGGCGACAGTCCTGCTGGAAACATTAAGAATGCTTCGTCGCATCCATCATCCTCGAGGTTTGAATAATGATGTAGCTCCCAAGAGAACGACTACGTAGGGTTATCATCAGAGGAAAATTATGTAGTCGTTAAATACTGACGCTCACCTTGGTGTTCGATCGACAGATTGCGGGCAAACCATCCCAGAGGACTAAAAATAAAAGAGTGCTGTCGAAACGGAACATGAAATGTTAATAAACACAACGCATGGAACAAAAAATGAAGCAAGGAATGCGACGAGCGACAACACTCGCTGAAATACCACAAAAATGTCAGAATTGTTTAGAAACAGCCGCACAACCGGCCGCTTCCATGCTCTCCAGTGGTGATCTGCCTTCCTGCGGATCATTGTTGCGAGTCAGGATTCGGTGAAGGAGGAGTTGAAGGAACATAGTCTTCATCACGTATCAAGCCATCATCGTCATGAGTGGGAGCCCCCACTGCAGCATGACGCTGAAAATTGATGCATGAGACATCAGAAACACAGTGATAAAAATCAACGCACCAATTCGCCCCACGCGAGGAACATCGAAGATTGGCGGAGCTGCATGACCTGTACGAGCGGGTCACCAGGTTGATAGGCAGGTCTTGAAGGTGGTGGGAGCGGCAGTAGTGAACACCACGGTGGGTGGTGGCATGGATCGAGACTGAAAAAATATAAGCCGAAAATGTCATTACGGCGGACGATATTTACGTTCTCACTGGAATCCATGTGTGAAAACCCGTGAATTGTAGCCTGCGCAGAGGAAGAGTAGTTAGGAGGTAGAGGCAATGGAGCTGGATACTGCAATGCTATCGTCGAGTCAACTGCAAGGGAACTTAGTAAAAAAGAGACATACATCCAGAGGATCACGCGGTTGATTGTTTCGAACAGGAGGAACTGCGTCCGTACGAGAAGGAAGGGCTTTGCGGAGGTAGCGAAGGAAAGTACGTTGCTGTGGTTGTACTGTAGGGGAATGACTTAATGGCCGAGGGGCGAAAAATGTGGCTGGGTTACGGCGCTTGGCACGACCTGTTGCATCGAACTAAAATGATGGCGTGAATGGAATAGTGTAGATGAGTGATAAAAAGGAATACACACGTTGAATAGATCGGGATTTTTGGGCGAACTGGTCTGCAAGAAAATATTAGCACAGGGGGGAGTAGATATATGTGAGGGAAAGTATACCTTAGACTGTACAGGCTGAATATGAGCAAGGATGTCAGGTGGAATGTCGTTATGTATATCTCAGCGGTCTTCAAACCCAGGCGGTGTAAGCCAGTTGGTGTAAGTTGGGTGAGAATATAAGGTTGTTGGGAGTCTGGGGATCATGAAAGTCAAGACAGGCGAGGAGCTGGCGGGACTCGAAGGCCCAGAGCTTGATGGCGGGGTCGTAGGAGGAGGAGCTGGCGAGGAGAGCACAATCAAATGAAAGCGCTAGACTTTCAATGTACCTGGTGTGCCCTTCAAATGGGGCTCCGACAGTCTCGAGCGTCGACGGATCGAACTCATAGATCATCTTGGGCTCGTCAACGTCATTCGGCCCATCGGTGAAGCTAAATGAGGTTACGATGGTTCTGTCTTTCGTCGCCCAGAATAGTGGCGGAAATATCGATATCCCTTGGCAATAATGACCTTCCCCTACGGAGAGATCCAATTTCTGTGCCTGGACATCCCACACCTCAAGGCACTTCCCTACACTTGACTTGACTGCGAACTTCTTTGAGTCTTGCGAGAATCGAACTGCGCCCACTGGCACCTCGAAATCTGCACGGTTTTTGAACTTGAGTGGACCAACCACAAGTTTGTTAGTTTCCATGCTCCATATCCATGTAGTACCACGCCATGTCCCGCACACCAGCAGCGTGCTGTCTGCGGAAATATCGATGCACGTGATTTCGTCTGTGTGGCCTTGAAATGTCTCCTTGTGTCAATATCACGGGCTGTGAGCACCCCGGGTGCACCAATAGTACCAGTGACAATCCATCGACCATTCGTCGATACCGCCACAGCACATATTCCCTGATCACCGACATTCCGCGTCTCCTCAATCTCCTTTCCCGCCCGCAGGTCCCATTGTAGAGTGGTCTTATCGCCTGATCCGCTGATCATTTGCTTGCCATCCGGAAAGTAGGCAATGGATGACACATAAAAGTGGGTTTGTTGCTCAAGCTTGCCATTCGGGAGGTTGGCAGTGATTGTGACTGATTCATGACCCTCTAAGGTCATTACCGGCGTCAGAATTGATCTCTTCACTGCTGCTGTAGGCTGTCTTGAGCTGGAAGCCATGACCGTTGTATCTGCCAGAGAGCTTGGTAAGTACGTCAGTTATTCGGATACGCGAGAAGGACCGTTGGTGAGTTCTTCTCGTACGCTGTCGGCTTGATGTTGATATTAATTTTGAAGATGCCCAACTCATTGGAGTCATGCGGCACTTTCACTGCTAAAACCAAAAATCAGCTAATCCGTGATGGAGATTCAGATGTAGGATTTCATATTACCGATAGGCTGACTGCAATCGCCCGATGATGATGGGCATATCACAGGACGTATCTGCCACCTCTTAACAAGTTCTTTCCTGTGCGTGGCACTCGTGTGCTCTTTGCCCCTTCCTTCTTGCACCAGCCTCTCCTTTCCGGACCGTTATGCCATTCCTGGGTTGGAGCACCGCAACCCACAGCCTGCAGTACTTGCTATAAACCACCGAGCGCCAACTCGGGCGCCGCATGCAGTGTCTAGCATACCTGCTCAACCAGCTCTCCTTCTCCGGCTCACTGCCATAGCATTCCCATGGTGGGGCGCCACAACCCACGGTCTGGAGTAGTTGTTGTAGACCACCGAGCGCCAACTCGGGCATCGCATGTAGTCTTCTGATAGTGAAACGAGGTCCTACGGGCATCCGCGTCTTTGGCAAATGCATCGTCATTGCGCTGCTACAACTTCTTTCCAAGCATAAGCACGAATATTATGAATATTTCCACAGTTACCTTATGAAACCGTACATTTTGTAAGCCCACGGATATAAGGATGTCCTATTGACACATTAAACTCCCCTGACTCTATGACCATGAATATCAAACTCGCAAGAAGTCAATGTCGATAGGACAACGCTCAGAACTGAAATCCCGCCAAAACCGTTTAGAAGCAGCCACATAACCGGCCGCTTCCATGCTCTTCGGCGGTAATCTGCGCTACTGCGGATGGTTGTTGTGAATCTGTATTCGGTGAAGGAGGAGTAGAAGGAACATAGTCTTCATCACGTATCAAGCCATCATTAATTCTGGGAGCTCCCGCTGCAGCGTTGCGCTACAAATCGATGCGTGAAAAATGGAGTGCGAGAAAAAAGATCTCTTTACCCTGCGCGAGAGGAACATCAACATTACGTGGCGATGTATGACCTGCGCGAACAGGCTGCCAGGTTTATAGGCGGGCTTTGAAGGTGATGGGAGCAGTGTCAGAGGATGGGGTGGTGGGCGGTAATGGCGTGTGTCGAGACAAAATGTCGAAAAATCGTGGTGGTTACGGAAGCCTACGTGGGGATCTATGCGTGAACGCCCCTGAGTTGCGGACTGCGTCGAGGAGTAATTTGGAGGTAAGGGCGATGTGACAGGGGACTACGGGAAGATACGTCACGTCAATTTCGAAGTAAACAAGTAAGAGTCATACATTCAGGGGACCACGAGGCTTATCATGACTAGCTGCGTCCTTGCAGGAGGAGAGACGGAGTTTGCATAGGTAGTGAAGGACAGCCGGTTGCTGTGGATTTACTGTAGGCAGAGGCCTTGGTAGGCGGGGGATGGGATATCTGACTGGCAATGTTGTTGGGTTACGGCGCACAGCATGACGTTCAGACTGAAATGATGGCATTGGTAGGGTGGAAATGAGGTAGGAATCGCGCACGTTGAGTAAATCGGCGAGGGGTGGATTGTGAGGCGCACTGGTCTGCAAGAGAACGTTAGCACATGAACAGTCTATCAGCTCTGCGCGCGTGGTTGTACAGGCCAGATGCTAGCAAGGATGTCAGGTAGAGTTGCATATATAGATACTAGGATGGTCAAAGGTCGTGTAAGAGGATAATGCACAAGGGTCCTTGGACGTCGAATGAAGCGAGTTGAAGTACAACATAGATGAAAGAGAATCGAAGAACAACAAATCCGCACCAGATGAAATCAATACGACATGGAACTACACACCAATGTGAATGAAAACGATTCTCTGCTCAAGCGGCACCTCCTTCTTTGACACAGTGCGCGTAGCATGGTTGAGTGCTGAGGCCGCCTTCGTGCAGTCCATGACATGGTCACCCTCCTTCGAACCCTTGAACATCTCCTCATAGAATGCTTCGACGACATGCTTTGCGACATCGTCATCGACAGCCCAAAGAGTGCCAATGACACTCTTGAACCCGGAAAACTGCAGACCAGCAGCGAGGTGGATTACCTCGTCGGGCGTCTGCTCATCGCCGACGGCAGTATGACATGCTGATAAGAATGCGAATTCGGCTTGCGGAGCATCATTCTCCATGATATCAAGCAGCGTGAGAGGTTTATCTCTCATGGCGAAGCGTGAATGATAAGGCTGCTCGCGGTCCTGCTTGCCATGACAAGCGAGGTGCACCCAGGCATTGCTTTGCAAAGCTTCGAGTACACCTGCCTGTGTAGCGTCGTCGCCAGAAAGATTGGTGAACTTGGCGTTGGGGGGAATGAGTTTATGGACGAGCTCGAGCTCGCTGTCGACAGCGGCGAGCACTGTGCCTTGCCCAGCACCTGGCTGACTTTGCCCGATCGCCACGAAGGACGGAATCATCCCGCGGGTCTTCATCATCTGTCGAGATCTGATCAAGGCTGACAGTGTTGGCGTGTAAGAGCAGATATAGAAATCCTCCAGACACGGCTCCTTCCCGGAGCAATCTGCCTTCGTCCGAAAGGGGTTAGCGGCGTGAAGAGGAATAGACGTGAAGGCTGCCGTCGGACACAGCCATATCTGAGACCGGCGTCGCAATTTGAGGTCATGCTGCAGAACATTGACAATGGGTAGCATGATCGCCTTCCATACTTTGCGCAATAGTACTCGAAAATCCTTCCTCGACTCTGTTGGGCCCATAAGGCCCGCCTGCTGTATCTCCCTGGTAAAATTGTTCTTGAGCATCTCGAGATGCGCAAGAGTGAGAGACGGGAAGGGAACATGATGGGGCTGTCCTGACGTCGGAACAATAAGGGCGTCGCACGAGTATTGACTTGCAATAAGGATGATGACCGGGCCATGGCACGCTGCCGCTTGTAGTTCTTCATACGACGGTGGGAGCAAGAATCGCGAGAAACCGTGAAGATTACGGATTTCAGCTACTGCAACTTCCCATTCCTTCATAAGTCCCCTGTATTCTATTGCTGCCCTGTCAGCAGCAGCTCGGTCTGTGCTGCCTACAGAACCCTGAACATCGGACAGGCGCTTGCTCAGCTCTAAGAGTTTGTGAGCTAGTGGCAGACTTGCGGACTCGAGGTCTTCCAATGGAGTCCTGAGTCTAGCGGCCAGCGACCATTGCTGACCACGGCCCTGCTCCACGAGTTCAACTGCTCGTTGCAGATCATTTCGACGAATCGCGCATGACGCCGCATCTACTGGCAGCAACTGAGCACCATCAAACGCAGTTGCGGCATCGCACCGTGAGACGATCGAGGACCGCGTCACGACATGGTTGTCGAAAAGATTCAAACACATTTGGTATGCTTCAAGGGCAGATTTGTGTTGATAGAGTTCTGCTTGACGGACCCAGTCAATAGCCTCCATGATGCATTCTGGAAATCCTTGAGTAGGGTGTTTTGATGCCAGTCTGAAGTTATCTACTGCAAGTGACAAATCAGCTGGGTTGTGTTGCATCTCGTAGCGAGACAGAAAGGCCTCCTGCAGTCGCATGTAGCTGAAACATCTATCCGGATGCAGTGAAGGCAAAACTGCCAATGATTCTTGGCAGAGATCAATGGCCTCCTCGACATCTTCATTCTTCTGTGTTTCTGTGAAACGAGAGGAGAGTGCCGAGCTCAAATTGAGAAGAGTTACATGGCGCTCAGAATGATCATGGCGCTTTAACCGAAGTGATTCGCGATACGAATCAATGGCCTCGTTTAGATCCTCGCTGGTACACAGTTTGTCGTATCTGGTGTCGAGCCCGAGGGCAAGGTTGCCAAGCGTGATATCACGAGTTGGATGCCCAGGCGGGCACAGTGTCAGTGCCTCGCGATAGAGGCTGATAGCTCTGTTGAGGTCATTGATGTCACCAAGTTTTTCGAAACGGGTGCGCAGGGCGCCCCCTAGGTTGTCCAATGATGAATCACGAGATACATGACCAACAGGGCGCAGGCGCAATGCTTCTTCGTGCAAGGAGATGGCCTCGTCGAGGTCATGCAATTTGCCTTGGTGATTGACGCGCTGTGTGATAGAAAAAGCCAACTCATTCAAGTAGATATCACGAGAACAATGTCCCTCGGGGAGCATAGACACAGCATCACGATGAAGTTGTATGCTCTCATCTAAATCATCAATACTGCCGTGTTGTGAAAAACGTGCTCTGAGGGCTCGTGAAAGCTCGTCGAGTGCTCTGAGACGGTGTCGGTGGCCTAGAGGACAGAGCTCGAGCACAATTCGTCGAAGCTGGATGCCTTGATCGGATGCGTCCGTTGGAAGATCGTTGCATGCCCCAATCACATAATCGACGATATTGTCCCCTGCCGTAATGCTACAAAGATAAGTGCATAGCTCATGGTAGAGTCGGGTTGATTCAAAAATTTCGGTGGGGATAGGTTGATTGTTGTAGCGCCATTTCAGCGCTTCGGTGAGATGATAAAGTGATAAGGGATGATTGGGGTGGCCCTGCGGATGTAATGCAAGGGCGTCGCGGAATAGAGAGATAGTGGAGTCAAAATCTTGAAGATCCTTTCGAATACAGCCTTGAAGGCAGGCCCACGCGATATTTGTAAGAGCGGCAGCGCGGTCGGGATGGCCGACCGGACACTCGTCCAAAACCCACTGGAAATGATTTACAGAAGCGTTCAGGTGAGAGGTATTCTCGCCTCTCATATATTTTCGAAAACGTGCATGGCCTTCATCTGTGAACCGAGTGATCTCAGATTCAACAACGGACTGCAGTTTGTGTTCTGTCAGCGGAAGCTGCAAGCACGAGGGCTAGTCTCACTTACATCAAGTTGTCCAGTATTATTGTTTCCGCGAGCGTGCACAGAAGTGGCCTTTAGCATGAGAGAAGGACAAACTTTATCCACATCCATGGGTGGGAATGACAGATCTAGGACAAGGTAGCGACGCGCATGGATGGGAAGCGGATTACTCACCGAAAAGTTCATCTCCATGACCGAGAAGCTTATTCCGTGTTGTTTCAAGTTTTCCAATGAGTTCTCCATGCCCTAGCATTCGACCGAGCTCAAAGGATGCCCGGATCTCCAGTGATAATCTAGGTAACACATTTGGTGATCTGCAAACGTATGATGAGTACTGGAATCGCGTCAGAAAGTCTCCATGGAAGGATTTACAAGGTCACGGTATCACCCCACGCTATAGAACTGTCGGACGATGGGACTTGGGCAGCTGACCTCCAGCGTCTCCTTGAGTCGAGTTTGATGGACACGTAAATGCCTGCAGGTATGCGCTCGGAAGGAACTTGAGATTTTTTCCGCTGATGACTGTGGGTAGAGTGTGAAATGGATCTTAAGGTCATATGGAGTGGCCCACCTTCAAGTCTGATATATTGGCCTTGCAAAGTACCGGGCATGATGGCTCAATGAAGCAAATGAGGCTGAGTAGTAGGACCAGAAGGAGTGTAGGATATCAGATCTGTAGATGAAGTTTGGGTAAGAGGGAGACGGAAAATATACGGTAATGGGTTCATGCGCAGTTCTATGTCATCGATGGCTAGTCGGCACGATAGACGCCGGTTCTGATTTCACTGAGTGCTGAAACCAAAATAGACAGACAGCCGCAGCGGGAGAGGGTAATGTGACTACAATCGGCTGGAAGTGGACATACGAGTCTGAGAGCGCGCTGCGATGCTCCTGCCACTAGTAATCACTCATTAACCATTGAGCAAACTATAAGGTAAGATGCATATCCCATTGTATTTCATAACGCAAACACAAACCACAGGTAGGTAGCATCCATCATTAGCTCGAGCCACACCAGCTCAGTCTGCCAGAGGCAGGGTCATTTCCAGTCACCGCCAGTCCAACGTTCGTGAGAGTATGACAGGTCGAATAGAACGGGACAGTACAAAGCACTCGTGTATGAGCTGGAGTAAGAAATAATTGGTACGGTCGGCATGGCCCGCGAACGTCTCCTGCCATATGGAGGGCAACCCCTGTTGAATATTTTGGTAGATACGTCCGATAACATAATATACCGTTCTGCTACTTTTTAACTATGGATAATGATAAACACTCCCCTTTTTTTGAATATACACCCGATTATTATATACTCCCCACCTGCGTTGGTGACTGCATGCATGTTGTCGAGCAACTGATGAATTTGAAATTGTCTGATGGTAGTCACGTGATGGCCCATGACAGAAATTTCTGCACTCAGCAGTGCAAGTACTAGTGTCACTTGAAAGCTATCACTGCCCACAAGGCATGGCGAAAGGATCGCAGCTGTCTCAGCTCAAGTCAGCCTTATCTCATGCGGGGATCAGCAAACCTTCACAGCATGGAAAAAAACGCAAGCGTTCAGGCTCTACTGACCAGGATAAAATCAAGAAGGCAGCCAAGCTTCAGGAGATACACCGAAAGCTGAATCCCTTCGACGTCAAGGTTACGAAACTAAAACATGACGTTGGTGGACGCAAGATCAAAGGGTCCAAGGGACAGCCCGCACAGAGCAAGCAAGCGGGTATTCAACAGGTGCGCATATCTTACACTCGAGAACTATTGACAGTTACCTCACATTGCCCATAATAGCGCGAGAAGACTCTATTGAAAGAGTTCCAGGAGAGAGGCCGCGTCGGTGGAGTCGTCGATAGGCGTTTCGGTGAAAATGACCCTTCTATGTCGCTGGAGGAACGTATGCTCGAGCGTTTCACGAAAGAAAGGCAGCGAGCTTCGAAAGGAAACGTATTCAATCTCGAGGGCGAAGAAGAGCTTACTCACTATGGCCAAAGCCTCTCGAAGCTAGATGATTTTGACAACGTTGGTTTGCCTATGGATGAAGACGATGACGAAGATCCAGGTGAACATGCCTGTGCTATTATTCGACGTTCTTTGTTTAACTCGTTCAAGGTCAAATTGATCGCGACATTGTGGGGAGGGCACACTTTGGCGGCTTTGGCGATGAGGATGAGGAAGATGATGATCACAATGTGCGTGTATCTCATAGCACGAGAAACATCACGCTCACACTTCTCCAGCCCGACCGGAAGAAATCAAAGGCGGAAGTTATGGCGGAACTCATCGCGAAAAGTAAAGAGCATAAGGTAACATATTAGCATTTTTACCGGAATCCTCTGATTTTGGTTCAGGCCCGCCGTCAACTGGAAAAAGAGCAAGAGGAGAGTATGCGGTATCAACTCGATCAAGACTTCGATTCCTTAAGAAGTCTGCTCTTCGCGCCTGACGCACAGCCAACCGACAACAACGTAGTTTCTCATCAGCTTTCCAAGTCCTCCGTAGACATAGACGAGCAACTGGACTACGACAGACAAGTTCGCGAACTCGCATTTGATCAACGCGCAAAGCCAAAAGACCGAACAAAAACTGAAGAGGAGCTTGCGCTTGAGGAGAAAGAGGCTTTAGAGAAGGCGGAAAAGCAGCGAAGGCGCAGAATGCTTGGGGACGATGGTGAAGACAGCGACGAGGGCGGAAAGAGTCACGGCAAACGAAAGAGGGAGCGTGGGGGCGACGACCTTGAGGACGATTTTGCAGTGGACGAATCGTGGGGAGGTATTGGGTCAGGATTGGGTGAGGTTGACATAAACGACCAGGCGATTGATCAAAGCGAAGACGACGACGGAGGTGCGGATGACAACGGCGATACTGGCGACGAAGATGAGGATAGTGATGCGGAGGAGGGAAGTGAAACAAACTTTGGCAGTCAGACAAGCAGTGCCTCTGGAGGCGAGATCGACGAGATCACCACCAGCCAGAGGTCAGAAAAACTCAAGCCGCCTGGTGTTCGAAAGGAATTGCCCTTCACTTTCCCTTGCCCCGAGTCGCACGAGGAGTTCCTGAAGATTATTGGAGAAATAGATGACACGGACGTGCCTACCGTAGTTCAGCGCATACGCACGTTGCATCACCCAAGCCTTTCCCCAGAAAATAAAGTGAAGCTTCAGGTGACGTCTTCCTTTGACCGTGAAGAACTCAGCTGACATCACTCATAGAACTTGACATCAGTCCTTGTCGACCATATACTCTATATCACATCACCTCCTACCCCACGATTCACGCTCCTGAACTCTATTCTTCCCCACCTCTTTGCACTTTGTCGTTCGTACCCGTTCGAATCTGCTGGATTTTTCGTGGAAAAACTCTCGCTGATGCACAAAAATCTGGAACGGGGGTTATCTCGAGGAGCCCTAGAACTTGGTGCAAGAACATGGCCCGGACCAGCTGAGTTGTCCCTTCTTCGCGCCATCGGAGCAATATGGTCTAGCAGCGATATGAGCCATCCCGTCATTTCACCTGCACGGCTTCTCATGGGTGCTTACTTGGGACTGTGTCGTGTACGGTCACTGATGGACGTGACGAGCGGGCTCTTCTTATCTTCCATCTGCCTTCAGTACGAGGAATTGTCCAAACGCCTGATCCCAGAAGCGGTTAATTTTTCTATCAACGCAGTCTTGCACCTGGCACCGAGCTCTCTCAAAAATTTCGCATCGATACCCGGTTCGTTTCCTTCCCCCGACTTCCGGTCAGATCTCTGCGCACCCCTCGCGATCGACATGAAGAAGTCCAAGCATCTTGACTTCCGTATACCAAGTCTGCATCGTCTCATGACTTGCAGCGAGTATAGAGAGCAGGATAAAATTGATTTGCTAGGTCTCGCTTTTCGCCTTCTGGAACGGTTTTCAGAAATGTACAAGAGCCTTGACGGATTTATTGAACTCTATCAGCCTGTTCTAGATATTCTGACGAAACTTGATATCACACAACTTTCGGAGGGCGTTCGAGTGAGTCGATGTCACATTCGTCCGAAAGGCATACTAACCATAATTTTAGACGCGAATATCCTCTTTGCAAGATAAGCTCACCAGGTTATTGAAGTTTTCTCGTCAAGCTCGTAGACCTCTTCTACTTCAGGCCCACAAACCAATTCCGATCCCAACATATATACCCAAGTTTGAGACGAGTTCCTCCTCCTACTTACGGCGGCAGGATCCAGATCACGAACGTAACGAAGCCTCAAAGCTTCGCTATCAGCTCAAACAGGAGAAGAAGGGAGCCATTCGCGAGCTCAGGAAGGATGCGAAGTTCTTGGCAGCTGTAGAGCACAAGCAACAGGCTGAAAAGGATCGCGCTTACAAGGAGCGCATGAATAAGGCGTTTACATCATTGGAGGGTGAAAGAGCTGAACAAAAGGCCATGGATAGAGAAAAAGCGAAAGAAAAGCGTCGATCTGGACGCAAGTAAATTATATACATGTAACTAATAAAGGTGAATATGCTGTATTCCAGGACTCGACAGGTCCAGGTTTAGCCTAGTGAATACTATTGTCAGTAGTGGCACGCTCTACCTGAGACGTGTCTGCACCGTCACGGTCCGTGACGCAGTGAATGTTAGTAGTTCATCTTACTAGTAAATGTGCTATATTTCTCCCCAAGCCTGTAGCTTGCTCGACTCCCACATCAGCGTTCAACCATGAGCGCGCCGCCTTCGAGCGCTCCTCCTGTTCCTCCGACAACTTTTCAAACTCCCAATGGAACGAACAGTGCATCGCCCAAAGATCTTCGGGACTTTCTCCAATATTTGAAAAACACAAATGATGACAATGCCCCCTCAGTACTGGAAAAACCACATTGGCTGAACCTACTTGCTGGCTTACTGGATAATGTCTTTGGTTGTTTTCCATACTTCAAGTCAACAATCCGAGGCACCACCAACGAACGCATCCAGCTTACGGACGACACGCTCGATGTCTTTTCATGTGTCAGCAAAAGGGCTGAGGTTGACTCGTTCTATGTTGATGAGGAACGTCTGTCCAAAAAGATCTTCGTGCACCTTTTGGGTCTTTGTACATCGACAGAATCATGGTTGGAAGTCACCAGCGAGGGTGATTCAGGCTGTGCACCTAACACCCTCTATTCCAAGGCTTGCGAGACTCTCGTTGAGTTCTTGCAAATTTTGTCATTTTCGAGTGCTCCAGGAGGAGATCCTGGTAATGCACAATGGGGAGTCCTGCAGGAAATATTGCATGAAGCGATAGACTTGTGCTCCGGTGAGTCAAATTCCCTCGTCGCGAAACTGCTACCGATAATCTGTAGCAATTATTTCTGCTCAATACGAACCGTATCCTCGAGACGTGCACTGGTTCTCTACCCCACCGTTTTTGAGGATCACGAATGGGGATTGTTCCATTCCGGTATTGTCATTGCCTATCGAATGATTTTCATGCTTAAGCGTCTTTTAGTGTCCCAGAGACACTCTAAATGTGATTAGGCTCCCGTCCCCTTCACACTTATCTGTCTTGGCCAGCATCATCGTCGATTTATTCGGCAAACTGTGTTCAAGCGCAACGCTTTCTTCCTTCGTCACGGCTGCTATGCTCCGTCATACATCTGAATTGACTCGCCGTGTATACGATTTCTGTTCTGAATGTCCTACATCGCCTGAAACAAGATCCCGGTGCCTCCTGCGAGTGGTAGCCGCTGCTCACACTCTTATGCGTAGTGACCTATCTCTCATCGGGGGGCTCTCGAAACTGCCTTGCCGTCTTTTAATACACAGACTCCAGTGTGGTCCAAATCCTGAACAACGAACACTCGATCGCAAGTTACGAGACATCCTTACTTCCAACGCAAATCTGCCAGTCGACTATGTGAGTCCTGCTCTGGAACTCTTGCGCTCTGAAACCTGGGAGTCATCTGGGAATGAGCTTCGGGTGAGTTGTTGTAATTTTTAAGCCTCTCAAGCTGAGACAGTACAGGCTCTTGCGGTCGTGTATATACGTGGGTGCGCGAGTCGTTTAGATGCAGCGAGTTCGCAGGCAGTGCAGTCATTCCTTCAAGGAAATCCATCTTACCCTGATTTGGAACCGCTGCTTATCATTGCTAGTAACCCCATTGATAGTCAACTAAGCCACGATGCAGACGGCATAGACACTTCGCACTGGCGTGTGACATTACAGAGTCTCGTGAGTCCGCTCATTATGCCTGACGAGCTGCAGCGGAATGGTATTGGGCACGAAGATACTGCACCCTACGTGCGACGGGTGTTGGACCAGCTCAGATCCAGGTGGGCTCGGTGAGTTTGCATTGCTCGTTGTGATAAATTTTCTCTGAACGCTACCGCAGGGGACTGCATGATTCTTCGTCTGCTGCGCGTTCAGCCCTGGCTGAAAATATTGCCTCCCTTGCCTCACACCTCAAGCTGTTCTCTCGGCAGCAGTCTCCTCCGCTTCGCGTTGCTGCCGCTCTTCTGTTGCCACTGCACAGAATTTTAGAGGGCCCATCAACTGAAGTCGACGTGCATGTACGGCGACAAGCGTTCAGAGCTCTCCGAACCATCATCAGAGAACACTCCGCGGATATTCAGTCTCATGAGCCGTCACCCGTGTTTGATCTCTTGAAACGTGGGTTCATTGACAAGGATCGTTCTGTCAAAATCGATGCTGGGTACGACGTCTTGCACTTGGAGGTGACCTTACTCATATTGCACCACCATGTATAGTCGCGCACTTGTGGATTTGGTCCATCTCCACGCCAATGTAGTTGGCATGGGATGCAAACACAACGAAAAGATCTTCATGACCATCAACGGCTTACTTGATTCCAGCGTGAAGGATGCGGTAAAAGAAACACTCCTGATTGCTATTGGTTCCATTGGATGGTAAGCTTGTCCACACGTCCCTGAAATCGCCAATACCATTGTTACTTTCCCCTGCGGCAGTAACGCTCAATTTGAGCTTCTTGGATTGGTCGTCCACTGTTTGATATCCCAACTGGGCCAAGATAATCATTTCTTGAAAGGCTTGGCGTACACACAAGTATGTCAATGTATAACATCTACATCAGATTCTGATACACCCCCACAGCTTTTGGAGATAGCGAAAAAACAAAGAAAATCCCCCTACGTCCTTGTCTCACCATACATCTCTCAGGTCGCATCATTCGTCGTCTCCCGGAAATGCACCAACCCAGCGCTGATATTCGAGACATGTCGATTTCTATCTGTGCATCCGACTGATTTTATCTCCGTCACGCTATCCAAGACCCTTCCTTATCTCTTTGTTAACTGCGAAGGGAAGGTCTTAGAGGACATTTCAAAGGAACTGGGAAAAACGACTCCGTCGCTGTTCCTCAATCATTCTCACGAGATCCTCGCTCATGTATATCAACAACACGAAGCGCAAACGAATGGATCTTTGCAGTTCATCACGAACATACTTTCTGATGCTGCTGCGGTAGACGACATCGACATCCAAAGCATCGTCAAGAGCTGTGTGGTGCCATTGCTCGCAAATCTGGTTGTGGTCCTAGGAGATGAGAATGAAGAACGAGCCGCTTTGGTATAGCTTTACATCTCCTTCGATGGTTCGTGACACCTGAACACGTGATCAGGCAGTGGATGCTTTGCGAAAAGTCGAGCGGTCAATAACGGGCGAAACTCCCGAACGAATTTTAGCCGACATCGACCTGTCTCCGTTCCTAAAGACATACATGCTTGGCGTTGTATCCAACTTGAATGATATGCTGCAAGATGTTCACGGCAAGAAATCGGTTTCAGCAAAGAAACAGATTCTCCGCGGTCTAGAGGAGCTGATCATCCAAATTGGTGCTCTTGTAAATGGGATTTCCCCTCAGGCACGTGAATCTGTCATGTTTTCGTGACTTTATTGATTTTTCTCAGATCATGGCCACTCTGCAAACTATGTTTCTGGTCCCCGAACTTGCTGAAGTCACCCTGACTACGTGGTACACATTTCTGTCTACACTGAAGGTCAAGGACGTCGTTCCGTATATTGGCACTACAAGTGCAGCCATTGTCTCCGCATGGTCTGCTTTATCCCCTTCCGCTCGTGATTCTGCCAAGAAATGTCTGCGTCATATCGTCTTCGATGTTGGAAGCACCGTCGGAAATGATGCAAAGGAAATTTTAGACGAGGTCGTGGACCTCGGTTACATCCCAGAACTTTCTGAGGTACATGCACAACTTCAGAGTGTTCGCATCTGGGATCCACGCTTGCAACTCCAGAAGATTCTCATTCGGTGCTCGAGTAACAATATCACGGTAGCTCAAGTGGCTCTTGGCGAACTTCAACATTTTATGAGGAACAATCATGCCTCACTTATACAAAGCCTTGCAACGGGCGACACCTTTGATCTCTTAATTGGCAAGATACAATTGACCCTGTTTCAGATTGTCTCTCGTGATGGGGAGGGCTCCGACACTCTTCGACAACTGGCGTTTGAGTGCATGGGAATTCTGGGAGCAGTTGATCCAGATCGTTGTGACCTTGGTTCGAAAGAAACAAGAATGATCGTGCGGAGCAACTTTGAAGATAATAAAGAAGCAGTCTCGTTTGCTCGACACCTCATACAGGACGTTCTCGTGGGCGCGTTCCGGTCCACTAGCGACATAAAGTACCAAGGACATCTCGCCTTCACGATACAGGAACTCCTGCGATTCTGCAAGTTCACGCCTGCCCTAGTGTCATCAGGGGGTACGTCATCCGTCTCGGCGTACGTTCGCAAAAGCTGGGATTCTTTTCCGAAACATGTGCTCGAAACCGTCACTCCACTCTTGGGCGCCCGTTTCGCTGCTCCGCACAAGGAATTGCCACAGCTTCCTTCACCCATTTACTCTCATCAGAAGACCTATCGAGAATGGGTCCAGTTATGGACAGCTCATTTGATAACGAAAGCGTCCGGGGACACTGCGCAAGCCATCTTTGGGGTCTTTCGATCTGCAGTACGCAACAAGGATGTTGGCGTCGCTCACCACATACTGCCTCACCTCATATTGAACATCCTTGCATCTGAGAATGACGAAGATACCAATGGCATCCTCCAGGAGTTGTCGGCTGTTTTGAAAGATCAGGTTGCTTCTGATAGTCCGTCCACTCCAGACAAGAAGTTTCTCAGTGCTCAGGTAACTTTTCAAACCCGATCGTTTTACCGTTGTCGCTGAGTGTCTACCTCAGGCCGTTTTCATGCTGTTGGACCATCTCAGCGGATATGTGCGAATCCTGCGACAGGATACCGCGAAGAAATCTGAGGGCAAAAGATCACGAGAAAATCTTGAATTTGTGAGACGTCAGCAGCAGCTTATCCGGGTCGATTCGGTGCTCTCCAGCATCGACCACGAACTCATGGCCAAAGCTGCGCTACAGTGTCGAGCTTACGCTCGCTCACTTATGAACTTTGAGAGGCAGATAGTCTCAATGAGAGAACGACAACCTCCTCCACCTGGAACAGATTTCACGCCCTATTACGAACGTCTTCACGAGATCTACGCACAGCTTGACGAGCCTGATGGAATGGAGGGTATTTCAACATTGATCTTGTCCCCTTCGTTGGAACATCAAATTCGTCAACACGAAAGTACTGGTCGCTGGACTGCTGCTCAGAGTTGTTGGGAAGTCCGTCTTCAGCAACAACCTGACAATTTAGACTTCCATCTTGGACTCCTTCGATGTTTGCGCAACCTTGGACATTATGGTAGAAACTGTCTTTGCCTTCTTTTCTGCAGGCTAAACCGTTTGTTAGACACGCTCCGCACACATGTCCAGGGCGTCCTCGTTAGAAACCCAGGGTGGGAGTCGGTTTTGGCAGACTTCCAGGTTGAAAGCGCGTGGATGATAGGAGCATGGGACGACGTGCACAGGATCGCAGCGAATAAAGAGCATGAATCGCCGTCCGTGGTTAAAGCTCGAGTTCTTCTTGCTATGCGGTCTGGTGACCCTTCGCCGATTGACGAAAGTCTTACTAGAGCACGCCTTGTGCTTGGTGCTCCCATTGCTGCCTCTGGGGCAAGAGGGTATCGTCGTGCATATGACGCTCTAGTCGATTTGCACATGATTCACGAACTCGAATTGATCCACGAGGCTATCTCTAATCTGCCACCAAGCTCACAAGGCCGTAGATCCGCCATTATGACTCTCGGCCAGATTCTTAGCGCACGTTTGGACCGTGCATTACCTACCTTCCGCATACACGAATCCCTGCTTAGTATGCGGCGAACAGCATTTTCACTCAGGTATGGCTTCGTTATACAATTCCACTTGTCATTCATCCTGCGTCGCCCGTGGATAGCCCGGTCTCTCGGCCATCAATCACGAGTCAAATTGGTCAATCATGGTTAGCGAGTGCAAAAATTGCTCGGAAAGTTGGACAGTGGCAGACTGCGTATAGCGCTATGCTCCAAGCACAGCACACCAATGCTCGATTTAGTTTCATTGAAAGCGCGAAGCTTGTGAGAGCACGGGGAGAACCCCTCCGGGCGCTACAAGAACTTGAAAACTCCATGCGCATCTTTGGTTTCGTAGACAACGATACAGTCGACTTGACAAGAGATGAATTGTCTAAGCGGATGAAGGCAAAGGTGGGGACATATTTATTGAATGGATGTAGCTCACAACCCCGCAATCAGGCGCAAATCCTTCTTGCACGTTGGATGAACGAGTCCGATCGATACGAAGCTTCCTACGTGTTCAAGCAGTTTCAGAACGCCGCACAGTCAGCTCCAGAATGGGAGAGTGCCTTTTACCACCTTGGCCACTTTCAGGACCAGTGTTATAGGAATTTATCAGCAGAAGACAAGCCAAGCCGGTAAGTTTCTAGGGTTCTTCGCGTGCCGCCTGAATATCTTGCTGATAAATGTTCGCAGTGGAATCAGAATGAACTTTCAGACCATCAAATGTTTCACAGAAGCCGCTGCTTACGGAAATAAATTTGTATACCAGACTATTCCTCGCTTGCTCACCTTATGGCTAGATATGGGCGAGCGCAAGGCACCAGCAGAACATCCACTGTTTGTACAGGTCAACGACGTTGTCGCCGGCTCCATCGATGGTATCCCAGTATACAAGGTTGGAGGTTTCATGAGCCGGTGAAATTCTCCGCTGATTCTTGCGTTCAGTGGTTTACTGCGTTTCCTCAAATCGTGTCTCGCATTGGGCATCCGAATCGTGTTGTGTACTCGGTCTTATCGAAACTCATTTCATCTGTCATTCGAGAATACCCCAAACAAGCGCTTTGGTTCTTCGCATCTGTGATCAACTCGACAAAATCCACTCGCAAGCAGCGCGGAAGAGGAATCTTGGATCAGCTGAAAGTGAGTTATATCCACTGTTATTGAAGTATCCGACAAAACAATGCTATAGAACAACCCAGCACGCACAGACTCTAACCTTCCGGGTCTCATCACGAGTCTTCACGGCATGATCGACGAGCTCCTTCGGCTTTGTAATTGCCCTAGTGACCGCAAACTCAGTATGCGTCAAGACTTTCCAAAGCTGCTTGGGATGAAAGACTGTAATATCCTCATTCCTTTGCAATCGTCATTGACGGTCAACCTCCCGCCTGTCTCGTCTATGAATCACCGCGATAAACGACACAATATCTTTGACCCTTCGTCGCCCACATTTGCAGGTAATTTTTTTTTGTAGAACTGAAAGCAACGATCTTGACCAGCTCCATGCAGAATTTCACAACGAGATCGAAATCATGCAGTCCCTGGCAAAGCCACGAAAAATTACTGTTGACGGTTCTGATGGTATTAGATACATGTTCCTAGGCAAACCGAAGGACGATCTGCGGAAGGATGCGCGTCTTATGGATTTCAACGGGATCATTAACAAACTCCTGAAGACAAATTCGGAATCTCGGAGGAGGCAACTCCGTACGTTTGAACGGACTGAAGTGGGATTGGGCTGACCATTTTTCTTCAGGCATTCGGACGTATGGCGTGGTGGCATTGAATGAGGATTGTGGCGTCATTCAATGGGTGCCGAACACTGTACCTGTGCGACCTGTACTGTTGAAATCCTACGAGACAAGAAATATTCCACCCTGGGTAGCTTTTCCTTTCCCCACTTTCCCAGCGTGCGCATATTGACAAAAGCAGTCCAAGGAGCTGATTGATGTTACAAAGCGCATCAAAGAAGGCAGTGATAAAGATGCCGCTGAGCTTTTTGTGACCAAACTTCTTCCTCAGTAAGTGGTTGTATCAATGCTGCTTTGTGACTTACGCAGTGCAGGTTTCCCCCGGTCTTTCACGAATGGTTTGTGGAGACATTCCCGGAGCCGTCCGTATGGCTGGCTAGTCGACTTAATTATGGGCGTACGCTGGCAGTGATGTCAATGGTCGGATTCATCTTAGGGTAAGCCACTAGCCACCTTAAAGTTTATAGTCAACACCCAACCGATTTTTGAAAGGTTGGGAGATAGGCACTGCGAAAATATTCTTCTGGACACAATCACAGGAGATGTAGTCCACGTCGACTTCAGCTGTCTCTTTGAGAAGGTACTTGGTCCAAACCTCCTCTCACTTTTGCTCACTGACGCACTTAGGGCAAAACACTTGAAACACCCGAACGAGTTCCTTTCAGACTCACTCAGAACCTTGTTGATGGCCTTGGGGTAACCGGCATCGAAGGAGTCTTCCGTGTCGCCTGCGAAATAACGATGCAACTTCTCCGTGATAACAAAGACCCCCTTATGAGTGTTCTTGATGCATTCATTCATGATCCGCTGGTCGAATGGGAGGACGACAGGAGAAAGATGGTACGTCAATGCCATCCGCATGTCTTTTGCTGATGAGTCAAACTTTTATCTTTCAAGCAACGCCGCCAAGCCCAGGAAAAGGACAAAGTGAATGCTGCCGTCAAGGCCCCCCCAGATTTGCGAGGATGGGCCAAGTCTGCGCTGAAGCCTATAGAAGAAAAATTGAAAGGGCTGTATTCCGCGACGAATGTGAAGGAGCGGACTTATGGAGGAATCACACGAGGAGGAGACGACAAACGGGAAATTTCGACGAGCAATCTCGTGCAGATGCTCATACAGGAAGCAATGGACAGCGCGAACTTGGTGAGTTGTCGCACTTTGTCAGCTCATCACGGGTTGACTCGTCATCAGGCCAAGATGTATCCTGGATGGGCAGCATGGCATTAGGGATTATAACCCTCGCCCCTGTATCATCATAGTTTAGAATAACATGACCTGTATCACGTTTCACCGTGTAGTATGACTCTTTAGGCTGACTGAGGCATCGGCATTACAGTGGCGATACTTCTTGGAAAGCGGATGCTTATATTATGAATCTAGCTAACAAGCATTTTCCTGTCGGGAAAGAATAGAGCATCTATCCGTGAGACTAATTCCTGACCGGCTTGCCCTGGAAACGGTGTTATTCACAATGACCGTTAATCACAGCTAAGCTCTTACCATGGTAAGCTGGTAGATGCCATACACGGTTCCACACATACCCACGCCGAAGAGAGTGAAGTAGGTACCTAGACGGTGGTCCGGGTGAATGAGACAAACACCGCACCGCGCTGCTATGTCACCTACCAAGATACAGTCTTGAACGGGGTGGACGATAGTAAACGGGCGAGTGTGAAGCCTGAAAATAAAGGTCAATGAAATGCGCGCGAACCGGGTGGTTGACTGCTACCTGGTAAGCCCGCTGCCTCTCAGGAACGTGGTTTGGGCCTGAAATTTTTGGACAAGAATGAGAAAACAACGCTCGAAAATATATGACCTAGTTGCTCACGAAAGACCACAGCGTCAATCATGGTAGTTAGTTGGAGGTTGGATTGTATTTTGTCGGGTACGACGTTGAATGAGGGAGGAAATACGGCGGAGTCCGAACGGTGTTTGCCGAACTCTCCCGAACCCATCCTTTGATCATGGCTGATCGCGTCCGTGTCCGAGTATGTTTACTATACTTTTAGTTTTATAGCTCCTGGCCCGCTCACTGTTTTCCGCAATGTCCAGGGTGTCACGATACATAGACCGATAATATATGGCAACACTGCAACAGTCCTTACTCCTGCTGAACGGGAAACTTCTCACTATCCCGACCACACTCATCGGTGGACAGTCGCAGTTCGCAGCGCCACGAGCGCACCAGACTCTGATGTTGTCGGTGGTGCAGACGATTTAGGATACTTCATAAAAAGAGTCACCTTCAAATTGCACGATACATATCCAAATCCAACCAGAAGTGAAGTCTCATTCTGATGTTTTCTGCAGTTGCTCACCGCGCCTATAGACATCGATAAGCCTCCATTTGAGGTATCAGAAACTGGGTACGCATTTTCCAAATACATGCGACACAAAGGTTGACGCGTTTCTCAGTTGGGGAGAGTTTGAGATTCAAATCCGCATCACGTTTGTAGCAGAGTCTGGCGAGAAAGCCACCACGCTATACCACCACCTCAAATTACATCCTTGGTCAATTACCTACCCTTTGCCCAATGCATCTTCAGTTCCCGCAGAGCCTGAAATTCCGTCTCCCGAGAACGCTGCAAAGTTTGGGCCTGTGCATAGCTGGCAATACGACGAGATTGTCTTTACAGATCCATTCCAAAATTTCCTTACTCTTCTCACAGCACATCCACCAACGCAACTCCCGAAAACGAGTTCAACCAAGAAGCCCATTCCCTTTCACTCGTCTAACCCTGCGTCACTGGAAGCGAGTCTAAAGGGTGGCGTACCGGAGTTCACCAGTGCCATGGAGAAAGAGGAGGCCGACAGGTTGGAAGAAGCGAAGGGCAAGATTGTCAAAGAGCAGGAGAAGTGGCGAAGCATCTTGATAGAAAAAGAAAAGGAACTCGAAAGACTTCAGAAGCTTCTTGCAGCGAAAGAGTGATCTTGCACAACTTGTTTTTAGCATGGACATGTATATTATGTGAGTGTTACTAGCAACTACCTCAAGCTCAAATGCGGATTCTCGCATCCTAATGTGTGATTTTCGGTGGCTCTATAGGTGATCCCTACATCTGGGAGCAACCTGAAAGGCACCTCGACACATTTGATTCGACTGCGAGTTTTGGATCAACCGGGTGCCTAAGCTCCATACCCGCACTTTGAAATATTCTGGCCCGCTTGCCGGGAGCGTGCCCACAACCATGACCATTATTTCGGTCGTTGGAGCATCAATCATCTCTGAAGCCCTCTAGAGCAACGAGCGCCAGTGTAGCCACCGTTTGTGATGTCTTCTCGTACAACGTGGCAATGTGATAGCTCTTTCTACTTCTACGCTGAGTGGCCGTGAGTGCAGACATTCCCCTCACCCCACTGATAATAACTGGGCTGTCGATACGCGCTCCTCACTATGCGCTTGGACTCGGGAATGGGGCAGACTACAGAGATGGTCAGGATGCCCCTGAGCCATCCAATGAATTGTTTGCGTCCGACCACTTTGAAGACCCGCTTAGCTAGGAATGCTTCGTCGTGCGTCTGTCTCTCGGATTCTGCGTATATTGACATATTTTTACACATTTCTCAGCAGGAACTTGATTTCGATGCGAAGGATGAGCAGTACCATGGAGTTCCATAGCTACTTCCTCCCTTTCATCGAAGACACCCATCATCGAAGACATCATTGACGAGATCGAGACTAACGTTCTACTAGGATCTCAAGTCCTACTGTGCCCCGTGGCTATCTATCTAGGCTCTGACACCTCTCATGGCAACTCAGCGCTTCGCCTCTCTCTTATTCGTACGCTCATGTTTTCATACATCTATCAGTAACTTGAGTCTGATTGCGATCGGTGCTGGGTAGTGCCCCCACTTTTGTCCCCAGAAACCGCATCGAAGATATTCCTGATGAGGCAGGCTGCCACTGTCTGCGGAGAGAAGAATAAGGCTCACGGGGCACAAGGGCCAACTCACAGAGTGCAGAGTAAGGCAATTCGGTGCCGCGTAATATTCGAATGCTCGTTGATTATTCTACGCGGTCGGATGGTACATATGCAACCATGATTTTGAGGATGGCTGATTCACGTGCGATGCGTTGTGCCCTAGATGCTGCAAGCCGCCTCCACGCGAACGTGTCCGCTACATCACCATAGAAGACCTCATCTTCCTCATTCGCCACGACCGTGGCAAGGTCATCCGTCTCCGGACATATCTCTCGTGGAAGGAAGTTCGCAAGCATGTCAAGCTCCGTACTCAGTGATCAGTGAGAGAGTATACGGCGGCCAGAGGCCCTTCAGTCACAAGGCTGTCCACAAACGACATCTTCCCTAGCCCATATATTGTGTTGCAGGGGTGGATGAGGGATGTGAGACGCGTACTGGTGAGGAACTTTCGCTCGGGATGGGCAAGTTGCCCTTGGGTCCATCCAGGAGAAAAGTATTGAGCATTGATAGCCCTGTGAGGGACAGAAAGCTGGCAGTGCACACCAAAAGCCTCATCTGTACGTACTTCATACCGAGGTGTTCTTGCACTTCTCTTCACTATCTATGCTCAGGGTAACGGGACGAAAACTTTGCTCCGAGTGACACTGGCATAAAAGCCTGTTACCGAATGTACATTGTAAGGTACAACTCGGGATGACAGCGATTTCCTCTATTCCAAGATCTCCATTGCTCGAGTGGCAGTGAATTTGTTCAGAATCAAACGCATTCGGCCCTTATCGAAATGCTGCAACCGCTTTTGCATTGGGCAGCGCCGAAAACATTATCTGTACCAGCTGGCCGAATGTCACTACCCAAGATGACATTATTCGTGTGTGATAATATGTCTAGAAGTCATTCGTTGTAAAAATGCGGTAAGTGTGCCAAGCACAGCGGTATTTAGAATGATTGAAATCGTGTTATCGTTTTCGCCCCTTCCCTGCGTTTCGTCCACCACCTTTTGATTCATCCGTTTGCTCTAAGAAGCCGCCGAGTTCTAGTGCATTGCGGGCAGCATGATTAATGTGCTTGAAACGATCAGGACCTAGGTGGATTCCACCAAACCACCGCGTCACAACAACGAGAACGTTATTGATCTCCTGTATCGCAAATCCGAAATTATGATCTATGTAGGAGTTGACATCGCCGTACGCACCAAGATGGAGAGTAAGTGGGCTAGTCGACTACCTGCTGCAGTTTCCCCATCGTCATCGTTATCTAACAAATATCAATCCCGTATTTTCGGAAAAAAGAATTGCGATGCATACCTTGGTGGAGCACGCTACCAACCTGGCAACGCCAAGCGTTGATGATGGGGTGAGCAGCGCGGGATACATGTCGGTCTGACATTATATTGTTCAAAATGAGTGGTACCTTGCGCACAGTCGGTCAGCCAAATATCAGTCTGCCGTAAATTCTGTACAACACCTGCGATGGATGAGATATTCGACATGCACGGCCAATAAAGACGCTCTTTCTATCCACGATGGGTTCAGCTTCGACGATTTTGATATCTTCCGGTAAAGCAGCGTCGAAAGATACTTGATTATTTTGGTCAACAGTCACTGATGATAGTGCAAGAGGCTCTTCAGATTCGACCACGACGTGGTTGCGGGTAAGTGCATCCTCCCTGAGTAGTTCTCCAGCCGTCTCTCTGCTTATTTTGTCTTCATACCACACTTCGCATCGCTCCAGCACATTTTGTAGTCCGTCAAAAACACACACACTTTCCGGCGTCCATTCCACTCCTGAGACAGATATGAACGTACGCAATATAGATCCGAAAAGCGAGGAGTCGACGCCAAAAGCGCCGATATATCGAGAAAGCAGCTGCAGTTGAGGGGGGCTTGAGGCAGGATATGCTGGGGGAATTGAGACCAAGATACGTATTAAGATATCTTCATGAGATGGAAGACTTCCGGGGTAGGTGTCGGAACAAAAATCGGGAATTGCAAGGACACACTCACTTGAGTGAAACCTTATAACGAATGGCCTCTGAAGCACTAGATGAGGGACTGGGATTATTTTTTGGGCTTCCGGGCGAAGAATGGTATAGACCAATGGCATGGTCTCCATATATGGACTGAAGAACTGCAATGATGAGGACACCCATCGAATAAGTTGGTCGCCTTAGATCTTACCGTCGATCTCAGAAGCGACAGATTCGAGGTCAGATCGTTGCATCAATTTCGCGATGAAGTCCCTTAGCTCAGTTGCAGCGTCAGTTGACTGAGTGTCTTGTTCAGAGACTTCGTTATCCATAGCAGTGGCGATGGGCTCCAAAGCTAGAGTCTACTAACTGAGTCTTGCACACGATTTGAGAACCCCAAGTCTGCGAAGGGTGCCGGTGTGAAAGCCGGCATAAATTTTGAAGTCCGCGGCCTATCATGCTTCCGGACTGACAAGTTACAATTGCAATATACATACAGTACACTTGCTCATAACGCATAACGCATAATAATTAATAACAAATCAGAACACAATAAATTTTGGCAGACAAAGCGATCCATCAGTAGCCATACATCTGGTCCACATATTGTTGTCAGTGGATTGATTTGTGTGCCAAAAGATATTTTTTTAGGAATTTGTTTTGATTTTTCATAATTATGCGTTATGAGCAAGTGTACTGTACATACCATGTAGCTTGCATTGACAGACAGGTAGCATGGCGAATGTCCTCTTGGTAGGATACTTATGCTCACGGGAAAATTGACATGTTAGACACATGTAGATGAGGGTTGTACATTACGGTGAATGAGGCTGTATACGCTGTCATGTCATGTCGACGGACCAATGTTGGACTCAATAGATTAGAAGTCTTCAACTGGCAGATTCCCACCACTAGTTCCCTTGTGGTCTGTTCGTGGAAGCACGGCGCGTGAAAATTCCCAGTAATTTGGATTCCTGTTTGATGAGGATGTGTGAAAGATCTGTGAAAAATAGGGCGAGATTCTAGAGCTGCAGGGGGCGGGTGTATCAAGAGTAACATTTCATGATACGGCGGGTAAAAGACGACATTACGAGGCAGATACGGATTGCAATGTGTCTCGGGAAGTTTGAGCGTGTCGACATGAACACATGTGAACTTGAAGACATGTCCAGAAACTCTGGATCCGCACGTATTCGAGCATTTATTATCGGATGGCTCATAGTCGGTATGCCCGACAGCCCTAATGCAGCCGAACCATCGTACTAGCGGCTAAAATCGTGCCCTCCCAGTTCAAGTGTACGACAAATTCCGTGCACGTGTCGAAAGTAAGTCGACTGCAAAGCCCGTACCGAGTATTCATTGTAACCAATAGGCACGGGCGGCCATGGTGCATATCTGGTTCATAGTATATCTGGCTGTCTCATGAGATGATGACCCTGTCTTCCGCGGTGCGCCGTCCAAGAAAAGGCTGTATGGGAATGAGGTTCAACATGACCCTGATATTACTCGATCATCGCCTCGAAACAGACCCAGGGTACTTATACAGATGGTTTGCGGATGCGTGGCGAGTACATGTCATTGTGCTGAGCAAGCTTGATTTTTAACGAGACCATCTTTCATCCGCTTGGAAGTCCGAGTCGGCTGTAATTTTTTTTAGTGATCGTTAGTTTCTGTTCTTCGCAAAAATACTGTGCTTACTTTGAACCGACCATGAGGCTGATGTGGCATTGTGTATGAAGCTTAACCTCGAAAAGGGTTGCGAGCCAGGCCTCGCGGCTGTGTTTGACAGCTCAGTTGCTACAAGTTGAAAGCACGAGCTAAATGTGCTTCTCATTGAAGATCCGATAACTGTTGGGAGTAGAAGAAGCCATACTCATTTGGCATGTGCCATCTATGCGCTCGACTGTAAAAATCCACGAAGGTCGGAAGGTGCCTGACCGCTTCTCATAGATAAAAATACAACCAACAAAAATACCTCAAACCTGCCTTCATGAATCATAAATGAATAATCACACAGTCACAAAGCTGGGCTGTCGAAGCCGAGATTAGAGGTAGTCAATCAAACATTGAGCTTGAAGATGGGAGACTTGTATGGTCCTGCATTTACCATATGATTAGGATCTCAGTTTGTGGTCTTTGAAAATCCGAGTGAAGTCAAGACACCAAGTTTCACGTCGTGCCTGATTTAGAGCCACTAGAAGAAGACGCCTGGAAGAACAAATGGATTAGATCCGCCGAACTCTGGAATGATCTGACGAAGCAGACTAACCGATCAAATTGATCTACATTGGATGATAGCCCATGAAAGTCGTCTTTTACTCGTTGGAAAATTTGAAGCACCATACCAGCATCGTTAAACCCATGAAAGGTAAGGCGAACGTTCATGTGGAGCGGGAGCATAGACCGGCAAGCAATAGTACGTACTAGACTACAACTTATTAGTGTCCCTTTTCGGCGCCTGCGGCTCATGCCGTGCCGCTTCAACGCCTATAGTCAGCACAGTGACATAACACGGCCCACGCCATAATCATTCGAAACACATAAACTTGTCTTTATCCTTCACCTTCAGTACCAGGTAACATCAACCTGTGGTCAGCTGCGAAGAAAATTCACGCTTCGAAGCAGCTCATCAAAAATGGGAGTTTCTGATGCAGGAGAACAGACTACAGTTTCTACAGGCAGCAAAAGGGCGCATAGCCCCAGGACTGCGCCTGCCAAGCGTGCAAAGGCAGCTCAGGCTTGCTTATCATGCAGGAAGCATAAAACACGCTGCGAAATGCTTGACGGAGACAACTCGGGCGCTCAGTGCCATCGATGTAAAGTCCTCACCCTCCCTTGCTCCTTCGAAGAAAATGGCGCTCCGTCGAATGATCGGGCAGGGCCTTCCTCCCGCCCTGCACACACACCGGACATCCGTTCCATGCGCGAGGACCGGCGTCAGTCCGTCCCTATTTCCCAAAAATCCCATGATATACCAATGGACGACTCTCGCGCGCATCCAGGTCCCAGTTATTCAAGGAATTGGGACTCTAGCTCCAACACCCTCCCGCCATTTCACAGATCTCAGCCCCAAGAGGAAGAGGTTGACCTTCTAGACCCTGAACGCTTACTGCCTGAGCGCCACAAGCCGTGGGGATTTTTAAAACTCCCTGGTGGCTTCGACGGTACCATGGTGCCTATGTTGGCTATGCAGGCGCTTACTCGTGCAGGTTCGATTGATGACTCCTCACGGAGTAAGGTGGATCAGGCATTGCTCCATATTCTTGGGCGGGAGCAGATAAATTATCTGACCGAAATGTAAGTCTTGACAGCCTATTCCCTATGAGGCAACTCATTTTGTCACAGTTTCGAGGAACGTTACGCTCCGTGGCTCAATCTACAGCCTAGTCAGCAACCAGAAGGACCACTTCTCAAACTTGCCCAGTGCTGCGTTGCATCACGACATCTCGGACCTTCGACACGCTCGGTAGTCTCTCCTCAGCTATACCGTCTGGCAGACGAGTACATCTTCAAACAGGCTTATCACCCCTTGCCATCTACGGATGCAATACACGCCGTGCTCGTACTTTCGTTATGGGAACCCATAGGGGATCCAACGACAAAGGAGTCGCGCGACGGTCGATTAATTGCGTCGACCGCCGTCAGCATGGCAATGAACCTCCGTCTCAGCGAGGCCATGGTATATTCTAAAACTCTCCGGAGGCAGAAAAAACCGAATGAACTTCCTAGCGAAGAGCTGATGGAAGCTATTGACAAAGCACGCCTTGTACGTCCCAACTGACTCTCAATCGATTAAGCTGAACTTCTGACTGTAGTGGTTCGCATTGAACAATGTTGAGTCAATGTTTGTATAGCTGTAATCTACTTGGTGCCCCCAGCTGATGAATTTATAGGCTTTGTGTGGGTACAGGGCGCAGCCCCATATCGGATTGCGATAGTCTTATACATGACGCCATCGATACAACGTCGGTCGCAACGATCGGGGCTGGTCGCGATATGCGTCTCACTTTAATCTCCCAAATGTTTGCCGCCACGCAATACGGACTCTCCATACGCCTCCGTTCAGCAGAGGAAATCGGCGTCTTCTACAAAGAAGTGCTCAACTTCTTGATGCGAATGGACGTGATCGAACGCCTTATCTATCCACTCCCAGGTATGAACACCACGTCCTCCGCCTTTGAAAGCTTAAGTCTGAACCCTGACGCCAGTCTTAGCAGAGCACGAGGTCTTCTTCTTCACGATGTTGCAAGTCTACTATCAGTCCTGCCGGTTGCTGGTCCTGGTACATGCCCTGATGGAAACGAAGATTGTGATTTCCAAGTGTGACCAGCAAAACCCTTGGTTCCTCGTCGCAGAGCACAATGGAATCAACCTCGCACGGAGTTGGGGTCACCATGCACTTGTCCTATCTGAAGGCATCCTCATCACTGCACTATCACGACCTGAGCTCATGCTCCTCAGCGCTGCACCAGATAATTTCTTCTCAATGCTCACCCTCGCAACATTCTTCGTCATCCTCAGCAAGTGGTCCGTGATGGAAAACGCCGGCGAGCAGCTTCCTGGGTCTAGTGACAGCATCCTGGCTCGGACGATCGATCGCATGCGACAGGTGAGCGCAGCTCCGGACCATGTTCCCGCAAAATGTGCTCGAGTCATCGAGGCTGGCGTGTTGAGTTTCCGGCGGCGCTCATCGGAGAAATCAGAGGCAGATTCGCGAGAGTTCAACCGGCCGTTACTCGAGCATTTCGACACAGCCGCACGCGACTTCCGAGAGCGTGTTTCAGCACCCGCTGCGCCCTCAGGGTACCCCGCGGAACAGCTGTACTCGCATACCCCGCAGTCATTCCCGTCGTTCCCAATCAACGACCCAAATTACTTCATGAATTCGGACATTTTCCTTGACAACGATTTTTGGTCGTCGTTCATGTCGAACTTGAGCGAGGGGAAGGGTAGATAACAGGGGTAGGATTGTGAATTTACTGTAATGTCTTTTTTGTTAGTATTTTGGATCTCTAGTAATGTACGACGCAAGTACTTTTTTTGATAGACCATGTAGATGTAGATGTAGCACGTTCGCTCACTCTACATATGTCATGTATTGGCTTACTATACGACATTCCTCTGGGACTGAATGTATCATCGCAGCTCTTCTTGATCTTCTTGCACTGCGTATATTTTTACAAGGTATTCGGCGATCCGTTTTAAGTTCCGAACATGAAAGATAGGCGATAGGATTGTCGAACGACGAAACGGGCTTTTATGAATCGCCGAAGTTGACCTCAAGAGATTGCTGATGCGATGGGGGTCGGATCAGCAATGGTTATCCCCGTGTGCTGAGTATCTATCAGCCGGCAGAAGGTGGATCAGGAAGCATATCGATATCAGACCCCGGGACACGCCGTGGGATGGGCTTGATAGGGCGGGAGGCAATAGCTTTTATGTGCATCGACGAGTTTGAACTGTTGCCCGAATCCGAGTCTGAGTCCGATTCTGAGTCTGATTCTGAAGAGGACGAGTCGGGTGAGGACAACGACGAAGAAGACGAATCTTCTTCTGAGGCGCTCTCGGAATCGTCATCATCTGACTGAGAGCTGGAAAAGGAATTGGAGTCTGAGTCCTTGGGCCGCGTCTCTAAGACGCCCAGGCCGAGGTTCTGTAGATGTATCGTAAGCTTTTATGTGCTTTGGAAATTAGGGGCGGGGACTTGCCATTTCGATATACTGCTCTGCGTCTTCTTCGATGTTCTCGATGTCTACGCTGGATGGGTTATCCCGGATGCGCTGTGCAAGCGTATCGTTCTCTGCTTTGAGGCGGGGGAGGAAGTCCCGGACGCGTGTGAGTACTGTCCATCGAAACAAACCCATGGTTAGTTTTGAGGAGGGTAATAAAGAGGCAAATGTGAAGAAAGACGACGTACATTCGCTTGGTGGGTCCACCGCAAACGTTTTTCGCTCGCCAAAGTCAAATGCGGGAGGAACAGCATTGGATGTATTCCTAGAGGGTGAAGAGCTGTTCAATTGCTCGAGGAGGTTGCCTAGATGACAGTAAGCCAGATATAGGGACGAGACGGACTTGCTTACCGATTCTTTGCTGTCTCTCTTCGTCGTCCTCGACTTCGAGTTTGGGTGCCATGATAACTAGATATGAAAAAGTTTGATGCTGCGGTTTGATAGTCTAACCCTGTTGAGGTGGACGAATGAAAATGAAAGGAGGTCAATGTCCGAATTTGGTAACCAAGGCTTTCGTCGCGTCTAGTATCAACGAGCGCGCATACTACTTAACAGCCCACAGCAAGGCCATCATTTTCTCTAGCCTCCTAGCTACAATTTGAGCTGCACTATGCCTCAGCCGCCACGTATTCGTGTCGTTGTGCAGCTCCCTTACAACCGTCCTGACCACCCGCTCCCCGATCCTCCCCATGTGCGTATCTGGGATCGTAGCAGTTCTCTTAGCTCTAGGCTAAACCAGCATATTTTACGCAGATTGAATGGAACACAGAGAAGGCTAATATTCTATGGGAGGTTATCGCACTCTCTCGGACGAGCGATAACGGTGGTACGGATTGTGAGTAGCCCACCCAGTTGATATAGACAAAGAACCTATACCCAATTACCAACAGGGAAAGGCCTCGCAGCACATCTTGAAGTACCGCTTCCGTATCTACTCTACCGCGCCCAGGCTAGATACGAAGATGACCTCCGGGGGCTGCAAGGCTTCCACGCTGGTCATCAACTGAACCAGCCCCCCACCAAGTCCACAGAGGTTACACCCGTCCTCCCAGAGCGCCCCCTCTCGATTAAGATCCCTGCTGCACGCGTCGGCTCCCTCAACAGCGCCCGTAGACTCTCCTCTTCCAGGCTGGCAACACCTCTCGGCGTCCGTGCACGGCTTAACTCTCTCACCCAACATAACTCCGCCCAATCGTCCAAGAAGGCATCTTCCTCATCAACGTCTACTCTTCAGGGAGCTCAACCTAAGAGACCCCTGCGCTTGCCCTCTCCGTTTTCATCCGATGAGAGCGACTCTGAGGATGAGCAGGCAGCCAAGGAAGAAGAAGCGGACCGTGCGGCGGAGGAAGATGAAGCTCTTTCACGCAAGCTTGCAAGTCTGCAGCGCATGATGACGAGCGAGGCTCTCGGCCTTGTCAGCTCGCCACTTTCCCCTGAGAAGGGCAAGGCCCGGGATGTGATCCGTGGGCGTGCGCCAGTGCCTATATCCCGCGCTGGTCGCGAGGGCGATGACATTATAGGCTTCAGACGCAACGATGAGGGCTTCAGACGCGAAGAGCGGAACCGTGATCACAGCGCGTCTGTCTCAAGTGCATCTTCTCCGCAGGGTTCGATCCCCTCGATCCCTTCTCCCCCGCCTGAATCCCAGTCTCCAATGGCCCGGCACCTCTCTACGAGCAAGTCGAGCAGCCCACCAACAGTGTCGACGCGGAATGCACGGGGGCTATCGCACATGCGTTATGCACCACTCGCAGGGCTCAGCGAGCAGGAGAGCAGTCATGGGAGCTCAGCATCGAGCTTCAGTGACATAAGTGGTGTGTTTTCCTTTGATCTTCAGTCTCCCCATTAGTGTTAATATTGTTGTAGATACAAGCTTTTCAGCGTCGGCGTTAGAGAGCGCATTGATGTCAAATGTCCCTGCGGGGGCAGGGTCCCGTCTGTAAGTGTTCCATGCGCGTTTCTTGTATAGCGCTCATGAGGAATTGTCCTTCATAGGTCTGCAATTGCAAGAAGTAGGTTCGTACGTGGGGTGCGGTTGTAACATATCTCCTTCTCAGTAGACTTAACCATAGTCCATTTTATTATTTTCTATTGATGAGCTTCGTTCTAAGGAATCTGTATCACTATCGCTCTTATCATGTATCAATTTCTAATACTCGGGGTTTATCAACCTAGATCAGACCGACACGTCAGAGCTGACGCATTCAGCGTGCTTTGCTTCTACATCATTCGAGCGTGTTCTCGTCCGCGATGACCATGCTTACTAGGTGCTTGCGCATCAGGATAGCATTTTCAGAATACAAAGGCGCTTGAGCTGAGATAAAGCGCCAAGGTTGTGGCCCTCTGCGAGTCGATCATCAGTCACGTTCACTGCTTTCTCTCTTGATCATCATTCACCGTATTACCCATAAATTCGACTCCCTCGAGACTCTAAGCTCTAGCTCACCCTTTCATACTGGTTTCGAGCCACATATACTGGTAGACAGCGAACGCAACGATGCAGTTGACGTTCGTGACGGATTTAGGCCAGTCATATGCTGTAGACATCGACCCCGACATGGAGCTTGAGAACGTGATGGCTCTGCTAGAGGCAGAGGTGAGCCACTTGCATCTGTCCCAATTCCATCCAGCACTTAACCTATGCCCTCCTCTTTACCTGCTCTACATTACTCTGCTCGTACGATCTCCCACGCGGCACTCTCTATGTCGCTGGATCAAACAGTCAAGTATACCCCCCAGCGAACAAAGCATCTCCCATAACGGGCGTGAACTTACGGACCCCAAGGCAACCATCCAGGCGCTTGGTGTGGGGGAGCACGCTATGCTACTCTTGCGCAGGCGTGTCAACGTCCCCGGACCTCAAGGCAGGTGAGCACTATATCATGTTCGGGGCATACCTTGTATGTACATATTGATGACCCTTCACAGACCCATAGAACAAGATGCAGAGATGATGAGACTGCAAGTGCTTGGAGATCCGCAACTTATGAGACAATTACAAGAGGTGCACCACTATCACTTCTTCCATCGCTTAGTTCTCGCTGAGCATCCATCATTCAGACACAACCAGAAATAGCCGCCGCCGCTCAATCCAACCCCACACGTTTCGCAGAGCTCCTGCGACAGCATCGCGACCGTGGACAACAAGCTGAGCTTGACAGACAGCGGGAGATCACAGCTCTTAATGCTGACCCATTCGACGTGGAGGCGCAGCGTCGTATTGAAGAGGCTATTCGTCAGCAAGCAGTCATGGAGAATATGGAGCATGCACTTGAATATTCCCCGGAAGCGTTTGGGCGGGTGACGATGCTTTAGTGAGTCTTTGTCTGACCTGAGAGTGTAGATGTGTTTATGGAGGACAGCGTGCCGGTGGAGGTGAACTCACATCCCGTGAAGGCGTTCGTGGACAGCGGAGCACAGCAGACAATCAGTGTGTCTCCTTCCCCACCCTGTGTGTCTCGCTGACTTGACTTGTGTAGTGAGCCCCGGATGCGCAGAAGCATGCGGGTCCGTTGCTTTTCATCTGTCCCTAGATGAAAACTGACGTATGACAGGATAATGCGTCTCATTGACGGGCGCTTTGCAGGCATCGCACGTGGAGTGGGGACTGCGAAGATTCTAGGGCGCGTACATAGTGCACAGCTGCGACTTGCAGACTTATATTTGCCGTGTTCATTCACGATAATGGAGGTCAGTCTACTTTCCTTTCTATTCCCAGGTATCTTCCCCGAATGAGAAGCTCACATACACTCAAGGGTCGCGATGTAGATCTTCTTCTCGGGCTCGATATGCTGAAGGCGCACCAAGCATGCATCGACCTTGAAAAATCTGTGCTACGTATCCAAGGTCGCGAAGTCCGCTTCCTCTCTGAACACGAGCTCCCCGAGCAAGCACGGATGATCGATTCGGGCGTGGAAGATCCAAGTGCATCCACGTCAGGCTCTTCAAGTAGCGCAGCGCAACCTGCACAAACGAGTGCTGGTGGAAACGTTGGGACTAGTGGGCCGTCGTTCCCAGGTGGAGGAAACACGCTGGGATCGGCGCCTACGCCGCGTGCACCGACGCGTCCTGCTGCAGCGCAATCACGACACCCTGAATCTGCGATCGAGCTGATTATGGGGCTTGGTGTGTCGAGAGAGGTGGCGGTTAGTATGTTGGATGCGGCGGGTGGGAATGTGGACGCTGCTGCGAGTTTGTTATTCTGAGTTCTAGACTTGGGAGGAGAAGTCTGGTGCGGAAAAGACATTCTTGGATTGGAGATTGCAAAATGTACGATGTCATGGATCATGATGTAACTGCGGTCATATGTTACCCAGTGAAAACAGCAATTGCAGAAGGATGCCTGAGCTGATGTTGCAACATACGCCGCAAACGGCGATTAGACTGGCGCTCGTTGGTAATACGTATACTCTACAGGACTCGATTGGGACTCAAGGACTCCAGAATGGAAATGGACTCCGAAGTGGTTTAAAGTAGTAAAAGTTATGCACAGCTGCCATGCAGAAGGGGCGTGTTAGCAGATACTCTCATACGTATACTTACAAGAAGGAAGGAGCGTCAGACGCGCACATATTCAATCAGGCAGATCCCTCGCCCCTTCCCCAAGTTGCTAGACTCTTGGTAACATCAAACGATCTGAACATTCAGCACTGCTGAACTGACGATAATCAGACGATTAGCTTCTGCACAGACTGCAGGCGAAGTTGTACCACCTTTGACACTATCCACGTCAGGCCATACTATCAACACACGAAGAGACCTCACCAACGATACTTCGAACACTTACTAATAAAAAGTTGCCCGTACTTGTTAACCTCGCTGGCAGAGACACCGGCCATGGCTTCCAGATCGATACAGCCCGCTGCAGCAGCAAAGAAATCAATTCTGACACCCGTGTTGACCCTAGAGGGTCACAAAGACAATGTTCCGTCCATATCCTACTTTCCGGATGGCAAGCAAATAATCAGCGGATCCTTGGACAAGACCGTTCGGCGATGGGACCTGCAGGCTGGTAAGGAGATTGAGGAAGCGCGGCATTTTTGTGAGCAGGATGTACGGGTGGTGGCGGTATCTAGGGATGGGCAATGGGTTGTCACTGCTGGTGGAGATGACGATCACGGGGAGCTCAAAGCCTATGAAGTTGAGACGGGCATCGTGAAGACATTTCAAGGTCACTCAAAGAGGATTACCTGCATCGATATCTCCATGGACAGCACGCTACTGGCGAGCGGGTCGGATGATCATGGAGTGCGAATATGGAGCTTGCACACTGGCAAACTCGTGGCTGGTCCATTCAAGAGTGGTTTTATTCTAGCTACGACAGGCGCAGTTCGATTCTCGCAAGACTCGAAGAAACTTGCAGTCGCCAGCTCAATTGTGGCAAAGTGCCTTGATGTGTGGGATGTCGAGGCACAGGAACTGGATGTCTCAGTTGGTAAAAGTCACTCCGGGGGAGTGACATTTGCGCCCATATTCTGGACAACGAAAGACAAAACCATCGTAGCCGCTTTCAGTTTCACGGATGACTCGGACGCCAAGACGATCTATGAATTTGACGCGTCTACGCTGGAGACTGTCAGAGCTCCCTTCGAAGGGCACAAAACGACCATCACAGGTCTCGCACTTTCATTCGATTGTGCTCTCCTCGCTAGCGCTTCAAACGACAACACCATCAAACTCTGGGCCTTCGAGTCCCGCCAGCTCCTCGCATCGTTCCACGGTCAGAATCCAAACCACCCGATCTACGGTCAGAGTCCAAACCGCATTGTCCTCTCACCCGATTCACGCCAATTGGCTTACACCACCTATACTGGCAACAAGATTCATATATGCGACACTCCACCCGAAATTCTTGCTAGCATCTGTGCACAGAAAGCTAACGTATGCATTCACTCGCATAGATTTATCTGTTTGTGCACTAACATTGTCGTGCAGGCCAGTACACCTAAAGATCCACGCCTCGCTAATCTACTCAATGCAAGTGATCCCTACTCATCTACACCATTCTGTTGATCCCATTATTGCAGTCCGACGCGACGCGTCATGCTGTGCGTCGTAATCCAGCGACACCGTCTGTCAGACGTCCCGGCCCCCGTCCGCAAAGACAGCTGTCTACAGTAGACCCACACCAATCAGCTTTCCTTCGCTACCTCCGCAAACTCCTTCATTCTTCCGAATCCCGCATAAACGCAGTTCCTCCTGTTCTGAATGATCAGCCTCGTAATCTTCTGGATGTATGTCTCTTGTACCTGTTTGCTCCGCAGCTGACTTGACGTGTCTCCTTGTAGTTCCCTGTTACATTGGCCCTACCTTCCAATCGCTTTTTATTGGCGCAGGCATCGACTCGGGGGCATTCACATAAGGATCCCCGCGAGAATGTGAGTGTCTACTCCTCTAGTTTCCAATTATCTACTCACATCTTGTCAGTCTCGACCGACAGAGCCGCCCACCACTTTATCCTCTGGCACCGCCTCCAGTGCTGGCCTACACCGCATATTCACCTGGTGGCCCGTTCGTGCAGGTCAGGCTCGGCCACCTATTATTGATGTCCCTCTTGCGTGGGGTGATTTGGTGCGCTCAAATGATTTTATAGCCGTATTCGAGGTCTCATCCACTCGTTTTCAGCGCCATGCTGCAGCAGGTGCTCCCAGCCATATTGACGATGACTTGATACGTGATGAAGACTATGTTCCGGACCCCAATTCACAAACATCATCCGCAGGAGCGCAGATCGATACCGGAGTGCATGGAAAGGGCCTGTTGTGTGGCTGCTTCTAAATTGGTTTCGCTGACATGTTTACTTTCCATGGTTGTTGCCCATCGCATACATTTGTTTTGCATCTGCAGAGTTGCATCCAACAACGCAACCCGTTGTATCTATTCGAATGTGCGCGGACCTCCTCTTAGGTTCTGTGGAATACCTCTGTATTTTACGAGCTGGGCCTCGAGCTGCGTGCGCACTGTGAGCTTTCATGAGGTATCAGCACGTCTCTGCGCTGGCGGTACTCACTTCTCAGTACTCGCTGCGTTGTGTGCATCTCCATCTCCCTCCTCAGCTACTGCATGTTCCATAGAGTCCCGGAGTTCTCGCCATGCATCCTGTAACACAGTGTAGTGCAAAGCTCCCTCTTCGGAACCTAAGTATAAATTTTGGTCTTCAGTCATCGTTAACTGGTATTGATTATTCTCTAGCGCGTATCACCATCCTGTGCCACCTTGCCGCCCTTGGTGTTCTCAGATCCTGTATTCATGCAGAGCGTCTATTGATCACCACACGATCAACACAATGAATTACACAGGGAAAGGCCGATCTGATACGGTAAAAATAAACGCTGTGCGATGCACAGCTGTCATGCAGAAGGGGCGTGTTACGATATATAAGGAGTGGCACTGGCAGATGCACCGCAAATAAACCCTGCTTCAAGTTGCTGGCCTCTTGGTAACGTCAAAACCATCTGAATTTTCAGCGCTGATGGACTGACGATCGCCTTCGGCAAGCAAAGTTCCGAGTCTTGACGAGTTAGGCATCTTCGACATTACGTGAGGCCACAGCATGCAAGAAAACTCACTAATGGTGCTTGGAACAAGTCCAAACCTTACGCATCTCTGCCAACTTCGCTGGCGAAAACACGAGCCACGGCTTCTAGATCAACGCAGCCCGCTGCAACAGCAAATAAATCGATATTGACGCTTGTGTTGACCTTGGATGGTCACGAAGATAGGATTCCATCCATATATTACTTTCCGGACGGCAGGCGAATGATCAGTAGACCATAGGATCAGACCGCTCGTCGCTGGGACCTAGAAACAGGGAAGGAGATTCAGGAGGCGCGTGATGTTTGGGGCAGCAAGTATTTGCGGTGACGGTATCAAGAGATGGTCGATGGGTTGTCACTGCTAGTGGAGATGCGGATTCCGGGGAGCTCAAAGTCTGCGAGGTTGAGACGGGTATCCGGAGAATATTTGAAGGCCACTCAAGGCGGATCACCTGCATTGATATCTCTGTGGACAGCACGCTGCTGGCGAGCGGGGCAGATGATTTCACAGTACAGATATGGAGCCTCGCCATTGGCAAACTCGTTGCTGGTCCATTTAATGGTGCTTATATGGTGGGCGCAGTTCGATTTTCGTTAAACTCGAAGAAACTTACAGTCTTTTTAATTGTGGGGAAGCACCTTGAGGTGTGGGATGTCGAAACACAGACCTTGGATGTCAGAATGGGGAAACGTATTGGTGGGGAAGTAACAAATGCGCCAGTATTCTGGACAACGCAAGGCAACATCGTAGCCGCGGTTAGCTTCAAGCTCGAGACTTCCAATTCAGAGTGCGATCCCATGACAATATATGAATTCGATGTGTCAACGCTGGAGACCGTCGGATCTCCTTTCGAAGGGCACGCTAGTCTTGTTCGCCATCTGACACTCTCATTTGATTGTGTTCTCCTCGCTAGCACTTCTGACGAAAATACCATCAAGCTCTGGACCTTCGAGCCCCGTCAGCTCCTCAGCTCGTTCGGCGCTCGGAAACCCTTCTGCGTTATCTTCTCACCTAGCAACTCAGGCAAACTGGCTTACACCATCCGGAGTGACAACAAGATCCATATATGTGACGCTCCACCTGATCTACATAGTGTATGCGTCCCATATTTTGCTGGTCTACGCCACTCTATTGATGCTATTATCGCAGTCCGACGCAATATGTCTTATTATGCACCATAATATAATCCATTGACGCCTACGATATCCCATGTCTGCCTGCTAAGACCTCGGCCTACAATGCGTCCACGGCAACCTGCTTTCCTCTGCTACCTCCACAAATTCTTTTCCTTTTCCCGCACGAACGTAGGTCTTCCCATTCACAATGATAAGCCTCGTGACCCCCTAGATGTATGTCTCTCTATCTCAAAGTTGACTCGACGTGTTTTCTTGCAGTTCCGATTGCCACTACCTTCCGATCTCTCTCCCTCGACTCGGGCGCGGTCACAAAGGGAATCATAATCAGCGGATCTCGGGATAAGACCACTCGGCGGTGGGACCTGCAGGGGGGTAAGGAGATTGGTTAACTGCGGTATGTTTGTCCGCAGGGAGTATGGGCGGTGGCGGTATCAAGTGATGGCCGTTGGGTCGTCACCAATACTGCTGGTGGAAATGACATTCGTGGGGAGCTTAAAGCCCACAATATCGAGACGGGGATCATGAAAACATTTCAAGGTCACTCGCGGTGGATCAGCTGCACCGATATCTCTGTGGACAGCACCCTGCTGGCGAGCGGCTCACGGGATGGTACAGCACGGATATGGAGCTTGGACAGTGGCAAACTCATGGGTGGTCCATTAAAAAGTAACGATGACATAGGCGCAGTTCGATTCTCGCAAGATTCGAAAAAGCTCGCAGTCAAGTCACATGTGGGAAGGCGCCTTGAGGTGTGGAATGTCGAAACATAAACATTGGATGTCAGTGTAGGGTCATTCGGCCGGGGACCCTTGACATACGCACCAGTCTTCTGGACAAGCAAAGACAAATCCATTGTAGCCGCATTTAGTTTCACGGATGATGACGCCAGGACGATCTATGAATTCGACCCGTCGTCGCTGGAGACTGTTGGAGTCCCCTTCGAAGGGCACACCGATATCATCTATGGTCTAACACTTTCACTCGATTGTCCTCTCCTCGCTAGCACTTCCTACGACAACACCATCAAGCTCTGGGCCTTTAAGTCCCGCCAGCTCTTCGCCTCATTTTACGTCCAGAATCCCGACCATATTATCCTCTCACCCGACTCACGCCAACTGGCTTACACGACCTGGCTTGATACCGAGATCTCCATATGCGACACTCCACCCGACATTCTTGCAAGCATCAGGCCTGCACAAGAAGTTCAGTCTCATGTATGCATTCACCCGCATAAATATATCCATCCGTGCACTAACATTCTGTAGACCAGTGCACTTGACATTGCTGATCTACGCAACGTACGTGATTCTTCTACTCATCTATGCCATTCCATTAACACACTACGCGCCGCCCACCGGCTATTTTAATGCGGGCTTGCATTTCAATTGACTCACAGCCACATTATTTACCCCCTCGCCCCCAAGAACTCATTACCTCTGCTTCCCACACGGACACAGTTCTCCCCGTTTGTATTGAAGAGTCTAGTAATTTCTCCCCTGAGGCGATGCTCCAAGACCTCTCAAGATACATCACCAAGGATGAAGATTATCCCGTTGCTCGTGGCGGGTTCGGGGAGATCTGGAAATGTACCTATATCATAAATCGGAGACCGGTCAAAGTTCGTTTGCAATGTTTTGTTTGTCCATCTATCTAAAGGTGATAATTGGGTAGGTCGCAGTGAAATCGTTGCAGGTGTACGCTGCAGATCAACTTGGCGCAGCAAAGAAGAAAAAGGTCAAGGTGGGTGACCCGACCAAGGTCTGTATCTATTACTTATGCCAGAGGTTGCAGAGGACACAGCGTGAACTCAGAATATGTGCCAGCCTCAAGCATGCAAATATTCTGCCTGTTTACGGTTATACATCTGGCTTTGGCCCATTTATAGCCATAGTCAGTCCTTGGGCGGAGAATGGAAATCTGACGGCCTATTTGGAACGTAAGGGTGCCATTCTTACTCTTGTTAGACGATTCCAGATCGTAAGTTCTCCCTTGCGTTTCATGTAAACAACGACCTGAAATTCATGGCAATCTTAGCTCAGAGATATCATAGTTGGTCTGCAATATCGTACGTGCTAGGTAGTATTAATGCTGGATCTGGAGTCATCAATATTGCTTGCAGTTCATGCAAACAGTATCATCCATGGAGACTTCAATGGGGTGGGTTCAGCATTTCTTGATAGTTTCAATTTAATTGAATTGTGAGCTCTAGCCCAATGTGCTCATCCGTAGTGATGGTACTGCGTGTGTTGCTGACTTTGGTCTTTCCTTGATGTATTCCGACATTATAAGCGCCTCTCAGGCTTCATGGACTTCCACGCTCAAAGGGAACTTGCGATGGATTGCTCCTGAGCTGCTTGGGGAGCGGGAGGATGGTTCTCCAGCACGGCCAAGCGAGCAGAGCGACATCTATTCGTCCGGTGGTATCATGTTACAGGTAAGTATATGGTAACTCTAGCAACATTCAACTTTTCAACAACATCATTTGCTCTGCTTTTAGGTCCTCACTAACAAAATCCCCCATTATCACCTCACGAATGACGCCGCCATCATCCTATGCATAGCCAAGTCGGAAAAGCCTTCCCGATCTCGTTATCCTGCACTGCCTGACCAGTATTGGCATATTATTGAGCAGTGTTGGTCTACTGATGCTCAGGAGCGTCCATCAACGGAGAGAGTCAACGAAGTGATCAGGAATGAGTTTTACTCGTTGTCCAAATCTCGCTGATTCTTGAACTGTCCGCAATCTGCTTACAGTTCGAGATTGCATGCAGCACAGTTATATAGTAAACGTAGGCTTACCCCCGGACTTCTCTTGTACTGTCACTATATACCAACAACATACATGGTTCTGTCCGCACAAAACACGCCACTTTGTGTCGCACTTCTCACTTGTAGATCTGTTCTCTCCGTCCCGGAGGCTCGCTGCCACGAGATATATAAGCGCAGCTCTAGAATGACCACATGATGTTTGCCTCACCACGTGAACATTCTTCGTGATTTTCGTGCACTCTGAAATACAGGAACGGAATTGACGGTGTTGTCATTGGCTTTGAGGTTCAAGTGATTGGAAGATCGAGAAAGTCGCGGAAGCGCTTGACTAGTTGTTCGTCATGTCAGTAAGATTCGAGGCGCCCACCTCATGAAACGGCTTCCCCTTATTGATATGTGGATGACGCCTGTCTACAATCTGAATAATGTTGATACTCTTCCTTCATCATTTGCTGTGTGGCATCGTCAGCTTCCTTGAGGCGCTGTATGCTCGCCATGTGCCTAGATTGGTGCCCAGATTGACGCAGTACCTCGTTGTAGATGGTTGAACTTTTCCAGAGGAGCTTGATAGTGATCATTTGTGCTTCAGTCGTTAGTTTGTCTGAATGCCAGTAGAGCAGTAGGCGCACAATAGACTGTCCCTGAATTAGGGCCTCTGATATCGCGAAAGACAAACACCCGCAAGTATTCCGTCGCTCATGAACATTAACAGTGAGCTACCGTCCGGGATAACTTATGCCAGTCACGGTGGTAAGCGTATTGCATCAGGAATCGCGCAGGGCGACGATGAGCGCACTGCAAAATCGATGAATTCTGAGGTGCTTGCCAGAAGGGGTGCTGTGTCACCGAAATATCCAGAACCGGACCACACAATCTACCCGCTGAATCAACGAAACCTCTCCGGCCCCCAAGCATGTTGTACGGAGAAGACTGGCGAGTTAAATTTCGTTATTCAATATTTGCCTAGCAAAAGTATATTATTGTCAGAAAATTGCCCAAATTACCAGATCACCTATCCCTCATCCATCGGATTGACAAGCGAGAGATTCATCAGTTAGTCTGTGTCGAGATGACCACGTGGCGTCCTGCGAGGTGGCGAGCAGCACGTCAGAAGCAGCGGGTAATATCTGGATGTTGCTGCGAGTTTGATGTTTAGGAGGGGAATCTCATGTCGAAGGAGATACCTGGATCTGCGAATGTAAGGTGTGACAATCCAACTGAAGAAAAGTACACGCCGTGCAATGTATGGCTGTCATGAGGAAAGGGCTTTTAAAGAGGTGGTAGATGCGCCCATTTACCCATCGTAATCAGAGCTAGCCTCTTCGCAACATAGCGCCCAAGCGCTTGCTTCTCTACAGCAGTCTCTACAGCTAGGGACGGCATTTGATCGGTGGAGGGGGCCCCAGTTAACCAAAATGGGTATTTAGGAATGCAGTTCCTGACACTAGGTGACAGAAAGCTGTTCAAATAGGATGAATGTGAAGGAGTGACGAGCATGCATTGTGCATTGCCCGCACAGCTAGCATACATAACTTCGAAAGGATATGTTAGGGGATATGAGAAGGGTGTTCCAGAGTCCAGACACTCACACGCTCAATCCTCGCCTTCCCCATTGCTAGCATCTTGGTAACATCAAAACTATCCGAACTTCGAAGTTCCATAACCTACGGTCTGCTTCGGCAGGCAAATAGCCATAGCTCTTGAACAAGTTAGGCAACTTCAAAAATCTCCATCAACGTCAACACGAGAAGACCTCACAGAGGTGTTTCGAATCTGTGCAAATAAAACCTTGTACTAATTTCGCTGGCGAGGACGCAGGCCATGGCTTCCAGATCGGCAAGAAAATTGATTGGGATACCAATCATGATGACATTGGAGGGTCATGAAGAGGGTATTCCATCCATATCCTACTTTCCAGATGGCAAGCAAATAGTTAGTGGATCATACGACAAGACTGCTCGGCGATGGGACCTGCAAGCGGGGAATGAGTGCAAGGAGGCGCGGGACGTTTGTGAGCAGGGAGTGTTTGCAGTTGCGGTATCAAAGAATGGTCGATGGGTTGTCACTGCTGGTGGAGACATTCATGAGGAGCTCAAAGCTCGTGATGTCGAGACGGGGATCGTGAGAACATTTGAAGGTCACTCACCATGGATTAGCTGCATCGACATCTCCAAGGATAGCACGCTCCTAGCGAGCGGGACGTTGGATGAGACAGCGCGGATATGGAACTTTGACACTGGGGAACTCGTAGCTGGTCCATTCAAATGTCATGGTTTAGTGGGCGCAGTCCGATTTTCACAAGACTTGAAGAAGCTCGCAGTCATCTCACATGCGGCTAGGTGCCTCGAGGTATGGGATGTCAAAACACAGAAATTGGATGTCAGGATGGGAAAATGTCATGAAGCTCTAGCAACTACGACATACGCACCGTTGTTCTGGACAACGAAGGACAAAACCATCATAGCCGCATTCAGCTTCACGGATGACGATGCCAGGACGATCTATGAGTTCGACCCGTCGACGCTGGAGACTGTCGGAACTCCCTTCGAAGGCCACACAATGGCTGTTCGTGGTCTCGCACTTTCATTGGATTGTGCTCTCCTTGCTAGCGCTTCCGTCGACGGGACCATCAAGCTCTGGGCCTTCGAGTCCCGCCAGCTCCTCGGTTCTGTCGAGAACATTCAGGATCCCTACCGCATTATCCTCTCACCCAACTCGCTCCAACTCGCTGTAACGACCTGGCACGGAACCAAGATCTACATAGGCGACATCCCGCCCGGAATCTTTGAGCCTGAAAAACAAGTACCTAGTGTACGTCGCAACCCAGTGAAGCCTGTCATATCTTTCGGCCCTCGACCGCAAAGACGATCCTCTACAACAAACCCTCAGCAACCCCCTCCTGAAGCGATGCTCCAGGACCTCGCAAAATACATTACCAAGGACTCAGACTACCCTGTTGCCCGTGGCGGATTCGGTGAGATATGGAAGTGTACCTTTCGCATGCATCACAAATCAATCAAGGTTCGTTTGCAATGTTTTGTCTGTCCATCTGTATAAAACTGATCATCGGACAGGTCGCAGTGAAAGCATTGCAGGTTTATGGTGTTGATCACATTGGTGCAGCAAAGGAGAAAAAGATGAAGGTGAGCAACTTGCGACAGCCCTGCATGTATTACTCACACCAGAGGTTGGCACTTTGCAGAGGATACAGCGTGAGCTCAGAATATGCGCCGGTCTCAAGCATGCAAATATTTTGCCCGTCTACGGTTATACATCTGGCTTCGGCCCATTTACAGCAATTGTCAGTCCTTGGGCGGAAAATGGAAATCTGACAACCTATCTGAATCACGAGGGTGAGACTCTTACTCTCGTTAGACGGTTCCAGATCGTAAGTCATCCCATGTATTCCATGTAGCCGACAGACTGATGACAATCTCAGCTCAGGGATATCATAGCTGGTCTGCAGTATCGTATGTGCTAGTGTTTGTCAATGCCCGTCTAGAGTCGTAACTATCCCTTGCAGTTCATGTCAACAGTGTCATCCACGGTGACTTTAATGGGGTAAGCTCGACCCTTCTCAATAACTTCAATTTTATCGAGGTGTGAGTTCCAGCCCAATGTACTCATCCATGGTGACGGTACTGCTTGCGTTGCCGACTTCGGCCTTTCCTTGATGTATTCTGAGGTTATAAGCGCCTCTCAGGCGTCCTGGACTTCCACACTCAAAGGTAACTTGAGATGGATGGCTCCTGAGCTGCTTGTAGAGGGGGAGGATGGATCTCAAGTGCGGCCAAGCAAGAGGAGTGACATATATTCGTTCGGTGGTATTATGTTACAGGTACGTCCGTGGTAAATCCAACCTCTTAATGATATCATTACCTCCGTTTTTAGGTCCTCACCAACAAAATTCCCTATCATCACCTTTCAAACGATGCAGCCATCATCCTATGCATAGCCAAGTCGGAAAATCCTTCTCGATCTCGTTATCCTGCACTGCCTAACAAGTATTGGTATTTTATGGAGCAATGCTGGTCTGCTGATCCTCAAGACCGCCCATCAACAGAGAGAGTCAACAGATTTATCAAATTTATCAGTATGATTCAACTCAACACTAACCGTTCAAATATAGTCTGCCATGCATTACTCAACAACGCCGTCCGTGATTATGACATCCTGCTCATAACGGAACCATGGTATGGTGACATCGGAAATAACACAAAGGGCCCAGCGTCGTTAACCGGATGGCAACCAATCCTACCATTACCGTCTGTTCCCCCGAATGTCATTCCTCGAGTCATGGCATACATCAAAAACAGACCTGACTTCATGGTTACCCTTCGTTCTGATCTCGCAATGGATGCTGACATACAAATTTTACAGATCAACCAAGGAACACATCCGCCTACAATACTTGTAAATATGTACAACCAGAAAGCAGGCGAGGATCCATTGAACTGGTCAGCAGACCGTCTTTTCAACATCGAACTACCAAACGGAATACCGGTCATCATCTCGGGAGATATGAACCTACACCACCCAATGTGGTCAAACACAGCTGAGAACCCCAATCCTCGTGCAGAAGCTTTCGTTGACTGGCTAACTGACCAGGGATTCATCATGCTAAACGAACGTGGGGCAACAACATACTTCGCACACGACGGTGAATCCTCGTCGGTCTTGGACCTAACATTCATCAACGACAGAGCATACGAACTCGACACGATCAAGGACTGGTCAATCGACTACGGTAAAGCCTACGGATCAGACCACGCAGCGCTCACATGGACACTAGACCATGAACGTGTCCCCATCGAGAATATCACGGCTCAACGATTCAATTGGAAAGATATCGATGAAGACACGATCAAAGCATGGAAAGGAGCGTTCATGAGAGAACTGACGGATAGAGAAGACGCATGGATACCGCTACGTGTTTCAACTCTTCCTAATATTGATGATATTGAAAGAGCTACCACAGCACTACAAGATGCACTGGTGCAAGCAACAGAAAGCTCGGTCCCCATCCGCAAATCTAGTGCACATGCGAAACCATGGTGGACTCCCGACCTCACGCAATCACTCAACCGCATTGCAGAAACTCGTGAAAGGGCTAGACAACATCTCATCGATACAGGTTTTGCTGACCACGACCTTATCCAACAGATCCGCCAACTACGCAATCAGTTCAAACGGAAGACACGCCTTGCTAAACGACAGTGGGCAAACGAGACTCTGGGAAAAGCCACTCCCGATGACGTCTGGAATTTCACTCGATGGCCCAAAGGGATAAGAAACTACCCCACGCCACCACTCAGACGAAACAACGGTCAAAACATGGCAATAACACATGAGGAAAAGTGTGCTACACTACGAGGTGAACTGTTCCAACCGCCCCCGAATCTAGACTTAGCTGCACCAGATTTAGAACAGGACCTCCCGGATGACATCCCATGGGAACCCATAACATATGCCGAAGTGAAGAATGGTATATACCGACCAAATCGCAAAAAAGCTCCTGGACCCAGCCAAATCAACTACATGGCTCTCCGATGGGCCTGGGAGGTTGCATCGGAATATATCTACTTACTAATCTCACGCTGCGCAAATGTAGGCTACCATCCCATCGCCTGGCGACGCACAATCGCAGTAGCCCTGCGCAAGCCCCGAAAACCAGACTATTCGAACCCGAGAGCCTATAGACTAATCCAGCTAGAGGAATGTCTTGGAAAAGTCCTCGAAAGCGTACAGGCAAGTAGATTAGCATATCTCACAGCAAAATATCTGCTGGTACCTTCTTCACAGTTCGGAGGCCGCCCAGGAAGCTCCACAGTCGACGCAGCCCTATCATTCGTTCATGATATCGAAGCAGCCCGTAATCACGGACTTGTCACGTCGTGCATCACATTCGACATCAAAGGATACTTCGACTTCGTCAATCATACACGGCTACTCCGAATACTTCGGGACAAGCACCTACCGCTCCCTATGGTAAAGTGGGTGAAATCCTTCCTCAGCGAACGACAAGCAGCAATCTGCCTGGACGGAGTACTGTCACCATCGGAACCAGTCGAAAACGGTATACCTCAAGGATCCCCAATATCACCGGCCCTTTCGATTATCTGCACAAGCCCACTAAACGAAGCCTACAATGCGAAAACTCGAGCTCGTGAATTACGCCCGGACAAAGCCACACCGACCACATTAGCATGCTACATCGATGATGGAAACTTATATGTCTCCTCTCCATCCTTGGAGAACAATGTCGCAATACTCCGGGAGGAGTTCATTTTTGTGAACAATTGGCTTCGCGAAGCTGGACTGATGGCGGAAATTGACAAATCTGAGCTCATCCATTTCACATGGCGTCGTGCACCGGATCGACCACCTATCCTGCTGCCTAGTGACGAAGGACAGGTGACAATTAACCCCCGTGACTGTATCAAATGGCTTGGTATATATTTCGACTCTAAACTCTCTTTTCGCAGGAATGTATGTGAACTGGCAGGCAAAGCGGAAAATATCGCCCAAGGACTACAAATGCTTGCAAATACGGTAAGAGGTCTCTCGCAATCACTATTGAGAACTGTATACTCGGCTTGTGTCCGCAGTGTAATGACATACGCAAGCCCCGTTTGGTGGACGGGCGTGAAAACCCATGCAAACATGCTTACCCGCGTCCAAAACAAATCCCTTAGACATATCTGTGCCGCTTTCCGAACCACCCCAATAAAGGCCCTAGAAATAGAGACATCAATCCCCCCCATCAACCTCTTCCTCGAACACGCAAACGATAACGCCGCCACTCGACTACTCAAACTCCCCTCGTTCAACCCAATCCTACAGAGACTTGATCAACCCTGGCGACAATTTAACCTCGCTGACCCCCCACCCGCTCTTCCCACCGACAAATACCGTCCTCGCAGCCGCAAACCACCAAAATCGACCAGACTCACCCGTCTGTCAAAACGAGCATCCCCGAACGCGGAACGCATCAACATATTTGCGCTGCCACCTTGGGCAAACACGAAGGAAACGTACCGCGGCCGCCTAACGATCTCGGACAAGCAAAGAGGAGGCAAGAAAGAAGCCGCCAAAGCGCACATACAAACCGCTCGTAATCTACGAACGGAGGACACGCACCTTCTCGTTTACTCAGACGGATCGAAACAATCAGTCAGAGAGGAGGAAAGAGCTGGAGCAGGATGGGCCGGCTATCACAGAGGAAGAGAAGTCTTCTGGGGTCAGGAAGGAATGGGTCCCAAAGCAGAGGTGTATGATGCAGAGATGGTAGCGCTCCTTCGAGCAATATCGCGAGCTATCAGCTTCGCGCAAAATTCCCAGGTGACCCATTTACATTTCTACGTCGATAACAACTCTGTGGTGCAGGCTGCATATGCAGCTGCACCCGGACCCTCACAATACATTGCATTACAGATCAGACGCTCGATCGAAGACTACCTAACCACATCCCCCCTCCATCATGTCCAAATTGCATGGATCCCAGGACATCACAACATCATCGGCAACGAACGTGCCGACGAGCTTGCAAAAGAAGCCACTGGACGTAACGACTCGTACCACTCGACCTATGCAAATGCGCGCCGAAGAAACAAGGAAGGGATCTTGCAGAAATGGACAGAGAGTTGGAATAGAGACGTGGCAGCACAGACTGGACGCTTCGCTCTCGCAAATCGACTCCCACCAACGCTCAAACCCCGCCAACATTTCACTCACACTCCTCGAGAAGTATACGGCCGTCTTATACAATGCCGCACAGGACACGGATTCATGGGAGAATACTACGCTGCATTCGTTCCAACCGAACCCACCCTCTGCCCATGTGGAGAACCACGTCAAACACGAGAACATATCATACGTGACTGCCCACTATTTGCGCGACAACGCATCCATCTGCGTGAGGTATCACACAACATCATACTCAACGAAATTTTGGGTACGGAGAAGGGCATAAAGGCACTAGCGAAGTTTATTCAAGAATCCAGCGCATTCAAGAAGGTCGCACTGGAACGAGAAGGAGACTGGGAAGAAAGGAGAGGGACAGAAGCCTGAGTAAGGGCAAAGAAGGAAGTGACGAGGGAAGGAGGAGACGAGGAGAGATCAGAAGGAGGAGGAAGGAGAGAAAGTGTATCATATTATACTAAGCCTGGACACCAAACGAGCCCACACGCACACCAAAACTCATCAAACGCGGACCGCTTGGCTATTCGTACTATACCTACATCCCTCACCCTGTTACAACACTCCCCAGCACAGCCCTAACAGGGCACCGCGTCTTAACAGCTCACTTTGTTTGTTGCGGTATATAAATATAGAATTTCTCTCTCTCTCAAATTTATCAGTAATGAAACAGATCGACCAGATAAACGACATGCGGTACTGTATACTAATATTACTACTGTACAGTAGATGCGGGCTCACCTCCGGACTTTTCAAACTTGAATGTAAACAGTCTGTCCGCACACAATATATGCTAACACGATTCACGCTTCCCTCTTGTGTACTTGTCAGTTCAGACATGTGTACCTTTGATGGTGAATCTATCGCCCTGCAGCCAATTTGCTAGCCTCTTGGTAACATCAAAAACGAGCTGGATTTTCAGCGCCGATGAACTATGAAGGTGTACAGCAGCATCCGAGTCACAGGATATGGTTCTTCGTGCGGATAGTCCAATCACTATTGAACTACTACACTTAGCACAGAAGGAACATGCACAAGAAGACACCACAAATGGTGACTCAATTAGCGCTCGTTGGTCTACATAGGTCTTACTTATTAGGATTGATGATTATCACTCTAACGCCGACATGGTCCCATGATGGCTGGGGGCCGAAAAACACACTGAGAGAAGTCAGAAGCAGCTTTGATGAATACATAAGATAGACCTCGTTCATACACCTTCATCACGTGACTTTAGGCCATGAACGCATTCTTTGGCTTGTAACTCTGCTTCGGATGAGAATTAGCGAAATATATTTTATGATCCTGTGAGGATGAACTATAGTATTAATGCTGTCTCCTCAGAATGTTTATTTTCAGCAACTTGAGGGAGGAGTAGGCATTTTCGTGGCAAATTTACCATCGTGACCTGATATGTGACCTCAGTCACCTCACTTGAGACCATTTGAACTCACAAACACTACTCGTCTCTCAGTTCACCAAGTTAGATTATAAAAATTACATGCATGTCTTGCTACAGACTCTCCGCACATAATCATAGAACGAAATTTTCTCAGAGTTCATACACATGGAGCTAGGTGTAAATTCATCGGGGTGTCACGCTAGATCATGTGATGAACCGGTGTATGAACGAGGTCTATCTTAGAAGCAAGGGTATACTTACGGCAAATGCTGTGCGATGCACAGCCGCCTTGCAGAAGGGGCGACATGTTACGATAAGTGAACGTATTTGGAGCAGGATGTCAGACACGCACGGGTGGATTCTTCGCCCTTTCCCTTTGCTAGCCTCTTGGTACCATCAATACTATTTGAATTTCCAGCGGTGATGAACTAACAATCAGTCTCCACAGATAAAGTGCTCTGGAACGTGTTAGGCATCTTCGACAACACTGTTAGGATCAGACTTACAGCACATGAACCGTCGGTTCTTCAAACACGTTGAAACACAATCGAAGATACTCATACGACCTATGGCTTCTGCATCGAGGCAGCCCGTTGCAGGAACAAATAAATCAAATCTGAGCCCGATCAAGACTTTGGAAGGTCATGAAAAGTATGTTGGATCCATTGCATACGCTCCGGACGGCTAGCGGATGATCAGCGGATCAGGGGATAATACCGCTCGATGATAGAACCTGAATATGGGTAAAGCGATTCAGAAGCTGTGGGATGTATTTGAACAGGGCATAAATGAGGTTGCGGTATCACGGAATAGTCGATGGCTCGTCACTGCTTGTGAAGATTCTGATAGCGGGGAGCTCAATGCCTGTGAGGTCGAGACAGGGAACAAGAAAACATTCCAAGGCCACGCAGACTGCATCGAATGCCTCGATATCTCAGCGGACGGCACACTCCTGGCGGATGGGTCAGAAGACGAACATATAGTAATCTGGAGCTTGGACGCTGGCAAACTCATGGCTGGTCCATTCAAGAGTGACTCCGACAGTGTGGGTATACTTCGATTTTCGCAAGACTCAAAGAAACTCGCAATCATTTCGGATGTTGGGATGCACCTTGAAGCTTGAGGTGTGGGATGTCCAATCACAGAAATGGGAGGTCTCAGTCGAAGCGAAATCTAGTGACCAAGGATCAATGCTTCTCATCATGATATTACCTGTGACACATGTGCCAGTGTTCCGGACAACGAAGGACGGGACCATTGTAGCCGCACTGTTCTACTTCACAGATCGCAAGTCCGTCACAGCGATCCATGAGTTTGACGCGTTGACCCTGGGGATCGTCGGGCCTTGGGCCTTCGAAGGGCGCACCAGCACCATCAATGGTCTAGTACTTTCATTTGATGGTGCTCTCCTCGCTAGCGCTTTCAAAGACAAGACCATCAAGCTCTGGGCCTTCGAGTCTCGCCAACTCCTGGCTTCATTTGACGTTGATAGTGGCAAACATATCATCCTTTCACCCAACTCACGCCAACTGGCTTACACCACCTGTAGTGGGACCAATATCTACATATACTTATAACATTCCACCGGATATCCTTGTTAGCATCTTGTTTGTACAGTAAGAAAAACGCAGCGTATGCATTCACCAGCATAGATTTATTGCTCGTATGCTAACATCCTTGCAGGCCAATGCACCTAAAAATATTGATCTACTCAATGTGCGTGTTCTTATTGATTTACCGATATACACAACTCCATCCATGTAATTAATGCAGTCCGACGCGACACGCCGTGCCGTGCGTCGTAATCCAGTGACGTCGGCTGCCATACCTCACGCCCCCCAATTAAGACCATGTTTTTCCTCGGCCCAGGCCTCGACTCAAGGGCATTCATATTTGGATTCCCGCGAGAACGTCAGTGTCTACTCCTCTAATCTTCATCACCCACTCACATCCTGCCAGCCTCGACACCCACCAACACCACCCACGTGCCCCTTATCCTCTGCCACCGCCACAAAGGATCGCTTACATGGCCTATTCACCTGGTAGCCCGTTCGTGCAGGTCATGCTCCGCCACATATTGTTGATGTTCCTCTCGCGTGGGGTGAATTGGTGCGCTCAGTTGATTATCACCGCTTCTTTGAGGTCTCATGCATTGATTTGCAGCGCCACGTATGCGACGCTCCAACCGACATTCATACCAGCATCTGTGCCCAGGAAGCTAATGTATGCATTCACGCGCATATATTTATCCGTCTGTGCACTAACACTGTCGTGTAGACCAGTACACCTAAAGATCCAAAACTCGCTAATTTGCTCAGTGATCCTACTCATCAACGCCACTCTGTTAATCCCATTATTGCAGTCCGACACGACGCGCCACGCCGCGCGTTGCAACCCAGCGATATCGTCTGTCAGACTTCCCGGCCCCCACCCGCAAAGACAACTGTCTACAGTAGAGCAATCCCCTTTCCTTCGTCACCTCCGCAAACTTCTTCGTTCTTCCTGCGCGAATGCAGTTCCTCCTGTTCGGAATGATCAGTCACGTAGTCCTCTAGATGTATGTTTCGTGCCTATTTCATTCGCAGCTGACTTGACGTATCTCCTTGCAGTTCCCTGCTACATCGGTCCTACCTTCCAATCGCTTTCCCTTGGCGCAGGCCTCGACTCGGGCATTCACATAGGAATCTCCGCGACAACGTGAGTGTCTAGTTACCATTTATTCACTCACATCTTGTCAGTCTCGACCCACACCAGCACCGCCCACTACCTTATCCTCTCCCGCTGCCTCCAGTGTTGGCCTACACCGCATATTCACCTGGTGGCCTGTTCGTGCAGGCCATACTCCGCCAGCTATTCTTTATGTTCCTCTCGCGTGGGGTGATTTAGTGCGCTCAGCTGATTTTCACCACTGTGTCTTTGAGGTCTTGTGCATGGATTTGCAGCGTCACGCTGCAGCGGGTGCTCCCGCCCAGGATGATGATGACTCAATACGTGATCAAGACTTTGTTCCGGACCAGAAATCACGACCATCATCCGCAGGAGCCCAGACTAATGCCGGAGTGCATGGAAGAGGCCGTTTTTGTGGATGCTGCTAAACTGTTTTCGCTGACATATTTAGTTTCCATGGTTATCACCCATCGTATGCGTTCGTTTTGCATCTGCATCAGAGTTGAATCTAACGACGCGATCCGTTGTGTCTGTGCGTGTCTGGGTGTTTTTGATCTCCACTTAGGTCCCGTGGAATGGCTCTGCGTTTTGCGAACTGACCCTCGAATTGCACCTTCTCAGACGCTGCACCTGCCTCCGTGGCGAGTGTATGCGCCTTTCCGTACTGTCGGCTTCCATGAGGTATCAACACATCTCTGAACTGGTATTGCTCACTCTGGTGCGTGTATCTCCAATTCATCCTTCTCAGCTATTGCACGCTCCATGGAGCCCCGGAGTTCTCGTCATGCATCCTGTAACACAGTGTAGTGCCAAGCTCCCTGCTTCGATACCTAAGTATAAATTTCTTCAAATATCATTACCTGGCATTGATACGTCCCTAGGCCTAGCGCTACATCACTGCCGTGCCAACTTCTGACTATACTCAGCGTACTTTTTGAGGAAATCATATGTTTGCACAGGGCGTATCTCGATCAGTGTATGATCAAGATTCAACACATCACCACAGCGACTCACACAGAAAAGCATCAGAAGGAAGGTGAAAAACAACGCTGTGCACAGCTGCCATGCAGAAGGGGCGTGTTACGAGATATAAGGAGTGGCACTGGAAGATTTTCGGAAATCAATCCTGCCTGCTGCCCTCTTGGTAAGTGACATGAAAACCATCTAAATCTTCAGCGCTGATGAACTCACAATCGGCTTTATCAGGCAAATTGCTGACGAGTTTGGCAGCTTCGAAATTAAGTGAGGCCACAGTACTCAATAAGACCTCACCAGCGGTGGTTCGAACACGTCCGAAACCTTGCGCATCTTTGCCAAATTCGCTGGCGAAGACACGAGCAATGACTTCCAGATCAACATCGCCCACTGCAGCAGCAGCACATGAGTCGATTTTGACACCCGTTTTGACCTTGGAGGGTCACAAAAATATGTAGGATTCCATCCATTTCATTCTTTCCGGATGGCAGGCGAATGATCAGCAGATCATGGGATCAAACCACTCGTCGCTGGGACCTAGAGGCAGGGAATGAGATCGAAGATGCGCCGGATATTTGTGAGCACCAAGTATTTGTGGTGACGGTATCTAGAGATGGTCGATGGGTTGTCACTGCTAGTGGAGATGTGGTCACCGGGGAGCTTCTCAAAGCCCGAGATGTTGAGACGGGGATCGTGAAATTTTTTGAAGGCCACTCAAGGCGGATCACCTACATCGATATCTCCGCGGATAGCATGCTGCTGGCGAGCGGGGCAGAAGAATTCACCGCACGGATATGGAGCCTTGCCATTGGCAAACTCGTGGCTGCTCTATTCAAGAGTGCTTATATGGTGGGCGCAGTTCGATTCTCGCAAAACTCGAAGAAATTCGCAGTGCTCTCAATTGTAGGAAAGCATCTTGAGGTGTGGGATGTCGAGACACAGACCTTGGATATCAGTAGGGAAACGCATTGGCGGAGAAGTAACAAGTATGAAACTTCCAATTCAGAGTGCGACCCCATGACAATCTACGAGTTCGATGGGTCGACGCTGGAGACTGTCGGATCTCCTTTCAAAGGGCACACTGGTCTTATTCGCCATCTGACACTTTCATTCGATTGTGCTCTCCTCGCTAGCGCTTCGGACGACAATACCATCAAGCTCTGGGCTTTCGAGTCCCGTCAGCTCCCCGGCTCGTTCAGCGTTCAGAAACCCTTCTACATTATCTTCCCACCTGGCAACTCACGCAAAATGGCTTACACCACCCAGAGTGACAAAAAGATTCATATATGCAACACTCCACCCAACATTCTTACTCTACTCGATATACACATCCCATCTTTTTACTAGTCTACACCACTCCACTGATGCCATCGTCTCAGGAGTCCGACACAACATGTTTTTCCATGCACCATAACCCAGCGACAACACCTCATGTCTGCCGCCCTCTGCCTACAGTGTGTTAACAGCAACCCACTTTCCTTGCTACCTCCACAAACTCCATCTTTTTTCCCGTACGAACGTTACTAAGTCTTCCCATTCACAACGATGAGCCTCGTGATCTCCTATATGCGGTTACGTAACTCGTCATGTTTCCTTGTAGTTCCGATCGCCCCCACCTCCCATTGCTCTCCCTCGGCGTAGGCCCGCGTTCACAGATGGATCCACGAGAGAACTTGAGTGCCTACTCCTCTAATCTCGCTTATCCGCTCCATCTTGTCAGTCTCGATCGACACCAACGCAGACCACCACCTTATCTTCTTCCACTGTCTCCAAGGCTCGCTTTCACCGCATATTCACCTGATGGCCTGTCTATACAGGACCCGTTGTTTATGCTCCTCTTGCGTGGAGTCAATTGCTGGTGCACTCAGCCTATTTCATCACCGTGTCTTTGAAGTCTCATGCATTTATTTGTAGTGCCACGGCAAGTAGAAGTTTGTTAGCCGTTGAATGACGGCACAACGAACCAGAGACTCTCGCGCAAAGTTTCCAGACACCAGCCTGGTGTTATTTGGGACAATACTTGGGTCTGTACAGTTCATAGCGAGTCTATATAGCTAGTGAGTGTAAGAGCCCGTGATAAGAGACACTTCTGAAGTCACATATATTAAGCCAAGACTCGTAACCTTAGGTCCGGACTCTTCGTCGATCGTGACCGGTTCCTTTGCTCCTCGATCAAGGCAACCGTCACAACGTTGGTTAACTCAGCAACAAGCTACTACTAGTAACACGTCGTGCCATCAACCATACTGCACCGATGTGAAAGCAGATACACGACTCACTTCGCATTCATAGGCTCTCTACCACGCCAGTGAGTCATGTGGTTAAATACAGGACGCAAACTACTCATACTCACGCATTTATGAGTCTTTTTGCAGGGTGAACACTCCCAGTTATGGTGGCAAATGGTTGGGCATGTCCCAGCCGGGACATTGTCAGGTATTGTTGCTGCAGATATTGATGCTGTCAGAGCAGCAAGAACGGCGAGGATAAAGTGGAAACGCATTGCTTGAGAGGATGTAATATGGGATAAGATAAATCTGAAGGGGATAGTAGGAAGTCGCCTTGCTTTTATATGCTGAATATTGTCTTCATGACGGTGTGGGAGACAACCATCTACAAATTGACATTCCCCTTCGAACATATGATATCTGCTAGAAAGATCTACCATGTGAAGCTCTATCGGTAATTTGGCGTGGAACAAAGCATCACCTTGCGAAGCAAGATCAATATTGCCAACTTGAAGGACTGCCAATCAGCTTGTTTTTGGTCTCGTGACACGAATAGTGTTGTGGGCAGAACTGGCCTGGCAGAACCATATATGTTCTGCCAGCGCGGAAGAAGGTAGAATCGGAGGAAACTTGGATGGACATGGATGTAAGATCTACCACTCGATAGTAACATCGAGTCGATATTCCAAGTCCGCATCTTCGTAACTCTGATTTTTTCCGCATTGCCAATGTCTTCCAGTCAAGCAACCTCAGCATCAATGTCATCAAATGACATCGATTCCGGGCCTTCGAGATTGTAGCACCGGAGACTGCTGCAAGCAGAGGAACAAATGCAAAGTCGTCTTCCTCTGCTTGCGAACAGGGGCAGTTGCACTGGACTCAACAGCCAATGGGCTTGGAGAAGAAGTATTGTTTCCCTCGTCATCGCCAGAAATAACAATAACTGCAGCCATCAAAGTCAGGATAACCACATCTGCCATGATGTTTTGACGGGGATCGCAAGAACATTTTGACAGGGTCGCTCAGATGGGATCAACTACATTGATCAGCACTAGTGGCGAGCGGGGTAAATGATCGGATATGGAGCTTGGACACTGCCGCCGTCTGGCAAACTCGTGACTGGGCCATTAGTGCTACTGTGGTGGGCGCAGCCTAGACCCGAAGAAGCTCGCGGTCATGTCGCAAATTGAGCACGCACAGAAATTGGATATCACAACAGGGAGATCTTATCACCTATCGCATATACATTCAGCTTTTCACATGACTCCCCCTATACGAGTTCGATGTATTGACGCTGGAGACTGTCGGAGCTCCTTTCGAAGGGCACGCGATTTCATCAATATACACCATGTTATCATTTCGCGGTTCTGTAGTCAAAATACAGTGATAATCTGTATAGAATCTAAGGTTCGTGTCACGTGTAACATTCCCACCGGTCCATAATCTCTTTTTTTCCCCAGTGCGCTAAGTTTGCAGGGTAAATTTGCCCACCTCAAATTCCCCGAACCCTAGTCATAACCCAGCGACAACGCCTGATGAGTCTGCCGCCCTCTACAATGCGCCAACAGCAACCCACTTTCCTTTGCTACCTCCGCAAACCCCATCCTTTTTCCCGTACGAACGTTACTAGTTCTTCCCATTTACAACAACGAGCCTCGTAATCTCCTAGATGTAGTACGTCTCCTTATCTCGTTTCCTCCACAGTTACTTAACTCGACGTGTTTCCTTGCAGTTCCGATCGCCCCTACCTCCCAATTGCTCTCCCTCGGCGCAGGCCTCGACGCGGGCGCGTTCACAAATGGATCTACGAGAGAACGTGAGTGCCTACTCCTCTAATCTCGATTATCCGCTCACATCCTGTCAGTCGCGATCGACACCGACACAGATCACCACCTTATCCTCTTCTGCTGCCTCCGAGGCTCGTTTTCACCGCCTATTCACTTGATGGCCCGTCCATACAGGACCCGTTGTTGATGTTACTCTTGCGTGGGGTCAATTGCCGCTGGTGCGCTCAGCCTATTTCATCACTGTGTCTTTGAAGTCACATGCATTTATTTGTGGCACCACGACAAGTAGCAGTTTGTTAGAATTTGGATGACGGCACAACAAAACAGAGACTCGCGCAAAGTCGCCAGACACCAGCCTGGTGTTATTTGGGAGCATACTTGGGTCTGTACAGTTCATAGCGAGTCTATATAGCTAGTGAGTGCAAGAGCCCTTGATAAAAGACACTTCTGAAGTCATATCTATTAAGCCAAGACTCATAACCTTAGGTCTGGACTCTTCGTCGTCGATTATGATCGGTTCCTTTGTCACTCGATCAAGGCAACCGTCACAACGCACAACGTTAAACATTTCCGCTACTAGTAACGTGTCGTGCCATCAACCATACTGCACCGATGTGAAAGCAAAAACACGACTTACTCGCATTCATAGGCGAACTACCATGCCGGTGAGTCATGTGATCAAATACAGGACGCAGACTACTTGTACTCACGCATTTATGTCTGTTATGGCAGGGTGCGCAGTCGCGACTATGGTGGCAAGTGCTTGGGCATGTCCCAGCCGGGACATCCTCAGGTATTGTTGCTGCAGATATTGATACTGTCAGAGCAGCAAGAACGGCGAGGATAAAGTGGAAACGCATTGAGGATGTGATGTGGGATAAGATAAATCTGAAGGGGACAGTGGGAAGTCGCCTTGCTTTTATATGCTGAATATTGTCTTCATGACGGTGTGGGAAACAACCATCTACAAATTGACATTCCCCTTCGAACAGATGATATCTGCCAGAAAGATCTACCAGGTGAAGCTCTATTGGTAATTTGGCGTGGAACAAAGTATCACCTTGCGAAGCAAGATCAATATTGCCAACTTGAAGGACTGCCAATCAGCTTGTTTTTGGTCTCGTGACACGAATAGTGTTGTGGGCAGAACTGGCCTGGCAGAACCATATATGTTCTACCAGCGCGGCAGAAGGCAGAATCGGGGGAAACTTGGATGGACATGGATGTGAAATCTACCGCTAGATAGTAACATCGAGTCGATATTCCAAGTCCACATCTTCGTAACTCTGATTTTTTTCCGCATTGCCAATGTCTTCCAGTCGAGCAACCTCAGCATCGATTCCGGACCTTCAAGATTGTAGCACCGGAGACTGCTGCAAGCAGAGGAACAAACACAAAGTCGTCTTCTACTACTTGCGAATAGGGGCAGTTGCGCTGGACTTAACAACCAATAGGCTTGAAGAAGAAACATTGTTTCTCTCGTCATCGCCAGAAATAACTGCAGCCATCAAAGTCAGGATAACCACACCTGAGGGTAGAATAAGGCTGAGACGGGGATCGCAAGAACATTTCTGAGAGTCAAAGGGTTACTCAGATGGGACCAACTGCATCGATCCACAAGTACTACAAGTTGGCGAGCGGGGTAAATGATCACTTCGCGTGGATATGGAGCTTGGACGCCGCTGACTGGCAAACTCGTGGTCGATTGGCCAATTCGATTTTCCCTAAACCCGCCCGAAGAAGCTCGCGGTCATGTCGAATGTGGAGAAGTGCCTTGAGCACACACAGAAATTGGTTATCACAGTAGGGAGATCTCTTATTCCCGCTACGTAAGTAGTGGGTATTAGGCGTAATCACTCAAGTTTACCAACGCTTTCAGTTTTGGCAGAGAAATGAGTATCCGTACGTTTTTAGTACTCTGTTCCCACAGGTTTTCTCACGGCTCAAAATTTACGTCTTAGTCAGTTTAATGTTTATGCCGATGGCCTGAGCTCTCTCAACGTTGAACCTTTCAATTATCTATTACAGCTGTGTGCAAATATAATGGCACTGGTGCAAATCGAAAACATACAACAACAACGAGCGCCGAAAAAGGACTTAGTGAGATTTAACTTAGTTGTAGGGACTTTGTCGCATCACCGCCATCACACTGGCACTGCCCTTCTCCGGAACATGGGCCGTCAGCAACAGATGTACAAAAGCTCCGAGTTCATTGATGAATCTGATGATGATATACTTGAAATCACGTCCTCTGACACAGACACCAGCTCCCTATCATCGAGTGGGTCATCAACAGTCTTCGCAGACCGTGGAACTCTGCCTCAAGTCCCCATGCGCGACAGCATCGATCGCGAACTTGATGCAATGAGCCCTGTCCCTGAGCCAGTGCCAGTACCTGTACGAGATCCTTCTCCACCTCCAAAGCAGGCTGCTAAGCCTAAGAAGAAAAAAGGTAGTGCATATATGCACGTGTGACTGACTTTTCGATGTCACCACTGATGACCTTCTTGTCGGAGCAGTGTCATCCAAACACTCTGAAGCTCCTCCAACAGAACCTAAGCCAATCGAAACTGTGGAACCTGCTCGTGAAGTGACATTCAATGTGCTCATCCTGCCATATTCCGAAATCAAGAAGGATGATGTCAAAAAATGGAGTGGTACCAGCACCATCTTGACCCTTCATCTTGACGAACCCTTCGATACTTTCAAAGCCCAGATTCTCTGCAAGATCGACAAAGAAACATCCCCTGCTACTCTTTCCTTCGATAACTACAAAGTGTCACGAATTCCTAATACGAACCATTTTTCGTTTCTCGGTTTTCCTTCGGCTACTTCCAGTACCCGAGCCGGTCACGTGACTCCGCGTCATAAGTCACCCGTTACTTCTCTGATTGGTTCCCCTACTCCACGGGCTAGAACAATCTCAATTCCCAAAGAAGAACCGGTCGGAACTTGGGTTTCTGTTTAGTTGCCGTCTTACTCATCTGCTTATATATCATGAGTCATCTTTAGTCATCCACAGTAGTCGTACGACCTTTTTCTTATTGGCTGATTTCTTTCAGACTCCTATTCAATGTTATGTATAAAAGTAGGGTAGTTAGCATAAGAGCTCCTTAGACTTAACCTCTTCGTTTCTACTGTTGTAGTAACCTAGACGTTCAACGCTCAATCCAATCCTGTTACTCATCATCATCCCTGACCGAGTCCTAGTGGTCGTGAGCTCTCCTTCAACATTACTGTTGGACGTGGGTCATAACATTAGGTTAAGTCTACTTTACCACTCCGACTCGAACTTTGTCTTGGACGTCACCGTTCTCGACGAACTTCGTCGTGCTGTTCTGCTCGAGAATATTCTCGCGGATCACGTTTTTTGTCAACTCATCATTTCCCCGACGCGCTTTAGTATCTCAGTTTCTTTACGTTAGTCTTTTAGTAGAAGTGGACCAGGCCCTCGTCTTACACGAGCCGCCAGTTCATAAGGATCAGCGACTTTAGGTCCTGTTTCCGCACGTCTACAGTCAGGCCCAAAACCCTGCCGACTGTACGCTACAATATCTGCTTTCTTACGTAACAGAACGGCACTCGCGGGTCTTATAACCCTAAAAATACATTACGATAGGAACCTAGGGTGCTGAAAGCAGACCCAAAGTTCACCGCGTCTTCGTGAACTCCTCTCGAGTTCATTTAGGTCGACGAATCGCTATACGCGCTTCGCACCGCCGTCATCATTGCCCCGCCATACAGATCCCGCTTAGTCGCGGCCAGAGAAGCACTCCTTCACTCTGTTTCCTGTTTGGATACCTCTTGTAGATTCTTCCATGTCCGAGAATCTAGGAGAAACTGGGATCGTCGTTTCCGAGGATACGGAAGTGACCGACGCTCCTCCAGCGATACCGAGAGTAACGACTCCACCAAGGGAAGCAATCCACTCTCCAGCCCCCCAAGGATGGAGAAACCCATTAAACCCATTAGCATCTGCAGAATCATCCACCACCCCAACCGCAGGCCCTTCTGCACCCTCCGGCATCTCCGGGCCCGGGTCGAGTATCATCACCCATCAGGACATTTCGCACGCAATCAACGCCGTCGTCATAACAGAAAGAGAGTACACCAGACACTTCATAGACGGTCTGCAGAAGGAGATCGACGAGCTGCAGGCGGGTCTAGTGCATGCGGACGACGAGATCGATTACCTGAAGATCAGGGTAAGAGATCTGGAGAACTCCTTGACTGTGGCGGAGAGCCACATCTCGGATTTGCAGAACTCACCTACGACGAAGATCCCAGGCGCTACATCTGGGACCTCAGGTTCTGATCTAAAAATGGCGAAACCAATGGACTTCACAGGTGAGAAGAACTCCATCGACATTGATACCTTCCTCACCCAGCTCGCCATATACTTTACCGGTTACCCAGGAGCGACAGAACAGCAGAAATGCACCTGTCTCGTTTCCTTTTGCCGAGGAGCAGCAGCCAAATGGGCGGAAAGCATTACCCCCATGGCGCTCAGCGGACGCCCCGGGTCATATGACAGCATCGTCAATGACATGAGGGTTATGTGGACCGTCGTAAACAAGGAGGAGAAGGCAGCAAGAGAGTTGGAAACTCTCCGACAGGGCACTCGTACCGTCGGAGAATATATCTCCCTCTTCCGTCAGAAACTCGCCTTCTGTCATTTCTCCGACTATGAACTAATGCGCAAACTCCGCCATGGTTTAGACCAACGGGTCAAAAACTATCTGGCTAACATCCATCCCAACAGGAAAAGACACTCTGGAGGGATTGATAAGGGAGGCGCTTCTAGTCGGGCAGAACCTCGAGGAGCTTGACGACGAAAGGAAGATGAGCTTCGCTCAGCGACAACCTTGGCGAGGCTCCGCTGTTCCACCCGCACCCGCTGGAGCACCCAAGACCACGTCGCAGGGAGGAAATGCGATGGATGTAGATGCAAACAGAGCAGGAGGCAGACCCCGGCCTCAAGGACAACAGGGCGTAAAATTCACGTGCTATCGCTGCGGAGGAGAAGGGCATATGGCCCGTAACTGCACAGGAAAGCCACTCGACACCAAGGGCAAAGGACCAGCAGTCCGCGCCGGCAAGGTGGAAGAAGTTCCAGCGGTGAAGGCGCTCACCCTGGAAGATATTAACCGCATCGTAAATGAGAGGATCTGCCTCTCCAGCATGTATAACCCAGCGAAGAAAGAGGAGCAAAAGGGTTTTTAGGAAGATCGAAGTCGACTGCGGACTTAGATCAAAAAAATCGTTTTTCCATTCTCGGTGACTCGGCAATTATGTTTGCAGAAGTATCAGAAGTTTGTTCTGGGAATAAACGAGACCATTTCTACTTGCCAGTTACGTTGGAAGGGAAACACAAGAAAGCAGCTGTCAACGCTCTAGTGGATTGTGGAGCAACGAACCTTTTCCTCAGCAAAAAATTCGTAGAAAAAAATCAAGTTCAGATTAAGCAGTTGTTGCGACCAATGTCGATCCGGAACATTGACGAAACAGATAATTCCGCCGGACCAATTACGCATTACGCAGATTTAAAGCTTACCATAGGGGATCATGAGGAAGAAGTAGCCTTTCTGGTCACAGACCTAGGATCCGATGATATTATCATTGGAATAGATTGGTTACGATTCCACAATCCCAGTATCGATTGGAATGCGGGGAAGGTGGCATTAGACCGTTGCCCAGTTAAATGTCAAGAAGCCAAGGCTAAGAACAAAAAGACCAAGGCGAAGAAGCGAACAGCCATAAACTGTTCGACCCTTCCAGTGTTGCCCAATTCGATACTGACAGAAGATGACGAAGATGAGGATATCGAGGAAGCCTCTATCCATCATCGGGTTCAATCGAACAGTCTCAGCTCTAAAATGCAAGGACATATGGGTACTATACCTGCCAGGCTTGAGGATGAAGAACAATCGGACCTTGCTACTACTGTTGGTCGGAAGGTGGAGATCGAGGAAGTCGAGGATGAGGATTCATCACGGAACGTGTGGATCAGGTACAAAAGCTCTGTAGCATCAGAGTTAGCACAGCAGGAGGAGAAGAAGAAGGAAAAGAAGCCCGTAGAAGAAATGGTGCCGGACTGGTTCCATGATTATCTTAAAGTCTTCTCCGAAGAAGAGTCTACTCGATTCCCCGAGTCTAAGAAGTGGGATCATAAAGTAGATCTCAAGGATCCTACTGACCTTCCCCCCAATGCGAAAGCATATCCTCTGTCCCCCGCCGAAAATGACGCAGTGTGAGAAGTGGTTAAAGCAGGAATATGATTTGGGACGACTGAGAGATAGCGAATCTCCAGTAGCAGCTCCTTTCTTCTTTGTTGCTAAGAAGGACGGAAAGCTTAGACCCGTCATGGACTATCGGAGGTTAAATGAGAAAACCATCCGAAATGCATACCCTCTCCCTCGTTCTCAGGATCTTATCGATCGTCTCTCCGGTGCAAAGCTCTTTTCGAAAATGGACGTTCGATGGGGCTATAATAATATCAGAATGAGAGAAGGAGACCAGTGGAAGGCCGCCTTCAAAACTCCTTTCGGACATCATGAACCAGTCGTAATGTACTTCGGCATGACGAACTCCCCAGCTACCTTCCAAACTATGATGGACCAAATCTTCCAAGATCTAAAGGAAGGCAAAGTCGTTGTAGTCTACATCGACGACATCTTGGTCTTCACCAATGGTGATGTAGAGAACCATCGGAAGGTGGTACGCGAAGTATTACAAAGGTTGCAGGACAATGATCTCTATCTCAAACCGGAAAAATGTTCTTTTGAGAAGAAGGAAGTGGAGTTTCTCGGTTTGATCGTCAAAGATGGACACGTCTCTATGGATCCAGTCAAAGTAAAAGGAGTTCAGGAATGGCCCACTCCTACCTGTGTCAAGGACATTCAGCGATTCATGGGATTTGCGAACTTTTATCGTCGATTCATTCTCGGTTTCTCGAACATTGCCAGACCCATGAATGAACTCATCAAAAAGGATGTACCCTGGGAATGGACGGACAAGCAAGAGAAGGCTTTCAAAACTCTGAAGGACAGGTTCACTTCCGCACCAGTGCTAGTCATGCCAGATGCGAATAAAAAACAAAAGATAGAGAGCGACGCATCTGACTACTGCTACTGGTGGTGTACTTTCTCAATTGGAAGAGGACGGACTATGGCACCCAGTGGCCTTTTTTAGTAAATCAATGCAAGATGCAGAACGCAATTACGACATTCATGACAAAGAACTTTTAGCCATCATCCGCGCATTGGAAGAGTGGAGGCATTATGTGCAGGGCGCACCTCATCCGGTAGAGATCTGGACGGACCATAAAAACCTCGAGTACTTCATGACGAGCCAGAAGTTAACTCGCAGACAGGCAAGATGGTCCTTGTTCCTTGCAGAGTACAACTTCACTCTGCATCACAAACCAGGAAAGGTTAATGACACTGCCGACGCTCTGTCCAGGAGGCCAGACCACAGAGGGGGGGTAGAAAACGACAATTCCGATCGCGTGCTTTTGAAACCCGAGTTTTTTCATATCAAAGCCGCAAAAAGAGGTCAGATTCTGATAGAAGGAGAGCATTCGCTGTTGAAGCGTATCAGAAACTGCACCGATTTAGATCCTGAAGTTCCGAAATGCTATCCAAACTCTGAAGAAAGCCCCTGTGCAGTTGAGAAGAGGATTGGAAGAGTGGAACACGGAGGATGGACTCATTTTGTTCCGAGGATTGGTTTACGTTCCCAAGAATAAGGAAATTCGTCGCTCAGTGCTAGAGATCTTCCATGACTCGCCTGCAGCAGGACACATGGGACGTGCCAAGACTCTTGAACTTGTCTCGCGGAACTATTGGTGGCCCCAGATGCAGAAATGGGTCAATGACTACGTAGATGGATGTGATCGATGCAAGCAGACGAAGGTGCTACCGTCAAAACCCCACGGACCTTTAAAACCGAACGAAATTCCAGAAGGGCCATGGCAAATCATTAGCTGTGACCTCATCACCGATCTACCCATCTCCCAGGGCAAAGACAGTATCTTGGTAGTCGTTGATCGTTTCACAAAGCAAGCGCATCTTGCTCCGACCACCAAGGATGTTGATTCCAAGGGAGTCGCGGACTTATTTCTCAATCATGTATGGAAGTTACATGGGACGCCGAAGAAAGTAATCTCGGATAGGGGAACACAGTTTGTGTCCAAGTTCATGCAGGAAGTCTCGAAACGACTAGGAACCAAGTGGTCCATGTCAACAGCATATCACCCACAGACTGATGGACAGACGGAACGAGTCAATCAAGAAGTCGAACAGTACCTCCGACTCTTCACATCCTACCGTCAGAATGATTGGGTTTCTTGGCTTCCAATTGCTGAATTCACGCATAACAACTCAGTAACCGTCACTGGACATTCCCCATTCAAATGTGTCTACGGATATAATCCCGAGTTTACGATTTCCCCTAATTCTTCCAACACGATTCCCCATGCCGACCAGAGAGTAGCTGAGATGAAGGAGGCACAGGAAGAAACGAAGGCAATGCTGGAAATAGCGAACGATCGAATGAAGCGCTTTTATGATCGTAAAGTAAAAGACGCACCAGGAATTCAAACCAGGTGACAAGGTATGGTTAGACGCGACAAACATCAAACAACGCCGTCCGAGCCAAAAATTGTCCGACCGCCGTCTGGGACCATTCGAAATCGAAGAGAAGACTGGCGAGCTAAACTACAGGTTGAAGCTCCCGGTTAAATATCGCGTCCACCCGGTTTTTCATGTATCGTTACTCACCCCACATCAAACCTCTCAACTCGTTGATCGCCCACCTCTAACGCGCCCGCCGCCGGATATTGTTGATCAAGTCCCAGAATATGAAGCAGAGCAAATATTGCAAAGCCGCCTATACAGGCGCAAGTTGCAGTATTTAGTAAAATGGAAAGGATATGCAGTAGAAGAAGCAACATGGCAGTCAGAGGAAGATGTGAAGAACGCGCCACTCATTGTAGCCGACTTTTATGCAGAAAACCCAAATGCGGTTAAATCGGCACGCATCTCCGCTTCAATTCTGACGACCCCTGACTTCCTCGAATGGAGACAGAAAAATATACGACCATCTTACATTCGCGAGGACGCTCATCCTAGAAAGGGGGTAATGTCACGAATTCCTAATACGAACCATTTTTCGTTTCTCGGTTTTCCTTCGGCTACTTCCAGTACCCGAGCCGGTCACGTGACTCCGCGTCATAAGTCACCCGTTACTTCTCTGATTGGTTCCCCTACTCCACGGGCTAGAACAATCTCAATTCCCAAAGAAGAACCGGTCGGAACTTGGGTTTCTGTTTAGTTGCCGTCTTACTCATCTGCTTATATATCATGAGTCATCTTTAGTCATCCGCAGTAGTCGTACGACCTTTTTCTTATTGGCTGATTTCTTTCAGACTCCTATTCAATGTTATGTATAAAAGTAGGGTAGTTAGTGTAAGAGCTCCTTAGACTTAACCTCTTCGTTTCTACTGTTGTAGTAACCTAGACGTTCAACGCTCAATCCAATCCTGTTACTCATCATCATCCCTGACCGAGTCCTAGTGGTCGTGAGCTCTCCTTCAACATTACTGTTGGACGTGGGTCATAACACAAAGCCTTTTTTTCGATTCTCCGAGTTTCACTGAAGCCAACCTCACTGTCTGACGAAGATGACTATAAGGAACTCGTCAAGCGTCTGATGAAGATCAAGGAACCAATTGTAACAATATATGCTCAGGAACTCTCTGACCTCAAAAAGGTATGTGTTGGACTTGCGACAATTTTTTCACGATCTGACTTTGTGGCAGCGTAAAGACCGAGCATCTGACAAGGAGAATGGAAGTAGTGATGAGGATAGCAGTGATGAAGAGAAGAGAAGGAAGAGGAAAAAGAAGAAGACTCGGAAAACAAAGGCATGTTGATTGTTGTGAAAACTGTGAGAATGCTTCGTCATCCACCAAATTTTTCAGGCACCGAAGGCATCTGATATCAATGACGAGATGAAACCAGTGAATCGGAATATCACGAAGTTGACTGATCGTTGGGTATGTCACAAGAAGCCAGGTTGTTCCAGTGAACATTGCTTCGTGAATCCTGGAGATGGCGGCTCCCACATCCCGCTCTCGTTTCCGTTGCTTGATTGTTGGGCATCAGCGATGGTAATTTTCCCATTAGAACAATTGTTATTGCACTCAACTATTCCTAGGAAAAAGGCCCTGAGTACGCGACACTTGAAATGCCTCCGAATCATTCCCACTTCAATATGGTACCAGCCGAGTTGCTTGGTCGTCAATCGCTATTAGCAGCCCATCATCAACAACAACAAGCCAACGAGCAAGCGAAGAAACTGGCAGAAACACCTCTCGCCCCTGCATCCAGTGGGCCTGTTGTCAACGTCAATTTCCCTCCCGAGCTGTTCCAAGCTATTCGAGGCCTTTCTGCACCTATGGCACCTCAGTTTACATTGCCAAATCTTGCCCCTGCTGTACATTCTGCTCCGTCGTTGCTATCTCCTACACAACTTATTTCTCCGGGACCTCGAATGGCTCTCATTGACTTCTGCTCGACATATGAGATTTCCGATACACTCCAGAAAAAACTGCTCGAACACGGCTTCAATTCTTCGCACTCTTTTCGCCATGTAACCATTGATGACTTGCAGAAGGCTGGCCTGCTTTGTGGGGAACTCGCAGAACTGAAAGATGCCATCTCGCAATGGTGTGGGGAGTAACCGAATATGCATGTCTCATTATTGTTCAAAGTCGTAATGCTGTCCCTCGCTGTGTATCAATCATGCTGTAACACTATACTGTAAAACTCAGGCCTAGAAATAACCAGAATGACGAATGTAGCCATGAGCATCCTCCGCTGTTATGATATCGAGTGCCTCTCGTAAGTCATATAGAATACCATCATTATCAGCAGCAGCCAAAACAAGTCATTGTTGCGACAAATCCATGCTTTGAGCTTCGAGAATGCCTCCTCAATGGGGTTGAGATCCGGGGAGTAGGGAGGCAAGAAAATGATTCGGACACCTAGTACCAAGCTAAGGTTAGAATAGTATATATTCATGAAGCCTCACATCAGCATACCATATCTATCTGCGAGTTCCTGAACCTCTTCGCCATGATGAATTCAGGCATTGTCCATCACTAGGACACTGTTCCTTCCTGGGTAAGCTTCACAGTGAGGTAGCTATGACCAAAATTAGCATAATGAACAAAAACGTGACAGTCAAATTTACGACAGAGTGTTCAAGATAATGAAGATAGCCCGCTTGTCGTTGGGATCCTTCAACCACATGTCCAGCAATGACTCCATCAATCGTGAGGGCAGCAGTGATTGTGAAACGTTGACCGCGCACAAATGGACCTCTCATAGATGCCCGGCAACTCCTCTTTGCTCGACCATGTCTCCAAAACTGGGTTCGCTCATCCTTCGAAGTTTCATCAATGAATACAAGCTCGTGAGGCATGTATTGAGCCATTCGTCGTTTGAAATCTGCTCGAAGGGATTCATTTCGCTCACTCGCAATCTTTCGGAGCTTTTTCAGTGAGACTCCAGCACGTACGAGCTCCCAGTGGATGGTTGTGTAGTGCATAGCAACAAAACGATTACGTTTCATGAGAGCTGTAAGTTCGTTGAGGAACCAGTCCGGATGATGATGAACAAGCTCGAGAAGATACTGTAAGTCTTCGAAGTTGAGAGTCCGTGGACGACCAAGATATTCACTTCTGGGCTTGACAACATTGCCGGTCTCGTCGTGGAGCTTCTTGATGCGATAAAAGGTACGACGCGAGAATCCTACACAGTCCAAGATATCACTTAGCCGAAGTATGCCCTGCTCGTGAAGACAGATAGCTGCAAGCTTGAGATCGGCAGAGATTTTCCTGTTGCCCATGGATGCAAGCTCAAAGTTCGTAGCAGTGTTATGTAAATTTTCACTAAGTTCTTTTTCAACGCTCGTTGTTGTTATATGTTTTCAATTTGCACCAGTGCCATTATATTTGCACACAGCTGTAAAGACTATGGCGACATCTACTTATCTTCTGCAGACTGCTGGTTTTTTTGCTGATGTCTCGGCGATTGTGCGCGTTGACGGATTTCAATCGAAATCACAAGTTTCGTGCACTTTTCTCCATAATCATAATATTCCACGCTTGGTTGCTGTTGTTCGACAAGGCGTTGTGGTGGAATCTTCCTTAGGACCTGTTCGCGTGCCAACCGTCGATGGCTGGTATCTTTCGCGACAACCATTTCAAGCGGCTTATCTTCGTGGTTGCGACGTAATTCTTGGCTGTGATTGGTTGCAGTCCGTTCGCCCTGCTGTTTTTAACGGTCGACTTCTTTCTCCTTCTATCGATGCAGTAACGATTCTCGGTGTTGGTCACGAGTGGTTTTCTCATCCTAATGGTATGTTTGTCAAGTTCTGAAAACATTGTTCTAACTTTTCGTTTATAGGTTCTTCCAATGTGCGTGCATCACAAATTCAAGAAGATTCCTTTGCTACCCAAGTGGGTTCTTGCGCTACCCAAGTGGGTTCATGCTCTGATAACATTCAAATGAATACATGTTATATGCAAAGTTGTCAAGATCGAGGATCGTCATCGGCGTTTGACATTGAAGGTTATATATCTTGTCTGTTGCATTCAGGATCCGGATCTTGTACTTGTCCGTCGTTGAGTAATAATATTTCAGATTTACTCGACGCGCACGCTATTGTAAACCATGGTTTATCGTTTGAGAAAAGTGTTGATGTTCTTATGCTGCATGTATTCACAGGCTTGTGTGTGGGTAGCAACGGATCTCATTGCATCTTGTTAGCAAATGGTCGGACACATTCCACTTTGTTATTGAAAGCACTAGGTACTGTTGAATCTTGTCTACAGACTGTTCATCCTCTGTGGGAGAAAGTGCAAATGATCTGTCGAACGTTGAGCATCTCGACTTCTTGTAAAGATGCAGAACTCATTGAGGCACTGAAAGCTTATATTAAACATCAGCGAGAAGATCAATATTATCTAGTTGAACATTTTTTTGATGGGTATGAGCGACTATCGAGGAAGCAGTTAGGTACACTGGCTGTGGCACACGGTTTGTCTGTATCGAAAAATGTAAATGTGAATGCATTACATGAAATCATTGCAGAACATGTCAGAAGAGGACTATGCGCTTCTGATCGTGATTCAATATCACATGCCTGTGAGACAATGTGCACTACCTTCGATGTTGAACATCAAATGTCAGAAGACCGTGTTCGACAAATGCAGATATCTTTTTTGCACAGGGTTTGCAAATCGGCCAAGCGCTTACCTCTGCAACGTCTTTTGCAGACAAATGGAGTTTCATTTGAACAGAACACCAGCACCAGTCATCTGCGGCGAATTTTAAAGCAATATGTTAAGTCATTGAAAAAGGCGAAAAATGTTGCCAAAACTGTGAAAAACGTCGACGTTTGTGAAAAAATACATCGTGAATGGCCTACAATTCCATCTTCGACATTGAAGCAGCATGTTGTGGAGATGTTTAGATCAGAAACATCATCCGAGAAATTGCGGTCTGACACTTGTGCGTCGTGTGCTGAAAGTGTTTTGGTTTCTGAATTAAACATGGTTGAAACTACAGACCTTGATCTCTCCGTGTTACGTCGATCTGATGAGTTGCAAGGTGAACTTTCAGTAGAAGATGAATTTTGCTCTTCTACTGTGTTAAAAGGCCTCATGCTTGATCCGTCTGGTGTGCATGCAAGTGATAATGATGATCCAAATCCGCGATTATCTCTGTGTGCGTTGTGTTATCAAAGTCTGCGGAAGCATAAATGTCCTCCTTTGAGTCTTGCCAACAGAACTTACCTTGGGAAAGTTCCCGATGAGTTAAAAGATCTGACGGTGGTTGAGGAAGCCATGATTGCTAGGTGCCGGGCTAAATGCTGGATAGTGCAGTTAAAGGAAGAGAATCAAAACCTGCATGTTGAAACCAACCAACGAGGAATAAAAGGTCACATTATAATTTACCCTCAACAACCTGATGGTGTTGCCACTGTACTACCTCCAACAGTGGATGATATTGTGACACCTATTTGTGTGATATTTGTTGGCTCCACTCCTCCTTCTCATGCATGGCTTCAAGAAAAAGCAAAACCATTGATAGCTCGACGCGAAAAGGTTCGAGCCGCATTGGTCTGGTTAAAACAGCACAACTGTTCTTACAAGAACATCGTCATTGATCATGCACGATTGAACGCTATGGAAACTGAAACCATTATGCCATTTCATGTCAATCATGTTCTTCCTGATATCGGCAAAGACATTTTGACGTCAAGATACGATGCTCAAACAGATCACATCATGGTAGAAGATTGTGACAAGACTGACAGCCATCCACAGCCTGATCCTATTTTTGAGAGTGTAGTAGTAACAGATGTAGATGGACATGCTTCTCCAAATGAACTGCGTGCTGCTGCTGTACGTCATGTGAAAAATAAGAGCGGCGGGTACATACAAATCCCTCACGATCCTCAGCCGGTCAATGAGTTTTTTAATCCTGATTTGTTCCCTCTGATATATCCAACATTGTTTCCATATGGTGTTGGTGGCTTCGAAGATTGTTTATGCCGTGAACCTCTGTCAATGAAAAGGCACGTCAAACATTTGTTTAATCTTGCTGACCGTCGTTTCCAGGAGCATTATTCATTTCTGTTCACAGCATTCAGTGTTTTACAGCGACGAGAGATTCTTTTGCACACTTCATTGAAAGTCAAGCGTGATTGCTTTGGAGCAGTAGTGACGAACCTTACAGCTGTTTCACCTGAATTGATTCATCGTGTAACTGAACGTGTTGCAAGAGGTGACAGTATGACAACGCACAATGATGAAGAAAAAGCTGTGTTGCGTTTGTTGAGAGAAGTACAAGTCATCACTTCACACGTAAGAGGCTCCAGCAATGCCAGAATAAATATGAGAAATGAGATCCGAGGTTTAATGTGTGAAATGGGCCTACCAAGCTTCTATGTCACGATTAATCCTGCAGATGTATACAATCCTCTTGTAAAGTTCCTGGCTGGTGCGGAAATTGATGTTGACAATTTGCTACCAGAACAAGTACCGCGTTTTTGTGAACAAAGTATTCTTGTCGCCCGTAATCCTGCTGTGGCTGCAAAGTTCTTCAATCTGTATATGAAGGCTTTCATAAAGACTCTTCTAGGTTTCGATCCTGAACACACTAAAACTCACCATGAAGGCGTTCTCAGTATAGCGAAGGCTCATTATGGATGTGTTGAGGCTCAAGGCCGAGGAACACTACATTGTCACATGATGATTTGGCTAGAAAATGGATTAAATCCAAATCAGATTCGAGATTGTGTCCTATGCAAAAATGAAGAAGAATTCAAGAACCGTTTGTTGGCTTTCCTAGAAGACACCATCTCAACTTGTATACCTCCTGATAATTCAGAGGTTAATGTTCCTGCATCCACATTCCATCCATGTTCTGTTCGTGGAGTCCATTTTGAAGGACATTCAGATGAATATTTGCAAAAATTACGGCAGAAAGACCTTCATTTGTTGGCAAAAAAATGTCAAATCCACAAGCACTCCAATACCTGTTGGAAATACTGGAAAGGGCCCCCCAATCCAAAGGAATGCCGTTTCAACCTTGGAGAGGATCATATCGAGCCTATTAGTTTTGTTGATCCTGTAAACGGCGAGATCACGTTGAAGTGCCTGGATGGCCTGGTTAACCATTTCAATGCTACGATCTTAGAGGCTGTGAGATGCAATATGAACATTAAATTTATCGGTTCAGGTCCTACTGCAAAGGCAATACTATATTATATCACAGACTTCATAACAAAATCGCAATTGAAAACGCACGTTGCATTGGCTGCAATGGAACACGCTGCAAATAAATTAGAAGAATATGATCCTAATGATGATAATTACATGAGTCGAGCAAAGAAACTGCTGCAAAAGTGTGCTTATTCAATGATATCACATCAAGAATTATCTGCGCAACAAGTGTGCTCATACCTCATGGATTTCGAAGACCATTTTACCAGCCATGAATATCAAAATCTGTACTGGACCAATTTTGAAACATTGATCGACGGTTGTATTCCTAGCCCAGAATGTAAGTCACCCAGTGATACAACAGAAATGAAAGAAAACACTGTTGATGATCCAGATGATAAAAGTACGAGAGATGACTTGGAAAGATATGACGATACTGATGCTGAAATGACCGATGTGGCTCTTCAAAATATACAATCTAATGAGGACAAAATGTTTGTGGAACAACTGCATAATGATGAAGTTCGAGTTACCTCTAATGTTTCTGGCCAACTGGTTCCCAAAGGGACACAGGTGATGGATTACATCTATAGAGATAGGAAATGGTGATACCTTTCACTATGGGACTTTGTTGCACAAGTTGAAAAGGTGTGCAATATAAAGAAAAAGAAAGTCAATGAGAACAGTATTGATATGTCTGATAACTCAGAGGTGGAAGAAGAGGATATCACTAATACAAATACAGATGACCTCACAGAACTCACTACAATGAACGATAAAGAAAATGAAAATGCTGATGCACCGGAACTGATCCTGAATTGTACACGTCGCTCAAGACCTTCGGCAGACCTGCTCCCTGACCACTATGAAGCTCAAACCCATCACTTACGCATACGAACACCTGAAAAATGTCGCATTCCAGTGCCAATCGGACCAGCTTTACCACGCTGAGACAGACCTGCGATGTATCCGAAGTACTGTCGACTGATGCTCATTTTATTCAAACCATGGTGTGTTCCTATGGATTTAAAACGGGATGATGAACTCTGGACAGATGCCTTTACACAATTTCAGTGCGACTGCTCGCAACATGTCACAGACTTACTAGACAACATGCAAATCCTGCATGAATGCAAAGACAGCCGAGATGATCACTTTGCGAACCGTCAGCTTCGTCATAAGCTTGCTGGAATTTCCCAAGATATCATGAGCTCATCACATGAAAATGAAGATAATTTCCTAGCACAAGATACCGACGAGGACATCCTCACTCATTTAAACTCTATAGATTCTTGCCATTCTATCCATCAGGATGCACTCAATGATGATATCATATGTTGCTTGCAACACACACAGTCATGTAACCTGTTCAAAAATGCTTTTAAAGACATACAAGATGAAGATTTCACACTTGGGGAAGAATTATTGTCGAGTGATCTTCCTTTAAATCAAGAATCCACTTGGCGTGATTGCTATGACAAACGACGAGCAAATTGGAAGAAACAAACTCGATCGGAGAACACTGACCATCAGACCCAAGTGAATGTGTCAAATGAAATTAGACACGCAGCGTCCATTCAATCCATCGATTCAGCATTTTTACCACAAGTATCCAGCGCATCTATACAGTCAGCTTTTGAATTTGCAAATTCAGCAGATCAATACCGCGATGTAAACATTACTGATTTCACCACAGACTGGAATCTCAATGAAGAACAACGGAGAGCTTTCTGCTTGATCGCAGAGCATAGTTACCTATCCAACCCAGATCCACTTCGAATGTTTCTTGGAGGACCAGCTGGTACTGGTAAATCTAGAGTCATCAATGCCTTGAAAGCGTTTTTCATACAAAGGAACCAAGGCCAACGGTTTAGACTAGCATCCTTCATGGGTGTTGCCGCTCGTAATATTTCTGGAATGACCTCACATTCTGCACTATTACTCAACCAACGCAAGTCATCTACAGCAAACTCGAAAACTAAACGAGACCTCACTGCGATGTGGGAAGACGTCCATTATCTTTTCATCGATGAAGTCTCCATGATTAGCTGTGATTTCCTCGCAAACATCAACGATGCCTTGACTGATGCCAAAGGAAATACTTCGCCCTTTGGAGGCATAAACATCATTTTTGCTGGAGACTTTGCACAATTATCTCCGGTCAGCGGTAAACAATTGTATGCTCACATCAATATTAACGGATGTGGAACATCGCGTGGTCAGCGCAAGATCTTCAGACGTTTGCTATGGTTGTTGATCAAAACTGTGGTCTTATTAAAAAAAATTGTACGCCAAACGGGTCCAGAAAATGAACAGTTCATCAATTTACTAGCTCGCCTGCGAGAGGGTAGATGTACAGCAGAGGATTATCAGCTCTTAAACTGTCAAGTTTTGAATCCCGGTTCACCTGTTCTTGAATCTCTCCTATGGAAAGATGCACCGATTATTGTATGTGACAATCAAAGCAAAGATGAATTAAATATCCGCATGACAGTCGCGTTCACAGAAAAAAGTCGCCGTCCCATGCACTGGTACCATTGTACCGATAAGCACCTCGGGAAACCACTCAATGATGAAGCGCTAGTGCAAAAAATGCAGGCATTGAACTCTGGAAAGACAAACATGCGACTGGGAAAAATACCTCTTGTGTTAGGTATGCCTATCATTGTGGCGCAAAACTTTGACGTTGAGAGCGGCATTGTCAATGGCAGCACAGGCACACTAAAAAAAGTCAGATATACGACAGACGACAATGGATGTAGACATCTCAGATCATGCATAGCGGAAATCCCAAACACCTCAAATGAGCCCCTTCCAGGATTAACAGCACATCAATTCCCTATTCTTGAAGATACCACAAGCCTCCGATTCAGCCATCCTATGTCACGCAAGACTTGTCTTATCACCAGAACTCAAGTTCCCGTGCTGCCAGGTTTTGCCATGACCGCACATAAAGCTCAAGGTCAAACTTTATCGAAAGTCATTGTGGATCTAGGATCCAAATGGTGCAATGGCGCAGAAAAGCCATATGTAATGGTATCGCGAGCCACCTCACTAGAATCTTTGTTCATCCTAAGACCTTTCAACTACAGTACCATCTGCTCTCATCCCTCTCAAGATGTCCGACGGGAAATGCAACGACTTGAAATATTAAACCTCAAAACCATCTTAGAAGACCATCATTCCACTCAAGAACAGAAAGAACAAGCAGAAATGAACCTGCCTGTCCTTTCAAATCCCATAACGGCCGATATCTCTCCTCAAATCAATCCAACAGATATGCTATGACAAGTTCAAAAGTCTATCACATGTTTAGACAGTTCCGCTCGCTCAAGTGGGCCTCATCAAGATTCTAATGAGTTGTCCAGACGCCACAAGAAACGCAAGCACCATGCGAATTCTTCTGAGGCATCGACGACCAACAATCTCAACAACCTGGACAACTCAGCGAACACATCAGCCACTCCACGGAGGATCAAACGACGCAAATTCACCAAATAACCGCTGACTTCACTGGCTCTGACAAACATGACGCAAGATCTCCGTCATTCATGACGATCATTCTCGTTAACTATTTTAACCATTGCGAATTGGCCTCCTAATTTACTCATCACTCCCCACCATGTCTGACTGCGACGAATTTGACCACAAATGTTTTCTGCAACGCTCCAGAGATGGTCTTTACGACCGCATCGCAGACGCCATGGATGAACTCGGAAAAGATGCCTTTGCTGAGGCAGATTTCGGAGATGACTGGGTACAGGCCATTAAGGACGACAGGAGTGGCAGCAATTGGTCTTACGTTAACAAGAATGACGGTCGTCCATTCCTAACCAACATTGTCGGTGAAATCACCTCATCATCCTTCGGCACAAAGCACAGCGCAAAAGGAACGCACTTCAGTAAAAATGTATGTCTTCACTCATCGTACCGTCAATGTCTCTGATTCACACACCACCCAGAACAAACCGATGGAAGACGGAGATACGGTAAAATGGAAGTGGGGCCTAAAGAAACCTACCCAATGTGGAATCAAACTCGGAGACATCTTTGAAAATCAACTGACCTCAGTGGAAGACTGGCACATCGCAGAAAAGAAAAACATTCCAGCCGTCAGTCTGATTCTAATGTTCCTTCACATTCCTTTTTCACACTGACGCATTTTAGGGGGCTAAAATCAACGAATGCACCATCAAAGGTAAACCCGACCTCCAATATCCCGACATCATCATCATCACCACTGCACAACGCATCTACGATGTACGTCTTCAACAACATCTAATGATCTAAACTCACATTTCATAGAAACCTAAACCCACAGCAAACGATAATACACAAACGATCCCACGACGCACCAAGCGCAAAGCGCAAAGCAGCCGACGATAGCACTAGCACTGCTCAACCATCGACTTCAGCTTCCACCTCTACCATGCCAAACATAATGCAAAACCTACCGCCTACTACAGGTTCGTCTCGTCAAACTGACACGACAAGAAAATAACTGACGACAAAAAGTCTGCGAAGGAGCATTCTATGATCCTCAAATGCTACCTGATCACCGAGGAGACTACTTCAGACTCAAAGAATACAAACTTCAGCAACTCAATGTGTTTGACACGCCCGAAAACGACCACAAACTCATTCCAACGTACGAAACTTATGACAAGCTTCGACCTGGCACGTTGATTCTCGCGGTTTGCGAAGCACATGTGTTCAACATGATGCAAGGTGGAACGATGACCAGCGTACGCATCCCTTATCTATCACCATTCGCATCTACTAAATAGACCAATGTCAGACATTCCAACTCAGCGTGCGCGCTATCAGAATCCTTGCTCATTCAGATGTCGCTATCGAAAACCGTCCGATTCCCATCCTACATAACCCTTCTACTTCTCTATCACGAAACGATCCGACCGTGGCTGCATTCTCCGCGTTCAATATGGGGGCCAGTCCTTCAAAGAAGACTAAAACTAAGCAAAAAAAAGATTAGCGTTCCAGTCTCCTAATTCCGTATTCGAGTCTCCTTGATTCAACTCTCCTAGTTCCTTATTGAGTCTCTTTGTTCCACGTACAAGTTGCCTTGTGCCGTGTTCGAGTTTCCTCTACTTTGCTACATATTACTTTTGTATTATATGTACGATGCGCGTATCATTTGCTTTTAATCGAGACAAGTTGAATCTAACCTGCAACTCAAATTTACAACCGCTGCAATACGAACATTAAGAAAACCTACTCCAGGGTCTGTTCAGTTCCAGCCCGAATCATCATAACCACCTTCACTGGTCGTGCCAAGATGCCACACATTCCCTGCTTCAAGTGCTTCTTCCGCGCGCTCGACACCCTCTCAAATCATCTCAGCGAGATCATTCATATTCATCAACGCATCCGCTCGGATATGTCGATCGTACCCGCCACTTTCATTTACCGTCTTTAGGACCAGTTCACCCGCTGTTGGAGTGAACATAATTCAGGAACGACCGCGAGAGGGGATCTAAGGACAAGACATTTGGGTCTCCAATCACGATGAGCAGAGCCTGCGCTCCAGTCACAGCAACTGAGAGAAATATGAACATCAATCATGCAACAAGCGACAATCCACCAACCATTGAAGCGCCTCGGGTTCTATGCAGAACACATTCAACAGCACTCCTCAGAAGGCTGCAACACTTGGGTATTAATCTTACCGCACAAAGCATTATCAATTAAAAATAGCGCTACAAGAATAGTTACAATATAGCACGAAGGACAAACGCACCTTGAAAAGCAAGCAAACATTTGAACTCAACGCTCGTTTGAGCATTGCAATAAGCAAAATAGAGTAAGAAAGCCACGATGGGAGGGGTGTATCACTTCGGGGCGGACGCGACCAATCACAGCCGTTTTACCGAATTACTGGTGCCTTTTCATGATTTATATATCGCAAGATCGTTCGGCTCATATTACGTTCGGCTCGCATTGAGCAATCGTCCGATGTGAACAATTTTTGGTCAAGCATGCTCCATGCATTTCCACATGACGCGTATATCACGTGAAAAAACAAACGTAGCGGGCTCTGCCGCGCGCGGCCCTTCGCGTTATCACCTATCGCATACTATGCATTCAGCTTTTCAAATAAATGACTCCCCCTATGCGAGTTCGACGCACCAATTTCATATTTGGTCTAGCACTTCCGAAGACTCCGCCATCAAGCTCTGGGCCTTTGATTACCGCCAGCTCCTCGCTTCATTCGACGACGTTCGAAATCCCTATCGCATTAGTATTCTCTCACCCGACTCACTCCAACTGGCTGATACCACTCGGATGTCATTGTTGGCACTGACTCTGAGGATATAGCTGGAGATGGTTCACGTAGTATGGGCAGTCGAGGAGGTTATATTAGTACAACTCGCGCTTACATTTGAGGGTATTATACAATAGAGGTATTAGTAGTCCGCAGAGATACAAATACAAAGGGTACCCAAATCATCATCTCATAACCAAAACAGCACGAGCCAAGTCTAAATAAGACTGACTCTCGTGCGCACGAGCCCTCCACGCCAATTCCGCATCCCCGCACTGCGGTGGTGCGACCAGTCCCCCTGCATTCGCGCAAAGGCATCCTGGATGTGTTCAGGCCGCAGAGCTGTCCTCGCTTCTGGCGGGGGCAAAAACAGGGAGCTCGTAGGTAGCGGTGCCTCTTCCTCCTCTTCCTCCTCTCTCCTCGCACGTTTGTCTCGCTGTTCCCCTCGCCTGTGTGAGTGGTGCGACTTGCGCTTGCCGAGGATGGGCGAAGTGCCCGGGTAGTCGTCCCGTAAATATGATTCTTCAAGGGATTTTTTGACGTCGAGGCCTGCGAGCGTAAGGGAGCGCACCATTTCGAATGCGAGGAAGCCGACGATATCGACAGTGTCGTCGTTGGCTTTGAGGTCCAGGTGAGGGGGGAGGTTGAGGAAGTCGCGGAAGCGCTTGGCTAGTTGTTTGACACGTCAGTAAATTCTAGCCACCGAGCGCATGAAACGGCTGCACCTTTTCGATAAGTGAATGATGCCTGTCTACAATCTGAATAATGTTGGTACTCTTCCCTCGTCATTTGCCGCGTGGCATCATCAGCTTCCTTGAGGCGCTGTATACTTGCTTCATGCGCCTCAATATCATCTTCATCCTCTTCGTCGTCAGACTGGTGCCCAGATTGCCGGAGCACCTCACTGTAGATCGTTGAAATCTCCCAGGGAAGCTTAATAGTGATCTTTTGCGCTTTAGTCGTTAGTTTATCTGCGCGGATATTAGTAGACCAGTAAAAACATTAAGGGAATACAAACCATCAGCACCATCCTCGAGCGTCTCAACCTCAACACCACCACCTCCATCACCACCCGAGTCTTTGGCATGTTTGCGAACGTCCTTCCACGAAAGATATGTCCGAAGACGGTTGACCTTGCCGCGGTCGTGGCGAATGAGGAAGATGAGGTCCTCTGCGGTGATGTAGCGCACACCACGGCGATTTGCGTGGAGGCGAGCTTGCAGGATCTAAAGTAGCACATTCCATCACACATGGATATTATCGTTCAAGTACAAGGTGACTCACAAGTTCGATGAGCTGGCTGCGCACAATATCCTCGACGAGGTTTACTGTCTCTGGATTTGGGTCTTGGATCTCGCCAAAGACAAACATCTACAACTATTCCGTCGCACATGACCATGTCATTTACACGAGGAATGACATACCATCTGGGATATCTCCTGTGTGTACTTGTAGTCACGATTGGTGCCATCCGAGGGTTTCTTAGCCGCTACCGGTGCTGGAGCAGGCGGCGCGGCTGGTGCTGATGTTTGTGTGGGCGCCACGGTGGGCAGAATGACTTTAAGCTGCTGGTGGTAAGCGGTTGATAAGCTTTTCCCGGAGTTGTCCCGTGGGTCTTGCTAATCTTAAATCGGTGTTGCAATCACTACGCCATATCCCATCTCAAATACAATGGCTTGTTCATCCACAATTTCGTGTTTTCTTCTTTGTAAATACATACTGGTCCTCAGTGGAACTTTTCATTGTCTCAAACGCCATGGCCAACCAATTCAGCACCCCGCTTGAGCTACCACTCAGCGCAGAAGCGCTTACAGCTATCAACGCCCACCTCTCCCAGCTTTCTCCACAAGACATCCTCGCATGGGCACTCGCACACCTACCCGCTCTCTACCAGACTACCGCTTTCGGGCTCACTGGACTCGTCGCCCTCGACATGCTTTCCAAGTCAGGCCACCCGATCCCGAAACTTATTTTTCTGGATACGCTGTACCACTTTGCGGAAACATACGAGCTCGTACAGCAAGTGCGGGAACGCTATGCTGTCGATATACAGGTGTACAAGCCCGAAGATTGCAACACAGTTGCAGATTTTGAAAAGAAGCACGGCGAAGAGTTGTGGGTGAAAGACGAAGATACCTACGATTTTGCGGTCAAGGTCTGTTGCTTATCCTGAGCTTCCTGTAAGTAGCTGAACTTAATTTCCTGCAGGTTGAGCCTGCCCAGCGCGCCTATCAAGAGCTTGGCGTGCGTAGTGTCATCACGGGCCGGCGTAGGTCTCAGGGCGGTGATCGCGCTTCCCTTCAGCCACTTGAGGTTGATGAAACTGGGCTCCTCAAGCTAAACCCGCTCTTTTCGTGGTCTTTTGCGCAGGTTGATGCATACATCCGCGAGAACAATGTTCCGAGGAATGAGCTGCTCGACCAGGGTTATCGCAGTGTTGGTGACTGGCATAGCACGCAGCCCAGTCGTGAGGGCGATGGCGGCGAGCGTGCTGGGAGATGGGCAGATAAGGGAGAGAAGACTGAATGTGGTCTCCATAAGAACTTTTTTGAGATGAAATTGAGAGCAAAGGTATGCTATTGCTGGGTGACATGAATGTGATGCTGATCTTGTGTTATTAGCTCGAGGAGCAACGTACACTAGCGGAAGAAGCAAAGACTGCTTCAGAGGTAGCCGCCCCTCCTGCATAATTAATTTAATGGTGTAACGATGCTAAGTCTTGAATATGTATCTGTCCATTTCTCGGTATAATCGATGGTGCGTGGGCTTGAGAGTCTCTTCACCAGTTATCTTGTGACCAGGACGATGCGTTGGTGGTGCGTAGATCTATTTCTCAAAGCTCGGGGTATCTGACGAACCCAGGGTCCGATTGTCCGGGAATTACAGCCCACTGGCTTCTATCTGTCAACTATAAACTTAGTATACGCGTTCTTGACGTCTGATTTCCTGCAAGGTCGAGGGGGGATCCCACACATGTCAAATTGTGGTCTTCGCTGTCACAAACCTCATGTTTGTGCCCTGGGCTTTACGCCACGATAAGTCGTGCAGGCGCTCACCGACAGCGCCCAGTGATGGTTTCTTTCAGTTTGCCATAAGCACCAAGCTAAGAACAGTAGTATACCTGATCATATGATGCAGCAGCCAGCCTCGCTCTATTCATATCCCATAATACGGGTTCCGGCACGACAGGCCACGTACTGATGGATCTCGCTGATAAACGCCGCTATTCAGGGTACATTAGGTTCAAGTCGTTGTTCCCATCCTCATATAGGCAGAAGGCGCCGGCTCGGAGGTTAACAACGTCACTCTCTTCACTCTCTTCTCTCAACCTCCAACAGCACCATGTCTATCAAGTATGTGTGTTTCAGTAGCTACTGGCTGAATATTCTCTCTCGAGTTCCTAACGTTCGTATGTTACTGTCTGACAGTCCACCATGCATACTCCGTCCAACGTTCGATGAGGGCAATCCGATTCCCCCGCTACCTGATATCACGACAGAGAGTATTCTGACGCAAGTTTTCACGCATCGTTCGTATTTTGGACGCCCAAATCATGTCTTCGAGGACCACCATCTGGATCCAAGTCCAGATAATGAAAAGTGAGCAAAGTTCTTCATTTGACACTGGCCTGTGCTCCTGTCTATACCGAGCTTTTCTAAGGGTGTTCGTGCATGAATGAATGCTGATCCGTTCTGCAGGTACGAGCATCTTGGGGACACCGTGTTAGGTTTGGTCGTGACCAATCTCCTGCTGGAGATGTACCCCAACTTGCGCGTTGGACCGTCTACGGTACGCTTCATTTCTCAACGGGTGCTAAAGATGCATACCCATTACGTCCTCAGAAAATCAGAGCCTTGGTGGTAGGAAACTCAACGCTTGCTGACATCTCGCGCATGTACGAGCTTCCGTCAAGACTGCGCCTGCACGCTGCTCAGGCAATTACTTTGCGCGCTTCCGTCAATATCCAGGGTACGTCTCCGCTGCCCTTCATAAGGCAAATTACTAAGCGAAGTTTTTCCAGCTGACGTCTTCGAAGTATGTTACCTCTTGGTGCCTGAATGAATGAATGCTGACGCTCCGCTGGCAGTCCTACGTGGGCGGGCTCTATCTCGAACAGGATCTCGCGGGCGTGGAGCCATGGCTCAAAGCCTTGTTTGGGCCCTATGTCACTGAGGCTTACAAACGTGTGCGCGAACAACATCGTCTCCCGCCCCTTGAACCGGCTGCGCTTGTCGCACCTGACACAGTTCTAGCCTCACCCCCGCCCTCGCCTCCCCAGCACCGGTCCAGCGTCAACCCCACGACCATAGGCCACCTCGCGTTGTTCAATCAGCAGCTGCAGAAGGCTAATAGAGTGGTTGAGTGGATCTACGCCGACGGTACTGGCGAAGGAACCAAGACAACCCCAATCTGGATTGTGACATGTGAAGTAGACGGTGAGGTTTATGGTCACGGACAAGGTGGGACAAAGAAAGCGGCCCGGAACGAGGCCGCCAAGGAGGGTCTCAAGAAGATGGGCATCGAAGTCTAATAGCTGAGGCGGGTGAGTGCTTTTGCTGTTGGGCTGTTTGGTCAAGAGCTGGGTCTAATTTAATTGGTCCATACAACAGGCTTTCAGCACCATCTCTCCAGACTTGCGCTGGCTGGAGATCTATTCTCCTATTGGTCGCATCCTCGGCCTGCGCTAGTGTGTAGAGGTTGTGCGTGAGATGTTGCGTCAACATGAACGTCATTTGCTGTTTCACTGTTTTGATTTCTGAATTTCTTGAGTTTGGCTTCTTGTATTCGTCCAGTTTGAAAGGCGCTAGATTGAACGAGAGTGTTCATACATGTATGTGCTAAATGGTCTACTGTTAGATGCATATTATATCCTTGTACTATGCTGTGGAAATACTTCATCAATGTTGTCGTACTTCCGATTTTCTGAAAGCGAGTTACCTGGGGCATTATCTGGAAGGGAAATGAAAATCCAAGGACCTGCAAAACCTCTACACCGAATCGCGGAGTCTCCCAATATTGTCTACCGGAGGCGCACCCCAAATGAGTGTCTTCCGTGATGGGTCCAACAAGCGGGGGAAGTGCCTCTCGAGAATAGGCACTAGCACACCTCGATGTCTCGACGACATAGTAGCTGCCGTGACCAAGTCCACAGGTACACTGCCCGAAATCTGGGTCGCTACTACTTTTGCCTCGTCCACCATGGGAACCTTGACGTCCTCCACAACTGTGGTCCCCGCACGCATTAGCGCCCGCGCCTCCTCATCAACGTCCGAGAAATCGTCTTGTTTCACAGCGCTAATGGAATACGCCCATACGCCGACGCCGAAGCCTGCGAGGACGAGGCCAGTGAGGGCGTTTCGAAAGCGGAAGGGTGCGCGTGCGCGCTGGAGGCCGGGAGACATGGTCTGTGAGTATTACATGTCAAGAGAGCTTTATTTTCGGATGCGCTTGGTTATATGGATGCGACGTACATAACTGCGTGGTCGATAGGATGTAGCAACCGTCTTTTTTGATACATATTGCTCGTCTGCCATCGTGATCTGTCGGATGGGGTTCGAGTTCCAAAGTACGGTAATGTTACTGTTGAGCACAAATGAGCAAAAAAAACTTTCGATTCCAATGTTGCGGACCGGGACCAAGTGCTGTTCTAACCTTTGAGTTCTTCCGTGGTTGGCTGCTATGCTCGGCTCAAACGTATAGCCACGCCTCGAGCTCGTTGTCCCAGAAATTCTCACCGTTCGAGATATTTGAGGAATTCATGAGGTCACTCGATCACCTGACCGCAACTTGAACCAAATGTGAACGGGCCCGGGCTTCCCTTGCATCCACGAACGGCCTGCCACACAAGGAGGAATCAGGATGGTTCCGCAACCCCTGCCATTCTCTCAGGCACTAAGAGGGCTAGTGAAAGCTCCAATTGCAACCAGACAGTCCAGTCGCTCGAATCCCAGTTTGTGGTACAGAATGGCTAGCACGAACGCAAATATCGTAAGTAGCTCATGAATGGGCTTGGAAGTTTGAAGTTGTTGATTCTCCTTCGAATTAGTGGGGTCTGCAGGACCCATCTTTGATAAAGCAGCAAGCTTACATCGATGGAAAGTGGGTGAACGCACAGGAGGGCGGAACCATTCTTGTTACCAGTGTGTTATCTTCTTATAAGTAATATACGACCAGTTAACTCAGAGACTCGTTTTGCAGACCCTGCAACAAATGAGGAGCTTGGCACTGTTCCCGAGATGGGTGTTATGGAGGCGAAGTCAGCCATCGCGGCTGCCGGGAAAGCCTTTGCGTCATGGGGCAAAACTACGGCCAGGGTTCGTAACTTATCATCTATGCTGGCACATACTGACGGACACCCTGCACGACAGCACCGTCATGACATTCTGATAAAGTTCTATAGTCTAATGCAAGAACACAATGATGACTTGGCAAGGATTATTGTGCGTGTTTTACTCTATAAGTCGTTGTTCGCCTCAAGCTCTTTGACAGACACTAGAGAATGGCAAGACTTTGTCGGAAGCAAAGGTAACAGTGACTGGCCGTCCCCCAGTATCAAACTAACACTTTGAAAACAAGGGCGAGAATGCCTACAGTGCATCCTTCATGGAGGTAAGTCAATGTTGGTTTAATCGAGTTATGTGATTACATGGATTCGCAGTGGTATGGTATGTTTGTGCGCCAGACGGCTTGAACCTCCATTCTTATGTTTTATCTCAGCCGAGGAAGCTGTCCGAACTTACGGAGGTAGGTCTTCGCCATTTCAAAGAGCTCACGCACTGATCATGTTTACTAGAACACATACCTTCGCCTTTCACCAACATTCGAAACGTTGTGATTAAGCAACCTGTCGGTGTTGTGTGAGATATTTTCATGCGCACCTCCAATATTTCATCTCACAAGCAAGCACATTAGCTCAATTTTTACCCCGTGGAACTTCCCTTCTACCATGATCGCGCGAAAATTGGGTGCCGCACTCGCAGCAGGTTGTACAGCTGTTATAAAGCCTCCACCTGAAACACCGTTTTCAGCTCTTGCGCTAGCTGAGGTAGGAGTTTCACGCAAGCCTCGTGTCATTTTCTTACCGTCGTTGCTATTTCAAAGCTCTCTCGTCGTGCTGGTGTCCCAGACGGCGTCATCAACATTGTTACCACTCAGAAGAACATTATTGAAGTCGGCCGCGAGATGTGCGAAAGCAAAATAGTCAAGAAGGTGTCGTTCACTGGATCGACGCCTGTCGCCAAGAGCTTGTATGGCATGGCTGCCTCCACACTCAAGAAGTAAGCATCACCCAGATACCCTTTCATGTCTATAAATATGTTCTCCAGGATTTCCATTGAGGCTGGCGGGAACGCGCCTTTCATTGTCTTTGACGATGCTGACATCGATAAGGCTGTTGAAGGTTGGCGCAGGAAGGTTTTCCGAACCCTTTCCAAGCTAATCCATCTTTAAGGGGCTATCGCATGCAAGTTTCGTGCTTCAGGGCAGACCTGTGTCTGTGCGAACCGCATCTACGTCCAGTCTTCAGTCTACGCCGATTTTGCTTCTCGACTCGCTGAGAAAGTAGCCGCGTTTAAAGTTGGAAATGGCCTGGATGAAAACACGTCGGTATAATGCTCCGAATGATCTCCGCTGCTTACTCACCCATTTACAGGACGCACGGCCCTCTCATTCATGAGAGAGCAATCTCGAAGGTTACACGACATGTGGAAGATGCTGTTGCTCGTGGTGCTCAAGTGTTGGTTGGTGGTAAACGTGTCGATGGCACGGGAACTTTCTTCTCGCCTACAGTCCTTTCTGAAGTGCCCGCTGGAGCGCTTTTCAATGTCGAAGAAACATTTGGGCCGGTTGCAGCTCTGACGAAATTCGAGACAGAAGAGGAGGTAATCGCCCTCGCAAATGACTCGGACGTGGGCCTTGCTGGATACTTCTTCAGCCGAGATGTGGGGCGTGTATGGAGGGTTGCGGAGGCGCTCGAAGTTGGTATGGTCGGCACCAACACTGGGTTGATCAGTCATGCGACTATTCCTTTCGGTGGCGTGAAAGAGAGCGGCATTGGTGAGTTTTTCATTCTTCCTCTTCTGCCGATACTGAATGCTTGATGCGTAGGAAGGGAGGGAGGCCACGGTATCGAGGAATACTTAAATCAGAAGCTCATCGCATTTGGTGGCATCTGAAATGACAAACTTGTGTACACAACTATGTATCAACTTTTGTACATGACTGTATCATATCCGTTACCTGCTGGTCAATTCACGAGAAAAAGAACAAGGTGATATATACATAGTTACATATCTACAACCTCGCCGAATAACGACCCTCCTCGATGACAGGGTTGACGAGTGTGCCAATACCGTTACCCAACCATACTCTGCAGTCATCACCGTTCTTTAGTACAATGGCAGGCTTCCTGGCGAAACCAACACCCTTAGGTGTTCCGGTCAAGATGACCGACCCCGGCTCGAGGGTGGTTGCCTGCGAGAGGAAAGAGACCGTTTGCCGGACATTGAAGATTTGGTCGCTAACAACAATCATCAGCTGAGTATGTGCTCTCTAGTGCATGGAGAAGTATTACCTGCTGTTACCGTCCTGGAGAACCTTTCCATTGAGTACGCACGTCAGGGCGATGTCCTGGGGGTCGGGAATGGCGTTGTTTGAAACGAGAACAGGACCAAGGGGGGTAGTGTTGTCTGTCAAGTTCATCATATGAGGCCAAATCTTATATTGTCCGTGACAAATAACTTACCGAAACCTTTGGAGAATCCCCACTGGGAAGTTGTCAACTGATGCTTGCGGAATGATACCTGTTGTTATATGAGACCAGGCAACATGAAAGCCATAGCGTAGGGCTTACATCATTGGCGCCAGTGTACCCGAGGACGTAGTCAAGAGCGTCCGCCTCAGACACGTCCTTGGCCGTCTTTCCAATAACGATGGTGAGTTCCACCTCGTAGTCAGAGAGGTGCTCTTCGACAGGTTGCGCAACCTTGGGAATGAGGATTGGTGCGTTGGGGCCGATCATCGACGCCAGGGGCTTATAAAACAAGATGGGGGCGCTATGACCACAATGTTTGGATTTTTAATAACAGATTGAAAAACTTCAACTTACGCAGGCTTAGCCATGTTTGCCTCTGCCTGTTTGTGGTTTCCGTCAAGATTATACCACATGACTTAATAACAACAGGACTTACTGCGTGGTCGGAGTAGTTGAGACCCAGGCACCGAACGACCTTCATCTCTTCGCGAGAGAGAGGAGAAAGGAGCTTTTCAACTGTCAGGATGTTGCTTGTAACTTGGGCGGAAGGGTCAAGGGCGGACCCGGAAATCTCATAAGCTCTGATGGTCTGTTTGTTCCATGAAGCAAGGCCAACTGCGCGTAACGATGAATATGTAGCGAAAGAGGAACAGAATATGTTTGCAATTTACCATCAAGTCTAGGGTCAACCGGCTGTCCGATGTGGACTTGTGCAGTCTCTACGGCGACAAAGCGGATGAGACGCGTCCATTGCTGTAGTAGCAATGCCACTGTGTGAGCATACAAATGCAACTGAACAGATATCTGCTACACGCACTGTTCGGATGGGTGCCATGATAGTCAATGACGAAGATTGCGGGGTCTGGGAATGCGCACCTACTAAGCGTAGAACTCGTCACTTACTTGTACCCTCCCGGTGGGAGGCTTCACGCGGTCGTAGTAAATTGGGGTAAATGCGCTCCTCCGAATCTCCGCGTCACGCTCTAGTCACGTGGCAGCGACGCGGTTACTTTTAGCACCAATTTGACACCCATTGATAGACCCAACAACTCGTCCACGAGGGAAGCCTTAGGAAGCCACAATAGAATCATCTCTTCATCGATGTCGTCTACAGTGAGCTCGATGAAGACGACACTGCAGGATGCTTTGGACGATGTGAGTAACGGGTTTTTTTCTTCGACATGTGTTCGGTTAGTGATGGCTGTTTACCACTACAGGTAGCCTCGACACGCTCATCGTCTGGAAGGCGAAATCGAGCTCTAGCTGTTCTTGAGCAGCAGCTTGCGCTTGCATGTGTGCAGTCATCTAATGATGATACATTAGAAACGTATGTGAACCTTCAAGACGACTTCGAATGCAATGGTGGGGAGCACAACCCGACCTGCTGCGTACCTGTCTAATCCGAATACAGTTCCGTCCCGGATTCTGGGCTGGATACAATGTACGACGCCTCAGCTAGAACTGTGCGCAAGCAAGAGCTCCACTAGTGATACACATGCCTTTCCTTCCGAAATGTCGCAGCTGACTGAATCACAGAGGAGCGTGATACTGAAATGAATACCTCATGCGCTCAGTTATGCCAAGGCTTGTCAATAATACAAGGAGTCTCCCTTCACCACAAATCAAGCAAATCCTTTCTGGGTCGTCGATTCTCCCTCGAGGTTAGCTGTGTTTGATGTAGTGATGTCTTTGAGATGTTTAAACCTCATCATCTATCACAGATCTTGATCGAGTTATTGCTTACTTCTCGACATACACCCATCATTGATGCCTCTTCGGGGGAAAATAATTCCCGATCGCCAGAAAAACCTGCGCCTGTCCTACATTTAACTTCTGCTGTCTTGGATACTTTACTATGCGTTCTTGTTGATTCTTCTCCAGCGCTACGTGCTTTTGAGGAAGTGAATGGGATCCAAGCAGTGGTGAAGATCCTCAAACGAGCGGGAACACCACGCGAAGTCAGGTGGGTTTTCCGGTCCATCTGCTATGCAATCACTGAAATAGCTGCAGAATGAAATGCTTGGAATTCCTCTACTTTTATTTGATGGATGAGACTCCCGCCCACCCACAACCCGACGAAACACACTCACTACCCTCCTCCCCCGTTACCACCCGACCTAGCACACCTCTTCGACCTCCTGAAACAAAGATGTTCGCTTGTCCTGTCTCTGGCCCCTCGAATATCTCCTTTGCGTGTTCCTCCACCAGATCCTCATCAGGTTCATCCTCATCCTCTTTCTTCTCCGCGTCCTCATTTTCATCCACAATTACAACCACTAGCATCGAGAGTATTCGTGCACCTTCGCCTATCAAGAAGTCCTATTCTACCTCCACTTTCACTTCATCGGACCCACGCACTCCTCCTAATTCACCGCCTTCAAAAATATCCGGTGCTAGAAAAATACCTGCGCCACTACAGTCACGCCCAATGCTCATGCTACGGAAGGAAGTGGATTATGAGCCGCTGAGCCCCAAGAAACCCAGAGGGTTCCGACCAGGTCTCGGAGTCACTGATACACCTAGCGCTGTCACGCCTTCCGTGTCACGTTTTCGAGAGACGATCAACAGCAAGACCTTCTCATCAGGTCGCGCTGAGGATGCAGAGGCGCGGTCAAGCAGGCACGACCGCGTGCGGACCACAGATGAGAAGAAAGAAATCTTAGGGAGTATGCTGGGGAATGTGGATGCTCTCGTCGATGGTGTGCGAAAAGCCGGCATATGGGGGCTTGGCTAATTCACCTGATGCGGGACCTCGTACCAGACATTATGCATTCAAAAGCTTGCAGAATGTAATTTGGTGGTACTACAATGCTGACATGGTACACTGCTGCCGATACGGACGCTAAGTTGTTGATTAAAAAGCGGATTGGGGCAAACTCCGTCAAGAACTTCTCCTGCGCACGGACAACAACCTTGACGTGGTCAAGGGAAAGTGGTTCCTTTCTGTGTCTTCTCATGAGTAACAGGGAAGCGAACACACAATAACGCCTACGCAGAGAGTGCTAACGCCTGAGCAGTCCGGACAAGGTTCTTGATGGTTCGTCCTGGAAACTATATTTAATATCAGGTAGGCAGGTTGACAAGAGCATACTGACCATTGAACGGCTTTTGCCCCAGTGCCTCCAAATCTGAGAGGGAGACATAAAAGTGTGGCTCCTTGCCGTCGACGTCGACGAATCCTTCAGACTCTGAGCCCCACAGTGGACACTCACACCCAGCAAGCTCGAAAACTTTAACCAGATTGTAAGCCGGGCCGAGGCATCCAGCTCGGGATATTTGATCGCTGTTATATCAAATTTATTTCAACCTAATGATATAAACAGATATAACGAACTGATGCAGAACCTCGAAAGAAAGGCGTCATCGAATGGTTGAATCCGATTTGTTGTCAAGAAGAGCACGCCGCGATGGTACTCGAAGACTTTTAACGCAACTAAAACGAGTGCGTTGTGTTCAAACTACAACAGAATGAGGATCGTGTCGTGATGTTAGTGTTCCAAAACCGTACGTCATGAAGACTCCAACGTTAGAAGACGTTGTCGACAGTTCCGGGGAGCTGACGATGTACAGGGGCCTCTTGAGGTGTTTAGCAGCAGCTTCAGCCGTAAGTGTCTTTCCGGTTCCAGGCGGCCCATGAAGTGCCGCGATCTTACATAGAATAACATTGGGTTGAAAACATTAAATTGCACAGGAAACCTACGAAACCTCCACCTTTCCCTGTGGTAACGTCCGACATAAGGTGCTGCGCTGTGTTAGCATTGTTAGTAACATCGACAAGTCCCTTGATCAAGCTCTACTTAAACCATCGGCAACGGTCGGCCAATGTACGGAGAACTGTTGCTTACTTTAACGTCATCGTCTACAACCAAGTGGTCCCAGGCTTTCTCGTCAAACCTGATGTCAACAGTCTCTTCAACGCGGAACGATTGCCATGTCTGTGTTGCTCTTCGTAAGTCAAGTGTCAGGCGAACCGGGTTAAACACGTTCATCTTACTTTGCTCTTTAGCTCGAAACCATACACCAAAGCCGGAAGTTGATCGTGTTCCCCTTCGGGGACGTCAGGGATCTTCTCGTCTCTGGGACAAATCGCGATGTTAGTAAATTCACTAAGACTGAAAGCAATGATCGCGTACGGCTCACGCCTGTAGCACTTGCGTTCTTCAAATGCACGCCGATCGATCATAATTCAATTCTGTTGAGTTGAATGGGTAAGTTCATCGCCTTTCTATAAAAGAGAGCAAAGGCAGATTACCCATTCATCTTAGCATGGAAATTGTTAGTCCGACGGCAATATAAAAAAAGTCAGACATACATGACTTGTAATGGAAGCCGCCTGCGAATGATGCATACAACTTCCCTCGGGATAAAAATATATCCAGATCTTTTGTAAATCTGACGACAAGACCTCTACCAGTTAGTTTGGCGCGTACATCATCTGTCATGATTTTGAAAGGCAGCTTCGCCGTTTCCATCGTTCCCTAAACTATAGTGAACTCTCATCAAGTGCGAGCGGAAGAAAACACAGACATCGTGATGTGGAATCGAAAAAGCCTTTTTCTCGTGGATGTATTTGCGTCCATCCCAGCTCGTTGTCTCGCCATCCAGGGAAATTTTTCTGTAGGTGAGTAGTGAGAACCGAACCTTTCTATACGATGCGACTTATAGCAAGCGCCCATCATAGCATATGCTACTGAGAGTAAACCCGGTCTGCGACATGGTTAAACAGACAGTCGATATCATATACATACGATTACGCACCAAGTCATCATTCTGCAGAGTATGGTACTTGGCACCCGGTTTAAAATAGTATATGAGCAGGTCGTGAGCAATGTGCCCACAAGAGAGCTGAAGCTCGAGTTCTTTAGCTCTATAACGTTGACTTACATGCCAGGGCAGAAGTACATATATAAATGTGCTCACGTCGGTTCGAATTCCCTTTTGATCATAGTCAAGAGGACCCAAGATGCTCCACCACGTCCTCGAAGTACAGCCGGGCATCTTTCTCGTTTTTATGCATTGCATTATGGGATGAGATTGTCAAAGAGAATATCATATTGGGATGGCCGGCATATACGACCCAATACATCTGTGCAACCCATATCATATGCCTTTCGCTTTAGGTCTTCCCCAGCCAATTTTGAAACAAGAACATCACAGACTTTCGCAAGAACAGCCTCAAGGTCATGCAGAATCGGAAAAAGTGCGGAACAAGATACTCTGGGTTTCTTTTGAAGAAATCGTTCCCGATGACGCAGCTGTCAAGGCGACGCTGAGCTTGACCAGGTAAAAGCTGATATACGTGGTAATCTTACCGCAAGAAATTGATCAATGGTCTACTGAAGTGGCTCACAGCCAGTCCAGGGAATGCTGGACCAAGTTGTCAGTAGGGGCCTACAGTATTAGTCGATGAGTATGATCCGCACATAGTTCATTGTCGTATTGGAAATCGAGATAGAAGTAGTTATACAGATCCCCACGCGGAGGGACAAGCTTGATGATCGATGGATCAATTCGAGTCAACGAAAAGACAGGGGCGAATGCGGAAGTTCTGGAGAACAGTAGAAGTCCGCGTTAGAATACGATCAAGGATTTGTTTACCTACATAGTACGATCATTTTGCTCCCACGCGGCAAAGTGAGAGATGTGACGAACGTATACTTGGACCAAGCATGCAGCGGTTGAACGTGGCAAGAAACGACCTTGTCAGCGATTCATGGAATCATGGTTCATCATGGAAGACCCATCTTCGATTGTGTAATCGTGAAAGTGCGACTTCCGATAAGTATCAGCAAGGTAGGTGTAGGATAAACACTGATGATCAACTTTGTGTGTGATGTTGTGCAGCGGTATTAGCAAGGGGAACGAGAAAAATGTTTGCTTGATTGCGAGCAGATAGTTTTTCGGGCGGCAGCCCCGAAGGGGCAACCCGGCCCCGATAGCGGCCTCAACCTGTGCAAGAGTGAGCCGAGGTGAGCTGCGAGGGCGGGTGGGCAACCTCAGACCCAGCAGGTTCGGGTACCAACCACCCGAGCCCCAGTAGTAGTAGGGACCTCTAAATACCATGAATGTGGTAGAAAATTGTAATGTAAGGCTGCGATGATCCAAGCAACAGCGAAGGAAAGAGAGCGGTGAGTAAAGGGAAGCCACGTGCTGCACAGCCGCTGGGACAAAGTCAATATTCTAACCCTACGGTAGAATTCCCTCTAGTGACCTGCAACGCAATCAATTGCACCCACCAACTATCCTCAACAAGTCTTCATGCAGGGAAACTCGTGAAGTTGACGGAGGAACCGTAATTAGAACAAGTATGTCCACACAGCACTTGTAATCTAGAGTTCATCGAAACTTGGATATTGACTTCCTGACTGCGCATTCCTCGTGGACAACTCGTGGAGGGTGTCATGTATCCTTATACTGAGCTGTGTCCGAAAGTTCTTTATCTCGGCCGCTTCCGAGCGACGGGAAACACCTCTTAGTTCTAACTTCATGTCCGTTCTGACTGCCGATGTATCGCAGGATTAAAACGGAGAGTTCAGGCGATTAGCTCAGTATATTGAGAACGATAAGTATGGCTACATAATCATGATATGTTAATTGGTTCGCCTGTCCATTAAGACGGTGTTCTGTCTACCAAGTCTGACGCCTATCTGTGTACGTATATCCTCCAGCTAAATAAAGTCAGTCTATATAAAGAACTCGGTCGAGCCCTGTGGAGCCGAACAACGGTCCCCGATCTGATTACACTACATGCTTAGTCATCACGAGCTGACCATCTCAGAAAGAACTTCTTTCTCGGACCACAATACGCAACTTGCACTTGAACCACCAGCCTCAACGAATTTCGTCTTAGCTTGGGCCCGACCAGCAAGAATTCTAGACAAATGACTCGCTTGTTTGTAATAAGGTTCGTGCTGAATTCGCTTGATTTCATGCGGCCCCTCTCCGTGCTGCATGCTTACAAAGTCCGGCTTGGGCACGATATTGGCAACTACCTCTTGCCGCCATTTCGTCCTTCAACTGACATGCTCTTCAATTCTAACAGAACAACATCACTAGCCATTTCGTTGTTTGGCTCAGTATTCAATTTTGTTCTTGCAGCCCGGCTACTGGGAGCCTGGCGGTCGTTCAAATGGGAACCAGAAAGCGAGTGGGAGAGCTCCGAATATTCCATAAGTAAGGATGGAGTACGCCTTGTATGGGCGTTATTGTGCGCATATTTTGCTGCGGCATCGGCCATTTGTTTCTTTGGCCTGGCAGGCATTGTTCGAGTGCGTCGAGTTTCTTTCTTTCATACTAAAATTTATTTTTCTCCACCAGAGCAAACCATCATTCGTGCGCATATATCGTGACTATATTGTTGGAGAATTCGTGTTTGGCACGTTGTTTGCAGCCATAGGCTCTTACGCTGCTTTTCGCCCAGCAGTTCGCTCCAATGTTTGCGAGTTGTTGTCACGCCAACCAGACACGCTTCGGGACTTCATTGACTTGGGGCTGACTTTGGAGAACTGCGAACCATGGTTCGAACGGGGAGTGTTCGCGTTCATGGTTATCCTGATTGTTGTAACCGTCATTCGCGTGAGTAAAATTCGCCTTTATAGTGGCGAGCCCTAAGGCTGAGGGTTTGACTATTACAGCTTCATTTCGTGTTGGCTTTGTCAAGTTACTATACCATTCTTGTTCGCCGTCAAGGCTTCCATTTGTCATCGCACACACCTCACTATTCGCATGCTAGTATTGCCGACAGAAGCCTACAGCGGATATATATTATCCCAGCTCGCTCATTGGCAAGCAAAGGGCCTTGTACATCCGACCTCGATCTACATTTTGTAGATGCTCCGGTTTATGCTCCAGTGCCGCTCACCCAGGTTTCTCCCCAAGTTGCAGAGGAGCTGCTTGCAAATGCAACCGAAGCTTGGGTTTCTCGATTTGACTCAGCACAACCTGTGCGACCCCACAGCCTGTCGCTAGCAGGTCGCCAATCTGCGGACCCCGGTCCGGGTGCAGGTCAGACTGCTGACTTGATTTCGTTGGAGAACGACAAGGTATGAGTTCGGGGTTGGGTTGATGACGTATGATATGTTGTGATTGTGTCTTTCCTTCTGTGTGCTCCTACTTGTATTATGCGTTGACGGGTTGTCGCTTTTTGCAGATTTGTACTGTAGTTCTCAGTTATTCGGAATCAGAACGACCTCTGTCATTCTCTTCTTAGTGTTCTGCGCGGAAGTTCCCAGCAGTATTCGTCTGAATTCGGAAGTCTTCTGATCTCAATCTCATTGATTTTTCCAGACTCTCCTCATTAACTGCTTCTGTTGCCCCGTCATGGCACACAGACAGCGACTGAATATGTCTTGCTGTATTGCGCTCTCTCTCACTCCTGCATTATCTCAAGGTTCTGATTTCATCCTTGCATCTATGATTCCTTCCGCCCGCTCCTTATCTGATTTACTTCAGTGCGGTGTTTAAGAGCTGTAACACTTGAATCTCGTATTTTCGGCAAGATAGGCACCATAGGTGTTAGCGTTCGTTTGCGCTCTGACGTCATGATCCGGATAGTGACGCGGCGAGCGCCGATCTCTGACTTTCTGTTGGTGAGGACAAACTTGATGTTCATGTTTATTTTGGCCAGTAAAACCTAACGGCGATTGTTTACCAAACCACAAAGACAACGACGAGCAACAACTCGAGAGGCAAATCCGTTACTGATTAGCTATCACGACCCATCTAGATCTCGATCTCAAATACATCACCAACTTAGACGTTCCGATTCCGCAAAATCGCACACGCACGCACCTAAGATCATAAAAAAACAACGCCTCTACGAGCCAGGGACTAAGTACTCATGCACTGCTCCCTGCAGATCAATGAAGTTCTCCGGAGCATTTTTTCGGCCATAGAGATATCACGTTTGATGTCCAGCAACCATTCAGAGCTAACCAAGGTGTAGACGTTCGACGCCTGACTCTCGCACGTCTTGCCAGGACTTGTCGCACATTCTCGGAGCCTGCACTGGATGTGCTTTATGTTCACATAGACACTCTTAGTCCTGTAGCAGCGTGTCTCCCCAGGCGCGTATGGTCTCGACAACCCCATGGTCTGGTGAGTCCACGGTGCTCCATGATTGCACCCTGTCTCAGATTGCATGCAGAAGCTAGATGGTTGTATTTTGATCGCACATTTGGGGAGCATCGAGAAGTACCTCAGGAGAGTTAGAGCCCTTGGCAGATCTGGGCAGAGCGTCATGGGTGATATCTCTCCGGAACTCGCACATGCCCTCTGTGGTTATCCCTCGCCATCTTTACTGCCTCGCCTTGAAAAACTATTCTGGTAGGATGGTACCTTGGAGACTACCCACCTCCTTCGCAAGCTTCTCAGCCCGCCCTAATCGAGCTTCATCTACACGCAAAGGGTAACTTCTTCATGCTTTCAGTTTTGTCGAACCTGGGAGCTACATGTCTCCTTATGAAATACTTCTCCACTACGGACTTGGATTCAGCCGCATCCGTCCCGGTTTCAACAGCAGTTGTATGTGGCTGGCGCCAGCTCAAGTCCCTCAGTACAGAAGCTGTCGGTGGATCTACCTTGCTCCACCTGTCCACTCTTCCATACCCCTTGGAATTCTCATTTCTATCATCGAATAAGGACTCCTTCAACTACAGCCCGACCACATTTTCAACACTTCTTCGGCATCTCACAATCCGCGCGGAGAGTTCTGAGCTATGCCTGCCTTTCCTTGAAGTAACGTGGATGTCCGCGAGAAATGTATACATCGCTCTCGGCAACGTCCCGCGATCTTCCAGTAATGAAGCATTACTTTTACTTCTCGCCTCCCATGTAACAGCGCAACAAGTGCAGGCTTTCTCGCTCGACATGTCTTGTAATTCACTGCTTACAATCACTGAAATCGTGCTGCTGTCTTCATTCTGTCAGCTAAATCTGACAACCTTTACCACCATCAACTTGAATGACCGCGACCTTGTTACAGCCGTAAAATCATGGCCCAACCTCATAAAACTACGGCTGGGCGACGACGGCCCGTGGTCGATACTAGGTCCTCAAATTACACTGGACGGACTTGTCAGTCTGCTCTTGCATTGCCCAGACTTATGCACTCTCGGCATTGTCATGGACACATCCTCATACAACGCTTTGACCCCTGAGTTACCAGGGGGCGGGGTAACCAACACTAAGATCACGACGCTCTCTGTCGGGGCATCACTGATTGAGAACCCATTGGCTGTCGCCACCTTCCCCTCTTCCATCTTACCAAACTTGGAGAAAATTCTGTACAAGGTCGACACCTCTACGTCACATCAAAGAGACGAAGTGGGCGAAAGCTGCAACGTATCTGCAAGATGTGCGAATTATCAGGGAACAGGAAAGGGCTAAACTGGGGATTACTAGGTTCATTTTTGGGGACTACCTGAATGCATTAATAGTCCATAGCAATTGCAATGCGATATTTGATGGTTTTAGCGCTAGCACTTGAGAACTTCGAGGATTGATACAAAGTTTCCAAAGGTGGCACTCGCCCTCGTCACAAAACATCCAAAAGAAAATAATGACCCAGGTTCGCGAGCGATCTCCTTCGCCCGAGAGGTCTTCAGATTCGCTTCTAAAGCGATTGAAAACGACCCATCCCTCGTTGACATCGACGGTGGACCACGACTCGGAGTCGCTCTTCTATACGGGTCTCTTTAGGCCAGAAAATGTGCAGCAACTGCATCAGGCCTACGCTGGCAATGAACCATTCAAATATGCGATTGTCGAAAAGCTTTTCCAAGACGATCTTCTCAAGAATGTAAAGGACGAATGCATGAACGAACTAAGCTTCACAGAGAGGGAGACGGATATATACAAAGTGAGTCCTCCTCATTCTCAACTTTTCTGGCTATTTATTGCCCGACATCTCTTTTCTAGGTCAATCAAACCGGGGACCTTGCCTCTCTCTCGTACCTCTCTGAGGCACAGCTTGCACTTTTTCCAAACCTCCTTGTCCCTCCGTGATGCACTCTACTCCTCAGAGTTCCGCAAGTTTCTTCAGGCTGTGACTGGGTGTGGAACACTATCTGGGACGAAACAGGACATGTCTGTCAACTCCTACACGCAGGGATGCCACCTGCTTAACCACGACGATGTAATTGGAACTAGGCGCGTATCGTACATTCTCTATATGCCACTGCCATACGGCCAGCAATGGCAAAAGGAGTGGGGAGGTGCTTTAGAGCTGTACCCCGCCCAGACTGGCATTGACGGCATCCCTGAGCCTGAGGCTGCACCAGTGCAAAGCCATCCCGCCAAGCTGGAATCAGTTCATCTTCTTCGAAGTGCAACCGGGGAAAAGCTTCCATTCTGTAGAAGAAGTGGTGGTAGGAGGAGACGGTAGGGCAAGACTTAGCATAAGTGGTTGGTTTCATGCAGCACAGGAGGGCGAGGAAGGGTATCAAGCTGATCAGGCAGCACCCGAGCTCAAAAGTTCGCGAGAACAGTTGGTGTGTCTTGGAAGATGTATATTGTCCGTACACTCGACTCATCAAAAATTACTAGACATCCAGCTCTACCAGCTTTGTTGCGTACTCCGACTCCTCAGAGCCTCCTCATCCAGATTCACCGCTCCGAACAGAATATATCTCCTACCTCTCAAAATTCCTAAACCCAGTTTACCTCCAAACACGCACGATGAAGGCATTAATGGCACGTTTTGTTGCGGAGTCACATATCGAACTGCACCACTTCCTTTCCGCGTCCCTCGTATTGAAACTTGAACCTGACCTGCGTGGGGCAGACCAAGCTGATGGTCTTGATGGTGGGACTCGTCAGGGCAAGGTACCACCGCACAGTGCTGGCGTATCTGGGGCATGGTCTCCACGGGGTCCGCCACACAAATGGCGTTACTGTACGCTGCAAAACACAACGGAGCCCCCACGTGAATCAGACGCAATTCTTCGTCAGTTGCAAGACGAAGTCTTCCCAAGCGAAGCATTCCGCGCTTGGCTAAGCGCCTTGACCAAGTTGTTGCCCCTGAGCTATGCTGTAGAGGCCCGAAGGTTCAGACCCGGCTTGGACTACACTCTTGCAACGAGTGAAGGGGACGAATCACGATTGGACGTGGTGTTGGGATTGACGCCAAAAGCAGAAGTTGAAGAAAACGAGATACGCTCAAATGGCAAGTCGAAGGCGAATGAAGACGACAAAGAGCCGCATGGTTGGCAGGCTGGGGAGTGGGGAGGATGGGAGGTAGGGCTAAGTTCTTCCTCGTCAAAGTTTTGCTGGCTTATTCGCTTTCAAGTGCTACATGGCACCCCATGACGAGGAGGATGATCCAGCGGTCTACCGTTCTGGGTCAAGCAAAAAATCCCAAGCTAACAATGCTTCTGGCTCACAAGACCATGATGATGCAACGGAGACCGGGGAGCAGGAGGATGAAGAGGACGAGAGCACTTTGCTCACTGTTCAGCCTGGCTTTAACAGACTCCTTCTCGTGCTGCGGGACGAGGGCGTCATGCGCTTCGTCAAGTATGTTTCGGCTGCTGCAGCAGGTTCCCGATGGGATATTTGCGGTGAATTCAACGTCGGGATGGTTCAGGATGGCGAGGATGATGAAGATTCATGAACTGAAAAAAGTGCATTCGGATGTCCATGTGACGAAGGTGAACAACGGGGATGGATTTTGCGATGGTATCTACCGTTAGGGTTTAACTTCATCTCTCCCGCCACCCTTTGCTACCCGTGATATCCTAAAACACAATTTTGTGACCTTGGCTGGGTATGATAGCAGCAGATTCACGCGGCGCTTGGGCTAGTGCAGCACCAGGTTTCGGGCGTCCTCGAGACCTGTCAGCTTTCATATGCCGTGGAGCCTCTTTTTGGTTCCGTTGAGGTGTCGATTCAGCGTCATCTCGTTGTGTGCGGTGTTCTTTCTCATCTTCATCGCGTCTTCTTGGGCGCGAATGTGATTGTGGACGCGATTCAGTGTCAGTGTTGTCGGTCACCGTATCTTTTTCCAGAATCGCGTTTGTGTTCACTTTGTTGTAATCTTGGACCACCACCGCGACGGACTGCGTCAGCAGAAGCATATTCCACGACTAGATCTCGACCATTGAGACGGTGGTTGCGAGGATTGATCAGGGCAGCAGTTGCATGTTCGGTACTGGTGAAGTCAAGAAAGGCAAACCTGGATGCTTCCGTTAGTATTACGTGCGCATTGTACGACAGAAACACTCACCCTTTACATGCACCACTGTCTTCGAAAGTTCCCATGCGGATCTTTCGTAGCCAAACATCTTTGGTGCCATTATTATCCTCCCCGGCATCGACCTCAGCGGCATCCACTTTAACGGCCTTTTCCAGCCTTATGCGGATGTCTATGAGCCTCGAAGAGTTCACGAATCGAGTCCACTGTGGTATCAAAACCAAGATTTCCGAGGAATAATGTTTGCGCGGGAGGCTGCTTCTGTACCCGCAGAATCTTCTGTTGAGTCTTCGTCAAGCCGCTCACTGATTTTCCTGCAGATGGACCCTTATCGTTCTCTTGCGTCCCCTCCGTTGGTTTTGATGTGGGACGGCCCGCAAAATCATCTACCTACAGGTGTGCAATTCAAGCTTGAATGTTAGGTACACATGGTAAACCACGAGTATACATACCATCTTTAACCAACAAATTCCGACCGTGAAGCTCTCGTTCGGACTGGGTTATGGCTGTGACTTTGCCATCCGGCGTAGCAAAGTCGACGTAGGCAAAGCTACTCGCCTTCAGTCCACCACACATATTGTAGGGAGCAGTTTTACTCACCCCATATTATCTCCTTTGGTGCCCTTTTTCGTGGGCATGTGTATGCGCGTGATCTCTCCGACGCCATCAAAGAAATTTCGCAGTGCATCTGGCGTAGTCTTGAACCAGAGATTACCCACCCAGACCGAATTCTGACGTTTCGGCTTGCCAGTGGGCTTCGAGTCCTTGGTAGAGACACCAGCTACGGAGCCATCCGTCACCTTTCTCTTTTTCGATGGCTGGTCTTCAGCTTTCTGGTCTTTTTTCTTCTGTCTGCGTTTTTCGGCATGAGACAACGCCACAGTGTCTTCTGCGATATCTGCTGTTTCTGCGTCGCGTGCTACATCATCATGTTCTTCGGTAACTCTCTTTCTCTTGACTGGTAGTGGGCTAGAAGAGTCTGATGAGGATGCGGATGACATTTTGGAAGTAGACTTTGAAAGGCTGTTATTGCAAATGTGATGATATGATACACGTGACGTGATCACGTACTATTCATTACAGACAATCTACTGTTCAGAGCCAAAAGAAACAAGGACTGCCCAACGATACATCTATTTCCAGAGTCTACATACATTATCCATCTGAAGACATCCTTGCAGTTAAGGGTTTCTTAAACGGCTCAAGCAAAACTAGGTCACCAGTAAAGATGATATCCTGCACCTTCAACCTGTCCCTGCGTCCTAGCAGCGGTCTTCAGATGATGTAGAGAAAGAGGTCGTTTACTTGACATAAGAGATTGGGTCAATCAAAGATCTCGCTGAAAACGAAGATAAGTACCTAGAACGCGCCAGTGCTTTGGCCGTCATGAGAATGTTCCTCATTGCCCGACCTGCCCAATATATATATATTATAGGGACTGCCTACAAGAGGGTGGAGCTCCTCACCATTGACTGCGACTCTGGACAACTCCTCGATGTCTCGGCGAGATATAGTGTATCCTTCCCCTGAGAGCATATTAGACCACAGTATTTGGCGGGAGTCGGCATCTAGTTCATGATACTGGATGGCTGTGAGAGTGACGCGGTAAGCATGGCATTGGTAGACTAGCAGATAAAACATGTACCCATGGCAAAATGCGACATATATGCGGTACATGTATTTCTTGCGGTAACAAATACAATGCACCGGTGCTGCTCAAAGAAATTGAGTGTCGTCGAGATGCGAATATCTTCCTCCATCTAATTGGAAGTCAAGGTAACTAACACAAGGCGAAGACAGAGTTGATACATACTATTGGCTCGTGCCTCTGAGTCTGCATTAGAATCTGGATGCAATTTAGCTCGTGCCGGATAAAAAATGCAAACACCACACATCTCCAGCTTCAATCAATACTATGGCATTCCATATCCTCGCTGCCTGTGAGAATATGAATTTGGACTTAGAAAAGCCGTATTCAATGAACGTACATCCAGACGAGATGTCAACGTGTCCACAAGCAAGGTCGTGTCCAACGGAAGGGAACAGACTGCGAGGGAATACAAAGGCCGCCTAAAGTGTTCCGCAATTGCTTCAACAGTCGCCGTTTTTCCGGTCCCTGATGGTCCATGCAGGAGTATGACCTGCCAGCAAGAGGTACACCGTGGCATCTGATGCCGTGTTCGAATGAATAGGTGGATCGACCTACCAAGCCTGTTCGGTCTTCGTCTGCCATCACCTCCTTGCTGAAGTCGAATGCACCCACAACTCCTTCGATGACATCCTGCCGAAATTAGCAGCCGAGCAAAGGTTTTAGTCGATTGGCCTCACCTTTGAGCTTTCATCGAGCACAATATGCTTCCAGGCATTTTCATTGAATTTTATTGGCTCGACTTCGTCGACGTCGAATAAGCCCCACGACTTGTAGCGAGCCAAGCATTATCAGAGTTACTCGGATGTGTACTTTTGTGTGATTACCTTGCGTTCCAGATCAAACCCTGGCATGAATCGCGGGAGAAGATCGATATCGTCTTCGGGCCCGGGCGGAACGTTATCATTGATTCGAACCTTGCTTCTGTCTTGGAGAAGAGGAAATGGGAAAGGGGTTTCATCTCTGGTTTCCAATGTGATAAGACAATGAATGGCTGGCGAACAATTCCTTACAAATGGTTGTAGCCGAACGTATTCCAGGCTAAGCGATCAGCCATGATTCGTCGCTGTTGGAGACGATAGGTCAGTGAGGAACAATCCACCTATCTCATGATACAGGCGCACTCCTCTGTCTAAGATGGGTAAGGTTAACACAACAAGCCAATGACGAATAGAAAACGCACGAAGTCTGTGATGGACACCCGCTAGTGCGGCATACTTTCTACCGCGCTCTTGAACGGGTTTAACGCGGGACATTTGTGGGACATGTGCTCTTACCCGTAAGTCGCGCGCATATCTCAGGCGTCATCTTGGTAGTTCGGAAATCAGCTAAGATCAGCGACCCCTATTTTTCATGAGTACGACGAGAGTATGATAATGGCGGAAACAGACTTCAGCCAGCTTAACCATCCGACCTCGTTCCAGCTTAATCCACCTGGTTCCATTCCAGAATGAACCTTCGCCATTAAGGTGGAATGTTCTGCAGGACAAAATAGGGAAAATCCATGATGACAAGTAACAGTCACGACTTACTGGTCAAAGTCATCGTAATAAGTTGAGACCAAACGGAATGCTTCCTGCATGCTTCATCTATATGAATACCTCATGGAGTTTTGTTGGTTCCCTTACAAAATCACCATTGTCGTCAAGGCACCAGTACTTTTGACCCTTCCGGAAGTAGAACCCCAGCAGGCCGAGCGGTATGCGGCCATGTGCTATGGCATGTTTCAATCGTTCAGCTCTATAGGAATTCAGAGACCAATGGATGCAAGCACAGAACATATCGCACATTGGTTTGAATTCTTCTTTGAGCAAGTGTAGCAGGATTCCAAGCTGTTGGACTGCAGCCGTAAGGAACGTGCGTGCATCATGATCTGCCAACATAAGAGGCATAAAGTCTTCTTCAAAAGGAGTACGAGCTACATACCATGTAGGTCCTTGTACACATGCCCGAGCGCTTTCGCACATCGTACGATGTCATCTTCATTGTTTTCTGTTGCCAGAGTCGTGCGTGCGTCATTGGTCCGAATGTCCAATGCATCTAGCTCCAAAAGCAGCTCGTCGATAGGAACTTCTGGATGTTGGCTCAAGCATTCACCCCCCACAATAGAGCTGCAGAAGATAGCCATCTATCATCTGATGAACTGAGTATTTGAATACACCGTACCGCAAGCAGGCGAGTAAAACGGGACTGAAATCACTGAAAACCTGTTTTGGTTTCTCTACATACTGATATATCAATCGCAGCTATATAATACTTGAGGACGCACCTTGATCCGTCATCCGTCGAACATTTACATAGAAGAAAGTAGGCTCTTGGGTGGTCGTACAGGGAGTCTCTTCGGTGTGCTCATAGGATTTCCAGCAAGCACAAAGCAAGTCCCTGGAACGAATCAGTAAAGATCACCCAATTACTTTGACTGGAGAGTGTGAACCATTGCTGCCACCGTCGAAGGAAGCCATTCTCTTGTTTCTCCGTTGTCCCGGATTTGCATTCTTCAAGTGTGACAGAGCTTGACGTAGGGCTGACTGGAAGCGGTATTAGTGCTTCCTTTATTGCGGATGGTGAGGACATGACTGGAACAGTAGGAGGTGGGGAAGTAGTCAACGTTTCGGGACATGCCGACCCGGGAAGAGGCTTTTTGATCAATAATGCGGTATCAGCGGAGGGGAGAGTTTGCGCGGGTGATTCCTGTAGGTTAGACTTCTCGGACATGCCAAAAAGAGGGGAAGTCGTCTGTGCAATAGATCAAGGCGTAAGACCAAAAGACGCTTACTATCGCTTTATACTCTCATACGCCAACCGATTTGTCACTTTTGATGTCGTCGTGTGAACGGACTATTCAAGCAGGCGATTGCTGGGAAGGATTGACCCTCATTGACCTCACCTCGTAAGCACAGGTTGATCCCTGGCGATGATGCAATTGTATTGCAGTGCCGAAGTTCCGTGCAGGATGGGGAAAGAAGGTTGAAAATGGTCATACACGCCCAGCGACTTGCACAGGAATGTAACATATGCCAAGGCACTCCTCATTGCGTGATCATACAACCACAGGGTAGGCATAGATATGTTTGCGAAGTTACCTGAAGCCACACAACATGTTACTTATCTAGGGTTTTGGAACAATAAAGGTGCTTACATCTCGAATCGGTGACGTTGGTCAGGACAGCCTCATTTCACGCGAGGAAGCGGATGCGAAGTTGAAGCTTGTCGATCGAGTGAAAGTTTGACACGCTCCAAAAGTGACACCTCCAACTTCGTCTGCACTAGGCTCAGACTGTGGTGTCCGACAGGTGGTTGGCTATGCGACTATTAGGACCGAGGATTAACTCGGTTCGGGCGCGGGTGTGGGGGGATTATCATCGGCTAGCGGGCTGCTGATTGACCGGATGGTTAACTGTGTATTTGAGGATTTGTATGGGGGTATTATAAGCTGACAGCCGCGGCGGTACTATGCTATATGTCACAAAAAAGGAAAGGGACTCGATCGGAAGGTTTAAACGAGCGTGTCTACAGACGTGCTGGAAAGAGAGGATATCAGAGAATAAAAACTGCTTGTGCTCAGCTGGACGTGTGGTACAGGTACCTTCCTTGCCACGAGCACAGGAACCGGCACCCGTCAAGTCATCTCATGTCGAAGAATACTTACAGTACACCAGTTGTCGAAGAACTCAGAACATTCGAATTTCCGTGGAGTCACAATTTCATGTGGCACGTGACCGCGCCATCGTAATGTCACAACACTGAAACATCCAGCTGATGCTGGTGTAGAATTTCATACCATTAGGTGCGTGTGTACATATTCAACATTAATCTTACGGTACATTATGAAACACACGCAGATCGTCCGTTTAAGATAACCAAGTCCGTCACTGGATCTTCCGTCTCTGAGCTTCCTCCAACACACTTTTCGGTCCGCGCTTCGCCATCGCCCAAAGAAAGACGACAATGACGACAGCAAACTGAAGCCACAGCCACAGCTCCAAGATGAACCCTACGAACCCTCGCTGCTGAGGCTTTTGAATCTTTTCTTTATCGAGGGAGATAGGCGAAGTAGATCCTGTTTTCGGCCCGTCATTTGCTGGACTGCGGGAAACAGTAGGAGACCGATGGCGGCTTATACTATCCACGAACTCGTTTACAAGTCTTTGGGGAACTGGGGTGGAGGGATGGGCGAGATCAGTCGAACTCTGCCTCCGCGGGGCAGAAAGAAGTGTTCCCTCGAAGCGACTTTCATTCCAGTGGTTCGTGCGCATTCGAATGGTGTGCGACTTGCGACGCTTCTTGTCTGCAAGCGTCTCCATGTGCGCGTTGGGCGGACTGTACGTCACAGACTCAGAGTCATGAACGCCTTGCCATGTACCGGGTTGTAGACTGACTTGCTCCGCAAACGTAGATAACGCGGAAAGTGAGGAAGAGGTGGAAGGATTTGAGTTGTGACCAGAAGTTGGGGGAAAAGACAGGATATCTTCCGTGGAAGGCGGATTTGTATCAGAAACACCGACCTCGTCGGCGCTAGCGGATAAAGAAGGGGAAAGCGACGTAAGACCAATCAAACTTGGTGTTCGGAAATGGTCATTCCCAGGACAGTCTCTCCATGCAAGCCCTAGCTCATTGTCCAACGTCTGGCGACCTGAAAATTCTGTGAGAGGCAATGCCGCAGCCAAAGGTGATGGCAAGTCCAATTCTGCGGGGGCCGCGGATTCCGTGCTGGGCTGAGGGACAAAAGGAACGGGCGGTAGACCGGGAATAATCAGTGAATGCACGGATGGTGGACTACTGACATCAGATACAGTCGGGGGATCAAATAACCCGACAACGGATCGACGCCCACGATGATTTGCAGGTAGAGGGAAAAAATCAGGAAGTATTGCATGTCGCATACTGCTCTGTCTGTCTGGTTTGATGCCGCTATCGAAATCGACCGAGGAGTCCACGAGCATAGACCGACGGAGACTGGCAAAACGAATCGTCTCGTCTTCATCGTCATGATCACTTTCCTCGTGGACACCGGGATTCTCGATGTTATCATCCTCAGCCAGCCAGTCAATGGCGTCGCCATCTCCGAGGCTCTCGTAGATGAGCCGGATGCTCGCAGCATCTCTTTGCACCGACTGCAGCGATGCCGTCGTCTTCGCCTGCTGCACCGTTATTTGTGAATTAATCTGCTCAAGTTCGCGGATCTTCTGAAGGAGTTGGGACACGAGTGCATATTCCGGTGTTGCTGGGACTGGCGCCTGAACAGGAGGAGGAAAGTGGAACAGCGGGAGTGACCGAGATAGACCGTCGTATAGAGACATTTTTCTGGATCGTTCAGTAAGCTTGCCATCAGCGGGAGCTGAACGAAAGACAGCTTCAGAAGCATGCCGGCGTAGACACTGCGATGGAAACGTGCGTTTCTCTGACCTGCCTAGTCCGGTAGATCTCCTCGATACTCCTTGGGATGCAAGAGTTCCCCCTGGCGCAAAGTCTCGTACTTCTCCATCACTCGTATCACTTTCGCTCTTACCCCGTAGGACGCGGACGCGCTCTTCTCTCTCAAGTCGCCTCTTCGACGCTTCCTCAGACTCGAGGGTGAGACTAACAAGTTTTGCCTTTTCCTCGAGCTCGTCGCTCCTTGCACGAGTTTTCTCGAGCTCCTCTCGGAGCCCTTGGATCTCTTTCTCCAGACTGCGCAATTTTCGCCGTCCCGCTTGATCAGTCTGAGCAGAATCCGATTCGAGTTTCTCTAGCTTGGCAAGTAATTCAGCGTTCTGATCGGAAAGTAGAGCAAGGTCTGCAGGGGAGACAGAGACATGTCTCTGCGAACGGCGAGAGCGAGGTGCACTGGTGCTTGCACGGGAGGAAGAGTGTGAGATATTGGTATAATAATGGGGGGAGTGTGAAAGGGGCGTCCCAGGAGTCGTTGGAGATGATGTAGAGGACCCGGATGGAGAGATAGATGCTGATCTTGAAGGGGGCAAGCGGGCAAGGAGGGCCTTGTGCTTATTCTTAAGCTCAAGATTATTTTCGTACAAAGATTTACAGACGGCTGTGGTAACGCTGAGTTCTATATAGGAACGATGATTTCAGCCAATGTCAAGAATAAAACATCGAACAACGAACCATTTTCCCGGTCTTTGATGAGTTCATCAGCTTTCAGGAGTAGCTCAGAAAGCTCCTCGCGGGACCTCCCATTCCAAACTTCAGGATGGTTAGGGATGTCATCCCACGCAGAGATTGCGTCATGGAAAGACTCTCGTTTCAAATCCGAGTTATCCAGCGAATCATGAAGAAGCGATGTAGCAGCGTATGGAGGAGGCGGAGAAGATTTGACGTGGGTAGAAATTCTCCGTGCCCGACCTGGCGGTCGTGGCCGAGGAGTGGTGGTGACTGCCCCAGATAGCATATTAGAGTCTGGACAAAGCGTCGATTTAGACAACAAAGATGATAGTAGTCAAATAGTGCGTGCAAAGGACGATCTGTTAGTCAATGTCCGAGTCTAATCCTCGTTAGCTGATGCGGCTTAGCACAAGGGAAACGAAAGGAGAAAAGGAGACTCAGAGATATATGTTCTGCCGGGTTCTGTATCCTTAGTATACATATGAGACTGGCAAAGGTTTACATTCAGACTGTCATCAGAACCAAGTCCAGGCTGAGTCATCTTGGACCACAAATCAAACGCTCCTAATCAAGGCCGCCTGGCGAAATGGCATCGCGTCTGACTACGACTACGTGATCAGGAGATTGCAGGTTCGACCCCTGCGGTGGTCATTATTTTTTCCTAATTTATTCGGAAGCTGAGGATAGCAGCTGTTTTCTTTTGATCCGAAGGCAATCCGCAGGGTGTTGGAAAAACGACTGCATGGGATGACTTCCCTGGGATTCGTGGGGATTTGTTTAAAGTTATGCCATTTCAAATAGCTTGTTGCAAGGAACTTTGAAGTCTATCTCACACTTGACAATGCTTTCGGATTACCGATGAATAAACTCTCTTCGGAAGCCACGACCAATATTATATCAAGGCAGCAAGATAAAAATGACAATACGTCTCTGGTGTGATTGAACTGAAATATCAAACCATCAGAGGTGACAGCGGCGTTGCGCGTTGTTCGGCGCGCCGCATATTTTACAATCCAGGGTCCAACTCTCCCAACAACATAGTACCATCCTTGCTGCTAGTGAGGACTGTGGACATGTTAGTAAAAATCAGTCAGATGGAAAGTAATCCTTACTGATAGGCTCTTTCGGGTGGAAGTCTACACAAGTGACAGTGCCCCTGTGTCCGGGCAGCTAAAAAGATGGTGAGTTACACACAAGAGGCCAACCGGATCAAACGAACCTTATACAACACGCGCCCATTCTCAACATCCCAAACACACACCATCCGGTCCGCGCCACCAACCGCAACCCGTTGTCCCCCATCGTCCTTGCTCCACGCACCCTTCAAAAGCGTGTTCTCAAACCCAGCTGGAGCACCTTGCAACACGCGGTGTATCCTCGATGGCGAAGGTGAGAAAGGGCGCACATCATGAACGATAGTATGCGACGAGAACGAAGGCGAGAGAAGGTAGGCACCATTGGGTGAAAGCGCAAGCGACGTCGGCGTGTCCGTGTGACCAGTCAGCGCATACACCTGCTCGCCCTTGCGCAGGTCATATACATGAATCTCATTGTCTAGCGCGCCAATATAAAGGTTCTGCCCATCTGCACTCCACGCGACGCTCGTTGCTGGGCATCCGAGTTCAAACACGGCAACGCTGTTCTTTGAACCTTCTTCTCCACCCTCCCAAACCCGTACTGTTCCATCGTCCGAGGCAGTAGCAATGAGCTCGATGCCCGCACCGCCTGCCATAGTCCGGTCCAGCGCGTTTATAATCCCGCGGTGAGCACGGATTTTTCTTGTCCGCTGGCCAGTGGTAACATCCGTAAAGCCGAGCATTTGGTCTGCGGACACTGTATAAAGGAGTGGGGAGAATAGGGACCATTGAAGGTCAAGGATGGGTGCTTTATGGTGGCTAGAGAGGAGGGCGTAGTTGGTATTGGGTGGATAAGTTCTCCACAAAGCTATATTTCACTCGTGAACACTTCGTATGAGACACATAGATATGTCACGTACAGACGCTTCTGTCTGCTGAGCAAGCAGCAATGTTCTGCCCAGTAGGGTCGAATCTACAACTCAGAATTTCCGCCTTGGACCTGATGAATACAGCCTCATACGGGCAAAGTATATAGAAGTCTCACCGAATGGGCCCCACTCAAGCTAATGATGGGTGCCTCTAGGTTGCTTGTGCGCTTGACGCTTCGTATGAGGCCTTTCTGTCGCTCATCGTTGGAGGACGATATCGCAATTTGGTTTCGAGCAGGGGAGTTCGAGCGCGCCCTTTTTATGAGAGTTCCTTCTGCAGATGGTGGTGGGGAAGCACCTCGTTTTGACATAGTGACTAGGTATAGACCAAAGAATTTGGAGTGAGTTGTCAGTAAATGAAGTCCAGTCGTAAGAGAGCAATAATTGAAGTGGTCACGTGACCCCTTGCTTTTTGCCATCAACGAGAAGAATGTCGAGGTTCCGACTCGAGAACCAACTTGCTAACATAGATCGCATAGATCAAAAATGTCCAAAGTCACTCGAAAAAGTACAGATACAACTTTCACTCTAGTGTGTACGCCCGCGCTGCTCAGTCGCCCACCTCACAGCATCCCTCCGCCCCTTCGTGACATCAACCCCAAACCAGATCACCACTGAGGCAGCCGTACACATGGCAAAAAGGAACGGGAACCCCTGCCAGTTGTTCCCCGTCTTATCAATGATTGCCTGAATGACATTCGGCCCTACAATAGAAGAGGCGCGGTTGGACAGACCGAAGAGACCGAAGAACTGGTCAATGTAAGCGGACGCGGTGGGGTGGGGGTTGCGGGGGGGCCGGAGTACATACCATGTTATCAAAACCGGACGGACTGAGCTCGGCCATCATTGTCAGAGAGTACGCGTAATACGACGCCTGGAAGAGGCCAAACAAAACATTGTATGCCCTGATAAGAATATAAAACATGACAAGAAAAATACGAAGTCTTGACCAACCAGAACTCCCAGACATTGTGGAACCTAATGCACTTCTTAGAGGGACGACGGCAAATGAAATAAAATGACACCGACCCAAGTTTATCTGTCCATATTCCAATCATACCCCACAGCGGAATCAAAATCGTGACAACATTCGTGACCACGAAACTGGACCAGTGATAGTTAGATAAATGAGTGCAGGAAAAAACTAGTGCTACACACCATCTTCTTCGTACTAATCTTCCAATATCTCTGGATCAACCAGAAGGCAAGAGTGCTAATCGTCGAAGTGATTGCCTGAGACAAGCCCAAGTATGTACTTTGCAGGAACGAGAAACTGAATTTGTCGTTCTGACATATTGCAATGAGAGTTCCAGTAGTATTCAGCCCCTGATCAAGAAGATGTCAGTTACGGCTTGGGATACAGACAACAAAACAGTACGTCTGCAAGGAGAAAGTAGGCGAACAGATACACAAATGTGTAGGGAAGATGCCTATATGTCTTCAGCGCAGCCCAGATCTATTATTCGCGTGAGTTGATTTCTCAAAGGTCCCCCGGTAGAGGCTGACCTGCTTCCATCCAATCGTCAGGTAATGTTCGCCTTTGGGCAAATTAGGGCCTGGCCTGGGCTCCTGGAATACAACTCGAGGGTACTCAGCAGGTAGCGTAGCTTGGAAGAGACAAGATATACTCACACCACCAGATACCCAGTACCACCCAATACGTGTTGACACTGCACATCAATCAATACAAAAACGCGAACTCTCGAGTGATAGGAACTCACAATACAATGTACATAATTGTCGACTTTGGGGTTGTCCATCATAGGCAGCAAAAGCGCTAAGTTTAGCACAAGCGTGGCTGTGTATCCGACATTACTATGAACCTGCACCGAAAAGACAGTCAGCTTCTGACGCCAATACGCCCTGCGACGCACAGTAAAGATATTAGTAATCCTATTCTTTTCCAACGACTCCTCTTGCACGTAAACATCAGCAGGAATTTCGCCATTTTCGTACTTCTCTCTCAACCGACGTGCATGTGGGGTATTTCGTGCGAGGCGAGGGAACACAGCGCCATAGAAAACAAGAGTGACACTGTATGAGACGAAACCGATGATGTACAGAACCATCGCGAGGACCCATCGGTTCGGTGCTACACAAAATGATCAGACGATACAGCAAACGCGAGACGCCTGGAAACGTACAGGTGAGCGCCATACAGGCATACTGTGCAGCCCAGCAGACCACCGTGACCTCGAACAACAACCACCGTCCGAACGTGCCGTAGTCAGCAGCAGAACCGATAGTAGTTAATATGACTGTCATAATAGCAAAACTAACACCATTTGCAGTCAACACCACTCTGGAAACTGATTTGGTGCCGCTACCCCAGGGAACGACGCATTGGCCGGAAGAAGTATCTGCTAGGCATGAAGAGCCAGGGCCTGCAATGGGATCATAGCCCGCGGCTGTGGCAAGCCCCTGGAATAGTGTTTGTGTATAGCCCAAACCGACACCCTGGTTGTTTGACGCGTGGATAAGTAGAGTCAGATGTGCACGAATACCTGCCCGACTCACATTGTCACCGTTAGAGTACACTGATGGTTAGCTTGGTTAGAGAATAGCATGAGAGGCATGTACTGAGTCTGCAACACACGGTAATAGCTCCACAACTCTCTTCTGGTCACGAGCGGTTCATCCTTGCTAATGGACGAAATAGCGACCTGGTTCCCATCCTGCTCAGATGAGTCGTCTGACTTGATGTCCACGATCTGTTTCACATCACTGGGGAAGGCGATGGATACTAGGGTTTCTTGTGCAGGTGACGTCAACATGGCGGTCGCGAACAAGCCCAATACTCGGCGAACAAGGATGTAGGCGACAGCGTGATTGAGATCCATAAGTATGCGCTCTCTATCTGATGTATGATGATTATTTAAGCATACCTCATGGGCTTTGTCACGATCGTGGTCCTAAGGCCAATAGATCGGCGAGATGTACCCTTTTCGCGCCGAGGACCCACTAGTGCCCGCTTCTGAATCGAGATTTGTTTCCTCGGGGGGGCTTATCATCGTTCGCCCATTTTTCGGGAAGAGATATAGGAATTTGGACACAAAGCCATACTACTTATAGCCCCAGACAGATCTAAGAGATCGCTAGTTCGAGAACTATCGTTGGCAGTGACAGACTTCGGCAAAGGGACCAATAGCTGATGCAGTTCGGTTCCGCTGGGTGACGAACTGGTCAATAAGTATGGACCACGCCGAGAAAATCCTATGGACTGGAATGAGCACATGATAGCGACACCATGTTGATGGATGAGTCCGAGTCGTCCAACTGCGAACGCACAGCGCAGGCCCGAAGTTCCGCAGCGGCCCTTCTGCTATTGAGGAAGCTTCTATGGGATGCCGAGAGAATTGAATGAGCTGCCTTAAAAGTTAACAGTCCGAAATGATGCGAGTAGGCGCTTGCCGACGCATTGAAGGCCCACCATTGAAAGGGGTCATCCAAGGACCGACCAGGTCCTTGAAGACAACATATGTGACCTTGTCATCTATGTAGCTCCGGTGGAGCTACAAGGTGATATATGCGACTGTGGGCATACCCCGGCATAGAGTCCGAGTCGTGGAATATAACTGCCGATGCTGCCAGTATGTCGATTCAGAGCTGACTGATATTCTTTGCAACGAGTGACTCCAAGGTCGAAGGCATAGAGTGGTTTGACGAAAGGGTGTTGATGGAAGGATGGAGGGTGCGTCGGTCGAGTCTCGACAGTAGGGTGGCTAGTCAAAAGGCGAGTGGACAGGCAGCATGACGAACAAGATCCATGATGGCAGACGATCCTGGAATTTTCGAAGCGGGCTGGCCTGGAATATGTCAGCGCTGAGGTGGACGTTCTTCGTCCGACATGCAGTAGTTGTATTCCGAGACGACCGTCACGCAGGAGACGTGCTTCATGAGTTTGGCAAAGTGCAGGCCTATTTTGAGGCTCCAGGCCTGATACCATTGATATCCGTAACCCGACGACTTTGATGTGAGGTTCCGCTTCGCCAGCCTGAGGAGGTCTAGGTCGAACACGGGCAAATCTGAGATCTGAGGTCCGATCGAGGGGTCGACCTACTATATAGTGTGACCGTAGTTCTGAATGATGCATCTCTCTCTTTGAAATTGATCCCATATCCTCATGTTTCCTGTGTTCCTATTTCACCTGATCCGCGGGCCGCCCCGCAACATAACACGAATTACTCATCTTTTAGTATGTCTGTTGTGTGAGGTTCGGGTTCCTCGACGAGGAACTCGTCTTGTATTCGAGCCATGCTAACAACGTGGCCTGGTTTCGCCCTCAGAGGGTGTGATGTCATTTAACAATATACCCCGCAAACTTGCTGACACGGACAGCATGCATCCTAGATGCCCAAAGTTGCCCAAAAGAGGACACGTATAACTTTCGCCCTAGCGTGTACGCCCGCGCTGCTCAGCCGCCCACTTAACAGCATCCCTCCGCCCCTTCTTGACATCAACACCAAACCAGATCACCACCGAGGCAGACGTACACAACGCAAAGAGGAACGGGAACCCCTGCCAGTTGTTTCCTGTCTTGTCGATGATGGCCTGAATGACATTTGGCCCTACCATGGAAGAGGCGCGGTTGGACAGACCGAAGAGACCGAAGAACTAGCGAATGTAAGCGAACACCATGGAATAGGAACTACAAGAAATACACACCATATTTTCATAACCAGGCGGACTGAGCTCGGCCATCATCGTCTGAGAGAACGCGTAATAGGGCGCCTGGAAGATGCCAAACACAACATTGTATGCCCTGATAAGAATATAAAAACATGACAAGAAAAATGCGAAATCTTGACCGACCAGAACTCCCAGACGTTGTGGAACCTAATGCACTTCTTAGAGGGACGACGGCGAATGAAATAAAATGACACCGACCCAAGTTTATCTGTCCATATTCCAATCATACCCCACAGCGGAATAAAAATCGTGACAACATTTGTGACCACAAACTGTACCGTTCACAGTCAGATAAATAAATACATGAGAAACCTAGAGGTACGCACCATCTTCTTCGTGCTAATCTTCCAATATCTCTGGATGTACCAGAAGGCGAGAGTGCTGATCGTCGAAGTAATCGCCTGCGATAGGCCCAAGTATGTATTTTGCAGGAACGAGAAACTGAATTTATCGTTCTGACATATCGCCACGAGGGTTCCAGTGGTATTCAGTCCCTGTCCATGAAGATGTCAGATGCGGGTCGGTATAAAAACAATAAAGCAGTCCTTACGTCTGCAAGAAGGAAGAAGGAGAACAGATATACAAAGGTGTAGGGAAGATGCTTGTATGTCTTCAGCGCAGCCCAGATCTAATGTTCACTGTCAGTGGATTTCTCGCAGATATGCCATTCAATGCTCACCTGCTTCCATCCAACCGTCAGGTAGCGTTCGCCTTTAGGCAATTTAGGGCCTGGCCTGGGTTCCTGGAAGACAACTTGAGAGTTCTCAGCAGGAAGCCCGGAAGATATAAGCTAAGATATACGCACACCACCAGATACCTAGTACCACCCAATACGTGTTTACACTGCACATCAATCAGTATAACAACACGAACTCTCAAGCGGTAGAAACTCACAGCATGAGGACATAATTGTCCACCTTGGAGTTGTTGGCCATGGGCAGTAAAAGCGCTAAGTTCAGCACAAGCGTGATCACATATCCCACATTACTATGAACCTGTACCGAAGGATGGTCAGTTTCCGACGCCAAAACGTAGCCCCTGCAACGCACGGTAGAGATATTACTAATTCTATTCTTTTCCAGCGACTCCTCCTGCTCGTAAACCTCAGGAGGAATCTCGCCATTTTCGTACTTCTCTCTCAACTGGCGTGCATGTGGGGTATTTCGCGCGAGGCGAGGAAATACCGCAGCATAGAAGACCAGAGTAGCGCCATATGAGACGAAACCGGTGATGTACAGAACCATCGCAAGGACCCATCGGTTCGGTGCTGCACAAAACGATCAGACGTCACGGGAAACATGGGACACCCAGAAACGCACAGGTAAGCGCCATACAAGCATACTGTGCTGCCCAGCATACCACTGTGACCGCGAACAACAACCACCGTCCGAATGTGCCGTAGTCAGCAGCAGAACCGATAGTTGTGAATATGGCTGTCATAATAGCAAAACTAACACCATTTGCAGTCAACACCACAGCTGGAAACTGACTTGGTTCCGCTACCCCAGGGAACCTACACATTGGACCAGAAGCAGTATCTTGCAAGGCAGGATGAGCCAGGGCCTGCAATGGGATCATAGCCCGCGGCTGTGGCAAGCCCCTGGAATAGGGTTTGTGTATAGCCCAAAGGACCAACACCCTGGTTGTATAGGAGCGTGAATATGTAGATGCCCCTGAGTATACTCAACCGACCTACATTGTCACCGTTATAGTACACTGATATTTAGCTTGGTCAGAGAATATCATGGGAAGGCCCGTGTACTGAGTCTGAAACGCACAATAGTAGCTCCACAATTCCCTTCTGGTCACAAGCGGCTCATCCTTGCTGATGGAAGAAATAGCGAACCTGGTTCCCATCCTGGTCAGATGAGGCATCTGACTTGATGTCCACGACCTGTTTCACATCAGCGGGGAAGGCGATGGGCACTAAGTTTTCCGGTGGAGGTGACGTGGACATGGCAATCGAGAACGAGCCCAATATACCGCGTCAAACAGAGAACAAGGATGCAGACGACAATCGTGATTGAGGCCATATGTGCCCTCCGTCTTAAGTATGCACATGTGTATGCCCGATTCGACATAGTTAAGCTTGGGTTAAACGTACCTAATGGGCTTATCACATGTAGTAATGGTCACAAGGGCGAAACGCCGTTGATAAGTACTTATGTACATGTATATGGGTGATCCTTGCCTAATCCTTGAGCCACCATAATCTTGATCAGGCTTCATGCGGTGCTAGCCTGACTGGCGAGATATACATACCATTTTAAATTTTGTTAGATGCTCAGGCACATCCGAGTCGCGGTCTCAGCGCTCACTTCAGAATCGAGCTTTGTTTCCCGAGAAGGCATCCGATGTCATATTCTTCGGAATCGACAGAAATTTGGACACAAACTCATACTTCTAGTCGCAGACAGACCTTCGCCAGTTCGAATCATCGTTGACACTAGTACTGGGGTCGAAATTGCAGGTGGCTGTGCTCCGACAAGGCGGGCAACATGTGCAAAGTCGCTTGTTTATTACTTACCGTCACTGACTCACGGTGGAGCGTGGACTCACCAGCTAGACTATCGCTAAGCACTGCGAGTACTACGGAGAATGTTCGGACTGACGCTGGCGGATCTTACCCTGACAGGTATGGTGGATCTTTGGTGACTGTTCGATTTCATAGACAGGACCTGCCTACAGTGTTCTATCCCCATCTCGGGCAACGTTAATTTCGTATAGACGGCAGTCGAATGGTGCGTCCTGACATCTACAAGATTTTCCTTAGTTCCTGCGCAAAGACGAGACAAGCACCCCCGACAGCGCTTGAGGTTACTCGTTGTGCTGTGTTTCTACTTCAGCAGCAGTAACCGCCATCATGTAACCCTTTCAAAGGCTGGATGACGGTTGTAATTTGCAATCGGAGCGCACAATATTACATCGTGTTATACTTTTTGCGCCCCCTAGCTGTTACTGGGCTATAGTATTGACAGTTTTGCATCAATGTTCTTCTCTAGGGATAATGATACCTACGTGACGCTACTGCAAGAAACGATCATTTCTCTCTCAACAGTCTCTAGTACGCATCCCCTTTTGTACTATGTTTCTCTGTCCTATGGCGCCGAGCTATAGGTCTCCAGCCATTCTTGATAACATCTATAACCGTACTCCGCGTCCGCCAGCATTTGAATCAGGAGCTCCCTGTTCTTCGTCCTCCAAGTCCTTTATGAGTTCTTCATCTGGGCTAAAAGATTTGATTTTCTCTTTACTCAACACCTGCTTTGCCACATGCTCCCTCCACGTTTCCCAAACTCTTGTATCATTTGGAATCATGCACTCCTAAAATCTTCCTCGGCTTGAAGTTTGCAGCCGATTTCTTTCGACATATCGACATCTGGATGCAAGGCGAAGCAAGTACACGCCGCTTGTGACCCTCTATTGGGGAGAGCAAGTTTCGTGATCTGTGGTTTACCGAGTGATTTCCACAGCAGGTCTGTCTGAATCTTCTCTTTCTCCAATGACTGACAGAAACGAATTGTATGCCCAAGACACCGCAAGTGACGACACGAACATGATCTGGCCGAAAAGTGTCGCTCGAGGAACGAGGAGAAGTTGAACAAGGAATTGTGACAAAAGCAGGAGCGAGCAGACACCAATGGTGTTGAACTGTTCACCACCATCCATGTCCAGCACGAACTTGGACTTCGTTATCGACGTGACATCTTTCTCTGTGCCCTTCAAGATCACAACATCGTTGCGCATCAAAAGTAGTCCGTCTCCCCGCGGCGCATAGGATGAAGGTTTGATGAGCTGGAAATGCAGCCTCCCCGAACCAATGACGAAGCAAGACAGGCCACTAGAAACCATGCCGAGGACGATCAGCCCAAATGCGAGCCAATCACGAACGAACGCGCAAGCGAGGCATGTTGCGAGACTGCTGGTGATGGGTACGGCAGCGTACAGCGCATGATAAACCTTCATCATTGGTACCTCGCCTCCTTGCTGCAATTTCACGTTGTCGACATCTAGTATGCTCACCGAACCCGGTGCGGTTATTCTTCCTCCGAGCTGGATCTGCTCCTTGGTCTCCTTTGCCTTCTGGGCCGTGAGGTATGCGAGGTGACCTGTAGTTGACATATCCGTGCCCGAGAACACTCCGATAAAGCGTGGCCCGTCCTTCCCATCCAGCCCAAACATTTCTTCGGGCGTTAGGTTGGGTCCGGGAAAGATGCCATCCCAGAATCGTGAGTTCGCTAGCTGCCCAAATTTTTTGGCAACAGTGTAGCTTCCCGGAGAGTTGTACCACCCAAGCCAACGTCTGCCTCGGTAGAGATGGACAGTGGCCATCGCGGAGAGCGCTTCTTCCCCGCCGAAGAACCCCATAACACCAGAGGTATCAAGGGTAAAGGACGCCTTATCAAGTGGCAAGTCGATATACATCCTGGAACGCTTGGGTGCTGCCCCCTTCAAATTTTCTGTACTCTTATATAGTACGTACCAAAAGCACTGCGCAGTTCCTGTGGCGGCAGCCTTTGTGATGACCGCGGCTACACGGGAGAATAGGTGTACCCATGGTTTAAAGTAGCCGTACAGGACGTTGTTGTTGCGTGGGGAACCTCATTGTTGATCTCTTTGATCCCCGTGGTTTGCCCTGTCAGAATGCGATCCTGGATCACGAGAAAGTATATAAGAGTACATAAGGCTGTTTCAGATTTCCCTAGTGCACAGCTGCCACTCGCCTAGAAGCGGAAAATCCTTCCCTGATAAAAACCTTAGCACTTTGCATAAGTCGAACGTGATGTACAAATTCTACGTTCTACTACGAGCCGTCGCACCCAGACACGTTTCACATTTCATCATCTCGTCGGGAGGAAAGCATTAAAGAGGGTTGGGTTGGGGCATTAGGCAAATCCCGAACACTGTTCGATGAGATACTTTTGCGGCTTGGCCTGAAACTTCCGCTCACTGCGCTGTACCGCCTCTACGGTATACGTTCCGAATCCTTAGCGCATAGCGATTCAGATGGCACCTCCGGGTTTTGCGTTCATCCCCCGAAATCTATCCAAGGATAGGAAACAGCAAGGCACCTCCGCTCAGGTACCCTCGTCACATAGGTTTGAACCAACACTTGCTATTGAAAGAGAGCCAGCGTACCCGGGACCGTCCGTGATTGGCAAAGGGAAAGGCAAAGCGCCTGAACCGACACCGTCAGCAAAACCAGTCTACAATGAGAAAGATATATCCATTCTTGTTGTTCTCGCGTTCTCGGACCATGCTCTTTGGATTGACTCAGATTTGAGGAGAAAAACCGAAGAATCTCTTCAGAACGAGGAGCATGATGCTGGATGTACGTTCCATTTTCATACGCGTCCACTGGCAAGATTTATGTATATATGCAGTTTTACCTCTCAACTACTTGATGCGTCGCGCTTTTGTCAGGGAGAACTTGGGCCAAGAACATATGCCAACTGAAGCAAACGTGGTTAAGGCAATCCGGACCTACGCTGGCGACATGCTGGATGTTAGAATGCTTGTATCCGCCCCATCTTCGTCTGCATGGTACCCTTCCTGGAAGACGGAGAGGAACTCAGTTGGTGGTTATGAGGTACGGAGGAAGGACTGGCCAACGTTGTTGGATAATGCGACTCGTGAATTCACTCGGGGCCAGTGGGATGATCGTACTATTTACATGGTAAGTGTTTCTTTCTGACAGAGGACTATAATCTGACGATCGTAGGAAAATATACCTCCGCAATATCACACAATACCTGGTATCATCCGATTTACGCAAGAGTTACTGTCTCAATGTCCTGGATTACAAACCCCGATTCCAATTCAAAATGTCACGCTTCCCCCACATCACTTGGACAAATCCGAGGACCGTCCAAAATGCAAAGGATTCGCACTCGTTACACTATCTAACGCAGAGTCATGTCGTGCGTTTCTCGAAACATGGCCTTGGAAACGGTCAATCCAATCGTCCAAGTCAGACGACTTTGGTGTTGCTGAAGATAGCTTGGAGACAAAGGAAGCTTCGAAGTTCGGTTTTCGGACTCTACCGAAAGCGCATTGGGATAAATTGAACGAGGAGTATCTTGCTTACCGCCAGAAATTAATCGAAGAGCTCGCGGATGCCAATGAATTCCCAGATATCAAAGCTGGCTCCGATGTACGAAGCACCCCCTGTGAGGTTTTAGAGGACAGCATCCCTGTCCCACCTAAGAACATGACAACTATGTCCTCACCGTACCCCTTTGGCTGTCTCGTCTTTGCCCGAAATCTTCACCTCGAAACAAACAAGACCACACTTCGAGCCCTGTTCAGTGCTGCGTTCAAGTCCCCTCTAGATCCCGCCGGTATTGACTACGTCGATTTCAACAAAGGGATGGACTCCGTGAGTCTTCAGTACTTCATGAATACGCACGCTCACAACGTAACAGTGCTATCTTCGGCTTGCCTCGCCTGAGCATGCCTGTGCTCTAGTTGACTACTTCTTTGGTCAAGCCATCATGCAGTCTCACGGTCTTGACGACATGGGCAAGAATCCTGCAACATCCCAGAAGGCAATAATTATGGAGATCATTGCAGGCAAGAAGGAGGAAGTCTATTGGGAAAAAGTTCCGGAGAAAGTCAGGCGACAGGCGGTGGAAAAAGCGGTCAAGGGTCTTCGTGGCAATGAGCCATCGGTTCCCGCGCGCAATATGCAAGAGCATTCCGAGGAAAACGGGCCGCGGAAAAAGAGGAAATGTGGGTAACCACTCGGCAGATTCTGCGGCGCATCAACGTCACCAGCTCAGGCTGCAAAGTTGGCAGCATTGATGAAATATACTGGAAAAGTTACGCATCCGACAGTTCGCCGTGTGAAGCATCAAAACGATTTTGGTTCTACGTGTCCAGGCTACCGGAGACAAAACCTACACATTTGACATTATAAGCGATTTACGATCTCGTTCATTGTAAGTCTGTCATGCACGTTGGTGCACCAGCACTTCTCCAACAGGGCCCACAACGCATCATCCAGACCTCGTTCTGCAACAACCGGGTTCGTGGGTCTTCGTGGAGTCTCGCCTTGACAGACCTTAAGAATTACTTGAGTTGCGAGACGCACTGACACCCAAGGCTCTTCGTGGGTCATAAGCTGAAAAGGCTGTTAAAAAAGCTGGTCGGTATACTGGTTTTGTTGGACGTACCTCGAGTGCTGTCATACTAAAGGCGTAGACGTCAGACGCCATTGTACGTTTACCTCCACTCCTACACAGTTCAGCAGGACACCATCTCAGTGATTCCTGGTTTAGAGTGCTGCCATTGCTGACGTCGAAGTAACTCATAATTTCCTCCTCGAGCTATAATGGTTGGGAATAAGTCAGCGCACAGTGATCGACCATGAGTGGAGACATTACCCTTGTGAAACCAAAGTTAGACAGCAGTGGTCTGCCGTCCGGGCTGATGACGATGTTGATCTACAATGAGGTAAGGATTTAGCTATCGGTCACTACTAGTCACGGCTTACCCCTTTGATGTCACCGTGAACAACAGACATGCTGTGCAATAACTTCATGCCTTCAGCGACGCCTTTCAACTACGAAATCAAAAAGCTGCTTTCCTCAATGAAAGGTAAGGTATGTACCATATATCGGTGGTCAACTTCGGGGTGTTCGTTGACGTAGTCGTTCAAGGTCCCATTAGACATCCAGGGACTTACTGTGTAACTGCTACATTGTTAGGAATAGAAATACGGGTCTCTGAAGGGAGGAAAGACTCACGGATAGTCCCCGTCGCTTTGACAGAAACCGTATATCGTAAGGATGTGCGCTCCTTTGTCAGCTTCGAATATCCTTCTCCAAATTTCCGCTTCTGCCTTGAACCTCTGTAAATTAAGTCATTGAGCGCTCACAACAACACCAATACCAGGATACTGCACCTTGAGCGTTTTGGGCGTGGCATAGACCGCGCGCAGGACTCTGATGGCAACCTTCTCCTCGTTGAGGTAGCATCCTTCCCAAACATCGGTTCGGCTTGTTCCATTCACAGCATAGTTACTGGTACGCTTCACTTCCCCACGTTTCAGATCCATGTTCGGGAGTAAAGTTCTGGATTTTTGGAGAAGATTGTACAAGTTACTTTGCAGACCGTGTTCAGCTGTTGTAGAGACATGTCCAAGATTCTGTCAATGAGAGTGAGATGAAGAGTTCACGAGACCAAGGAATATAGTATCAACCTCTTGCATCACCGTCAATATCTGGTGCACGACTGCAGTTTGTTGCATTTGTGCGTCCACGAGAAGCTCTTGTGTGTTTCTGAGGTCTCCGAGATATTGGACGATATATTCATTGTCAATCCTTTGGTTCTCTTCGAAGGCAGACTGCCATCTGTGAATCTCCAGATGTGAGGTTATCTAGTTGAATTAGCGAATGTAATCATAGCTGAGGAACAGACTCCTTGTGCTTACCTGTAACTTGTTTAAGCAATCAGATATTTCAAGATGACATTGTTGTATGACTCCGGCGAGTTCATCTTGTTTGGCGAACAGTCTGACTCTAGACATCAAGCACCATGGAGTCATTCTTTCGAGGATGCCCTGAATGGTGCTGACTAGGTCATCAGTTGCTTTCCAGACGACCATATCTGCAGCGCTACCAACCTTTGTGCGCTTAAGCAAATCCTTGTTTTCTCATCCGGTGCCATGGCTTCGCCTTCGCTCTTAATAATGGCCAAGAAACTGAGGCAGCGTTCTTCGAGTAGTCGCATGCCATTCCTGTCATAATAGACCTCGTAGTCAGTCTGCTGGGAAGAACGGTGCGGCGAAATGTTGGCTACTTGTTGGACTCTGCTCTAGCCAGAATGTTGATGAGGGTACTCAGAGCATTAAATGCTGGAGCCAACCATGGCAATGGGGTAGACTGCAATGCCTGAGACAGCCCCGAAGCGGGATTGAGGTGAAAAGAGGACGTGTAAGTGGCCATGATGGCTTGAAAGTTGTCAGAGGCTCTTGGTCGATATAAAGCCCGGATTATAGATCGTTCGTGTATGAGAGTGGGTGTCGGAAGCTGGGGGTTGCATCTTGCTCAAGCACCTCTAAATTTATATCATTTGCTGTGGAGCGGCAAGCGAAATATTACAGGACTTGTTGACGCACCAGTGAACACAGCTTGTATTCTACGGGCACTGCCAATCAGTTGTTCCGGGGGAACTTGTCTATAGAAGGTACGACTGTCAGAATCGGCCCCTTCTACCTAGGGAATACCAGGAACTTGTCGACCCCACTTATCGTTGAAGCTGAAGGACAACGTCACTAAATGCAACTCGCCAAGACTAGCCCTCATTGATTACGAAAAATAACAGGAAAGCAAGATGAAAGCGGAGAAACTACCCGAGCAAGTACAACGAACAGTAAGCGTAAACATGTGGAATTACTACGTCGTGATATATTTATATCTATAAAGCATCGTCACGATCTGCATGTAAGGAACGATTGCATTCCTTTTGATCAGTCTAGGGAGCTGCTATGTTTCCCCGTCCGCATGAAGTCTATCCCTGATGCGCATTAAGGCCCTTCCAAGTTCGTTGGAACCTTCGCCTGAAGGACCTTGCCCCCAGTACAAATTAGGATCGGCATACACAATATCAGCAAGATGTGTGCGCAACAGCAAACTTCGAAGATGCGGATGTTGCTTGAATTTGAGATATAGCACATCTTCCATCTGCAGACAAATAGTTAGAGGACGTTAATCCATCAGAACATCAATGAAACAGCCTCACAATCTTCAAGAATACCAGGCCCCAATCTGGTCGCACGCGATCCTGGAAACTGGCTGACAACGGGTACATGTCACCGACATCGGTGCACGTTCGTATACGCTCCTGGAGCTCGGGGTGTTCCGTAAACTTCATCGCCTCAAGGAGGTGCATCGCAGTCGGATACATCTTATTTCTATATAACACTCGGTGTGGCGAGTGATTCACAAACCCGCTCAGCTCACCAATATGGTCGAACTTGACGGGTGGTCCGCGATCGGGAACCGGCATATCTCGTAGTGGGGCGTTTCCAGTGTGTGTGTTTGCCCCATGGGGTATGGCTGCAGATGCAGGTATAACGAAGGATGTCACGGTGTTGGAACGATGAAGACGACTGCCAGATTCGCTCTCGCTGCCTGATGTACTGAAAGCGCGAAAAAGTCCCTTGCGCGATTTACCCTTGCGTTTACTAGAACCAAATAGGTTTGCTAGACGGGATGTCGGACCTGCTGGCTGAGCCAGCATGTTTTCCATTTCCTCCATGTTTTCGACATTCAAGGAGAGGGTGATATCCTTCGGGAGTTCCTGTAGAACTTGGCGATATGGGGTAGTGTCCCATATATCTCTAGGTGGAGAGGGAAGGGGATTTCTCCTTCGGATGGGAGGGACGGTTGGTGGTCTAAATGGTACATCATTCACATAGGGCTCAGGCATGGAAACGGGGTGATCTGCTGGGCGGTAGAAGTCGGTGAATCTTGGACGAGATGATGAATTAGCCGCACGCTGTGCGTCGGTTAAGACAGGGGGAGGAGGAACAACGGGTTCTCCTTGTCGAGCAGTCATATCGGGGATCACGGGGCCTGGAGTCGCCCGACTGTTTACATGTGGCTCGGGCATGCGTGTCGTTGGTTGTGAGTAAGCTCGTTGCGTGTCACTTAGGATGGGAGGAGGAGGGAAAACGGTGTCTCGTGGGGGTTGCGCATTAATTATGACAGGGGGAGGAGGAACAACGGGATCCCGCCGAGCAGTCACATCGGGTATCACGGGGCTACCAGCCACCTGGTTGTTTGTATATGGCTCTGGCATGCGTACTTGCGCCCCTGCAGTGGGTGCAGATGGGATGACTGGTGCATTTTGAACGGCAGCAACCGGAACATATGCTTGTGGCATAGCCAGAGGTTGCTGCATAGGAATCATCGCCACTGGGTAATACGCGCTCATTTGTGGGTACGCGGGTTGTACCTGTGGGTCTTTTCATCCGCCACCATTAGGGAACGGCTACTCTCCCGAGACTATCACGCACAATACTGATATCCATAGGCTGCAGGCGGAAAGCCATTGGGGAACTGCTGATACATGGGATGTGCTTTCTCTTTTCCTTTCTTCGTCTTGACTGAGGTCCAGGTTGAAGACATTCCGTTTGAGCTGACGCTTGGAACTGGAAAAGGATACGGTGTGTGCTTTGAGGAGCCAGCGCCCATGGTGGCGATGTCTGTCACGGATATGCGTAAGTGATTATCGATTATCTATAAAACACGAGTATCGAGGTTGGTGCGATTGTTATAGTTTAGGATACGAGGACCACTGATGCAAGGTAAATGCCAGGATTGAACCGTGGGCATGAGTAAGTTTGTCGTTCTATTACAAGAGTAAAAGTTCAGAAACTCAAGCAATCCGGAGTTGTTTAGAGAGTATCAGTGGCTAGGTCAAGGGTATCCAAGTCATGTACAACATTAATGAACATTCCCTCGATATGAAATGTGAGAATGTGGGCAACGTATCATTTCTGCACTACTAGCCGAGCCGGCATCCAACATGAACTTGGCGCGCACAAAAAAGGGTTTGCAATCGGTAGCTAGTGAACAGTAGATAGAGCAATCAATCGTAGCGAGAGCCTCTGCGTCGAGGTGGGCTCCTTGATCGCGAACCCGACGGTGACCGTTTCCCACCTCTGCCTCCCCGGCCACCTCGGTGAGGTGGTGAATCACGCCTCGGAGGCGGACGTCTGTCTGATTCTCTGTTGCGGTCAAAGTCGCGATCTCTTCCAGCAAAGTCTCCGCCTCGTCCACCACCACCTCCCCCTCTTCCTCGTGGGCCACTGGGGGGAGGAGGATTGGAGTCCCCTCGCCAATGACCCCCGCCTCGGCCGACGGGGGCTGCTGCTCCCCATCCTCCATCGCCCTGTCGTGGAGCTGGTGCGGATCTCCACCCATTTGGAACTGGGGCCTTGGCAGTAGTGTCTGCCTGGGTAGCTGCGGCCACTGCAGCCGCAGCGGCTTTTGGAAGGATGATAGAGACGCAAAGATAGTCTCCTGGCACGAATCGAAGTTCATCAAGCGTTCTCTCCTCTTTCTCCCGCTCTGTCTGTTCTCTGGATTCGCCATCCGTGTCGTTGAGCAGGCGTGCCGCGGGGCTGTCAACGGTACCTGGCTCGCCTAAAATGTCGCGAGAATAGACCATACCGAGTTCTTTCTGTGCAAAGCGCCCTCTGTTTGCCGCATCTGCATATATAGCGCGGAAGGAATAACGAGCAAGAGGGTGGCGAAGCTCTGCTATCTGGGGTGCAGCATTTCGGAGCGTTGTCAGTACTTCGCGCAAAGTCGCGTCTTTCCTGGTGGCGGCGTCAAAGTAAAGTCAAAATCAGCACACCTGCATGCATACCAGGTGTAAATCTGTTGTTCATCCGTGGTTGGTAGAGTATTTTCCTCAAACAAGGACAGTCTGTGGAAGGATCCAACTTTTACGAAAGTTCGGATGAGGAATGGGGCCGTCTATTAGAAGAGAAAACTGAGATCAACTGCAAAGGGTAGGAAATCTTGAAATCACCTTCTCTCTCTCGACAATAGGCTGTCCCGCTGGGGTCGTTGTCTCTATGTCGGCCATTTTATTGAGACGTTGCAGATGCGCTTGAGACGTGGTTAGTAGACCTCAGATGCTTGCTTACATAACATGTACCATTTGGGGCAAGGCTTGGCGTGCGCCGCCAGCTTTCTGTCCCGCACAGGCCTGCTAGTCAATTATCTCAATACTTTTCGGCTGGATGGAACCCAGGGCAATACGTCTCACATTCCTTATCCACCCCTGCAACACAACATGGGCCAGGGAAGATGTCGTTCCTGGACACTCTTATGACTGTAGGACTTCTGGTCGCTGTATACTCTCTTATTGGACTCAACATTACTGGAGCTTCAGCTGTGACGCCTCTTCATAACCTCTTCTTTGTACCCCTTACCCAGCCGCGAACCCGACGTTCTTTGGACTGGCGTGAATGTTTGGGCTCACATAATAGCCTTATCCCGAAAATTCACCACATCTTTTAAGTTTCAGGTCAGTAACGGTGATACAAACTTTGTCTATCCATCTTGTCCTATAATTTATCAGACACGTGTTTATGTCTAAGTTTACCGGCTGTGGGAGAGATACATAGTAGGGCGTAATCATCCTGACGAATTAAGTTATGCTATCGCCATCTCCGGACTCGTGGCATATGCATATACTCCAGACTGCTGACCAGCTGACGAAGACGCGCTCAGGAAGTCATCCTCCTGCATGTAATCCCACAAGACGGATATTTAAAGACGAGAGCAGTGGACTTCTGATACAGACACTTGTCTTACTCAGGCCTTCACACTACCACCATGGCTGGTGGTTATGAACTTCTGAAGAGTGGAGATGACGGTGAAGTCCAGTCACCCAAGTCTTATCGCACTACACGCCGTGTTGCAATCGGTCTCGTCGTGTGTCTGGCGTTGGTGACCCTTTCTTTTCTGCGTATTCAGCATCCCTTATCAGTAGATCTGGGAGCACAAGATACCTCTGTAACTCATGACGGAGACTCAGTGAAGATATGTGCTTCACCTACACCCCCTGCTGCCCGTCCCCCAGCCCCGATTAATCCTTGGGCTACTCTCACTATCGAACAGACCGTTCAGATCCAGAAGTGGTTGGAGCAGCCTGCCCAGGCCCTTAACCTGACGCGTGGGGTTATATCGAAGCCTTCCGACAACCATATCTTCATGATAGAAGCGTACTACCCACCTAAATCCAGCGTTCTCAGTTACTTTTCATCATTGTCCCCATCGGCCATTCCGGAAAAATACGCACGAGTCACAATCCACCACGGTTCCGCACCGGAACCTGTCGTAAAGGATTATCTTGTTGGACCACTTCCAATTGGATCGTCTACTCGCATGCAGCATTTGACGGAGATATACCATCTCGACGCCATTCCGCACAATGCACGTGCCTTTGATACCCGTGACTGGACTACTCCGGAAATCTTCGAAAAGATGGCCGCTCCGTTAATGGAAGCATACGAGGTCACTCATGCCATCTCGTTTATTATTGCTAGCTTACAAGGGCTTGGTCTTAGGAACTCTTGGGTGGTACACCCCAGGATACTCTTACCACGGCCGGCAGCGGGCCTTTCAGCTTTGACGGTTCATTCAGACGTCTGTGGCTTGGGTGGCGGCGTAACACTCCCGGCTTCTTCTTACACCCGCTCAATCTTTATCAGTACATCGACCTCAGCGGTACCGATCCCTCGCAGTGGGAACAGTTAAAGGTGTGTTCTTACACCTCATCTCGACCTCACGCTAAATCGGTCTTAGATCGTGTACAATCACCAAGTCTTTGACTCCGCCGAATCATTCATGGAAGCATTCCACAATGGCAGCCTCAAGCGTGTCCCTGTTGTTGACCCTGACACCGATCTGTCGTACAGTACTCGTAAGCGTATCGGAGCCCAACGCGATCTCGACCATCTTCCTGGACCTCGTTCAGTGTCATTTGCTGGTCTGAGATTCAGAGTAGATCGTGATCTTCAGTATGTTAGCTGGATGGGTTGGGGCATGTATCTCGGTTTCGATAGAGACATGGGCTTGAGCTTGTGGGATATCAGGTTCCGCGATGAACGCATTGTTTATGAGGTAAGGTGTACTCGACGTAACCATTCATTTCTGCAATAATCTGATCTTCGCACAGCTCAGGCCCCAGGAAGCTCTTGCACAAGTATGGTGGGCGATCTAACGCTGGTTTCCACATTCCATTTCGTCTGATAGTTGTTCCCCAGCCGGTAATGACCCATTCCAGTCAACGACTGCTTGGCTCTGACCGCTACTTCGGGATGGGTCAATCCGTCCGTGACATGTTACCGGGCTATGACTGTCCACATGAAGCTGTGTATTTGCCAGCGACCACGTACTCAGGTGGCGGGAATAACCACGCGAGAGCGTGCAATCTGTGTCTTCGAGCACGATAGCGGTCGCCCTCTTACGAGACATCTTGGTTATGAAGAAAATGAGTTTGGCGCAGTGAAAGGCTACGAGCTCGTGATCAGAAGTATTGCTACAGTTGGAAAGTGCGCGAATTTGTCTCTTGTCTGCACGATGACGCTGAAACTCTCACCTTAGTTATGACTATCGTAAGTGCAGTGCTTTGTGATTTTTGCCATGTTGACTAAATTCCGCGTTGCTTGCTGTAGTGGTGAGTGATGATAACGAAATGCTATTTTTATCACTGACCTGATCATTTGCAAAGTTTGACTATATTTTCCATCTTGACGGAACTATCGAGGTCCGTGTCTCCGCCTCCGGCTATCTGCAGGCTGGTTTCTACGACGAAACACAAGGAAATTATGGGAACCGGATCTGGGAAACCAGCAGTTTGTATTCTTCATTCATCCCCTATACTGATCTGATGCATTGTTACCAGTGGGCAGCCTGCACGACCATGTTATCAACTATAAGGTCAGGAGCTTTCCCGCGGTATATTCATGACGATGACGATTCATGACAGGTCGACCTCGATGTGGCGGGAACAGCAAACTCGCTGTTAAAGACCACTTTGAGCCAAGAGGTCATTACCCAGCCTTGGTACCAGGATGACTGGGGAGATCAAGTTATCCAACAAGTAGTCACGCGAGAGTACATCGACGACGAGAACGACGCCTTGTTGAAATTCCCAACTAACTTCCAGGGAGGCTATTCAATCGTCAATCAAGAGGAGACCAACAAGTGGGGAACCCCGAGGGGATACGCGATCCATCCAGGATACTCTCCAATTCACAATGTGCGTGTGTTATTGAAGATGCTATGATCAAGTCTGAGTTTTGGATGGCAGACGGTCGTTGGTTCTAAGCGGCTCCTGAAGAATGCGAACTGGGCGCGCTACAATCTGGCTGTCTCCCGTCGCAAGGAGACAGAACCGTCCTCGAGCAGCTTGTGGAACTTCAACTTGCCAGGAAACCCTCCTGTCGACTTCCATAACTTCTTCGACGGAGAGAATATCACACAAGAAGATCTGGTTGCCTGGGTGAACCTTGGCATGCATCATCTCGTTAGTGCCATGCTGCACGAAGTATGCCATGAAGCCTCATTATTTTCATTTTTCCAGCCCCAATCGGAAGACGCACCTAACACACGAACGAACACAGCGGCATCGAGGTTGGCATTGCGAACCTCTATTATATGGGGATAAGAGCTAATCAACAGTCGAACAGCTTCTTCTTGACGCCCCTCAACTACTTCGATCACGATGTGTCCATCGAGTCGACCAACGCTGTCCTCCTGAAGAATCCAGAAAAGCCTGGCGATCCATTTACATATAATGACTACGGTGTTCAGCCCGCTCACTGCCTGCCGGAACATCCGTCACCCTTCGTGTACCATCCGGCGAAGATGTTTGACCTAGAAGGGAAGCCTGCACCTGCTTCGTCGATTGAAGAGATGCGTAAGGCCTCGGAATTGTATCATCGCATCAAGCTTGAGTTGTAAAGCGATAAAACCTTATCGTAGATGGGGGAGTGGGGTGGTGTAGTGATCAGGTAGCTAACTAACTATGTAACTCATTTGCAACATACCTAGGCGTATCATTCTATCCATGAATCTATTAACGGAAGGAAGTTCAATTCCTGGTTCATCTATCATCTTGAGCTGATTCCGCGTTTAGCTAGACAGCAGTCAGGTGCGTGATGGTGCACATGGGACTGAGGTATTTATGGTTTAGCGTCGTTTCCAGTCATTTCAGTCGCACGTGTACTTATCTCTTCATCTTGTCCACCACCATGGTCAAGAGATACGAGCAGCTCAAGGCTGTCTCCTTGGATGAAACCAAGCATGAGCCAAGGCGAGCGCCGAACAGGATCACTTCTCATCGTCTTGGCGTCGCATTCATTGTTATTCTTGTACTGGCTTCGCTGACCGCTATCCAGGTCAGACCCCCTACTTCACGCTCCGAATTAGTTTTCGGGGAGTCCGAGGCACATGTGGATAGCCCCAGCTACGATGAGGACATTAAGATTTGTGCATCCAATATTCCACTTCCTGCTCGCCCGCCGGCTCCGATTAATCCATGGGCTTCTCTAACCATTGATGAGACGGTGGAAATCCAAAATTGGCTCCTAAGTCCCGAGATCAACCTAAACCTCACGCGAGGAGATGCGGCTCGGCCGTCTGATAACTCAATCTACATGATACAGACATACTATCCTCCCAAGACTGACGTTCTCAAGTACTTTTCAACTTTGGATCCTCATGATGCACCTTCAAGGTTCGCTCGGGTCACGATTCACCATGGTGCGGCCATGGAACCTGTGATTAGAGATTACCTCGTCGGGCCACTCCCTGTCACGCCGACTACAGAGATGACGCATTTGACGGAAATTTATCATACCGAAACTCTTCCCTATAACGCACGAGGATATGATGCCCTTGACTGGAATCTGCCAGAAATTCATACCAAGATAGCAGCTCCGTTGATGGATGCGTACAAGGCCAGTTTTTTTTATCGTCTGCCTTACTTGGTCTTCCTTATACGCTCTCAGGAACTTCTGGGGGGTTTACCAAACGATACTATTGTTGCTGGAGGCAGTGGGCCATTCGGTTTCGACGGTTCGTTTAGGCGCTTCTGGTTAAACTGGCAAAGAGACACGCCTGGATTTTGGCTGCACCCACTGAATCTTTGGCAATATATCGACGTCAGCGGTACCGATCCTTCAAAATGGGACCAGCTGAAGGTAAACCTTGTTTCGGTTTTTTTTGAACGTTCTCGGTTTGAACCAGTGTCCGTAGATCGTTTACAATCACCAAGTATTCGATACAGCAGAATCATTCATGGATGCGTTCCATAATGGTACACTCAAACGCGTGCCTCCAGTGACGGAGCAAGAAGAGGACCTCTCTTGGAGTACACGAGAACGTATCGGTCCCTTACGTGACCTCGATAATCTTCCCGGACCTCGTTCCGTATCTTTTGCTGGGTTGCGGTTTAGGATTGATTATGATCTGCAATACGTCAGTTGGATGGGCTGGGGACTCTATCTAGGTTTTGATCGCGACATGGGATTAAACTTGTGGGATATTCGCTTCCGAGATGAGCGAATTATATACGAGGTAATCATCTATTATCCGCTGCGCTACTTTGTCTGTTAGACTAACATCCAAATTAGCTCAAGCCTCAAGAGGCATTGGCACAATACAGTGAATTTTCGCTGATTCTGGACCGAAATGCATATATCTGACTTGTGTAACACAGCCGGAAATGATCCTTACAAGTCGAGCACCGCCCTACTGGACTCGTACTTTGGCATGGGGCAATCGGTCCGCGACCTTCTTCCAGGTTACGATTGTCCAGATGAGGCGATTTATCTTCCAGCTACAACTTTTTCCGCGACAGAGATGATGACCAGGAAGCGGGCTATATGTATCTTTGAGCAGGACAGCGGACGTCCTATATCAAGACATCTTGGTTTTGAGCGCAGTGAATTTGGTGCGGTGAAGGGATATCAACTGGTCATTAGGAGCATCGCCACCGTTGGAAAGTAAGTGGCATAATATGAAGGTTCTCTGGAACGTGTGCGCTCAACATATTGCATTTAGCTACGATTACTGTGAGTAGCATGATATGCTTCCGACTTCGAAGTTTTGACGTCTATTAACCTTGCTTTACTAAGTGGTAGGTGTTCCACGCTTGGTATAGTGATCCTATATATGATCGAGCTTTTCCCAAGTTTGAATATATTTTCCATATCGACGGAACTATCGAGGTTCGCGTATCGGCATCTGGATACCTGTTATCAGGTTTCTGGGATGACGAGCAAGGAGCCTACGGGAGTAAAATCTGGAACACCACTTGTACGCTGTGTCCCGATACTTTCAATATGTGATACTCATATACATGACCAGTGGGAAGCCTCCACGACCATGTCATCAACTTCAAGGTTAGAACTTTTCAGCATCATGACGTACTTCATGGAATAAGCTCTTTTACAGGTCGACCTTGACGTAGGAGGAACACAAAATTCGCTGTTAAAAACAACTCTCAGCCAGGAAGTCACCAACCAACCATGGTTCGATGATGACTGGGGTGAGGAGGTGATCCAACAAAGGATCACCCGTGAATACATCGATAACGAGGACGAAGCCCTGCTGAAATTTCCCACCAACTTCCAAGGAGGCTATACTATTGTGAATACTAACGAAACCAACAAATGGGGAATTCCTAGAGGATACGCAATCCATCCTGGTTACTCGCCGGTTTATAATGTACGCAACACAGATTAAATATGCCTTTATTGTCTTGACAGGCGATCTTCCAAGACCGTCGTAGGATCAAAACGCCTGCTCAAGAATGCCAACTGGGCGCGTTATAACTTGGCGGTGTCCCGTCGCAAGGACAACGAGCCGTCTTCCAGCAGCATGTGGAATTTCAACCTTCCAGGCGCTCCCCCTATCGACTTCCACAAATTCTTTGACGGTGAAAACATCACTCAAGAGGATTTGGTGAGCTGGATCAACGTCGGGATGCACCACCTCGTGAGTTCACCTCCGTCGAACATTTTGATGTGGGGCTAAACTGTTCGGTAATAGCCTGCATCAGAGGATGTCCCGAATACCAGGACTAATACAGCCGCTTCGAGGTTATATTCTAGCTATGCATTAATATGACGTGCTGACTCGTTGTGGTATTCAGTTTCTTCCTGACACCATTTAACTTATTTCGACTACGACGTTTCCGATCGAGTCTGCCAATGCCATACTGCTTCAGCCTCCCAAGAAGCCAGGAGACCCATTTTCATATAACGATTACAATGTTCGTCCAGCACACTGCGTCCCACAACCCCCTGCAGCGTTCGAGTACTATCCGGAGCAGGTGTATGACTTGGACGGGAAACCCGCGCCTCCCTCGACAGTTGAAGAGATGAGGAAGGCTTCGGAGCTCTACCTGCGTATCAAATTTGAGCTTTAACCAAGGGTGCTTTATAAGGGATGGGTAGCTTTCGTGCTGTAGTACTGGATTTTACTCTGCTGCAGATTTCGCCGTCGGTGCGGTAATACAATCGAGAAAAACATTCTCGCAGTGATTTTGCCACCTCCCAGTCGATGTGATGTTTCCACTCTTCATTGGTTCGTGCTGTATTGTTATCATCCATCGCATACATTATACTATCGATAAGAGGCTGTCATATCCCTGGAATTACATGTTGTCTGGATATCCACTACATGTAGGCTAACTACAAAACTTATGTCTTCCGTTGGATGCAATGTCACTGGCAGCCCTCGATCACAAAGTGTCTGTGTCTCCCGGACGGATGAGAGACTGCGAAACTGCAGTCGCGTTGCATAACTGAAGCCTCGATGAGTACGAGCAAGTGACTTGTCTCAAGTGGAAGAGAAGATAGCGCCATCTGAACTGACGCTTGTTGATAGCTGAGTTGGGGCGCTCCTACACAGGAATGACGTGACTAATAAGCTGGGAATGTGGAGGCAGGGTGGGGAATAAAAAGGACTTGCTGTGCAATGCAATCCAGCGATCGCTCTACTTTCTTGCTGGCTTCCTGGTAAGTTGAAACCCCATCTGAGCATCGTGTGCGGATTTAAACTGACAATCTGCTTCAGCAGACAACGTGCAGAATCTCTGGAACGAGTCAAGCTTGAAAATCACTCAACGTCAAGCATACAGCATACGAGGGGAGCGCACACCGACCCTTCGAACACATCCAAATAACTGGGAAACCTTCCATCATCGCTGGTGGGCCATGGCTTCCGGCTCGATGCAGCCCGTTGTGGCAGCAAATAAATCGATTCTGACACCGGTCATGACTTTGGAGGGTCATGAACGATTCACTTACGACTGGAATGGCGAGCGAGGCCTATGCCGCGAAATTGGAACCATCTCCTACTTTCCGGATGGCAAACAAATGATCAGCGGAGCTCTGGACAAGACCATTCGGCAATGGGATTTGCAGGAGGGAAAGGAGATTGAGGAGGTGCGGGATGTTTGTGAGCAGAGTGTAGATATAGTGGAGGTATCTAGGGATGGTCGATGGGTTGTCACTGTTGATGGAGGTAACTATACCGAGGGAGGGAAGCTCAAAGTCTGTGAGGTTGAGACAGGCATCGTGAGAATATTTCAAGCTCACTCAAAGTCATGGTGGATCCATTTCATTGATATCTCCCCGGACAGCACGCTGGTCGCGGACGGGTCGGATCACTACACATTGGATGATATTAGAAGCAGTGCAACGCGGATATGGAGTTTGGACACGGGCAAACTCGTGGCTGGTCCATTCAAGAATGATTATGGCCTGGGCTCAGTTCGATTCTCGCGAGACTCGAAGAAGCTCGCGGTCATGTCAAATGCAGCGACGCGCCTTGATGTGTGGGACGTCCAAACACAGAAACTAGTTGTCTCGGTTGGGAATTCCGGCGTCCTTGGGACATGTCCGCCAGTGTTCTGGACAACGCAAGACAAAACCATCGTAGCTGCGTTTAGCTTCAACGCGGACATCTTGCATGAGCCCAATACGATCAATGAGTTTGATGCGTCGACACTGGAGATTGTCGGAGCTCCCTTCAAAGGGCACACCTATCCCGTCAGTGGTCTAGCACTTTCATTTGATTGTGCTCTCCTCGCTAGCACTGCCCAGGACAACACCATCAAGCTCTGGGCCTTCCAGTCTCGCCAGCTACTCGCCTCCTTTGTCATCCAGTGTCCCGAACGTTTTATTTACTCACCCAATTCACACCAACTGGCTTACACCTCCTGGGGTGATACCAAGATCTACATATATGACATTCCACTCGACATCCTTGCTAGAATTCGGCCCACAGCACAAGAAAAGCCTAGTGTATGCATTGCCTCCCATATATCTGTCCGGCTGTGTGCTTACAACATTCTCTTGCAGACAAGTGCATCCAAAATTCCCGATCTACTCGACGTGCGTGTCCTTATTCTTTTACTACACCACTCCATCAATGCCATTATCGCAGTTCGACGCAACACGTCGTGCCGTGCGCCGTAACCCAGCGATACCGCGTGTCATATCTCGCCCTCCCAGACCTCCTCCTGCAAGGGACCTACAACAACATGGATTCTTTCGCTACTTCCGCAACCTCCTTCCTTCTCGCACGAATGTTGATCAGCCCCGTGATTTTCTAGATGTATATCTTTTGTACCTGTTTCCTTTGCAGCTGATTTAATCATCCTCTTCCAGTTTCCTGCAACATTTCCCCTACCTCGCAATCTCTCTCCCTCGGCGCAGGTCATGGCTCAGGGGCCTTCACAGACAAATCCCTGCCAGAACGTGAGTATCGACTGCTGTAATGGCTTTTTGACTTACCTTTGTTCAGTCTCGATCTATGCCACCGCTGTCCACCGCCCAACCGGGCCAATCCTTGACTACCGCTCTTGTCACCTTCACAGCACGCTTAAACCACCTATCAACCTGGTGGCCCGTTCGTGCAGGTCATACATCGCCGCCTAATGTCGATGTTCCTTTCGCGTGGGGTGACTTGGTACGCTCAATTGATTGTCTAGCCGCATTCGAAGTCTCATCCACTCATTTTCAGCGCCATGCTGCAGCAGGTGCTCCCAGCCATATTGACGATGACTTGATACGTGATGAAGACTATGTTCCTCCTTCACCGACCCAAAATTCACAACCACTGCATACAGGGGGGAATAACACTGGAGAGCATGGAAGTGGTCGGTTGTGTGGCTGCTTCTGAACTGGTGTCGTAAATTTTTGTCTTTGCCTTTTATCGCTCGTCGTATGTTGTTCTATTGAGATTGACATGTAGCAGATTCCATCGATACATCCCTCGCATCTTTGTATTAGTGACATGTAAACTAACTCGAAACCTTACCTCTTCTGTCAGACGAAAGCACTGCCCTTGATTTACCACCTGTGTGTCGACACAAGTTACTGCTACTGGATGCTCCGAGGACTGGTGGACAAGGTTCCCGCGGACGAAGCAGCTTGCCCTGATCTCGAGTAAACATTTAGCTGATATACATGACACTATAGGATTTTGACATTCATACTCGCTTGAAGTACATTGTCACCAGATAAAATTGACAAAAAACCTGTGACTTGGCCTTGTCCCCCAGATGAAGCCAGAAAGCGATAGTATTATCGACACCTCCCAAGTGGAAGGGAATGCTTCTTCGGCGGTAAAACATGCATTGCTCAGCTCTTTGCAATCGATGAAGACGAGCCACGTCTCGCGGCTGACTGGCAAGCCCTTCAGAGGTTTCGAAGCCGAGTTCACATCACGGCTGCAACTAACAGAGGTATCTGTATTGCCAAAGGCAGAGGAGCCCGAGAAACTCGAATGACGTGTCGTCTTCGAGGCGACTGTGGACGAAGATGCCTTTTATTTCTCATTCGCTGTGCTCATTGACACATGGGATGCTCTCAGACATGCTTAATTTTGCTGGAACCCTGCACGGTGGTTGTTTGGCGATGATGATTGACATGCATGTTTCTTCTACTCATTTTTGGCTGGGACTAATACGGATATGCAGCTGCTCGACATTGTCCATTTACGTCCTTGGAGCCTCGACAAGTGGCCGTGGTGTATTCGGCGTATCACAGTCTCTAAATATCGTCTATCATTCACCAGCATTGGCGTACGTTCAGATAGCACACTAATTGCTTTCTACTGAAAAGGGGCGACAAGTTGCACATTGTGAACATAACACTTACCTTTGGTAGCCGGGCACTCTCAACTCGTTGTGAAGTAAGATTCTGGCCCTTGAAGCTCTATATTTGCTTCGGCAGCTTATAATTATTATGTTTGACTTCAAAGGTATGGAATGTTACGCGACATCGACTAGTCGCATCAGCTGTACGTATCAACATGGTTCCATCTGAACTAAATGCATCTAAATCTGTTAAACTCTGACCTACATAGCCGCTATGCTGATTGACGACTTATACGTACCGCACTCCTCATCATACACTTGGAAAGTTGATTGGTCTGTATCATATAATGTAGTTGTTCGTGTAAATATGATATTCGAGGGGTATCAACCCAAACCCAAACGACGGTTATCATGATACATGTAGCGCAAATGAATGTTGAAGATCGAGTCCGCGATCTCGAATGATACACAGCCCAAATGAAATCACTTCTTCCAAGTGTTTATATCGGGGGCCATGAATGAACCAGCCTGGACTGTTCCCGCACCAATGGATCTCAATATTTCCATCCGCCTGTCCTCCCATGCCTTGAGTGCTTTGAAAAGCTGTAATATCTTATCGCGTTTCCCTTGTCGGACGTCGTTGATGCTCACGCTACCCATTTTTACGTCGTTGTTGAGGAGGAAGTCAAATAGGCGGAATAGTCCAACTTGTCGTCTTTGGGGCCAGACGGGAACGCTGAATCTGGCACGGGTGGTGACAGTGATTTCCCTACAACTGTTTCCGCGAGGCGAAGAAGCGCAAGACCGCTATAAAGACGTCCAGTGGGATCGAAATTTTGCAACGCCGCTGGTAAGTGTGAATTAGCCCATTCAATCAGACCCGCGTCAGATGGGTCCAGCTGCTGTATAGGATTGGTGAGACAGTATCACACGGTGACGAAAAGATAGTGATCATACCACGGTAGTTGCCGGAGACCCCTGTCGACGTGCCTCTCTGGTGGGGCGGGGAGGAGCTTCGTTCGTCATAGATGCTGCTTTGGACTCAGCGGCTCGTCGTCGGACTGGCCTGACACGGGTTGCTGAGTAAAAAACGAATCGAGACATGTCCGTTCGCTATCTCGTGCATCACTGGCATCTGGCGATAGTATACCCATCAGGAGCATCACGAGAAGACAATTGATTTGGATTCTCGCGGCGCTAAGCCTTTTGTATCGCATCACGAGTGGAAGGGGACGGCGGTCGAGGGGCAGGGTTCATCGCTTGGGTGACTGTTAGAGAGATGGTGGGAATACTCGAATAGTCTCTGCTAATGGTGACCTTCATGATGGCTTTCATCCACTCGTGTACCACAATTTGCTCGTCAGAGCTGAAAAAATGTGTCTTATCCGTATCGTGTACTAAGTATTCTGAAGCCATAACGTCACGGATCGACATTCTCATCCGCGATGACCTTGTATCCGACAATATTGATGTAGCCCCTTAATTTTCACCTCCTGAGCAACATGCATCAAAACGATACAAAAGCACAGCGCGTACGCGGTAATCCTCGGCGGAGGCTTCCTGGACTTCCCTAGGGAAGTAGTAAAGGTGCCTCCGAACAAACTATGCCGCTCCGTTCCTTTCGTTGCACTGAGTCTGTCTCGTTTGTTCCGATTATGCTTGCTCGTAATGCTGGAGTCGGCCAGCAGGTCCCGGTTCTGCGATCTGGGTGATGCCACCGCTAAGGACGAAGGAGTCGGTAGCGCAGTGGTAGAATTATTGTTGGAAGAAGTCTCGCCCTTCTCCTTCGCGGTAGATGATTACTCCATGGAGCGACCAAAGGGGCGCCGGCGTTGCTTAGCCACAGAGCTTCCATTTTCTCCCTGTAGACAAGGTTCAACTAATGCTACACACGAAAAGAAGATATGAAATCATTTCACTCAGTGCGCCGCGATCATCGTCTGGCGACTCTACGAGCTGGTGCACATCGTCTTGAGAACGTTTGTTTAGAGCACCATCACTAGGCGAAGGGAAAAGGTGACCTGACCCAGTACACTAAACAATGGGTAAGTGATAGAACCAACAGTAGAAGACGAAACACCAACTTTGTGTTCGTTACCATTTGCTGGAACCCCGAGGCCAAGTCCCACATTATTTTCCGTCGAGCCTGTGTTGATACTGAAACCAGCGCTCGACAGACTAGACACTCTTTCTATAAAGTACCTCATGTCTGCAGCTGAACTATCGGTGTTGAGTTCGGCGCAGTGACAGCTGAACTCATGGTGGTCGCGAACATGGGGCTGTTCAGCGACTGATGCGTCGAGCCAGAACGCGAATGTGAGTAGGAGTAAGAATGAGAGTGCTTTAAGGACTGGGCATATTGGGGCGACTGGGCGTCAGGGAAGATGATCGATGGAGAATGTCGTAGTTCGGCGATAGCGTTGGCAATCCGCATACGCTTTCCAAATGCGACGATCCCGATTTCGGCCTTCAGGAGGTTAAGGTCGAGTTCGAGCAGGACATTGCCAGTAATCTCTTGTTCTATGGGGGGTACAACGTTAGTTCTAGTTGCACAATGGGAAAGGAAGAAATGTACCTGTGAACTTATCGCAGACGTCCTGGCCAAAGCCCTTGAACTTCAGCCAGTCAATGACTTCTTCGACGCTCCACTCCGATGGCAGAACAGACTTTGTTGGACTACTATTGTCCCGAGTGGGTTCCGATAATGTCAGCGGCATGGAAGTAATTGAAGCTTGTCCGCTGGATGCAACAATGTTGTGCTTGGACATTAGTAGTGTGCTGACTACACGTGGGGTGGAGGAATGTGGGGTGGGGGCGGAAACAGTGTTAGGAACTTGGCGAATCTCGTGAATCGCAGGCGTGAGAGTAGCGTGGGCGATGGGTTCAGGAGAAGCAGATAATTGTATGAAGGAAAGTTCGACCGGAACAACAGGAGCAGGTGCGAATATGTTGAGCATAGGAGATACAGGAGCAGACCGAGATTGAGATGCATTGCGTTCATGACCAGTAGACGCAGGAGAAACAGCGGGAGAGAGTGAGGTAACAGAAAAGGTCATCTTATCAACTTTGGCTATTTGTTCCCCATCGCCGGGTACAAGGGATGGTAAATCTGCCGGGGGAAGTGTCAGAGATGAATGGATGCTCGAGTTCTTCCTCCTATGATTCTGGGTTCCAGTGGAAGAGAAGATAGCGCCGTTGGAACTGGCGCTTGTTAGTGGCTGAGTTGGGGCGCTCGTACACAGGAATGACGTGACTAATCAGCTTGGAATGGGGAGGCAGGGTGGGGAATAAAAGAGACTTGCTGTGCAATGTCATCCAGCGATCGCTCTACTTTCTTGCTGGTCTCCTGGTAAGTTGAAACTCCATCTGAGCATCGTGTACGGATTTGAACTGACAATCTGCTTCAGCAGGCAACGTGCAGAATCTCTTGAACGAGTTAAGCTTGACAATAACTCAAGGTCAGGCGTACAGCATACGAGGAGAGCGCACCACCGACCCTTAGAACACATCCAAATAACTGGGAGACCTTCCATCATCGCTGGTGGGCCATGGCTTCCGGCTCGATGCAGCCCGTTGTAGCAGCAAATAAATCGATTCTGACACCAGTCATGACTTTGGAGGGTCATGAACGATTCAATGGCAACGATGGCGAGCAACACCAATACCCCCAATTTGTATCCATCTCCTACTTTCCCGACGGCAAGCAAATGATCAGCGGAAGTCAGGACAAGACCATTCGGAGATGGGATTTGCAGGAGGGAAAGGAAATTGAGGAGGTGCGGGATGTTTGTGAGCAAAGAGTAGATATGTTGGAGGTATCAAGGGATGGTCGATGGGTTGTTACTGCCGGTAGAGGTAACGATACCGAGGGAGGGAAGGTCAAAGTCTGTGATGTTGAGACAGGCATCGTGAGAATATTTCAATCTCACTCAAAGTCACGGAGGATCGATATCTCCCCGGACAGCACGCTGCTCGCGGATTGGTCGAATGACTCGGATCCCTACACATTGGATGGCAGGATAGGCAGTACAACGCGGATATGGAGTTTGGATACGGGCAAACTCGTGGGTGGTCCATTCAAGATGGATTATTTCCTGGGCACAGTTCGATTCTCGCGAGACTCGAAGAAGCTCGCAGTCATGTCACATGGAGCGATGTGCCTTGACGTGTGGGACGTCCAAACACAGAAACTAGTTGTCTCGGTTGGGAATTCCTCTTACGTCGGCACTATGACACACCGGCCAGTGTTCTGGACAACACAAGACAAAACCATCGTAGCTGCGTTTAGCTTCAAGAATTTGGATGACAACCTTCCTCACTGGCATGAGCCCGATACGATCTATGAGTTCGATGCGTCGACACTGGAGATTGTCGGAGCTCCCTTCAAAGAGCACACCCATTGGATCACCGATCTAGCACTTTCATTTGATTGTGCTCTCCTCGCTAGCACTGCCGCCGACCACACCATCAAGCTCTGGGCCTTCCAGTCTCGCCAGCTACTCGCCTCATTTGACGTCCAGTATCCCGAAATGCTTATCTACTCACCCAATTCACATCAACTGGCTTACACCACCTGGGATGATACCAAGATCTACATATATGACATTCCACTCGACATCCTTGCTAGAATCCGGCCCACAGCACAAGAAAAGCCCAGTGTATGCATTGCCTCCCATATATCTGTTTGGGTGTGCGCTTAGAACATTCTCTTGCAGACAAGTGTATCCAAAATTCCCGATGGACTCAATGTGCGTGTCCCTATTCTTTTACTACACCACTCCATCAATGCCATTATCGCAGTTCGACGCAACTCGTCGTGCCGTGCGCCGTAACCCAGTGTTACCGCGTGTCATATCTCGCCCTCCTAGACCTCCTCCTACAAGAGACCTACAGCAACATGCATTCTTTCGCTACCTCCGCAACCTCCTTCCTTCTCGCACGAGCGTTGATCAGCCCCGTGATTTTCTAGATGTATGTCTTTTGTACCTGTTTCCTTCACAGCTGATTTGATCATCCCCTTCCAGTTTCCTGCGACATTGCCCCTACCTCGCAATCTCTTTCTCTCGGCGCAGGTCATGGCTCAGGGGCCTTCACACACAGATCCCCGCCAGAACGTGAGTATCGACTGCTGCAATGGCTTTTTGACTGACCTTTTTTCAGTCTCGACCTATGCCACCGCTGACCACCACCCAACCAGGCCAATCTTTGACTACCGCTCTTGTCACGTTTACAGCACGCCTAAACCGCCTCTCAACCTGGTGGCCTGTTCGGGCAGGTCATACATCGCCGCCTCGTGTTGATGTTCCTTTCGCGTGGGGTGACTTGGTACGCTCAATTGATTTTCTAGCCACATTTGAGGTCTCATGCACTCATTTTCAGCGTCATGCTGCAGCAGATGCTCCCAGCAATATCGACGATGACTTGATATGCGATGAAGACTATGTTCCTCCTCCTTCACCGACCCAAAATTCACAACCACCACATACGGGGGGGAATAGCGCCGGAGAGCATGGAAGTGGTCGGTTGTGTGGCTGCTTCTAAACTGATCTCACAAACATTTCGCTTTTGCCTTTTATCGCTCGTCGTATGTGTTGTTCTATTGACATTGGCCTGTAGCAGATTCCATCGATACATCCCTCGCATCTTGGTATTAGTGACATGTAAACCAACTCGAAACCTCACGTCTTCTGTCAGATGAAAGCACTGCCCTTGATTTACCACCTGTGTCGACACAAGCGCCTTGGTGCAAAGATGGTTGGTGGTGCGATATACACCGTGCACCTCTGAGGGCATTTTGCAGCATGTGCACCAAACTCCACAGGCCAGGCTCGGTCCCTAACAATACCAGCGCTGAGTACCATTGGCAATGGGCTGCTCGAGAGAATATTTCGCTCGAAGTGCCATTCACGGGGTAAGATCTTCACAGCACAGCATTCTCCTAATTTTAATGTAGCGTGTCAACTGCACGGTCAATTCAGTGTAGTACCTTTTTTGCATCGCACTTATGACACTATAGTCGAGGCAGTGTGTATGAGGCGCAACAGCTTTTCCTGGTACATTCCACGCATGGTGACACTGCTTGGAACGGCATGAGATGGTATGTAGGCCGTCTCCATCAATCTCCCAAAGTTTTCTTGAGATCGAAGGCATCTGGAGTATACTAGTAAGTTCCAATTTCAATTCCATACCGCAATACTTACTACTATATACCGTAGTTGATTGCCTGTGTTGGCGAACAAACATTCATCCGGTGGAGGTATATTAATCTAGCACGAAAACCATCGCAATACACCTGCCAACTGCCTGCCCCTCTGACTCCCTTGCATATGACGATCGTAGTCTCAGACGATCCTAAGTGGTGGCCGCTCATCAATGTTTATCGAATTTACACCTATTTTATAGATTCGTCGAGAAGAAGTCGGATGATGTCGGTGATGTCTCACTCCCTGTCATTTTGCAGTTGCATCCTCTACCAGCAGTGTTGTACGATTGGGGTGGGCAAGATACATGTGCTTTTCGAGTGACTTATTGATGTTCCTATGGTATTCTACAGCACTGACATTCGGACAAGAGGTATGTTGATATCATTAGCAGAACAGCTATCGCACTAAGAATGGTTTACAGTTTGAACTGGTTTTGGTGAGCAGAGTTCCGGGAATAATAGATAATACCGTTAATTTGCAGACAGAGGCAACTGCTGGTCCCTCATGAATGTTCTATATGTCAGTGTACGTATCTTATGTTGTTAGCGCAGTTGGAGAATAGTCTGACTTCAAAATATTCCAGGTGCGCTATATCGGAATACTTTCATTTGTGTATTTACCAGGCTCAGTTAACAAGTGCTATGCTAATAAGACATTATCTCTCGATTCAGCACTAACATTACTGTGTATGTCTCCTCATATTCATTGTGATCGTTGCTTCTGACTGGCGGCATGTAGTAGGTCTCCCATCAGTTTTGGTAACAGATGTAGTGAGGGTTCTGTAGTTATTCCTGCAATTCCCCCCACTCACTGTACTTCTACGTAGGGGTGAGTAAGATCTAAATCAGCTTCAAGTTGTTAGTTCGATATAACGACTGCGATAGCTGTGAGTCCATTTGAAGCATTCCTCTAATGCTCATCAGCGATTGTGCTTTCAGGCACTGTTATTGGCCTTGCACAACGGTGGACGATTTTCATTGTAAATATCATGCTGGATGGTGAGCTACTCGACTGCGGTACCTTGATCGTTGAGATTGACATGACTAGAATACCATGCAAGTCATCATAATTACTCGGTTATATGTCATGTGTCAGCGATCCAGAATGATGTCCATCTTTCTCGTTGTGATCTCCCTGGCTGTCATGATTGCCTGCGTAGTGATCGTCGCAGTAGCAAGCAGCCATGTTTCAGGGGGTGAGTTTCCACTATTTATGGAAGACTTTAGGGCCTCCGGCTCATGGGACGAATACCAGAGGAGCTTATCCTCTCCGGCACCTATTGGTGTGTTCTTGACGGAGACTACCCACTTCTGACATCTGAGACTTGGATACTCGGCGCGGTATGGGGGGTATTCGCACTATGTCTTGCAATCTGGATTGCTGTAAAACACTTCCATGTACAACGACCATCGACAGAAGGGGACTGTTTCACGGTGTTAATAAAAAATCATGTGCTCTACTTCGCTGCGCGAGTTTGCAACTTGGATATGATGTGCGTCTTTCTTCCGCTAAAGTTTCACACCAGACATGCTATTGTTTTTTCCTTGATTCTCGGCCTCCTCTCTCCACAGATATCGGTACGCCAACCTGTGATTGACACATGCATCTGACAACCCTCACTATTTCTATAGAATTCTTTCTTCATGGGAGCTGAGATTTATTTTGGCGTTCTTGAAATTGCCCTGCTCGTGTAGATGTTTGTGTTGGGACCACAGCTCCTCCTTAGCGTTCGAGAATATCCCACTCAGCTCGTTTCCAACTCCAAGATGGGAGCTAGCATGACTACAATTGCATTCCAGGAACGTATACACTTATCAACTGTTGATGATGTGTAGCACAGGAAACGATCAAGCGATGGCCACTTGGAGTTGTAGGGCACACTATGGTACTAGTGAAGCAAGCCTGGGCTGTATGGCCTGTACAAATACTCATAGGGAGGTTCGAGTATACTAAGGGAGATCGCGGCTGAAAGTACGCACCCTCTCTGAACAGAGACCGTTACAGAGAGAATCACTGGCCCATTACTTGCACAATATACTTGGAGGCTGCATTAGATCACATTCACAATAATACTTAGTAGACTTCCCAACAAAGCACCCATAGTACCATCAACTGCGCCGAGAGCTTCGCATATATTAGACTATCTGTCATATCTCAGCTATAATTCCATTGAAAGGTGCATTTCTTGAAGCTTTACTTAGTAGGATCCTTCGGGTTGACAATACGACGATACAAGTCGAAATTCGATTGTGTACCGTGGAAATGTGTCACACTGAGAGCACGTGACTGTACTAGCGTGGGGGTCCCGCTTGAGGACTTTCGGTGCTGAAAGGGGGGGGGTTGTTACCTTTAGATCATTAACCATGCTCATCAAAGTAAAGGTAAGGATGCAGACGTGCTGCCAGCGAACGTTCGACTAACCTGATGACCGCCGCTAGACACTCACTGGCAAGGAGGTGCCTGATTCTAATCCTCACAATCTGATAATGACTAATGAAGTTTCATACACAGATCGAATTGGACATAGATCTCGAAGACAAGGTATCTGAGACTGAGAGTAGTGCCTGTTGAACCCCTTACGAACTCTGGCGGAACAGATCACTCGCATCAAGGAGAAAGTCGAGGAGCAGTCCGGAGTGCCACCACAGCAACAGAGACTGATCTTCGGAGGAAGACAAATGTGCGTCTTGCTATTAGCTTCCATTGGATCGCGCAGACTCACCTTATTGTACTTTATCAAGGCCGGATGATAAGACCGCTAAGGAGTTCAATATCACCGCTGGATCAGTTCTCCATCTTGTTCTTGCTCTACGTGGCGGCTTTTGAGATCAGACCTCTGGAGAGGTATATCAGAGATGTGCTCTAGAGGAGTTTAATTATGAGGTGTATGATTGCGTGCGTTGCTAGATATCGTTTGATTCTCACTTGCTGTCGCATCACTTTTATCTTTTATCGCCCGTTCTCTAACATGGTTCGTGACAATGACATGGTACATATTTACTTTCTACGCACGCAGCTGATTATTTCAGGTAGTGCCCCGCACTTATGGATCGGGTCCTCCGACGATGTCTGCACCTGGTAACAACCACCTGAATGTGATGCTCAATCTCGTCCCCCTCTCAATCCATTCAGGTTCTCCTTGCCCGTCTACTCCTTCACCGACAAAGTCTTTCAGTCTTCCATCGATCCCGTGAGTCCAATTGTAGCGCGCATCCTCCGATAGGACTAAGATACTTCGTTCTTCTAGATAGAGGTCCCATTGATTCCTGCCTAGCGGCATATCCTCTCCGTCCTCTCCGATCGGCTCCTCCTCTCGATTCTTTACCCGCTCAAAGCTCATCACGCATCCGCTTCCAAAGCTCACTCCTATGATTCCATCATCGAATCGTTTCAGTAGATCGACATGAGGCGAGATGCCCTCTCCGGGATGATACAGGTTCAGAATTGCCTGCCGTGCGCGCGGGGGTGCATCCTTGGGAGGGAATAGCATTTCGTGAACTTGCTCAGGTAGATGATCACGCAGCAATTCGGCCAGTCGGTGCAGGAGTGTGATTAAGAACGGTGGTAAGCCACTTCCCATATTCCCGTCGTGCTCGGAGGTTGTGCGTCCAAAGAGCATGATCTGATTTATGCCTCGCCCGTCGAAGTAAAGGCGCATGCACTGCTGAACGATATCGTTTGCTAACTCGAGAGGCAATCTGATGGGTGGAGCGAAAAGCCCAGGGATGGGTGGCGCGGTGCGCATGGCAATGTGAGGCTCGTCAAAGAGCGAATCGACTTCAGAGTCACTGCTTTCTGAGAAAGGACTAGTGGCACGAGTGCCATGCTCTGCTCTGCTGCATGCGTTATGCTCTACTTTAGTGAAAGTTGGAAGGCGCACCTGCGTCGTTTACCGCGTGCATTGGTACTAGACGCGTCAGTGCTGGCAGGTGGTGAGATGGTATCACACGTGGAAGCCCGCACCCCATTTAAGTATACACGTAATGCTGTGAGCAGTGCGAACTTTCTATTGTATTTCAGATCAAGCAGGACAATGTGATGCCAGGGCCCAGAATACGAGCTGCCTTCTCCTTCAACCATATTTGACATCATCCTCGAGTTATCGAGTCAAGCCGTTCTAAGAGATGGTCGACTTAACAACCACTGGTAAAACCCCTAGCTTGGAATAAGCATGAGTCCTCGAATCGAGTTTGAACACGAACCTCCAGTGGGTAAAATGTATTGTTTGTGTTTCGTGGTCCGCAACACTGCACTCACGATGCCTCCATGGGCAGTGAATGAGATGACTAGGCGAGGCGAGCGCTCAATCCGCCGATCAATGAACAGGCGGGGTATGATGCTCACATTGTTCCTGGTCGTTATCAAAAATCATGTCGAGTACGCGCCTCATCCGGGTATCGATTTCTTCATGAGTCTCCCTCAATTCAGCGTTCCAGAGTTCGTCTTCCTCTACGAACCCTTCTTCGATGTCGAAGTCTGGGAAAGATCGTTTGATATAAGTGCGCGTTCTTCGCTTGTCACAGGTATGAACGCCGTTTCCTTCTCTAAGATTCTGTAACGTGTCGAGCAAACCTAACGAAGATTTCTTGTGTCCTCGTACCTCAATGATCATCGTGCGCTGTGATTCAGGTATAACAGAGTCAAATGTTATCATGTTTGTATGGATGGCTCGCGTAAGAGGACTGCAGTAGAGCTTCCCCGGAAGGGGAATGTCGAACTCGAGTTCTTTCTTCCATGCGTCATGGGCAGATTTCGCCTGATCCTTGCCAAGAGCAGTCAATTCCGGATCCGCTATCACAAGTTGTGAGGCCGCGCAATTCAGAGAATGGGTGATGATACTGACGTCCCCAAATCAATTCTCCATCGCCGTTCTTCTTCGACCAGTAGCTTGATAAATGCACTCAGGGAACTTCATCTAAGGAAGAGGATGAAAGAAATGTACTCGTTCCATGCCTTCAGATGCGGGGGCACAATGTTAGAACAGAATGGGCACTATGATGATGTAGGTCGCACCTGTGTGCCGTACTTCGCCTCGGCTACGTTGTCTGTGGGGAAAAGTTATCATACCATAAATTTTCTGATCAGTTCATCGAGTGTTATCTTCAAAACATGAAACCTCACGAAAGCCTTCACCGTGTCTGCCCACGAAAAACACCTTATACTGCGTATCTGCAGGAGAGGACGTATTAAGCCGATCTATCTTTTCCCTGAACGTCTTCCATCGATCATCAGAAGCGTCTTTCAACCCGAATCGAGGAGGAAGCTATCCAGAAACTTGAGTTCAACCATGCTTGACTTCATGTTCGACGGAGATAAACGTAGACTTACAGCCTTCAGTATGAAAGGACGCGATTATGCTGATCAGCCAAGCGAAATCCTCATGGTCAAACACTACCTCGCCTAGACGAGCGCCACCTTCTTGCACGAAGAATCCTTCGACCACCTGCCATCGGACTCATTTAGCTCTCGACCTCACAGAAATATGACTCGCAAACTGACTTCATAAGACCGCTGGGACATTGCTGTACCAGGACTCCAACTTCAGGAGAAATCTTTCGCGGGGAATCACTATAAAAAGGAACAATTATCTTCCCTCGTATACTAGGTCTATCCTAGTGGGATCAAAGGAGTCCCAGGGTCACGGTGCGGCAGAGACTATAAGCAATCACGCGCACTTTTCGGTGCTTGGTCACTCATGTAAAATTCACACCTGCAGGCCTGAACTGTGACTTGGCTTTGTCCTCCAGAGTTCAGATGAAGCCGGAAAGCGATATCAAAACCTCACAAGTGGAAGGGAATGCTTCTCCGGAGGTAAAACATGCATTACTAGGCTCTCTACAATGGATGGAGACCCGGACGAACCGCGTCCCGCGGCCGACTGACAAGCCCTTCAGAGGTTTCGAAGCCGAATTCGCGACCCGGCTGCAACTAACAGAGGTCTCTGTATCAGTCAAAGGCGGAGGAGCCGAAGAAACTCGAAGCACGTGTCGTTCTCGAGGTGATTGTGGATGAAGGTGCCTTGTTTCTCATATGCGCTGTGCTCATTGACACATGATGGGGTGCTTTTAGATATGCTTAATGGTAGGTGGAAACTTGCACGGTGGTTGCTCAGCCATGATGATTGACATGCATGTTGTTTCTGCTCATATTTCCCTGGAGCTAATATATAGTTGGGCAGCTGTTCGTCGATGCCCATTTATGCTCTTGGAGCCTCGACAAGCAGTCGTGGCGTATTCGGCGTATCACAGTCTTTGAATTTTGTCTACCATTCACCAGCATTGTTGTACGTTCAAATAGCACTTTAATTACTTCCTGCTGAACCATCGTGCCAGGGGCGACAAGCTACGCATTGTGAGCACAACGCTTACCATTGGTAGCCGGACACTCTCAAGTCGTTGTGAAGTGAGATTCTGGCGAGCTCTCTCCTTCCTTAATCAGCTCATGCCTGGCTTTCAAAGATATGGAATGTTACGCGACACCGATTAGTAGTATCAGCAGTACACATCAAGATGGTTCCGTCTGAACCGAAGGCATCTGAATCTGCCAAACTCTGACCTACATGGGCCCCATATTGATTTACACCCATACCTGGCTGCTTGGAAAGTCTACTCCATGGAATGTAGTCATTCGTAGAATGTGATATTCAATGGATGTCCAGAGTGTTCTAGCACTCTGTTCACTGACAAGTTAATGTTGCGTAGCTTTAAGTTTCCACTCCAAGTGTCTAACAGCCTTCTCGGGTGCCTTGGCACTCATTTTTCATGAGGTATAAGCGAATTCAAGGCACATGCACTGTCACATCAATGTCAATCCTTTTTGCTTGGCAGTTTTCAACATCAACATCTTCTACATCTCATACTTATCCGACGCCAAACCTATCACACAACCACAGAAGATATGTCGCACCCCGAGGCCGGCTTCGAGATGTACTGCCCCCATGGACAAACGTGTGCAGTGCACATGGGCATTGTAGTTCAACAACTCGGTGACAACCTTGACAGGGAGTATGACTACAGACTCGAGTGTGGAACTTCTGTTATCTAATTACGGAACTCCTGCGACGGGCTCAAAGGCACCTGGTGATAGGAAACCATCTGCGCTCGACAAAGCCCTCCTCTCACCAACGTGGGAATCGGGAAAGAACTCTCAGCATCGCGCAAGAGGTATGTCATTTAACACAACCACCAGTATTTCGTGCATTGCGATTTTAGCATCGTAACCCTAGCAAACACTCTACGAGTTTCATACTCTCCGGAGTCCGGCACCGGTTCTGTCTTATGGAATTCATATACGATCTTGAAGGACGAGCGCGAAGGAATGTTAACTCACCTCCTGGTCTGATGGATAGTTTCATGCAGCGATTACTGCTACTGGATGCTCCGAGGACTGGTGAACAAGGTTCCCGCGGACGAAGCAGCTCGCCCTTATCTCGAGTAAACATTTAGCTGATATACATGACACTAAAGGGTTTTGACATTCATACTCGCTTGAAGTTGATTGTCAGCAGATAAAACTGACAAAGACACTGTGACTTGGCTGTGTCCCCCAGATGAAGCCAGAAAGCGATTGTGTCGACACCTCCCAAGTGGAAGGGAATGCTTCTTCGGCGGTAAAACATGCATTGCTCAGCTCTTTGCAATCGATGAAGACGAGCCACGTCTCGCGGCCGACTGGCAAGCCCTTCAGAGGTTTCGAAGCCGAGTTCACATCATGGCTGCAACTAACAGAGGTATCTGTATTGCCAAAGGCAGAGGAGCCCGAGAAACTCGAAGGACGTGTTGTCTTCGAGGCGACTGTGGACGAAGGTGCCTTTTATTTCTTATTCGCTGTGCTCATTGACCCATGGGATGCTCTTAGACATGCTTAATTTTGCTGGAACCCTGCACGGTGGTTGTTTGGCGATGATGATTGACATGCATGTTTCTTCTACTCATTTTTGGCTGGAACTAATACGGATATGCAGCTGCTCGACATCGCCCATTTACGTCCTTGGAGCCTCGACAAGCGGCCGTGGTGTATTCGGCGTATCACAGTCTTTAAATATCGTTTATCATTCACCAGCATTGACGTACGTTCAGATAGCGCACTAATTGCTTTCTACTGAACCATCGTGTCAGGGGCGACAAGCTACACATTGTGAACACGACACTTACCCTTGGTAGCCGGGCACTCTCAACTCGTTGTGAGGTAAGATTCTGGCCCTCAAAGCTCTATATTTGCTTCAGCAGCTTATAATTATTATGTCTGACTTCAAAGGTATGGAATGTTACGCGACATCGACTAGTCGCATCAGCTGTACATATCAACATGGTTCCATCTGAACCGAAGGCATCTAAATCTGCTAAACTCTGACCTACAAAACCGCTATGCCGACTGACGACTTATACGTACCGCACTCCTCATCATACACTTGGAAAGTTGATCTGGTCTGTATCATGTAATAATGTAGTTGTTCGTGTAAATGTGATATTCGAGGGGTATCAACCCAAACGCAAACGAGGGTTATCATGATATATGTAGCGCAAATGAATGTTGAAGATCGAGTCCGCGATCTCGAATGATATACAGCCCAAATGAAATCACTTCTTCCATGTGTTTATATCGGGGGTCATGAATGAACCAGCCTGGACTGTTCCCGCACCAATAGATCTCAATATTTCTATCCGCCTGTCCTCCCATGCCTTGAGTGCTTTGAGAAGCTGTAATATCTTATCGCGTTTCCCTTGTCGGACGTCGTTGATGCTCACGCTACCCATTTTTACGTCGTTGTCGAGGAGGAAGTCAAATAGGCGGAATAGCCCATCCAACTTGTCATCTTTGGGGCCAGACGGGAATGCTGAATCTGGCACGGGTGGTGACGGTGATTTCCCTACAACTGTTTCCGCGAGGCGAAGAAGCGCAAGACCGCTATAAAGACGTCCAGTGGGATCGAAATTTTGCAACGCCGCTGGTAAGTGTGAATTAGCCCATTCAATCAGACCCGCGTCAGATGGGTCCAGCTGCTGTATAGGGTCAGTGAGACGGTATCACACGGCGACGAAAAGACAGTGGACATACCACAGTAGTTGCCGGAGACCCCTGTCGACGTGCCTCTCTGGTGGGGCGGGGAGGAGCTTCGTTCGTCATAGATGCTGCTTTGGACTCGTCGTCGGACTGGCCTGAGACGGGTTGCTGAGTAAAAAACGAATCGAGACGCGTCCGTTCGCTATCTTGTGCATCGCTGGCATCTGGCGATAGTATACCCATCAGGACTCGAGCATCACGAGAAGACAATTGATTTGGATTCTCGCGGCGCAAAGCCTTTTGTGTAGCATCACGAGCGGAAGGAGACGGCGGTCGAGGGGCAGGGTTCATCGCTTGGGCGACTGTTAGAGGGATGGTGGGAATGTTGACAGAAGAAACAACAGGTTCTGTTCAATAGTTTGTTAGGCGAGTGACCAAAGACAACGGCTCAGACTTACTCGAATAGTCTCTGCCAATGGTGGCCTTCATGATGGCTTTCATCCACTCACGTACCACGATTTGCTCGTCAGAGCTGAAAAAATGTGTCTTATCCGTATCGTGTACTATTCTGAAGCCATAACGTCCTGGATCGACATTCTCATCCGCGATGACCTTGTATCCGACAATATTGATGTAGCCCTTAATTTTCACCTCCTGAGCAACATGCATCAGCGTACGCCCTCACGATTAAGTAGGCGGAAGCCCCTACCGATTGATTGTCGCTCCGCAAGATGTACAGATGCGGACCCTTGATAACGAAGTACCGCACCTTCCAGGTATTGTAGTGATCACCTTTCTTGCGCATCCATCCTTGGTGATCAGGAGTGCCGATCTGGTCAATGATACTCTTTCCTGGTTTGAACGTAGGACCTCGAGGGTGGCTCTCAGGACCGTCAGTGCGTTTTGTCACTTCCGCTGATGATTCTTTCTCTTTGAGTGTTTGGCCTGTCCGCGTCTCTCAATTTCTCAGATGACTTTTCCCTCAACTTCCTCGTTTCGTCAAGGGAGTCGCTGTGCGAGGGATTGAGAAGAGTACTGGAAGCCGATCCGTCTGACGTTGATGGGCGACCTGAGGACTTCTTGCTGCCGTACAACCGGGCCAGATTGAGACTCGAAGTTTTCTCCATTGGGCTGTCGTTATCCATCAATGACCTGTTTCAGAGTGAGCGGTTGAGCAAACGATACAAAAGCACAGCGCGTACGCGGTAATCCTCGGCGGAGGCTTCCTGGACTTCCCTAGGGAAGTAGTAAAGGTGCCTCCGAACAAACTATGCCTCTCCGTTCCTTTCGTCGCACTGTCCCGTTTGTTCCGATTATGCTTGCTCGTAATGCTAGAGTCGTCCACCAGGTCCCGCTTCCGTGATCTGGGTGACGACACCGCTAAGGACGAAGGAGTCGGTAGCGCAGTGGTAGAATTATTGTTGGAAGAAGTCTCGCCCTTCTCCTTCGCGGTAGATGATGACTCCATGGAGCGACCAAAGAGGCGCCGCCGTTGCTTGGCCGCAGAGCTTCCATTTTCTCCCTGTAGACAAAGTTCAACTGATGCTACACACGAAAAGAAGATATGAAATCACCTCGCTCAGTGCGCCGCGATCATCGTCCGGCGACTCTACGAGCTGGCGCACATCGTCTTGAGAACGTTTGTTCAGAGCACCATCACTAGGCGAAGGTACAAGGTGACCTGACCCAGTACGCTAAACAATGGGTAAGTGATGGAACCAACAGTAGAAGACGAAACACCAACTTTGTGTTCGTTACCATTCGCCGGGACCCCAAGGCCAAGTCCCACATTATTTTCTGTCGAGCCTCCGTTGATACTGAAACCAGCGCTCGACAGACTAGACACTCTTTCTATGAAGTGGCTCGTATCTGCAGCTGGACTATCGCCGCTGAGCATCGAACCAAACGTCGCTGAGTTCGGCGCAGTGATAGCTGAACTCATGGTGGTCGCGAACATGGGGCTGTTCAGCGACTGATGCGTCGAGCCAGAACGCGAATGCGAGTAGGAGTAAGAATGAGAGTGCTTTAAGGACTGGGCATGTTGGGGCGACTGGGCGTCAGGGAAGATGATCGATGGAGGACGTCGTAGTTCTGCGATAGCGTTGGCAATGCGCATACGCTTTCCAAATGCGACGATGCCGATTTCGGCCTTTAGGAGGTTAAGGTCGAGTTCGAGCAGGACATCGCCGGTAATCTCTTGTTCTATGGGGGGTACAACGTTAGTTCTAGTTGCACGATGGGAAAGGAAGAAAATGTACCTGTGAACTTATCGCAGACGTCCTGACCAAAGCCCTTGGACTTCAGCCAGTCAATAACGTCTTCGACGCTCCACTCCGATGGTGGAACAGACTTCGTTGGACTACTACTGTCCCGGGTGGGTTCCGATAATGTCAGCGGCATGGAAGTGGTTGAAGCTTGTCCGCTGGATGCAACACTGTTGTGCTTGGACATTGGTGATGTGCTGACTACACGTGGGGTGGAGGAACGTGGGGTGGGGGCGGAAACAGCGTCAGGAACTTGGCGAATCTCGCGAATCGCAGGCGTGAGAGTAGCGTGGGCGGTGGGTTCAGGAGAAGCAGGTAATTGTATGGAGGAAAGTTCGACCGGAACAACAGGAACAGGTGCGAATATGTTGAGCATAGGAGATACGGGAGCGGACCGAGATTGAGATGCACTGCGTTCATGACCAGTAGACGCAGGAGAACCAGCGGGAGAGAGTGAGGTAACAGAAAAGGTCATCTTATCAACTTTGGCTGTTTGTTCCCCATCACCGGGTACAAGGGATGGTAAATCTCCCGGGGGAAGTGTCAGAGATGAATGGATGCTCGAGTTCTTCCTCCTATGATTCTGGGTTCCCGCGCCATCGTTATCAGCATCTTCCTCATCTTCCTCGGGGATATGGGGATGATCACGTGCGAACTGTATATTCAAAAATGTGTCGTCCACTTCTTCCGTTTCACTTTCATCACTCATTTCGACTTCTATCGGAGGAGCCAGAGAGCGTATCTCCACATCTGTAGCAGCTTTTGCTTCCACGACCTTACGCGCCTGTTCTGCAAGTTTGTCTCGGGCGCTACGGTGCCAGTCATCTCCGTCCTCCTGCAAGCTAGCGCCTCCGTCTGTTTCTGTATCAGTGTCGCGGTCGGTGTCTCCGTGGTGAGTGCTGGCGAAACTGAAGCTGCGAGCTCCGTCTCGATCGTCTCGGCCAAGTTGCTCGATGGCCTTCTGGACGTCCGTCATGGTGGCCTTCATGACTTCTTCCTCTTGTTGTCCCGAAGGCGGTTCGCCAAGGGCGACACCAATATTGGATTCGGAGTCACTGCCGGTGAATGAAGCTGCCTCTTCGTCAAGTGGCTGTATTGTGTCAGGAGGCGGGGTTACGGAAGGGCTAGCGATGGATTGTGGTGGTGAATCCGGACGAGGTGCAGGGGTCGCCGGTGTAGTGTAGCTTTGGGGAAACAGGCCAATTTTACCTGCCAGATTGCGTCCCTGGCAACAAAGTTAACACCCTGAAGCGAAATAGCAAATGAAATTCGGCTGAAGAGTGCAGGGCACTGTGGAGTTTATGTGGGCTGAAGTTAGGCTGCAGAGTTGTGCATGCCTACGACAGCTCCGTGTGCTGGGTAAAAGCAGTAGCCAATGCTCACCTGCCACCAGCCATCGCTGTATTGATCATCTTTCTCTATGACCTCGATGGGCTCACCAGCACGGAAGGTGATTTCGTCCTCGTTTTCGGGTTGAAAGTCGTGAAGTGCATACACATAGTCAGGCATTGTACCGATGGGGTCCGTCACAGACGAACGATCTGTTAAATGACAGCCAAAAAGGTTCCTGAGGTAAGGTGTACTGGGGTTAGCGGAACACGTAGCAGGCACGGCGGAAAGCATATACCTGTTGATCGGAAAGGTCAGGCTACAGGTGATAGTATAGATATGAGAATTATGGCCAACTGCTAAGAGTGACCCGACTTCTCGTCGAAATTCTACGAGTCCGTCAACGTTAACTGCGGTGAGAACAGCTACTAGTATGACCAAAGTATGACCGCAACCCGAACCAGCTCACAATCCACTGCTTATGATGACTCAGCAGTTCGGTTAGATTATTGCTCGCTCACGAACGCCTCAAGGATGATTCAAGTGATTCGACTGCCACTTATTCTGCTGTTGCAATGGCATCCAAGTGCTTAAGTAGGTCATGATCGTTTCTGCCATGTCAAATTTGTCCCTGACAACATCACATCAGCATTCGTAACCGGAAATCTCAATAAACTGAAGGAGACCAAATATATTTTATCTCAAGGGACACCAATAGAAATAGACTCGCAAGACCTAGATAGCAAGTTCTTCTGATCAATACCTATTCATCCGCTGATCAGACACTCAAGTACCCGAACTGCAGGGCACGACCCAAGAAGTCGCCATAGCGAAATGCCGTCGCGCAGCTGAGCTGGTCAGTCCATTGAACTGATCCACCTCCCCGCGGTGCTTATGCTGTCTGGCAGCTGGGGAAGCCGTGCATAACGGAGGACACCGCATTGTGCTTCGTTGCGTATAATGGGCTACCTGGTCCATACATCAAGCACTTTATGAAGACGCTCGGTCATGAAGGTTGGTGCGAGATATTCTGCTAAACGAGACTTTCTGAACGCATCTGAGGTAGGCTTGAACAACATGCTCGTAGGATTCCCGACGAAAGACGCGTATGCGCTCTGCACGTTCGCATACAGTGCAGGTCCGTGCACCGAGCCAATCCTTTTTGAGGGCCGCACAGATGGAACAATCGTCCCTGCTAGGGGACCTGGTGATTTTGGCTGGGACCCCATCTTCCAACCAAAAGGTTTTGACCAAACGTGAGCCTCTCGCGATTTTCTAATCGGTTGTTCATAATACTGAGACGGGGATAAAGTTATGCTGAAATGACCAAGGAACAGAAGAATATCATTTCTCACCGATACCGCGCACTGGACAAGCTCAGGGCATATTTGGCAACCCTCGACACTGAGAACAGCTAGAGCTACTTCTTTGCAGGGTAGCCGGAATTCATTGTTCAGGATAGATTATAATCGTGGGCAAGTTGAGTACATCCCCGGTGGTGCATTAGACCCTTTTCCGAGGCTCAGATTGGGTATAATCAGTCAAGGAGAAGGCCGAAAACGGATATAATGTTGTGCTCTTAGAGGCAACTTAGTTGAGATATGTAGAGCAGATCGGCTATACGATAAGATAACTCTGGATTTGATTCCCTGAGTAATGCCAACGATTCGCATCCTCCCTCAAAGATCACATTTATTTTTATAAAGTCTATTCATATTTGTTCGTTGTCCTAAGTGTTTTCGGATGGGACCCCCACCCTCGAAACGTCCACTGAGAATGAGCGTGGGGGGCCGTCGGTGTGTCCATGTATGTGCAGTTTTGATCCGGTAAAGAGTCGGATTACCCCCGATTCCCGACACAACTTTTTCGAGTGGTCGAGTAGCATCGCCAGCGCACGCGCTCTACATCACCAGCGACTTTAGAGAACACACACAGCGTTCTGAAGCCACGAGGAGGAGCTCATTTCCTATTTCCTAATCATTTTGGACAGCAGTTTCTGTCCAATAGCAACGTGAGCAAGTCTGGCGATTATTCAAAATCTATGTCCATCCATACCCCAAGAAAAAAGGCCAGAATCCGTCTGGATGACGACGTAACCTCCGTGAAAACGCGCCCAGTGAACCCCCTCCAAAAACAGCGCGAGCAGCTCCCGATAGCACGAGGTAACTAGACTATCCATCCCATCATCTAAATCTCCACTCAGCATCTTCGCAGGGCGGGAAGCTCTCATTCGCGAAATACAGGAAAATGACACAACAATTTTATTGGGAGAGACAGGTTCAGGAAAAACCACTCGTGCGTTTGCTAGCCATTATACCACAGTTATTGCACCTCATAACTCCATCTTAAGTACAGAGGTCCCTCAATACATCCTCGAGTCAGGCATCGCAGGCAAAGGCATGATTGCCGTCACACAGCCACGTCGAGTAGCAGCCACGTCCCTTGCTGCTCGTGTAGCTGCAGAGAAAAACGTCTCCGTTGGTGGACTTGTCGGATACTCCGTAAGATTCGACGAGGCTTCCAGCTCCGATACCCGTATAAAATACGTTAGTGACGGTATGCTCGTGCGGGAGCTGCTTTCGGATCAGTTGCTGTCGAGATACAGTGTCATAGTCGTGGACGAAGCGCATGAACGAACCCTTCGGACGGATTTCCTAATAGCAAACCTGAAAACGATTCAGATCGCTAGAAATGGTGGGGGAGATGTCAACGGGAAAGGAAAGGGTCCCGCGTCAGCCCTTAACCCATTGAAGCTCATCATCATGAGTGCTACGCTTGATGCTGAGAAATTTAGCAAGTTCTACAACAAGTGGGTGCATTACATATGCACGCAATGTACATGCTCATGACGACTGCAGTGCACGAATACTCTATGTCAAGGGCCGACAACACCCTGTTCAAATATTCCACACATCTGTCAGCCAGACGGACTACGTCGATGCTGCTCTACGGACATTCTTCCAAATACATACTGATAGACCTCCTGGAGATGTCCTTATATTTCTTCCAGGTAAGCTGTGTATACCTGCCTGCATAATTCATGCTAACTTTTGATATCGTGCAGGTCAAGAGGACATTGAAAGTCTTGACAAATCGATAAAAATGTATGCTCGCAGACTCCCTGAGGAGCGTATGAGTGTACGCCATTATTCCGTTTTGATGACTTTCGTTCTCATCATAACTCTCATCTAGGTCCTAACATACCCAATGTACGCTGCCTTGCCACCTACGCAACAAGTCAGAATATTTTCATCCGCCCCTCCAAACACCCGGAAATGTATTCTTGCTACCAACATCGCCGAGACGTCTATCACAATACCCGGAATAAAATATGTAATCGATACCGGCAAGTGTAAAGAAAAACGATATTTATCGAAGGATACCGGTGGAGGTAATGGAAGTGATTGTCCATTTGGGTTCACAACTGACCAGTTTTTGTAGGTTTTGATACCCTCCTGACTCGAGATATCACAAAATCGTCTGCTATGCAGCGGGCTGGTCGCGCCGGTCGCGAAGTATGCCCCGAACTTGTCTCTCTTGATGCGTCTAATGTGAAGTAGGGCCCAGGTTTCTGTTTCCGCTTGTACACAGAAGACGCATTCAATGCAATGGCGCTGTCCGCAGAGCCCGAGATTCGCCGATGCAGCTTAACCCAGAGTGTCTTGCAATTGAAGTGCCTCGGCCAAGACTTTGAAGCAGTCGACTTCATGGACGCTCCCGAGATCGGGTCAGGTACGGCCCACTGACATACCTCCATACCAATCCTGACATCTTTCTCAGTCATATCCGCGCTTAAAACTCTCTGGCTTCTCGGCGCGTTGGACAACTCCAAGACACTAACCGCACTGGGGCGCCAAATGTCGTCCTTCCCCGTGGAGCCGTACTTCGCGCGTATCATCCTCGCATCCAAGACCCACGGATGCACCTCTGAAGTAATAGACATCGTGTCCATTCTCTCGTCCTCTTCTACGCTCTTCCTCGATATCTCCGACCAGCGCGATGCCATCACAGAAACTCGGGGCAAGTTCCGCCATGCGAGCGGGGACCATATGACGACGCTAAACGCCCTCCGATCATACCAAGAGATTGCCGCATCTGAAAACAAAGGCGCGAGAAAAGAATGGTGTCGTCAACATTTCGTGAACGAAAGAACGTTCGTGGAGGCGATGAAGATTAGAGATCAGTTGAGGCAGACGTGCCAACGAGTTGGTATCGATTGGCATACTTCCACCGCGGATAATGATGAGCCAGTGCTGAGATGCTTCGTCACTGGCCTCGTTCAGCAGTCGGCGTTTTTACAGCCGGATGGGACATACAAGCAAACGATGGGTCATTTTGTGAGTTTCGCATCTCGTTCTGCGAACATAGAAGGCTGAGCGTGTACAAGGTCATTAAAATTCACCCAGGTTCCACACTCTGCGACAAAAAGGTACCTGCTATCATCTACGATGAGCTTGTGAGTGGCGTTTTTTTCCTGTTGTTCGCCGTTAACGTGTATGGAGCAGGTCTACACAAGCCAGATTTACGCAAGAGGCGTGTCCTCCGTTCCAAAGAGCTTCTTTAGCAACGTCACACCAATAACGAAAGAAGCGTAACGTTTTCTCGCGCTCTGACAATCCTAGTATACCACACGCTTGGATTAACCATTTTTATATATCTCAGGCGGAGAGCTTGCACTTCCCATCCTAAACTCGTCGAGACTCCGAGGGGCGGCACTGACATTTATGAACTTTATTTCGAATAAACTTTGTCTTGGCTCTGCGAGCCCCAGCGTTGTGGTTACACGGCACATGTTACTATTAACCATGAATTAATAGCGTGAGGGTGTGAGGTCAAGCACGGGTGTAGTGTCGCGCACCAGCTGGTGTGGTGGTGGGGAAGGTGGAGCCAATTGAAAAGATCCAGGGATGTTCACACACCTCGGGGCTAGGGCACACATCCAGGCATCACATTATACGCTTGCAAGTCTAACATCCTCCGACTTGGGGAACGAGACTGTTTTGGGGCCATGGGAGTGTTTGTATTCGACAAAGCCCTCCTCCCACTAACGTGGGAGTCGGGGAACGGGCACGTCGGCTGGCCAAGGAACGAGGCTGACCAACTTGAAGTTGATATGTCACTTCTCCTATAGTCGACTATAGTGACTCAACCCTCAAACCGTGCCACCATGCACCATGCTTTATTTCTCCCTGGAATTACATGCAATATTTTCGAGCTACTGAATTCTTTTCTTTCAGGACTCGAAGTCGGCTTACTGGGCCCTATACTCTGCGGGATCTCGCAGCAGTTGCGCTAACGTGTCGTACATTGAGTGGTTCTACGCTCGACGTGCTAGCTATGGAATACCCAAGTATGCTTCGGACCATTGCTGATATGTTTGCCGCCATTGGTCGTCAAAGCTCGGGATAGTGATTATGAACCAGACGAGGATCGGAGTATTCAGTCTTATGATGAACCATCCCTGCGTCGGAACATCGTAAGTGATCATAATTTCCCCTGCTCGGTGTGCGTCTCCCTTACAAATGGTTCCAGCATTTGATTCAAGACCCTTTGCCCTCGGATTTGTTGCGAATGCTTCCTTATGCCCGACGGATCAAGAGGATAGGTTCCAATTGTCGATGGCCTCGTCTCGGATTTTTCTCAATTCCCTCTCATATCATCAATTGGCTTCTTTCGGCCCAGCCTATGGAGAGTTTTCTACATGTCTCACTCACATGTCGTGTTCTAAGTTGGTGTTCCCGAAAGGCATGGGGAACATTAGAGACATCTCATTTGTGCCATTATCCCGTAGTAGCCTCACAAGTTTCGAAGTTTATCCCGAATTCAACATGAAAGTGGAAAGCTGGCCATTACTTTCGAATCTACTCGATGATCTTCCTCAGCTGAGGACGATGAGATTGGGAGGTAAGACGTGATGGAGGAGATATGCATTGGTTAACATGATCTTGCAGTGTGCAGCTGGCATTGCAATGTGCACGTGCTCTACCCTGCGCTTTTTCCGCAACCTAGAACATCTGGATCTTGGTATCTACGGGCACGTTGCCGAGGGTCCTGGCCTCGTTGGCCTTCAGATGTTCCCTCGTTTGCAGAAACTGAAATTATCAAGTGATACCAATTTTGCTGTTGGTTTCTTGACAGCATTACAGTCGATGGTACTCCACACCTTGACTTGTTGACTTGACCATGCAGGTAGTCCGTCGGAGTCGGCTAGGAACCAGCCTGAGCACTTCGACCGTCATCGACTCTTTTCGTCCTTGCGGTGTCTAACGATCTCAAGCACTTGCAGCACGTTACACTGGATAACCTCGTAATATCATTGGACGCTTTGATGTGCAAGAAGCTTGCTACCGGGTGACCAGGTCGAATTCTACTTCAATCCGTTCTCCAGAGGAACTTGCGACAACTACTATAGATGCCGGCCCTCTGGCCACGTTCGCAAGGCCTTCTCCAAACTTACTGCGTCTTCAGCTTGGTATCCCGTGGGATACGGCAGAGTTGCCAGTGCTCGATGACGAAACGCTTACTATCTTGTCATCGCGCCCCACGTGTTCCGCTTGCACGCAGATAGTGGTGAATGTGGATTCACCCTGGGACAATCCAGAAGTAGTGGCAAAATTTTCGCCACGGTGTTTCCTGGCAGAGCAATCAAGATCGTACTTGCTACACCTTTCTGCCGGAAGTTGCCATCCGAACATCCCTCAGATAGGTGGCATGGAGTTGTGGAATAACTGGAATTGCTCAGGAGGTCACAGCTGAGCAGCCTTGAATCTGGTATAAACATTTGGGACTAAAAAAATAAAACAATCGAGATGGCTCTTTTTCTGTATCCATTACAGTCGTCTGCATAAAGGCGAATTTTTTCGTTCAATTAAGAAACGAAAGACTTGATTTCGCTCATGTAATGACACATCTTACTGCCGCTATATTGTCATTAATATTGCGCAATCAGAAAGGTACCAAATCTGTCTTGTACATGTAGACCTGTAACTGTTCCATACACGTGAACAACAGGGGGAAAACGCTGCTCACAGGTCTACATTTACGCAAGGAGTGTCCTCCGTTCCAAAAAGCTTCTTTGGTTGGACGTCACACCAGCGGCGGAGGGAGCGTAACATTTTGTGCACTCAGACGATCTAGTGTACCACATGCCTGGATTGACTATTTATTATATATAAGAATATCTCAGACGGAGGGCATGCACTTCCCATCCCAAACTCGTCGACACTCCGAGTGGCGGTAATATTTTATGAGGTTTGTTTCGAATAGACTTTGTCTTGGGTCTGCGAGTCCCAGTGTTGTGGTTACATAGCACATGCTACTATTAACCATGAATTAATAGCGTGAGGGTGTGAGGTCAAACACGCCGGGTGTAGTGTTGGCTCAGGCGTGTGGGGAAGGTGGAGCTAACTGATAGGATCAATTGATATCGGGAGATATTCCAAACACCTCGGGGCTAAAATGTACTGCGCTAGCACGATGGACTTAAGTTCGCTAAGGTCACGGTAGAAGTCCCTCAGACTCTTGGCTCAAACCCTGTGAATCAGTGTGATGGGGGGAATTGGAGATAGTCTGGGAGGCTCGAACGAGTAACGACTGACTCCTCAAGAGAGAAGTCTGAGACAGTAGATACTATGTAGCAGTGGGCTAGTAGCTAAACTTCGAAGGGGACTGCCTGAGACTGCTCGCCTGCAACACGTCGGACATGTTGTAGCCGACACATGGCACTCGGACATGACTTCGGACTCCTAGGGGCGGCGATCACGGGCAACACCGAACTTGGTAATCTGTGGTAATCGATTTCAAATGTCATCATGATCTTCATCTCTTCGTCTCTTCAAATCTCTCTCGCGGTGTACAGTGCTTGAAATATCATGGACGCTCTTGAAAGCTCTCTGATAACTGGGCAATGGGATTCCAAGTTCAACATAGAGCTAGAGTCGTGTCCTGCAACTGCCAAGCTCGCAAAGGACGTCATCGATGGTAAATTCCGGGAAGTGCTAACTTCACCTTACGCCCAAAGTTTGTTTAGGGCATCTGGGCTGCAGGACAAAAGCTATGAAGAACATTTTTCGTGGCAATTACCATCTGTGACAGATGAGGCAGAAAAAGAGTTTATCCAGGTCATTCTGGCTGTCGCATGTTTACATGCTTTCGTCCAGGCCAACTGGACGGGTCCGGATCTCAATATCAAACCTTCGGAAGTGATCGTTGACGTGATGAACCCAACTTTGATTTCTGATGAGGTCCTCGATATGAAGGCGGTGACCGAGCTAGCTTACGGCGGCGAGCCTGCTTACCACCTCGCACAACACGCGACTTTCTTTCGTCTTGCCCAACTCATTTTCGCCTTGCCGTATCATCACTGCATATCTGTTCCCTGGTGGCGGTTACGTACAACAATTATTCACGAACAGTTATTGGACGAGGCAGTGCCCCTTCCAACGGACGCTCTTGATTCCCTGGAGTCTTTGTTGAAGACCCTGATGGGAGATACGGGAGATCGCGATCTCGCTGGCCGTCTGCAGCTAGAGCAGGGTCGACTTGAACATATTTTTTGCCACGACAAGGTTGCTTCCGAACGATTTGTTCGAGCGGCCCGTGCTACGGGGTTGCAGTATGAACTCAGCGGAGCGCTCGGGAGACGAACAAAGTTTCAGCAAAGTGATCTAAGCCAATTGGTGTTACTCGCGGAGAGCCGGAAAAGGAATGACTCCCCCGCCGAGGACGTACTCAACGATCACGCCGATCAGTCACGTACGCCTGTTATCGGGTCCATCATAACAGATCCAAATCTTCCAGTTACCTTGGAATTGAATGACGACACACTTCTGGAGCAAACTGTATTCACATCTTCTGCTCCGTCGTCCACGACCAGTCAGCTGAACCATCTGGATCCTGTTTCACAACCCCCTTTACACCCACTCGACCAGTGTATTCTTCTATCCCTTTGCCTCAATGTACGGAATACGTCCCCTTCACACGGTCTCACAAGCGAACAGATGTCCCCTTACGTCGCCCGTGTCATATCGCATCCCAAGAACTGGTCAGTCCACACTATGGCTCTACTTTTGCGGTCCCGCCTCGAATCTACACGCACACGAACTGTTGAGCGCTCAGTACTCCAGCTCCAAGCCCTCGTAGACCAGATGCCGACCGCTGATTCCGCCTTGGCGGAGCGGCTGCTTTACTTCCATTCAATACCGCTTCCAAGCAAGTGGGAGATGGAACGTGAGCTGGCATTACGTTTCCTCACTCTCGGGGTGGTAAAATCGGCCCTAGAGATATTTGAACGCCTTGAGATGTGGGAGGAGGTCGTGAAGTGCTGGCAGTCTATGGAGAGGACTGACAGAGCGGTTGCTATTGTCCGTGACTTACTCGAGGGCCGCAAAGAGGAAGCAGAGAATGTGATTTCGCGGGGCAAAGATTTAGCATCGCCGCGGCGCGGCAAACTAGATTCAACACGACAGGCGAAGTTGTGGTGTCTTTTAGGAGATCTGGAGCCAGATGACGCAGTGAAGCATTATGAGCACGCGTGGGCGCTGTCAAAGGAGACTTCCGGTCGTGCCATGCGGTCTCTTGGGGGCTACTACTTTGCACGGGGGGAATATGAGAAGACTATTTCCTGCCTGCAGCGTGCGGTGAAGATCAACCCGCTATTGTCCCGCTCTTGGTTTATCTTGGGTTGTGCCTTTATTCGCCTCGAGAACTGGGAGGGTGCCCGAGATTCATTTAGTCGATGTGTTTCAATTGACGATGAAGATGGAGAGAGCTGGAATAATCTGGCTAGTATGTACCTCCGTTTGGACTCCTCTCAGAATATCTCCGAATCGCACGTGAATGAGGTAAGTGGGGATGAATCTTCTTTACCCTGTACGAACTCAAGTTTGTGCTCAGGATGATCAGCCTAGCAAGGCCAAATCTTTTTCAAACAGGATGCTGGCATTCCGTGCTTTGAAACAGGGCTTGAAATACAGCTACGACAATTGGCGCATGTGGTCGAATTACATGATTATCGCCATGGACGTCGGGGAGCTATCAGAGGCGTGTCGTGCACTAACGCGTGTCGTTGAAGAACGGAGTGCAAAAATTGGTGCAGAATGCGTTGATGAAGAAGTACTTGAGCGCCTGGTCAATGCCGTTACTAGGGTGCCAGCTGATCGAGCTGAGGACAGTGATAGGGGCCGTGATGCTGTAACCAATCCCAATGAAGGTCACGGGCTCCTCAGGAGGGTGCAGGAACTTTTCGACCGAACGATTCTTCCACGTGTATCTTCTCCTCGCATCTTCCGCGCCTATGCACGTCTTCTGACCTGGAAATCACGGTGGGAAGATGCGTTGAAAGCTCACTTGGATGGGTATCGCTGCGGCGTGGCCGGAACGTTTCAGAAGGGAGAGACGGATGTTGAAAAGTGGCGCGAAGCCATAAATGAAGTCGAGGACGTCATGGACGTTTTAAGAAATTTTGGACCGCGGGTGCAAGGCATTAATTGGAGACATCAGGGTCGCAGTATCGTCCGGACGTTTATGGGACGCTCGAAGGACTTCGAAGATGAGGCAGAATGGTCACGCCTGGTAGAGTTGCAAAACGAGCTGCGTACTGAAGAGTAGGGTAGAATGATATTTACACCGAAACACGAGAAAGCAGATCGAATGAATATGAGATGACTGTGCGTGTAGGTTAAACGGCAGTATGGTGTGTTGAATACACGTATCGTGAAGTATGTGCAGTATGAGAGCAATTAGTACAAAGTGGCATGTGGGCGCAAGTCAAAGGCGGGAACATGAGGATTGAACGTAGTGGTGTATCACATAGAACGACTCGTGAGGAAGAAAAACTGCTACACCTTCCAGTCTAAATCCAGGGCCATGCGATTTAGAGACAGAGTGGTTAAAATTTCAGTAACCACACTAAGGCCGGAATGCTTGATGGTCAGACGAGCACTGAACATGTCTTCTGGCTGAGCGAGCTCCCACATAGCGATTGTAGTACGTCCGTCTACGCACTGAAATTCGATGAGCAAAACGAAAGGCACGAAAGCTAGTAACATCCTACCTCCATTTTCTGAGGAAAAACTTTCCACTTCAGCTCCCTACCATTCTGCGCCGTAAAATAGCGTGATCTAGGACTGGTTTCACATTCTGTTTCAACGACAAGCCATTTGCAACACCTACATGCTAGAATCTCTCTTTTGGCGTAGGTGATTGATCATGGCGACTTCCGCCCCGTTACCGTATACAAGGTATCCTGGGGCTCTGGAGGGGCCAAAATACAAGTAGGAATTGCTGGGACCCATGATTTCTGGGTGCTGCTGGCTCCAAGCCGCTTCGCGAGCGATGTGGACAATTACATTCACTTGTTGGTCAACCTTCGGAGTGATATGTCAGAGGATGCTGAGCGCTGAGCTTCAAACGTTGTTACCGTTGTCCTAATTTTTGACCGTCCTGGATTAAAACTAAGCCGGGAATGTTCAAAGAGGTACGTACACCGTAAACGCTGGTCTGCCCTCGAGATCTTCGAATCTATGACTGAAGAGGTCTGATCCGAACTGAAGGAGGACGTATGAGCCAGACATGACAAGAAAGTGGAAGAAAGACGGGGAGATTTCTGGGTCGTTGTATTCCAGTCGCTGAATATGTAACTTACCTTTTCACGCACAAGAACAGGCTAGATTGGGAATAAGAGATTTGAAGGCACGGCCACATGCAGAAACAGTCAGAAGCCCACGTAAAGAAGCCCACGTGGCTCCTCGTGGCTCCCACTTCATTTTAGCAGCCGAACCGGTTATTTCATTGATCGCCTTGCCTCAGGGCATTCTGCCGTCTTCCACACTATTCAAGTGCGATGGGCAAATGCCTCTTATTCTAGGTTATCAAGTGAAATATCAAATTATGCCAAGAGTAGCTGGGGGTTATTGGCCATGCGTGACCTTCGTGTGTCCGTAGGTGTATGCAGGTGATGCAAACTACAATAGTGCTCCTGAGAAGAAACAGCAGTGAACAGGTCAAGGTTCACCGATGACTAGCGAGGAGCTCCACTTCTACGTACTAGCATCGATAAGCTCATTCCTAAAATAATAAGGAACAACGCACGTGGATAAAGGTCTGAACCAGACGGAAAAGCGAATGGCCCGAACTCCGTTCAGTCGTACACTAGATAAATGAAGATTATCACCACCGATCCGTCTGTCCGAGGATGTCATTTCTTACCATGTATGATGCCTGGTGAGTCAAGGTTGCGTAAATAAACGTGTAGAGCGGCCAGGAAGCCTTGCGCACCGTAAAATAGCGTCCACACAAGAATAAATGTAAAAATGTTATCTTGGCCAGGGTTGACAAGCTCCCCAAGTCCACCAGCCAAGTATCTTGCAGGTTTCCCTCTGCAGTTTATGGCGTAGATGATAAACGAGGTTGAAATAATAGTGGCTATAAAGAGCGCGAATCCTAGCCAGTTCTCTAGACCGAGGATTCCTGCGACAGCACCAGCAAAGCAAGAGGACAGAAATTTGACGGACGTCAGCGCTTGATTGTGCAGGACATTCGGTGCAAATACAAGCTGAGCTGCAGAATCTGTAGTTGTCGCCATAGACGATGTTGAATGTGAATGCGTGAGGCGGCTGTGACTTTCCATGTACCACTCGGACACCGGAAAGATCTCTCACGGTCTTAGCTCACTTCCGATCTTGAACGAGAATGGATCATCGTCTACCGGCCGTAACTGTAAGTGAACATCGCGTCTTTACAACGTCGAGTCAAGTTGACCAACAACCAATCTCTGGAGAACTCAAGGTGAAGTCGTCATGTCCAAGAACCCAGATGGAAAGCAGATCAAAGTAGGGATTCTTGGTGCGACTGGTACTGTAGGGCAGCGTTTCCTCACTTTGCTCGCAAAACACCCATGGTTTACCATCCATGTACTTGGAGCATCTTCCAGATCGGCTGGGAAGCCATATGCGCAGGCTGTTATGTGGAAGCAGACGACGCCGATACCATCTGTCGTCCGCGATATGATAGTGCAAGAGTGCTACCCGCAGCACTTTGCTGAGTGTGCTATCATCTTCTCTGGTCTTGATGCCGATGCGGCTGGCGACATAGGTACGTCCTAAGGTGTATAACCCCCCTTCTACGCAGCTTATCTTTACGACAATTAGAATCTGCGTTCAGAAGCGCTGATCTCGCCATTTTCTCCAATGCCAAAAATTATCGGAGAGATCCCTCCGTACCTCTGATCGTCCCCCTCGTAAACGATTCACATTTATCCATCATTCCTCAACAGCAATCTCTGCACAATCCCCCGCTTAAGAAGGGATTCATCGTTACCAATGCCAATTGCTCTACGACGGGCTACGTTATACCCCTTCGTGCCCTGGAGAAGGCCTTCGGACCCATCGAGTCGTGTCTGGTCACTACCATGCAGGCCATCTCCGGTGCTGGATATCCAGGTGTCTCTAGTCTTGATATCATCGATAACATCGTTCCATACATCAGCGGCGAAGAAGAGAAAATGGAGTGGGAGACGCTAAAAATTCTGGGAGGGGTCGCCGATGGAGATGATGGAACAAAGACCTTTGACATGCACGCACGCCATCCGTTACGCGTATCCGCGTCATGTAATCGAGTCCCGGTCATTGATGGGCATACGATGTGCGTCTCTGTACGTTTTCAGCAGAGACCTCCTCCCAGCCCGCAGCAAGTCCGCGAGGCACTAGTTGCTTATACTCCAGAGGCACAATCCATTGGGTGCCCATCTGTACCTGTCCATGCCATTTTTGTGCATGAAGAACCGGATCGCCCACAGCCTCGGCTGGACCGATATTACCAAGATGGTGCAGGCGTGTCAGTGGGCAGAGTGCGCCAATGTCCCGTTCTTGACATAAAGTTCGTCGTCCTCGCGAACAACGTCTCTATTGGAGCAGCTACAAGCAGCATCATTAACGCGGAACTCGCCGTGTTGAAAGGAGTTGTGAAGGTGGAGTAACGGGGGCGCGGGCGCGCTCTCGGCCTGAACAATGTGCCAGATCTAGAAGTTCGCGGTAACGTCTTGCACGATAGTATCAAGATCAAATAATAGCGTTTATGTTACTGCCAGCATATTATGGGTGAAAGCACTGGTACAATTGTATACTGCAGGTTAGTGCAGATGATGACGTTGATACAGTATTGTAACGAAAGTGAGCAAAACATCATTGATCAACCAGCTCTGGAGGAACGGTCGCGCTTCTGTACAGAAGAACGATCGTGGATCTGTACATAGTTCTCGATCATGCGCATCATGTTACCCAGACCCGGCGTCTCCGGAAGCCATTCTCCGTTGTTGACACAGAGAACCTTCATGCGTTCGTGATAGTCGAGGTCAGGAAGCAGCTTAGGGGTGATCAAGAAGTATTGTGCGCTGTCAGGCTTGCATGTGACTTCGACCAAGGAATTGTGTACTGCACGCTCAGCGCGTTGATCCATACCCTTCGGAAAACGTGGTCAACACCTGACGTATAAACAGGGTCAAAAAAGGGGCACCTGATTAATCTCGTCAACGAGAGAGAACGGCGTTCGGGCCTCTTCAGTCAAACTCATCAGGTATAAGATAGTGGTGAGGGACCGTTCCTAGACTCCAATGAATATCATGCGAGGAGTAAGTTTGATCCATACTTACGCCGCCTGACTGCCTCTGTCCCGTAAGAAGTTGCAACTTCTCCTTATCACGGAATTTAACGAGAATGTCGATCGCCCACTTGTCATAATCGTCATGGGGGCTGATGCGGATTTCACCTGCGCAGCCAATGCCTACAAACATTGATAAACGTAAATTCATGACGCCACCAGGGTTTAGCAACTGACGATCAAATGCAGCAGAGAATTTCTTTCCGATGCTCGCAACAAGTTGTTCGAGGGCAGGTTGCCAACGATCCTGGTATAGAACTCAGAAATGAAATGGGGCAAGCAAGAACACCGCTCACTCTAGCGTTCTTAATTTCTCGCTCCACTTTCCGCGTAGCCATCTCTCTGTCTTCCAGAGTTTTCGTCAGAGCTTCGATCTGTTTGTCATCGTGGTAAATGAAGACCCTCATATTAAAAATGGAGCGATGCAAACCTCATTCTTTCGCCGCTCATACTGCTCAACGACACCAGGGTTGGTCAACGTGATCATATCAAGATTGGCGCGCTGAATATCGAGTGCCGTTCGTAGTTCATTCACACTCCGGTCGTGAACCGAACCATCCTGTATGCATGTGAGTGACCCTGAGGTAATATTAGGCAGAAATAGCTTACCATTTCCATCTTGGCGAATTGTTCTTGGAACTCTTTGTCCATGCTCCGAACAAGTTCCAGGCTGATGTCGCGTTTATTCTTCGCGTCAGTCTTTGCCGCGACGAATATTTGGTCAGCTGGCGTCGATGGTTACTTCATATCCGCGGACGTTGCACGAAAGTCTCATTTACGAACCTTCTTCGAACTCGGCAAGAGCCCGCTGGTACTTTTCATCCTTCGCTTGGCACATGGCTTCAAGCGCATTCTTGTTTGCGCCGACCTGTAGGAATTCAAGTCCACTGCGAGTTGCTTCAACTTGATCAGATATCGCAGCACGGATCAGTTGCTGTAGGGTGGATTGTCAACTTTTACTCGCGTATTCCAGATTAAGTCAAACTGACCGTGTATTCCTTTACGATTTTAACGCGCTTCTTCGATATCTCAAACAACTTCTTCTTGAGCTTGGCGCGTTCATCCTCCACGGAAGGTGCATTCTCAAGGTCCCTCAGCTTGGTCTTGTTAGTCTCTGTGGTGCAGTTAGATATGAAAACGACCAATCGGGATCATATATACCGATTTTAGCCGCTAGCGTGGCCAGGTGCTTCTTCTGATTATTAACAACCTTCTTTCGTGTATCGAGAGCGTCCTGCACACACGGTAAGTCAATTTACTTTCCGAGGCAGAAAAGAAAAATCAACAAACAAATGTCTTCTTGAACTTAGCTTCCTCCGCCCTAATTTCGCGCTCCTCTGCTGCAAGGTTGTTCGCGTCCTCGTTGATGACTTCAAGAGCCTGCCTTGCTTCTTGAATAGTCTGATCGAGCTTCTTCTTGATCTCAGGGTCGACTGCACCCCTGGTAAACATACTTGAAAGGAAGGCGCAATGATGGCCACTTACTCGTGCTGCTGACAAGGTTCCGGGCTGGACGGAGATCCCTCGTCATATTCCCGGCTGCTCGCTTACCGTATCGCGATCGTGAAACCGTGTTCATCACTCTTCCTGCGACGAACTTCGCCCCACCACTGTCTCGGGAAACAACTTCCATCGCAGCATTTACATCGACCCTGGAGCCGTCCAAGCCAATGGCCTGATACGGTCGTCTTGGTCAGTATATGGTTAGTGAAACAAGGATGGTTGACTGACGGTGCGATGTAAGCTAACTTCTCGTGTGAGGAACCACAGAAGGCCGTCGGGGCACTCAATCTTGTTGATTGCGTAGTCATCGAAACCAAGTGCCTTCAACTACAGCAGACGTTAGATTATTCAATAGAGATGACATAAACACACCTCTGCCTCGTTCATGGGAGGAGGGGTCAGGTCTACCTTAGGCCTGAACCAGATGTTGATCTTCGCGCCCTTTCGAAGCCCGGCCTCCTCGCTGTCATTCAAGTAGTGATTGAGGGCACTATAATCTTCCTCGCATTGCGTGACGAGAATCTGCAAGCTGATCAACTACATTATTCGAAAGCGGTGGGCAGAATGTGGTGCAAACCTTGAGCTGATCCTGATTAAAGCACGCCTCTACAGAATCGGTAAAGCGTCGATCTGGAACGGTGCAGCATATCATGGGCGGTTCAAACACCTCCATCTTGAACTTGTCCTGGTGGTTACGAAGCCATACGACCGCATCGGCTACATCTCTATCCCAACCCCGCAATTTCTCGAGTTTACGATGACGCTCATCTTCAAGGTTCTTCAGCCTGTGATAAATGCGTCATGCTCATCCCGCATCATAGAAAAATTGGTTCTTACTGGTCAAGTGCACCGCCGATGTTTTTCTGTTGCTCGGCGGAAGCATCGACGTTCTTCCTTTGCCGTTCCTGCAAGTCCTCCATGCGCGTCGCAGTTTGTGTGTGCTCCCGGTTGACTTTCCTCTAAAGTTGACGGTGAGTATAGATTGCGTTGCCCTCTCACGGGGTGAACGAACGATCTCAGTATTGATGACTTCTATATCCTCTAGTTCAGGCGGGTTGTCGAGCTCTTTCTGCCATTTCTCATTCTGCCCTTGGATGTCTTTGATCTTCTTCACGCGATCCTTCTCGGCCCGCTTCAGACCGTCAAGTCTGTTCGTGACATCCTCTGCGTCACGTTCCTGAGCGGCTGGTCATTAGACAAGAAACGAAAATGAACTGTTAGACGAACAAGCCTGTCGTTCTCGCTCCATTTGCTCTTCATCTGCTGGAACTTCTGGCGAGATGCATTCTTCTTTTTCTCGCGTGCTTTCTCGTACTCCTTGTGCTGCACAGCAAGTTGCCTTGCGGTGCATGAGTAAATTGGCAATAAACATGAAGAAGAGCATACTCTAGCTTGGCGTGTGCGGGCGCGTTTCTATCCTTCAGTTTCCGCACGCGGGCATGTAAGTCCCGCTGGCGGTCTTTGGCCTTCTGATAGCGCTCCTTAGCTTCATGGTATTCATTAACAGGAATCAACACTTCTAAGACAGCGATCTACGATAGAAATGAATAATGAGTAACAACACTACGAATCGAATCACTTACATCCTTCTCGACACGCTTGCGTTCTTGATAACGCTGAACGTCTCGCTCAAGTTGAGAATTACGGTCTTGCATCGTCTTCAACCGTTCTTGCTCGTCATGTGCTTTCTGCAAGGGACTCGTAAAACAAAGTGATAATTAAAGCAGAGGATGCACATACATCCTGGAGGTCCTTGAGCTCTTTGCCAGCGGTAATCAGCGTGTCATGCCAATTTGTCAAATTAACATCTCCCGCGGCACGTTGCGTCTCTCTGAGCAACTGTTGTGGGGTCATTTGCGCAAACTCAGAGACCTTGTCCTGAGGCAAGAATGAACTGAAAAAGCGCGTATATATGCGGTCAGAAATAGCGAACACAGGAAAGCCAGGTACCATAAGTTTCCGACTTGAACATTGAGCTTTGCCATGCGAGCCGAAATCTCTTTGCCAGTGCAAGATTGTCCGTTGAGAGTCAAAGTCGAGCCTTTGGACTTAGCGTTCAAGTTCCGTCGGATTACAAGGTTCTTTTGACCCTTTGCACCCTTGAGCTCAATTTCGATGTAGCCGCTGTCTTTGCCGTGCTTGACGAAGCTAGAAATCTCGTTTGCGCGACCAAGGATCTGGTGAAGGTAGACTTGAGGCAAGAAACAAGAATAATAAAAAGCGCTCACGCTCGGAGGCCAGTTGAGGCCGAGACAAATAGCACAAGCGATACTGCTTTTACCAGTGCCGTTGGGGCCGAGTATCATGTTCAGGTAAGGACCCGGGCGGAACTCCACCCAGTCGTACGTAAGGAAGTTGTGCAACTGAATACGCACGATAGAACCAGGGATGAAACTGAGAGAGACAATAGTGAGAAACATTAACAATTGCAGATGGTCTTCCCGTGCTTACCCATCGTCATCACGAGGAAGAGTCGCTATTTGCTCCCTTTTCGGGGTGGAGGGCACAAAGTCGCCTTCTGCATTGACGCGAGCGCGCTTGCGGCTTCTTGGAGATCCGTCCTCGTTCTCGGGATCACCGTCAGCATCAACATCGCCTTCGGCATCAGTGTCAGCGTTGTTTCCAGCTTGAGTCTGCGCTGGATCTTCGTTCCCTGTTTCATGCTCGACACGCGTCGCCTTGCCTTTACCTTTCTCGTCCTTGACTTTCTCGCCTGTGCCTTTCTCCTTTTTGACCTCTTCCTTGGCCACGTTCGGAAGAGCAGAGTTCTCCTTAAGAGAGTCGGTGTCAGCCTCTACCTCTGCTCGTGTTCGGCGAGGCATGTTCGTCGCACAGGAGGAACACGCAAGTTTGGGGCCAAGCTGTGGTAATTGACGCGTTTCGAATGTTTGGGATTGTTTGACATGTAGGCGCGACGCGTTTAGGGCCGGATCCACGGAACTATATACAAGAGACTACTGACTAGGACTAGGAGTACTATTAGGCAGTCGATGCCGATTATCCATGAATATCATTAACATTTCTTAGGTCACAATTGCCTTGGGTAGTTGCCTACATAGGCTACAGCTTGACATCCGACCCTGCTCAGAAGCAAGTTGCGCCTTACGTATTGGTCTCGAACATCCTGATCCGAGATTCGACTCCAATGAGCATCAGACGGAAAAGCACAACTCATGATCTTGCAACTCTACGCCTGCACCCAGACGGATCGCGCGTTCAACAATCATCTATCAACAGAAGAACACGCACAGCTCCTTCAACTGTCCCAGACACCAGAGGCAACTGGATCGCCCGCGATGCAGGGGGTAAAGCTGCTGTGAGGAAAACCAGAAACACTAGTGCCCGGGCGGATGACGAGGACGGAGAATTTATCGATATTCGTCTCTCTGATGAGTTGGTTGAAGAGGAACTTACGGTACGGACGAGTAAGAAAGGCAAGCAAAAGGCCACCGAGAGCGACTCGGAAGACAGTGGCGGGAAACGCACCGGCAGAAATTTCAGGGCGAGGAAACGACGCAGCTTCACAGATGACTGGTCGTTCTTGGCGCCCTCGCCGCCCCGTGTCTTTCCACAACCAGAATCGACTTCTGAAGATGACTCTTCCTCGTATTCATCTGATTCTGATTCTGAATCGGAGGAGATCAAAATCACGCTTCCGGACCCATCCCCCGTAAGAGTCGATGTCCTTCCAATGATGTTCGCTGATCATCAGTAGGAGCTGCTAAAATGCATCCACCACTTTGCCAGCCGTTACTATCAGGAACAAGGTGTTTTGTCCGATAGAAGCAGGGGTTTCCGAGACGAGAGGAAAACCCGGCGCTCCAAAAAGAGTGCCATCAATATTCACGATCAGACAACAAGAAAGCCGGCGCTGTGGACGAGGGATTCTTCCCTTGATGCGGAGGATGACGAGGATGAGTGGGAAGACGAGGAAGATGAGCGTGAAGATGGTGAAGATGAGTGGGAAGATGAAGATGAAGACATGGAAGATGGTGAAAACCCTTCTCGCAACGATGAAAATGTGAAGAAGGACATGTACAAGGCGCTTGACGGCTCGGCTTTGGTTGCAATAGGTATTCAAAACCACCCCTCCTCTCACCACCGCGCTGACCAGCATCCAGGCATAATTCTTCAAGAGCAAATTGCACATGCGATGACTGCTGGCTTCCCTGCTACTCATGCACATCCAGTGCGGCGGCAGCGGGATGATTTCGCAGAACTCAGCTCTTCACTTGAATCCGACTGATACCACCCGTCTGCTATCCACGCAGTAGTTTATATTCCAGCGTAATAAATGAATTAGATCGCGAGCAACATACATAGACGAGGAGAAATACTTTACTTAGCCTTCATCCTATTCTTCGGATCCAGCTTCAAAATATAATCTTCCGTCAGTGTCCCATCCTCCCATCGCTTCAAAATGTTCCCTCTATATATCCCCATATTCGACCCTCCAAATACTTTGAGTCGTGCTAATCGACGTTCTCGGAGCTTGTTTTTGGGTAACATGCCTGACACTGCGTGCCGTATGATCTACATTCGCGCAGGACGGCGTGAGCATGTATATCGTATACAGCAAACAACGAAACGAACCTCATAAGGCTTTTTCTCCATCATATCCTTGTACTCGGTCTCTTTTAAACCACCAGGGAACATCGTATGCTTGCGATACACCAGCTGTTCGTCTTTACGACCGGTCACCTTGATGTGTTTTGCGTTTGTAACCACAACATAGTCACCACAGTCCACTAAAATGCGCATGAGCGAGAAAATGGTGATAAAATGGGTAAAAAAAACGTACAGCTCTTGTCGTATACCGGCTTGTGCTTGCCCATGAGCACGAGAGCTATTCGTTCCGCCAGTTTTCCGAGAACGCGGTCATTGGCATTGACATGATGCCATACTCGTGCGTAAGCAAGGGCGGTCTATAATGGGCCCCCGGTTATATGTTCGCCCTTGTATAACAAGAAAAAATCGCGTACATTGCCTACTGCTTGAGACATGAAAGTGCTGGTCGAGGAAGGTTAAACTTATTGCAGCGAAGTCCGAATAACTACAAGCTCACGTGGCGTTGCTATTTTTAGAACGTACTTCGAAGTGCAACAGCTCTGGATTCGTTGTACGACCTGATTGCAAGATGGAAGTACATTATGACAGTACATAAATTCTAGGTCAATAGATCCACAGTGCATGGGTATCCTTCCAAAACATCCAATCACTTCTTTCCCTTCCTTTTAGCAGAGCCCTTCCGTGGGGTATTCGTCGCACTCGACGACGCAGCAGTAGATTCTGGGGCTGGGGATCCGGACACAGGCGCAGTTGCAGGCTTCAGTACAGGCTTAGCAGCAATCTTTGGGGGTGAAGGTTTGTGCAAAAAGTTAATGAAGAAGGTCGCAAGACCTCCACTCATCGTGTACATGAGCCATTTCGGTACACGAACAAGGGCACGGTAGACCTTGGTCAGCAGTTGCGCCAGGTAATCTAAAATGTATTCGCTATAACACATCGATGAGCATTGGCGGGATGGTTAAATCTGACACGTCCTACCGTTCGCCGCCGGGGCCATAGGCGGATTTCCATGGCTCCTTCATACGCCACCCCTCCTCCTTGAGAAATTGGTGCAAAATTTCGTCGGTCAACCTTATCTGACCGGCCTTGTAAAACCGCAAGGTTTGCCCTCGGTCTTTCAATACAACAAGGTAAGGTGCACTGATAACAGGTCAATGACATGAACACGCTACAAAATCGCTTGAATACTCACGACCAGACAGCCCATTTGGTGGTGATGCTCGTAACGTTAAGATAGTCTATACGACCAAAGCGCACGTGAGGAAGTTCTCCTTTCTCCAGGGTATAATTATACGTGGCGTCAAAGACATTGTCTACGAACTTCGAGACACCTTCTGGCTGTCCCGCGGTGACAGTTCTGATGAGAATGAGTTGATTGTCGCCTCAACAGAAACCAATCAACCCACATTATAAGGAACCAAACTCGTTCCTTCTCCTCCTCAGGAGAAAGTGCCTCGTTCACAATAAATTCTGCGTAGTTCTCGTCCGTGATGAGAGGTATCCGCTCATCCCACGTCACAGCTGGAGCTCCAGTAATGTTGAGTCCAATGAGGGAGGATACAGCGGCCAGAGGTCCTACAGTCACAAGGCTATCCAGGAACGACATCTTCCCTGGCCCATGTTGTGTTGCAGGGGTGGATGAGGAGGAATGTGAGACGTGTGCTGTTGAGGGACTTTCGCTTGGGACGGGTTGCCCTGGTGTCCATCCAGCCGAAAAGTATTGAGCATTGACTAGCCCTGTGAGGTACAGAAAGCTGGCAGCGTACGCCAAATGCCTCATATCTATGTTCAGGGAATCTCCCCTAGTCAGACCCAATAGAAGGAAGATAGTCGTTTCTTCTGTAATGCTCAGGGTAACTTATGGGACGAAAAGTTTGCCAAGTGATACTGACAAGTCTAGTTTACATAAAAGGTAGTTACATAAGGTACAACTTGGGATGACAGTGAGATAGTGATTTCTGATCTCCATTAACCTCGAGCGGCAGTAAAATTTGTTCAATATTTATTGATCAACTCAGCAACAAACTACTAGTAACCCACGCGTCGTGTGCATCAACCATACTGCACCGATAGTGAAAGCAGAAACACGACTCACTGCCACACTAGTACTTAGCAGTCGTCACCAACTGTCACATACAAAGAGGATCTACCACGCCGGTGAGTCATGTGGTTAAATCCAGGACGCAAACTTAAACTACTCATACTCACGCATTCACGATAAAGTTCGGGGCAGTCTTTGCACTCGCTGGTATGCCTGCAAAAGAAAGAACAGTCCTCACTGGCAGATATTGATGTTGCCAAAGCAGCAACAACAGCGAGGACAAATGAGAAACGCATTGTTTGTGAGGGTGTGATACTGTATGGAATTATCTGAGGGGACAGTTACTAGGAAGACACCTTACTTTTATGTGCTGAATATTGTTCTTCATGGCGATTTAGGAAGAACCTATCGTTCTTTCGAACAGATGATATCTAGAATGCCAGCAGATTGATTTACCCAAGGTCTATTGGCAATTTGGTGTGGAACAAAATATCACTTTGCTTCGCAATGTCAATGCCAGCTACGTAGCTGTTCAGCTTCTTGTGTTGCATATTACATGCAACGGGCTGCCTCAGAGGACTCTGCCACCGCAGTAGATTGGCGCGGTCAGTGTGTCTGACAACGCTGGCACAACTGCTCTTCACCACCATTATGCGACTCATCTCTCACATCGGAATTCATACTTTGGGTACTCAGTGGGAGAGCATTGAGTCACTATCGGCAATCGCCTTAGAGAACATTCGGAGGGCGCGAGAAATCTGTGACACCACGATTGCATGGGTATGCGCTGGCACGTGTCATTGACACTGCTCCCACCTGTTGACGGCAGTCATCAACTTTGCCGCATCTGACGATCCTTTGAATACATCGCAGTCAGTCCCTGTGACTCTTACATAAGCCCTGTGATAAGTAGTGACAGACCGGGAAACCTCCGCACCTCCAAGTAGTGTCGGATATAGTGGTCCAAGGCTTGGTTCAATCATTGTGCGATATCTAGCTGTAGGGACTTGTAGACTTTGCCCTAGCCGTGCCGATATTTATACCGTGCCTATTTTGACAAAAATGCGCATGTGTAATATTGTGTGGCAGGCGTGCATAGGTCTCTATGGGTCTCCACGTCCAACCCAGTTTAAAAGTCGCCTCGGGCGACGGGCCTACCACGCGTGAAGTCACTTTGCCCACCCTGCATCAGATCTCATGCAGTCCAGACCTTCGCAATCAGCTCCGTCGAGCCTACAGGAAGTTAAGTCGGATGATGAAAGATGGCAAGGAATGTTGATCGCACCAATATCATTGATGTGGAACTGATACACGCCTGACGAGCACACCGACCGTCGCTGATCTTAGTGTCCCAGTCATGATAGGACTAATGATGGGGAATTTGCGTTTGTGCACGCCATTAGTCGAACTGGCATGAAGAAGCCAATGTCAGATTCTCACAAAGATCCACCGTTGATGGTCACGCACCCCAATATGAGAGCGCATCACTAAGCTAATATCTGGTATTTCGTCGAGGACGGGGCATAATGATCCAGAAGTCACGAAAGCAGCTGCGGTCATGGGAATGAGGAAGGCCGCAAGAAGTCGCTCGAAAGCCTAGCGACACGAGCCATTCGTCCTTGATGAAGGAGGGAACTCCGTAGGGTCGTTGACTGTGCCCTTTAAAATCGCTGTCGAGCGCAAGAGTGACCTCGTCTCGTGCGTTCATGAACGTACGTCTAGCTGGCACATTGCATATCGGAACTTCGTGAGGGGTGAGAAAGGTTTTTGGATTGTGCTTCCCTTACAATGCAGAACGCAAGATATTGCGACCAGTTGCGGAAGCAAAGGTTCTGGGCAGCATTGAGCGAACAAGCATGAACATCACTGGCGGTGTCAAGAAGGTATGTTATGCGAAAAAAGTCGTGCGCGCGGGACTAGTGATGCCGCACACCAACCACATCATCAACTATTAACCATAACTCGCTCAAGTTTCAGATTCAAGCAACACAAAGCAACGTTGCATCGCCTACATTTCCCAAACTTTTCTCGGTGGGCGACTAGCAAGTCTTGCAGCGAATCCTAACTTAACAATGCGAACGCAGGACTCTGCGAAGCACGCTGACCTAGGCTACGCTTCTATCTCTTGTGAGCCGAGGCTTCAGTACGGGCTTAGCAGCACTCTTTGGGAGTGAAGGTTTGTGCAAAAAGTTAATGAAGAAGGTCGCAAGACCTCCACTCATCGTGTACATGAACCATTTCGGTACACGAATAAGGGCGCTGTAGACCGTGGTCGGCAGTTGTGCCAGGTGATGTATTCGCTATAAACGGCAATGTGCACAGGTAAGATGATGAAATCTGACACGTCGTACCGTTTACCCCCGGGGTCATAGACAGAATTCCATGGCTCCTCCATACGCCACCCATCCTCCTTGAGAAATTGGTGCAGAATTTTGTCAGTCAACTTTATCTGATCGACTTAGGTTCATCTTCCCTGGCCCATGTTGTGTTGCAAGGGTGGATGAGGAATGTGAGACGTGTACTGGTGAGGGACATTTGTTTGTGACGGCAGGTCGAAGTGATGATGGCACAAGGAAAGAGATGCATTCTCGCACGTAAGTGACTAGATACCAGCCTGGTGAGTACTAAGGAGTCGTAGCTACTTGAATACCCTGCAATGCTTCAAAGAGCTCGTGATAATATATTTAAAAAAATCAAAGCCAAGAAGTAAACACGTTGATCAACTACTCACGCGTCGTGCCATCAACCATACTGCACCGATGTGAAAGCAGAAACATGACCCACCGCCATATTTTATTATTCCCGCTGCATATAAAGATCAACTACCACGCCGGTGAGTCATGTGGTTAAATCCAGGACACTGCAAACTACTCATACTCACGCAGTGAGACCCCTGATTGCATCCTGAGCATTGTCCCAAACCGGGGAAGCACATCAAAGGACAGCCGTCAGCGTCACTAGCAGATATCGATGCTGTTAAAGTAGCAGCAACGGCGAGGACAATAGAGAAACGCATTGTTTGGGAGAATATGATATATGTGATCAAATAAATCTGAAGGGGGCAGTATTAGGACGACGTTTTGCTTTTATGTGCTGAGTGTTGTTCCTCATGGCGACGTAGGAAGAACTTATCCACCTATCCTGCAATGCCAGCAGATTGCCACCTAAGATTTACCTGTCAATTGGCAAATTGACGTGGAACAAAATATCACCTAAAGCAAGGTCAGTGCCAGCTCGCAACAAGGACTGATCAGCTTGTTGTGTTACGGCCAAGTTACAGGTATTTATAGACTAGGATTCGGATTTTTCGCTTAAGCACTTTTATTTGTCCTTTGAGCCGGTGCCACAGAGGCGCGCCTGACGCGAGCTCTGACGGTACATATTGGGAGGTGTACTGCAGCGCTGCGCTCAATTGACTCGTACGGCGGTTAGAGGCTATCAAACAGCCGTGCTCACCCTCTACAAATGAGCCCGAAGGCCACCGTGACAGTGACAGGATCAAACCATCCAAATGTCGTCCAAGAGATCATCCTTCTGCGACGACGCGATTCAGTATACAGGTGAATACTAATGCACTTACACTACATTAGAGAGACTCGTCATTTGCGTAGTCATTGGAGTGGAGAGAATCGTACTTGTTTCCAGAGTGGAAGCTCAGGCTGCATCGGAGGTTGATCGGAGTTATTCGTGCCCTCAATGGCTGTCGTTTCTTTTCGAGTTCGCAGGTCATAGTGCGTGCATGAGGATTTCTGTCCTTGAAGGAGGTCCCTTGGTTGAAGGAGCTCATGCCGTCATGTACAGATTCGAGATTTGACCTTGGGTGTAACACTCTGTACCTTATGTACTAGCTATTTCTGCGAAGAATAAATAAGTAATATAGAAGTCACTTGGCCCACCCTGCATCTAATCTTATGCTGTCCAGACCTTCGCAATCAGCTCCGTCAAGCCTATAGGAAATCAAGTCAGATGAGGAAATATGGCAAGGAATATTGATCGCACCAATGTCGTTTGTGTTGAACTGATACACGCCAACGAGCACGCCAACCGTCGTTGATCTCAGTGCCCAAGTCATGGTAGGGCCAATGATGGGGAATTTGCGTTTGTGCACGTAGTCCACAATCATTGAGTCAAACTAGCATGAAGAAGCCAATGTCAGATCCCCGTAAAAATCTACCTTTAATGGTCACGCACCCCAATGTGAGAGTGCATCACTAAGCTAATACCAAGCAGTCCGTCGAGGACGGGGTAAGATGACCCAGAGGTTACGAAAGCAGCTGCGGTCATGGGAACAAGGGAGGCCGCAAGAAGGCGTTCAAATGCCCAGTGATATGAACCATGCGTCCTTGATGGAGGAGGGAACTCAGTGGGGTCGTTGACTGTACCCTTTAATATGGCTGTCGAGCGCAAGGGTAAGCTCGTCTGATATCAAACCGAAGGGTTCGTGAACGTACGTCCGCCTGGCACATATTGCGTAGCGGAGCTTGCCGCTCTCACTTTGAAATGCAAGATAAGCGCGTAAGGTGTAAGATATGCTTTTGAATTGTGCTTACCTTGAAATGCAGAACGCAAGATATTGCGTCCAGTTGCAGAAGCAAAGGTTCGGGGCAGCGTTGAGCGAATGAGCGTGGACATTGCTGGCGGTATCAAAGAAAATATGTTGTGCGAGAAAAATCGTGTCCGCAAGACTTAGTCTGACTAGTGGTGCCGTACATACACCACGTCATAACTATTAACCATAACTCCGAAGACTCGCTCGAGTTTCAGATTCAAGCAACACAGACCAACGTTGCATCGCCTACATTGCCCAAACTTTCTCAGCGGGTGACTAGCAAGTCTTGCAGCGCATCCTAGCTTAAAAATGCGAACGCGGAGGTCTCTGCGAAGCACGCTGACCTGGGCCACGCTTCTTTCTCTCGTGAGCCAGCTAAGGGCTGCTCCAACTGAAGGTATAACACACATCATCGACACAGAGTTTTTGACGGTTCCTAATGCACAAGAAACCCAGTTCCCTCAGCAGCCTCTTTCTACGTTCCGAACGTGCCAGGCTTGCACCAGGATACAACGCACCCTTTACACATATACGCTGGACACATTCTTTCCGACCCAGATGCAGCTTCAGCAGCCAGCACGGACATTCTCGCGCACTTGTTCTTCGTCATGGTCAAGGCTCGTAAGTCAGCCGACAAGGAGAGGCTGATGTTCTGGTTTAATGTGCGTTTCATCTGCTACAGTGGTATACATGCAGCTGAGAATGCAATAGGGCGGACCGGGATGCTCCTCGTTTGACGGGCTGATGATGGAGGTTGGACCTTGGAGAGTTGATGGGGAGGGCGGTCTTAAGACTGTAGAAGGAGGCTGGGAGGAGTACACTACTATGGTATACGGTAAGTTTATCAAGTCTGCTGCATTGACCGCACCCAACTGTTTAAATCTTCTCCTTCCTCAGTGGACCAACCTGCTGGAACAGGTCTCTCGTATACTAGCACGAACCACTACGTGCACGGTCTACAACAGGTACGTGTTCAGACGTATAGACACGTGGCCAGCTAATATGTTGACCGGGTCGCTTCAGGCGACTGATCAACTCTTGGAATTTCTACGCACATTCTATAAAGTGTTTCCTGAATACGAAACTGTAGACGTACGTGCATCCGTCGACCCAAGAGCCCACCTAATAACGGCTTTCAGACCTATCTGGGCGGCGAGAGCTATGCTGGACAATATATTCCTTACTTCGGTATATCGACTCTTAATTCCTTCCTTCTGCGCGACACTGATCCCTTTAAATAGCGGATGGTATTCTTTCATCAGAACTCAGAATTCCTTTACGGGGAGTTGCAATCGGTAATGGATGGATAGATGCTCGTAATCAATACCCCGCATACCTAGACTACGCCGTCACGCATGGACTTGTCGACGAAAGCTCACAGGCAAGTAATGTAATCGTCTTATCAATCCTCCTCATCGAGCTTGCCATGAACAGCACTACAAAGACAGCAAAGAGGCAACTGACAGATGCATGTCGGAGTTCAGGAGCATCACAGGACATGAACCCATTCATGTAGACCGGTGCGAGGACGTGCTGTCTTTTGTCCTCAAAAGCAAGTCAAGAACGTGAGCTGAGATCTTCAATATTGCTACAACGATATCTGATCACTTCACTCTCACAAAAGTGTCGATGGACAAGAAAAATGCGTGAACATTTATGATGTCCGGTTGGAAGATGATGAGCCTTTCTGCGGCATGCAGTGGCCGCCAGACCTGAAGAACATCAGTTCTTACCTTACCGTTTGTCCCCCTGTCCACATAGTATCCTTACCGCTCACAAAGCCTTTTTCCAGCGTCAAGATGTCCTCAGGGCACTGCATGCGGAGGCCAAATCCGAGAGCTGGGTCGAATGTCTCGGAAGGGTCGGCAATGAGTTGCGTGACTATCTGTCCCCATCATCTGTCACGCTACTTCCTGGAGTGCTAGAAAAAATCCCCGTTTTATTGTTCGCTGGTGATCAAGATTTTATCTGTAATTATATGGGTATCGAGAGCACGATCAAATCTTTGACGTGGAACGGAGAGAAAGGGCTAGGGGTAGGCTTTTCCCAACAACCAGAGTTGCAGAGCTGACCATCGCTTCAGAAAGTACAAACAAAATCATGGACGGTCAACGACTCTCCAGCAGGAACTTGGGTTTCCTCACGAAATCTCACGTATGCCAAGGTTCGTTGTGTCTCCGGAAAAAGTCATCCTGTTCACAACGCCACAGATCTTTAACGCATCACACATGGTACCGTACGACGTTCCCGATATTGCGCATGACATGATATTGCGATTCATGGGGATGGATTTCTCCGCCATTGTTGACGGGTCTGCACGCATACCAAGTACGGTCGGGGACGATGTCAAGCCGATATTTTTGGACAGCGGTGATCTGCCATTATCATCACCATTGCCCGGCAAGACGCCTGAGCAGACCAAGGCGCAGTGGGAAGGTGAGCATCTTTTTCTTTCATACGGCAACGAAGTGTTAAAACAATGTTGTCAGCCTACTATAATGCAGGTTCAATAGTCCTGATCTTCCTTCTCATCGCGATTGCCATCGGGCTCTGTATATGGTGTCGTTTGCGTCGTCGACCTGTGCGGCTGTTGCGGAATCCTCAGTCAGAAGAGAATATTCCGTTGAACAGTACTGGATATGATGACGAGCAAGCGCAAGCGAAAACGGAAAGGGAAGGGACGGGCTGTTGAAGATGAGAGTGGGACACCTATCTTTGATGTTGGAGAGGACGAAGAGGAGTATATTAGTGATGATGGGCGGAAACAATAGAATAGACTATGTTCGATATTACAACATCCACCCTACTGCCCATTTGTCGTTTAATGATGACAACTCCGACCCGGATTAGAACAACCTTTAACCATCTCCTTTAATCTGATTATCCTGAACAAGGGGTTGCGGGAGGGCAAGCCTTTCTTCCTCCTATGCATGCCGGCCCGTAGAAGTGCCGGGGCATCTAAGTACGGTTGATTCACGAGCCCGACCTGTATATATGGCGGATTCGAGTGATATGTCTAAGTGAACACGCACGAAGCCCTTCCACTCGTTATCTATGCTGGGAAATAACAGTGTAGGGGGAGAACATCGGTGAAGCGGGACAACTTCGATGCCGTGGACTCAATCGCAGAGGATATGGCGAGAACGAGCCAGACAACGATGCTCGACCTTGTGAGCACCCTCGATACAGCTTCAAGAACAGTGTCATGAACATAAAGAGGGACGAACCTTCTGTGCTTGTGGTCAATGATTCGTGGTTTGGATGGACACGAGATCTTACGGTCGAAGTTTTGCGGGTAGTTATATTATTCTGTCAGCGTCATTCAGTACTTTATACCTGCGGCTTCAAGCAGATAGTCTGGAAACTCCAGGTGTAAGCGCTGGTGAGCCATTTGCGTATGTTAAGAGTGAATATTTGAATGAGGGAATGCAACACGGTGAAGTTTTGAAGATCATGAGAACGAAAGTTGGACATGATCAAAAGTCGATAAAACAAGGCTTGTGCATGCATTGCCGGCTCCTTCCGTTCCGAGCAACCGGCACCCGCCATGCCGCCATCCCTGGATAGTGTCAGCACTAGTCTCCCTATCCTGATACCAATGGGATTCAAGGCGAGGAGGTTTACCTCGTTCCAACCTACACCGATGATCCAAGAATAACTGCAATGGAATTCGTCTTGACCATTACCCCCATATCCAGACCTGGGGGCCAAGGATTATTCGAAGGGAGGTGGAGGAAGCCTTTACCTATCTTGATACCTGTTACAATTACTCCGGTACCGGGCCATTCATTAGTTCCGTCTACCTCAGCGAAACGAATTCCAGGGATGAATGTACGGGGAACCTCAGCAGGGAACGGGGAGGTACGCATTTGTATCTCTGCTAGAATTACCTACTATATACCGAAATCTATATACCGGGAATGGCACGAGGTGAAATGTTGTATGCGAGAGATGCATTTGCGCCGCTGTTACATTTGTCGATTGAATAGCCACTTGAGATAATTGTACCCGTTTCTATTGGTACATGGACTTCGTACAAAGCGCGTGTGCTAGAGTCAAACGCGAACGGTAAATGTGGGTCAAACTAAACACCTATATGAACAAATAGAATCTGTTGTTCAAACGGAATATTCTTGCGCGATGTCTTCACAGCCTTGTGCAGTGCTCCTGCAGCACGTCTGCAGTCCAATCTCCCTGAATCATCAACCACGTTATCGTAAAAAAGAGAGACAATCTGGCCTGCGACACCGTCATCGACAGGCCACATAGAGCCTATTATGCTGCGAAATCCAGAGAATTGCATCGCTGCAGCGAGATGAATCGCCTCATCGGGGCTCAACTCATCGCCCACGGTAGTGTAGCAAGCCAACAATAATGCAAACTTTGGACCCTGCAGACGAGTCCGCATGATATCCTTGGTCATTAAAGGCCCATCGTGCATTGTGAAGGAAGACTCGAATGGTTGTTTTCGATTCGGCATTCCATGGCAAGCCAGGTAAAGCTACTGTTTGGCTTAATGCATCGAATGCTCCCTGAACTGTTGCATCACTGTCCGCGAGCAACGTAAAGGACAGGAAGGGCGACGCGCTGCGCGACAATATCTAACTCGGCAGCGACACACCTAAGTTCCTTCCCTCCACTCGGGTTCGCTTGACCGATGGCAACAAAATGCTGAACCGAGGCATGTCGAGAAACCTGCCGTCTCGCGCGAATGAGCGTTGCCAAAGTAGGGCCGTAAGAGGAGATGTAAAAGTGGGAGAAAGCATGGCTGTTCGGCTGGTAGGGTCCTGCTGCATGCAGAGGAAGTAGTGTGAACTCGGCGGTAGGACACCACCAGATGCATGAACCAACAACACCATCCCAAAGCTTGCGTAGGACGGCAACAAGCTTGTGCGATTCAAGTTGGTGATCAGAGGAGTCAGCACGATTGATGAGTGACTGGAACTCGGAGGACAACTGCGAGACCTCACTGTGCAAAACCAAGTGGAACATGAACAGGAACTTGGACACTGAGGATAATCAAGGCATCACAGCTGTACCGGCTTGCATTGACAATAATGACTGGACCGTTTTCCACTGCCTTCTGGAGGTCAGATAACAGCGGAGGAAGGAGAAAATGGGAAAACTCGGGTAGCATGCGGATGCGTGAAAAGTCTCACTCTGCCGTCGCATTCACTTATGCTTGACATTCGACACTCGCGACTATCAGTTGGAAGGAGAGCATGTCCTTTTCAGATCACTGCTGGTACTGGCTCTGGCAAACCTGACGCCTTCTCGTATACGTCATTTGGGAGGGTCAGGAACTCCACTTCAAAGCTGCCAAGTTTCTCTCGGACCCTGTGGTGCTGATAGTTTGTCCTACGAAGACTCTCGAGCACGACGTAGTGTGATGCAGACCTACTCTTCAGTATGAAGGGCACTCCGTCGAATTTGTGTGAGTGCTTCGCAGCGATGTTCGGATAATCGCCATATGAAGGCTTTGGGATGCTTGCCTTCAAGTTTCGTAATGGCGCCAGTGGAAGGAACCTCGCTGTCAGGCAAGACATATTAATTTAGACATCATGCCGTACAGGTCTTGCTGACCATCATGATCATGAATACTGTCCACTTCAACAAAATAGTATGTGGCTTTTACGGGATACAGCTCGGTCTCGAACTTCGTATCATTGTAGGTTTGAGTCATCAATACTGAACGTGTCTTTGACCAATACTTCAGATGGATATGACCATCGGCGCGCGCACCACAAATACCAAGGTGCTGTCGAAGACCGGAGCGGGACGCCCATCTTCGATGTCACAGTCTAGAGGGGACATACGAGTTATTGGCGCATTAGTCGCTCTGCAAGTTCGAGCCCGAGTCGGGATGATGACCTTTCAACCATAGAAGCAAAATCATCATGCAGAAAATATGTTTATACGATTGCTACATAGCGACTATGTCAGTGTTGAATCTCACATCTGCAACTCTCCGATAATGACAGCATTTGCATAGCTCCCAGCTTCCAATCTGTCTGGTCCACCTTCCCTTTTTGTTGGAAGTTGCACAAGGCCATTCGCTCCGCTCAGGCTTGCAACTCTACTCGACCTCTGGCCACCTGTGCTCGTTGCTCGTAAACCCTCCTCCCCAGCTTTCACAATCACGCGATGGAATTCGACACGAGGGTCCAGTCGCATGGTATCCCCCAGCTACCATATCGCCGTCAAGAAAGAACGTGTTAAAGGCACGTGTACACGTACCTTCACACGCACGCGGGGCAGATGACATCTATCACCAGGCCATCCGCCAAGCTTCCGCAATGCTGGTACGACAAAGATGTAGAATGTAACCAGTGCAGAAGCAGGGTTACCAGGCAGAGCAAACATAAATTTCCTCTCGTATTCCCCTTGTGGGGTAGGGATACTTGCGAACGTGGTTGGCTTTCCGGGTTTCATCGACACCCGTCCGAAGTGTACCGTACCACCGAACTGACGTTCCACTACGGGCTTGAGGAGGTCACTCGCCCCCATGGATGTCCCGCCTGTCGTGAGTAAAAGGTCGGCATTTTCGAGACCTTGTTTTATTGCTTTCACGTGCGCGTCGATGCTAGAGCCGCCTCAGATGATGAGTGTTAGAAGAGATCAATCCTCTTACTCGTCGGCAACAATTCCAAGGTCAATAACATTATACCCCATTCCTTCGAGGGCTGCCCGCAGTGATGGCCGGTTAGTATCCCAAATGCCTCCCCAACCATCAGAGGCAAGTGAGTTAGGAGATTGGAGGTCTAGAAGCTCGTTTCCTGTACTCAGAATAGCGATAACGGGCTTGCGTTGCACTTTGACCTGAAACCAGTTCATCTCTGCACTGACGCATGTCAAATGTGTACCTACTTCTTTTCGCCCGATAAATGCTAGGGTCCCAACTTCGCCTCCGAGGCTTGTCAAGACTTCGCCTTTCTGAAGCACGAGGTCTCCCTTATGCACGTCAGAGCCTGGTTCTCGGATATTGTCACCCGGTGGGACCTGTGCGAGGGTCTTCACTTCTTTTTCTTCTGCGTCTTGTCCATTGGCGTCCTTGGATGTGGATAATAGCTCAGTGTCTTCGACCATGATCACCGTATCCGTCCCTGCTGGTAGTGGTCCTCCCGTGTTAATGCGAAAAATCGATCCCTCAGGAAGGACATCGGTCAAGGGGTGAGTTCTGGACGTCAGAACGTTGTATATTCCAGGAGGATCAGACGCTAAAGGCTACATTAGCATAACCCGTCATGTGCGGCAGATATACACACTAACAGCGAAGTGCATAGCCATCTACGCTGGTAGTTTTGGAAGAAGGGACATTTTGCGGAGCGTTTACATCTTCGCCCAGGATGTGGCCCGCCAGCTCAGGTGTCACCTGTTAATACTCAGCACGTACTCGATGTGTTCCAGCCTTCACTGACAGGAAGAGATACGATTCCCAGTGGTTGAATCTCATTCATGATCATCTTCAAAGCATCCTCGAGGGATATTTGTGGATATGGTGAGACGCGATGACGAGCATAAACTGTTAATGATCGTATGATGATTCAATTCAGGCTAAGTGTCGGATGAAGACTTACCAGGTAAAGAAGGATCATGAGATAAAATCGACCGAGGCTGCGGCGCGCGGTGATCATGATGATGATGATGGTGGTGGTGGTTGTGCGTTGCATCTCCATGGTGTCCCGAACCCATAGCAGCATGCACCTGCTTGCCCGTCCCCCCTCTGACGAGATCTATGGCATGTTCAATAAATCCATTCGCAAAAAGAGCCTCCAGGTTTTCTTTGACTGCCTTGACGCTGCCAGGAAGGGTGACGACGAGAGTATTCCCTATGGTGCCTGCGACAGGTCGAGAGAGTGCTGCCAGCGGTGTGTGCTTTAACGACTCGGATAGTAGTAGATGGACGATTCCCGGTGCTTCGCGCTCCAATAAGGGGGCGATTGCCTGAGCAGGAGGAAGTCAGTGTCTGCGAAAGAAGACTCGTTGGATATGGAAGATAGATAGTACTTCAGGTGTCCTATCGCGCACGCCGAATCCCGTTCCCCCTGTGGAGATGATCCAGTCAACAGCGTTTTCACCGCACCAGTTTTTGACTGTCTCGGTAATTCGCTGTTCATCATCTGGAAGAATGGTCGAGCGTACGCAACCATGTCCTCGTTGCCGAACGATCTCCTGGATTGTTGGACCCGATCTATCTGCAGCTGCGTCCACCGACGCTGTGTCGCTGACTGACACATTTGCTTGGCTCAGTTCGACCTCAGTGATGTAAAGTTGATGACACCCTGACCTGTAATAACGCCAACCTTAATCGCGCTCATGAATGTGATCAAGGAGGATGTCAAGGAATCTAGGAACTTCAACTTTATCTTATCACACAGCCGCAGAATTGCCCTAGATAACAGGTTCGAGCCTAGCTCAGTGCACCACAACCTTGCTGAAGTGCTGAAACCTGATCTTGTTGTCTCCGCCGTTCGTTCGGAGTACGCTTTAGTGCACCTCTGGTATTCCCCTTGATTATGAGGAGTTCCAATCTGGAGCTCCTCCATGTGCTCACAGTGAGAAATGATGCTTAGTGGGTATTCAATAAGGAAACTAACATAGGAAGCGCCTAGGATCTGCAGGAACGATATTGTCTATGGAGCGTTGCCAAGGGCATGTCCTGAGCGCAATGTCTTGACTACTTGTCTGGGCTGGCGCAAACATACCCGATCGTTGTATAGTGGGACTCCGCAATGATGTTCCATCGGACGTTCGACGCCACACATTTCAAATTTTAAAGCTTAAAGACGAATGTACACACTTGATGGGAATGGAGAATACGGAAAACCTATGATGAATTCAATGCAAGCCAAAATATCCGTACTATGCACAACAATATTCGTACAAGTAGGCTATCAAGGTGCAAAGTAGATGAAGCACGGCTATTATTGAAAGAATAATGTAGATCACTAACTCAGTGGCGCCGATCTTATGCCAGGCTTCTCCACATCCCCGCCGCCGGAACTTTACTTCGGGCTTCAAGAATCTTCAGCGCCCGCTGTCTGCCCCGTCCTTCATCAGGAGGGTCCACTTGCGACGGTTCATCATCGCTCTCATCATCCTCGTCACCCTCATCGTCTTGAGAAACGAAATCCAACGTTCCGGGGTCCATGGAACGGTCACGGTCACGAGCGGCGTACGAAGCTTTGCGCAAGGTAGAAGCGGAATGCCTACCAATGGCACCAGCACGGTCAGAAAGCGATGTCTTTGGCTGATACGATGCCAGGGATAGAGGCTCTCGTTTGCGCGATAATGGCCCAATACTGATAGGCAGCGACCCTGGAATTCCTGGAGGATGACCTACATGAGTCTTGAACATGGTAACTTGAGGGGAAGAAATAACTAACCCTCAACCACATCGTCGCTCTCATCGGTGTCGCTAACGATGGCGCCAACTTCAGCCTCCTCCGGTATAAGCGCACCAGCAGCGCCATTCTTGCCACCTTGTCTACTAACAAACAACTGCCACGCTCTGCTATTGGGCTTCCAAGCACCTCTGTGACTTGGGGTATCAGCAGCAACCAACTTCAAAATTTCTTGTTCTTGTGGATCCGGAGCTTCTAGGGAAATGGCGGAACGTCGGATTCTTTCAGTGTGCAACTGCTCAGACGTTGAGGCTTGTGTTCTAAATGTTGATTCCTCTTTAGTTATATGGGCTTGAAGAGAAGCATAGGCAGGTAAGGAGGTCGGCCTTAAAGTTGATAGTGATGTTGGTAGGCCAACATGGCTCGTGCTGTTGCGTGTGCGCCCACGGCGTCGAGGAATATGTGGCAGCTCTTTGAATGGAAGGATAGGGGCTGCGTCTGAGGAATCTCGATCACTGCTTTCACCATCCAGATCAAAGATCATGTCTAAAACAAACGCACGGTCAGAAAATCGCGTAAAAATTATCATCTTTAGGTACCTTGCACATCGCGTCCTTGACTGTTTCCATTCTTCTCCGGACTCGGCCCGTCGTCGGTTATTAGCGCGTCTGGTTTAATGTCAAATGTCACCTTACGCTTTCCTCTCGGCTCATTGCCGTTCTTGCCGTGATCAAGCTGCTGCAATCGGTTCTCTTTCGCTCCCTTCAGCTCGTTCTCTTCATTGCCGGTGGCGCTGGCAGAAGTCGAAGTGTTACTCGGTTTCGCACCTTCGGTCGCCTTCCGATTCTCTTCTTGAATCGCAGGAGCGGTTCCGGCTGCGGAGAATCGCTGACGTCCGCGCATCATCTCCATCTCAGCTTCCATATCGGTAAAATATCGGAAGCTTGCCGCTGTGTCCCGAGTCTCGTCCATACTGCGTTTGAACGGCTGAATGAGACTTTCCCCTGTTGCTAGCGGCAGTAGTTCTTCCGATGAGGTAGAGGATGAGAGTGACCGACTGTCTGCTGAGCCGACAGATGACGGGTGCGAAGAATAAGGCGGTGGCGACCGTGAAATATCGCTTGCCTCTCTAGTATGAGTATTTCGAAGGGCCCGAGGATGGTGAAATGCGGAAGTCGCAAGAGACGCAGACAGCGAAGACATTCTTGGTACTGAGGACGCAGGGGAAACCATTCTGCCGGGGCTGACAACAGGCACGAAGTCCCGCACGGAAACCACCGATGTACCAACTGCCGGCCCCCCTGCATTGTTGATATTGGGTTTTCTCATAGGATCCCTCCGCTTAGCGACATCGAAAGCGCCCCAATCCTTCTCTGTCTGACCTAAGCTCTCAAGGAATCTCTTCCACAGACTCTCCACAGCTCTTTTCAAACCATCCTCAGCCCTCTCAATTTCAGCGACTTTCTCTCGTATGAGAGCAGTGAACTGTTCCTCAGCGGATAATCTCAGAGCCTGTGACTTGGATGTGGCAATGGATGACAGGTGAACAAAAACGGGATGTGAAGGTATAAAGGGTGCTGGTGGAAACAAGGGTGCTGGTGGAAACAAGGGACGCAAATTTGACAATATAGGCTCGGAAGGTATTTGAGAGTGGGACACGTCAGTGGAGGCAATGTAAGAGGGCTGCGCAGAGGGCTTGGAGGCATTTGAGGGCACAGCAACATTGAAAATCGGGGAATATGTTGTTGAGGACAAGAGAATGAAGACGGCATCAGGATCCTAATGAAAGTTTTTGGTTAGCAAGCCCTGCATGGTTAATGACATCACGTCATAGGACGTCACGCCAGTGAGACAACGAAATGCCGGGGATAGAATATCCCCGGAAACTGCACAAAGGATTGAGGGAATTGTGCTAGAAACCTAGCCTTCCCCATTAACAACGGAAAAAAAGACTCACCAGGCACTCATTGTGTACCTCAATCCAGCCGCAACTACTCATCAGTATGTCTTGCTCAACCCAGTCATACGTTGGAAGCAATGGTCCCTCTTGACCCTCCACATCCAGTGGGACCAATTGTTGTACACGATATGCGAGGGTCTGACACAATAGGCAAGTCAATGTGGTATACCGTATGCATCGATTTGTATCGGCCAGGGGGAGACCCATTTTGCGTGTTCTCATCGTTACTTGAGGATGAGCCTATCAAATAAAAATAAAAATTCGCGGTGAAAAAAATTATATCACACAAGAGATGCAGCTTACAACGCTGAGACCGTCTTGACCCACATACATCAGTGTATAGTCAGAATCTGCTACACTATCCTTGAGAAAATCTGGAGGCGTGCCCTGCGGCGGTAGCTGCTTGGATTGAATGCGAATATTGAGACATTTGCAAGCCCTTGTTATCACATCCTTGCGGACATCCACCATGGTTGACGATGGCCTGGCAAGAGGAAAAAAGTAAGGGGATTGCAACGCCAGCGTTGGCGGGGAGAGTCAGAGATGTGGATATGATGAATCCAGTGTCATAGTTATCCCAATCAAGAAATCCTTTCCACGGTCCGACGAGTGCGGTAAAAATCGCGTGTCTCTGTCTAATTTTATACAATATTACTACAAAAGTCAAAAGTGTTCCAAGGTGTTCCAGCAATGGCGAAATTCAAAGGTTCACAGCTGAGTTCCTCGCATCAGATCCATTGGGATATTACAGGATATCCTGATCACAGTAATCAATAGGCACTCCAGGTAATACAGGATCTAGTAAGCATGTCAATTTACGTGGGCCCCACGGGAGTTAGCACATAGAAGAACCTTCTGCTCGACTGAGCATCCCGAGACACTCTGTGGTTGACCAGGAGGTCCCTGGTGGTCTACTTGTCCTTCTTTGTCTCATCATTGCCGTCAGCTTTGATAACATCCTCCGCCATCACCTGACCATACTCGTTCACTCGTTTAGGATCGATGCGGTAGATCCAGCGCTAAACAAACACGAGGCTTGAGTACATCTGGAGATATGACTCACTCATGGACCCACCTGATACAAGAAAACTAAAAACACAACATCGTCCCGGAAGCACGCTAGCCGATGCAGCACCGGCATCTTGATGCAGAACCTGCATTCCCGCGAAAAGTCTTGTGAGCCTGGATTTGAAGACCAATCTATCGTAAATTCTTACGCGAAAAGATCGTCGACAACCGTCGATAGCGTCTTATATATCATTGCCTTCATGGGCATATGCGCCACGCTCTGAAGGAACGTCACGAGTCAGGTCGAAAAGTACTAGGAAGTAGCTCCACGTATGGATAAGGCGAACCTTGAGTTTATAGTTGATAATGAGTTGAGGTATCAATTGCGCCTGTCATAGTCCATTGATGTCAAGTAGCCAAACCAGGGGCATCAAATGGACTTACAAAGCCAAACATATAGACGAATGAAGTCAGCGTTGAGATCACGAAGCTGTACCACCCTCTATGGGTCTCGTAAATCAACGAGTAGATCGTATAAGCAGCGAGTAATGGAATAGTAAAGTAGGACACAATGCGGAATGCAAGCTTGTCATACCTGACCACATAGTTATGTCAATCTTTATCCAGAATCTGTAGCGAGCACATTGACTCACTCTTGTGTTTTCTTTTCATCGTCGCTAAGGACATGCTTGTCTGATACGGTCATATGTTAGCTCATCACACAGCAAAAATACGTGTAAGAGTGTACCTTTGATGCTAAGCGTATAGGGCAGTCGAGAGCCAGACGGAGCAGCTACGATGCTGATATCCACAGCTTTGGTGATCTGCGAATGGAATTAGCCCAACTCAACTTTGAGGCCATGTTCCAGGCGCACCTTCCAGGCCTCGATAACGACACCCATTCCAGACCCCATAAGAATCATCCAGCTCGTGTTTTCGTTGTTGTCAATAAGGTACAAAAGCACCACGGCCTGGACGAACACGTTCGTTATTATCTAGAAAGTGTTTCAACACCGATCAATTCAAGACTAAGGTACCTCCCGAAAAAGGAACATACCGTTCTGTTGAAGGAGAAGGAGTCATTATGACGATCAACGACACCTGCATCATGTGATATCTTACCTGACAGAGACGCCCACCAGCTCCTTCCGCTGGCGCCAGTGCGAAACATCGGACTTGAAGGCAAGCATCTCAAAGCTTCATACGCCACAAGATTAATTCAGCATCCGCCAATCGCTGCAAAGCACTCACACAACGTGCAACATGCTAACCAGTCCAGTTAGACCCAGGAACCACGGATTGGTCTCGGTAAGCATTCGTTTGACCTCGTCAAGTTCCGCTCCTGCACCACCGCCTTGTTGCTTGAGGGCTTCATCGAAGCCATGACTCATCGATGCAAATATCTGGAACTTGAAGTATGACATGGGTTGGAAAGTTATTTCAAGCGGCAGCGTCGGGGTGGTTGTGTTGATTTCGATCAGGTGCGAGCGAAGTAACCAGAAGTCATTGGGGAAGATTATCGGCTTGTAGAACCCTTTGCTACCAGTCTCATCTCGCGCGCCTGGAACGAGATGCACATCTAAATTCATAGTGAATTGTGTGTCACAATCACTCTTAGACAGACGTACGCTCAAACAGGACTGGGGGCAGCTTGTTGTATGCTACGATTGTCTCGTCGGAAACGAGGGCCAACGTGAGGTTCTGTTCATGTATTTGTCTCGGAAAAAAGGTCCATGCAAATTAGGGCTTACCTTGTGCCAATGAGACACTATGATATCGTCCTGAGGCTCCTACAGGATCATACTCTTCGAAAAAGATAACAGGAGAAATGATGCGATAACGAACCTCTTCCATCTCTTCCTTTTCATCGGGATTCGAAAGCAAGTTCTTCTCTTTGCGTGCTTTTGCTTTGGGCATGTGCCGCGTCAAAACTGAGACACGAGTCAGTCTCGGAGTGGAAGCCAGCACGTTCTAATCTCACGTTTCCGAACATGATGCACTGAATGAGGGTCAAAAGAAGCATTTGAAGGATCCGGACTTGCGCCGTCTTTGACAAGGAAAACATCCGCCCATAAGGATCCGTTGTTTTGCACAGTCTACACAGGTTTCCATATGGGCATCAAAGGAAGTGCATCAAGTAGCTCACCAGGGGCAGGTTGATATCATACGTGGCAGCTCTCGTATCCTTCCAGTCTCCGAACGTGATATTCTCCCAGACGAAGGTGGGAAGACCAGCGTCCTGATCTTCCCGCCATGCTGAAGTCCATTGACGGGAGAACACGTCGCCATTCGGCGATGTCGAAAAATAGACGTGCATAGATAAAGGTTGTCCAAGTTTCCATGCGCTATATGCCTGTACCGGGGGTAAAAGGAATGGATTGGCCTCACCCGGCTGTACGGCACCATTACCAGGGCTTGCTACAGAAGGGGTTGTTGGAGGCTTTGCCGGTGATATGAGTTTCATAGCTAGACAGTCTCTGGTGAGTCTTTCAATTGCTAAGCAAAATAATTTGTGACGCACCAAGCTGAGAGAATGCCCATATCAAAAACACTTGCTGCAGGTTAATACTTAAGTTAGTAGCGGCATTGAACAACATTCGGTTGAATCTGCACTGACCTGAGCCACCGAAAACAATTTCCGAACTGGACTTTCATCTTCCTGGACGGGAGGGCCAGCTTGAGCTTGAGCTGGCGTAGACATAGCTGAGACAAACTAAGGATGTACACGCACGTCACAGACGCAAAAGCCTCTCTTTATCACGTGATCAGGCACGACGTATTGTAGAAACGTCGCTTCCTCACTTAAACTCGGTTAAACTGTCGAAGGGAGGCCAATATTGTCAATATTGTAGACCACTCACGAGAGCAACAGCTGTGTAGGGTAAATTACAGGGCAAGTATGTGGCTACGTGGCTATGCGATCAATCAGTGTCAAGAAAGTAAGTAGCGGTAGTTACTTTAGAATCTGCTAAGCTGAGGGAAGACGGTCCAGGGAAGTGGTCTGTGAGTGATCTATGCGCCATACGTTCCACTAAACTTGAACTCTCCACTATTGCTCCAGCGGATGTTTACGTGCTGGCCTTTGACGTAGAGGTCCGAATATCCGCTTCCCCAGTAGTAAGAATAAATCACGTTTTAAAAATAAAGAATCGGTGAGATAGACCTGGCAGAGGCGTTGAGGTCACCAATGGGATTTTCAAACTCATCTTGTGCATTTTCCACGTAGGTGGACCGCCAAGGCCCAACATGTACCGAAGACGACGGGATTAGCGCAAACGCCATCATAGCACCACTTGGCGGTGCCAGCTTTGCACGACGGTTTCCACTACAATTCACGTTAAAAATGGGTTGACACAAGTGAGGATGAAACCTACAGTCATCTGCTTCTTGATACCACTGTGAGCGGCCTTTCTGAGATTCTCGACAGCCGCGGCAAGTTGATCGGCGCGGAATCAGCACCTCCTTTCTGATAATCCTGCTCAAGATCTCTCGCGTACATGAGCCAGCTCAACCAGGGACTGACGGGTGTCGTCATCATCTGGGATTGGGTACGAATCAGGGTTGACCAGAATAGTTTTGATGAGCGCTTTTGCAAAGGAATGCGAAGTACGCGATTTCTTCGAAGATGACGCGTCCCAGGCGTCTGATTTACGTTTATGTGCTGGCATTTCGTGGGAGGCGCTCGTAGTGCTGGTGGATGAGAAAATTGTGGACTGAACTGTATGTAAGCACGCGACGCGTTCATGCCCGCGTCACGCGTGACGTAGCGCGTTGTCACGAGTCACACAAGTCAGCATGATAACAGACCCCCATCATCGTCAATCAACGGTACGTATCATTCTGCATGCCTACTTCTTTTCACAGTCAGTCTTCGCCGGACGCATCGCCCCGGTTTAATTATTTAGAACCATGGCTCATCTTGGAGTTCTGCACAGATGCGGGCCGATGTAAATTTGTTCATGCCATCTGCCAGCTACTCTGTCAGTTCAGATAAGCAATTATAGCAATCATACATCTGATTTCTCCCATTTGCTCGCAAAACTAACAGCCACGCATAGGTATATGCCTTGCATAAGCATATATCATGGCACTGACGTAGGTTTGCGGTATTCATGGCACAGGGAAACTTACACAAAGTTGACATGACATGGTCGTGGCGCGCCGGGACCAGGCGGTCAACTCAATATCCCAACACCATGATCACACCTTCTCCGACTTTGCATCCAATCCACGGCCCGAGTATCTCTAGATCCCGACAGCTGCCATTCCTTTCATCAAATCAATAATAATGGCGAGAGCAGGTGGGGCGTAGCTATCTACACAGACCACACTTTCTGACGAGTATCAAAATACCGTTGTGCCAATTCATTTTCCTCGTGTATGCAGCGTCTTCGCAGCACTGTGGAACGCATCTCTGCAAAAAACCGGATCACTAGGACGCTCGAGGTGATTATTCGAATCCGTCGCAGGTGATGAGGAACTGATATTTTTTGTTGACGATGTTATCTTGGCGTTGGACCATCGTGATATCATCTTGAATTTTTCTCTCTGATTTTACTACTCGGCTGAGGCGAGTGAGGATTTTTCCGCAATGGTCATGCCTAAGTCTTGGCTTATGATTTGTAGTCAATCGAGTCTGGGCGAGGTCGCTACTTGATTGTGCAAACAACGCACCGGCGGAACATCTCTATCATGTCTGATAGGGGTATGAAGCTAATTGGGACGCCGTTCATCACACATTTGTCGAAGTTGTCTAGGTCATCTTTCGTACGACACATGATAGGGCAAGTTTTCACTCCAGGATGCACAAGTTTTGCGAGAGAGAGCCAGTGAGTATCACTTGCAATTTGTGTGGTCAGATCTACATTCACAAGAGCAGCAGTGCTGAGCTCGACGGGTCGAGTTGTTTCATGTTTCGGTGTCGGTATTTGTGCATCGTCCATCTGGCACAAAGCGAGTCCATCGAAGATACAATGGATGACGAATGAACGGGCTGGAGGTCGCAAAAACTCCTTGTGCCTCCCAGGATCACATTCTCCAACAAACACTGGATAAACGTGACGTATGATGCATACGACAAATCATCCTACAGACAGTCTAACATATCGGAGACTCTGGAGAGAGCCGCTGACTTTCCTCTTCATCACCTACGCACATTTAATCCAGGTCCGTTTGATGTGGATGTGATGTGGGCGGCCAAACGCAAAACTTTTCTCGATCACCACATGTTCGTGGGCTATCGAAGTTTGGGGTTGGGTAAAGGGACAGTGGAGACGACTATGACCAACCTCGGCTTGCGAATGATACTCCCTCTCAATTTACGTATGCAACGCGTGGCATACTCGAATGCCCGCTGTGTCCGGTTATCAAAGTTGATATCGTTACTCCTTCCGATGAATCTTTTTCAGCTTGAATATGCACTCGGGATTGCCAACTATTCACTCGGATCATAGGGAGTGCCACGGATCGAGGCCAAGTTAGTCGGTTTCACTTTATACCGCGAGCGCTCGCTCTCACCAGGCGCCCAGGAACTCGGCCGATTTTATTTGGCTTAAGACTGTCTCTCCCCCCGAATATGAATCTTACGGGTGGAAGAAACTTAAGGCGGCCTTGGTCAAGGTTAATTTCCCGTCCCAAGTAGGTCAAGTTTCTACATCAGCCGTGAGCAGGCTGTCTACTTGTAGTAGTGGCTCTGCGATATTCACGGAGCCAAGCAATTGAAGCTGAGCGCAGCATATGGCTGAGGGACACAGCATGACGGTGGAGGACACTACATCGGAGCCGGCCTGCGGATATGTAGTCTCCCCTAGCCAGACCCAATAGAATGAAGATAGTTGTTCCTTCTAATAGCGGATGTGCGTGCTTAATATATGTGTAGACGATGCACAAACGATGCATCTATATAATTACATACTCAATCACGATTCCAGAAATGCAGTACCCCCTACTAGGGTCGGAGAGGTTGAGGCACCGACTTGGAGCATCTAGATGAGCGGCAGACCATGATATAGAGGGAACGATTGTCTTCCTTCTATTATGGTCAGGGGAGACTAGCTATATTTATTACTTTCGTTTTCATTCACATTCGCAAACGACCTTTTGCTACGCACTGAGCCGTCTCTCTCTACAATTTCTCGGATACCATAGTATAGAAGCTTATTTGATTTGTACCTACCCATCCCATCCCATCCCTTTTTCGCATTATTCTCGGCCAATTCTCACCTATCAATTTAAGCTTTCCGATGTGGAGACATACAAAATCGCCACAGTTCGTGCCCGCCCACCCAACAGCTCGAACCAGTGGGGTTCGTTCCGAGCTAACGCTCGGTCCCAGTCAAACCTTAGCTCGCGTACTAAATCTGCCCTCTGGAAAGCGGGGGTTTAGTAAGGATATGTACTTGGTGTAAACCGCATCAGGCGCGCTATTTCGATTCTTCTATTTATCAAAGCGCTCCCCCTTCAACACACGATTAATTGACCGATGCGCCGAGGACCACGCTCCTCTCAGTCTCAAGACATCAAGAGGGATCCGCGAATACACGAAGCATTACATAAATTTCGCCATGATCGCTCCGGTGACTAAAGAAGCTGTGACTATGATAAAGATAAAGATACAGAGATAAGTAGATTTAAATTTACGCCAATGAGATAGTACTAGTGCCAAGGAAGTGGGACTATGCAGAGCAAGGGAGAATAGTCGATCGACTCGGAAGGATGACACAGCGAGGGACGTAGAAGCATAATCGACGCGCAGCAACCTGAGCGGATTTCTTCCAGGATATCGATGGTTTTCTATAGTCGACTCGTGTAATCGCAGGGTGCACTCGTCAGAGTTGGTGAGCGCGGAGACATAGATTGGTTCGGTGTGGAACAGAGAAGGAAGCGATAAATGCGCGGGTAGATTGATAATGGCACGACCACGACGGCGCGACCTTAATGCTACTGCATAGAACCTGCCCAGGTAACGCGATAATTGAAATGGCGATAAGAGTGTTGTTCCTGTGAAACACGAGAAAAACGTTGTAGACCAACTATGTGGCTGGGAGTCCAAAGCACATAGCCTGTCAGTGTCATCATATGCATCGCCCGCGTAGTAGTAACGTTCATGGCATAATGGAGCTTCATGACGGCAATAATTGCACGTCTGAAGAGCAGTGGCTTCTATAATTGGTGATCCAGTGTTCTTGGGGCTGTGTAGAGCGCTTAAGTAGTCGATAAGAGGACAAGACAAGGAATCTTGCCCTAGTAATATGGTGTACCACTGATTTACAATAGCCAGAGCAAGCAAGGACTTAGCACAACATTAATGAATGGTTGAACAACGAGGCCAACGACGACAAGGAATATGACACAAAGAGGTTCTAGAATTTACATCATGACAACAATCAAGACACAGATCTAGGTGATCGTGGCGTGAGAATTTATTCCAATAATGGATATACCCTAAACCCTGCCCTATACCCGAACCCTCTGCCCAGCTCTGAATTTAATTTTGCAGTTTATTTCCACAACACTCCTCTCTTCAAACAACCATCATCCTCCACTCCTCGTACGTCCTCGTCGTCTTCCTCGTCGTCAAACTTGCCTTGCTCACCGTCCTTCCCTTTGTCTAGCTCAATACTCACCTTCAACTCATACAACAGTCAGTATTTTACGCGTACCGGACGCGTCATTTCCAAGTAAATATGTTGCTAACACTGTTCTAGATGCCTGAAACGCGTGAGGATTCTGTCTACCTTGCTAAGCTCGCTGAGCAGGCTGAGCGCTATGAAGGTAATTAGTCAACTTCCCCCACATATTCAATCACTCACAAAGGCTCAGAAATGGTTGAGAACATGAAGCGGGTGGCGTCGTCTGACCAGGAGTTGACTGTCGAAGAACGCAACCTTCTCTCCGTAGCGTACAAGAATGTCATTGGTGCACGCCGTGCATCATGGCGCATTGTCTCTTCGATCGAGCAGAAGGAGGAGTCCAAGGGTAACGAGGCTCAAGTTGCCATGATCAAGGGTTACAGGGAGAAGATCGAGAGTGAGCTCGCTAAGATCTGCGAGGACATCCTCGACGTCCTTGACAAGCACCTCATCCCCTCGGCTGCTTCCGGCGAGTCGAAGGTGTTCTACCACAAGATGTGCGTTCCTCAAATCCTCTGTATCATATTTCACTAACGACATTCTTCAATAGGATGGGTGACTACCACCGTTACCTTGCCGAGTTTGCCACTGGCGACAAGCGCAAGGACAGCGCTGACAAGTCCTTGGGTGCCTATAAGGATGCTTCAGAAGTTGCTGTCACTGAGCTACCGCCAACGCATCCCATCCGTCTTGGTCTCGCACTCAACTTCTCCGTTTTCTACTACGAAATCTTGAACAGCCCCGACCGTGCCTGCCACCTTGCGAAGCAGGCATTTGACGACGCAATTGCTGAGCTTGACACCCTCTCGGAAGAGAGCTACAAGGACTCAACCCTCATCATGCAATTACTACGGGACAACCTGACCCTCTGGACTTCAGACATGCAGGATTCAGGTACGTCATCTTCCTCAATTTTGAGTTGTGTTTCTCAGCTGGCTTACAGACAAACCAGATACAAAAGACGAGGCTGAAGCTGCAGGCGACGACTAAAGGGCTCACCTTTGTCTTTTCTTCCTGATCTTTATATCTGGTTACCCCGCTACTATCTCAGTGTCGATGCGGCTTCTGATAGTTTGGGTGCCTTACACTTCATTTGCATTTCCTCACCTCGCATCGTCTCATTCTCGTATGTTCCTTTATTATCCGTAGTCATACTTGCGGTCATGTCACGTGGCCTCTAGGGGCAAACAAAGATATTATGAAACTCGTCCATCAATATTGTGTGACACTTGACCTTCATCCACCTCACGCGCCTCGAATAGTGATTACGTGCTATGAGACTCTAGGCTGCCTGCCAGTGTTTGTGAAATACGCCACAGTTTTTACTTTTGACGAGTTGCAAGTCACCATAATATTCGAGCAATTTGCACCTTTATTGCCTCATGTCCTGAGCTTCCACTACCATCATCATGTCACGCAACCATGAATTTGGTTTGCTCACAAACCACTTGAGAGTGTTTCTGAAAGCATTGCCTAGATATCTCGCTTGCCCACTGCGACTCCTGTACCGTCTGTTTCATATCCTTTTGCAACTATATTCTCGTAGTATCAGGTCCAGGCGCCAGTTCCTACGCGCTCAAACAGACGGACGCCAAAAGCGAGTTGCTGGCTCAATCCAACCCCCCATTCCCCTTCTTCCTCTGTGCAACAATCAACTACAGGTCCCAATACAACCATCAGCGTTCGCATCTAATTCATCCGTCCTACTATCGCCAGTTCACACTCCTCCGACATCGGTTAATCATGCCCTGCAGCTGCATTCTGTAGGTCCAGTCCCATCCCAGGGCCAATCGGAGTTCAGGCCATTCGCGCCATCCCAGGTGATGCGATATGGTAAAAAACCTACAATGTGAGGTTCTCGCATTCCGAATGAATTTCTATACTCATAGCGTCACAGCAAGCGCGACGGCACAACAGATGAGTTTCTTAAAGCTGGAACCATAAACTTTTCCGAGTGAGTCCTGCCCTCTACTTGAATGGAATATATAATCACGGCGCACAGTCCAGGAGATAGTGTCGAGTGGGATGCCTGTGTACACCCTGAAGGAGCGCTCTACTATCACGATGCCGCTCGTGTATGTCATTTATTGTAATGCGCTCTCGGTCTCTCACTGCTAGTAACAGGGTACTTACACCGAGTCGAACATGCGAGATGAACAACGCCGGCGTCAGATGAACTTGTGGGTAGATGAGTTACTCAGGATGTACTCTGCCAGTGGAATTCAGCCTGGCACCGATATTGAACTCGTTGTGGAATCGACAAGGCGTAAGGGGGGCGAAGGTATGGTGTGCAGGTATTATTTCGTATACCATCCTGAGCGCCTGCTTTTCTGGCTCCATCCGATGCCTACGGACAAGCTCTTTGATGGAGTTGCGGGCGTCACGAAGCCGAGCCATATCAGTACGCCTTTCTTGCAGCGATGAACGATCATCAAGTTTTGATAACTTACTCTCAGAGCATGCTATTGAGAATCAGTACTGGCAAGCCTGTCATCGTGTGTATTCCTATTTTGTTTGTGAAATTCTCCTGACAAAGTGGTGCAACAGAAGGTGCAACATCGATGCAAAAATTTAATTCCTTCCCCTAGGCAACAATGCGAGCTGTATCCCAATGCAAAGAACCTGGAAGGACCTCTGTTGCTCAAGGAGCTCAAAGAAATCGTTGTGCATGCTAGCGCTGGTGAGAGTTCCTTTTGAGTGCGCCGTAGGTTGCTGAAACGAGTCTATAGAAACCATTACGACAGACTTGTCGCTCTCGCCCTTCGATGGCGATGAATTATCGAAAATTCTGGAGTTGATCAGCCAACTTCAAGGCAAGCGAGAGGTTTATTATGTCGACAGAATCACCAATAATTCTCGAAACTAGACTACAAGCAGGACGAATATCATGCCAGGTCTATATGTGTCATAGGTAAGTATTATACTGTGATCCTGTTTCCCTCCAGGGTGTGATTGTTTTTCAGCCAGGTTTATGCGGTATTTCAGTAAGTTCCGTGTTGCACAATACATCCTCTCTAAGCTCCCTGCCAGAGCGAGCTCGATTTTTCAATTTTGGCGGACTCACTGAAGCCCGATTGAATGCGGACCAATTTGTTTACGTCAAGAAGAAGAGGGGAAAGTTAATAGTGGTTCTCTCATGGGCTATCAATGTCGCACTGTTTGGCGCTCCACGGTCACATATGAACGAGATCCGACGAGTGTGGGTCGACAGAAGTCTCAATTCTCCGCGCTGGAAGAAGTTTAATAACAAGCTAAGCAATGAATGGTCAGGCATCACGATGTATGTGCGTGTCATTATTCTCGCTGTTCGACTCCAATTTTTGCTCAATCATGACAGTCAACTGTGATGATGGCCGTGGACGTCAGCTTCCTGGCCGTGCCTTCTGTCAGTCTCCAGAATTCAGGTTCGGTCACTGTCATTAGCACGTACATTTCCTTGTTTTGTATCGTCGGATCGTTGGTTGTGTCCTTGTTTCTCACAAGACAGAATCAGACATATGGGCAAGAATCTGCCGACAAAGCGGTGAGCAACACATGATGCATGGATTATTGTGTCATTGAAACACAATTTGCAGGTCAAATTCCTCGAGCGGATGACAGGCTCTGCGTTTGGCACGAAAGCTGTGGCGACTATACATGGTCTTCCATATGCTATGCTGTTGTGGGGGTGAGTTCCCTCTTTTGTAGGACCTCAGTGACTCACGGAAGTGCTGTGCGTCTGCAGAATGATGTATTTCATGCTTGGATTCTCTTACCAGGTCTTCACGTCCACGCCTATCATCACGCTCGCGACCACTGGGAGTGCATGTGCTATCATGGCGCTTTTCACGCTGTGGCTCGTAAGCGCGGCGAGGGATTTCCATATGTTGACATGGTTGCTGGCACGGCTCGAAGCTTTGAAAGAAAAAATTTGCAGTCTCCATAAGTGACTCGGCTTAGTCTAAGTTAAGTGCTGTTGATAATATATAGCGGAATCTATACCGGACGCGCTGCGGCGTGCTGCAGCAAACCTCGTGACAATATTGTATGTCCACATTAATATTCACCCAATGACAACTGGACGAATGACGTTTGTGCCAATTCGTCATCGTTGGCGTTTACGTCATTCCACACCTGGACGAGGGAATTTGGATGAGCATGAGCGTGGAGCTACAGCAACGTATGTCGGAAACTCCTAATTTGGTTTTCAGCGCCTTGCAAGGGCCTTCATCTGCAATCCTATTGCATGGCCTTGCAATAGCTTACAATAGTACGGCAATGGTACGGCACGTTGCAGTTGGCTCGCAATATCATTGAAACTTATTGAAATATAGCGAGGTGTGCAAATCAATTTCAAGAACAGCTGATTGCAACCGTGTTCGTAAATTTGCGACATACGTAGGGCATTGAACACAGTGATAGAAGGCATCACTCAATGATATGTCTCTTCATGACATTATCGGAGTTGTATGATGCCAGAAATGTCGTAATTCCGAGGGGTGCATACACTGCCAGGCAGACTTTACCATCCTCAAATATGGTGAGAACAGTTCACTACTTGGATATTTGCACTCACTGCGTAGAGATTATGATTGAACCAATACTTTCCGTCGTTGGTCTGCCAAGGAGTCTCAGTCGCAGAAATGTTCGAACCGAGGCAGTCACTCACCGTGACACTTGGAGGAGCTTGGTTATAGTTCAGTCTGCGGTGTTACTGCCTCAGATGATCACGTGTCAATATTCTGCATTCTGCTGTCCTGCGTTCTTTTGTCTTCTTCTTTCTTTGCATTAGAAAGATGGGGTCATAAATCCTGTGTTCGACATGGGAATTCATCATTCCTGTTGTTTGTAGGTATGTGTTCTGGGGTGTGAATATATCAACTCGTACTCCCGTCCATTCTTGCGGGCGACGCGGATAGGCACAAAAGGAAAGCTGCGGTGAGGGGGCTCAGTAGAATTATAATTGGCCAGGTCTGTATCATAACAAGCTGGTGTGATTTCGAGTGGCTTTTGTAGTAGTGCCAGTTGATCCTCGAAATTCGGTATGGTCCACTGACCTCCCTTTGTTCCGACAGCGAGGCATGGAGGTGCGTGTCTCCTTTTGTCGTGTCCTGGACTTCTCTACTAACCCCCTCATGTCAGCGCGGAGGCTCTTAAACCACTCGAGAATGTTTCTGAAAGCGTTGTCTAGATATCTCGCTTTCCCGTTGCGACTCGTGTATCGTCTGTTTCATACCTTTCTGCAACTATATTCTCACAGCATCACGTCCAGGCGCCAGTTCCTGCGTGTTCAAAAAGACGGATGCCCAGAGCGAGTTGCTGGCTCAATCCAGCCCCGCATCTTTCCTCTGCGCAACGATCAGCTACAGGTCCCAACACTACCGTCAGCGTCAGCGTCCGCATCCAATTCATCCGTCCCACTATTGCCAATTCACACTCCTTCGACATCGGTTAATCATGCCCCGCAGCTGCCTCCTGCATTTCCAGTCTCCTCCCAGGGCCAGTCTGAGTTAAGCCCGTCCACACCCTCCCAGGTGGGGCGATACGGTAAAGAGGCTAAAATGTGAGCCTCTCGCATTCCAAATGAATTCCTATACTTATGGCGTCACAGCAAGCGCGATGGCGAAATGCGTAAGGTTATTGACGCTGTAACTAGAGACTTTTCAGAGTGAGTCTTGCCCTTGCTTGGATGGAATATGTGATCACGGGGCACAGTCCAAGAGACAGTGGCGAGTGGAATCATTCGCCTGTGTACACCCTGAAGGAGCGTTCTACTTTCATAACGCCGCGCGCGTAGGTCATTTACTATATTGCGCCCTCGGTCTCTTACTGCTAGTAACAGGGTATTTACACAGAGTCGGACATGCGGGAGAAAGGACGCCGGCGTCAACTGAACTTGTGTGTAGATGAGCTACTTGCCCTTATGGGCCCTGCCACTGGTGGTTTGCAGCTGGATGGTACGAATATTGAGCTCGTAGTAGAGTCGACAAGGGCAAGGGGGGCGCAGGAGGTGTGGTGTGCAGGTACTATTTCGTGGACCATCCCAATCGCCTGCTTTTCTGGCTCCATCCGATGCCTACGGAAAAACTCTTTTATTGAGTTACGGGCGTCACGAAGCTGAGCCATATCGGTGCGCCCTCTTGCACTGGACAATCATCATGTTTTGATAATTTACGTTTTAGAGTATGCTGTCGAATATGAGTACTGGCAAGCCTGTCATTGTGTGTGCTTATTTTTTGTTCGTGATTCTTCTGACAAGTGGTACAACAGAACGTGTCGAACAAGATTCATCTAATTCCTTCCACTAGGCATCACTGCGAGCTGTATCCCAATGAAAAGAACCTGCGAGGCCCTCTGTTGCTCAAGGAGCTCAAAGAGATTGTTTTGCATGCTAGCGCTGGTGAGAAGTCCTTATGAGTGCACCATGGGTCGCTGAAAGGAGTTTATAGAAGCCATTACGACGGACTTGTCGCTCTCGCCCTTCGACGGTGATGAATTACCGAAAATTCTGGATCTGATCAGCCAACTTCAAGGTAAGCGAACGGCTTATTTTTGTCGACAGAACCGCCAATGATTCTCGAAACTAGACAACGCCCAGGACGAATACCGTGCCCATTCTATATGTGTCATAGGTAAGTATTATCACTGTAATCCTGTTTCCCTCCAGGGGGTGATTTTTTGCAGTCAGGTTTATGGGGTATTTCAGTCGGTTACGCATTGCACGATACATCACCTCTAAGCTCTCAACCAGCGCGAGCTCAATTTTTCAAATTTTGCGGGCTCCCGGAAGCTCGATTGAATGCGGACTAGTTTGTTTACGTCAAGAAGAAGAGGGGAAAGTTAATAGTGGCTCTTTCATGGGTTATCGATGTCGCACTGTTTGGGGCCCCGCGGTCACATATGGACGAGCTCCGACTAGTGTGGGTCGACAGAAGTATCAACTCTCCGCGCAATGAATGGTCAGGCATCACGATGTATGTGCGTGTCATGATTCTCGCTGTTCGACTCCAATTTTGCTCAATCATGTCAGTCAACTGTGATGATGGCTGTGGACGTCAGCTTCCTGGCCGTGCCTTCTGCCAATTTTTGCAGGTCGAATTCCTCGAGTGGATGACAGGCTCTGCGTTTGGCACGAAAGCTGTGGCAACTATACATGGTCTTCCATATGCTGTGCTGTTGTGGGGGTGAGTGCCCACTTTCTTGTAGGACCTAGGTGACTCACGGAAGTATTATTTTGTAGTATGCTGTATTTTATGGTTGCGTTCTCTCACCAGGTTTTCATGTCCACGCCCATCATCACGCTCGCGACCACTGGGAGTGTATGTGGTACCGTGGCGCTTTTCACGCTGTGGCTCGTAACCGCGGCAAGGGATTTTTGAAGTTTATAAAGAAAAATATTGGACGCGGTCTCGATAAATGACTCTGATTAATCTTGGTTAACTTCCAAACAGTGATTCGACAGGGCAATTGATAATATGTAGCAGAATCTCTACCAGACACGCTGACGACGTACTGCAGCTACGTGGTTCAAACATCATAATTGTATATGCAATGATAGCCAGTATATCAATGAACCCGATTGTGCCAATGCGTCACTTACGTCATTCAACACCTGAACGAGGATGGGCGTATTTCAATAGTATTGTCAATCTATGGCGCTTCAGGTCACCATTTGCAGGGCGTTGAACAGCGGTAGAAATTCTGAATCGCTTAATGATATGTATGTAATATTTGAGACATACTATCGCCGACTCAGAGTCGCATTCAAGTTGTGATGCTATTATACATAGGGTCGTCGTGCCATCTTGGAGGGCCCTGCAGTGAAATTTGAATGACCGTCAAATGACCAAAGTTTCTTTGTGATAGTACGTTAGTAAATGGTCGACAGTCATTTTGCTCGTACTAGTGTGCCTCGTGTCGAACATTGTCTGCTAACAACATCATGTCACCACGCAACCATGACTCTCGGAGGCTCTTAGACCACTTGAGAGTGTTTCTGAATATGTTGTCCAGATATCTCGCCTCACCCTTACAACTTGTACATAATCTGTTTCGAGCCCTTCTGCGGTTATATTTCAAATCCAGGCGCCGGTTCCAGCGCATTCCCATAGACGCACAACCAGAGCGAGTTGCTGGCTCAAGCCAGCCCCCCATCATTTTCCCGCAGGCTCTGTACAACAATCAGCTACAGGTCTTACCATTAACAGGGCCGGCATCCAATCCATCCATCCCACTATTGCCGATCCACGCCCCACCGTCATCGTCTAGTTATGTCCTGCAGCCGCCTCCTGCAGCTCTGGTCAACTCCCAGAGCCGAAACTTCGCTGAGTTCAAGCCATTCATACCCTCCGAGGTGATGCGATACGATAAAGCTCCTTCAATGTGAGCTCTTGCGTTCCGATTGAATTTTGATGCTAACTTGTGATGATCACAGCAAACCTGACGTCAAACAATACGCGCATATTAATCCTCTAACGAGAGACTATTCAGAGTGAGTGCTGCATTCTTTGTGGGCGGAATGTGTAATCATAGGGCCTAGTACAAACCAGAAAGACAGTGGAAACTGGCATGCCCGTGTACACCCTGAAGGAGCGCTCTATTTTCATGACTCCGTGCGCGTATGTCATTCGTTACCGAAATATCACGAAAACTCGGTCTCTCACTGCTAGCAACAGGGTATTTATACTGACTCGAACTTGCAGAGCGAAGAACGCCGGCGTAACATAGATTTATGTGTGGATGAACTACTCGCTCACACGGCACCTGGATTGCAGCTGGATTGCAACAAGCTCGAGCTCGTGGTGCAGTTGGCAAGGAAGCAAAAGTCCGGGGTTGGAATTTGCAGGTATTATCTTGTTGATCATACCAAGCATCTGCTTTTCTGGCTCCACGAGCTATCTACGGATAAGCTTTTTTGTGGAGTCCAGGGTGTTGAAAAGCTGAGCCATATCAGTACGCCCTTAGCAGTGGACAATCGTCGTGTTCTGATGATTTACGTTTCCAGAGTATGCTGTTGAACATCAGTACTGGCAAGCCGGTCTTGTGTGTATTCGTTTTCTGTTTGTGAAATTCTTCTGACCAAGTAGTGGAACAGAACAAGCAATGTTAATACAAGATTCATCTGATTTCAGGCAACACTGCGAGTTGTATCCCAACGAAAATCTGCCAGGCCCTCAGTTGCTCAAAGAGCTCAAGGATGTTGTTGTGCATGCTACCGCTGGTGAGCATTCCTCTGAGTGCATCCACAGATCGCTGAATTGAAGGAGTACATAGAGACCATTACCTCGGATGTGTCGCTCTCGCCCTTCGATGGTGATGAATTATCGAAAATTCTGGACTTGATCGGCAGACTTCAAGGCAGGAAATTTCCTTAATGGCGGCAGAAACATTGATGATTCTCGACGCTAGAAAATGACAAGAACGAAGGTAGCGCCCATTCTATCTGTGTCATAGGTAAGTATCATCATTTCGGCCATGCTTTATTTCAAGGGTGATTGTTTTGCAGCCAGGTTTATGCGGTATTTCAGTAAGTTAGGCGTTGTACGATACATCACCTCTAAGGTTCCTACCTGGCAGCGCGAGCTAAATTTTTCAACTTTTGCGGACTGCCTGCTGCCCGTCTGGATGCGGACCAGTCTGTTTACATTAAGGAGAAAAGGCACAAGCTGATATTGGTTCTTTCGTGGGCCCTCAACGTTGCACTGTTCGGGGCCCCGCAGTCACACATGATCGAGCTCCGGCGAGTGTGGGTCGACCGCAGTACCAACTCTCCACGCTGGAAGAACTTTAACAGCAAGCTAAGCAGTGAATGGTCAGGCATCACGATATATGTGCGTGTCATGATTCTCGCTGTTCGGCTCCTATTTTTGCTCAATCATGTCAGTCAACTGTGATGATAGCCGTGGACGTCAGCTTCCTAGCCGTGCCTTCCGTCGGTCTGCAAGATCCAGGTTCGGTCACGGTAATCAGCACATATCTTTCCGTTTTTTGCATCATCGGATCGTTGGTCGTGTCCTTGTTTCTTACCAGACAGAATCGACTATATGGGCAGGAATCTGCTGACACAGCGGTGAGCCAAAATGGCACGTCAATTTATCAAACATCGCCAAGACGAAATATTCGCAGGTCCAATTCCTTAAGATGATGACAGGATCTGCGTTTGGCACCAAAGCTCTGGCGACTATACATGGTCTTCCATATGCTATGCTATTATGGGGGTGAGTATCAGTACTGTTGTTGTAGGTTGTTGTCGGCTTACGAAAGTCCTGTTCTTTTACAGCATGGTGTATTTTATGGTTGCGTTCTCTTATCAAGTTTTCACGACCACGCCTATCATCACGCTTGCGACCACTGGGAGCGCATGCGGCATTGTGGCACTTTTTACGCTGTGGCTCATGTGCGCAGCGAGGGATTTTCATGTTTCGACACGGTTTCTTGCGTGGCTCCGGGCTTGCAGTTGCAGTTGCAGATCAAGAAATAGCACGCAGCCTTAATAGCGACTCAGCTTAACTATTTTCCAAAGTTCAAATTGTGATGTGTTGTGATTCGGTTTACTATTGTACGTAGCAGAATATACAGCCGCCGGCATACGTGTCCATGACACAGTGGTATATTGGGTTGGTTGAATCAGTGAGGAAATTATATGACCAGACCTCAAGACCGCATACGCATTTGCCCGACATTCCAACACTGGATGGTGAGGAAACTCGGACGAGTCTGGACGTGGGAGCTCTAATATTAAGTACCAGTCATCTCTGGTATTAATAATTGCTCACTGATCTCTTGTTCGATGTCAAAGAAAATGTCAAAGAAATATTGATGTCGGAGGCCTTCGGAGTCTTTTTGCAATCTTGTGGAGGAATTTCATTTGAGTGCGTACAATTTAACGTGAGTATCTTAGCTGTAGATATGTGGCCAACTGGTATTAGCTGGTATTTTATACAATCTCCAGGTCCCCGATTCATCCGTGTTGTGGTCGTGATTGTACCCGATGATCGCCCCTAGGTCGTATGTTGAAGAACAGTGAGCTCCATGCATTACCCTTTTCACTTGGGAATTTAAAAATTTAGGGGAAAATCTCCTGATGGCAAGATAAGCGTGCGGGATTACGAGATATACAGTGTTCGGAGGCGTTAAGAAGGGGCCTGGCAGACGGCGACGCGACCTTAGGCAACCTTGTTGCCAACCGGAGTGGAGCACACTACCATCGTCAGGCCCATGATATTACGTTCCTCCAAACGCGTCCAAACAGTGCCTGACCGTACTTGGTTAATTGCCAGCTTCACTCGCGAGAACGTTTGCCCCACATAAATTCGTGGTGATTCTGGATACGGGAAAACTCGTGGCTGGTTCATTCAGAGGCTTCGTCTATATAGGGTTGGCTAGGAGAGACTAGAGCTTGATGATCAATGGCAGGTTCGATTCTCGCAACTCGAAGAAGCTCGTACTACATAGTGTGGTCAGCGATTAATATTATGAGGAGTACCTTGAGAATCAGATGTGCGATGTTCAGACACAGAAATTGGATGTTAGAAATATGATCATAGATCTAGACTTTCTGTACTCCAAATCCACCGTCAGCGTTCTGAAGGATGATGCCAAAACCATTGTCGCCGCGTGGTCTCATGACGAAGGAATGATAAAACATGAGCCAAATCCAATAAGGAGATACGAGGATGGCTCGAAACCACTATTCAGGAAATAGAATAACAGAGAGCTAGTCAGAAAGAGTACTAGTTGCCACAGGGCTCCATAGTCTGCGTTGGCAGAGGGGACGCACCGTGAGGCAAAAATTAGAAGACTGTTCTGCGGGAGCGAAGTTGGCTTATCTCGGCATTAAAGATGCACTTTTGACTGCAACGACCCACATAGTAGATTGTCCAACTCCGGGACGGTGCGACGTGCCACATACTTCTCGATTTTCCGAAAAAAAAATTACGACCGTTTGATTATATATATATATATCTAGCTGCTAAAAATAATACTCAGAACAAGGACACACCTATTTGGCCCACAGTTGCAGGTTCGGGCCAACTGCCACAGAAGGAAGTGTAGCGGCGGGCGCGGAAGTGCTTTGTGATGAACAACTTTGGGTTCACTCTTTGTGCCGAAAGCCGACGTACGGTGAACGGCATCAGAGAAAGGGTGTTATGGCTACTGAAGTATGTAAGTTTCGAACGTGGCACACGCAACACTTGACAAACATATCAACCTTGATCGAATAGCACATGAGTTGCGCGTGTGCTTGACTGGAGCACATAATATGCCTAGCCTGAAACTTCATGGAGAAGCCGTGTACATAACGGCGAGCGAACGACAGCCTCGCACAAGTAATATGTTAAAGGCAGATTCGATCTGTCGAGATCGGATGTCATTCAATTGGGTCTGGCGCATATTGAAGGTCGCTGAATTTTGTTGAGGCCCCTCCTGCCACATCGCATGGGGCATATGAATTGAAAGAAGGCATGGATTTAATCCATTGTCCCTTTGTTAAAGCTGCTCTCGATCTTGCCGCCCCCTCAGCTCCATCCGGCAACAAGTGGACGTTTTGCTGGATTTGGTAGTCTTCGGAAGGCTTCCGTATCGGTGGCAAGTTCATCTGGATCAACATTTCCACAGTGAATGATCTAAGCGTATCTTGGGCGTCTGTGTGTAAAATACACATACTTCATGTATCCTATGTTTTTATACATGTAGGATGGGCGGTTCATCGTGGGGCGTATTATACAAGAAAATGATAAGGAGATGGAGGTCAAATAAGAGGAGCAACTGAAAGTATTTCTGCTATGTAAGGTGGAACGGAGGCTTTCAGAAGAACTCCGCGAATATGAAGAGGAGTTCTCACGCCGAAGCAACAAGGCAACACGATAACTCAGTGCACAATTTCAATGCCCGCTCTCACACATTGAAATCCAAGGACCTTCGGAAGTCTGCAGCTTTCACTCACAATAACTCCTTCTCCTCCTCGACGATAACAATTATTGTGGCTCATCTGCTGGCTTATGCAGACTATTTCTCCTCCGAATTCCTCGCGAGGATCGCCCTCGCGTCGCGGTCGCTCTCCGCGAACGCCTGCGCAAGGCAGCGCCCCGCGCTCCTCAGACGCCTTGCCGACTGAATTTTCGAATAAACAGCCTGCCACATTCACTTCTTGTCTATCAATTCCTGTAGAAGGTGCAGTCCCTATAGCCTCACAGGAGGATATTCTTTCTCCTTCCCAGCCCGGAATATCACAGCAGAGCGCATCCAGTAGCACCAAACGCGCCCCACGCAAATCCAAGACGCATGCCCTTGCCGCCTTGCAGAACCACGTCACATCACTCGATAATGATGATGCGACACAGCAGGAGTCAACTGACAATTTTTCGGGAGATGGCACTCCCATCTCTGTCTCCCCCACGTTAGACTTATCCACAGTCAAAACATCGAGTCCCCGAATGCAACCCATGCGCCCTAAACCTCGTCCATTTGGATTAGAAGACAGTCCAGTTTTTTACCCGACGTCAGATGAGTTCAAAGACCCTATGGCTTACATCCGCTCCATCTCAGAAAAGGCGAGCAATTATGGCATCTGCAAGATCGTTCCTCCCGTAGGTTGGAAAATGCCATGTGTCACCGATAGCGAGGTTTGTATATTTTTTCTCCGTGCCGCAGTGATTTTCTTTATGAGGCTAGCTCTAATAAATTATTTATCATCGGCAGACATTCCGTTTCAAAACTCGGTTACAACGCCTTAACTCTATCGAGGCCTCTTCTCGTGCAAAGGTTAATTTTTTGGAGCAACTCTACCGTTTCCATAAACAACAAGGCAACCCTCGTGTATCAGTACCCACCATCAACCACAAGCCCCTAGACCTGTGGTTACTCCGCAAAGAGGTCCAGAAACTCGGCGGCTACGAGGCAGTGCGTGATCCTCCATTATAGCGTAGTCAGTGCCTGAATAGTCTTATAGGTGACTAAACACAAGAAGTGGGGGGACCTCGGGGCACTCCTCGGTTACCGTGGCATTCCTGGACTATCGACGCAGATCAAAAATTCTTATACACGAGTTATCTTGCCTTATGAGCATTTTTGCGACTGTGTTCGGAATTCACCAACCCTTTCCGCATCTCCAACTGTAGCCCGCGATCCGCAGCTGAAGACCCATATGAACATCCAGACTGCCACACATCCTCTGACAACTCCTCGCGAGCGTGGTTCCCCACCATCCAGCCCGCTTACTTCTACGTCTAGCCCATTATCGGAACCCCCTGATGACGGTGAATATAAGGAACGCGGCGGACCTCGGCCGGAGGGCACCGCTGTGAAGCGCGGACCAAGAGTGGCATCTCAGGAAATGACTCGTAAGCCAATTAATATTCCCGGTCAGAATCTAACCGTAAACAATGCTCAGCCACGCGGAAATCTCTGGAGGCCCTCAGTCGGTTATCTCCGGCATCGGTTTCACCTCAGCCCGACGACGAGTACAAGCGCACCTTAGAAGTACGTAGTATTGCATACCTCCCTTCGATAGACTCATTGTTTTATAGCTGTCATGCGAAATTTGTCAGAAGAAGAATCAGGACGAAAAAATGTTGTTATGCGATGGGTGTGATTGTGGTACATTTCCTTTACAGCCTCAAAATACACGTGCGTTTTAACTTTATTTCCACAGGATTCCACATCTTTTGTCTTGACCCCCCTTTGACTGCCATTCCAAAAGGACAGTGGTTTTGCCACAGCTGTCTCTTTGGCACAGGTGGCGATTTTGGCTTTGATGAGGGAGAGGAACACAGTCTCTCGAGTTTCCAGGCGCGCGATCTTGAGTTCCGTAGAAGGTGGTGGGCATCTCATCCTCCACCGTCTCCGTCGGCCGCGGATCTCAATGACCCTACGGTGAATTACGTCGGAAGTACGCTGATATCCGAGTATGATGTGGAGAATGAGTTTTGGCGTCCTTGTACAGTCGCCGAATGAGACCGTGGAGATTGAATATGGTGCTGATGTACATTCGACTACGCATGGCAGGTGGGAGAATTTTCTGGATTTTTTTCACCGTTGGAATGAATGTTTTTTTTTCCTCGTCCAGTGCCATGCCCACCTTGGAGACACATCCCCTGGAGCCTGCCTCGAAGGACCCATGGAATCTGAACAACATGCCCATTCTTCCAGATTCCCTTCTCAGATACATCAAGTCTGATATATCTGGCATGACCGTCCCTTGGACATACGTTGGCATGGTTTTCTCGACATTTTGTTGGCATAATGAGGTGCGTTCATCGTGATTTTTTCATCACAAGTGCTGACCCAACTACCTCAGGATCATTATACCTACAGCATCAATTTCAGTGTGTGGTGTCCCATTGCAACGGTTAATTTTTTCTGATGGTTTCCCCTAGTGCATTGGGGTGAATCAAAGACCTGGTACGGCATCCCAGGAGAAGACGCAGAGAAGTTCGAGGCCGCCATCAAGAGTGAGGCACCTGACCTATTTGAGGCGCAGTCCGATCTCCTATTCCAGCTCGTCACGTTGATGAATCCGAAGCGCCTCACTGATGCTGGAGTCCGCGTGTATGCGTGCAACCAACGGGCAGGCGAGTTTGTTATCACGTTCCCGAAAGCATACCATGCAGGTTTCAACCACGGGGTGCGTTTTGAACGTTTTCGATCGATCGCATCTTGACTCAGTTTCATGGCAGTTCAATTTCAATGAGGCCGTCAATTTCGCGCTCCCAGACTGGTTGCCTTTTGGCCGTGATTGTGTTCAACGCTATCGTGAACACAAGAAGTTGCCGGTATTTTCCCATGATGAGCTTCTCGTAACGATTACGCAACAGTCACAATCCATTAAAACTGCGTTATGGTAAGAATCGACGCACAAAAACGAATTATTCTGTGAATCTCACTACATTTTCTGAAGGCTGGAGTCGAGTCTGAAGGAAATGACTGAGCGTGAACTCGCAGCTCGTCAGGTAGCTCGTGACCGTGGCCTTTGCGAGCGCCTTGAGGAAGAGGATCGCTCCGAAGATCAATACCAATGCACAATTTGTAAAGCCTTCTGCTACCTCTCGCAGGTCGTCTGTCATTGCAAGAGCGAAATTGTCTGCGTAGACCACATGGATCAACTTTGCGGCCATGCACCAGAAGAATTGACGCTCAGGAAACGTTTCTCTGACGCCGACCTCCGCGAGATCCTTGGGAAAGTCGTTGAGCGCGCAGCCATCCCTGGCAAATGGCGGGCGAAATTCAACAAGGTGCTTATGGAAAGTGGCCTTCCGTCGTTACGCTCTCTTCGCGCGCTCCTTGCTGAAGGCGAACGGATTAATTATCACCTTCCTGAACTCGCCGCCCTCCGTAAATGCGTCAACCGTGGCAATGAGTGGTTGGAGGCTGCCAATACATTCATCAGCCGCAAGCACGGTCGCAAACTCACGCGCCGTTCTCGCGGTCGCCCGTCTTTGCATGAAGCGAACAACGCTGCGTTCGATGACCGTGACCCAGGTGATAGGCCTGACCGTGGACTCGACGAGGTGTATGCTCTCCTGGCGGAGGTGCAGACTCTCGGGTTTGAAGCCTCGGAGACAGTAACCCTCCGTACGTTGGCTACACAAGCAGAAGATATTCGACGCAAAGCCTCAGCGTTACTCGATTCTGCCAATTCAGTAGCCAGCCGTGACACATTCATAGCTGATTGCGAGCGGCTGCTCCTGGGCGCTTCATCCATCAACGTGCAACTTGATGAAGTACTTGAAGTAGAGAAACTTGTGTCTCTGGAGCAACTCATTAGAGAGCTGGAGGAGAAGGCAGAGGATCCTTTAGCTACACTGGAAGACATTCGTGGGCTTTTGACCCGTGCTCGCGCCTGCAGCGTTCCTCTCGAAAACCAGTTCATACGAACCCTAGAGTCTCGTCAACGAGCTGGGGGTGACTGGGAAGAGCGGGCGAGGCACGTATTGGACCAACCACACAAGACCATCGAGGAACTCGACGAGTTCTTTGAGATAGACTCCACCATTCCCATCGATGTCACAATCTACGATCGGCTGATGTCCGCGCGTAGCAAAGCGAAGGATTTCGAGAAGCAGGCGAAGGCTTGGATATCCCCCGATGGTCAAGGACCCAAGCCTAGAATTTCGGAAGTCATGCGTTTCGTCGGCCGTGCTGAAAAAGATTTCAGCATTCCTGCTATCAGAGACCTGAAGCAGACTGCCGAGTTTGCTTTGGATCTCGAGAATAGATGTGAATCGATCCTTCAACATCGTTACCAGCACGGAGAAGACACAGATGTCTTTGCGATGATGCGGAAGTGGAGATCCTACGCCCGAGAGCATCTCACCATGTTCTCACTGCCCCTCTTTGAGAAGCTGGATGACCAGCTCACTCGCCATCAAGAATGGTTAGAAGATCTGCCATGGTATTGTCCGCAGCATGAATGTGCTCATGGCCGGGATATCCTGAATGATGTCGAGGAGTCGACGAGACCTGAGGATGACCATCCGCCCAATGACGAGTACTTCACCTGCATCTGCACCACTCCCGTTCGGCCCCCTCCGCCTGGTGCTCACTCCGATGCAGTTCAGTGCGATCATTGCTTCGCGAGGTTCCATGGCGTTTGCGCAGCTAACGGTGGTTCATGCCCTTTCTGTGATCATCATCACTGGAATGGTGCCATCCACAAGGAACGCAGCTGGCACTTCTGTTTCTTGCCGACCATCCTCCTTAAAGCACCTGCGATAACCAAAAATTATTCGGATGCCTGGAAGCAGTTGGAGATCATTGTCCATCGGATAGATCGTTTGTGCACAGTCATCGGCTCGTTTTTGACGTATGCTTCCCAAACCGGCAACCAGCGGGTTGAATACATCGCTCAGGTGCGCCACTACATGCGCAAATTGTATAAGATCCAGTTCGCTGTGTCTCCAAGTCGCGAAGTCTCATACGGCCTCGACCTCGCTGGTCTGCATCGCATCCTCGCTGGTCAACCTCCAGCTGTTCGGGTCAAGAAGAGGCGAAGACCGAAGTTCACGTTCGGCCAGGATGTAGACAAGGATTGGATGGATGGTACGCGCTGCATATGCCGCGGCCGCACTTCATACCTCCTCGATTATCCAACCGTTGAATGCGAGGCTTGCAGAAGACTTTACCACTCCGGCTGTGTCTTCTTTCCTATAGAGGCCAACGCCAGCGGCAACAGCCGATTTATGTGCCCGCTGTGCTGTTTACGCAGGAGCCGCCCATACATCTATTCGGAAGTCCGCGTGAAGCACGTTGGTTAGTAAATTTCGTTTTAAGCTTTAACGTATCGCTATATTAACAGACGAGCAGATAACCAAGATCCAGACACATATGTAAACACGAGCGCAATGCTTGACACCTTCAGCAAGGATGTTGTCTACACGAAGATGTTGCCCCCATACACGCAGACACTGTTCGTGGAACTCATACGATTTTCGCCGGGTCAGCCTGATCTCATCAACGGCAATGTACCTTCCCGGAGCGCTCCAGCACTTGCAATGCCTCATAGTACTGAACCCGGTCCTTCCACGCACCATCGACATTCGCATATTCACAGCGCTCCCATACCACTCCCCACGCCACCGACCCCTGTTTATGAGCTTGCAAGGCAGCCGTCAACGAATGGACATCATGTCCCACCTCCCCCGCCCTGGCAATCCCGCTCGCAGTCACCACACTCGAACAAGAAGCGAAAGTATGCAGATGACAGTCCACAGGACAACCCAGAGCCGAGATCACCCAAGCAACGGCGTCTTCCTCAAACCCCCGTTCTTCCCTCCACCAGCGTTGGAGCTCGTACGATGCAACAGGCGCTTTCGCCCTCGCTGGCGATGATTGTATCACCGGTTGACACTGAGCCTTCCCCTCGGCGAGCGCCTTCGATCCCTCCCCCTTATGCTAGACCCCCATCCTCCTTGTCTCTTAACTCGATCAATGGAGAATGCTCTTCTGTCAAATCAGTAAAGCTGTTGGTTGGAACTCACAAGTAGACCTTTGTAGTGTTACATTCGTTCTTGCGTCATTTGCGAATTTTTGTTTTGGTTCTATGTACCAGTAGTCATTATTATTGACCCTAGCTGCAATTGTTCTCACCTCTACCTAGCATGCTTTCTATGGAGTTGATGTACGTACGTGAATTTAGCTATATGAATGGGAAAAGAAGCTATGTTGTGAATGGGAAGTTGAGGCCGATCCTTGAGTTCTCCCGCGAACTCGATGGAAGTCTAGCCGCAAATCGTGATGACGAGATCGGGAGTATAAATTACAAATTAAGCGAACCAGAAAGCCGAAAACCCAGACAGACATAATTAAAAAAAATAACGAATCGACCGTTTCAAACGCGTTCATCGTTTGACCATGAGTTTATATGTGGTGTACCCGCCAATAATGCCGAAGGCTGCAAGTGCGGAAAGGATCCCAGCAAACCAATGATAGCTGATCTGAAAGACGGAATAAATAGTGGCGGTGTGCAAATAGTCACCCACATACCTGATCATCCTGGCCTGGAACGTGTACATTCATACCCCATATACCTAAACGAGTCATGAGGACACATATCATCGTGAAGACAAGCAACGGACCTGTTACCAAGTTCATCGGGATAAGCACTGTACCCAACGCAGTCATCTTTGAGAGGACATCGTTGATCTGGTTGTTGGCATCCGTCATCTCGATGGAAATCTGTGCCAGGTAGTTGGAGTGCGATCGGGACAGAATTTTTTCGTAATGATTCAGATTTTGCGTCATCGTTATCAAGTGGTCCTAGAAGTCCGATGGAATTAATAAATTGTGATTTGAGCGGCAGCAGCAACTGACCTGGATATCAGAAAGATATAGACCCTTTTATAGAGAATGAGTCGTGACGTAGATGATCAAGAGCGAAGAACTCACGATGTCTGACGTTGGTGCCACCCTCCAGTTTTCATTGCATCTCTTCGCGAGCCCCTTTACTACATCCGCCTTATTGCCCATCAAGCGCAACAGCCCCATGACCTTCTTGCGACACGTTCCAATTCTCCTCAACATGTCACTTTGCTCCGCCTCCTTCAAGATAAGGACGAGCTCGTCAATAGAGTCAACTTCGTATTCAATGGACTGGATTAGAGGACCGAAGGCATCGGTGATGTCATCAATCAACGCGTACGAGATCCAGTCCGATGTGACGTTAATGTAATCTTTCAGCTGCTTTATTCTCCGGCGGACGTTTTGCGGATGTGGGGTAGGGCGGAAGTGGAACTATAAGAATTGTGAATGAAAGTTACAGAAAGACAGTGGAGCGCTTACAGATAAAATTCCCTCTCTAAATACAATAATGTACATGTTCAGGGGCTCCAGGTGCGTAGGACTGTAAGGATCCTGGTCGAAACTCCGGAAACAGACAAGGTAGTAGTTCCGGAACAATTCAATCTTTTCGCGAGCTTCCTCCATCTGGATGTCTTCAGCCGTTAAAGGGTGAATAGAGAAGACCTGAAAAATGCCTAAGTTCAGACAACCAACTGGCTACGTGGGCAGTACCTTGCTCAGAACCTTCATCTCTTCATCTGTCGGGCTTAGGACATCTAGCCACCACGTATTCCCCTCAAGCTCGCCACCGCCCCCGAGGCCGTTTGGTGGGCCTGGATTACCAGCCCCGCCCTTCTCCGGGCGACCATGATAGCTACCGTTTTGATAGCTACCGTTGTGGCTGGGTACAAAATCCGGAGGACCTGGGCGCTTGTTTGTATCCTGAACAGAAGCCAGACCCTGGTGTGGTAGTGGCACGGGAACAGGGGCAGAACCACCCTTTGTGTCTTGCGGGTGGTCAGGAGGAGGTATGCCAGTAAACAAATCTTCAAAAGACTGTCCGTCCGCAGGAAGTTCGCTGAGACTTCGTGCATGAATGGTGGCAGACAACGCATTGGAGTAAAACGAGAATCGGTATGGTCTGTCATGACCGGGTGACATGATCCCACCCATCCCTGCAGCGTTGTACTGGTTTCCTGCCACATTCTCCGAGGATGGGATGGCACTCAAGTTGTTAAGTCCCGTCAGCCGACTCGGAAAAGTGAAGTTTGGATCTCCGCCGTGGTTCTCAAATAAGGCCATCTTGCCCCGGATGCCTTTCCGGTGTTGCCTAGGGACGGGACTACTCTGGCTGAGCTTGCGCTGTCGGATATTACCGCGATAAGGGGAGTCAAGTCCGGCTTCAAAAGGAGGAGCTCCACCAGGTGGAGATGCGGTCAACTCTGGACCGCCGCTCTGTGGAAAGTGTGGATGGTACAGCCGGAATCCTGAACCATGGGTATTCGTGGGTGATGATATACCTAGTTCTGCCTTTTCTTGAGCCGCAAAGGCCTCCAGATGGGCAAAGGTGAAGACAGGTTGGTTTGCATTTGGTTGATACACCGGAAGCCCCGGCATAGAAGATTCGCCACGAATCGGTCGGTACTCACCTCCCATAGTCGTAAGAAGCGCTGGGTCATGGGTTTGGTCAAGGTGCTGCATCCGCAAGTCGATAGGAGTTAGAGATCGTGGGGAGTGCAGCCCATCAGAAACCCCGTTCACACAATCATGATCTATGCGGAAAATTCGGTCTCCACGAGCGACATCAATGTCGTGTTCCTCGATGGCGGAGAAGTGGGAGAATGGGAGTTTTGCCTCAGGGTGGGGTACCGATTCATATGGTAATGATGTTGCAGGCGTCGTTATAGTCTCTCTCCGGGCCCTGGACAGATGCAGAGCCATGTCCACATCCAGCGTTCTCTGCCTCTCCCTCACTTCTAGGTCATTCGGGTCATAAGAGCGGATAAGCGTCGGCGAGATATGCGGACGGGAGCCAGGCTCCACCACGTCGGTCTGACATAGGCTTTCTCTATTGTCCCTTCGTCGAACGGGAGAAGCGGCTCTGACGGAGGCAGGGGAACTCGACAGGACGGACGAATCATGGAAATTCGGAGAAGTCATGGTGTCAACCTAAGAGTCTGGTCAGCAAACCACGTAAATTTAGAAAGCTGCTACTACACCAGCTTCGATTATTGATATATTTTAGTCCGATAACTTACCTATCTGATAGCTTATCTTAAGTTGCTTGACGCATTAGCCAGGAAAGAAAAACTAGTTTCCACTCCGGTGACCACCAGAGGCACGAAGGTGAGCTCATTCACGTGATGCTATTTGGTGGGAAGAGCCTCCGATCCTAACATGGCCAAATTGACATCAATTGCCAGGAGGAAATCGCATGCCAAGTACAGTACACGCGTTTCTCCTGAGTGATAGGACGCTAAGCTAAGAGTTGTGGTAGGAATGTGGATGTGGGAGATGCGTGGGAAAACAGGAAAAACATATATATAAAAAACATAAAAACACATCATAGCGCACTACGCACAGCCTCCCATGATATGAGATGTATGTCTAATGATTGGGGGGACCTCGGGAATACTAAATTCAACACCCTCGAGGTGTTACAGGTAACATACCTGCCTATACACTAAATTTGTTGTGGATAGTGGCACTGTGGCAGGGGCTCTATTGCGAGAAAGCTCAGATCAACATATCTTTCCAAATTCAAGCTGTAGTACTTCAAGTATGGCAAATATATAGTATTTCTGAGGTCCCCCCATCATTCTACATACATCCCATATCATGGGAAGCTGTGTGTAGTGCGCTATGATATGTTTTTTTTTCATATGTTTTTCCTGCTTTCCCACGCATCTCCCACATCCACATTCCTTCCATAATTCTTAGCTTAGCGTCCTATCACTCAGGAATGTATACCTGAGAGTCTATAGGTGTATTATATATGTTTATTTATCCTCCAGAACACTCATCTTCTCAGATATCCCCTATTCCTGTATGTAAGCCCGGTGGCTTACCTGAGTTCCCAATTGGGTAGTCTTGGTAAAACCCGGACAAGTCAGTCATAGCAAACTGACGGGGAAAGCGAAGCCCACGTCAGAAGCGTCCAGCTGAGCGCCATCAAGTCTGACCATCGTCTTAGCTCCCGCTGCAGTCACCCGTCTTCTAGGATAAGGGGCCAGAGGGTGACTAGTAAAGCGGGGGGGCAGTACAGCGGTTTCGAACCTGCGAAAGTTCTCGTCAGGGGGCTACCCCTACCCCTATCGCTTGTACTTCTCATTATCGTTTAGGGATACTACTACTAAGCCTATATATACGGCGGGAGTGGATGGTTTGTGCCACTACTGCAACCAGTCCCCTTCAGGGGCCGGCCAGCTGGCAAACAGTACCCGGTAACCCACTGCAAGGGTAGTTTCGGGTGGAGAGGAGAGGGTTGGGGCCAGGACGGAAGCTTCGTAGCTAAGATTCAGCGATCGGGGGCCTTTATTCCTCGGGACGAGATCACGAGGCCCCACACCATTGGAATTCGGCTGGTCCCGTTTCGAGAACAGTGAATATTCGGTCGTTCCCATGGGAGTATGCGACGAGGCGGGACTGGGAAGACACGGTTCTTTCAGTCCTTGTGATTTCATTAGCGGATATCCCTGCACCTGCGAGAAGAGGTCGTGAGGTCGCAGTTTCTGAACTGTATTCATGCAATATCGGAAATTAAGGAGGTACTTTAGTAAGAATGTATGATACCAAAAGATGATCATGACTCGAGAGTCAAAATATCATGATGCCCGATAGTGCCCGATGGGATAGCTAAAGCCCGCTACACTAGTGCCAGCAAAAAGGAACCATTCTTCCTTACTACTTCTTACTACCTCTGGCTACGTGGTTACCTCCAAAGGGGTTGAAATTCGGCAGGGGAAAATTGAAGTAATCACTTGGGATCAAGTCGGAGTCAATCAAGGAGTCGTGTTGGGCCGACGGTCTCAGAGAATAAATACTAGCTAACAGATGAGGAGAAAACGATGATTGTAGTTAGTGCGCTGAGTCATCTTCCCGTTGATGCCTGTTGATGCCCATCTCTGAGACCTGGGTACTTATGGGGAATTGAAATACGGAACTCGGGTCATCATGGTACGTTGTCACATTCGTGGCGCTACTACCTTTGTCTCAGTAGTCATTGTGTACGCTCCAATAAGTAAACAGACGAAAAGGATCCTCGGAGTGGAGTGGTATGACTGTTTACTGAACGGTAGTATCCGAAACCTGCTTCTTGCCCGCATTGTCAACATGTGCGTTACCCTAGTGGTACGATCTTGTGAAAAATATTGATAAAAAGCTCGTAATCATGCAGAAGCTGTGTAAAAACTTAGACACGAATATACAATCGGCACATATACATGCTAGGGCGGATTGGGGAACCTCCGCGGGAATAAGCACGCCACAATCTAGAGTTTCCCGCGTAAGTTGGAAAAACGTGGACACCGAATGGCCCTCTACCTAAAGGTAGTGCTAAGCAGGGAATAAGAGAAGAACCAATAAGTGCGTTGAAATTGTAATTGCACACGAGAAGAGGAAGTTAGAGTGAGATAGCGTAAGATAAGATAAGTGCGGGGAGAACAAGGTTGGCGGTGGAGGCGAATGGAAATACAGATTGGCATGAACGTGGTGAAGTTCAGAAAAAAGTAACCCCTGGCGGGACTCGAACCCGCAACCTCCAGATTCGCTCCTGTAGTAGAAGTCTGACGTCATAACCATTAGACAACAAGGGCTTATGATCGCAAGCGCCATAGGAGAACCATGAGTCTTGAGGATAGGTAATTGTCAGATAGCTTACCGCTTCGTCATTTGCATTACTGACAAAGACCTTCTGCACTAGCTCTGAGCGACAATCAGATGGTAATGGAATCGCTTGAAGAGTGTTGCAAGCCCCTCTTTACTTGTTCTGAAGACCTCCGCGGGGAAGCCCTGGCTGTTTCAAGAAACAGAGAAAGAAGGCCAAAAAGGCAAATGTGGACGTTTTAAATAGTAGAGTTAACAATCACCGTTGGAAATTGGAATTACTCAGCGAATTCAATTCATTGGGCCATCAGTGTGTCAAAATGCCAAATAATTGCCGGATAGAATGAACAACTCACGTCATAAAGAAAACATTTTCCAAGTCATCTTTACAGTTTCTGCGAGTCTTGAGCCACGTATAAGCGTTCCTTGTGACAGCAACAACTGTATTAAACCCCCACATAAACATAGAACAGTTACGTAGCGCCACGTAGCATAGGTCCATTTACCTCGTCATCATTGGGATATTCCCCAGATTCATGCATGCCGCTATTCCGATCACGACACCCCCTGTGAGGCTAAACCCGTCACCCCACTTGCCTCGTGCTTGTAATGATGACATGCTACTGCAGGTTGCTGCGTATAAATTGGATCAGCAAGTTTATTTCTAAACCACATCCCTCCGACCCAGGTCACACTCACCGTGGTCCCTACCTTTGTCCCCTACCCACATACGTTGACCCCACAAAAAGTCATGGAAAGTCGGACTGTTTACAACAACGTATGATCACTTTCGATGTGTATTTCGATTGACCAAACAGAGATCACCAGTTATCCCGCCGTAAATCGCACGCTGCATCATATGCATATGATGGCGCCTCGCTGCTGTCGTCCGTCTCATCTGACACGTTCGGGTCCTCAGACGAACACGCAGGTTGTTGGTCGTGGTGGGGTTGTTTTTGGCGCTGTTTCAAGTGCTGGTGACCGACTGGTTAGTGGCCTGTCATAATATGCTTTCGCACTGAGTTGGTCATACCATGCTCTTACAGGCCTGTGGAGATATACCCTGTTATACTTAATTTAGCACAGCGTGCTCCCAGCTGGGATTTGGAGAGCATAGACAGCGAACAGACTATGAAGAATTTGCAATTCGGCATTAGTCTCCGGTGGTCAGATCCAGAAGGAAGGAAGACATGTGTTCCTTCTGTTTCAAGATCCATCCTGTAATACCATAATGGTCGTAAATACAGAGTCAGCTAGTAATGAAACATGTACCACCATTTTGTACGCTCATACCGACTGTGGACCCTTGTGCTCGACCAACTTATTCGCAAAAGCTCATCATGTGCTGGACTGCTTTCGTTGCGTCAACTAGACGAAAGCACCGGTAGCGTGAACAGTCGTGAGTACTATCGTTGTTCGGTAGTCAAGTTTCTAGAATGATGTAAACAAGTCATTGATTAAGAACGCATGCTGCAATATGAGCGTGTGTTTTGAGGAAACAATATTCATGTGAATGGTGTCTCCAAAGCCTTACCGTGCCCCGATTTCTGCCGAAAAGGTGCGGATATGAAAGCAGCATTCATGAGTTACACATAAACAATGCAGATGGTTCTATCACTTATCACTGACGCATTAGAATCCATCTCTTGCCAATACTGCTACCTCTAATTTTGTCTTTAAACCCCTCCAACTTGTCTTCGCCCCTGTCTGCTGAGACTCCGCAACGGGCAATTCCGTCAGCACCTTCGCAATAAAGTTTGCATCCGTCAGAGGGGTCAAATCATTGCAATTTGGAAGTCGCTGCGGTTCACGTCATCAAGGGGCAGAATAGGATAGGAAACGCTGGACACACCCTCTTAACCCGATCATACGGTGCCTCCCAACCGCTTACTTGACGTACGACCAACAAAGGGCTTGAGGTAAAAGAATGATACATTCTAGTGTCATGCGTGCGGAACAGCACATTATCCACACGAAGCGTGAATCGCGATAAAATGAAGATACACGTTGGCATGACGCGCTTGGAGCAGGGCTAGTCAGACGACAAAAAATCAATAGAGGCACAGCACGAACTATTCGCACGAGAAGATTGGATGAACCATTATCATGCAGTTCATCCTCGAATAGAGGAATTTCTGCGTAGAATAAAATTGGATCTGGTCGTGTGAGCTCAGAGAGCGGAATAGAATGAGATGGATTTTCTGGATCGGCATCTATCCATGGCATTGAAAGACTCGGAGATTCGACGTCCGAGGCAATGTCATCGTGATGACCAGGATATGTCATCGTGTAAGTCCAATCATAATGTTTGGCTGCTACTGTAACGGGCAATGGAAGGTTCGTTCCAGGGTCTGTGCTGGTGCGTACGCTCAGAATCACATCGATAGATATGCAGCATGAATTCCTCACCGGCTCTTGAGCCAGGCGTCTGCATATCCAACCTTGACACCACCATCGCCCTCCCCGAGCTCACCCTTTTTCACACACTTGAGGGCATTATGCGTGTCGAACAACATCTTCCACCCAGATGACCGATGTTCGAGAGATAGATAGTTACTTCCAAAGGTCATTTCAGGCAGTGGGAATCCGAGCGAAGCTTGTAACGCATCACATTCTGACGCGCTAGATATCGGATTTGTGGACGCGACTATCACCCAATCATTGATTTCGATAGTGCGTGAATTGGGTGTCTCTGAGAGCTTGTGCTGCGGTACTGCGATAGCTGCAGACATGACTTCAGCAAGGAAGTAAGTCTCTGATATGATATCCTTTGAAGTCGTCGTCGTCGTCAAAGATGAGCAGCTTCAAAAGTAGCTATCGGAGTTTCAAATGTGTAATTGATAGTTTGAACTCGCTCTATTAGAAGTAAGTATACAAACAGAGATCATGGAGGGATCTCGTCCAGCAACACCAGAAGCACCTCCAGAAAACCTATGGTCCTCGATATTGGACTCAATTTCTTCTTCACGGTCAATTCCTTCAAAGCAAGTACTGCTACTTGGTGATCCATCGTCTGGCAAGTCAGTACTTGCCTCGGCCTTGCTACAGGAAACCGGTTTCTGAAGAGAGCAAGGACGAGACACGATCGGATTTTGCCCTTGGTTATGATTGGGCCGATATCAGGGATGACGGCGATGAGGGTGTGCTTCCCATCTTCCTGAACTTGAAGTGTGCTAATACCACCACCAGACACTTTGGCACGTCTATCGGTGTACACAGTACCTTCGGACGCGATAGCTTACACAGCTTTGATGCCACACTTTCTGCCACCGCGGGTATCGTTACCTCATACCCTGGTGATGATTGTTCTGGATTGGACGCGCCCTTGGACATTTGTAGACAGTCTTCAGACGTGGCTCAAATGGGTGGAGCTATGGGCGAAGGGTGATGGATCTCGGGATCTCGAGATCGTTCGGGAAGAGAATCACGAAAGACGTGTGTTCATTTGATTGAGACATCACCGACATTCCAACAGCTGACGCTATTTGGCAGTGCAACATCATTTACAGCATTATACTGAGCCCTCCGTCGATGCTGTCCCTGCCACCTCCAATCTTTCCTCAAACACAGTCCTACCACTCGGTCCTGGCACTCTAACTCACAACTCTGCTGGTGTACCGATTATTGTTGTCTGTACCAAATCAGATCTCATAGACGAGGGCAACGACCTCGTAGGTGCCAGCAATTCGGGCATGGGAGGTATGGTAAAAGGTAAAGGTGGAGAGTGGGAGGAGCGCACGGATGGCGTGATGCAGGTTCTCCGAACGATCTGTCTAAAATGTAAGCCTTCCTTCTGCAAACCGTAGTAAGCACCTCATCACGCTGCTCCATCAAAACAGATGGAGCATCACTATTCTATACTACGCAGCAACCTAATACATTACAGGTGCTGAGGCAATATGCCCTGCACTTCCTATTTATCCCACCGGCACCGTCCCCCATTGCGGCGGGATCCGAGGCCCCGGCTCCCCTACGCAATCCATTTGTATTCCATTTTAAACCAAATACCCTAGACCGCGATCGCATCGTCGTTCCCGCTGGTTGGGATAGTTGGGGGAAGATTGGAGTCCTTCGAGAAGGGTTTGAAGCGAAGGCTTGGGGCGAGGCTTGGGAAGCAGATCTTGATACCGACGTGTCGGAGTCCGAGGATCATTCAGGTGCGAAAAAACTGTATAGGATGTTAGTACCGGACCAAGGCGCCAAGGCGAGTTTGTTATTTGACCGTCAGCTTCTACACGGCCTCATTTTTTCGTGTAGCCACCTCCTTTACCTCCATTTAATGCCCCCATGGCGGAGCAGGCGTTCCTAGCGAAACATTATGATGACAATGCCAAGAAACCAGACCGAGATCCCCGTGGGGCTTTTAGAAATCCCACGGATACGGCGGCAGCTGGTATTGTTGGGCCAATGGGGAGCAGTAGTTTCACTCTTCCACACGTCGAGCGTGCGCTCAACGAGATGGAGACCGGAATGGGAACCAGTTCACTCAACGCCAGCACGACGGCCGATGGGGCGCGCAGACTGTCACAAAGAGCTGCAACGGGTGCGGGCATAACAAACCACGTTGGACGGCCACCAACCTCACCAACTATCGGAACTTCGCCTAGTCCCACTGGAGGACAAACTCAACATGAAGTTCTGCAAAACTTCTTCCAAAGTTTGCTCAGCTCACGGGATCGCGGTGGTGCCGGCGCAACAGCTAGGAGCGTGACCCCAAAAACAAACGATAATACTAGTGGCACGGACGACACGAGCTAATTACATTCTTTGCATACTTGTGGATTTTTGTATAATACAGTGACAGTTTTTGCGCAAAGTCGACACATTATTGTTGTGTGTTGTTCGGAGAATAAACAATGACCAAACAAAAGCGACCGTCACCTTAAGACCCGACCACCATCAACGGGCAGCCGAAATTTGCCACAGCAAAGTTCGGTTCAGGTTTCGTTTCGCTAACTTGCAAGCCTCGTTGCAACCGCGTTCCCCCTAACACCACAACATGGGTAGATGGTGTGTTCATCTAATCAATTCAAGTCCATCTAATCACGCATGTCTCGGCGTTTAGGACGGCCGAATACTATGACGAAGTGTTCAGTGCGAAAATGAGGAGCTTGGTGTATGGGTGTCCTCTTACTACGAACATATGAATTCTCGCTAAGGAGACCTCTGCTCTGCTGTAGCTCCGGAGCTATCAAGCGACATAGGCTTGAGAAAATTGAACCCGCGATAAGCTATGAGCATTTCGTGGAGGACTTAGACGGTGGCGACTCATTTACCACTTCGTTGATTGAGATTCTAGTCAAGGTGCGCACCTTTATACATACTCTTTATCTACTTCTTACTTTACCTGCAGGAAGTGGCAGATCGACACCATCGCCAAAATGCCACTGAACGTGGTCTTATTGGAGATCGCACCGCTAGAGCACTGAGGAGGTTATCTAACCCAACCACTACGTACAGGGAACGCTATTCTTGGCGCGGGACAGGTGGTCGAAGAGGGGTGGACCTTGCAGACTACTTGTCACGGCCTCCGGATGAACTCGACATGGATGAAGAAGCTGATGAGCTTGAGGAACTGGAGCAGTATGGCCTCGTACCACTTGAGGGCACACGTGTGAATACCGAGATGTATGATGCATACCGGTCTCATACTTCACGGCCAAATCCTTCAACAGCCTACCGTGCGTTCTCCCCTGCCTTTTACACCGTCCCTGCACCGCCTCCAGCTCCTACGCCGGATTCCCCAAGCGATAGGGTGCTTCCCCCTCTACTTGATTCACCCCCTGCTCCACGGCTCGGTGGCTTGACGCTTCCATCAGCAAGTGGCCTACTCCACACCTCACTAACTCGACAGCCTTCCGTTCGCCGCCCCGTAAGAAGCAGAACGGCAGATTTCAGTGACTTCAGTGCACGGCGTCGGAATTCTTCGCGACAGCCGGCTGATGAGGAGGGACCGTCGAGAATGGATACATCCAGTACATTCACTGGTTCACACTTCAGTGCACCTAGGGAGGATTCTGACCCACCTCCCCCGGGACCGCCAGGCCAGGCCAGACGATTTTTCCCTTTCCGCCCACGACGCTTCGAAGTCATTCCCACACCTCCTCGACCTGCACCTAGTACGGGTGAAGACTGGCTCTTCCCACCAGTCCCGTGGTCATCAGCCTCATCAGACCGTACTGCACCCTCGGCACCCGATAGCCAAGTTGGTGAAGAACGCTCCCAGGCGCCTCGGCTCCGGCGAGGCGGCCTTAGAGCCCCGGAATCTATGCTCTCACGGCACGCCTCGCGTCCCACCACTGCAGAGATAGTACTGAGGGTATCAGAGCAGATGGATGCTATTGAAGCTGCGGAGGCTGAGCGTGCAGAACAAACGCGATCTGTATCAGAAGAGATATTACAATCTATTGGGGGACCATAGACTCGTAGAGATGATTTATTCCTATCGGCTGGATACTGTATTATTTTTACTTTTACTTTCACGCCTACGTCTTGCATATGTTCGTATCACATGCTAGCAAATCAAAACCTCTAGACTGGTATATTCATTGAATTGCACGTCTTACATCATGTGCATTGTGTATGCATCGCCCTACGTCCGCGTCAGGACTGACTAATGTGAATCAGGATTGTAGCTAAACAAGATTCACTTACAAACACCCATGATCAAGAGACGCAACCGACCGCAGCCGCGTGTACGAGAATCCTCACCAGACACAGAGCAACCTCCAGAACTAGATGAAGACGAGGAGGAAGACAGATCGTTACCGTACGTATTAAACGACCCAACAGCCCAACGCAGAGAATTAACACACAGACAGCATCTCGGAGCTCATCGAGCTTCGGAAACTCAAGAAGTCCAGACAAGGAATCGATGTTCAAAAGCTATCGAAAGGCGATGCCAAGAAGAGGAAGCGCAAAACCGCGGAGGATGGACAAGAGGTCCAGGGCGGTCTGAGAGCTGGTGCTAGAGTGGATGAGTAAGTGATATGACACTCCGCTATCCGCACTTCTGCTCACTCTGAACAAACAGCGAGGAGGACAGTACAGATGCCAAAGCGAGACGAGCCGTCCGAACAAGCAACTTTACGCAGCAAACGAATGTTTTGGATGTTGACAAACATATGTGAGTGTGGCGTCTCTGACACATTCTGTTTTGGTGTTTTGACGTGGGCGTAGGATGGCATACATCGAAGAGAATCTGAAGATTCGCAGCCGCCCTCCAGATCCATCCGAGGATGAGCCTGGAACAAGCGCTCAAGACGAATTTTCTCTTTCCGAGCGGTGGAAGGCAGAGAAGAAAGCAGCGGATGAAGGCAACGTCACTAACAGCATGGCCATGCTTACTGCCATTCCTGAAGTCGATCTTGGCATGGAGTAGGGTTTCCTAGATCCTGCTTTATCAGTTTTCACTGATTTTTGTGATAGTGCACGATTGAAGAATATTGAAGAAACGGAGAAAGCAAAACGACAAGTTGCTGAAGTGCGCAAGGAACGCAAACGACCTAATGATGAGGAGCATCTTGTCGCAACCCGATGTTCGTTCTTTTTAGCTTGTCGTTGTAAATTCACTATTGACAGACTGCTGCTTCGTAGTCTATCGACCGCACCTCAAGCAGAAGTCCGATGCAGAAATCATGCGAGATGCCAAGCTCGAAGCAATGGGTCTACCACCTCAAGAGGATAGAAGACCTCGCGGTGAACGCCCACATATGGCGACCGACGAAGTGGTATGTATAGTGACTTGTTCCATGCGTTATTATGACCCGCTCATATGTTGCTCAGGTCATGGAGCGCTTCAAGAAAAGAATGCGCAGGTGAAATGCTATCTCTTTCCTGCGAATGATCTTCTGTTTTGTTTCCAGCGTCGATCTGGTCCTCACGAATCGCTCGGTCTCTGGAGTACCCCTTGCTCACCGTCAGGAATCGTCCGCAAAGTATGTACACTCGAATGCATATTAAACCCTGTCTACTCTAGCATATTGATTTAAGGCATGGCCAAGACCAAGTTTTTCAATTTCTCGAAGTTGGGTGTACCAAATCCAGTGACTGCAATTATTATCAACGTGTACACACGAAGTTCGTTCGCCATGTTCATGAACTCACCAGGATCCCATCCAATCGTCGCCTGCGTAAGATCGTCACATCAATCATACAGCTGAGGAGACGTGAATATGACATACATTGAAGCCTTCAGTTTGACATCCTGGGTTGCGACCCTCGGTAATGTCATTTAATGCCGCATAACCAGCGGAATATAAGAACGGGTTCAAGAAACCAAGAGCAGACTTTTTGGCATTGATACGTGCATCGTTCAGCATGGAAACGAACGCAGTGAATGCGGGCGCGGCGCATGATGTACCAGCCCCTGATGCTGTCTGGCCTTGGTAAATGAACGCGAAGTTCACCGCTTGTGATGATACATCGGGGTATGCCTAGAGAAATATTTGTAACAAAGCCTTTGCATATTGAAAGCCAACTTACACGTCCAGTGCTATAGATGTCAAGTCAGTGTCAATTGTACATAGCACGTTCATCGGTGTGATGACTTACGAGTTATAGAGACCTTTATAGGTGCCGGGAGCGAGCGATGCCAAATACGCCGAGACAGCAGCATCCTGGTACGAGGGACGAGGAAACTAGCATGAATGTATTCTATCAGTCAGGAGGTGTTACGGAGGGCAAAGATCACGCACATAGTTACTGAAACCACCACCAGAGAAGTTGGCCGCAGTCTCGGGGATGTTGACAGTTCCACCGACAGCGGTAACGCTTGGCAATTGGTCATTTTTGGCCTACTGCTCATCCACATATGTAGGTCACTTACTATGGGCAAGAAGCCGGGAATACAGGGAGAAACATTGGGGTTTTACGACCGTCGTTGGAATAACACTGGTGTCCGAAAGCCTGAGCGGGATAGGCATCGCCATCACCCACACCGCCGTCACCAGAAGAGAACATCACTGAGACACCACGAGCTCCGAGTGCTGCCATACCATCGCAAACACGAGTGGCGTAGGAGTGTGGGACGCTTTGCTCGTCATCACCATAACTTGTGGAGATTGACTGAGGAAGTGTGTCCTGCGAAAGAACATATTCAAGCCACTGAATATCATGGTTGTCAGGACAGTACATTGCAACCGCAATGGCTCGAACACACGTATGAGTAGGGCTCGTTCGTATCACTCGTCGTCAACAAATCGGGGTCAAAAGGGGGCTCCCCACCAGTTGAGTAAAACGTTCCTGGGGTGGGCCAAGTGAGTCCAAACCCGAACTGAGTGTCGATGTTGGCCTCCATGCCTGCGTCGCTCTGGTTGTTTTTGCCACCTAAGAAACTCGATAATAAGCAGTCACCGACAGTAACTCAATCTCGACATACCCTTGATGGACACAAAAGTGTAGTTTGAACCCTGAGCAGATGGGTTCTGAAGCTGATAGAATTGCTGCAGGTCCATATTGTTAGCATACTCCTCGAGGTAACCAGTGATGCCCAATTTGTTGCCATTGGTGGCAGACGTGCTGTAATCCACCGCATTATATAACTGTCTCAAGCACGAAATGGTGACCGTGTTGTTGCAACTCGCATCGACTTGATTGCCTGCTGGCCCTGTGATCGTTCTAACAGACGGGCTCGAGACTGCGGGCTGCACCTGGTTAGTCCAGCGGAGTGTGCTTTTGAACGCCTTGAAGCGAGCGAACATGGTCGTAGGCTGAATGAGATCAACATGCTCGTGCAAGATCTCAGGAAGACTGTAGCTTGTGGTCCGGACGATGCTCTCTCCAGTCTGAGTGTGCTTGTAAACATGGTATGTCTAGACATCTCCCGGTCAATGATCTGCGATCTCCAGAAATGAGTTTGCGTTGCTCACGGTATCCAGCATCTCTTCTGCAAGGCCGACCGGGACACGAATAGTGACCCAATCGTTTGCAGATGAACGGATGACATCTTCTTCCACCAGACCGTGTGAGGCAAGCCATTCGCTGACCACATCCAGAGTCTCGGGATGGGGAGCCATGAGTGCTTCGGTCTCCTGCTTCGACAGGTGCGCCCCATAACGTGCATGGCTCGGGTCGCTTATTTCCCAGAGGTGCTGCTCGAGTTCCGGGAACTTGGGCTGAGGCAGAGCGATCTTGAGCTCGAGCATGTGGTGCTTGGACGCGGGAACATCCTTGTACCATCCGCGGGGTGGACCATGGATACTCTCTTTCACCTTGTGCTGGCAGCCCTTGAAGGGTACTAGGGCACCAGCAACAGCAGCCGCGAAGGGCAGAGTGAGCAGAGTGATGGGCCTCATCGTCAGTACACCGAACGGTAGGAAAACGCTTCGAGACTCGCTGGAAACTATTGCATCTTATACAAGAACGTAAAGCGAATAATATGCTAACTTACTTGGGCTTTAGTACTACACCGTATGTTGTACTTCGGGCCCTTTCGGCAGCCGTCCATTGTCATTTACTTGCCGGCATCAGCAAATGCGACTTTATTCGAAAGCACTCACAAAACGCTCGTGTGTATATTCTTTTTGGTTTAGTTCAAGTTTGCGTTCGTAAGCACACATTTTTGGTTATATGTTCAGCATCTCCACCAATCGCATGAGCGCGCTACTGAAGTCGTAAGCGTTCATTTCAGTGGTTTTGCGGATGGGCCTGTCCGTTTCATCAATTGAAACGAACGAACGTTACATAAAATGAATGCTCCTTGAAGGGTCGTGCCTGCCGCGCCAGCGAGAGCAGTTGCAAAGGACAGACTGAGCAGCTCTGTCAGAGTGATCCTCAAACCGTCAGTACGCAACGATATGGGAATGCTTCAACACCCACTCGCTAGTAGATGCTGCGCAGGCATCGTTATCACGATGTACGAGAACCATAAACTTAAAGCGAATATGTGGCGGCACACCCCGTACCACCGTCCGGCAAGTGCAACCGTCCGTTTTCGTTCGTTTGAAGCGAGAGAATGTTACTGTAAAGTGATACTCGGACGAGACATAGATGCAGCAAACAAACACATAAGGTTAGGTATTCCAGTGGAATGGACTACTCCCGGGCTCTTGCCCTGGACTCTACGAGCAGGAAGCAATGTAGCGCTGGACTACTGCTCCACACGCGACTACTATGACCCTCCTCGGCTAGCTCTGCTACAAACACCGCCAAACCCTGCAGTCACCTACACCCCTAGGGGCCCCCACTCCACCAGTCTTTCTTTTTGATCGACTTGCAACAAAATCTATCGACAGGAAATAAATAAAATTGATTGTAATTCTAAGATGAGTCCGATGAGGGGGAGATAGTGGAAGAGCCATAGTGCCAGTGGGGGCTCGAGTCACCGCAGGCTCCAGCGAGAGGTCGCACAAGAACGTAGGGGAGTCACTAGGCTGGCGGGAGGGTGTGAGAGATGTACTCGAGCGACAAGCGTGTGGTAGCCCAGACTCCAGAGCTGTGGGACGCTTAATGTCGTGGTGGCCAGTGCCAGGCAGGTTATACCCTGAGTCTGCGGGAGAGCAGTTGGCTAATCAAGGGGCGTGGGAGTTTCCAGCTGGGCAGTACCGGGGTGCGGGGGGTCCATGGTAGCGACAGGAGGCGTAGTCGGGGGTTGAGAGTTGCTCCAGGGTAGTAGTATTGGAAGGAATAACTATCTTCCATCGTCTATATAGGGCTGGCTAGGGGAGACTAGGGCAGCAGTGGGCAGCGATGATTGCTCGCTGCTGGTAGTAGTCGAGATCCTGCGGGGTGGGCATCGGCAGCAGGAGCCTGCCTGAAGTTGGGTTAGAGAAGGGAGAGCACGAACGACCGATATTAAATGGAAGAGGTAAGATGCATACGGTGACCAGCGCGATGTAGGTGAATAAAAAGGACGTACCGTTATCTACCGTAGTGGAACAATCAAACCAACAAATTCAAATTCCGGCTATTCCGAATGTATTCGTTCGTTCCTACATGAATCTCTGATACCTACACTTAGATACATCTTAAATATGCCTCTAGTATATTCATTCAAGGCATGGCCAAGACCAGGGCCTTCAACTTCTGGAAGTTGGGTGTGCCATGCCCAGTGACTGTCATGATGATCAGCATGTGGACATGTAATAAGTTTGTTTGTCACATCCATGAACTCACCAGGATCCCATCCACCCGTGGCCTAAATAACGGGATCAAATTAGTCATGCAACTGGAAGGTACATGGACATGTCATACATCAAATCCCTCGGTTCCACACCCTGGGTTTTTGCCATGGATGATATCATTTAATGCCTTGTAGCCAATGGAATATAGGAACGGGTTCAGAAAACCAAGAGGGGCCTTTCCAGCATTGATGCGTGCGTCGTTCAGCATGGACACGAACGCAGCGAATGTGGGCGCAGAACAGGATGTACCAGCTACTGGAGTGTTCTTGCCTTGGTAGACGACGGAGAAGTTGTTCGCTTGCGCCTGCCACGTCGGGGTATGCCTACAGAAATGTTAGGCGTAAGATCCTTACATGCGGAAGAGGTCGCTTACACGCCCGGAGCTACAATTTGGCGAGTCAATGAGGGCATATTATGCGGCAGATCATTGCGACCTACGAATTGTAAAGGCCCTCATAGGTTCCGGGAGCGAGTTTTTCCAAGTACTTTGAGACGGCAGCATCTTGGTATGCAGGACGAGCGAACTGGTGGAAGCGACTTGCTGTTAGTTGATCAATGGACAGTGATAATACTTGGTGGGATGAAGTTGCTCACATAGTTGCTGAAGCCACCACCCGAGAATAATACGGCAGTCTCTGGGATATTGGAAGTACCACCAACAGCAGTCACGCTACACTCGATTTTTAGCCGATGTACTTCTTGATGGTACAACTCACTCACTATGGGCAGGAAGCAGGGAAAGAAGGTATGAATTTCGTGATATTACGCCCGTCATTGGAGTAGCACCTTTGTGTGGCAGGGTTGGCATTACCATCACCAACACCATGATCACCAGAGGCGAACATCAGAGAGACTCCACGAGCACCGAGAGCTGCCATGCCGGCGCAAATGCGGGTCGCGTAGGTGTACGGGACGCTCTGTTCGTCGTCAGCGTAACTGGTAGAGATAGACTGAGGAATTGTATCGTGTGAAAGAACGTGTTCAAGCCACTGAAGGATCATGGTCGTTAATACATTGAACTGCGATCGCGGTCGCTCGAACGTACGTATGAGTAAGGCTCGTTTGTATTAGTCGCCGTGGCGGTATCAGGGTCGAAAGGGGGCTTGCCACCGGTCGAGTAGAACGTGCCAGGAGTAGGCCAGGTGAGGCCAAATCCGAACTGAGTGTCAAGGTTAGCCTCGAGACCTGCCGCCAGATAGCTCTGGTTGTTCGTTCCACCTGTGAAGTATGAGTCACCTAACTATGGAAAAAGCCAGATTGCAGCATACCGTTAATGGAAACAAAAGTGTAGTTTGAACCATAAGCAGATGGATTTTGGAGCTGGTAGAATTTCTGGAGGTCCACGTCGTTGGCATATTGCTCAAGATAACCAGTGAGACCCAGCTTGTTGCAGTTTGTGGCAGATGTCTTGTAATCCACCGCATTATACAACTGCCTCAAGCATGAGACCGTGACCGTGCTGTTGCAATTTGCATCAACCTGATTACCTGCTGGCCCTGTGATCGTTCCGCCGGATGCGCTCAAGACCGTAGGCTGCACCTGGTTAGCCCAGTGCAGCGTGCTCGTCAACGCCTTGAAACGGGCGAACATGGTCGTAGGCTGGATGAGATCGATGTGGTCGTGCAATACCTCGGGGAGACTATAACTCGTCGTCCGGACGATGCTGTCTCCAGTCCGAGTATGCTTGTAGATATGGTATGTCTAGACATCTCCCGGTCAATGAACTGCGATCTCCAGAAATGAGTTTGCGTCGCTCACGGTATCCAGCATCTCTTCTGCAAGGCCGACTGGGACACGGATAGTGACCCAATCGTTTGCAGATGAACGGATGACGTCTTCTTTCACCAGGCCGTGTAAGGCAAGCCATTCGCTGACCACATCCAGAGTCTCAGGATGGGGAGCCATGAGTGCTTCGGTCTCCTGCTTCGACAGGTGCGCCCCATAACGTGGGTGGCTCGGGTCGCTTATTTCCCAGAGGTGCTGCTCGAGTTCCGGGAATTTGGGCTGAGGCAGAGCGATCTTGAGCTCGAGCATGTGATGCTTGGGCGCGGGAGCATGCTTGTACCATCCGCGTGGCGGACCATGGATGCTCTCTTTCACCTTGTGCTGACAGCCCTTGAAGGATACTGCACCAGCGAGAGCAGCCGCAATGGGAAGACCAAGCAGAGTGATGATTCTCATCGGTAGTATGCAACAATCAGGAAAGGCTTGTTGCACTCACAGGCTGAAGTTGATTCATTGTTATATACGAGAACGTAAAGCTAATACGCGAGGTGTTAGTTCACCCAAGGTTTACCCGAATAAACCATGCTGGAGTCCATCCTCCGTCTGGACTCCGCATGCGCTGCTGCTCGGGGCCTTTGTTCACATGCGGGCCCCAGAAGATGAATTAAATGGGCGGAGGCAAGGTTCTGGCACGACAAGCATCCGATTGTCGGTCAGAACAGGCCTGCAGGGGTGTCGTCCCTGCGATTTTCCCAGTGTTTTGGCAGAACTCCATGGTTCTCCCAGGCAGATGGATGCTATAGGCAAAGTATAACAGATCAACGGATAAATCACGTCTGCAACCACCTTACCGTCTGCGTTCGCACCAGGTAAAGTGAAGCCATTATCTTTGAAAGACATACCATGGTTGTACTCAGTATGTGAAGCACTGCCAGTAATCTCCCAGTAGACACATTCGAAACGTTTGCTAACATTCGAGCAAATCTTCGCTACCACTGTACAGTGTAATAGTCATCCAACGGTTTTCAATGTAGGCTAGTGGCAAGCCAATTCGTCGATGCCATGCGCACATGTATATCAGTGCTGAGACGGGTTCCAACATTGAAGTTGCCAGCAGGAGTTTGATGCTGGTCAACCACACGACCCTGAAACGCAAAGGGTCATCGGCGATGACGGCCGATCTCACTAGTCCGGAATCTAATCTCTCCCTCGAGGACACCGGCGCAGCCTTGTCCGGAACCGGAGTAGTGGCGGTCGGTGAAAATGAGGTTTTGCGAGGCAAAGTTTTGATGATTTTGTGGAATTGATGGAGCTGACTAACGTGGCTTGTGTCACCAAATCTTGACCAAATCTAATTGAAGAGGAAATCACGTAGTGATGGATCGCGGCGACGGACAACTTCAGACAATATGAATATTTGAAACCCGCTGCGCGGCTCGTCTTGTCAAGGAGCTCGATCGATTGATTATATTCAGTAGTTAGCTTTCGCTATCACTAACAATTCGTTAATATACAAAGATGTAGTGAGATCATCCATCAAAACCACTTCAATAACCCAACGTGATAGGCAGCCGCGCATCTGGTATTTTCGTTCGCACTTGAGAGGGCGTCAAGCAGTCGCTACTTCGCGAGGTAGCGAGATATGCCTAACAAACCTGTCACGTCAAGAGACCTTGCAAATTATGAATGTGAAAAGACAGACTTACCTCCTAAGCAAGTTCAGCAAAGAATCCGACGGTGAAGAGACGTTTTCGAGCATCTTTGGAGTAAGTTAAGTGAACTGAACAATTTGACCGATGTCCTGGGTTGCCGTGTGCAACGAGTTCAATCTATTGGGTCTGGTTAGGGGAGACTAAGTTCAACTGGCACTGGAAGACAATCCATGACTTACCTCAGCCATTTAAAAGACCTCACTGCGGGATGGCAGCGTCAGTCACCCACTACATCATACTGTGCATCAGGCCTACCATTGAATGCAACTCGACGTACAACTAGCGTCGCGCAAAAATGAAAGAGGTACGGTGCTAAAGGTCTCCCTCAAATTCGACCAGACACAACTTGCCTAATACCTATCTAGTGGTATTTGGACTCGGAGGGAGGTCTGATGGCACACAGCTCGGCCGCGCGGACAGTGTTCGCAACCAAGTGCCACTATAGTATTACCATCCATTGAGTATACAGTGACTGCAGAAATGTGAGCCTGGGCTTGCCTCCAGATGCTCCCGTACGTGCTCGATATGTCCAAGTTCTGGTATGGCTCAATGAAGTCCACAAGACTGAACCGATCACATAAAAAGGTCGAGCAATGTTGTGCAAAAAAGGACCCGAAGTAGAGATTGCACGATGGTCGAGGGCGAAAAGCGCGTGCAAGAGAACAAATGGAGCGAACCAACTTGAAGAGCGTTCCTGTTTTCGGGACAGACCTTGAATTTATACTTTGCGCATGTTCTAATGACGTGTGATGCTAGAGAAAGTGATGTAGAGTAAGTACATTACTATATCACTAGTACTGTGGGACGTTGAAGACGGGGACTTTGCAGCATGGTATAAGAGTGGAGCAACTTGGAGCTTCCCAAAGTTGAATTTACACTCGGTATTCGTGGACGTACTTAACAGGCGCAGGCGGCTTGAGAAGTTTGCGCCCTGGCACGCGAGACGCACGCGGGTGGACGATGCTCCGAAGTGGAGCTGATCACGGGGAAATTGACGGTCCTGCACTGGATTACCTAAGCGTTGCTAAAAGCGGAGGAGGCGCGTCTGGCGGAGCTGGTGGTTCGAAGGAGTCGCGTCTGGGACGAGCTGTGGACGGAAAATTCTGGGGACGGTCGGCGTAGGTAGAGCGGTCGAAAATGTAGTTTCGCTGAGCTTCCGAAGCGCTTCCTGCGGTGCGATCGCGCTGCAGAGAGCTTGCACGATGTTTCGCCACCGTGCGGAGTCCTGGTAAGTGGGTGACTTCCCGTAAGGTTTTACAGACAAATTTCTGTTAATCCTCAGTGCCTTAGCCGAATAGCCGCGCTGGATTTGGAAGGTAGCTGTCAACGCCTGTCAAACGGTTGCTCTCGCACTCGTCTGTAAATCTGCCAATCTGTGGAGGGGTAGCTACCCCTCTGTAGATTTCTGTAAATTGTCGGAGTGCACTAAATGTCTGATTCGGGCAATTTTCTTACTCTGTTTAGATGGCTCGCTCCCGGAATTGTCGTCCGGATCATTGGTGTTGTTCCCAGTCCATCGTCTTGCTGAGTTCTTACGGTTTACAGATTCTGTCCGTAAATTAGCCGATGTCGAGCGGTCAAACTTTTACAGACAAGCTTGTTTCTGTAAATTCTTACGGGAAGTCACCCAGTGTTGCCGAGCGGGATTCAAAAGGACTGCAAATTTCTCACCTGAGGACCGTCAATTTTCCAGTCCAAACGTGCTGATCCCACTGGGCCACGCGCACAAAGTGTGCGGTTCTCCGCGAAATTCTGACGGCTGCAGCTTCGAGTCGAGAAATTGACGGTCCCAACTCCGCTCGGGTTTCCAGTCCCAATGCCAGCAGCCACAAATTCGCGGCAACCGTCCTGGCAGCGTGCTCGCCTCGCCAGCACTTACCATACAGTGCTCATTCTGACCTCCGAGACGCATTTTATTGAGTGTAGATACTTCATGAATACATCTTTTCGCCCATCTCAGGACTGTACATCCCAGGACTGCAAACCCCACCAAAAGGACCGTTAATTTTTCTTACGAATAAGTCAAGATATGATTACATGTTGTGGATGTGGGCTCTCGTATAAATATTGTCCAATATAATTTAGTTTCTAGATTCTATGTAATCTGATGCCGTTCCGCTGTACACCATACTCTCGACGTCAGAAGTGGTCATTCTGTGATTTCTGCCAATTCACGGAGCTCTTCAAGGCAAAGATGCGCAGGTGGAAATACCATCGCCTTCCTACTGCAAATTTTGCCCAATTTTGTTTTGTGGTTCAATTGCTTGGTCTTCGGGTACCTCTTGCCCACTGGTCCTGTGAAGCATTGAAGGAGTCACGATGCACTTAGATGCATCTTAATATTATGATTCTAGTATACATCTTAAGACATGTCAGCGCGCCAAGCGCAGTGCAGGTAAAGCGCTCCGTCCTTACATTTTATAGATATCTAGGGCATGGCCAAGACCAAGTCCTTCAACTTCTCGAAGTTAGGTGTGCCGTATCCAGTGACTACAGTGATAATCAGCATGTAGAAATGTCATTTGCCTTCACAAACTCACCAGGATCCCATCCAACAGTGGCCTGCATACGGGTATCACGTTAGTAATGAGACTTAAGGGGTGCGGACATGACACACATTGAAGCCCTGAGTTCCACATCCTGGGTTCTCACCATAGGTAATATCATTTAGTGCTTTGTAGCCACTGGAATATAAGAACGGGTTCAGAAAACCAAGAGGAGCCTTTCCAGCATTGATGCGTGCATCGTTCAGCATGGACACGAACGCAGCGAATGTGGGCGCGGCACAGGATGTGCCAGACACTGACGATGTCCGGCCTTGGTAGATGACGGAGAAGGTGAGCGCTTGCGCTGCCACGTCGGGGTATGCCTACAGAAATGTTAGGCGTAATATTCTTACATGCGGAAGAGGTCACATACACGCCCGGAGCTGCGATGTGGAGAGTCAATGAGGGCATATTATGCGGCAGATCATTGCGACCTACGAATTGTAAAGACCCTTATAGGTCCCGGGAGCGAGTTTTTCCAAGTACTCTGAGACGGCAGCATCTTGGTACGCAGGACGAGCGAACTGATGGAAGCGAATCACTGTTAGTTATCAACGGGCAGTGATAATACTTGGTGGGATGAAGTTGCTCACATAGTTGCTGAAGCCACCACCCGAGAATGTTACGGCAGTCTCCGGGATACTGGTAGTACCACCAACAGTGGTCACGCTACACTCGATTTGTAATCAATGTACTCCTCAATGGTACAACTCACTCACTATGGGCAGGAAGCAGGGAAAGAAGGTATGAATTTCGTGACATTGCGCCCGTCATTGGAGTAGCACATTTGTGTGGTAGGGTCGGGATCACCATCACCAACACCATGATCACCAGAGGAGAACATCAGAGAGACTCCACGAGCACCGATAGCTGCCATGCCGGCGCAAACGCGCGTCGCGTAGGTATGCGGGACAGTCTGTTCATCGTCACCGTAACTGGTAGAGATCGTCTGAGGAATTGTATCGTGCGAAAGAATGTATTCAAGCCACTGAAGGATCATGGTCGTTAATACATTGAACTGCAATCGCGGTCGCTCGAACGTACGTATGAGTAAGGCTCGTTTGTATTAGTCGCCGTGGTGGCATCAGGGTCGAAAGGGGGGCTGCCACCGGTCGAGTAGAACGTGCCGGGAGTCGGCCAGGTGAGGCCAAATCCGAATTGAGTGTCAAGGTTAGCCTCGAGACCTGCCGCCGCATAGCTCTGGTTGTTCGTTCCACCTGTGAAGCATATAAATCACCCAACTATGGAAAAAGCCAGATTGCAGCATACCGTGAACGGAAACAAAAGTGTAGTTTGAACCATAAGCAGATGGATTTTGGAGCCGGTAGGATTGCTGGAGGTCCCTGTCGTTGGCATATTGCTCAAGATAACCAGTGAGACCCAGCTTGTTGCAGTTTGTGGCAGATGTCTTGTAATCCACCGCATTATACAACTGCCTCAAGCATGGGACCGTGATCGTTCTGTTGCAACTTGCATCAACCTGATTGCCTGCCGGCCCTGTGATCGTTTCGCCGGATGCGCTCAAGACCGTAGGCTGCACCTGGTCAGTCCAGTGCAGCGTGCTCGCCAACGCCTTGAAACGGGCGAACATGGTCGTAGGCTGGATGAGATCGATGTGGTCGTGCAATACCTCGGGGAGACTATAACTCGTCGTCCGGACGATGCTGTCTCCAGTCCGAGTATGCTTGTAGATATGGTATGTCTAGACATCTCCCGGTCAATGAACTGCGATCTCCAGAAATGAGTTTGCATTGCTCACGGTATCCAGCATCTCTTCGGCGAGGCCGACTGGGACACGGATAGTGACCCAATCGTTTGCAGATGAACGGATGACATCTTCTTCCATCATGCCGTGTGAAGCAAGCCACTCGCTGACCACATCCAGAGTCTCGGGATGGGGAGCCATGAGTGCTTCGGTCTCTTGCTTCGACAGGTGCGCCCCATAACGTGGGTGGCTCGGGTCGCTTATTTCCCAGAGGTGCTGCTCGAGTTCTGGGAATTTGGGTTGAGGCAGAGCGATCTTGAGCTCGAGCATGTAGTGCTTGGGGGCGGGAGCATGCTTGTACCATCCGCGGGGCGGACCGTGAACGCTCTCTTTCACCTTGTGCTGGCAGCCCTTGAAGGGTACTGCAGCGCTAGCGAGAAGAGCTGCGAAAGGGAGCCCAAGGAGAGTGATGACCCTCATCGTCAGTGCGCAATGCACAGGAAATACCAGTGCTCACCAGGACTTGATGCATCGCTGTACATATACGAGAATGTAATTCACCATGCCAATGAAGTACGTAAGTATTGAATATTCAATCATTAGATTGACGTGGCCGACGCTCTCTCCGACACTGCATGGTGTCACAGGCGCTTCGTCACGTCTTGATGCAAGCTTGATGAGCCTGGGACAATGTTTGGCCGATATTAAATTGGTGACGCGAGCGTCTGTCCGAACCAGCGTCAACTTTCAAATTCAACATACACCGCCGATCTGCAACTTTGCCTAGTAGTATGGTGTGTTGCAGAGTTGTAGTACTATAGTACTAGTGGTGGATCGGTTAATGAGGTTAACCGTTAATTATAATCTAGCCACTAGGAAAATGCTGCGTCACTGCTAACTTCTACTTTGACCTTCCAGCGTCTTCCAAACGAGCTACCATTGGAGTCGAACGTGCGTCGGTCTCTTCATGCATTCACACTCTTGCCGCTTCGTCATATCCGAGTCTGGGGTTCCAGGTCACTTCCTCGACCCCAGCAATCCGTTATTTCGGGCTTTGACGTGGCAAGGGGATGAGGGAAGAAGGTATGGACGAGGAGAGAATCATCAGAGAGGCCTTCCCAGGTTTTGGGCAGGGACAAGGACAAAACCGTCGATCGATGGATCGGCCTGTGACCAGGTGCAATCATTTGGCGCTTGTAGTCTGGAACTACCGCACCCATTTGCAATGTAATGAGTTTTATCTTATCATTCCTTCAGCTTTCTACATTCTCATGCTAACAGACTGCGTGATTGTATTGTATATCCTCGCCTGAGCAGCATGCATGTTGGCGCTAATTACTCATATCCAGACGAGTCACTCGTGGTGAACCATGTCTGCCAATCCATATGTTTTAGTTACTTACAAGCTACTCATGCACTACATGTGCAATGCAAATTATGATGCAAAACCCACTCACTGCGGAAACGAGATTTTATCCCTATAGGGTTGAAGTAGAAGTAGTAATGATAAACACACCATAACCAGATAGTTGTGAATGTGGGAATCCCCAGGGCCTAACGTCGAGAAAGGTGACCGTTCCGGCCTCAATCCCGAGGTGGGTTAGGCAACATGTGCTAGGATGGGATGGCTGCCCTGGCACCTAACCCGATATCGGAATCACATCTGGATACTAGTTATGGGGATCCGCTTTTGATCTGAATATTAGAGTGAGCTAGGTCTAATTTGCTTCTGAATATCAGGTAAATCGAAGTCTGATTAAGGTAGAGATATACAACACGTCTTCTATGATGCTTCTTGGGATTCGCGCTCCCCATGGCGCGCCATCCTGGGTAGTAATTGATCCCTTCCCTCCCTCTCCTCCTTCCAGTGCCAATGTTTGCAACTACTCAAGGTTCTCAACGCCGCCCCAGTGGTGCAGTAGCAAATGCAGTTGAAAATGCTGGAGGAATGCGTCAGGATAGTCAACAGCAGATGACCGAACCTTACCGTGCCCTGCCAAAATCTGTGCCTCGCCAGTCGCCGCTATTCATTGGAAACCACGGGCTGCCGCAGCTGTGATGAGTTTTTTTCAGATGGTCTACAACAGGATGCATCAAAGGGAGTGAGCACTTGGTTTTGATTATGACGAATGAACATATCCCTTACCTTGTGCAGCCTGTAGACCGGTATATGGGAGCCTTCCCAGAACATCATAATGATGGACTTGGACGACTTCCGAGCCCACACCAGTCACCAGACCTACATCCCCAGGGGCAGAATGCATATGGAGGTGGGCAACAAACACCAGCGCCGTTGATGAGACCAGTAGCTATGCCCAACTACTCGTCAACCTCAAGTTCTCAGCGAGGGGAAACACCTTACAATGGCCACAATTCACACACTCCATTCACAGGCAGTGAGCCATTGTCCCGATCGCAGTCGCAGGTGCCCAGTGGAGGTAGCCGTGAGGGGTATCAGCAACTCTACTCAGCATATTGTCAGCTGCAAGCAGCACCACGAATGGATCCTTACTACCAGTGCCCTCAAAATCCACTTGAAGATCAAATTCATGATTTGAACTCAACCGTCGCACGTCTCATCTCTGATATTGCCAGACTTAACGACTTGAACAAACACCTGTTGGATTCCGTTCAACGTGTTTGTCTCGTTAATGCGCAGCTCTCGGTTGCAAATGAAGAGCTTACAAGAGAAGTCAACTGCACTCAAGGAAGTTGTGAAGGCTCTACAAGTCGAATCAGAGAAGCCACAGAAGAAGGGCCACCCTGAGGTAAAAGTAAGCATACAGAGAAAATCCTGCGTAAATGAAACTCACGTGTCAAACAGCGCTTGGTCCAGCCTTTGTTCTCCGATCGATGTGGAATCGAATCGTCCATGGGGAGGAACAAACGTACCGAAGTGTTAATAATGCAGGTGAAACCGTTAGCAAATGGTAGCGCTTACGAGAAGCGTCAGGGTGAAGGAGGTACAGCGGATGAAGGAGCAGATGATAAGATCTGGCACCCCAATTGGTTAGGTCAAGTCGATGATGACGTGAATGTCAAGTTCATTGAGGAAATAGTCAACCGCGTCTACAACAATGAGAAGGTATGAGTCCCAGAAGTCTACAGAGTCGATACTCACCTATTGTCCCAGCATTGTCGTGAAAACGATCATCTAAAGGTGGAGATCCCTGATGATGACTTCGACAAGAAAGTCATTACCCAGTGTACGAAGGATTATTTTAGAAACCTACACAAGCAGGCTATGAGCAACAGCGACACCTTGAAAACCCAAAAGGCTAATCAGAAGAAGGAATACGGGCGCCAAAGGGCACGACGTCAAACAGTAAGTACTGCACCCCCCACATAAATGATCTGACGTACCCAAACAACCAGGTTACCAAGAGCCGTCGTGCAGCTGCGCTTATCTATGAGAAAGAGACGGGGAAGGAGGGTGCAGTCGCAATGATTGACACCGATTTCGCATCAGACATTTTGTCTTACTTGGAAGACGACTTGAGCGAAAATACATTAACCAGGCGGATGAAGTCAGGAGCAGGGAACTCAGCAAATATGGTTGTGGGATTGGAGTGGCGATCTGTGGATGTAAGTCCCTCGCGTCTAGGCGTGGTTATAGCTCACTGAAGATAAATCAGTATGTTTCATTTTTGCGCTTCCTCACTTTGCGACAAATGAAGGGGAACAACAAAGCCACCACTGCGAGTGCATCTACTAATGAAACAAGTACCTCCCAGCCTCCAAAAAAGCGTCGCAAAACTGCAGAAGGGAGCACTAGGTCGAAGAGAATCGTGAAAAAGACATTTGACATCAGCCCAGAGCAAATGAATGAGGACACACCATTGTCTGCCAGAAAGAATTTGCCATTTGACAACATGGTTGCCGACAGCTGGAAGAACAGCCACCCAGATATGGAGATGCTTGAGGGAGTTCCATGGCTTAGGGGATTCTGGGCTTCGTTGACAAGAGATGACGTGATAAAGGAGGACTACAAGTACTTGGAAGAGCTGGAGGAATGGCACAAACAAACGGGGATGAGGGAGATGAGAGCAGTGACCGAAGAATTATCTTGAAAGCCTGTCATGTATCAGTGTCGATAACTATGCCAATCAATTGATAGTGGTCAACAGTCCAGAAATAGTAAGTTATGATGAGCGGAAAACATACCTTTAAGATCAATTGTCGCCCAAACTTTCGTTCTGTCCTTTCCAATTGATACCGTGGTCATTCCCAGGTGACCAACGATCCAGTCAGGGTCGATAAGGGGTGGGAGTTGCGTCTCTCGGTCCTTATACTCTCCCAGTTGCCATAGGCGCACATCAGCTGAATAGCTGGGTAAAAAAATATCAATCTCTAACCTGAGAGATATGATGTTTGACTCACAAATCGTCCCAAACTTTTTCACACTCTCCCCTCCAAGGTACAAACCAGCGCATGCGGGCAAACCAGAGTGAGTCATCCATGTTACGAAACCTCTGATCGAACTGAAATATTTCGAGAACCTCGCCGTAAGCATGAATCACGGTTGTACCAGGGATGACGACATGAACGAGAGAAGAGCAGTTTGTCCCAACAGTTCTAGAAGCATAATAACGCTTACTATTAATCACGACATAGTCAAAAAAGACTGCGTCACGATCAAGTGGGATGCTATGAGGTACAACAGCATGGTCGAACCGACAGTGAACCTGAGTCAAAGGAAAATGATAGCAAAGGGTGGATGCGAGTAGTCAATAAGTCTCAGTAGACATTGCTTGCTTTCGGTGTCGAGGACTAAGTGAATAAGCCTGACCGGCTAAATATGTTTCCTGAGATGGTTGTCATGACGTGACACGAGGGAATTCAACATACCATCTGCACCAGCATCATCGAGGTCTTTCGACAACGCTGCAAGTCCAGCAACAGTTCCCCTTTCATCGTTGGATGCCTTCAGCATAATCGATGCTGTCTGGCTCGGAAGGGAATCCTTGGGATAATGTTGTAATGTGTACGTCTATAGACATCATTACTTAGTTGCTGAATACATCAGAGATCGACCAACTTACCAGTTGTCCGAGCTCACAAGTCCGGTGAAACTCCATGAAAAAGGTTGTTTCGAGTGCACCGTTCGAATGGTTGTTGCTCTTGTACGATTTTAACAGCTTGTTGAGGCGCTCGAACAGGAAAGTCCAGAAATCGTGCAGAGGGCCAAAATTGCGCACACAGGCACCGATGTGGGTCGCAAAGTGATGGTTAGGTTTGAGCGAGCCTGAACCATACAGCTTGTAGTCAAAACATGTCAGTAAATGTCGATTAAGTGAGGAAGACTTACATGTATTAGCTCGGTGGTGTATTCAGAGATAAGTTGCTCTGCTTGACGTACATCCTGGTCACATAGTGTGCGCTTACTCAGAATGCGCAATGCCGCACATAGCTTTAAGAAATTAGCTGGATCGTCAGGGTGAAGTAAGAATTTTGGTTCTTCTTCATCAGCTGCATCTGTGGTGGGCTCCGTTAGCAGTTCGGATGTGGGAAAGAGGCCTGGTGGTGGTGGTGGTGGTGGTGGTGGTGGCCGTACTTGTCCCTCGGGCAGGTCTTCGACAGTTTGTACAGTTGCTTTGCGCTTTTTTGAGGTCTAATGATGGCTGTAAGCAGGTAAATAACAATGTACACTGCTGTTACCTTCTTGGCTGCGGCCTTTGCTTTCTTTTCGGCTGCAATTCTAACCTTTTCCGCCTGTTTGGCAGCCATCCAGCCGGAGCTTTCCTTGTTTCTTTGCCTCTGACAGTGCAAGCTTCTCGTGGGCAATCCGGGCCTTTTCAGCTTCGAGTGCTTCCTTGCCTTGCTTTTTGGCCGCGGCAAGGGTGGCCTTCTGCTTGGCCTTGGACTTCGCATCAGCCTCCTTATCAGCCTCGGCCTTCTTGATCATGGTGACACATTGACAGCAGAATCTCGTCATCCGTGTCTGTCGGCAGACAAGAGCTCCATAACTGTGGAATCTAATCTGAAAATGAGTCAAGACACAGTTAAGCTTTCAGAAGTACAGTACTATGATTGGACCATAGACAGTAGCGAGGAGAAGCCATTGATCTGCCGTTAGTGAACCACCTGATGGCATACCGATATCAGTCGGTAATTTGCCGCATGATCCTGGGACAACGAACTTGAAATTCAATAGTTGTTAGCCTCAGTAAGGACAAAAGACATGAAATCTTAGCCTTTACATCAGCGAGCATCTCATGGAACACGTCAAGCTCGTGGTTTGGACAGGAGAATCTTCCCCTGGACCCATATGTTGTAGAAGTGTGTCTTAACGAGGCCTGTATCAAGTGAAATCAGCGCTAGATTATAGTAAAGGTGGGACTTACCAAGGTATAGATTATGCATCGGATCGATGATAATCTGTTCGACTAGATTGAAGTACTGGTAGACGTGACAACTGTGTGTACCGGGTAGCATGTTCCTTCACAAAGTTCTTGCGTGCAGTTGCAGTGGTAAGCTGGCGGTAGCTGCTCGCCAAGTTCCCGCTGTTCTTCATTTGTTCGAGGCCTGAAAAGCTGAATAATATTAGCCGATAATAGTCATCCACAACGCCGATAAGATACCTCCTTGTTGGAAAGCCTGTGGTTTGTGTTTATCCGCTATCGTTATCCAACATACCATACAAAAATTAGTATGTGAGTGGGATGCAAATCCACCCAGCTTGTGTGCAGCCGGTTTGTCACAAACAACCGCAACCAAAACCACACGAACAAGGCGACCTGGTACAAGTCATTTCACCCTGTGCTACGAGATTGACACTCGAACGAGTCGAACTTACCTTGCGGACAGGACTCAGTTGGAATTTTGATTCCGGATTTCCAGAGACGCAGTAAGTCTGATATGATGGGTCGTAAGAAACGATGGATTTGGTCCGGATTTTGTTCCTTTGGTCCAGGGAGAATGCTCGTACACATCAGATTAGAAGTGCGATAGCTGCCGTTAGAATTTAGTAAAGTATTCGTAATACCTGGTTGCAAACAACTTACCGATATTCAGGGGGGAGATTACATATCGAGAAGGATGTTGGGGCTGACGAATGTGATGGCGCAATATTACTCCTGATATACGAGAACCTGTCGTACAAATCCCCATGACCTATAAGCAAGACGAGGAGATGGAAAACACGTACCAATCCACACCAAGGTTTACTCCAATGCGTAATTCACCATCTGGGCCATGTTGCTCATGAGGGAGATTTGAAAAGAAGAGTTTGCCGTCTGGATCCTTGAGTTTTGTGCGACATGTGTCGCCATCGAAAATATCAGTATATTTACCAATCGCGCGAGGTTTGCTGCGCCAACCATCAAGCACAGCCTCGATACCGGGAATTTTGAGGAGCGATTTGATCTGTTCGGACAAAGGAAGGTAAGGATACTTGATGATGGGTGTTTTGACAGCACGTAAGTTCCCCCGTTGCGTTGTATCAGGAAGAAAGATGTCAACTCCACAATTTGTGCAGGTATCGTGTGATTTTGTCGACATCGCAGGAGGGAAAACATCGCGGCATGTTGGGCAAACAGGGAGCGTGAAAACGGTGGTGTCGACACCAAGGACACGATTACTGGACTGTAGTGTTACGAAAGGAACATCGATAGTTGGTGTAAGAGCAACGAGGATGCAAGCGAATATCGTTAACAATGCATTGCAAGCAACACGAGGGAGGTGAAACTGGAGGTGCAGCCAAGAGACAACCGCATATATAGTGAGCAAGTGTGGGGGAACATCAGCGAGGTTCCGATCTTCTGTCGCACTAAAACCTTCGTCAGGCGTAAACGGATCAGGGTTATCTTCATCAACATCATTAGTGGCTGCTATCTCGTTATCTTCTTCCTCATCTAAATCATCAAAACATGCATCGACATCGATGTCAAGATGATCTAGATTGTCCTCTGCTTCTTCCAGAGGCTGATTCCCCCCGTGCTGGAGCTCCTCAACAGCTTTTTCGATCTGCCGATCGAACGCGCGTCGTTCTGGGTCAGGTGGGAGGTGATGGGCTTTGTGTGAGGTGAGGGGACGCGAGCCTGAGCCTGTAGCTGCATTATATGCACTGAAGTGGTCGACAGCATCAAGTAGCGCTTCGGGGCTATGGAAGTTTGGACCGAGATTAGGTAGATCAGTACCGTGGGTCATGAGATCGAGGTCTTCTCCAGTAAGAAAACCATAGTCTAGCATCTCCTGCTCGACAGGAGATTCAGAAACACGGCGAGGATCGTGGAATGCAACATCCAGCGATAACGGGGGCAGCAGCTCATGCAAGGGAATAGCAAATCCACGAGGAATAGGACCTGCATCTTGAGTACCAGTAGGCACGATGCGTTCTCCGATGCGCTTGTAGTGGGCTTGTGACGTGTTGGTTTGCGAACGGAGTTCGCTTCGTTCGTGAGCACGAGCTATATGCTCTTGAATAAGTGCTCCGTTGCACATGTGCATTTGGCAATGGCATCTTCGATAACGCACTTTCTTGAGACCTGCAGATGACATGGTAAAGTCAAAGCTGGTTGACGCGTGCTTTCGACGCGTCGGCCCAAAGTCAAAGCACGTGTCACGTGCCCTTGCATTTTGCAGTCGTCGTTCATGATAAACACAAGTTGGGACACTTTACAAGTACTACAATTTGAAGAAAAAAGCTGCAGAGTATTAATATTATCCCTTGATTTCCTTTAATCAATCCTGAAATTTGTGTTTGCGCTGAGGCAAAAGTCAGCAAACGGTGGCATGGACAGAAAAGAATCAAGTACGTACCATGTTGTACCAGCGAGTAAACTCTGCTGGTGTTGCCGGCTCCAGAGACTCAGGCAATTGCTCTATGTCGGACTCCGGTTCGGTCTCGCTATCATCGACCGGCTGTCCAGCGCTACTGGTAAAAGGAACATCAGTGTGTCCAACTGATAGACATATCAAACAAAACATCTCACCGCTTGGATGGGTTGTTTTGCTCACGTACGAGGTCTTTAGTCTCCGGTTCTGACTCCGGTTCTGTTTCGCTATCGTCAACTAGTGCCCGAGTACTAGCCGGTGCTTGAGCAGCATGTCTCTAAAGTGAGCTATTCAGCAACGCGAATTAAGACAACCGAGAAAAACTCACCAGATCTTCAGCAGCTGGTTTCAGCTCCGTTTCTGTTTCACTACTGTGTGTTATCCGAGGTCCCACCTTGATGGACCTTCGCATAGAAATTTCAACAGTCTACATAGTATACAATTAGTTAGCCTTGGTTTAGTTTTACGAACAAACTTACCAAGGGTCCTGGTCTTCTGCACTCGAAAGTGAATTTGAAAGTTTTCAGTCGTGCAGGAAGCTCAAGCTTGATCGTGTCGCTGGTCTGCCATGATAGTAAGTACTTGAGTGATGGACTTGGCCAAAATTTGGAAAAAATTACCTTGAATTAAGCCTATCCTAAGCAGACGTTGACAAGTTGGATTTGCGGGACTGAATAGTCATGGTATAGCATGTATAAACGGAGGTCCAGCAAAGACGTGATGATGAAGTCTGAAAAGCCTCTGTTTACATCTGTTGCTTCAGGCTGAGCGAGCAAAATTTCCGACACCTCAGGATTTACATCTGATTACAAGCTAGGTACGTTTAGAGTCAGTGTTAGACACAGTTGTCTCCCTCGAATTATGGTGGAGCTAAAATCTCGTTTCCGCAGTGAGGTGTGGTGTTGAAGAAGATGGAGAGGCACGGTAGTCCTGTACAGGCATTGGCTGTATCACGGGATGGGTGGTTGATAGCAAGCGGTGATACCAATGGAGAACTCATTGCATGGGATGGGGAAACCGGCGAACCTCTCATCCAAGCTATCCGTGCCCACACCGGTTGGATACTCACCTGTGACTCCCACCTAAGCATGGTAATTATAGGAGATAATGCACGTGTGTCGCACCTGTAAGATCAGGTGGATATAGTGAATCAGAACCTCCTCCAATATCTCCTGGATAGCGAAGGACTTTATACAGTTGTAGGTACGCAGTTGTGTTATTATTATTACCGTACTATTATTAGACTCACGTGATGCGGTTACCGTGCCGTCACTGTGCATAACGCCACATAGTGATGGAAACCTTCGAGCTCGCTGTGCGACACGATGAGCTCGGGTATCTCACTCAAACGTGGTCGGATTGACTGCGCGTTTTGATGAACAGTGCACCAGTAATAATTGCGATAGTGTATGGAATACATGCATGTTCAAGGACGTGTAAATGACCAGTACTACTCTTCTTCAGCATAACCATGAATTCCGAGGCGTGAAAAGTCATCAGCAACAAGGAGAACATCGTGCAAACTTCTAGAAGCTTGTTCCGCTACCTCGTCCTCTTCCTCCTCATCATCCAGGTCATCCTGGGTGTCTACGTCTAAGGGGGATGCGGTGTGATCAACAGGCAGGGGTTCAACAAGCATCTGGGTGGGGATCTGTGCGTTAGCTACACTCGCGCTCTCCCCAGGACTTGTGTCAGCGCTAACACCAGGGGTTAGTGTCCCACTGAAACCTGGAAGCTTTGATATGTCGTAAAGCCGTTTAAGATGACGTGCATTGAAGCGACCTCAAGTGTTTCGGTGGATGGCGATTTGATGTGCAAGGGCTGGGCTGGTGTCTTTTAACTGATCCTCGCATTCCCGTAGATACCTCTCTTCATCATGTATATAGGTCATGAGGCGTCGTACCTCAATATCGAGATGCTTGATCTCTTCACGTGCCCGACACATTTTGAAGTGGAGGTCCATTGCGCTACGAGCAGCAGTCGATGACCAAGGGTGTCGAGACACGTCCGCATGTGTATCACGTAGCAAGTCGAAGTCTGCGAGGAACGCGTACTCTACGACCTCGTCCCACTTAAGCGTCCGGTGGAGAGGGTGCATTGACCCAGCGATAGCATTGTATGTGTTGAGGGCAGTCCTGATGGCGACGGAACGTGTTTGCAAGGCCTTAGCGATATGCTTCCGCAGTTTGTAGCCTTGTTCGGTGTTAGAATCAGCAAGCAAGATACTACCTTTTACTCACCTGTGCCCGCACGGTTCATCCTCGTCAGCTCAAATATGCGTGCAACGATCAATCCTTCAAGACGATCCAGCGCACGCTGGTATTTCCGGTTGGCCACGAGTCTCCCAACCTTCTGCCACTCTGCATCGTGGGGAGTCCAGCGTTTCTCAATCTCGAGCTTGCACTCGAGTGCTTGAACAAGCTTCAAATTCCTTTCATGGTCCTCAAGAGCATGCCGTCAGGCACTCTCGGCATTGCGAGTATTCTTCGCCTGCACATCATATGGCACAGCCTCGAGGTGCGATGAGCCCTGGAAAGCTGTTATCGCAGCGTCCAGAGTTTCCCTAAGCAAATTCAGTCAGCAAGTACAAGGCCCATACCTCAACATCTGAACTCACTCGCTCGCAGTAAGACTAACCAACCTCTGCCAATACTCCATCTGTAGAGTTTCGACCTCGGGTTCTCGTGTCAGACCTTGAAGATATACCTTTTCTTCCTCCAGCCAGTGCTCGAAAACGGTCTCGTCCATAATGTTGAGTTCTCGCATAAGGTTTGGTAGGGTCGCATCCCCGTCATTCACGATGTCAAGCATCTGCTTGTAGTTATTGTACAAAAAGTCGGCTAGCAAACAGAAGGATTATGTCAGCACGCAATCAAGAGTTTGACGACGAAACAGCTTACAAAGATTTGCGTACACTTCAAAATTGTCATTGTGCTCGAAATACGTGTCGATGGCCTGTTGTCTATGGAATACACTTGCATACCATAGTGAAGACGCTAGCGAATTGGATTTTGAGAATGTCCGTTCGCACGTTTCCAGATCCTCGAGGCCCAAACCTTTGATGTAAGTAGTAAGCGAGAAAAGTTGGCACAATCGCCTGTGCGCATGTCCATGGAATGCACCGACAAGGCACATGTGATGCATAGACCGTGCAAGGGGTCCAAGGGAGCTGTTGTCAAGCGTGGTCTTGAATTGACAACCTATGTCATATCCGCCACCCAGATTGCTTCCAAATACATCCAGCAACTTTGAAACAACGGCCAAAGGATACTTTGACAGCTCCCTGCTCTGTACCATATCCACAACAAGCAGAGAGAATCCGTGGCGGCACACGGCCACAAAAATGCCCGTTTCATCATAAACGCCCCATGCTTGCCTCGTCTTTGCGTCGTCCATGTTCTTCCAGCGTCCTTCACACGAGTTCTCGAGATGTACATCCTAATATGTTAGGTATTAGCCGTCGCCGACCCGAATGGAAGGGACCTCTCACCTCATCACCTGCAGTAGTGGAGTCCTGTGCAAACTGATCGACAAAGGTGCGAGATAGGTAGCAGTCACTCACCAGTTGCTGCCCCATTGGAAGTTCCGAAGATGTACTGAGAGAATCGTCAGTATCTAGAGATCTTCGGAGGACTCTTTTTAAAGAGTCGTTACCATCCATGGCATAGAGGATGCTAAATGTTAACTCGCGTTTGTCTGTTAGTGTATACGTACATGCGGGACAGGCGTGTTTCAAGCGCCAATCAGGCGTGTCATGTCGTAATGATTCGGATACCATGGCTGCCACGGAGCGTCAAACTTGAAGATATAAATCAAACGCAATCGAGAATTGACGAGATAAGTGTCTGTGGAAACCAACCTGTGTGTGAATCAGCACGATAAGAACAAAAGAAATCAGAAGACATACGCCATGCAAGTCGCACATGGTTTTGATGAAAGCCTGGATAGACAATTGAGGACTTCTAAGATGCGCTACACGGTATAGATCCAGAGCTTCGGTAGTGATTCCGACAGTTGGTGATATAGGTGAACAAGGCATCACGCCTTGATGAACGAGCGCACTGCTGATAGTGGCGTCTGTTGGTAAGATTCGAAGAATGACTTTCTCAGCGTCTAAAGAACAGCCAGACGTGCCGTCATCAAATAGTAAGCAAATGACAACAGACCGAATCACTCACAGAACACATCTATCACGCTGATCGGCCATTGACCATAGTCAGAGCCACTCTCCAAGCCTAGGCCTTCTCTCTCCAATCTCTCAAAAAACCCTTCCTTACATTTTGCCAGGCTCCACGCAAGGTATGCACTGGTTATCACTGGCAGCTGCTCAGCAAATGCCTTGTTCCTGCGGAGGACACAATCATGACGGGTGCGGTTATCCACGCGTCGAACGCGATTGTTGCTGCTCGCAAAGGTAACGGTGAAATGTCAAGGTAACGATGAAACTCACTCACATTTTCCAAAAGTCTCCTAGAACCTCTCTAGCGAGGTCAGTGAACTCGCCACCAGCATGGCTGATGGAGAGTGGCTCCGTTCCATTGCAGACATCACCAAAGCTGAAGTCATCGCAGTCTTCCTGCCAGCCGTCGATGGTGGTATTATTGTCCTCTTTCAGCGCTTCGAGTGCCCGACGCTCATCCAAACTCATAGCTTTACAACAGGTTTTTTTTTCTTCTTCTAAGTATTAAATTAACATAGCATACCTTGTAGACGTGCTTGCCACCGTTCATTGGAACTTGCCGCTTGCTGAACCAACTGCCTGTGCTTGAGTACTTTGGACACGGAATTGACTGGCAATCCATTGTTGTCCCTCGGTGCCCTGATGTGCTGAATGGATCGCAGAGAGATATTGGTGCGGAATTGCTGGCGTGCTCCACTAGTCCGTGTCATTCAGACGCATCTTATGTTTGTACTACTGTAAAGTCTGATCTATTTTGCACATGACTGATTATCTGTAGCACTCCAACCAAGTCCTTCGTGAGATCACTCCTATGTCAACACCATCTAGTAGCCGCCCTACCGGGGGTGACCATATTCAAGACTTGCGCAATTTGCTGCAAGGGATGACACTATCAGGTGGGTGTTTCACCCATCCAAAAACTAATACACTGACGCTCGATAATAGATTCATCATTCGATACTGTCACTTGGAGCCGCAAGACAACCAAAGAGTCCATAACCCTGTCAAGATCATCGCTCACGCCATCCACGCCCGCCAGCTCTCGTTTCGTTCCAAAGAAAAAGGCCCCCATTTCCCCTTCCACCATAGCTCTCTCTACTGCTACACCATCCCACCCTCAGCCTCAGGCTTCGCCAATGGTTGCACAGACACTCTGCCAAGTTACGGCCGCTGTTCCCATGCCTTGCGACATCCATCCTCCACGAGCCAATCAGACACCCGAGGGATTCTGGGTGATAACGGTTGGGCAAGAAGTCGGCGTGTTTTACCGCTGGTAGGTGTGCTGTGTCTGGGTACCTGTTGGCTTGTGTGGGCTAATTCTTGACGATGTTGTTAGGGCTGACGTTGCTGAACGAACAAATTTTGTTAGCGGTAACGTTCAGAAACGTTACACATCGTTTCAACAGGCATTAGCAGCATATACGGCCGGGTGTGATGAAGGCAGGGTCCGGGCAGTTCCACTGGCAGGTGGCCCTTTCTGGCCATCCACCTCAGAGTCCTTGCCCAACCCTCCTTCACCTACATTGTCTGTGGGCTCATCTGCGAGCTCAGACTCATATGACCTATGGTCGCAGGTCGAAGACTTGACGGAGACAATAAGCCAGCTTTAATATAGTTTACATTGTGCACTGTCATGTATTTAGAATAACAAAATGAAATTGTGCAACGCGCCTTACTCATTATACCAGCGCTATACATTTGTTGGAATATTCACCGTGCAAGGGTGGTTAATGAGAGGGACGGGATTCATTTTTGACGACCGGCATTGAGCAAACAATTGCATCATGCATCAACTGCTACATACAGCCCTGTCATAGTCATAAATGTTCCGCACGGAATCACCACAACATTTTTCAGCTTCGGGTGAAGTATGCATGTCTGCCTCTCCCTAACAAACTCCTCACCTTGTTCAATATTTTTTAACAGTGTTGCATTCACGAGCCCGAGCATCCGTACACTCGAGTTCGCTATCTGTTCACTACTCATTCGCTATTAGTTCACTATCGCAATGTTCACATACACTCGAGTTCGCTATCTGTTCGCTACCCGTTCGCTATTAGTTCGCTATCGCGATGTTCACTATGTGTTCGCAACAATGCTCAGACTGTCGCCTAGACGGCCATCGCTATGTTCACTGTGTGTTCGCTACAATGCTCATGAGGCAGCCTAGAGTCGGGCACACGTGCTGATAGTACCAGTCGTTATAGATTGAATATGATACCTATTTACAATGTTCATTATCTAGTTTCACCTCCATGAATTTTACCTGCGAAACCACGGAAACCAGTAAATCGTATAGTAAAACGCTGTCGTACTTGAGACGCTCCCTGCAATAAGGGCAACTGGTGTGTACAATCCCCCGTATGGCTTCCAAGATCGCCCTCCCCTCCAAAGCATGCATCACACATTGATCAAGGAAAATATCAGTCTCATGTGTCCCCTCCGTGCGAGTGTGTGTGAGCGCTTCCTTGTATGCTTCGCCCCATGTGTCTTCTGACACCAACCACTCCTTTCGCCACCTCTGGAAGATTCTCTTGGTGGAATCTAGAGTTTGAGAGTCACAGGGGCAGGGCAGATCGTTGTCCATTGTGAGCACTGAATCATCATTGGCATCCCAACTAACATCACGGGACAGGTCTTCGCAGTCATCAATTGATGATGCGATGGGTGCTGTTTGATCTTCGGTTTTTTTTTTTTTCTTCCTCCTGTAGATCCGTTGAGTAAATACCCATGGTGATATACGAGTCCTTACCTTGCCCTATTTCTAAAAAAAACATTCGCGTGAGCACGAACAGTAGAGTTGCATGGGGGATGGACTCACAAAGCTGCTCGAGCACGAGCCTTGGCGTTTTGAGCTTCTCGAACTCTGTCCGGGGCCCGGGGGTGGTAAGCAAAATTTCAGCGACTCAAACGATTTGACCTACCCTGGTTTGGAGAGCCAACATTGTGTAGCTGTGCGCTGCCTGGATGATGAGCTGCATGATCTCCCCTGAGTCGGACGTCCCTTTGAATGTATAAGTCAGACAAGCAGATTCAAATGCGAAGGATCATGCTTACCATGGTTTGGGGGAAAAGGAATGCGAGACAGCCTGCCGTGAGACATAGATAACTGACGGTGATCAAAATAATATGATCAGACATCAACAGCTGGCAATGATCGAGATGATCGATGATATGTTTTGTTAAACATTAAGCGCTTGTCAGCAGTTGACCTACCCTGGTTTGGAGAGCCAACGTTGCGTAGCTGTGCGCTGCCTGGATGATGAGCTGCGTGATCTCCCCTGAGTCGGATGTCCCTTTGAATGCATAAGTCAGACAAGCAGATTCAAATGCGAAGAATCATGCTTACCATGGTTTGGGGGAAAAGGAATGCGATGCGAGACAGTGATAACTGACAGTGATCAAAATAATATGATCAGATATCAACAGCTGGCAATGATTTGTTAAATATTAAGTGCTTGTCAGCAGAATGTGCTGACCTAATGAGTTGTTGGTCCAAGTTTAAGCAGGTCTGCTTCATTGTCTTGCTTTGGCATGCTGGAAATGCGACCACGGCCAGTAGAATACCAGCACCCTAACTCAACAGCCAATGGCTCATACCGTTTATGCAGGTGCAAGTCCGCATGGGGACCCGAGTCGTGCAACATGTACATTGAAGGTATGCCTCGATCAGCACTGCTTTGCACTGCCGTTAATATGTTGCCTGAGCGGTTTCATGTCAACCTCAAGATCTTACACCGATTTATGCCTTTTTTTCAAAAAAAAAATGGTGTTGAATGATAGGACGTGCACAGCGCGTCGCGTGTCGTTTATTGGCGAGATCTATATGATCCGTCACACGCCAAACTCTGTGTTGAATGATAGGACGTGCACGGCGCGTCGGCGGCGTCGTGTGTCGTTTATTGGCATGATCTATATGATCCGTCACACGCCAAACTCTGAAGTCGTGTCCCCATCTACGCTTTGTCTACCCACTGCTCCAAGTATGAGTTATCTCTACATGGCTGATGATTTTGATGCCAATGGCAACTTTATCTCGACCAGAGGTTTTTCAGGCGATGGTTTTGATCCGGTCAGCAGCACTGGCAGTGAACGGGTTCCCAACATCGATCAGATTGACTGGGATGACCCGTCCCTGTACATTATGCCGCTTACCAACGATGAAATTGCAGCTCTAACTAAGGACATAGCAGCTACGAATATCCCAACTATTCCAGAGCTCCCCACCCCCCCTGCTCGCACACCATCGCCTCAGCCAAGTCCCACCGAAGCAGAGGTGCCGGACACCATTGTGCAGATCCCAGAATCACTCCGTGAGGCAAACACGTCCTCCTGGGCAGCGCGGAACCCAACACGAGCAATTATCTGCCCTCGGACACTGCCACCTCGACTAACAGATGCCCAGAAGGCATCTCGAAAGATCAAGAGGGACCAGAAGATTGAGAGAACGAAGCACTTACATGACATGGTCGCTGAATACTTAAATGCACAGAAAACAAAGATCAAAGCACTCTCGCGGGCTCACCACGTTACTCCCAAGCACATCAATGATATCATTGGCAGTCAGACGCATTATCGAACCTCATGCAAAAGTCAATTATTCAACGCACTTGTTCATGCCAAGGCGAAAGAGATGAACGCAGGTAAGTCAGATCAATTTTTACTCAATTGTATCACAAAGCTTATCATGCATCAACTAGATCGACCCGCAGGCTCTCAGTACTCGTTGGCCGAACTTCGTGAGATGGTTGCGGCTGACCCTGAAACAAAAGGCCTTACCAGGCAAGAAAAGGAAGATTACATTGCAGCTCTCGAGGAGCATCGTCAAAAAAAGGTCGTTAGTGTTCGGGCGAACAATCTGGCAGCCGCGCAAGACGTTGTAGCCACAATGGATAGGATCGTGAAGGAGGTACATTTGAATTTTGACAGCAACTAACTAAACTCATTTTTTTGAAGCTGGATGATCTGCAAGTTCGGACTGGTGTCTATGGCACACTATTTGTCGTCTGCGGTCACATCAACGACACCATTCAAAGCGCGATGCACGGCACGGATAATTCTGAAGATTTTTGGGAGGATGTGTACGAGCATCCCATGGCTGACTTTCTTAGGCAATACGAACAGTGGGCGTGCACCCAGAATCAAAGTAAGTCCTTTGTCTCTTTACATAGCTCGTGTACTTATGCAGCTCCTGTAGACCTCAATGAACGTGACTCTTTGGAAGCTGTGAGAAAGCAGGTACGCAAACTGATCCTCCGGGGCCTAGGTGAGTATCAATGTGTTCTACACACGCCACCCCCTTCTAACATTATTCACAGTTGCTGTGACCGGCAAAAAAGATATTGTAATGAATTACAACAACTATGAAACATCTGTCATCGAAACGTATGGAGTGCGCCTTGTGGGCTGGCCCCATAGTGTCAAGTTCACCAGCCCTTCGAACATCGGGACCGTCGGCGACATTCGCAAGCTCCATGATGCCCTCAAGGCATGTACGTGCTACTGGACCATTTTATCATCGGCGGAGGTCAAAGCTCATGCGTCTGAACTCGATACACGACATTCAGCTGGGGAAGTTGTTCGGAAACCACGAAAAAAGTGTTTGGATGCTGGAGTACCTCGGAAGCGTAAAGACGGGTCTAGCGCAGGACGGGCAAATAAGGAGAATCATAGACCATTGAAGAGAGCAAAGAAGAACCCTGCCCAGCTGCAGGAAGGTCCTAAAAGCGCTGAATTTGTGGAATCTTCTGACGAAGAGGAGGGGGATGAATAGTAGTCTTACATTGCCTTAGTCTACTTTGATGGATCCATAAGACTCGTATACGTAACGCAATTATTACTGGTGCGCTGTTCGTCGAAACACACCATCAATCCGACCACTTTTGAGTGAGATACTCGAGCTCAACGTGTCACACAGCGAGCTCGAAGGTTTCCATCACTATGCAGTGTTAGGCACAGCGACGGCACGGTAACCGCATCACGTGAGTCTAATAATAGTACGGTAATAATAATAACACAACTGCGTACCTACAGCTGTATATAAAGTCCTTCGTTATCCAGGAGATATTGGAGGAGGCTCTGATTCACTATATCCGCCTGATCTTACAGGTGCGACACATGTGCATTATCTCCTATAGTTACCGTGCTTAGGTGGGAGTCACAGGTGTTACTATTAGTCATGGTTCAAGGGTCCGCTGCGTTCGGTATTCGCTGTCGTCATCCCCACCAATTCTCGCAATTGCAACAGAGTACGATATCCAAATTTACCATGCTGGCTACTACACTTGGAAGAGCCATTCATACCTCAATACCTATTCATACGACACCTATTATTCACACAGATATTCATATGACGACCCGAACTATTTCTTCCAAGCTCAAAGCAAGACAGCGGTCAGTGGATACAACCAGTGGTCACTCGCGTGGACGCCCGATGGCAAACACCTTCTCTCAGCGAGCGGAGTGGGTGATCTTGCCATACGAGAGTGGGATTCGTCGACCTGGAAGCAGATCGGCGAGCCCTTGAAGGGCCATTTCAAGACTATCCGCGCTATCTCCCTGAATTCTGACGGCACTCTCCTTGCCTCCGCATCTGATGACCACCGTGTCCGCCTCTGGGGGCTTTCAGATCGATGAACCATCGCCATATTCAAGCATTATGGCGAGGTGAACTGCGTCACCTTCTCCATAGACGGCCTGCATATCCTCAGCAGAGGAGCAGATAAGAAGGTGTTGGAGTGGCCAGCATCCGGGGATGCATTTCCAGAGGATGGTCCAGAGAATGCGCTCATGAGGGAGCAAGTGACACACCAGGTAAGTTGGTTTTTCCTTTTCCCGCCCCTTCATCATCTGAGCGTCTTTTGTACTCCAAGTCTCAAGTCTACTCTGATTTCAAGGCATGTTCCCTCCTTTGATTCTGATAACGCAATGTGAACATGCCCTACGCAGGTCCTCGCTATTAAGCCAACAGTCCGCAATGTGTGCATAGCTGGGGACTTTCTTACCGCTGAAAAGGTGCTAAATCTAGAGATTGAAGCTGGTGCCAGTGATCACGCCTCCTATTCCAGTCGTGCGTTTGTTATGGCGCGAAAATATGACTGGAATCGCGCGCTTCATGATGCAATTCAGGTGAGATAGATCAAATTATCATGAAAAGCTAACTCCAATGGTGACATAGTCCCTCGACATTCAGCCCTCGTTTGCGGGTTATATTTCCAAGGGAATTGCCCTCTGCGGAAAGAGGCAGGTTCGGGTCGTGAGAACATCATTCGACCTCGCATCCATGTTCACGAACGGAGATTTGAAGACCTATCATTTTCTTTTTTTCATCAAGGCATGTAGTGTCTTTCTTACATCCTTCATACTTCATTGCAATTTTCAGACCATCACGCTGTTCAATGCAAGTGAACATGAAGAGGCAATGGAGCGTGTCAAAGAGCTAGCTGTGTGCCCCGATACCGATCCTCTTGCTTGTCGTATTGTCGAAGTAAGCATCATGCCCCCGATCGTGTGCTGGCACTGATCCTTCTGCTCTTCGCACCAATCAGGCATATCTACGCGTCCAATTAGGAAACATCGCATTTGATGGTGCGCACTACAATGAAGCTATTGAGCACTTTGCTGCTGCCGTAAATGCTAGCGCTTTCTTTTATAAATTGGAAATTCATTCGATGTACGAGGAATTTGTTGTGGTACGTCGATATGATGTAACCAAATATTCTCCTTTTCATGCTCAACTGTGTATTTTTGCAGCTGTTTGGCTGGGACCTCAAGTCTTTGTGGCAAACCGCGAACAAGAAACACTGCCATGCGCTCTTTCTGGCAGGTAGAATTGGAGCAGCTGTTGAATCATACCATTCCATCATAGAGAAGAGTGATGACGCTACGAAGCCTGGCATATGTACTTGGTTCGCTGGTAAGTATTCAGTAATGTCACCCCGTCTATAATCCTCAACCGTACTTCACTCAGCTCTCTAGTAAGAACGAAACAGAGATCCTCCAGCTGTTTTCATTTGTACCTTGGCAATATCTGTGCCATGCAAATAACCCTGTACCTGTACGTATACTGGCTTACTTGAACAATATATCTACTAGCACAACACTTCCACACACGGTTTGATGCGTGCCTTTGGTTCGTTGAAATTCAAATTCTGACCTGCCTTTGATCGAGCCACTGCTTCCCCCACACGCGTATTCCACCCTACTCGAATTGGACTGCTACTGTTAGCTGAAATTCTCAGACTTGGCAGCACCGCCACTCGAGTGGTTGTCTAACACGCGTACTTCTCAATCACTGTCCCACCAAACACGAAGCTGTCAAAAGCACGAAGTCACGTCATACGGTATTCTTATTGACTCGACTTTCAGACGAAGCTGCGGGCTATGCGAGTGGTGTGTGATAGCATGCTGTTGCAGTACTGGTAAGCTCTAGGAGAGCATATTACCGGTCACCGCTTGTCACTGAAGGCTTAACCAATGAGCTCGTTAGAGAACACTCAGCTTTGATATCTCACGGAAACAGTGCCATCTTCGGCGTATTAGGTCAAAGACACAACAGAAGTACATGTCGTCCAAGAAACCAAGAAGCAATCCCGGGGTATTGTATGTTGCGGTGGGGATCTTCGATTGGCCCACTGACTACCGAAGTCAGCATTGATTGTTCTTAGGGATGTCGAGGAGACGTTACGGGGTCGCGAATTAGAGCATGACTTGGCGAGGAGACAACGAAACATTGGCAAGATAAGCGAACAGAAACATGATTAACAAGATCAAAGGACCTGCGTGCATGCGGGAGTTGTCGATTCAAAACCTCAAATCCATGGAATTGCAGTGAACCCATGACTGACTTCGGATGGGTGCTCATTCGACGATTGACAATCAAAGTTTAAAACAACAGATTATCTTCAATGTAAATTGCAAACCACATTGTACATGCCTAAAGTGGCGATCCCAGACAATATCAAAGTCCCGCAACTGTTGGACCTCCGCTAAGAACATTCCAAGGAACAGAAGCTCATAAACATAGCAGTATGGCCATGAACCGGAAGTGTCCTACCTTGGGGTATAGTTAGGATTGAAATATTGCGATTGCACCGGTCGAATTTGAACTGGTAGAATGGCCATCAAGACTGTGCCTGTCTGCGCCGAAATCTTGGGATTGAGTGTTTCTGGATGATGATCGAGAAGTCAGGTCTATTCACCCTGTATTCGATAGTGGTTTGAACACTTGCAGTGATGGTGGGTCATCCGATCAGGCTCGTATGAAAACAGCCTCATATCTTGGGCGTCTAGTGAACGCTATGAAACAGCATAAAAACGCCCTAGCACGCGCACTCCCTGTGTAAGTTCGAGCTAAACAGCATCCAACAATCCCCCACAAAGTCTACCTCGACCAGCGGTGTCAACCTTCAAAAAATGGTGCAGCTCATTCCAAGGACAATACCCGTTCGAGTGTTTGAAGATCATGAAGAACATGTATTATCAGCAGTCGCAGTTTTCCCCGACAAACAACGCATGATCACATGCTCGAACGACAAGATACTTCGTCTGTGGGACTTGACGGCAGGTGTAGTGTTGAAAAAGATGGAGGGGCATGGCAGTCCGGTGCAGGCATTGGCGGTATCGCGGGATGGACTGTTGATAGCAAGCGGTGATACCAACGGAGAACTTATCGCTTGGGATGGAAAAACTGGCGAACCTTTCACCCAAGCTATCGGTGCTCACACCGGTTGGATATTATCGCTCGACTTTTCTCCAGATGGAAAAACACTGGCAAGCGGATCATCAGACTCCACAATGATGCTGTGGAACACAAAAACGTGGAAGACGGAAGCAAATGCAATTAGTTGTGGTGTGTTGAATACGGTCGTCCGCTGTGTTCGGTATTCGCCGATTTCCTGGTCTAGACGTCTTGCAATTGCAACGCAGCACAACATCCAAATTTACGAAGCTGGTTATCACACTTACAATTCAGGCGGGTGGGGCAATAGCAGTTATAGTTACTTCCGGGTTCAACACACGACAACGATCAGTCACGGTGGAGGATACAACCACTCACTCGCGTGGACGCCCGATGGCAGTCACCTTCTCTCAGCGGGCAACGGGGCTGATCCCACCATACGAGAGTGGGATACATCGGGGATGCAGGTCGGCGATCCCTGGAAGGGCCATTTCGACACTATCCGTGCCATTTCCCTGAATTCCGACGGCACTCTCCTTGCCTCCGCATCTCATGACAACCGTGTCTGCCTATGGCGACTCTCAGATCGATGAACTATCGCCGTATTCAAGCACTCTACCGAGGTGAACTGTGTCACCTTCTCCGCAGATGGCAGGCACGTCCTCAGTGGAGGTGTGGATAAGAAGATTTCGGAGTGGCCAACATCCGAGGGTGCTTTGCCAGGGGATGATCCAAAGGATTGTGTTATGGAGGAGCAGGTGACATGCCACGTAAGTTCGGTTTAATTTTCCAATCTTTCGTCATCTAAGTGTCTTTTTTATACCAAGGCTCAAGCCTATTCTGATTTCAAGGCATGTTGCTTCCCTCCTTCGACTCTGATAACACAATGTGAACATTCTCCATGCAGCTCCTCGCTATTAACTCGACAGTCCGAAATGCGTGCATATCTGGGGACTGGTCTACCGCTGAAAGGGTGCTAAATGTAGAGATCGACGCTGGAACCGGCGATCACACTTCCTATGCCAATCGGGCATTTGTCATGGCGCGAAAACGCGACTGGGACCATGCACTTCATGATGCAATTCGAGTAAGAT